TTATAGCCTTAACTACCCTCCTAATTACTACTAGAAAGGCTACTATTTTAAGCTTAATTTACTATAAAGATATCCTAGAGAGGTCTCTTACAACTAGGCATTACTTTACTCTCTTTAGTAATACTTTATTATCTATAGCTTTCTAGTTATAGTATTTTAGGGGTTTATTTAGTTTAGTAATAATATCTAGTACTATATAAATTAGCTAGTAGTCTAAATTATATTATATATTATTTACTTATCTATAGTAAACTACTTAAATAACTAGTAAGCTTAAGATAAAGGTTAAATTAATTATAGAGCTCTACTCTCTTTACTATTATATTACTACTCCTTTCTTTATAGTTAGTTCTAGCTTTATCTTATCTATTACCTTTAAGAGTTTCTCTACCCTTACTTCTATTCTTATTCTAGGGCCTCTTTATATAGGATAGTATATATTTATATCTCCTAGTACTTATACTTAGTAGCTATATCCCCTTAAGCTAACTAAGTAAGTTAGCCCTAAAGTCTCTAGAATATATTACTATTTAGCTTAATATATATATTATAGATATATAGTATTTTTACTTATTTACCTTACTAGTATAATAGCTTTAAGATCTAATAGTCTTATAAGACTATCTTATAGGACTAATTAGCTAGGTTAACATACTTTAAGATATATAAATATATCTATACCTTACCTTCTTCTCTCCTCCCTAGATATAAAAGCTAGTATATTACTTTACTAGTTACTATATTATATTACTACTTTTATTCCTCTATAGCTCTTATATTATTATTATATCTACTTTAAGGACCTTAATATCCTATAGAAAAGTAGCTATTACCCCCTTTCTTAACTTATATATATTATATTAAAGGATTTAGAAATAATTATAATTTATTAAGTAAGTTATCCTTATCCTTACTTCTAGTTTTAGTAATTATTAGCCTTTCTAGTACCAATAGAGCTAAGAAGACCTTTCTAGTATACTCTTTAATATTAATAAACTATTCTAGGAGTTCTTTAGCTACTTACTATAGTAATCCCCCCTTAACCTTTATCTCTATTAATAGTTTAAGCTCCTTTACTTTAGTATTTATAACTTACTTATCCCTCTAGAGCTGCTTTAGACCCTAATATAGCTATTAATCTAGGTTAGATAGTATATTAATAGGCTCCCTATATTACTAAGACCTTATAGAGGTCTAGAAGGCTTTTAATATCATATCTATACTTTAAGAGTTATCTAATAGTAGGCTATTATCTAAGGAGGTCTTAAAGTATAGCCTATCCCTCCCCCTCTTTATTATACCTTTAAATTAGATTATCTCCTTACTATTACTCAGCCTATTAGCTACTAGTATAACTAGTAGGTTAACTACTACTAATATTACTAGGACTAGTTAATTTATAGCCTATATATTTACCTTTACTATAAAAGGCTATTAATTAGTATCCTTTCTAGAGTCTCTTTAAAGAAAATAGTCTAGAATATAGTAGTATAGCTTATAGTTCTTAATTACTTCCTTTACTCTAGCTATTAACTCTCTCTTTATAGGATATACTAAACTAACTATTTAGTATCCCTTATAGTAGTTAGTATACCTTACTATTACTATCTAGCCTTATATATTTAGATATTCCTAGATAGGATACCTTTCTATATAGGTCCTATATATATATCTATTACTAGGACACTTAGTATATATATATCCTAGTTTCTAATATTTTTAATATAGCTTTAAATATCTATTCTAGTAAAAGATTATTATACTATAGACTTAGGCCTCCTAAATATTCCCCTAATTAATAGCCTAGTTTATAATAATAGGGTTAGTAAACTCTATTATTAGTAAACCCTCTCTCTTACCTTTTTAGGGCTTTATTAACTACCTTATATAAAGGATCTTAATATCTTTACCCTAGGTATACTAATTTATAATTACTAGATATATAGTAATATTTGTAATATTAGTTATATTTTTTATAGTAAGGTTTATATCCTAGATTAGGACCTTATAGGTAACTAACCCCTAGATAAGTACCTAGATATATATACTAGTACTAAATATCTTTACCTACTTATTAATATAGTTCTAGAGAATCTCTACCCCTATAGTACTATAGGCTTAAAGACTAATATCCCTAGATAGTAACTAATATATAGTAATAAATCTTAATACTATAAGGGGTAAACTACTAGATTTCTTAGCTACTATACCTTAGGCCTATTTAGCCTACTTAATAATCCTAATAGGGGCTAGTTTATAGAGCTTATCTTATATAGCTATATTATAGACCTTTATTATAATCTTATAGTTAATACCTAACTTAATATATAGTACTCCTAGGGTAAAGGTACCTATAATCCCCTAGGATAGTAGAGTAGATATATTTTATAGGTCTTATTACTAGTCCTAGACCTAGAAATCTTTCTACTAGGCTACTAAATTAGTAGTTTTAGTTAAAACTAATAATCTTAAGCTCTTTTCTCTAAGGTATATAATATTATTCTAGGATTTCTCTAATACCTTATAGATATCTACTAAGGGATTATAGTTTAAATTTTTATTCTTATTTCTACTCTAGGTACCTATTATAAAGTCTTCTACCCCCTAGTAAAGCTAAGTAGCTTAATATTCTAGAGAGGCTTATTCTTATAGCTTTCTATATACTAATATACTTACTATATACTATTTTATATATCCTCTATACTAGTAAAATAGTACTGTAGTCCTTTTAGAGCTACTATAGTAGTAGTCTATACTATTACTAGAGGAGTTATTTCCTTATTTTCTACTATTACTACTAGTAATCCTAATGAAATTAGTCTCTACCAGTAGCAGCTGGAGTTAAATATAGTTGAATAAATTCTAAGCTAATTCTAGCTTATAGCTGTTGTGAAATTTTAAAAATATAATTTATATAGAAAGAGTTATTTTTATCTTTACTTATAGATAATAGGTAGTAGTTAGTTAGTGATTTACCCTTATTAATTTTATAAATAATATCCAGAATTTTAAGGTAAAGAGTTTATCTCTATTTAATATAATCTTCTATAGTAATTTATAGTTTATAATAATATCCCTTAAAAATATAAATACTATTTATCTTATATTAAGTATACTTATTATTAGTATAAGTTAGATATATTTACTAAGTTAGTTAGTAAAAACTATAATAGTATTCTATTTACTTAAGGATAGTAACTAGGTAATAAAATCTACTATAACCTATTCCTATAGTATCTTTAATAATTCTAATAATTATATTTTCTTGTATAGTTTATATCTTACTAGTTTATTATAAATATATATTTTATAATTATTAGTATATTTATATATCTTTACTTATAGATATAGAATATAGAAGTTTCTTATAATATATACTACTATTTATTCTACTTCTATATATCTAAATATTAGTATATTATAATATATAGCTATAACTTTAGTCTATACACTCTTATGTATATAGATAAGTCCTTTAAAATATATAAATTTATTAATATCTTTAATAAATCTAGTATTATCTTTAAGTTTTTTAAGAATTTCTTAAATAATTTAGTTATTTATTATTTCCTTAATAAGTTACTATCTAAATTTATCTAATCTAATTTCTATAGTAATTATGACTTAATATTAGTAGTTATAATTAAGACTACTATCCTTATTCTATTTTAGAACTACTAGTTTATAATATTTTCTATTAAGTATATAGTCTAATTATTAATTAAGTATATCTACTTAACTATTTTCTATTCCTTTATAATATATAATATAGAAGTTATATTCTAAAAGTACTTCTAACTATCTTACCTATCTTTATATTACCTCTTAAGTTATTATAAAGAAGGTAAGGTTCTTATAATCTACTTTAATAAGAAGTTAGTATTATACTCCTTTTAGATAGACTCTTTATATCTTAAAGGTAATTACTATTACTAATAGCTCCTTATTATAAATATTATAATTTAATTCTAATTAAATTAATTTACATAAGTAGAAGGTAATAGGTTATAGCTTCCTATTATTTTTAAGTTATATTATTTATATATTAATAGTATAGTCTAATATATTAGTTTTAATAGTGGTTTCTTTATAGCATTATATTATACTAAAATAGGTACTTTAGTAACTTATCTTTTAGATTCTTTAAATACTACTTCTTATTCTATTCCCTATTTAAATTTAACTAATTATTTTAATAATTAAATATTACTCCTATAATATAAGAATAAAAGTCTATAAATTATTAGTAATAATTAATTAATCTATAATACTATTATAGTTCTCTAAAGTTTTTTAGTATTAGCTATTCTCTAATTACTTATATTTTTATTAGGTCTATATATATTCCTTCTAAGGAGATCTAATATCCTAAGAAGTCTATTTCTTAAATATAAAATTTATAATTTTTAAGTTTCAGTTATAGTTTTATATTCTAGAGTTTTATAAGTACCTTTATAATATACTAGATATACTTATTAAAGTTATCTAAGAATATTAAGATATTATTAAGGTAGGTAATAGTAAAAATATTAAGGTATTCCCTTAAGATTTTATTAATAAATTATTAGAATAATATTAGTATATTAGTTAGCCTAAAAGGTATAATTAAGTACTTATAATCTCTATATTTTATTTAAAATACTATTTTCTATTCTTTACCTTTTATAATTCTAATCTAATTATAGGTATCTATAATATTAAGTTTTATAAACTATTTTACTCCCCTAGTCCTATTCTAGATCTCTAAAATAAGAGGTAGTAGGTATTAATCTTTAATAGTAATATTATTTAACAGTTAGTAATCTATATAAAGTTATAGACTATTATCTTTTTTAAATATAAATAGGGCTCTATATTCTATAATTAATTATAATATTTAAATTATTTCCTTTATTAATTATTTATTAATATATTCTCTAAGTACCTCTATTTCTTTATCTAATATATAGTAGATTTTCTTATATATTAGCTTCTTTCCTTTTTCTAGAGGAATCTTATAATTATAAGGCCTATATTCTAGTAGTTATAGTTTTTATAATTATTTAAATAGTTCCTAGAATTTCTTATACTCTTTAGATAACCTTATTAATTCTTAAGAATTTATTATTAGTTCCTTAATATATTAGTACTTCTATAAGCTGCTTTTATAATTTAAGGATTACTATATTTATATATTAGAGTGATATTCCTTATCTTATAGACTATTAATTATATCCTTAATAATTATTTATTTATAATATTCTATTACTATTATAGGTACCTATTCTAGTAGTTATATTAATTATACCTAATCTAAGATATTACTAGCTATTAAGATTTTTATTACCTTATTACTTATTATAATATTAATTATCTTATTTAATTATTTAACTCTACCCTCAAGTTCTCCTCTATAAGTATATTATTAAGATTTAATAGTATTATCCCCTATACTTATTAATCTAGGGTATTTATAATTTATTAATTATATTATATTTATTTTCTAATTAATCTTTAAGTTATAATTCCTAAGCTAAGGAACTCTTAATATTATATTATACTATCCTAATAGTATTAAAGTTACTCTTTATAACTTATTATAACTAAGGGTATAAACCCTAATTTATTTATATGATAATCTCCTAAGTCTTCTTTATTTAGACTTATAATTAGCTTTAATTAAGCCTTCTTAATCCTAAGTATATTAAGCTATTATTTATACCTTAAATCTATATAGTTTCCTATTATACCTAAGTTAATTATTATTTTTACTAGTTATCTAAGTACTTTAGTAATAAGTCTTAGATAGAAACTCTATTATATCTTATTTATTAATAATAATTTTTTACTTTTAAGCTTATTTAGTTCCCTTTAAGCTTTATTTAAGATCTTATTAATTTATTTATATATTTTATCCCTATTATATTATCTTATATAGAATTATATATATCTATACCTATTCTCTAATAGCTATATAATATATATATTAAGTTTAAAATTATTTTATAAGGTTCTTTAAGGTTACTTAAATACCTTATAAAATTCCTTTTAATAGGATATTAAACCTTCTTATTAAGTATTATACTCTTTATTTAAGGGATTAATAACTTATTAAATTTAATTAACTACCTTATCTATATGTTAGGGCCTGTATGATACACTGTACGTAGGAACTGCTGCTAAGACCACAATACAGATATGCACACGTGACCACATAGTGTATATCTCTAATTATAGGTTTAGAAGGTTTTCTAAACTACTGATTAGTTCTACTACTAATTAACCACTATATTTACTATACTATCTATATTAATAATAAGTCTATATACTTATAATATTATATAATCTTATAGTTCTAATCACTCTACCCTTTTAAGATAGCCTAGAAAATATAGCCTAATATAATAGCACCTTCTATAAAAAGGGGTTAAAATAATACTCCTTAACCTCTTAAAGAGGAACCTATAGATTAGTAAGACTAATAAGAAAACCTCTTACTTATAAGTTTAGCCCCTACTAGAGAGTCCTCTCCTTCCTTTAACTAATTTATAAGAGGTAGAATAGAAAGTACTATTATAGGTAAAGATATACCTATTAGTAATTTATAGAATATATCTATAGCTAAACCTATAGGACTAACCCTAGTAGAATAAGAAGCTATAGTTTAATACTATATCTAAGAGCTCTAATATAAAGAGGCACTAGAATAGCTTATTATAGAAGTTAGAGCTTAAGAAGAGAAACTTATCTATATAAGATAGGGTAAGGAGCTTACTATAAGATTTAATCTAAACCCTCTAATAGGCAGAAATATAAATAATACTTAAAATAAGTTAATATATACTTAATCTAGTACTAACCCCTTGGATATAGCTTTATAGATATATACTAATAAGCTAGAAATTAATAACCCTAAGGAATCCCTTAAGTCTAAGAGTAATAATATAAAATCCCCTTTAAAACCTATATATATAAAGCCCTTTTATAGGAATAATAATAATAAGCTTATTAACTTCTAAAACTAGCTAGAAATATACTTTAATAAATATAACTAATATTTTACTATTAACTATTATAAGGTTAAGGAAGGAGTTATAATACTCTCTAATAAGATACTAGCTTTATAAATAGAATATTATAAAGGACTACCTAAGAGGGTTATATAGAAGTATTTTACTAACTTCCTAATATACTAGATTAATAACCCTAATAACCTATATAGAGATACCTAATAAAAATATATAGATATATACTAATAACTAAACTAATTAGTATAGGACTTTATAGTCTACCTTACTTAATTTAAGGTATACCTAAGCTTTATCTATATAGAAGAAATAAGAAAGGTATATCTATATACCTAGATACTACTAGAGGTCTAAGTAGAAGCACTAAAATATCTAATTAAGGAAATATTATATAAAAACTATATAACTAAGCTTTAAACTATTAAGGATTAAATACCTAAAAGGTATACTATAATCTCTAGAAGACCTATATAATATAATAGCTTTACTATAGTTCTAGATAAGAGATTAGGGCCTAATAAGAAGCTATAATAGGATAGAAAATATAAAAATAATAGATACTAAAATAATTACTAGAATAGGAGCTAAAAAACTAGCTTAATTACTTATAAATACTATAGGGAGGAAGGTTACTAGGCTTAGGACTATTCTATATCTATACTAAAAAGGTAATAGGAAGTAAAAAACTAGAGCTACTAGTATTATATATTATATTAATACTAGGGCTATAACCCTAAGATAGGGAGTTAAGAGTACTAGTTATAGACCTTAGTATAGATAACTAATATAACATAGTATAGTAAGCTAAAGGTCTATATAATATAGGTACTAAAGTAAATTTTATTAGCTAAAAATAGTTAAAGAGGTATTAGAGTATAAGCTAAAATATAGTATATTAAGGTAATTAATAGATATACTATTAATTTATATAGATCTATATAGATCTTAGTTATAGTAACTAACTTATATAAAGAAATATATACCTATACCTAAGTATTCTATATAGTAGACCTTAATAGGTATAATTTTATTCTAGGATAGCTATATAGCCTTATAAGTAACCTAATTATAGATCTATAACTATATACCTAGTAGTACTAGCCTATTAAGAAAGGTAGTAATATAAAAATTATCTTAATAAAAAAATATATAAATAAAATCCTATAAGGAGTAGTTATATTTACTATCTACCTTTAGAAGCTAGTAAAAGGTAAGCTAATCCTAATATTTAGTATATAGATAGGAGAAAACTAATTACTAGAGGTATACTAAGAGTATATAGATATCTTCTTAGAGAAAGAAGTTAGTATATTAGTACTATATAGGGACTATAACTATATAATTAAGTATTAATTAAATATATAACTACCTTATAGACTAATCTATAACCTCTTAAAGTTAGAGCTAAAGGTTTTAAGAGAGTATATTAAGAATATACTAAAAAGGGGGTAGATCTAATATTCTAAGAGCCCTATAGGTATACTAATCCTATTTATATTAAAGAAAGATAGAGTACTATAATTATATATAGATTATAGAGGTCTTAATATAATTACTATTAAGAACTACTACCCCTTACTACTACTTAGTAAGATACTAGACTAACTAGGGGGTATAAAGGTATTTATATAGCTAGACCTTTATAATATATATTATAGGGTCTAGATTTACTCTAGAGATAAGTAAAAAACTATATTTTAAATAAGATATAGATATTTTAAGTATAAAGTTATACTACTTAGGCTAGTTAATATACCTATAACTTTTTAGTTATATATTAACTATATACTTAGTAACCTATTAGATATATACTATATAGTATATCTAGATAATATCCTTATCTACTTCTAGAGTAAGGAAGAATATAAATACTATATATACCTTATACTAGACTAACTATATAAATATAAATTATATTATAAGATAAGTAAATATATATTTTATATAGACTAAGTTAACTTCTTAAGTTAAATTAGCCTTAATAAAAAGCTTTAATTACTAATTTTATTCTCTTCTCCTAAGGTAGGGGCTCTATACTAGATATATATTAAAAAAGGGCTTTAAAATATAGCTATAATAACTTAGGGGTAGTAGTAGTAACTATATAGCTTAATATCCTATATAGCTTAGTATTTAATTATATTATAAGTATCTATAATATTAAGTTTTATAAATTATTTTACTCCTCTAATCCTATTCTAGATTTTTAAAATAAGAGGTAGTAGGTTATTATATTAAAGTTAAGTTATTCCTTATAACCTATTATAACTAAGGATATAGATTTTAATTTATCTATAAGATAACCTAAGTTTTCTTTATTTAGATTTATAAGTAGCTCTAGTTAAGCTTTTTTAAATTTAAGGATATTAAGCTACTATTTATATCTTAGATCTATATAATTTCCTATTATATTTAAATTAATTATTATTTTTACTAGTTATCCTAATACCTTAGTAATAAGTTTAAGGTAGAAACTCTATTATATCTTATTTATTAATAATAATTTTCTATTTTTAAGCTTCTCTAGTTCTCTTTAAGCTTTATTTAAGATCTTATTAATTTATTTATATACTTTATCCCTATTATACTATCCTATATAGAACTATATATATCTATATCTATTTTTTAATAGCTATATAATATATTTATTAAGTTTAAAATTATTTTATAAGGTTCTTTAAGGTTACTTAAATAATTTATAAAATTCTTTTTAATAAAATACTAAACCTTCTTATTAAGTACTATACTCTTTATCTAAAGGATTAATAACTTATTAAACTTAGTTAACTATCTTATTTATAGAAGCTAGCTCTTTATAGTTTTATTCTAGTATATTTTATATACTAAAAGGTTTATAATAGATCTAATATCTATATTATAATAATACTAAGGTTTTAGGTTCTAGTCTTATATTATTAAATATATTTCTAATATTAAGATATTCTATAGGTTCCTAGTCCTTATTACCTAATTTATCTATCTAGATTAGGTTTAGTAAGGCTAGATTATTATTATCTAGTCTTATCTAATTATATAATTCCTAACTAATATTATCTAAGGCTAAGTTATCTAGGTAATACTCCTTTAGTACTTACTATTTAAGTTATAGTTCTTTTTTAGTATAGTTATCCTATATCTTATTTAGGCCTTCTTCTTATAAATTAAATTTCTAATTAATTTCTTCTTTATTTAATATAGTATATTAATAGTATAAATTCCTAAGTTATAGATCTTCTTTAATTACTTTAGGCTCCTTTATACCTTAGAGTTACTTTCCTTAGTTCTAATTTCTCTAATTATATTATTATCTTATTTAATAATCATTTATTATATATAGTTTTTTATAAAAGAAGTAAAGTTTTTTCTTATATTATTTTTCTTATTCTTCTAGTATTATACCTTTTTATCTTATATTAGTTATATTAAGTTTAATATGCTATAATCTAAAAGGATCTATAAATCCTTAACTTACTAATTATATCCTTTAACTATTATTTAATTAGTAATTAGTTATATACTAGTTTCCTTTAAATTAATAATTACTCCTTCCTTTCTACCTTATTTAGAAGTTATATAAAGTATTATTAATTTTAGTTACTATTTTAATATATTTAGCTATAGTTACTAGTCAGTCTTACTAAATCATTCTTTCTTAGATTTTAGGTATAATATATTATTTAAGTACTATACTTAGTACTCCTTTAATTAAGGTAAAATATAAGTAAATTCTAAAGCTAATTTTATAAATAATCTAGTCTATTATAATCTTATGATTTTCTATTTAGTATTTTATTCTATATTAATATATCTAAAAGTATTTATTAATAGGGCTTTAAACTAGTAGTATTATCTAAAGGCTTTTTTTATGATATTATTCTAATCTTCTATTACTATCTCCTAGTAATTATATAGTATTAGTTTAAACTAGTTAAATATATTTCTAGTAAGGTAGGTTAATTTAAATAGAGCTTTATCTATATTATTTACTAACTTATTACTATTAATAGTAAGGTAGGTTTCTATTTATATAAGGAATAGTTAAAGTTTATTTTAAGTACTATTAAATAGCTTAGGTAGTCTAATTTTAACTAACTTTATAGATATTCTTATTTAAAGTTAAATAATAATTTCCTAGAGCTAGCTTACTATATTTATTAACTCTTTAGTTATTAGAGGTAGTAGTTATTATAAATATTATATTATCTATATATCCTTATATTCTAATTACTTATTATGGCACCTTTATCAGTGACTGTATCAGGCAGAATCAGGTATTTAAGGGAAACAGATATTCCTATTATAGAGAACTATAAATTACTTATAGGATACTCTTCTTAGCTACTATCTAGTAACTAACTATATTATATTGTTAAGCACCGGGAGCCGGAGGTGCTTGGATTGGTAATTTTGGGGTTGCGAGTCGCCTGCGCACTACGAGCGAGAACCCTGCGTGGTTGAACGTATGGGTGGTATTGCTTAGAATCGATCGCTTGCCCCGCAGTCATCTGTTGTGCGGTCTTCTAAATACAGTCTCGTTTATCTATAGTCACGTGGTTCAGGGAACCCGCCTAGACCTCGCCGTGAGGTCGCCGTCAGGTCGCTGCCGGGTTCCGGGGTGTGACATATATAATAAAATACTATTTTATATACTATAGATAGTATATAATATAGTATATAGGTACCTAGTAGAATACTATAAATATTATATAAGATAGTATACTTAATAAAGGATATATAAGGATACTTTATATACTTAGATAGTTCTTTATAGTTAATAAAGTTATTAATCTTATAGTCACCTTTACTAACCATATTAATAATTTAATATATATTTATTATATATCTCTTACTTAAATAAAGAAGTATATATACTTCTTTAGTCTTACTTCTCTCTTTATCTACCCTATTATATTCTTAAGTATTCTTAGCTTAAAGGAGTATCCCAGTTACTATTAATATCCTTAGATTAGGGTTATAAGTTAGTATTCTATTAGCTTAACTTATAGGTTATAGATTTAGTATTATTATAAGATCCTAGGGTATAATATATTAATCACCTATCTATATAAGTATATAAATAATATCTAATATTAATATTAGTCTATCTTAAGTAATTAACTTAAACATACTATAGTAAGTAATATAAATATTAAGATACTAACTATATTACTACTATAATAAAGTAATATGTATATAGCTCAATATAGAGATCAATTACTAAGTTATTATTATTATATATATATTTACTATTAACCCCTCTATTATATCTTAAGATCTTATAATAGTACTAAACCTATAGACCTACAAGCTAAGCCTAGAAGTACTAACCTATAACCCTAATCTAAGGATATTAATAGTAACTAGGGTGTTCCTATAAGCTGAGGGTACTTAAGAATATAGTAAGGTAATTATGGAGAGAAGTAAGGGTAAAGAAGTATATATACTTCTTTAATTAAGTAAGAGATATATAAATAAGTATATATAGAATAATTAAAGAAGTAGTTATAAGGTAACTAGCGTGTCACACGAGTTGAGTTAGAAGGTAGGACTCAAACTCATGAGTAGAGTTAGGGTTTAGGACTTGAACTCATGCCAAGAAGAGTAAGAGTAGAGTAAGATTCTATATTTTTACTGTATTTTACTGTATTTTCAAGACTTCCTCATATGAAATAGGTGTATTTTTGGTATTACAAGTAGAGTTTTAAAATATTTAGAGCTCAAACTTATAGTATGAGTCCTAAATCTTAACTTAACTCATATTATGAGTCCTGAATCTCAACTCAAACTCGCCTCATTACTCGAACTCTACTCGTTACTCATGAGTAAACTTGACTCGTGTGACACACTAAAGGTAACCATAGGTTTGATAACTTTATTAATTATAAAGAGTATTATTATAGTAAATTATAATTCTCTATAATAAGAATATCTATTTCCTTTAACTACCTAATTCTACCTGGTATAGTCACTAATAAGGGTGCTATAATAACTACCTATATAGAGCTTATATAGTAGAGTATGAGTACTAATAACATAGTATTACCACCACCAGGCCTGACAAAGAGATAGAATGATTATCTTAGTCTATTATATAGTCTAGTTATATAGTATAGCTATATAACTTATCTTAATAAGAGATATATCTAACTGCACATATATACCTTAATATATATACAGGGCCTAGCCCTTCCAGAGGGTATGTAAATAGGAGTAGATGATCTTTGTATAGTGATTCCTATAACTTAGTGCAGAAAACCTCTAAACTATTCATCTCTTTAACACACATCTACAATGCCTGATTTTATAATAGTACAATGCAAGTTAGAGCTGCCCGGACATACAAAACATAATCAAATTTTTAAGAAGTGTTTTTTTTTTCTAAAATTACCAACGCTGTTTACCTAGCAAACAGTTTGACCTATCATTTCCCATAGCCCTGATCATACGAAATAACGTTTACCGCCAGAAACATGGTCAAGGAACGGTACAGCTAGCAGTGCAGGTAAATCAAACACTCTCAAGGACCTGCTCCTTGAATTCTCTCTCAACCTTTTGACCCTTGTCATCAGTCGTAGACTCTCCGTGCAAGTTCAGCAGAGCACCGAGGTCAAACTTAGGAGACTTGAGAAGCTTGACCTTGCGGATGTGAACCTAGGCAAAATGTTAGTCTTATTTAAACAGGGAAATGATACAAAATCAACGAACATTCTGCAGGGGGTAAATTCCCTGGGTAGCCTTTTCAATTTCACGGCCAATGACCTCGGGGATAAGCTTTGTGGTAAGCTGCGAGAGGGTGCAGCTGGCAGCTTCGCGCTGCATGATCTCAGTCATCTTCTTGCGGATAGCACGGATCTGAGAAGAGCGGGCGTATGTGGTCTTCTTAATCTGGTTCGGACGTCTCTTCGTGAAAGCGATGGCAAACAGACGCAGAAGGTAGTCATCGGTCGTCTTGACAGTAACGTTGGCCTCGATGAGCGACTGCCACTTGCGCACAAGGGATCGCAACTTGTCAGTTGTGAAGTCCAAGCCGTGGAAGTTGGTCAGGCAGTTTTTCCCTTGGATCTCGTCCACGCGGAGCTTGACTTTGCGGAATGCGTGGTCTTCGTCGTTCTGCAAGTCAGCGAGGGAGACCTCGAAGATCCGGCCCTTCAGAGAGTCGTTCGCATTCTTCAGACCACTAGTCCGGTTGACCAGAGTTTTTCCAACACTTTGCGTTTGGTCAGCGATTGAACATAACGGTGCAAAAACAATAATCTAGGAATTGGCGTAAGACATACTCCCGGGTCTGGAAAGTCGATGGTGCCTGGTACTGGTTAGCAGTGCGCAAAATTCTTAACAGCCCAAGTATTCACCTTCACAGCATATTCGTCCTTTCTTGTGAAGGGATCAACAGTCCTCTTCTTCACACCCTTCTTGCCCTTCGACAATCGCTTGTTCCTGCAAATTGTCAGTGACCATTTCAACTAAAGAATATGCTTTGCATGTTGATGCGGAGCAAAATCAACATGTAGAATTCGTAACGTACTTTCCAACAGCCATACTTGCGACTCAGGCCTATCTTGCAATGCTTGAAGACAGACAAGTATATCACACCACGGGCTCTGGTGGAGGGATTCGGGTCGATTGACGCTGCTACTGCGTTGGCGGGATGAGTGTTAAATCGAAATCCCACAGAAAAATCGGCTAAGCGAGGCGTCGACCCTATCAGTTGATTACCTAACAGCCGGAAATTTACAGAGCACGTGATATATCGTAATAACATTACCACAATCCGCCGGGCTCTAGGCTGGTACCTTAAGGTAGTGGAGACGATGTGGGAGTTGCGGAATAGTGAATACCTATCAGGTGGTATCTAGAGGTACATACAGAGTACTTCCTTACATAGTTACCTTTAGACTGGGGGTAAGGCATAGAGTGTTTTTAGGATTCATGGGAATTGTCATGAATCTAGTCCATATACTAGCTTAAATATTATTTAAATACATATGGATTGTTTGTATTACATCTATCTTAATATCTTAGTAAAATTCTCAATAGAAAATTAAGCAAATATCAAACTGCTACTACCTTGGGCTACCTGGGTAAGGTAGCCCTGGTACCTATTGATGTTACCAGCTACCTTTACCTAGGTAACCTGGTATTGTACAGTAATGCGGAATGAATTATTGATAAATGGATACCTACAGACCTAGTATGAATGAAAATTTTTTTGGTATGATGTAATAAGTTTTCTATTACCATCATTTTGCAGGGGTATTTCCCTTCTTATTTTCTTTCTTTTTCCTTCTTTATTCTTTTCATATTTCTGAAATAATGCAGGTGTAAAAAAAAAAAAAAAAAACAAAAAAAAAAGGAAGCAGCACCAGCCGCACAAGGATATGTTGGTGATACCTAGGCTGTTCTGTAGTATGCACCTAAGTGCCTACCTACCCACGTATCTACGTACCTTAGGTAATAGTATTCTAATTGACATTGTCAATAATACTAGTACTAGGTAGGTACCTAGATATGTAGTAGTATGTACTATTCTCCAATGGCTGTGGAGACATGAGAACCAAGGATTTGCATACAACGTGATTTGCAGTATCACTATTCCGTTCTCTGTACTGTAATTCCTCTACTCAAAATAACCCAGCCACAACAACCTACCATCTAACTATTACTGTCACCTGTTTGGGTGGCCAGCACCGAGCCAGCACATTGATTTTCAAGGCGGAAAGTTCTCTAGACTAAAGCATGGTATGTCCGAATGATGCTTGGAAATTCTCGGGCGATGGCTAACCATCAATCCCATACTCACAGGGCAAACGAAAGAAGTCAAGCAGACAGCCGCAAGGACCGCGAAAGGTGACCGATCGAACTTGAAATCGGCCAAACACGTGTCCAAACTAATACTGAATTCATCCAGAGAGAACCTCTACCCTCAACATTTGCCTGCTTGTTCTGTAATCACGAAAACTCCATTGTGGTAAAACTAGACAAGAAGCTAGGCCTGGGAAACTTATCTTGTAAAGTGTGCGGGCAGAGGTTTCAAACTGGTATCAATTGTAAGGATTTTTTTTCTCTTATTCTCTCTGACGTATATTGATTTTATGTGCACCAGATCTTTCTGCTGCTGTCGATGTTTACTCGGACTGGGTGGATGCATGCGATGCTGTTGCCAAAGATGCTGCCAATAAATATGAAGAAAACGATTCCCGTGGGATGCGCTCGCAGGATTATCCTTCTTTAGAGCAGCCAGATGTCAGTGAACGTATGAATGCTTATACTGAAGATTATTAACCCTGCAAGAATGGTGAATGGCGTATGGGACGGGAGCTTGGGTTTTAGTATTGTTCATCCTGAGAATTGTTGTTGTTAATTGCTGCTGCTGCTGCTGCTGCTGTTGTTATTATTATTATTATTATTATTATTATTATTATTACGGAGTGTTATTACCCCTTCTGTCTTTCTTTTCTTTCTTTTAAAATAGAAGCATTTGGAATCCTAGCCATCCCATGAACTTAAGCTACTAGGTGTATACATTTCTGTGCTACCCTGGATGAGGGTAGTGGTGATGATCAATGGAAGTTACAGGGTATAATATCGATCACCAAAATCACCCAAACCAGGAATAATATACCTGTTGTTTCAATCAGCACCAGTATATCGCCATAGGATACTATTACAAGATAATGATACGCACTTTTTCTCATCCAAGCCTTGGTCAATAAAAGCAGTCACGACTCGGAGCTGCGGGAAGCGCTCCGCGAAATCCGCCACGCCGGAGGGACTTGCAATGAGATTAAGGAAAAGGATGCGGCTTTCAGGCACACCTTTTGCTTTCAGAACTTCAACAGCGAGTGTAGCGGAGCCTCCTATGAAGGGTTAGGCCGGGAGATACATGATTGGAAGTGGTTTACTAACCTGTCGCAAACATTGGATCAAGCAAAAGAACCCACCGATTGGCAATGTCAGCTGGAAGCTTTTCATAAAAAAGCTTGGGTTTGCATGTCTCTTCATCCCTCTGTATCAAGATTTTTCCAATTCGAACTGACCGACAACAGTCCCTCAAACCCTGCTCCATCGCCTCCCCTGCTCTCATGATAGACACACCACATATTTTCCCTTCGAATTTAACCCCAAGATATGCACGGCCAACAGGGGTCGTGACGGAGTGTTCAACAACTGGAAGATGATTTAAGCCTTCTTCCACTAGCAGACGAATAATTCTGTTTGAATAGAAAATGAAATCGGCACGGCCAGTCTTCTGATCTCTAATCATACTTAAAAAAGTGTTAGCACAATTCATTTCATTCAGAAATATGAGTGATATCTTAATGGGATGGCTTTTGAAACCCTGCTGTTTATTTAGGAACTGCTAACCAATACTCACGTCAGAAGTGCAATCAGTTGAGGGGTTTGAGGTAAAACATGGACATTGTCATAAGGGATATCTTTTGAAACCGTTGCCGTTGGTTTCTCGCCATCAGGTCTGTAGATTGGACCAACGCCCTGAGCAGGGGATGGAATGGGTTCTGCCTCATTCTTGGCCATTGTTGATGGGTTTTTTTTTGTCGAGGAGGGGAGGGCGGATAAAGCAAGACAGGTGTCAACCGAGTCAACCTAATCCCTATATCATGATAATTTTGAGAATTAACCCTTTTCAACCGGTATTTTATAATATATGGGGCTATGGCACCTAATTTGCGTTCATGAGACATACCTTATACTGAGATTTCTAACAACACCTGGACAAACTGACTGAGGGGACGTACACTTCTATCAATAAAATTATAGTGGGGCAGGGCTGTGTTGACCTAGTACCGTACCTTAAGTATTGCGGGTGTCTTAAGGTCATTTAACACCTGCCATGGATACCTGTATTCTTAATGGTTGGCACCCAGGGTACCTAAGTAGGCACCTAGTACCTGTAGGTAGGTAGGTAGGTACTTCTCCTCATACATTTATTCCACTCTTTTGAAATATTTTGGCTCATGGCCATATTTACTATGTAATCTAAGCTATAACTAGTTCCTCTGTTCTTTATATACACATGTTGTCTATGAAATGGGACATGGTATGTATATCTTTGCCAGTTAATATCAGTACCTAGTCCGGGTGGATAATACCTATGTAAACAATATCTTTAGATTTCCAAATATGTAATACTCCATGTAGATGGATATGTACTTAGCGGCACCAGGATGAGGTCTTGCTGGATTGGAAGTTCAGCTACTACCCAGGCTACTCGAGTCGAGTAGTTGCCAACCAGCCTAGTCTGATTGCAGCATAATACTGATGCCCCAACTACCTAGATATATCAAAACCGATTGATTCATTGATTATCAGTTGTCCATGCAAGTATTAAAATGTTTGGTGGGTCCTGTACTATTATCTACCCATTTATCTACTGTACTGTCTACATGGGGTAGCTTGTGCAAACTAAGCAGATCATAAGATAATTTATATGTGATTTCTTTTAAGTCAACTACTAGACAAATAGGCATCTCTTAGTTCCTTCTTTTTGGTGTCTTCCATATGTAGATTGAGATGGGAGGTTTTTCATTTCACCATAGCCATAATTGCCTTAGGTTAAACAACGATGAGAAAATCCTGATAATTTAAGTAATAAACTTATTTCGCTGCCAGTAGGATTGAAGCAGCTACTACGACTAGGTATATTTAGATAGACCAGGATGATATAGGGAATCTGACCATTACTATTAGATTGTTGCTGAGAAGCAAATAAAATTAAAGAGAGCGAGATGTAGACTAGAGTGCATGACACTGTTCAAACTTCGCTTTCTGTACCAAGTAGAAAAAAGCAAATGAAATGGAAAAAGAAAGTCAAACGCGTATTTATTTATACACTAACACAATATGAAAAAAAAAAGAAAAGAGAACAAGAAAAAAAAGCAATGATCCAGATTTAAAAACAGACAAAAAAATAAGACCTAGCATGTCCTCGTTTCGATCGAGGGACCTTCGGGTTATGAGCCCGACGCTCTTCCCCTGAGCTAACATGCTTATGCTTATCTAATACATCTGTTTTTACTTTTGTGTCATTGTTTCTATAGCAGATTCTGATACAATTTAATTATCTATCTCTCTATCACTCCGTTTGCACCCCCCCCTTCTTTCTGCCCGCAGGATCCGCCTTAGTCAACCAATAATATTCTACTAATATGTCGGCAGGACTTGCACCCAAATAACCATCCAGTCTAGCTAATGATGATACTATGAAAATATTGGGTATTATACAGCATGTTAGCTCAGGGGAAGAGCGTCGGGCTCATAACCCGAAGGTCCCTCGATCGAAACGAGGACATGCTATGTTGGTTTTCTTTCATTTATTTTTTTAATCCAAAACACAAAACACACACAAAAAAAAAAAAAAAAAAAAAAAAAGGAAAAGAAAAGAAAACGTTGTTCAATCACTCCTCTATACAGCGTACAGTAACTTCGATTCCTGGGGGTGGACGGTCAACAGTCTTACAGACTAATACTAAATAATAGCTAAATAATGTAGCAAGTGGATGTGGGAGCCCCAATAAGCAGTATGCACTGTATGTACTTAACTACTACTTAGTGCTTTGATCCATACTAATAGAACTCTGTACGTAGGCTAGTTAGTACTAACTCCTATATTACGTATTTGTGCTCTAGAGCCTTGAATTTTAAATATTTTCTGTTTGCGCCCCCTCCCCTCCCCGCATTCATGACTAATTCACCGAGCCAGCTAGGTACTTACCTTAGGTGGTTGTAGGTACTCCCTACGTATGTGTACTTTACATTTCATGTAACCATTGATTTTAGGTACTTTTTACAGTCTACCACCTTTAATGCAACCACCTACCTGATTTTTGACCAACCACAAAGCATTGTGTACCTTTCAGATATAAGATTATTGCTTGATAAAAAGTGATGAGAAAAGGTGGATACTGCGGAGTATTACGTTGTCAGTAAGTTCATATTTTATAACATTACCCCTTGGGTACTACTGCCATTAACCTCAAACAGCAATCTCAGACTCACCTCTTCATACTTCAGTAAATTATGGAAATGACAACCTAGAAACTAAGGTAATGACTGAATTGTGCATAGTACAGATTTTTAATACACCTATCTAATATGAACCCCCTCCCCCAAAAGAAACTTGATACAGTGAAGGCCTGAAGTGCTAAAATAAAGGTGGACTCTGCTTGATAGGTAACAGTGGTCCTTTTATTTCTGGATATGCTCTTATCATGATATCTGACTTGAAACAGCTCGCTATGTCATTGTGAATGAATGACATGCTTGTTTTTCTAGACAGCTGATCCACATGTCATAATCCTCTATATATGCATCGATAATATAATCAGGTTGATTAGCAGTACACTGAAACCTGATTTTATTTGAGACAAACAGCCATCACTTACCTTCCTCACTTTTATTGATTGATAGTTTTTCCCTATCCCTCCAATGCTATCTTACACTACTCCCGATGACCAAAATGCAACCCAGAACACCAAAAGGCCGGAAGCTTGTGACCTATGGAAGATCCACCAGAGACCAGATCTGTGGAAATGACTCATCCAGCATCTCATCATTTTCTGCAATATTCAATGAGGGTGGAGAGTCAGATGTGTCTTCCAGGTTGAACTCTGTTACCAACACTGAAGAGCAGCAACAGTTGAACAAGAATAGAGACCTTCGATCCCCAATCACTCAGCTTTCTGGCGTGGAAGGTTCCAAAAAAAACACCGATGAAAATATATATGACCTTCCATCTAGTGACGGGATGGAAGATCATGGGAAAGGCAAAAAAAAGCGCAGGAAGCTTGTCTCTGATCCACAAAACCAGCCGACCCAAAAGCCTACCGTCCGCAATGTCCGTGGTAACTCTCAGCTCGATGTTTCTGCTGGCAGTCATGAAACCAGTAATACTCGTCCGAGGCCTAGAGTCTCTTCTCGAAATCCAAGTCAGACTCGACATCGTGGACGAGAACCATCAACAGCGCATGGTACTAAATGCGACATTCCGAAATCTGCCCAGATAGAATTACACTCAGGCTCTGCTATGCAGCGGTCTTGCATTCCAAATATTAGTCTTGGGGGAAACGATCATCCTGAACGAAATCGGGGCGGCTCAGAAACTTCCCGCTTGCAGTCCTTGCCAGAGATAAATAGAGAGTACGAGGGAACAGTGCCTAGTCGAAGGAGACTGATCGACTCGTTAGATGCGACTAAGAAATCAGTCAAAAAACCATCAACAATTTCTGACTCTGACAATGAAGCAAATTCCGCACAGATTTCTTTTTCCAGTGCAGTGAAGGGAAATAATATGTCATACGTGCAACCCAGACAAATATTGTCTAGTACTACTCTCCACAATACGAGCAACAACCAAGAGTCCACTACTGCAATCCCTGTGGATTCGCGGCGATCTAAAGTTACATATGCACGCCAACGATCCTTCATGGGTGATTTGCAAATCTCTGGAGAACTGAAGGGTCAGGATCGTTTATTATTTTCAATGGATCAAAATCACCCTATCCAGCGACAGCCTACTACTGAAATTATGCCTCGTACCTTTTTGCACATCAATGATGATGAAAATAATGACAGTGGGCCTGTTCGAAGCATTCATGAACTAAGACAGGCTGGGGATGACGCTCGCTTTCGGGGCGCGGTTGATTCCATGTTCGAGGATATAGAAGATCCTTGCAACCCAGGAGCTGGGAAATGCAATAGTTTGGTCCAGTTGTGTATAAAACTTCTGGATTCTCAATTTGCACGTCGCTTTTCTGAACACGGCTTCGAAACGCGACTCGTGGAACATGTCACCAGTAGCCTGGATATTGTCTCAACCTCCTTTGCTTTATGCGGTTATCTGTTGATTTTCGCAGGTCGCTCCATACCTTCTAGAATCTTGGATTCTTTCTGGCCCAGACTCTTGGTTATAGCCCCTAAACTACTCGGCATAAAAGACGATATATTGCCCCTGGTAAAACGTCAATTTGGCTCATCAAAATTTGTTCAAAAGTCCGTTCAAAATTCAATCCCACAATTGTCATCTGCAATTTTTAGTCCACCGCAGTCATCGAAGATTTCCCCATGCTTCCTGGCACTCCGATGCATTCAACTTACCTTGTCAAACTTTCGAAAAGGCGACAGAATTGAACCTGTTTCCAGCATAATACTTGACCAACTCGTTCAATTACTGATAGTGGAAAGCTCAGCTGAGGCAGCAAATTTTCTATTGTCACCAGAAGACTTCCATATTTTGGCCTTGGCGTTTTCAATATTGGAATCCTATACAGTTCTATCAGGCACATTGGCATATGGATACCGTGACTCGTTTAAACCGCTTTCCCGACTTTCCAATTTTCTTGACATGAGTTGGTATGGCTTTAATGACCGAGGTCGACCAATTTTGGCTCTTTATATTCGGGTGATTCTGAATATCACCAACAATGATTCGTCGCTTTGTAGCGAGTTTTCTACGCCTGGAATAGTCGAGGGGCTAGTCAATATCATTACAACAGAAACCCAGGATGAATCTGAGGATTTCCTTGCCGAAGAAAACAACTCGCTGAATACCGTGATTTTGGCTCTTGGGGCTCTTATAAACTTGGCAGAGAAAAGTGAATCATCGAGAGCCGTCTTTCTAAATCCGGTCTCCCCAACCTTCCTTCAACTGCTATTGCGACAGTTTTTTGCTGGAATTAACACCGTCCCAAAGGTAAGATATAAACAAGACCTTTTCTCCTTTACAGTGGGTATGTACCCCTTTATCGACACAGTCTGACTGAATCCAGGCCCATTCTGTTCTCGAAGTCCATCATAACGTTGCCATTGGATATTTATCGACACTTTTAGTAACGCTTTGTTTAAATGACGAAGCACGCTCGCAAGTCATGGGGTCTTCACATGGAGAAGGGCTTGCAATAGTCCTATCAACAGCTGATGAATTTCTTCATTACCACCAAAAAGTTGAGCAGGACCACCATCCATTTGAGACAAGTTGTGATAAGATGACTGGGTTCACAACACGCTTAAAAGATATCATCTGTCAAGTTAAAGAGCTTGCAAGTTTTTAAAGTAATATGTGTATACAGTAACAGTCTCAATAACTTTACTTTCTTTATTCTTTTCATTCTGGGGTAAAATGATTTGTTACTATCATTCATTATTTCTAATCATTTTATAAACTAGAAGTAAAGCCTTCCTGTAAAATCATTAAAATATCGTTGCGACAGTAAATGACAAATTTGACACTTCGTCCATGCTTTTTGAAGCTGAAATCTGCAAGTACGGAGTTCTTCGTACCTTATTTTCCAAAGCTGGAGTGACATAATCTTGTTCCACGGAGTTGGTATTCTTCAAGTATGTACTTCTCCGTACTCCGTACTGGCAAAGACCTCCTTGCAATGATTTGCCACATTTCTTGACCGTGTCCAACCATCGCAACCCTCCCCCTTTTCTCTTAGAAAGAATTATCCGAAATACCTTCTTAATTGATATTTAAAGCTGCCGGGCTATTGCTCTAAAGGTTGTTTTTTCATGTTCTCTGTACAGTGCGCCACACATCCTTTTGCTGTGGCTTGAACAAGGAACGACCACACCCAGCCTGCACATTGCAGTCCGTCCTATCATCATTTGAACATCTCTTTACTGAAAAGTGACAAAATGCCTGCCGCCCCTAAGCAGCGGAAAATAGCTATTGTTGGCAGTCGATCTGTGGGTATGGATTTCATTGCTCTGCGTTGAGCAGTTTGGCTTGATTTACCATCTTAAACCAAACCTTGGTATCTACTTCTTCCCACTAATACTAATCATCTCTAGGCAAATCCTCTCTCACGGTTCGCTTTGTGGAGCATCATTTTGTAGAAAGCTATTACCCGACAATTGAAAATACGTTCAGTCGAATCATAAAATACAACGGCCAAGATTTCGCAACAGAAATTGTCGATACAGCTGGCCAAGTAAGTAAAGGCCATGTTCCCAGAAAGAAAAAAAGAGGAAGGGGGAAAATATTAATTAGATGACAGGACGAATACAGCATTCTAAACTCCAAGCATTTCATTGGAATCCATGGTTATATCATCGTGTACTCGGTGACATCTCGCCAGTCTTATGACACGGTGAGGGTTATTCGAGATAAAATATTAAATCATCTTGTGGGTACCTGGTAATCTGCCTGGATGCTTGATATAATGCTGAGATGACATGATAGGGAGCCGACTATGTTCCTCTTGTGGTTGTTGGGAATAAGAGTGACCTCAAATCCGAACAACGGCAGGTCTCTCTAGATGAAGGCAGGCAATTAGGAGAGCAATTCAATTGTGCATTCACTGAGGCCAGTGCTCGCCTTGACTACAATGTGGGAAAGGCCTTTGAGTTGATGATTGGTGAAATTGAGAAATCACAAAACCCTTCACAACCAACAGGGGGAAATAAGTGCGCTATTATGTGACATTGAGCCGGAGATTCAGGGAGACATTACAGACATATGAGCAAAGGGCAACAATCCTTGTCATATAACCCAGAGCCTGCTAATGATGCTCTATTCTCTGAGGAGGACAGCTGTTGCTACTTAGAATTCCCATGTCACGAATTGTCTGCTCGCTTGAAATAACAATGCCTGTCTCCTTTGCCTTTTTCGAATTCCTTCAGCTTGGGCCTGCATTTGTGGTCTCACTTCATCGAGCTCATTCCCCATATTATATGATGTACACCTCTTACATGTTTCTTTCTTTTGTTTCCCCTTTTATGAATGTCAAATTCGGGTGCAGGGTAATAATCATATTGATAATCTCAAAATTTTAATAAAGCATTGACTATGTCTTAATGAGAGTATGAGAAGCTTGGGATAGGTCGGAAGACGGTCCAGGTATCTAATTATTCATTATGGAGACAATACTTGTGAAGTGGATCATGGAATAATAAATTAGATAAGAATACAGGGTACAGAATATAACTACCCCTCTGTAGTCATGTGAAACATTTAGTGAGTGCCCCTCCCTACTTTACTTCCACGCACCAAGGCACTATTATTATTTCCCTAGGCGCCAACCCATTTTTATTACCCCTCTAATTATTGTTACTGGAACCCCGCGAAGTATTCACCCTATTACACATATTTCCTGCACAAACCAGCAATCTCTTCCAACCAGAATCGAATTGCTGGCATTTACTTCTTCCAAGCCTCCCATACCATCTTACGAAAATGTTGGACCTTGCAGATTTCGTTACCGACCGCGGTGGAAATCCCAATAAAATCAAGGAGAGCCAGCGCAAAAGATCTGCTCCCGAGGATGCTGTCGATGGAGTGATTGCCTTGTATGAGGAAGCCCGTCGAGGTAAGTACTTTTTTGATGTGCTTTTGGATTATTGTTAGAAAGCAAATGGAGGAAGACTGATCCTTAGGCATTCACAGCGCGGTATGAAGTAATGCAAATTAACTCTCAACTCAATGCTCTCCTCAAGGAAATTGGAAAGAAAAAGAAGGTCAGTAATTAGGAGTTTCTTATGAATTTTTTTATGCAGTCGGGGCATGAATTAATATCAACTCGTAAACAGAGCAAAGAAGATGCAAGTGACTTGATAGAGCAAAAAGCCGGCTTGGAGAAAGAGAAGAAAGCAGCGGAGGAAATTGCTTCCCAAAAAGAAAACCAGAGAGACAGAATGATCCGAACAATTGGAAATTATGTTCATGAATCTGTCCCTGTGAGCAACAATGAAGTGAGTCTCATTGCTGTATGCCAGAATAAGTCATCCTTGCCTTACTAACGTTTGGTAGGATGACAATGTTGTTGTTAAGAAATGGGCACCGGAGAATGTTGCTGTGGAAAAGCGGAATTGCCTTTCTCACCATGAGGTCCTCACTCGTTTAGATGGATATGACCCAGAGCGCGGTGTCAAGATTGTCGGTCACCGTGGATATTGCTTGACAGGCTATGGTCTTTTTCTAAACCTTGCTCTTATCAACTATGGCTTGGAATTCCTTTGGGGGAAAGGATACAAGCCAAACCAGCCCCCCCAGTTCATGCTCAGGGACCTAATGGCGAAGACAGCTCAATTAGAGCAATTTGATGAGGAGCTGTACAAGGTTTCCGAAAGTGAAGATAAGTCTACTGATAAGTACCTCATTGCTACGTCGGAGCAACCATTGTCTGCGCTCCATGATGGAGAGTGGCTCCAGGATAAAGACCTTCCAATCAAGTGAGGTTTCGATACCCCTCCTCAAGATATTCAAACTAACTGAGAGGCAGATACGCTGGGTACAGTACATGCTACCGGAAGGAAGCCGGTTCTCATGGCAAAGATGCATGGGGTATTTTCCGAGTCCACCAGTTCGAGAAGGTAAGGCCTGATTGTGTTCGAAAATTTATGTTGTCCCGCTGTTTCTCACTTTCCACAGATAGAACAGTTTGTTCTGACTAAGCCCGAAAATTCATGGGAAGCTTTTGATGAAATGATGGCCACATCGGAAGAGTTTTATAGGTCTCTCGGGCTTCCTTTCCAGGTTGTTGCCATTGTTTCAGGGGCACTTAACAACGCAGCGGCCAAGAAGTATGATCTGGAAGCGTGGTTTCCATTCCAGGGCGAGTACAAGGAATTGGTTTCTTGTTCAAACTGTACGGATTACCAATCAAGGGCCCTAGAAATTCGATACGGTACCAAGAAGGCTACTGATGCAAGAAAATCTTATGTTCATGCACTGAATGCCACTCTATGTGCTACGGAGAGAACACTTTGCTGTATACTTGAGAATTATCAAACTGAAAATGTGAGCAATGAGTTTAGCTATGTGATTTTGATATCTTGTTGCTAACAAGTGCAGGGTTTCAATGTCCCGGAGCCTTTGCGAAAATATATTCCCGGAGCTCCTGAATTCCTTCCATACACCAAGGAACTTCCAAAGGACACTACTTCCCACAAGGCCAAAGGAAAGCAGACAACCAAACCTCCGAGTGATCCATCAGAAGCCACCAAGAAACTGCAAGGCCTACAGGTGTGAGGGTCACCACTGGCAGATAGATTGCGAGTTTTGCTGGATCATTCACACTTTGCCCTGCATTACTGATATATCATAGCTATCTTATGTATGTTTTTCTAAGCCCACCCTTCTCTCCAATTCCTTTGTTCCAGGAAATGGATTAAAATGAAATTTTTTTTATAAAAAATTATAAATCAAAAATAAAAAGAATTGAAAACCCTTCAATGTGATTATACGATGGATAATCTTTGTGGAGTTAAGTCACATGGTTTTAGTGCGTGTGTACATGATGTATTCTGTAGTACTTAGTACAGAGTATGACAGCATATGCCGTACTATCCGCACCTTCACTTTTTTGGAGGAGGGGCAAAAAAAAAAAAAAAAAGTGAGAGCAAGGGAGACAGAGACTGGTTCCAGGTTAGTTAGCCCCTCACTACCCACTATGCCTGATGAGTCAATTGTAGTACTACAGATGAGGTCCGATTTCCGGAGAGGTCTTCATTTCCCAATATTATTTCCTTTTTGTCCCCTCCAAGGTAAATCAAATTTATCTTGTCAACTGGTCCATATTTTCACCATACCAAGAGAATTTCGCCATGGCTTCATCAGCTCAAGATATCAATATGAAGTTGTCTAGCTCCCCAACCACTTCCTTTCAATCCCCATCCAGTCATGGGGGGTCTGCTTTGGCCAGTCGATCGATTATCCCTCTATCCAATGCAAAGCATTTGAAGCCATTCGCCACAGAAGACATCAAGGTTTTGCTCCTAGAAAATGTGAATCAGACCGGTCGAGATATTCTCACCCAGCAAGGCTATCAAGTGGAGTTTCTCAAATCATCACTCCCAGAGGACCAACTCATTGAAAAGATCCGGTGAGTTTTAAAGCTGCGAGTAGAGATTTTAGCTAACTGTGATGTCCAAAGTGATGTGCATGTGATTGGTATCCGGTCCAAAACTAAGCTTACAGCTCGTGTATTGAAAGAAGCCCGCAACCTTATAGTCGTGGGGTGTTTCTGCATTGGGACAAACCAAGTTGACCTCCAGTATGCGGCAGACCATGGAATTGCAGTTTTCAATTCGCCATTCAGCAATTCTCGCAGTGTCGCCGAACTAGTCATAGCTGAGATTATTGCTCTCGCCCGCCAGCTTGGTGACCGTTCTAATGAAATGCACAACGGTACTTGGAATAAAGTTAGCAACAAATGCTGGGAGGTTCGTGGGAAGACTCTGGGTAGGTAATCATGTTTATGTTTGCCATTGTGAATTGTGTCTCATGCGCGGTGACAGGTATCATTGGATATGGTCACATCGGTGCCCAGTTATCTGTACTAGCAGAGGCAATGGGTTTGTCGGTGATTTTCTATGATGTAGTGAACCTGATGGCATTGGGTACTGCTCGCCAGGTGCCAACCTTGGAGGCACTCCTTGCCGAATCGGATTTTGTTACATGCCATGTTCCAGAGCTCCCAGAAACCCAAAACATGATAGGGCCGCAGCAATTCGAACAAATGAAAAACGGCAGCTACCTCATCAATGCTAGCCGAGGAAGCGTTGTGGATATTCCTGCCCTGATTCACGCAATGCGATCTGGCAAGCTTGCCGGAGCTGCGCTCGATGTGTACCCGAATGAACCTGCTGGGAACGGCGATTACTTCAACAATGACCTTAATGGATGGGGCGCGGATCTACGAGCACTCAAGAATTTGATTTTGACTCCTCATATTGGAGGAAGCACTGAAGAAGCTCAAAGTGCCATCGGTGTTGAAGTCGGCCAGGCTTTGGTGAGATATGTCAATGAAGGTACCACTTTGGGTGCTGTAAATCTCCCTGAAGTTGCTCTTCGTTCCTTGACCATGGATCAACCGAATCATGCTCGGGTAAGTTGGCCTTTACTGGAGCTATGGAGCTATTCATGTCCGGAGCCGTGGCTAACTTGACTACAGGTGATTTACATTCACCAAAATATTCCCGGTGTTTTGCGGAAAGGCAGGTTTCAAATATGGTTTAAAATCGGACATCGCTAACTTTCCTCAGTGAACGAGGTTCTGGGCGACCACAATGTTGACAAGCAGATGACGGATAGCCGAGGTGATGTATGTTTTGATTTCTATTGGCTGGAGCAGAACAGAAGTAACCATATCTAGGTGGCCTATTTGATGGCTGACATTAGCAACGTCGACACTACTACGATTAAAGACCTCTATGAGAGGCTGGAAAGTCTCTCCTGTATGTCCCCTTAGTTGTTTGTATATACACATGCACACGCACACAGTACTAACCTCATGTCTACCTAGCTCGAATTATGACACGCATATTGTACTAGATGTTGTGGCATCAGTGAATACCGCGTCGCAAAAGAGAAATTGTCATTATCGTCAGCTATCGATCTCAATTATTGTGTTGCGTTTTGTCCCCTCCTTGTTCTCTTTAACCTAATTTTGCCTTGCTCTAAATAGACAAAAGGAAGATAAGGAATGCAGGAAATATATGTGTGTTCCGGCTTCGGTTTAGGATCCCTCAACGGATCTACGCTAATGAGAGGGAGTAGAGGAAAGAAAAAAGAAAAAGTATTTGTTATGATGTATACTGCCTCGGTTATAGGGTTTCGATTTACTCTCACTTTTTTTCTTTTTTCTTTTTTCTTTCTTTCTTTCTTTCTTTTTTTTTTTTTTTGGTGGGTATGTAACTGCTCCAGACAATGGGGAAGTTAGGAAGACATTAGTTTTATTCTAGGTGGTCAAAGGTGCTATTAGTTGTTCAACAACTATATTCCAAGTAAAAGATGATACAATGCATAATATTTTGTTGAACACCACTACCCCGTCCCAAACAAAAGAGCAAAAAAACATCGATTGGACCACTGAGTTCAATGTTTTCTTTCATTCAACCACTCAATATTCTATCGACGCCTTGACCCCCAGTCTTTCACGTTTGGGCTTCGACTCCGCCTCCTGGTGGTGTGGTCACGTTGGTAATCTCGTCTGTTTGGCTGCTCCAGTCTAGCATCACGCCGATCAGTGTTAAGTCCTGAGTAATCTACATCCCTGTCTCGAACGCGCTCGCCAGTGTCGCTGTAATTCGGAACATAAGAATCCAAATTCCCATCTGGCCGTCCGCCATAACGGCCTTGACGACTCCTATCCCGCCCTGCTCTTCCATGATTCCCGCTCCAAGGTTGGTACGCAGTCACGGGGGGTTTAGGTGGTAAGCCAACTTCTCTTTGCCAGCCTGGGAAAGATTGATTTAAGTCTTCGTTCCCTTGCCTTGTTCGCGACGGTTGCATCTCACTAACTCGATTGTCAAATGTTCGTCGTAAATTGCCGTAGCTTTCTTGAGAATTCGATTTTCCTGCACGTGCAGCACCCGGAATGCGACTATTGCGATTTTCCACTCCTGTTCGCGCCCCGGAATTTGTAGACCACCCTCCGTTGGGGCCCATGCCAACTGATCCTCCTGCAGGAGCTGGAGGCATTGCTCGTTGTCCACGAAACTTTCGCCTATCAAGTTCATGAGAATCCTCAAAATAAGGTAGCTCACCCGGGCGCGCTGGAAGCGGTGTACTAAAAAAATAAGGGTGTTTTAATGCATCAATGGCATTTATTCTTTTACGCCAATCAAGCTTGAGAAGTTCGCTCAGCAATGATATAGCCGTGGGGCTTTGACTGTTGCAACGTTAGACACTTTCCCAGATCAAAAGACATGCTCCCACACACCCTCCTTTATTTTGTCGGTCTGGGGGTTTGGCTTAATAAAGGAGGGCTGGGGAAGAAACTATACCCTTTGAATGCTTCGGGTAAATTTCCCTGTTTATATCCAAAGCTCTTAACACCTTCACAACCTGGAAGTGAACCCCAACCAGGCATATTCTCTTCAGTGGGGGTGCCCACAAGATTGAAAATGAGCTGTGCTTGGTTAAGATCACTGCTGCCTGCAAGTATGGGTTTTCCTTTGAACATTTCGCCGAAAACACATCTAGACATGTCAGTAATAAAAACACTATTATTGACAGAGAGAGTTACCCAACACCCCACATATCTATAGCCGTTGTATAGCGTCGAAGCTGGAGCAGAAGCTCAGGCGGGCGATACCATCGCGTCACAACAAGCGTAGTATAGTCTCTTTTTGCTTCACCACCGCCCTTTCCAGGTTGAGGCGGCGGTTCATCATACGGCCGTGCCAGTCCAAAGTCGGCAATCTGAAGAATTCCTTTGTTGCTGATCAGCAGATTTGCAGCTATAGAAAAGTCAGCTAAGGAAGCAAATCCTGCACTGTGTGTGGGACTAGCCTTTCATATCACGATGAAGGATGCGATTCTGCCAAAAGTTAAAACCTATCTCTCAACATAATTTGCAGGAAGAGCCCTACCCCATGCAAGTATCTGAGTCCCTCAAGAAGTTGCAACAGATAACATTTGATTTGGGGTTCAGTAAAACGAACTGCTGGGTTTTCCAAAAGCCCTGAGAGATCATGTTCCATGTATGGCGTGACCATGTACATGCTTGGCTTTTTTCGTCCTTCGCCTTGCGAGATGTCAGCAGAAGCTGCTAATACTTCTTCACCACCAACCTTTGCTTCTCTCCACGGCCATCTCTTTGAGTTGAAGGATATTAGGATGGCAAAGCATTTTTAAGAGTTTAATTTCACGGAGAGCAGTTATAGGAAACTGAGGAAGTGATTAGTTAGAACAATCCATGACACATCGAAGCGTTCTTACTCCATCCTTCTCATTGTGCATGAGAATTTTTTTCAAAGCAACAACAGAACTGTCTTTTTTCAATCTTGCCTTGTAAACCTCACTATATCAATGTTAATATATAGGAACTACATATATAATATATTCCAAAGTACTTACCCAAATGTTCCTTCTCCAAGCTTGCCTAGAAACTCAAAATCACGAATATTTGAGCAGCCATGAAATCGAGTATGACCGTTGCTACTCCGTTCAAGCGAAGAGGCAACCATTTTTTCCTAATCAACCTGCACGAAGCAGTTGACAACCTCCAAATTCCAGAGCACTCCTATGGAAAATTAATAGGGGACATATGCTTTTGAACAAAAGGGTTTTTTAACCCCTTTAAGAACCGTCGAGTGAGACAAAACAAAGGTGTTAGCACGGCAGTTACAGATGTGGCCGGCCTAAGATAGAGCCCTGTTAGTTTCCTTCCAATCCTCAAAGAGTCCTAGTATAAGGATATTGCGAGGAGGGAATGGAGAAGAAGAGTGAAAGGAGGTGTTTAGAGGCGAGAAATCGTGTATCCCGTGTTAGCGTTGCGCGCAGCTAGAATCCGATCATGATGTCAAGTGATCTGAATTAAAGGACGGACCGATAGGTAGCGTTGTGGCAGCAGTTCACATTTTAGAGAAAACCCTGTATGTTGGTTTTTAACAGAATCATATCATGAAAACCAAGGCACCTAGTTAAAAAAAAATTGTCTTCGAAGAACGCTTGTACTTCAATAGTGCCCCTGTACTACATACGGAGGGCGGCGTAACTCCGGCAGACATAGTCACGTGGGTATACTTGCTGAGTGATAAACGTTTCCTCCTCCCATCTTATGGATTTTGGCTGCCTTGATAACGGTACAGGTTTGCTTTGCAAGATTGAAACAGTATGTGCTTACTACTATCCTCTAGCGATATATATCCCCATTCATATTACTGTATCTATCCAGTAAAGCTAACAGGCGATGTAAACAGACATGGCTGCGAACCATCCAATCCACATTCATCCGGCACGGCCGCTCTATCGCTTTACAGCAACTGCTCTAGGTGCTAGCATGTGGTTCTTTGTAAAGTTTCCCAATTAATTTCTTCCCACTCAACGGACGTTGCTAACTTCAGTGTTTTCTATAAAGCTAATGTACCGTGCCAAAAAGGATGGACCGGCTTTGCTGGGATGGAAACACCCCTGGGATCATTGATTGAACTTCGAAGGGTCTAATCGTGATGTTGTATTTCTCAATTGCATCGGTAACATGAATGTTATAGTCACGCCAATGGAGGAATGCATGCATTTTTTTCGGGGTCAAAAGCTATCAGATAACATAATACTATTTGATAAGTTGTCGTCGCAAGCAATTGATGGAGCCATGGGGCCGTCACTGCCAGCTTCTAAGAGCTCTTCAGTTGTATGAAGGAGTTCGAATCATTTTCACTTCTGCATCTCTTCGAGTAATACTTTGTACTGACGGCGCTGCTTGCGATGATCAGGCCGCAACCATACATACGCACGCCCAAATGCTCGGGCAAGGCGGGGGAAAAGTTGTTGCTCGGCTACCCAAGAAAGCAGAAAGGTACTAATAGCAAGAGCAAATAGCCAACCTTCAAACCTGACCGACAAATACGTCAATTGCATAACTTCAGTCACCCATTCAGATGGCCCGAAGAGCATGTAAACTGAAAGCAGTAAATCCATGACTATGGTAAAGAGAAATGGTGCTAGAAAATAGTCAGTGTCTAGTTTTCCAAAGGAAGATGTTGTAACTAACTATTCGATCTCATTGGCTTCCGGAAGGGCGACCCCACGCTGAGTGTAATACTGGTCAAAATGTACTGGAAACAAGAGACTAAAAAGAGTGTTGTGTTCTGGGAGTTCTCGATGTTGGGCTTTTCCAAGTCCACTTGAGGTGCCTTGAACCTTTTTTGAGAATTAGAAGATGCGTTGCAAAATATTTCACGATATCAACTTACCATGGCTGTGATTCAACCATCTTATATGCGACTAGCTGGCTCGACACGCAAATAATGATCTGCCCAAGCAATGGCGTCAAGACCTTCCGTGATACAAGATCAGCAGTCGGTCTTTTTCGAGAAAGTACTGGATAGGGACCCGTCCAGCCCACTTTGAAATTAATCAGCATAGCCTATATAAGAAGCTTTTGAATACTTACTGAATATAGCGATTGGCAAGATAAGCAGTAGATCAATAAATAAAAACTAAATAATTATTGATCAGTTATCAAGACATTTGCTTTGAAAGCAACTTCTTAGTTGAATTACCTGGAAATCACCAAGGTTTGATGCCGATTTATAGAGGAAGCTGACGGTAGAGAACTGAATTGCGGAATAAAGGCTCATGTATTTGAAGCAGCAAAAACTTGTGACTAATGCAGCACGGCCCTCCCTGTAACGCATTAATAGACAACATTGGACGGTAAAAGAGGGGAGGCAAATACTTGATCAAAGTTGGGACACAGGATATTTCAAAGTTGCGGCTTGTAAATGGAGCAGCTACAGATGCTTCAGCATCAGATAAGGAGATACCGACATCTGCAGCTTTCAGTGCTCCACAGTCATTTGCACCATCGCCACAGAACCCGCAGCAGTAATCAAGGGATTGCAGTTTTTCAACAAGTTCGTGCTTCTCGTCAGGAGACATCCTAGCAAATACATTCGCACGCACAAGCATCTATTGGGATTAGAAAATGTGACAATTGGGGGACAACCAAAGGAAGGGCGGTTTGAGGGAGACATACTCTCCTGAGTAAAGTTTCACTTCCGAAATCCACTATCCATCTGAACACATCACCACTGACAGCAAGCGAATATTTATGCATATTGTAAACATTGCCAGGCACAGATAAATCGACATTTGCCGAGGGCTGCGAAAGCTATAATCTATTAGCTAATATCTCGTTGGGTTGGCTCCGAGCCCATACCATAAGGCTATTCTCATCAAGTTTCAATTCTGAATCATCGGTACTTTCCCAGCAGAGAGAGGCCTTCGGGTCATGATGGTGACCTAAAATATCCTGTTAGACAAAAGTAAAATGATATTTTTTGAGAACAAACCTTGCACAAAATGGGGAATGAAGCATGATTCATCTTGTTTGACCAGGCCACATTCGCGAGCAACACTGACCGCAGTCAGTATGTTATCTCCAGTACACATAATATTCCGTATTCCTGCTTGGTTCAATTCAGTAATAACATTCGCCGTACTTGGCTTCAGTTTATTCTCAAATATAATAAATCCAATGAATGCTAAGTTGCATTCCACGTCTGCGCGTGTCATCTTTTGAACTTTCATCCAGCTTAGTTTCCGTTCATATTTAGCAGCACAAGCGATGACACGATAGCCTTTGTGGGTATATTGACTGAGTAAATCTTCAAAGTCGTATGGTACTAAAACATGTTAGTTAGTATTAATGGCAGACTGGCTTTATCTTACAAGTTTCTGGTAGACATATAGCCTTCACACTCTCTGGTGCTCCCTTGACATAGAAACTCGCACCACTGTCGCCAAATTGCCTAACTATCACACTTGCACGGCGGAGTTGAGAAACGAACTCGAAACTCCGTAAGATACCAAGCTCTATTGCAGTCTGCCGTGTGGGCTTTCGTTGGTCTCAGTTACCATAACCCTCAGATATTCAAAAGCGAGGTAGGTAATACTTACACTTGAATTTCCGCGCTGGTGACTTTCCTGGGCTGCTGGAACAGGTGGTTTCGCAATGGATGGAATTATCGTATCGAACTTGGAATTTGGTTCTTCGGAAATATGACTCCCACCCTCCTCGTATGACCAGCGAGTGAATTGAAACATTTTCACATCAAGGGGATCTCCTAGGATCTCACCGTCCACGATTCTCAAAGAATGACATGTTGCCATTGTGTATATGATGCTTTTCCATTTCTCAGAGTTAAAGGCAATATTATCTGAGACTGACGCGGAAGTTGGGAAAACAAGGGGGACTTCAAACGAAAGTTCGGACAATCTATCGCGTCGGTTAGTATATATAAATCCATGGAATGAGATAGCTATACCTCATCTCGTGATTCACAGTCCGGACCCCGAGCACATCCAATCCGTCTTCTGTAAGTGTCCCTGTTTTATCGAAACAGACAATATCCAGCTTGCCGCCTACATTGACTCTGGGTGGAGGGGGTGTTAGGCGCATTTAGCCAAGAATACACACTGAGACAGAGAAACACACTCACTTTTGCGGGCTAATACAAAATATTTTGTGCTTTTTCAGCCGAGAGAGTGCAAAATTGGTACCGATTGTTAACGTGGCCGGTAAGGCTGGTGGGACAACAATTGTAATCAAGTCGAGAGCCCTGACAACAATTGTACGCCATGAAAGCTAGCGGTTGTTAGACCTTGTTGGAGGCAGTGGCTGATTGAAGATTGAGCTTACCCCGAGACGAATGAAGTTTACAAATGATGCCACGAACCCTAGGATAGCAATACCACCCATGACAGATATGTAGCGGAAGGAATCGCGATAGAATTTGAACCCAGAGGGCTTAGGGAAGAGCATGGAGCGAACAAGAGCTCCCTTTGTTGTCAAAAAGCCTGTTCTCACAACAACCGCCAAAGCAATAGCCTCATCATCAACATTCTGTGGACGCCTTGCTCTGATGATTTTCGTTCCACTGAAAAGAAAATGCTTTGCAACATTCGGATGAATAGATGGGGCGCTCAGATCAAGATAATCAAGTCCATCATCTGTAAGAGGTGTCTTTGATACAGGTACGGATTCACCTCATTCTCAGTCAGAACCTTTTTTACAAAACATAGATATGGCACCTTATTACAAACCTGTGAGCATGCTCTCATTCACAATACAATCTCCAGACAATAGCAAACAGTCGCATGGAACCTGACTTAGGGATGGATCGGAAAATTCAAACACATCACCAGGTACCAATTCTCTCGAGAGAACAGAGCGCCCTTCAGCAAGACGTATTAAAATTTCAATTCGAGTTGCGGTGCTAAGGAAATGGCAACTTACAAAACCCGTTTCTCAACACGCGAATGTAGCACTCGAACAGAGAGATAGATCTCAGCCGATGCATGGTCTGCATCTGGGTAAGTAGTTGTGCTATAATTTAAGCCAAGGTGTGTCATACCGATCTTGTTTCAAGGACAGTCGCACCGATGCTGAAAATAGAAATAAGAAATATACAGACGGCGTAATAATAATATTCGTCCAAAGACCAAAGGACAAGACTGGCAATTTGGAAAATGTAGAATGGATGAAAAGCCTTTGCTCATGAGAATATATCCCAAATGGATTTAAAGGAAAATGACACTTACTTCATCCATAAGAAGCTGAGCGATTGGTTTTTGTTCAATATCGATGAGATTAGCCCCAAAAACCTGCTCTCGGCTATCGCGATCATCAGCATCCAACCCACTTCTCATTACCTTGACGTTCGTCCACAAAGGGTCTTTCCAGCCACTAATAAGTAAGAACCTGTCTTCTAATGGGTTGTAAAAGAAACGCAGATATCTGTAATTAATGCAACGTAGCGAAGATATAGCCGGGTCATTGTATTCGTCATATATATAGCTCTGAGGATCTGCAAAAACTGTAGAAAGAGGCCGTCCGTATGGTTGACTGGAAACGTCGTGAACAGTGAATTGGTTCCATTGATCCTGCATACTGCCAGTTAGAACGATACTTTCACCAGTGGAAATAGCTCACCTCAATGGCGACCCATTCACATTTCCGTAGCGATGTTGGCTTTCCTATCAGTCGTACTCGCCATCTTGGTAACCATCGAAACAGGAGGTAAGCGAAGCCAAGAGTCACAATACATAAAACAGTGTAGATGGTAAATCCACCCAAGCTTGTAGAGAACCCTGCAAAAACAGCAGTCAAATCTTCTGATGCGATGTATATTTTTTGGTTGAGCCTGCTATCAGCTCTTCGATCTCCGGCATAGGAGCCAGTGGAAACGCGCCGAGGAAGAAGGGGATCTTCAGCTGGATCTCTAGAATAAGACGGCTTTTTGGACCCGAGGGAAGATCTGTTAGTTTCCAAGTTGGCTTCACTGATTTCATCAGAAGATAATGCTTCAAATTCATTTTCGGAATCTACGGCCTCTTCGTTCGAGCCTTCAATAAAATCCTCCTCATCTTGAAAATATGTAAAACTGACGGTAGAGCCTTTTCGACCACGGCGGTGAGAAAAAGATACGATGCTTGACGGAATGCTCTCTGAGATGGGCCCATCGAAAACCTATCAAAGTTTGGTTATGTTCATGTCACACACACTGGTAAATGCTGATGGCAAGTCACACCTCATTGCGGGCCATCTCGACATCCGACACGACACTCAGGCTAAAGAATTATCAGCAATGCTTAAGCTAGGATATTTCAATTGGTTCAAAAACCTGCTTCTCATAGAGTCGCGTCGATGGCCGACTCTGGCCGTCGAAAACTCAACCGGCTGGTTCACTATTGGTGACTGTCTAAAATTCTCCATGGCGTTATATGGCAGCTACAGCATATAGGTTCGCGTATTTTGTCCAATCTGGATGTACCCCTTCGTCAAATCGTCCCAGGGGTCGGGAAATCAGCGGTAGATGGTCGACTAGGGACGTGCAACTGAAACCATTCTAACAGGGTCTCTTGAAATGGTATTGAGATTAAAGGTGAGTATCTTTCATAGGAAGTGATTAAAACGCAATCCAAAATAAAAACCCAAGATCCAGCGGCAAATTGGGCAGATAGAACGTTTTTGCAAGTAAAATGATAAATTAATATTGAAGATCAAGAGACATGCATGTGCTCCCGGAATGGTATCTTTATCTACACGTGACCCCAGATTCCATGTGTTTGATCAACCCCAGACGATTAGTTAGGTATTATTAATTGAAGTGTAAGGTATCAAATCTTGAAGTGGTATAGTACTAGGTAGGAACTATCTTACGAGTGTCCGCTGTGGGTAACGGATCATATTAATATTCTAATTTATTACCTACAGAGTACATAGGTAGTCACCTAATATATTCAGCATAGATACTACGGAGTACGGAGAACCTAGCAGAGAAACAGCCCCTCAGAATAATTACCAAATATACCTAGGTATGTGCCCCCGCCATACCTAGGTCCATAGGGCATGGAGTATACATTACGCGGATTCCATATCTACCTACCTCACTAAGGTACGAGTGAGGTAGGTTCTCTCTAAGGTACCTTATGGTTTTGTCTATTCTAATTAAGATAGCATCTAAGACTTTGCAGTGACGGTTCAAGGTTAAGTGAGTAATAAACTAATCTATGAAGACAAATTAATTATTTTGAATAGGGTAAAATCAACTTTCTTCTCTTTACCATTGACAGAAAGGTGTCTTAGTAGCAAAGAAAAGTTACACACAAGCAATTTCCTGAGAGGTACTTGGTCTAGGTAGTCTTGACAGAATAGAATGAATATAGAGATAGCACACCACACGCTCGGGTCGGGTACTACTGTAGTAACCTTAGATCACCTTCAGTTTTAGTTGGTGTAATATATTAATAGTTAATTAAGAATCATTACAGTATTGTTGGGAGCGTACGTACTCCGTACAGTAGTCCAAAAAGGTTCTCAACAGCCAGCGTCCTCGTCCCGCCAAGCCCCTCGGCCCAAGGGCGCTAAGGATCCCACCAAGCCAGTAATCCAGACCTCCCAAAACTACTGAGGCGTATCAAATTCTTCCTCAACTCTTGACACCCTATTTTTTCCCCTTCGCAACAACCTTCAGTACCGCTTCTTTCTATTCTGATCAGCCTTCCGCTATGTCTGAACCCATCAGAAATAAGAAGACGGATTTTCCCGTTGCTCCGTAAGTGTCTTTAAACCTTTCCCAGTTGTGCTACATTTCTCGCATATTATGAGTTGACTGAGTATTGACAACTTCTTGTTGAGCACAGGACACCACAAAACACGCCGGCAAATAATGCACCCATCTCTTCCCACGCCCAACAGCCTGGCGTTTCTAGTATCAAAGAAGGTAATTTGGTGTCTTCCCCTCATTGCTCGGTTTTCCGTCGGCCACTTTCTAACCTCCCACTAGAATCTTTGGACCATGCCACTGCAGCCTCTCTCTTTGCCAGGAATCCCGCTCTTGTATCCATGATTCAAGGAAAGTTGGGTTCACTCGTTGGGCGCTCGTCTGGCTATATCGAATCTCTTCCCGTATCGGTCCGCCGTCGTGTCGCTGGTCTGAAGGGTATTCAGAAAGAACATGCTAAATTGGAAGCCCAATTCCAGGAGGAGGTGCTGGAACTTGAAAAGAAGTACTTCGCCAAATTCACTCCTCTTTACCAGAGACGTGCCACGATCGTAAATGGGGCCACGGAACCAACTGATGGTGAAGTCGACGCGGGTAATGAAGAAGAAGAGGAAGACGCAGAGGCCAAAGCAGGAGAAGAACAGTCAAAGAAGGATGAGGAAAAGGAATCTGCGACATCTGGCATACCAGAGTTCTGGCTTTCCTCAATGAAAAATCAAATTTCGCTCGCAGAAATGATCACCGAGCGGGATGAAGAAGCTCTGAAGCATCTCACCGACATCCGTATGGAATATCTTGATCGCCCTGGGTTCCGTCTCATCTTTGAATTCTCAGAAAATGAGTTTTTTACCAACAAGACCATCTCAAAGACTTATTATTATAAAGATGAGAATGGATATGGCGGTGATTTTATTTACGATCATGCTGAGGGTGCCAAGATTGACTGGAAGACCGAAAAAGACCTCACAGTCCGTGTCGAGAGCAAAAAGCAGAGGAACAAGAGTAAGTTAGGCAAATATTGAGCCAAAGTAGGCAAAGCTAATTTTTTCTAGACACAAAGCAGACTCGCGTTGTCAAGATTACTGTCCCAACAGAGTCTTTCTTCAATTTCTTTTCTCCCCCCCAACCTCCGACGGACGATGATGACACCGTTGCTACCGATATCGAAGAGCGCCTCGAGCTTGACTATCAGCTTGGAGAGGATATCAAGGAGAAACTCATTCCCCGCGCGATTGACTGGTTCACTGGCGAAGCTCTTCAATTTGAGGAATTGGGGGATGACATCGACCCAGAAGAATTTGATGACGAAGACGATGAGGAGGAGGATGACGATGACGATGATGACGATGATCGGAAATCAGACCAAGATGTTGAAGAGGATTCCGATGAAGAGGTATTTGGCTCTAAACCCAATCTATACCTCGAGTGGTTGCTAATCCCAGCTAGGATGGTACCTCCAAGCCAAAGAAGGAGGCAGCAGAATGCAAGCAAAGCTAAGTATTGTGACTGGAGGAGTCTTGCTACAACTATGCTTGAGCAAGTGAAATTTAAATCCAGACCGTACTGCTGCCCATCAATTATTGGTTTGTAGTGGGATGACCTTTCTGTTTACATGCTTTTTTTCTAATAACTGATTTGTTCTACACTTGTCCCCTAAATTTGTTCTTTTTAATTTTCTTTATTAATTATCTGCACTTCAGCATAGTGTGTATGGCACTTGCTTTGCTTGCTCTGTTTGATGGATGCAAGATGGAAACTCCGTATTCACTGGGCTCCTTGGCGACACAGGGTAAATTACCTCTATCCCACCAGATCTTCGGGTTCTTAATTTGCATTTTCTGTTTTCTATTCTCTTCCGCCCCTTCCTTTTTGTCTTTGTTTCTTTTCCTTACCCTTAAAATGTCGGCGGCGTGTGGAGTACGCTTTTATTTGTTAGGCAGTCTTCTACTGTTATGCAACAATCTATTTATGCCCTTTAAGACACCAAATCCAATAACTAGGTCAGGTTACGTTGTTTTCCATCCTAGTTCAATACTGCAGGTTTGTACCATGTGCAACTATATGTATGCCAACAATAACTACCTACTTGGGAAATGTAAGTTTAGTAATACAGATAAAGTGCCTCACAACATAATACCTAGTAAATATGTTATATGTTGATATCTTTAAGACCCCTTTTTATAAAATGCTATATTATGCAGTTACTACCTAATACCTGCCTACCTTAGGTAAGGTACGGTGTGCACTCAAATTGATCGTTGATGTGTCCTAAATCTTGGCGTTGACAACTGTGGGTTTCATTCAGACAAGTGGCGCGGCTCCCCAGGCTCAGGGGCTGCGGGCCTGCGGCTCGCTAATGGCCAGCTGTTAGCCAGTTCAATAATATATTTCCCCTTGGGTAAAACGACATGCTTTGCTCCTACAAGGAAGTAAACGAATGTTGGATGCAGAGAAAACCACTTCCTTCTAAAACCCAGTACTCGACTGCCAGATTTATTACTCTAAATGCCTACAGTACCAAACATATTGGTTCGTCGGTCGTCCGCATAGGCACCCTGGTTTCGGTCACGTTTGAATCGACGGTATCAGTGGATTAGTCCACACGGTCTTGATGGCACACAATTACGAGGTCGGGACGAGGGCCTGGCAACCTGATCCTACTGAGGGATGGGTCGCGTCCGAGGTGAAGGAAAAGTTAGTTGATGGAGACAAGGTGCAACTTGTGTTTGTGTTGGAAAATGGAGAGGTTCGTCTGAAGCTTCTCGCTGCGTGTCATGCATCTGATATTCGCCGCGGTAATTGATCGACTGACATATTTTTTGCTCGAGAAGTCGAGAGCCTTTGAAACCACTCAAGCCGAGTTACAGGTGGACAACAACCCAAAATTACCCCCGTTGATGAATCCTGCTATGCTCGAAGCCAGCGAAGACCTCACGAACTTGTCCCATCTGAATGAGCCTGCTGGTTTGTATGCCCTCTGAAAAGATGTTTCAGTTCAAGGCTAATGGTATCTTTAGTTCTACAGGCTATCAAACTTCGTTATGCTCAAAAAGAAATATATACATACAGTGGCATCGTTCTTATCGCGACTAACCCTTTTGCCCGGGTAGACTCACTCTATGTCCCACAAATGGTGCAAGTTTATGCTGGAAAACATCGAGCTTCACAGGCACCCCATCTTTTTGCCATTGCAGAAGAGGCATTCGCGTAAGGATTGACTTCTTTCTCTCGCCTCACTCGGATTTTTTACTCACATGTTACAGAGACATGTTACGAGACAAAAAGAACCAAACCATTGTGGTCTCAGGGGAGTCGGGTGCTGGAAAAACCGTCAGCGCTAAGTACATCATGCGTTATTTTGCGACTCGTGAGTCCTCGGACCAACCCGGCAAGTACACCACGAGTAGAGCAGATGCGATCAGCGAAACTGAAGAGCAAATTCTGGCAACAAACCCAGTTATGGAAGCTTTCGGCAATGCGAAAACAACTCGTAATGACAATTCTTCGCGGTTCGGGAAATACATCGAGATCATGTTCGACGAGAAGACCAATATCATTGGTGCAAAGATCAGAACATATCTTCTAGAAAGATCGCGATTGGTGTTCCAGCCTCTAAAGGAACGAAATTATCACATATTCTACCAGCTTGTGGCTGGTGCAACGGATGCACAGAGACAAGAACTCGGTCTTGTCTCGGTCGAGGACTTCGATTATCTCAGCCAAGGTGGAACGCCGACTATTGATGGCGTTGAAGACAAGACTGAATTCAGCGCGACGAGAAAGTCCTTGACAACCATTGGTGTACCAGAAAAAACGCAAGCTGAAATATTTCGTGTTCTTGCAGCTTTGCTGCATCTAGGAAATGTTAAAATTACAGCTACGCGCACGGACTCTTCTCTGTCATCATCTGAGCCTTCCCTCGTCCGCACCTGCGAACTGCTTGGAATCGATGTCAATGAGTTTGCAAGATGGATAGTCAAAAAACAGCTGATAACAAGAGGGGAGAAAATCACATCAAACCTTACACAGCAGCAAGCAACTGTTGTTCGTGATTCAGTTGCAAAATTTATCTACTCCAGCTTGTTTGATTGGCTTGTGGAAAAAATCAACTGCGGCCTAGCGACTGAAGCAGTTCTAAACCGGGTCATGTCCTTCATCGGTGTTCTAGATATTTACGGATTTGAGCATTTCGCTAAAAATTCGTTTGAGCAGTTCTGTATCAACTACGCTAACGAGAAACTACAACAAGAGTTTAACCAGCACGTCTTCAAACTTGAGCAAGAGGAATATGTACGAGAACAGATAGATTGGACGTTTATTGACTTCTCGGACAACCAACCCTGCATCGACCTAATCGAAGCAAAACTTGGAATTCTAGCTCTCCTGGACGAGGAATCTCGGCTACCTATGGGCTCTGACGAGCAATTCGTGACTAAGCTTCATCACAATTTTGCTGCGGATAAACAGAAGTTTTATAAAAAACCTCGATTCGGCAAATCTGCCTTCACCATTTGTCACTATGCTGTTGACGTCACGTATGAGTCCGATGGCTTCATTGAAAAGAATAGGGATACTGTCCCGGATGAACACATGGAAATCCTGCGCAATTCTTCCAACGGGTTTATAAAAGAGATTCTGGATACAGCCGCTGCTGTTCGCGAGAAAGACTCGGCCTCTATTTCATCCAAGCCAGTTGCTGCTCCGGGGCGCAGAATCGGTGTTGCCGTTAACCGCAAACCTACGCTTGGTGGAATATTCAAGTCATCTTTGATTGAACTCATGAGTACAATAAACTCCACGGATGTGCATTACATACGTTGCATCAAGCCCAATGAGGCAAAAGAGCCTTGGAAATTTGAAGGCCCAATGGTCCTCAGTCAGTTGAGGGCTTGCGGTGTGCTTGAGACTGTGAGGATTAGCACTGCGGGTTATCCTACTCGCTGGACCTACGAGGAGTTTGCCATCCGCTATTACATGCTGTGTCACTCGTCACAGTGGACATCTGAAATCAGAGAAATGTGCCATGCCATTTTGCAGAAAGCACTCGGTGATGGTAGCCACCAGAAACAAGATAAGTATCAATTGGGATTGACGAAAATATTCTTCCGCGCAGGCATGCTTGCCTTTCTCGAAAATCTTCGGACTTCAAAGTTAAATGAATGTGCGGTGATGATCCAGAAGAATCTGCGGTGCAAGTATTATCGGCGCAGATATCTTGAGGCTCGTACATCTATTCTCACAACTCAAGCTCTAGTCAGGGGGTTTTTGGCAAGGCAGTATGCAGCAGAAGTGCGACACACCAAGGCTGCTACTACTATCCAACGAGTATGGCGAGGCCAGAAAGAGAGGAGAAGGTATAACCAAATCCGTGGCAATTTTATACTCTTCGAATCGGTTGCGAAGGGTTTCCTCTGCCGGCGCAACATCATGGACACAATACTTGGTAATGCAGCCCAGACTATACAACGGGCCTTCCGTTCCTGGCGTCAGTTACGTGCTTGGCGACAATACCGTCGGAAGGTAGTCATTGTCCAGAGCCTTTGGAGAGGCATGGAAGCTAGGAAAGAGTACAAGAAGCTCCGAGAAGATGCAAGGGATTTGAAACAGATTTCTTACAAGCTGGAAAACAAGGTGGTGGAGCTGACTCAGTACCTTGAGTCTCTGAAACGCGAAAATAAATCACTGAATTCGCAGCTGGAGAACTACGAGACTCAGTTGAAGTCGTGGAGAAGTCGACATAACGCATTGGAAACTCGTTCAAGGGAGCTACAAGCTGAGGCCAACCAAGCTGGAATTACCGCCGCCCGGTTAAGTGCCATGGAGGAAGAAATGAGCAAGTTACAGAAAAACCATACCGATGCGCAAACAACTATCAAGCGTCTTCAAGAGGAGGAAAAAATATCAAGAGAGTCTATTCACTCTGCGAATCAGGAGTTAGAAAGGCTCAAGCAACTGGACTCCGATCACGAGAATGATAAGGCCACTCTCCGCCAACAAGTTGCTGATCTTGAAGAGCAACTGGAGCTCGCAAAGCGAACTATGCCCGTCAACGGCACGAATGGTGAGCCGCAGAATAACGGCCCTGCTCAGCCTCCTGCGAGCGGCTTGATAAACTTGGTATCCTCCAAAAAGCCTAAGCCCAAACGACGTAGTGCCGGTGCAGAAAAGATAGATACCGATCGCTTTAGCGGGGCATACAACCCACGGCCAGTGTCCATGGCAGTTCCAAGTTCTACCTTGGGCCGTCAGAACTTTTCAGGGTCTGCATTCACACCTGGTCTTGATTCCGTTGAAGTGGAGCTTGAGAATTTGTTGTCTGAAGAGGATGATCTCAACGAAGAGGTCACAATGGGCTTGATTCGCAATCTCAAAATTCCTCTTCCCAGCTCCACCCCTCCACCAACTGAAAAGGAAGTCCTCTTCCCTGCATATCTGATTAATCTTGTCACATCCGAGATGTGGAATAACGGATTTGTCAAGGAATCAGAACGCTTTTTGGCAAATGTTATGCAGTCTATTCAGCAAGAGGTCATGCAACATGATGGTGACGACGCGATAAACCCCGGTGCCTTTTGGCTTTCAAACGTGCACGAAATGCTTTCTTTCGTATTTTTGGCCGAAGACTGGTATGAAGCGCAGAAAACCGATAACTACGAGTACGACCGTCTACTAGAAATTGTGAAGCACGATTTGGAGAGTCTGGAGTTCAACATCTATCACACATGGATGAAAGTGTTGAAAAAGAAGCTTTACAAGATGATAGTCCCCGCAATCATTGAGTCCCAATCTCTCCCGGGCTTTGTCACAAGCGAGACCAATCGATTCCTTGGAAAACTTCTTCCTTCTAACAACAACCCCGCTTACAGTATGGACAACCTTCTTAGTCTTCTCAACAATGTTTATAAAGCAATGAAGGCTTTTTATCTTGAGGATTCCATCATAACGCAGACCGTCACCGAACTTCTTCGGCTCGTTGGTGTGACTGCTTTTAATGATCTCCTCATGCGGAGAAATTTCCTTTCTTGGAAACGTGGTCTTCAAATTAACTACAATATTACACGGATCGAGGAGTGGTGTAAAAGCCACGATATGCCTGAAGGAACATTGCAGCTTGAACATTTGATGGTAGGTAGTTCAAGGGCTTCATTTGTTTACAGTACTAACACTGTCACAGCAAGCAACCAAACTTCTCCAGCTTAAAAAAGCGACTCTCAATGACATTGAAATTATCCAGGACATATGCTGGATGTAAGACTCAAACTCTGCCTTGAGCTCAGTCTCAATCCTTGCGGATGGCTAATGAATATACAGGCTTTCCCCAAATCAAATCCAAAAGCTCTTGAACCAATACCTTGTTGCTGACTACGAGCAACCAATAAATGGCGAAATCATGAAAGCCGTGGCTTCTCGCGTTACCGAAAAGAGCGATGTACTTCTCCTGACTCCTGTTGACATGGAAGACAGCGGTCCATATGAAATTGCTGAGCCACGTGTTATCACAGCTCTAGAAACATATACACCATCTTGTGAGTTGCTTTCATTTTGAGCCTTTTTTTTTATTTTTTTACTAATAATTTCAATCAGGGCTTCAAACTCCGCGGTTGAAGCGTCTTGCTGAAATTGTGTCAGCTCAGGCAATGGCCCAGCAAGAAAAACTTGAAATGGCAGAGAGCACTCCAATGGCTGCTGGTTAATGATAGTGTCCTGTACATTAGAAGTGCCATTCTCTCTTGGTTTTAGCTACGGATCATGACCATAGTTTTCATCAGACACAAAGCATCTACCATGGGTGGGAGGTTGAACATATCATGCTGGTCTTTTACTTTTTAAGCGTAACACAATCTACCTTTGCCTTATTCGCTATCTTTGCCCATATATTTTTAAATCTCCCTCAAATCTCCCTCAAATCTCCCTCATCCCATCAACTAGAGCTCAGCGGGTGTTTCGATCAGTATTTATGTCTTCCGAGATAATAATTATCCAGCTGCAATGCAGTAGCCCTTAATAAATGGGTTACAACAGAATATCTAGTTGCTAGTGGTATTTTCTCATACAAATCTATGGCGTGGTCACTGGCCATAGTGATTAATGGATGTTATACTCTAATGCTAGTAGCATTCTTTGGGTGACTGGATCTGACTTTCTTAAAGGAGACCTATAATGATAGAGGTCATCAAAGCTTTTCCATTACTTAACACTTCTTTTTTATTACTTATTACATTTCCTATCTATGTTTATAACTGGACAACGGTTTAATGTAGTTATGTCAAATGCCATAAGGACTGACAAACATACACATACTACCCAGTTTATTTTTAATTTATAGGATGTATAGAAATGCATATATTTTTATTTTAGAGCAATGTATTGAATGACATCCTTAAGGATCATGGGTCACAGCATATGGAATACATTGGGATTATCTGGATTATCACTACTAAGTAGTATGTGTCTGTATCCTACATAGATACTTAGGCGTGCGGGGTAACATGTGGCGGCTGGTGGGGGAGGGGCAATAATAAAGCTGCGCTACTGAACACCGCTTTTTGGCAATTATTTCCAACTTGTTGGTCTTGCTTTGCTGCGTCTTCCATCACGCGAACGCCATCACCATGTCTACATTGAAGAAGCTAAACTTTATCACTGGCAATAAGAATAAATTGGCAGAAGTGAGAGCAATACTTGGCAGTGTCGTCGACGTTGAAAACCAGGTGATCGATGTACCGGAAATACAAGGGAGCATTGAGGATATTGCCAAGGAGAAATGCCGACGTGCAGCAGACGCGGTAAGCCATGGTTGTTTTCTATTTCAAAAGATCCATTGCTCATTTGAATATGAACACGACCCGAGTAGATCAAGGGACCTGTTCTTACAGAAGATACTGCTCTTGAATTCCACGTACTGAAAGGTCTCCCTGGCCCCTACATGTATGTACGCACCACTATCTCGGAGGAAGGTTATGATCATGTTATATATCTCCAGGAGCTAACGCCAACCAAGAAAACAATTTCTCGACGCATTGGGCCACGAAGGTCTTAACAAGATGCTCGATTCATTCGAGGATAGAACTGCAGAAGCTGTGTGTACATTTGCATTCTGCCGCGGGCCTGGATCCGAACCCATTCTATTTCAAGGGAGAACAGAGGTATGAGTTTATCATGATCAGGAATGCATCTTACCAGAAACCTAATTTTTTTTCTCGCCAGGGTGCAATTGTGAGGCCAAGGGGCCCAGCGAATTTTGGTATGTAGACATCAACCTAAAACTATGGGCTGTCGAATTCTCATAAACGTTGTATAGGATGGGACCCTATCTTTGAATACCAAGGGACAACATACGCCGAAATGGATAGGGAAAAGAAGGTGAGACAAAACAAAATGATCGGTGTTACATAGTCAAACTAAACGCCTGAACAGAACGAAATATCTCATCGGTACAAGGCATTGGTGAAACTCCAGAATTGGCTCTCCGAGACACAAGTCTGAAACGATAATATAGAGATGGTGGTATACAAATGCATCAAGAATATATGATTCTGCATTCGAGATTCGAGGTTAAACCGTATTTTCAGATTGCGCCCTTTTCCATGACTCCACCCAAGTTGAGATTCTTGCACAGTTGCTCTCCACATCGTCATCCTTTTCACTGTTTAACTCAACCACCGCCTCTTCATCGAAAGCATCTCGAGCTTCTTCCAAAAGAACGCCGAAAATCTCTGCATCTAAATTTTCCTGTAGCTTGACTTCATGATATCCCCTGCAGCCAAAAGAAAAAGAGAGAGAGAGAGAAATTTCAGCTAGGAGATCGCAGGAAGGGCAGGGGAAAGGGGATGCTCAATGGGCAAAGTACCTTGTTGAGAGACGATCATATAGCACAGAGGTAGATGGGCATCGCAAAACAACGACTAGATCGACCCAGGATTTGGGAAATAGATCGCACGCATGCCAATCAATTAGGTAACCACCCTGAAGCACCTCATCTTCAATTGCATCTAGGAGCTACGAGGAGATTGAAGCGTGAGCATAATTCGAAGCAGAGGTAAGAGCACTTAGGTCTACAACCGTCATCGCTTAATTCCATAGGGGACATCAACAGCCATCAGGGAGAATGAGCCGGGCAAAAAAAAAAAAAAAAAAAAAAAGAGGAATGTGAAAGTAAAAGTGCATACCTTGTCCTCGTCTACGACCCAAGTTTCCAATTCCTGGTCATAGGTCTCATAACAATGTCGGTCTTTTGCAACTTGATTGATCGATAGGTGTCGCAGCCCAGTTTCTTGCGCCAATTGCTCACAATGGACAGTCTTCCCCACCCCAGGGGTGCCGGTGATGATCACATTTGGAAATGTTCGCATTATGCCCCTCAGCGGCGATGGTGATGTTTTTAGATAAACTGTGGTGACGAGGGGTCAGAGGGGAAAATTTCCGTGGGGCAATCCCCAGACGCCTGGTCGGATTAAATTGGTCCGGTTATCGGACACAGATAAGATCGTAGGACTCACCAGGTAGGTATATAATACTCGATGTCCCAGCACTAGGTAGAAATAAGTTTAAAATAGATATACATTTTAAGATAACAAAACTCCACGTTATATCTATATAGGCGTTTGTTATTGGAATATTACAAGTTATATGCTCTAACCATCAGCAGTGGTCTGTCAAAGGCAAAAGAAAAAGGAATGTGTGTACATAGAGAGCTTGAATGGTTTTGTTCTATTATTGCACCCCTCCCTCTGTGCTCCAGATGTGTCAAAAGCTGTATGTGTATGTACAAGTAAGCTGCTTTATGGATTATGGTAGATCTCCAAATCCGGGACGGAGAGCCTAGGAGTGTCAGTCATGCCTCACAATTTGACGTATAATCAAGCTTACTTAAGGATTTCGAAAACTTTATACTTCTGCAAGTATGCTGCGCCTCGACGGTGTGCTTTCAGAAGTCGAGCCGGGTCTGAAGACTTTGCATTCGTCCCTACCAAACGCTTTATTGCCGGTGAAGTCTTGAACATCGGGTCGAATACAAGGAGGTTTCCACTGCCGTTTCCCCGAATCTCAAACCCGATGATTGTCAAGGAGTGTCCTGATGAACCCCCTAGTCAGACACTAGGTCCCACGACACGAAAAGGGAGATGAGCATGTCATACCTTGGTGTTGAAAGTATATGGGTGGTAAACTCGTCGTAATAACTTTCTTATCATTTCCATCCAAGGAAAATGCAGGCTGGAAATATGAAGCAATATTCCTGTATAAAGCATCATAACCACGCAATTTATTTGTTTCACTAATACTATTGGCTTCACACCTAATCAATGTCAGAACCGCTATTGGAATGGGGAGAAAAGAAAACAGATCAGCACTCACGGTATTCCGAGACTCGTAAATAGAGCCTGTGCCTTCGTGGGATTAGAAATGTACGAATTAATTATTGAGGGTTCCAGAGGGGTTTCACCTCAGGCGTGCCAATGAATTTCCTTGTGCCGCGAATTCCTCCGGTTTCGACTCTCCCAACACTGTTGAATCCCATATCCCAAGCCTTTTCTATCATATCTTGCAATTCCAAAATTGTTGGTAACTTTCCAGAAAACTGCTCATGCCCCGTGGACTGGGATCCTTGGATGTAGGAGACAAGCATTTGGATGTTCCTATAGCCACAAAACCCGCCCTCTCTGGGCATTTTGAAAATATGACTGACTTTGGGGCTACAGAAGAAAGCACGTTGGATAGACTTATCCTGCTCACAGAGCTGGGCAAGTACTGGGATAATTCCAGTAGTCTCATTCTCAACCGTTTCATGTCTCGAAAGCATACCGTCCGAAGTAATTCGATTGGACTGTGTGGTTTTGGCACCCTTTTCTAGCATTCGCCTCAGCCATGATGGCATTCGCTTCTCGTGGGCATGAGGCCCCAGCTCCGCACGCTAGACTCTCAATCAGTAAAAAAAAAAAAAATAATAATAAAAGCGTAGTGAGGTCACTTCGAAAACAATACCCCAAGCCTCTTGATGTCGCCAGCTGGTGTGCTATTGGGGAGACGAGCTCCGTTGCCCTTTCTCAATTCGTACTGCGGGGATTCGCCCTTTTTTTGATGCCCCTTAGCTGAAGATTTATACGATGATAGTATAGTTTCATCATCAGGAGATTCATCAGAATCGGGCGCGACCGTTCCCGAGCCGCTCGGTTCTGTCTGGGTGATATCTGCATTGTCAAGCGCAATTCCCTCTGCAAAATGCAAGTCAAGATGAGTTGAAAGTTCGACATTTACCACTACTTCCCCACAACCATGGGGGCAATCGACATATTTGCCCATGTGGTCTTCTTCAATTGATGGCTGTAATTGCTGGTGCTCATAGTTTGCTCCATGCAGATTCTCAGGAGACACACTATGGCCAGCCTTGGACTGTGTACTATTTTCAGGGTGACAGTATTCGATATGCTCCTCAACAAAATTGGTTTCAGGATCAGAAAAAGGGCAAAAAGGGCATATTGCTATGTCTCCATTCCTGTCCATGGCACGTAAGTTTCGTTTGATAGGCAACGGTAGTCAAACGGCAAAAAATTTCTTTTTATCGCTAGAAATTGCACAGCGAAATGGCTTATGCCAATAAATAGGGTGATGGATAGAAGGAGATAAAACAAAATCGAGGTAAGGCTTGTCCTTCGAACCTAAGACTGATAAGGTATACGCTTGAGTTTTAAGGATCTTGCCGTAATGAAAGTGCTCTTATCCGGAACTTAAACGTATTGTGGTTTCAGACAATGTTATTTTATTTTATTTTTTTTCAAAGATGACTGATCGAGGTATGAAGAGAGGCGCGGCAATTGTGGACGAAAATACGTGCTACTACTACGATGTCGGTATGCTACTGTGTGCTTTATTGATTGCTGTACAGTACGTAGGTACCTACCTTATGATGAGTAAGCCATGCATAGATTGACTCTATTCTTCTTGAACGTTTATGAATGACTATATATCCCTCTTTCCTTCTAAGTAGTAAACAATAAATACTATGAAGTTCATCCATAGGTAGACAGAGTGTTCCCATTCCCATACATGTATCGTACGCATACATGACTAGGTATTTAATATCATTCCTTTCATAGATACGTCAAATCCCTCGCATCAGTGATTCAGAGAGCAAGGGCGATGAGAATGCTGGAGTATTGCGCTCATACTGTCTACCTAAATAATGCTTTTGCTTGTGGACTCAACTTGTTATAATAAGCAACGGATGTACCATGATCATATTATTCCGATAAAGTACGTACATAATACCAATGCCTACAGGTAATATTGGCAGACTTTCTTTCAGATTTCGGAACCACCCCTGCCTTTTTTTTTTTTTCTCCGATATCGTTTTGTGGGCCGTGTCCGCAGGGGAAGGCGGAAAAAAGAAAAAAAAAAGTTTCTTTGAGTCAAAAGGGCTACCAGAGTGCTCCGCTTTCGCAAATCGCCAGACTACAGTGTGCACATACATAAAAGGGTTGCCCCGCTGCCCATGCCAGGTTCAAGGCACTACTCGATTACATGACCATTTATCCTGTGGTTGTTCGAATTGATCAGAATGGAAGGCAGCCTTCAATCCAGTTCAGATCTCCTGTCCAAGGTCAATGGCAACCCCGCTGGCTCGAATAGCAATTGGGTAGTGCAGAAGTTTGGGGGGACCAGTGTTGGGAAGTTTGCACTCAATATCATTGATCAGGTTGTGCTGTGAGTATTCTTACAGGAATCCGACATTTCCATAGTCGCATGTTTAATAATGAGTGTCTTTATCTAGACCAAGTCTTGCAGAACACAGTGTGGCTGTGGTGTGCTCTGCTAGGAGCAGTTCTACAAAAGCCGAGGGTACTACAAATCGGTGAGTCATATTCGTTTCACAGCCGGATGATTTCAATACCAAATACATGCTTTGGTCTCATTTATCCAACCTTCATTTCCTGTTTCTGGTCCCTGATTCTGATGTCTGGTGAGCTTGTAGTTTGTTACGAGCAGCGCGCGACGCAGAAAACTCTCAATCACAACACTATGCCTCCTTCGTCGAGGCAGTCCGGCTGGAACATGTACAGGTCGCCGAGGAACAGCTAAATTCTGCTGAACTGAAAGCCCAGGTGACTGCAGATATCACCGGCGAATGCGAAAGAGTTCTCAAATTCTTGGAAGCCGCTCAGACGCTTGGAGAAATCAGTGCCCGGTGTGTGGACAAGGTGATTAGCACAGGAGAGAAACTAAGCTGTCGGCTCATGACTGCCTTCATTCAAGATCGAGGAGTAGACTCACAATACGTGGATCTCTCTGATATCATCACCTTTCCAATCGGGAGTCAAGGCCTTGACCAGGAATTCTACAACAATCTCGCCAATTCACTCGGCGCAAAGATCCGAGAATGTGAAGGAAAAGTGCCAGTTATTACTGGGTTCTTCGGGACCGTTCCTGGAGGACTTTTAGATCAAATCGGACGTGGCTACACGGATCTTTGTGCTGCCCTTGTTGCGGTTGGGGTGAATGCCAAGGAGTTGCAAGTCTGGAAGGAGGTTGATGGGATATTTACTGCAGACCCGCGCAAAGTGCCTACCGCTCGCCTCTTACCGGTAATTACGCCTGCCGAGGCAGCTGAACTGACTTTCTACGGCTCTGAAGTTATCCATCCCTTTACTATGGAGCAAGTTATTCGTGCCAAGATCCCAATTCGCATAAAGAACGTTATGAATCCAAAGGGAAATGGCACCATAATCTTTCCTGACTCAACCGCTGAACTTGAAAGGACGACCCCAGGACATGACCCTCGATTGTTCCGTACGCGAAGCCCTAGTCTTATGCAGAGGCCGAAACGACCAACAGCCGTGACAATCAAGCATAAAATACTCGTGATCAACGTACATTCCAACAAGCGCTCATTGTCGCATGGGTTTTTTGCTGGCATATTCTCGGTGCTTGACCGCTGGCGGCTCTCGATAGATTTGATTTCGACAAGTGAAGTCCACGTATCTATGGCTCTGCACTCTGAGATGCCCCTTTTAAATGGGGTCGGAAGGGATGAGTACCAGATCATTGATGATGACCTCAAAGGGGCCTTGAATGACCTTCAGAAGTATGGAACAGTTGACATAATCCCGGAGATGGCAATCCTCAGTCTTGTCGGAAAGCAAATGAAGAACATGATTGGGGTCGCTGGGCGAATGTTCTCAACACTTGGTGAAAATAATGTTAACATCGAGATGATCTCGCAAGGTAATTATACTTTTCATTTTCCCATTATCGCACTCGACTATGTCCTAATAGCTTTTTTTCGTTCTCCAGGTGCAAGCGAAATCAACATTTCCTGTGTTATTGAAGAAAGAGATGCAGACCGTGCCCTAAATATAATCCACACTAGTATGTTTACATTTCTGGATTGAAAAGACCATGTGCCATTTTGTGGTGCTCGGGACATCTATATTCTGGTGTTTTGAAGTTTCCGTCAAATTTTCTTATCCTGAGACGAAGAAGAACATTTCATTTTGTTTACCACAAGTCATGTGAAATCATGACGTTGGAAAAATGACCACCCAGTTGCATCTAATTGGAGTGAATGGCTTTTTTGGCCCAATGCATGGGGTTGGCCTTCTCTTTCCTCGCCGCCCTCCCCCCCTTTTTTTTTTGTGTCCCCTGATTTCTTCATCTTGCTTTAGATAGATTCTCGGCGCCCCTTTTCACTGACTGCCTCTTTCATGATTTGATATAAAATGTTTTTTTTTTTACCCTTTGGGTGGGCGTTATGGCATCTGTCTAGGTAGGCATTACGGTTGTTACAGCAAGCAAGGTTGTTATATTCATTGGCAAGGAATAGAGGGTTTAGGCTATCATATTGGGATCTACTTATGTGTCAAGACAGCTACACGGGATATATATAGAGCAAAAGACTGGAGTTTCATAGAGGACTATATCTTCCTGCGATTTGCCAAGTAGCTTTTGTGACTGACGTGGCCTTCAATCATCTACCTAGCAGGAGCAGGGATATCAGGCAATGCTCATTACTTATACGAAGTACTCTGTACACAAGCAGAGGGGAAAAACCTGAGGGTAGTTAAAAAAAAAAAAAAAAAAAAAAAAAAACCCACCATGCACTTTGCCCTTTGCCCTTTGGTATTCATGTATATTTGGATGTGCATGTGCGTGGTTGAGAATACATGATAGAAGGTTAATACTTTATGCTTTATATACAGGATACATGCATGTATATAAACACCATGATCCAACATATGCCCTGCACTTCATAACTAGAGTAACTAGACTGACTTACATCTTGATATCATTGTAGGTGAAACATCTCATGTCACATATGAGATACTGTGGCTGAATGGTACATTCTACTTACATTATTCAGCCCACAGAGTAGTTCAATGTCTCAGCCTCCTATGTTCTAAACCCCTCACTGAGAAAGGGTTCAATCCACAGCAATTACTCACCTAGCTATTAGATAGTATTGGATAGGTAGTATGTACTCCGTACTAGTGCGGTGGTTTGATAGTAATAATATGATTATCGTTATAATTATAGAAAACCAACTATATAACCCGTATGTCAATGAAAAATGAATACTCCGTAGCTAGGTAGTTACATCAACAGCTTCTGATTTCTTGGACAATGGACTCTAGTAATTCACTTTTTTAGTCCATAGTTGAAAGACCTAGACTCTCCCTGCGGCTGGACGACTGGACATGCCTGCCTCGTCAGTCGCACGGGATGGGCCCATGATCGGCCAATGTCCCCATATTATTGGACCAGATGATCGCTCCTGGCGGGGAATCGAGCAAGGAGCCCAGCCAGACTGAGCCAGTAGTTTGGCAGGGAAGTGGAGACTGCATGCTTTTGAGACAGGCTGTAATATTGTCATCCGTGACAATACTAAGTGGCGGGATAATGACCAGATTATCGATTTAATTGGTGAGTAGACGCGTAGCTGGACGCGTCGTAACCATACCATACAACCCCGCGAGGCGCGCAGGAGGGCATCCCCATCGCAGCCATGTTCCGGCCTTCCATTCCTCCCTCGACCAAGAGAAGTAAGAGTAGGAGCCCTTCCTAGTTCCGACATACATAGCAGCAGCAGGAGGAGATGGCCATCTTCAAACGACCCTCCACCCCCCCCCCCCTCTGTCTCCCCACCTTGTAGAAAGAAAGTTGAACCAAGACCAAGGGATTTGATTTAGAATATCAAGCCGTCTTCCCGGTTATCTTCCCTCGATAACTAGTACCCTCACCCTACTTCTCCCCTTCCGATCCAATCTCTTCTTCCCCAGATCTTTCTTCGCGCAACTCTATCCATCCATCCATCCATCTACCCACACCTTTCCCATATCCTGGACTTCGACTCCGTGGGAGCTCCTGGGTCTTCGCGTTTTAGTGAATGTGAATCGCTTTTCGCATTGACTTCTTGCCTTGGTCCCTTTCTCTCCTGCTTTTTGTGGTCTTTACCGCTTGGGCCGCAGTCTCAATGTGCCTTTGTTAGTGTCTTGTGGCCCAATCCCTAGCTGTGCTGTCTGGGGGCTACACGCGCCTTTTCTCTCTCTCTTTCCCGTGAATAATATCGCTCGACTTCCCTGGATTCCGAGTTTCTTTGATGCTGGCTTGTCTACACATATCGCTCTGAATTTAAAAACCGTGCTCATCGCAAGACACCGGAAGTTTCTCAAGTTGTCGCCTCGACCAGCGTCGATCTCCCGCGTACACGCTTCAACAATACATAGCCTGTCTTTTCACGCGTCATATATCTGCCTGGCGCAGTTTTCGGCTAGGAGGAACGAGACTGAGTGATAGGATTATGAATTCGACGCGTCCGGCGCCAATCGCGCAGAGGTTCCCAGAAGCGTCTTCGCCTTATGATAGTGAAATATTCCAGTCGCATTCCGCTCGCCTCGAGCCCTCGCCGTTGCCTTTACAACCCATCGAGAACGCCTCTTCGACTCCGGATTACGTTTTGAACCCACCATCCAGCGTGCCGAACAAGCCATCCCCACGAAAAGCGCATCGCAGGTCTAGCCTAGCGCAGTCTGGACGGGCCAAGCTGGGGTTTGTTTCGATCACTGCGCCGACCCCTCCAATGTTCACCACCGATTCACCCACCAAAAAGCCCCCCTTTAACACATATTCACATTCTGCTATTCCACCATCGTCTTCGATGCCGCAATCTGCTCTTTTCACAACCTTTTCCAGTGTTAACCCCGAGAAGGCGCCTCCAAGAGACAATCAACCGACGAATGAGCCTCTGAATGATAGTTTCGCCGATTTCCCAGATCCTTCCTATGGAGCAAAAGTTCCTTTGAAAAGAACACTCATGGAGGCGGCACCTTTGAAGGAGCGATCAGCGAAGAAATTGAAACGGGAGGATGTCATCTCGATTTACTTGCCGGAGCCTCATGAAATGCCGCCCATTGAAGATGATGGCACGAAGCCACCGTACAGCTATGCGACGCTGATTGGGATGTCTATTCTACGCGCGCCTAATAGACGACTGACTTTGGCGCAGATATACAAGTGGATATCGGACACGTTTTCATACTACAAGAACAGTGACCCGGGCTGGCAAAATAGCATTCGCCACAACCTCAGTCTGAACAAGGCATTTATTAAACAAGAACGACCGAAGGATGACCCAGGCAAAGGAAATTACTGGGCAATTGAGCCTGGAATGGAGTCACAGTTTTTAAAGGACAAGCCTTTGCGCCGTGCAACCATGTCAAGCCTTCCCCTTCCTGCTGCCCCCCAAAGAGAATCGTCATCTCTACCACAGAATACTGGTACAGCTACCTGGGTAGTGCCGCCGCCTCCGATTCATTCTACCGCGTCAAAGCCATCCCAAAATGTGGACTTGTCCTCCGACGCCACGCTTCCTGCTTCCGACCCTGCTCTCCAGGAAGATACCGGCGACGAAAGTGCCAATGCTGTTGTACCACAGGGCCGCCCCCCACGCTCTTCCCCACCCCCACCAATTCACTCATCCCCTCCAGTTGCTCCGCCGCGCTTTACTCGCCCAGGCACTCCTCCTACGCCCTCCCAAACCGTTGCATCATCTGCCATTGTTCCTCGGCCTAGAAAACGCAAATCAGCTGCAATGAATGATAGCGGCTACTTCTCCTCCCTCGAGTCTTCAGCGATGAGGCCAAATAAAGCAAGTCATATCCTAACATCGGACCTGGATATTGACCCGCCACGGATCAAGCGTGGGCGTGCCGAGGAAGAAATCGCCCGCATCCGAAGCTCTTCGCATGACATCAGTCCAAGCCACTCTGGTGCGCTCAAAGATTCAGGCTTGATTGTTGGATCCTCACCTCTTCGGGGTGAATACGTTAGCATGCTGCCGCCGCCACTTACTCCCGTCATCAAATTCAAAAAACCGGCCAAACCGCCGCCATCTGTTTCTCCTAATACAAATCTTCGGAATCACCGGAAAAAAATCCAACAGATGGTTAACTCTCCTATTAAGCATTTGGGTCTTACAGATGAAGATCTTCCTTGGAGTCCGGCCTTCAATATTCAGGATGAAACATTCACACCCAACGATAATTTTCATGCCAGCTTCGACGTTTTCGCAGACTCGGCCATTGAGAATGCTTCTACCCCTGCATGTGGCTCGCCAGAAAAGCGCTCTGTTAAGCGTGCTCGCGCTGATGGAGGAGCCGGTGGAACTGCCCTTGCTGATATCACTGCTATCAATGTGAACAGTCGGACGGGCTTGCCCTCTTTGACTTCGAACAAATCCAAGGCCCTTCTATTTCCTGAGTCCCCGTCGAAGATGCCTGATTCTAGTCGCTTCATCGACGCTACCCATGACGATTTCTTTTCATTTCATCTTTTTGACGAGAGTCCTGGTGAAGTGGATGGTGTAGATCTTTTACAAGGATTCCAGAAGATCGGCGGTCAAACCAAAGAGGAGCCTGCAAAACCTAAAGCGCCTGCATCAAGACCACACCTTAACCACCGGAGCAACACGTCTTTATTCTGAGGCAACTCTTCGGAATTGGCTACCATTACCAGTCAACTATCTCACTTTTGAAGGAAAGTGTAACTGCATACTGGCACGTTGCTAATTTCTTCACTTATTTATGCCTGGGCCATCGAAATATAATTTCCAATTTCGGTTGAGTCTCTTGGCTCTATGGATAATACTAGGAACGATATTTTTTCCGGGTTTGGGATGGAGTCTGTTGCAAAAGGGGTTTTTTGTTTTTCTTTTTATTCCCTTTTTTCTTAGTTTTCCCTTCTTTCTTTTTTTGCTCTGCAGCTTGTTGCCCTCTCTTCTTTATTTCTGGCGTGCCAAATTTCTGGAGTTTCTTGGACTGAGGTAAGGTCTGGAGTAAACATTACTGAGTCTGGGATGACCATGTTATGACCTTTATGACGACATTTGTTAAGATGTACATGAGTATGCGATGGTTTGACGAGTTCAAAATCTTTTTTTTTTGTTCTTCTCTTTGGCGGTTTTCAGTTATACCTTGATTGAATGTTTCTGCAATGTGCTAGATAGAGTTGATTCGGGCAAGTCATTTATCATGGCATTCGGCAGTACCTATCAAGCTAATTTTCTTAAACAGCTATAAATTTTGATATAACATTCCGTAAAGGGTATCATATTAGTCTTGAAAAGCAAGTCTGCAACATACATAAGGCAAATTAGGGAACAAAAACCGTGAGACAGAAACGTCCAGAAGCTTTGATAGATTGAATCGTCAAAGGGGGAGGCGAGCTGGAAAAAGAGTAAGACGAACGAACGAATCTCGTTCCCACCAAACGCCATCTGTAGTATGAAGTGTGGCCCGACCACTTGTCACTACTCCGTAATCCTGATTCTAAGACCATTGTGCGATAGATTTTGTATCAAGTAATCCGTTAAAATGTCATATTCGTCTGCTTGGATTGAAGCGGCATACTCTTTCGCTTCCTTTTCTTTTGTTTTCTCTGTATCTTTTTCTCTTATAGATACGTGGGAGGATATTTAATCGCTGCTTGCACAGCCTCGACAGCCGCAGCTGACACACTGGATCATCTGGTCTTCTTTGAGTTGCGCTTTGGGTACACGGCAGATACAGGTTGCGTTAAAGTTGGTTTCTTTGGTTTGCATGCAGCGGAGACAACAGAGCTGTGGATGGAGTATTTTTTAGCAAGATATTCAAGATCTCGGGGCTTTAAAAGTATGGGTGCATTGCATAAGACTGGGGGAGGGGAATTTGATGAGCAGTACCTTTTCATACCCCTGTTTCTTCCACTTTGCGATTAGGTTCGCGTCAGCATAATTATTCTTCAGAAGCCAGTCGTATAGCTGCTTTGATATAGCTTCTTTTTCATAATAGAGATCATAAATGTATTTGGAGCCTAGTATTTCAGTTAATAAACACTCAAGGTACTTCCAGTCGCAGATGGAAGGGAGGGAGAATGAGCTCACGCTGATGGCTTATTTGGAAAATAGGCCACAACATCTCATGTTTCTTTTTCCCATCATGCGAGGCATTCTCTGCATCTTTCATTTTGTTGTTGAACTCCAGCAGCGTATCTTCTATATCATCGAAGCCAGCTGGTGGCGGTTTGCGATTTTTGGAGGTTCGGATCGGAGGCATTATTGACGTTATTGCGTACAAGGCGTAGGAATATTTTGACCGAAAAAAACACCTTTTAGCTTGCAATAGCCTTTTGATATTGTCTTCTTTTTATGCTAATTTCAACTGCGAGTTTGGAGCTGGTGTCCTTCATGTGCTACAGCCCATTTGAAGACCAGAACGATCCGCGGTCATTTTGTGCCGGTGCACACCGCCTCGAGCAGTGAGAACTTGTTCAATCAATAATGGTCATAGGTAGAGAAACAACAATACTTGCAACTATCATCTGCTCTAATTGCACCTGTGTTTTGGATACACCTATCCGTGTTCTTGAATAATATTTCCTTGCCTCATTTGATATCCCATTCCTCTCGCTCAAAATGGACTCTCAACCCCAAATCGATATCTCCAAGCTTAGTGATGCCGACAAGAAAGAATTGAACCAGTTCTTGACGAGTGAGGCCCAAAAGTCGAACATTCAACAGAGTAAGTAATCATCGGTCAACAAATACTTTATAGTCCCATAAGGCCCATCTCCTATTCCTGATCATTGTATTGTTTTGTCATACTCACCGGCGGGTTTAATTCCTATTTTCTTTGTCTGTCTTTCCAGTAATGGCTAACTAGGTATTACTGTCACCAACAGCTGTCCACCACCTCGCCGATGTTTGCTGGAAGAAATGTATCACTTCGAAGGTCTCCTCAGGCCGGTTGGATCGGAAAGAAGAATCTTGTGCACAGAACTGTGTGGAAAGATGGATGGATACGAACTTTGCTGTCTTGAAGCACTTGGAACAACTTCGCGGATAAATAAACCCAAGGTTTCGATCCATTAGCCAGACGTCGATGGAGGACTTCTTCATTATTATGTGCTTCATTTTAACGTCGGCCATCCTGTAAACCGGCCGGTTGAGTATATCTGTTATAAAGCACAGTTGGGCTGTTCAGCAGCAGCATTGGGATGATTTCAAACCTCTGTACCCTTTTATTGTATAACTAGAGAAACATATTATATCATGACCTCTCAGCGTCAGCCATTTTACGTATCGGGATTAAGAACGTAGTCTGCGGCAGACCCGCAAAGAAACCAATTACCCAATCGGCCAGGGACACGCTCATATGGCCCTGTTGGCGCAGCCTTTCCTGGGTTTATTGAAGTATTACACCGGTTTACGACATTAAGATTTCCGATCCCACCATGCATTTAAAAAAAAGGTATTTCTTTTTTGTTAATCATTCAGCCATCATTGCAACTCTGGCAGCTAACTGTATGATATTTGTGAACCACCGCGTAAAAAAAAAAGTTCGCCCAGACCGAAAGAAAACCAGCAATCTAGACAATGGCCAGCTTGGTGGCAGCGACGTCCAGAGCATCCACGTCAGGGGTTAACCGAGCAAAGGCCTTCTTCGATCCATCGGGTCTGTCGAAGCTAGTTAGACACAAGCTTCAAAACTCGTCTGATATCCTTCGTGAGATAGAATTTCCATACCTGACCAGGGTGTTGACCTTGACGGTCTCAACATCGTACAACTTCTTGAGGGCCATCTTGATCTGGCGCTTGTTGGCCTTGACGTCCACAATAAAGACCAGGGTGTTGTTCTCCTCAATCTTCTTCATGGCGCTCTCGGTGTTGAGAGGGAAGAGGATGACCTTGTGCGAGTCGAGGCGAGGGCCATGTGGGATCGAGCTGCGGGGATACTTGGGCGACCGGGAGAGCTGGAGGGTCTTGGGGCGGTGGAAGGTGGTGGAGGTGCGGATCTTGCGAGACTTGTTGGCCTGGTTGTATCACAAAGTTCAGTATGAAGAAACAGCATATGGGATATTCAATCATGTCAACATACACCTGCACCCTTCAGGACTGCCTTGGCGGCAGCACCAGCCTTCGTCTTGCCTATTGAACAAATATGGTCAGCCCCTCTTGAAATGGAATATTGATAACTCTTCGTTAAGAAGCACAAGAAAAGAATGGCAGATAAACGCATAAAGCAGAATTCAGCCTGTCGCTCTCCAATGTTGTTGTTTTTTTTTTTTTTTTTTTCTCTCTCTCGATGGATTTGTGTGTAAAGAACTAAGATAAATGCCGTCATTTGGCAGATATCACCACCAAGACCAAATCCTTGCGATTCAAATACCAGAGCAATTCTGAAGTCTGGGAAATAACAATCGCATCGCACGTATTCAACCTACCTTGCTTGTTTTCCACCTTAGGGGCCATGGCTGTCGTCCGGCGCTGTCGTGCTGATTGTCGCAGTGTCGAGTGTCGAATTATTTGGAGTGTATTCGCTTAACGAAAACCCTACGACTTTGCTGTGTGGGTCACCTGACCTGTACCGGATCTCTTGGCGGCCGACGGGCTCCGCTTTGGAATCAGTTGATGACTTATCCGATTATTTGCGGATGGAAAAATAAAGGAAATGCGGTCCCCTCTTTGACCATTAGTATTGCTGCTTTTTCATGCTTTCATTTCGTGTGATTGAAATACATACCGCGGAACGTCATCTCCAGGACTGAAAAATATCCTAAGAATCAGTGTACATACCCAGCGCTCGTCTGGTAGACAATTTCAGAGTACCGACAAAAAAGCATGTCTCATATCATTGCCTCACGACTTGACCACAGCACTACTCTTTAAAAAATGACTTCGACAAAGCGCCGGACCAAGAAGCCTATGCTTCTTTCTCATACTCGGCCACCAACAGTCAAAGCAAAGCATGCAGCCCTGTCATCAAAAGCAACGCGGAATCTCATTCGTTCTCATCATCAACTTCTTAAATCTCGGGCTCAAGCGGTACAGTCCGGCGATCAGGCTCTGGTCAACAAGATTGACTCACAGATCCAAACAAATGGGGGTCTGGAAAGCTACCAGCTAGCCAGTAAACTTGGACAGTCATCGGAGCGCGGGGGTGATTCAAGTAAAGTTTTAATTGATTGGATCAATCCCCAGTTGTCACAATTGAGAGACACGTCTGTCAGGCTAAGGGTCCTTGAGGTTGGCGCTCTCAGTACCAAAAATGCGTGCTCTATGAACAAATCCTTGACTGTTACAAGGATCGATCTGAACTCCCAGGAGCCGGGGATATTGAAACAAGATTTCATGGAAAGGCCTCTTCCCTGCAATGATGACGATCGATTTCATATCATCAGCCTCTCCTTAGTGCTGAACTTCGTCCCTAATGCAACTGGGCGAGGGGAAATGTTGAAGCGCTGTGTGACTTTCCTGACAAATACACTTCCGCCTTGTTCACCCATCTCTTTTACGCCCAGCTTATTTTTGGTGTTGCCTGTTGCGTGCGTCACAAATTCCCGGTATCTCACGGAAAATCGACTGCAGGAAGTTTTGTCTACCATGGGGTTTGTCCTGGTCAATCGAAAGGAAACTTCGAAATTAATCTTTCACCTTTGGGAACACAGTCAAAACTACAAACCTAGGCCATTCAAGAAAGAAATTTTGAATCCCGGCAAAACTAGGAACAACTTTGCCATTGTTGTCAATGATAAATAAGCCTATGCTAAGAACAAATAGACGCTGACTAAAAGGAGCCTACCTCGCAGAAATCATGTCCTGCGGCAAAAAGGCCCAGGCAGTTCCAACAATGGCTATTATCGATGATAAAACAAGGATAATCCAATCGAGAATGCGTTCACCCGAACTGATTTTGCTCCCAAAAATCTTTAAATAGAATGCCAGTGGCAATATTATGCAGATCGTGATGCACAAAGCGGACCCCATCAATGCCATGATTCTATCGAAAGATGGAAAGACAATTGCCATCAACACAATGACGACCACAACAAGAACACGGATCATTACCCTTGATGATTGGTGAACTGTTCCTTTCAGCCCTTGAGAGTGATTTCCGATCACCCCAGGACGCAGGCCAACTCCACAGAGGACCTCCACAGTGGCCACCAGAGGCCGGCAGCTGCATCTAGTCAGAAACATAACAAGCAGGGAAACCCAACAAACCAGGAACTCACTTCAAGGGCACTTTAGTGATGGGGATGACTGATATAAAGATGATCATGCAAATGGACATGACTCGTGGGTATTCATCTATAAGCAATATGTTGGCTGTGACTTCATCGCGAACAGCTTTTCCAAACATAACCCAGCCTATAATAGCCATTGCACAGTCAAGTGTATACTGTTGAATATCATGCATTAGGAGCGGGCCGGGTCCTTTTTTTTTGGGGGGGGGCTCTTACCGTAAAGATGTATGTTGTCCAGAGACTTCTCCCATACTTCTCAGGATGTCTCATATCACGGTATATATTGGGAAAGACTCCATGGCCACCCCAGGGTGCTTGATAAAGATTAGATTTGCATCGGCTCTTTGACTTGCGTAGGCTACACTTACACATGATCAAACCAAAACTGAGCGGTAGAGTGCCCCAATTCTCGGGAAACAGGGATGTCTTGGCTGGTTGAAGGAGAGACCCTGGCGCATCAGGTTTAATCAACCCATCAATGCACATTATAGCAACAACTTAGAAAATTAGCCCTAAAGCTTGGTTCCATTAGGGTAGAAATGTAACCATACTCGATGTGCAGCATATTATGCCTAGGATGCTCGTCACACTCAAGAGCCGTAAAGGTGCAAAGTTGAGTGGAAGGAGCATAACACCGCATATGATTTTCCATTGCAAAATGCTCAGACCCGGAATCAGAGCATAAAGACTGTCTGCAAAAAGTACAACGAGAGCAACGCAAGCCCCGATAAGTTCGAGGCAGAATAAAAGACTGGTTACTAAACGTGCGTGATGTCCAAAACTGACATACGCCAAATCAGCGTAAGTAACAAGACTTCGGTCAACATCCAGACATCTAGCGAGAATTTTAGCTGTGTAAGCGGTTGTCACTGCGGCAAAGAAGAGAAACAATAGACCCAGAAGCCACCCCGCCTGCTTCATTGCTAGTGGTAAGCTCAACAGACCGACACCGATCAAAACATTGACGGAGTTGAAAATTGTCTGGGGCACGGTCGATTTTCCAACAACAATACTTTCTCGTGTGCCGTTCTGGTTTTGGACCTGCTTAATGAGTAGATTCTCACCATTGTGGTCCCCGAGCACATCTAGATCTGCTTGTTGCTCCCTGTGGGACTGAATAGCATGCCTCCGCTCGGTAACCCGAGAAGATATTGTACCATACGAAGTCCCAAGGCTCCTATCAGTTGAAGACCCAAGAATTCCTGTGCTTGGAAGGCCCTGTTTCGATTGATCTGAGCCATGTAAAACATCGTCTTCTTCGGCACCTGCACCACCATCCAGCAAGGGCCTCGTGGGATCGGATCCGTGTCTGAAAGGTCGAGAACTTTGTGACCCGGCGTATTCGCTTACTACCGTACCCCATTCTTCGTCCGACTCAGTTGCAAGTGAGGCCCTTCGGGGAAGAATTTCTGGGAAGCATGCTGCTCTTTGCCATGACCGAGCAAAGTTATCAATACTGTTCACACCACCGGCTTGTCGGAAACGCGCAGATAATGAGTTGGATCTAAAAGTGACAACCAGCAATTATTCATGCCATTCGCGATATCCTGAAAATGATTAATGGGGGAAAATACCTTTGTCTTTGAACATAATCGGATGGTGAATTTTCCCGACTCGCGGAGCTCCAGTGGTTATCAAAACTGGATCCAAACGGCAGACTTGAGCCCGGAATTCCCATTCCCTGTACATGGGAACCAGGATTCTCAATCGTTGAATTCGAGGGATCCTGCATGCTCGCTATACTAGGCGAACGCTTGTTCGAGCTCGAAATCCGGGTGGATGAGAGGGAATTGCCAAGGTCTAGCGGCGTAGAGATAAACCAATAGCCTTCTGTTATTTATAGGAAGGTATTCTCAATTGAGGGAATGCAGCAGAAGCAAGAGCGCTTTCTATCTGTGTCGGTAGACGTTCCTATAACCCTGGAATAATGCAAGGGCAAACCCAGACTGTGTTGTGGTTTGGCAGAAGCCAATGGCACTGTTACCGGCTTATATATGATCAGCAGCAGGTTCAGGTTATATGAAAAGAAATAGATAAGAAAGAAAAAAAAAACCCCGGGCATTCGATCTTGTTTTCTACTAGGAGCTTCTGCGAAGAGCGGAGTGGGGTCAACACTGATAAGGCCTGTTGGAGACCACCTAAGGACTACTCTACGGCAAGTCTTTATCTTGGGGTACCCGGTAGAATTACCACACCATGGAATGTTAGAACTAAGCGATATTGCCTACCTTAGTCTAAGATAGTATCTATTTGAGCCCATACCATGATAATTTGCTTATTTTAGTGACCAGAACTCATACCTATGGGATGCGTGTAATCATGATGAAACGAGATTTGATAGTTGGTACCGTCGAGGCAAAATTGCCTGCAGGATGCCAGTAATTATACGGTATGCATAAATACAAAAATTATGTCAGCGAAAACAGGCGACAGCCGATCCATGTCTCTTCTTTTGGCCATGGCCACCCCACGGTGCCTGATGAAATTTGCTTAAACACCCCGCTGGATTTCGACGGCAAATCAACCAGCTTCAAGGTACGTGTCTTGCTCCCCCTCTGGCTAGATTCTTTGTATGTACAAGTCGCCTGTCTCTCATTCTACTCATATTCATTCCTTTTTTTAACTAGTGGCTTCTTAACTGACTTTTGTTTAATACCAGCCAGATTCCTATCCTCTTCTCCCCGGTGACATAACATCGTCGCCTCGCCCAACATGAGCCAGGCTCAGGCGAACGAAGCGGAGAAAAACATCGAAATATGGAAGGTCAAGAAGTTGATTAAGCGCCTTGAGGCTGCTAGAGGAAATGGAACTTCCATGATTTCGCTCATCATTCGTCAGTTCTCCATACTTCCGAAGTCGGTATGGGAGTGTAACTAACCTTCCATGATGTAGCCCCCAAGGACCAGATATCCAGAGCGGCGAGGATGTTAGCTGAAGAGTTTGTGAGTTATAGCACTATCATTTTCAGCCTGGACGCTTGCTAACGGTAAATCTATAGGGTACTGCTTCCAACATCAAGTCTCGCGTGAATCGACTCTCCGTTCTTTCTGCCATCACCTCCACGCAGCAGCGTCTCAAGCTTTACAACAAGGTTCCTCCAAATGGCTTGGTCGTCTACTGTGGTGAAATCATAACGTCGGAAGGAAAAGAGCGTAAGATTAACATCGACTTCGAACCGTTTAAGCCAATCAATACGTCGCTCTACCTCTGTGACAACAAATTCCATACTGAAGCACTGAGCGAGCTTCTTGAATCGGATCAAAAATTCGGTTTCATCATCATGGATGGTAACGGTGCGCTTTTCGGTACATTGAGTGGCAATACTCGAGAGGTTCTCCAGAAGTTGAGTGTCGACCTTCCCAAGAAGCACGGCCGTGGTGGTCAGTCAGCGCTGCGTTTCGCCCGTCTTCGTGAAGAAAAACGGCACAACTACGTCCGCAAAATTGCCGAATTGGCTGTTCAGAATTACATTACCAACGATAAGATCAATGTTGCGGGGTTGATCTTGGCTGGTTCTGCCGATTTCAAAAATGACCTTAACCAATCTGATATGTTCGATGGACGTTTGCAGTCCAAGGTTATTAAGGTCGTTGATGTTTCTTATGGTGGTGAGAATGGTTTCAACCAGGCTATCGAACTGGCTGGCGAGACTTTGAGCAATGTCAAGTTCGTTCAGGAGAAGAAGCTCATTGGAACATACTTTCAGGAAATTAGTCAAGACACTGGAAAGATTTGCTATGGTATTGACGATACACTCAAAGCCCTGGAACTTGGTGCGGCCGAGACTCTTATTGTATATGAGAATCTCGACATCACTCGGTGGGTTATGAAGAACGCTAGCGGTTCCGAGGTCATTGTCCATACCTCGAAAGCTCAAGAGGAAAACCGAGAAATGTTTATCGACAAGGAGACTGGGTTGGAGATGGAAGTCGCTGATCAAGGTCCATTCCTTGAGTGGCTTGCTGAGAGCTACAAAGACTTCGGTGCAGCTCTAGAGTTCGTTTCCGACAGATCTAGCGAAGGAAACCAATTCGTCAAGGGATTTGGTGGAATTGGAGCAATTCTTCGATACAAGGTCAACTTCGAGCAACTTGCCGACTATGATGACGAGGATGAATTCTACGACGGTATGTTTATTCAAATTCATAAGCTTGGTATATCTACTAATATATTGTATAGATTGACGGTTCAGCGACCTCGCAGAGAGCGAGGATGAACGGCCAGAAGATCCAAGAGCGGGTCTTTTGACGGCTCGCCCCGTGAATCGTGAAGGCGGCTCTCATGACGAACCCACGGCCCCCTTGGTAACTACCATGATGGGGCCTGGTCCAAGCTCTGCGAAGCTGCCCAGAGGTGTGTATATCACTTTCTTTCATATATCTCAACGTCACTGCATTTTGCTGATCTTCCCCTTTAAACAGGGCCATCCAAGCTCCGTAACATGGTCACTGAGGTCGCCTATTAATCTTAGGTTGACACGAGGTGTGTTTGTAAAGTGGATTGTGGATTCGTTGCGTAGAATCCACAGCCATATTATTAAAGCATTGTTGTCCAGCTTATAAAATGTAAGCTAGGCAATAAAAGATTGTTTTTCTCCAGCCTACTTGTGCTGTACCTCGATTGTTTCCGCTCTTTTTTTCCCATGCACTCCGTATGTAACCCGAAAGCAATGATATATATACCTAGGTGCCTTTATAACCTTTTTTCCCTGGAATTACTCTGTAAGCTCCAAATGATTGCCTAGTTTCATATAGTACAGGCTACAATTCCCGGCATTCTTTTTCGCCTGGGTATGGCTTCATTGAGTACTATTGAAGAACTCACTTGAATGCAAAAAAAGAAAAGAGAAAAAACATTTGTTCCTTGATAGTATTCGAAAGCGCAGCGTCCACGTTTTAGTTGCTTGGGAGTTCGTCTTTCCAGGTTCCCAGATCTCTGCAATTTTCGGTGACCTCCTGAAGGCCATGTAGGATCCTAGCGATGGCTTCTTTATTTTCAGCCGTGGGAATTCTTTTACATTCCACAAAAAACACATATTGCCAAGCTCGTTTTTTACTTGGCCGTGTGTTTATGCTCGTAAGATTCACCCCATGAGCCTTGAAGATCAAGAGAGCCTCTGCCAGTGCCCCTGGAAAATCCTGGTTGACCATGAACGAGATCAGTGTCTTCAATGTGGTGTCTAAAGGCCCAGGTTGCTGTCGCGCCGAGGAAACCTTTACATTTTCGAAGGGAACGCGAGCGGTCAATTCTAATTGGGCATTTCCCAACACCAAGAAGCGCGTTGTGTTGTCGGCTTTATCCTCGATGTTCTCCGCCAGAATTTCCACGCCATGATATGATGCTGCGAAATGACTGGCAATAGCGGCGCTTCGCTCTGTGGTCTCCTTCGAAACGATTTCCGCGGCCTTTGAGGTTGATGAGACATCCTGCCTTTCAACACCTTTGAAGTGTTTATCCAAAAAAATATCACATTGTCCCCAGGCTTGTGGGTGTGTATATAACTTCGTTAACGAGTCGTAAGTCGGTCGGTCAGGCGAGGACGCATGATCTTTTCGGATCATGAGACAGTGATGGACTGTCAAATAATGTTCTCCACAGACTGTCACATCCCCGTAGAGGTTAAGTCTGTCTGCTAGGAGGTCAAGGGTTTGAACGACTGATCCATTGGTCGAGTTCTCGAAAGGAATGATAGCATAGTCTGCCTTCCCTTGTTGGACAGCAGCAAAAGCATCTGCGAAGGAAAGACAGGGAGACAATTCAGCAGAAGTGCCAAATGTCTCTACGGCCGCCTATGATAAAGATGAATGATTATTCGGAAGCGGGGTAGTAGGATAATTTCTAACCTGATGGGAAAAGGACGCGGCAGGCCCCAGAAATGTTACCCTCAACTCCATGGGAATCTTTTTTACAAAGCACCCTTCACGTCCTGTGCTGGTGTAGTCTTCATGTAAAAAAAAAAAAAAAAAAAATTCCAAACGCCTATCGTTTCCCTTCCATCAATTGATAAAAATTCATGGAGAGGTGTCATTCTTTCTCCCGCCCTGATCAGTCAAGCTGACAACTAAACAAACAAACCAAACTGTTGTATCACATCCACTTTACAGGGGTAGCCGGAAAACCAATCCATAGAACCCTACATTCTCTTTTCAAATAGCCTATACAGGCACCCGTGGTTTGTTTAGAAAAGGCATTTGACCTTTTTGATGAAGAGAACTCAGTTCCGGTACCTCCACATATGGGGTGGAGGGGCTCCCAAGGCTGCTCCACGGCCGTACTCGCTTTCTGAACGCCTGCATCGGGAGTTGACATCACGGAAACTCTCCCTGACCTACGATTATTTACACACCCAGCCATCACATCTTTTGAATCTGACATTATGTGGTCTTCTTCCAGGGCCGCAGTCACCGTCAGGCGACGGTGAACCTCTTCCATCGATCAAATCCCCGCCTTACATGGCGGCGGGGCACCATTTGGTTTACTTTCCTCCCCAAGTCACACTATCTCAATTACTCCCTGATGGCACCGATTCCTTGCATAGCCCTGGGCAGCCGTTCAACAGGCGCTTGTGGGCAGGGGGGAGAGTGAGGTTTCCAACCATAGGCGGTGGGCCATTCCTTGACGGCAGCCGAGCCGTCTGCATTGAAACAATTCGTAACGTGGTCGTGAAAGGGCAGGAAGGCAAAGAAAAAGTGGTTGTTAGCATTGAGAGACGGGTAGGCACAGTAGAAGAGGGAGAAAGTTCAGAGGATGTCAAAAGACGACTATGGACACCGAATGAAGAGGACGTTGGAGAGTCGTCAGTCATCGAGACCAGGGACTTGGTTTTCATGCGTGAAAAGACCCAAGAGCAGATCAGTCACGATAAAGAACATTTTGAGAAAAATCACAGGATTGTCAAATGTGCGCATTTTCGGTCCATGTCTATAGGGAATAGAAATGCTGACTCCCATTCTTTCCAATTGAAGCCCCTTCGGACCCCGAATTTCGCCATAAGATAAAGCCCACAAAAGCCTTACTCTTCCGCTTTTCTGCTCTTACATTCAATGCACACTCTATTCACCTCGACAAAACATATACCCAAGACATGGAGGGCTTCCGGAATCTACTCATACATGGGCCGTTGACTTTGACACTGCTACTTGCGGTTCTCCAGGCATATCTCCCCAAGTCAAACCGTGTCATCAAAGGAATTGAATACAAAAATTTGGCCCCTCTTTATGTGGAAGAGGAGCTGACAGTATGCGGCAAACCAAAGATCAGCAAGGGCCCTGGGTCTTGGGACGTTTGGATTGAGGGTAAGGATGGAGGCCTTGCCGTCCGAGGTACGGTTCAAACAGACAGTATAATCGATAATGTATAGAATTATGCAAGGAGGTTAGCCGTATGAATGTAAATAACGAGGGCTCAAGTTGCGATGAATGCTAAATGACCTGTAATGGTGTACATAGCCCTGCTTTTGGATCGTCGGGACTATTCTGCTCGGTTGGTGCTTGTATAAAAACTCCAAGGCTGGCCAGCTCGCTTTGTATGCCAATATTCACGGAACCAATTAATATTAAGAACTTGAGAGTTTGTGGTAGCTCTATCTGTTTATTTGACGGAACTGCGCCATTCAAAAGTATCTGAAAATATATTGGATAGAACGACGGCCAGAATACGGCAAGACACTATACAGTGCGTAGGCAATGGACATCATCAAAACCTATTGCAAAGACTAAATCTGATGAGATATACGGAACACCAGCTTTGATATAAAGCAGAAGACCGAGCGACATGTTCGCAGATATCTTGTGCTTAGCTTTCAACGCCACTTATTACTACCTACTATGTAGGCTCTTGTTTGAAATTGACACTTAAAACTGAGAAGCAATTTGGTGGGGAGACTGAGCGTTATAGATATTGTGATATAATGATATATCCGCTCAAGCAGAGGATGAAGTAGATAATTTTCAGGTCTAGCAGGTGCATAGAGTGTATGGAGTACCTACATAGTACCACCGTCGAAAGAAACTAGGCGGTTTTGGGAGAGCTGTCATGCCCTAAGCTTCGTACTTGGCACGGACCCCGGATAAATTTCGGCCCAGAAGAAGCTAGCAAATGCACAACGCTTTATATTTCGAACAAACCCTTCTTTCTTTCTCTTTCTTTTTTCCTTCCCGAGAAAGCAGAGAATTTTGCCCACATTAATGTGTGACAGGCAATCGACATACATGTACTAGAGCGACCAGCAAATTTGCATTTGCAGTACTTACCTAGCTGTAAAAATGGATCTTTTCTGGTCTGCTCCTCCCGTTACCAGGTATTTTCCCTTACTGTTAACACCACAAAATGAAAGATTTGACTGACCCTTGGTATCTAGGACTCTCACTGCACTTACATTTGCCCAGTCTGCTTTGGTTTATGGTGGCCTTCTCAGCGGGTACCATGTGGTTTTTTTACCAAGACTCGTTTTTAAGCTTCTTCCTGATGCCTGGAGATTATTCTCGCCGTTCTTGCTGACGGGCCCGAATCTCTCCTTCATCTTCGACTTATATTTCAGTACGATATTATCTTGGTCCAGGCTGGCTGCCATGCTAACCTGCCGGTAGTGTTTACCTATGGCAATGCTCTGGAAACAGGTTCAGCTCGGTTCAGCTCACCTGGTGACTTTTTCACTTATGTGTGTTTTGTAGCCACTGTCATTATGGTAAGTCTTGGAATGACTCGGTCCTCAAGGGTTCTTTCAAATAGAATTGTCCTATCCCTCTTATATTTTCATTTTTCAACACGGAGACACTTGCCATGTCCCCGTGCACCTCGCATTATCTGCCCGCCCAGCCTTGAATTAGCTGAAGTGGTTCCTGGAAACGAGGAAGATCGCCCCTGCATCCCGTACAGTGCCTCTCTTACGATCCTTAAGGGCTGTATGCGTTGCAGGTATGGTGGGAAGGCCAATGAGATAGCCCTCGTGATAACATAAGTTCACTTGGGTGGTAATGGCGCCCTACATTATAATATAAAAATTTGCATATATATATGTATACCTTTTTGCCCTTCCATACTTTCAAAATTTCGATCAATTCATTAAACCCATTCGGTAGCCTGATTGACCTAGAAATGCTGACAACCTGAAGCTCACTGCAGGTTGCCTACTGAACAATGTAATCTTTACTTCTGGTGAGCTTACTGTAGCGCCTCATGACATATCAATTGTGTACGGTATACTGATCTGCGGAAGCATTGGTTTTGGCATTCGTCTACACCTTTGCCCAGGAAAATCGTGGCAAAAAGGCGACCTACTTCGTGTTCCAGATCCCCGTCGAGTATCTGCCATGGGCAATGCTTGCTTTTACGTTGGTTCTTTCCGGGTGGCCCGCGGCGTTACGTGACGGTACTGGTATTGTCGCCGCCCATATGCATGACTTTCTTACACGCATATATCCAACTTTTGGTGGAGGCCGGAATTACATTGCTACGCCAGATTTCGTGAAAAGATTTTTCAGCGCATATACGCCTAGAGAAGAGTATCGCTCCTACGGAACAGCCTACCGGTCGGGGGGGCAGCCTCAGGAATCCTCGTCAAGTGGCTGGGCTTCATCTTTCCAAGGGACCTGGGGAGGAAGAGGCCCAGGAAGAAGACTTGGTGGAGGTTAAAGTACATAAAATGTACGTGACAAATAAGGCATTGAGGGTGCATTCGAACGCCGTGCTTTATTGACTCTCCCCGTGTTGAAGAACTATCTTAGTGTAACTACTTTGTTAGCTACTTGATTAGTTACTGGAGGAAATCAGCGGTTTTTGTATTGTATGCTGCAGTAGAAGTGTTTTGCTTCGATATGCAGAGATAACGTTTTTTAAAAGGAATAGTTCCTTCGCTATATAATATTTTCATCCGTATTCTTTTGCCACGGTCGAGGACTCGATCATCGCAAGTCACGAGTGGCACTAACCCGTTTTGTCCGTGGAGCTGTCCGCCGCACTTCAATTTTTCCCAAACTTCTTCTCGCTAGCGCCAGAATAAAACTTCGGTCTAGCAAGTGCTTTTTTTCCTGCGTTCTTTTCTCAACGCTCACTTGCCTGGCTACCCCCAATTTTCTTCCAGCCAGAATCTTCACAATGGCAGCGGCCAAAGAAGAGATGGATTATACCATCAAGCCAGAGGCTGGTGCATCGAATATTTCGACGTCGGAGTGGCCGCTTCTGCTCAAGAACTATGACCAGCGTAAGTCAATTTTAAAAGACATATTCTTTGTATAATTGTATATATATTATCTGAATACTGATTCCATTTTGCAATAGTCCTCGTTAGGACCGGCCATTTCACTCCAATTCCTGCCGGTTGCGCTCCTCTCAAGCGTGACTTGAAGTCTTACATCAACTCCGGTGTTATCAACCTTGACAAGCCTTCCAACCCATCCAGTCATGAAGTTGTCGCTTGGATGAAGAGAATTTTGAGGTATTTACCACTACCCGAAACTTTATACACGGTCGAATGCTAAACCCCACGTTTGTGAAGGGCCGAAAAGACTGGACACAGTGGAACCCTGGACCCCAAGGTCACTGGTTGCTTGATTGTCTGCGTTGACCGTGCCACTCGTCTCGTCAAGTCGCAACAAGGCGCAGGAAAGGAATATGTTTGCGTGATTCGTCTTCATGACAAGATCCCTGGTGGCGAGGCCCAATTCAAGCGTGCGCTGGAGACTTTGACCGGTGCCCTTTTCCAGCGCCCACCTTTGATCTCTGCTGTCAAGCGCCAGCTCCGTATCAGAACCATCCACGAGAGCAAGGTTTTCGAATTCGACAATGACAGACATCTCGGTGTTTTCTGGGTCAGCTGCGAAGCAGGAACATACATCCGAACCCTGTGTGTCCACCTTGGTCTCTTGCTTGGTGTTGGTGCACACATGCAGGAGCTCCGACGTGTCCGTAGTGGTGCCATGGATGAGAACAAGGGCTTGGTGACTCTGCACGATGTGATGGATGCTCAGTGGATGTACGACAACCAGCGCGATGAGTCGTACCTGCGGAAGGTCATTCACCCTCTAGAGAGTCTCCTCACAACGTACAAGCGTATCGTCGTCAAGGATAGTGCCGTGAATGCTGTTTGCTATGGCGCCAAACTCATGATCCCCGGTCTTCTTCGTTTTGGTAAGCCTATATCCGACACGATGTATTATCCGGTTTGCTAACTTGTCCCCAGAGGCTGGTATCGATGTCAATGAAGAGGTTGTTCTCATGACCACCAAGGGTGAGGCTATCGCAATTGGTATCGCCCAGATGTCTACTGTCGAGCTCTCGACCTGCGACCACGGTGTTGTCGCCAAGGTCAAGCGCTGTATCATGGAGCGTGACCTTTACCCTCGCAGATGGGGCTTGGGTCCCATTGCTCTGGAGAAGAAGAAGCTCAAGTCCGCTGGAAAGCTTGATGTGAGTTTTCCATCTTACCTACCATCAAGGCGTTGACAGTCACTGACAATCTCTGTAGAAATACGGTCGGACCAACGAGGCCACCCCTGCCAAGTGGAAGAGCGACTACAAGGACTACAGCGCACCGGAGGACGCCTCAGAGGCGCAGCCAGCAACCGAGAATGTCTCCAAGGAGGAGCCGGTGGATGCACCGAATGAGACTCCGTCGTCTCCAAACAAGATGGAGGTCGATGACGACAAAGATGAGAAGAAACGCAAGAGACACGAGGGCGAAACCGCAGAGGAGCGAGCCGAGCGCAAGCGCAAGAAGAAGGAGAAGAAGGAGAAGAAGGAACGAAGAAAGTCCAAGCAAGACAAGGAGGACAGCGATGACAGCGATTAAAGCTTTTCAGGAATTCCCTTGCCTGACTCCGATCGCGAAGCGTTCCCACCATGAAAATGTTGCCGCGCTATCGAGTGTTCTTCTGTCAGGGATTTGTCAGGGCGTATTTCCTGTAACATACATTTGTTTCTTTTATATCGGAGTCCTGGGTTGAAAAGGGAATCAATTTTGATTGTTCTGCTATTTGAATCGTTTGCTTTAGGTTTAGTTTTGAGTGAACAGAACTTGTATTCCAGATGTTTGAATTTTAAAAATCCTCTTGAGACGCTTAATATCCCTCACTATGTTCAATTTATCTCAATAAGTGACGCGTACTGTGATGATTGGCCTAGGTGAGAGGTGTCGTGACCTTACCGATGTCTCCGCATCCAACAAGTGGAGTGACATGCTACCTTTATCCTCCCCTCCCTCTGCAAGTTTGAAGCCCACCAACCGATCAGGGGTGCAACTTGCCAATACTTTGACCTTTCCAGTATAATTTTTTTTTAGAAAATCGAATCAAGGAAACCTTCTCTATACCGCAGAATACGTTTTGGGCATCATGGCTGCAGAACTCACGTCAACCAAGCTCAATGCGGAGAACCAGCTTCTCTTGGTATGGTACCTTTTCTGTTTGCTCCCCCCCCCTCTTCTAACGTCTTTTCATCCTAGGACCAACCGCTTCTTCGATTACCCCATGAGCTTGCACGACGAAATTTCAAATCGGTACAGCGGATCGTGGAGCGCGAAAAGGAATATGTCGTTCCGGCACTGAAGGAGGCAGCCAATGCTTCCATGTCGGGCACTCAGACTCCAGAACAGACCCTTGCTGCCTTGGATGCTATGATATATCGCATGCAGACGCTGAAACGTAAAATGGAAACCCTACAGGAAGAAGAGAAAAAGATACACGGTCAGTCAAGAAGACGTATACAGCATCTGGAAGGTCTTCACCAGATTCCTAACTTGGCGGATGTCAAGTACGATCAGTGGTCAAGGATCAGACTGGATAGGCTGGTGGTAGATCATATGCTACGTTCTGGCTATCCTGAGAGTGCGAAGCAGTTAGCCAAGGAGAAGGACATTGAAGATCTTGTAGACCTCAACGTCTTCGTGCAGTGCCAGCGAGTTGCGGAGAGTCTACGTCTGGGCGAAACAAAAGATGCATTGCAGTGGTGCGGTGAGAATAAAGCGGCCCTGAAGAAAAGCCAGGTATGTCTGGTGTTTTTCCTACATTTCGCTTATGCATGAATCGAACTATCCTGAGCTGACTCGATATATACAGTATAATTTAGAGTTCGAATTGCGGTTACAGCAATACATCGAAATGATTCGGACTGGAGATAAGCGAAATTTTGTTGACGCTATGATGCATGCGAAGAGATATCTCACCCCATATATTGAAACCCAATCGACAGAAATCCACCGAGCTGCAGGTCTGCTCGCGTTTCCCCCGGATACGAAAGCTGATCCCTACAGGGTATGCACAAATTCCAGCATTTTACTTTGTGGGTGCTGAGCTGACAACCAATTTTGTAGTCAATGTATTCCCCAGATCGATGGACTTACCTTTCCAATCTCTTTATCCGCACTCATCATGAACTTCTGTCCCTGCCGTCGCGCCCATTGTTGCACATTGCTTTATCTGCTGGGCTATCAGCCCTCAAGACGCCATCATGTCATTCGGAATTCACTTCTTCTAGCTCAAATTCTTTGTCTACCACCACGTCCGTCTGCCCTATATGCTCCACAGAGTTAAATGAGCTGGCACGGAATATGCCATATGCACACCACACAAAGAGCTATGTTGAGAGTGACCCTATAGTTTTGCCAAATGGCAGAGTATACGGCCAACAGCGACTATTGGAGATGAGCAAGAAAGTCGGAGGTATTGAACCAGGCACGGTCAAAGATCCTACAACAGGCGAAGTTTTCGATGAAGTTGATATGAAGAAGGTTTACATCATGTAAATCATGGATCATACGGGTCAAATGTCCTGAAGACGGTGTAATGCTGGGCTCATTGTTCACTGGTTTAATCACTATCTTCACTATCGGATTCATTTCTTGGTCTCTTTTTGGCACTGACACCTGTCTTCGAATTCCGATTATTCCTTGTGACACCATGCCCGTCGTCCTGCTTCACCTCGAAGACGTACATTCTTGCTTCTCTGTCCTCTCCTCGCCAGCCGCCTCTCCCACCGTGTTTGCCTTCAACTTCGCCTAGAGTCCGCGCATGCGAGTATTTCTGGTAAGAGGCCCACGGGAACTTGAAGCTAGTGACAACACGTAAACCTGCATGCCGGGCGAGGTCTCTAATGTTCCACAGTGTATAAGGCTCACCCTCGAACATAGTCACTAGGATTTGCCCCGGCTCGGTTCTGATTTTGCTCTTCATTTGCTCCGTGACATTCTCAGCTGCACTTCCCTCGCTATCCTCGTCGGCTTCTGAGTCACTCTCATCACTGAACTCCCAATCCTCATCGTCATCGTGGATTTCAGGGGGTAATGACAATAATGGCACACATGCCTTAAAAAAGGCCACAAGGAGCTCTTGGTTTGCCCGAACTTGGCGATTCACATCTGTCGACAGACCACCAACATGGGGGAAATTAAAACAAATTAAATCCCAGGGCCCACCTTTGGGGGTAGAAGATGATTGATTATTATGCTTATGCCATGCAGGGCGTTTAGGCTCCGGTCGTGGGAAACCAGTGCGAATATCCTTTCCACCGCCAGTAGGCAGACCAAGTTTCCGCGCATCGACTGAGAAAAGGACTTTGGGTCCACGGTGTTTTTGTTTGGGGTCACTGTTACCTGGGGTACTCAGTGTATCTGTGTCATTGTGCTCCTTTCTGTTTAGCTTTTCTTCCTGTTCATCGGTGCCTTTTCTACCAGAGAAACCGGTGAGAATGTCTTTCAGATGATCCTCCACCTGCGGATACTTCTCACAGAGTTTTGCTTTGGGGTCGTAGCAGGTAGCAAGGACATCTCTGCAACGATGCTGGACGACCAAAGAACGGGCGAAGGAAAAATCCCCTGCTCGACCTACGTTAGGTGACGGTTGAACCATAATTTTTTAAACATGAAATGGAAAAAGCAATGTATGGGAAATAGGGTGACAGCCGGGAGGGGGGCAATGGGCTTTGATACTATCTTTGCCCGGGAAAATGCACCCTTCTCTAGACTGAGTGTGGGCATGATAGATTACTATAATCCGAACACATATCTTATTTATGGCCCAGATATTTCGAAATATAAAGCAATGAATTTAAGACTCGAGCTCGAGCCCCCCTCTCTTACCCCCCAAAAAATAAAAAGAAGAATTATGGCACCCACCTTCACCAATTAGTAAAATCCGATCTCTTTTCCCAAACGGTATGACTGGCCGCCGTTGCTGCTGATTTTTTTGTTTGCCGTTGTTGTTGCCATTCGATTTGCCCGACGATGTAGATAGTTTGGAAAAAGTGTGCATTTTTCGCCCTTTCTTGGATTGGGCACCATTGCCATCGCCACGTGGTGGGTTATGGGAATTTGGGATCCGCGCTTTCTTTGATTTGGGCATGGTCGTCTTATAAATAATAATACAGTGCTTTGTGTGGTCTCTTGTAACGGGAGATATATTATATATATATAGACGGAGGTGGTCAGGAGAGAACTGGAAAAAAAGATCTAGCCGTGCACGGTCAATATAAGTTCCGAGAAACCGCCATAAATTGACGAAGATAACCCTCAAGTGTATAATTAAACTCTATTTAGTTTAAATGTATAGGAATATAGATATGAATCGAGAATCAAAACGCTTTCTATAACCCTATTAAAGAGAATAAAAAAATAAAAAAAAGAAATCTGGTATATACAAAAATAGTGGCCCTTCTCTTTTCATCCAACATCAAGAAAGATCTATCTGGAATATAATCGCATTCCAGTCCTGAATAGAACAGCAGGTAAGAAACACACGCCTTGGCCACGTACCATTAACCAACATGGACAATTACTAGATAGTACTCGCAATAAACTGCGCAATCTGCGCAACAGAAGAGGCAAAAACAGCCAGATGAACAGAAGGACAAGAAAAGGAAAAGAAGCCCTCCTGATAGATCAATATGTGAAGGTAGAATACAGAAAATGCCACCCAACACCCCGCCAAAGTATAATGGTAATTGATCAATCAATAACCGTTCAAACTACCCTAGCTGAAAAAGAAACGTGAGTCATGTATCACATACGGTGATCCTCATCATTGAGACAGAATAGAACCAAAGGGGAGAGTTTTGAGTTTAAGTTGGCAATCGCATAGTTGCTCAAGATGTTTGAGTGGGTGTCACGACCAACGTTCCGTCTAACCACCCACCGCTGCCTTCTCTCTTCTTTAAGATCGTAGCGAATCTCTCATGCTCTGGCTGCTAGCACTGACAAGAGGGTTTGCAGTAGGCAGGGAACCAGTCTTCGGCTTGGCACTTTGCTTGATCTTAGCAACCGCGTAGACGATTCCACTGATGAAACCCACGACAATGGCAGAGACACTGGGGAAGGTCACAGGTGCATCGAAGAAAATCAAACCGGAGACCGCAATAGGCAGCTTGTTGAGAGCGCCCACCATGGAGTAGGTGGTCGAAGAGGTCACACGGACACACCAGGCGGAGGTGTAGGAAATGAACACCGAGGAAAGACCGGACAGGATCATGGCGAACCAAATACCGCTGCGATCGGTGGGGGGGAAGTTGCGGTCAACGTTGGTGGATGACCAGTCTTCGACGAAGAAGGTCAAAACCACAAGGACGGGGATCGACAGAAGATTGTTGTAGTACATGGCTGAATGGGTGGAGTGTCAGACAAAAAGTTCCTTAGATACACTATAACGGAAGAGAAAGAAAGCAAACATACTGTCGAAATCCTTGAAGTTGGTCAACTTGATTCTCTTGCGCATCCCCAAAACATAGGAGGAAGTGCAGAGGCAATTGATCATCATCCAAATATATCCGGCGTTCAGTGTCGAGACCCTGGCGGTTGCATCACTGGTACTCTCAACGGCATGCTTAATGTCGGCCCATGCGGCGATGATGGAGCTCACAACCATGAGTCCAAAGGAGAACAAGGTAAGACCGGTGACGGAGCCACCGAACCAGAGCACCTCACCGTAGGCAATGAGGATAATCGTCAAGTTCTTGAAAATGGTGTATACCGGAATCGAAAGAAACTGGAGGGCCTTGGAGCCAGTGTAGATCATGCCGATCAAAAGCAAGGTGATGGGAAACCCTATATTAAAAATAAAAATAAAAAACAGCGTTAATTCGTCTCTTGCGGTTCCACCGGGCTCACTCAGGGACACCTACACTTTTTGGCCTCGTCGGAATTGAAATCACGGAATGTTATCAGGCCAAATGTCTTGCATGTCTGAATCGCAACGATACAGACGAGGGACTGGCCAACAGTCAGCTCAATTTCGTGTATTAGCTAGGCATCATAGTCCTAGCCCTTCTTTTCTACCAACCACCCCAAACATACCTGAACACAGAGCAAGAAGAAATTGAGGTTGAAACCAGTGCCCGACAGAACATATTTGTTCATAACGGTCATCATAATAGAAGATCCGCAGTACGCCAGCACCGGCAGGATGGGATTGTTGCTCGGTGCGCTTCTGGGCTGGGGAGGCGGCGGCAGAGGTGCCTCAAAGGTCTTACTCCCCTGATCCATCTGAATCGTGAAATCGTCCGTTTTCTTGTCTTCTGCCATTTTGCTGGTTGTGACGCTTATTTGGGAAGAGAGAAAACAAGGATAAAAAAGAAAGTCGGAAACCGGTGGTGAAATTCGACGACGTAGAGGACAAACAGACGGTACACGGAGGAAGTGTAGTACACGGGCTTCTGAACGAAAAAAGGAGCAAACGAGAAGCGACTAGTTAGGAGAAACTAAAAAAAAAAAAAAGAAAAGAACGAATGTGAGAATGGAGGCAAATCTCCCTGGATGGGGACCAGACAGTCTGGGCGTATGGAGACAGAGTCGAGAAGAAACAGAGAAACCGTCAGAAGAAAGTCACATCTGGAAAGAGAACTTTGGGCTCTGGAGATTAATTGGAAGAATGGGAGACGTTCCGGAAGCGGCTTTGATTGGGGCGGATCTTGCTGACTGAGCGTGTTTCACCCTGAGTTTTGATATGCGATGAATATAGGATTTGCAGGAGTTGCAGATGATGCAGGATAATCATAAATCTCCAGGAAGATCATTCTACTATGAGTAAATCGAGATGGAATAACTGTGCCCCATACCCCGTAGTTTCACCTGGATGCTCCTCTGTTCTGAACCAGTTTGCATGCTAGACATTCCTTGTACTTGTAAAGATCTGGCGGTGATTCTGTTCTACAGCCATGCAGTGTGTAATGATCAGCTCTCTCTATTAGCAGAAAAGAGAAAAAAAAAAAAAAAAAAAAGACTATGGTACATACGCAGGGTCTAAAAATATATCTGTGAATTATTCGTTAAATGTTGAATGGCAGATATGAATATCCATCTCCTTCCTGTACACTACTTCCCGAGCGCACGAGGAACAGTAACTACTATCATCCATCATTATTGAATATTGACCCTCTACTCCACACATTCAACCCTCCCCTACCTATTCAATTTCCCGGCCTATTATTATTTTTTATAAAAGGCACCATTATACCAATCTAGTTGTCTTGAATCTCCCCTTTATCCAACCGTGTGGAAGTCTACAGAAATTCTTCTCTCCATAAAAAAGATACTATGAATCGTGACCACGAGCACAGAAATCGCACTCGAGATCAAGATGACGACTCAGACTCGGATGCTCTCTTCGAAGCCCTCGAAAATGAAGACGACTCGGCATACCGTGCCCAACGCATCGAGCAACTCAACGCCGAATTCTCCTCCGCAAAAACAAACCGTGATCCTTCCTCCTCCGCGGGGCCAACCCTCGTGAATAATGACAGTCTGTACCCCACCCTAAGCAGCGACCAGGCCCTACTAGACTTCACCACCCAGACCCATCGCTGCGTGGTTCATTTCGCTCATCCGGATTTCGCCCGATGTACGGTGATGGACGAACATCTTCAGGCGTTGGCTGCTCGGCACTACGAAGTGCGATTCGCTCGGGTCGATGTGCGTCATACCCCCTTTGTCGTGGAGAAATTGAGCATTCGAGTCTTGCCATGTGTCATCGGCTTCAAGGATGGACTGGGTATTGAGCGTGTGCTCGGGTTTGAGGGTCTGGGGTCTGGCGGCGAGGATGGGACCGAAGGGTTCAACACCACAACGCTGGAAAAGAGACTTCTACACAAAGGCATTTTGGCCAAATCGAAGATCAAGGCGGATGACCAGGGCTCAGATGATGACAGTGGCAGCGATGACGATGGTGGAAAACGAAGGAACAATCCTAGACGAGGTGCAATCCGAAGTGGAAACAAGCGGGATGATAATGATGACGACGATTGGGAATAAAGGAAAGGGACTGGGAGATTTATTGGCAACATAATAAAAAGCATTTGCATTTATTTCCTGGGGGGGTGCCCTTATTTTGAATTATCTCCATGCCGGACGACCAGGGTCTAAATATAAAGATGAACATATGTAATAAATATCTAGTTATAATGCTGTAACATATGTAATCAGTGAAGTCTGTCTGTACACAGAATCTACTGCCACAGTGCATTGAACATTTCGACTTTTAGTACAAACCCAAGGTCACAACGGATCAGGTATTGTCATTTGATATAGCATCGATGGGTAAACACATGCAGAGAACATCGTAGAACAAAGTCTTTGAAGTCTCCAACAAAAAGAAAAAAGAAAAAAAAAAAAAAAAAAACCACTAAACGCCAATCTGACCTCAAGGTGATGCCAAAGAAAAGGGCGGAGGGAAAGCGAGACGTCATATTTCTCGTCAGCTATCAAATCGACACTTGCAAAAACGAAACACCAATATTGCTCCACACACACACACACACACAGAATAGACCATGGAATAATCACAGCCGGATCGTAGGTTGACACCGCAAAGAAAGCCGGAAGGTGGGAATGATGTAGAATTGAAGAGAAGCGAAATGGAAATAGAACAAGACGCACTCGGAGGAGACTAATACTGCATGGTCATCAAGGTAAAGTTACAGACAATATGGATGAAAACAGGATCAAAAGAAACCATCTCGAATGAAAAAAAAAAAAAAAAAAAAAAGAAAAGAAAAGAAAAGAAAAATATGAAAATAAAAATAAAAACCAGGGAAAAGAGGTAGACTCCTCGGAAACACAGAACAAAATCTCACGAGAATGATAGAGAAAAGAGTTATAAATCTATACAAGGGGGCAGGTCAGAACAGTCTTACACACAAATCCATAAGCTCGAAATAAGCGCTATTACAGTTCAACTGTGAATGAGCAAAATAAAACAAAAAGCTCCTTGGGAACCTAAAATTGTAGAAACCGATCATCTTGGACATAACGCACCGAGGCCAGTTTAGATGGCCACATTTTTCATCTCGCCCAAGACTTCCGAGTCCAAGGCAGCTTCCGGTTCCTGATTCGATTCATGCTTTTCTGCTTTTTCTGGCTCCGAAGATTTTTGGTCATTCTCCTTTGCCAAAAAGCCCTCGTTCTCCTTCCCGGATATTTGTGGTGTTGCTACCTCCATCAGATCCTGATCTTGGGACTCTTTTGCGTTCTCTTTGGAGGACTCGACAGGCAGTTCAGTATCCGCACTGGTGTTCACAGGACTCGGAGCTTCTTCAGTAACACGGGCAAGAGGACTGGAGACGCCAAACTGTGTCTTGGGGCTTTGAGTAGATCCGCGATTGGGGAAACGGTGCGGCGATCTTCCGCGTTCTTCACCAGCTGTCGGACTCCCGTAGGGAGACTCTTTCCCGGACTTGCCGCCAGTACTAAGCCCAAGCCCATTTGGACCCTTGCGACGAGGGGGCCTCCGGCCGTACTTCTGGTCTGTTCTCCAGCGGAGAATTTCCAAGTATGGAGGCTCGACATTTTGAGCTCTGAACTCCTTCAACTTGAGCTCGTTGGTTTCTTCATCCACAATAACCTTGCCACTGCAAATATCATCCGCCATCACCGCAAGGAAAGCCGACCAGGACCGAGCGACAACGTATTTGCAATCGTAATCACGGCCGAAGATGATGACCTGGCCCCATTTTCCAGCAGGCCCAGGGGCCAGATCAATGGCAATGTAGTTACCACCCCAATCGCGCGCAAGGGGAATCCAAGCAGTGTGTGAGTAGGCCTTCTGAACTGCACCAGGAGGCTGGGAATCCTGGCGTTCAAGGAGATCCTGTTTCCACAACGGATTCGATGTTTGTGGAGGGGGTATGGAGGATGAGGAGCTTGCCGTGGCTTTAGGAAGGGGAGTATTCACCATGGTTGCGCCGCTGAGGATCTCTTCGTTGACGGTCCTCCAGTTCCTCCATTCCTGAACAATTTCCTCACAGTCCAAAAGCATACAGCTGAAGATAACTCCCGTGGGCAAACCTGGGCGTTCCTGGCCGTCATGGGCCATCAGAGATTCCCGAACCTCTAGTGGAAGGCTGCAATCCAATTCATGCTCCAACTCATTGATGTCATTCTGGGTGCAACCTTCACATAGGTTATCGAAAAGTTCTTCGTAGTTGCGCTCCAGCCATCGGTCGATCTTTCTCCACGAGTGGCCTACCGGGGGAGGAGGCGGGGCACCGTCATGGAAACTCTGCATCTGGATCTCACCAGCACCATCTGCTCCTTGATCATTCGATCTTCTCTTTTGAGAAGAAAGCGACCTCATTCCCGGAGAGTAAGGGCGGGTAGGAGAACCGACACCTGTAGGAGAGCCAGACCAGCCATTGGAGTTCGAGCTTGTTGAGGCCTTGGGTTGGTCGTCCTCATAGGGGTTTGTCAAATCGGGACGGGATTCAATGGCGCTCGTTGCAATGGAGGTCAGAGGGTCGTGGCGACTTTGACTAAGAGGAACATGTCTGCCAGTTCGATAAGGGGAATCGTGGGACGCATGTCTGTCATACGAAGTCATAGTATGCCAGAAAGAGCGCCATGCTGAATTAAAACTGTTGAAAGCCAACGAATTAACACCGGTTTGATTCAAAAAATCTTTTTCTTCTTCCTTTTACGTATAATGAAAAGAAAGTGTTCTTTCTTTGCTCTCACTCTTTAGAAAAGAGTTTGAGGTTAACGGGAAAAAAACAATACTTACACGTTCGCCATCGTGGACGCTCAGTCGGACAGGCGTGAAGTGATGGCAAAGAAATACCAGGACCTATGAACACCGAAGGCGGGTCATTGGAGGTGGTGATGGTCGAGTCCGATAAGGTGGATGAAATAGACGGGGCAAGACAGAAAGCAAGGGAGGGGTGGTTGGAAGAAGTTTTGCCAAAGAGAGAGAGACAGAGGAGTGGACGACAGGGCGTTGGCTACTACTGTACCAAGGATGACCTGAGCGTCCGGAGTACGGGTAGGAAGGAAGTGGAACAAAGGAGAGAGAGGGAGACGATGGAATGGATCAAGGGAGGGTGGATGGATATATTGAGAAATCGCTGATTGATGGAAAAGACGAAGACGATGATGATGATAACGATTTTCAGGGAAGAAGAAAGAAAGAAGGGGAAAAAAAAAGAGCAAGAAGATTATGAATCTATGATTGGGCTTCTGCGTGCTTTCGCCGTGACTTCTCCTGGCTGGTTAGCGTGCGTGGGCTGGGCGACGCCGGCATCCACGATTTCGCACTGGAGCCCCTGGGAAGGCGCCCGCAAGCAGTGTAACCAACAAGGCGATTATGACGATGCGAATGGAGAATGATATACCCAGACCAGACTCCGCTGGAAGAAAAGATAGAAAACAGAATCGTCTTTGATCGAGAGAGCCAGAATTGCAACAAACAACCGGAAAGGGTGGCTTAAAACGTCCACATTCTTTGGGGTTCCGTCAACGGTGCCATAGACGGATTGTGTACCCCCTTTGGACAGGAACTTGATAGAGGATGATAATCTATGATATAATTGTTATTTGGACTGTTTTGTTTTATGCTAAAAATAAAATGATATCAGTTGCATAGTTCTTCATAGTCCTGCGTCTCATGGCCTCTTGTCTGGAATCTGGATACATCTTCTGGAGGTATTATTATCGAGCATCCCATTGTGGTAATTCTAATAATATATTGAAATATTGGCTTAGGGGATAGTTAATATGATCTTTTTTAAGACTCGGTCTCCATCGTCCACTGGTCTATAGGGAAAGCGTCGTGACAATCATGATATTCTTATGGGCACCGTCCATCAACTGCTGGATAGTGTTAGCATGGGTTAGGATCTCTCGGCATCCAGAGCAGTTTAACAGTGGATCTCCAAGATCTACTGTAGCTTTCTTCTGCACTTGTGGCGTTCTGGTTAATTTCCATCACGGGCTCATCATAACTAACAACCCGGACAAGTCATTTGTTTTCCTACCTACTACCCCGTATTGCAGTATATTGATGTATGTAGCAGCAGCCCTTCTGACTCGCATTATTCCCCATGGAATACCAACAATTAAGCCTCTGGCAACGCTTGGCTGTCGACCGATTATGATACCCAGTGGAGAACAATTATCAACTAGGATCCATCATTCGCCGTTGGAGAAAATAAATGGGATGCACCGGTGGCCATTTGGAACGCTACACGGCGGCCTTAGGTTGGGTCTGGACCCGGTGTTACAGTACCAGGGAATCGGCGATACACCCGTCGGTTTCCAGGTTATCCTTCTGTTTACTTAACCCCTCGTCATTTATAAGGGGGGCATAAACCAACATTAAGGCAATTTCGAAGGGAAATATATATATATATATTGGGTCAATTATAAAAGGACAAAGGCAAGGCGGTCATACTTTGACATCCACCCACAGTGTTCAGGTATTATTATTACAACAGAATTCCGAAATTAAGCCCCAATTGTTATGGAGAATCATCGGATATTTGTATGATTGTATCCATATTAATTCCAGAACAGGACCCAACAGTTGGCGCTGCATAGTGTCTATGCTTCCAAGTCATGGAGTATCCACGGCAATATAAAGCTGGAGGACGGTCCTCGGATAAGGAGCGAATGTATTGAAGAAACGAGTGTATTTCACATCACGAAGAGAAGACCGGGAGTGTAGGTAGGTTAAAAAAAAAAGACTGGACAGCTGGTAGGAGTCCGACATCATCGAAAACTACCGGAGTGGTCGGGTGTATCGAGACCAGAAACAGCCAAAGGAGGCTCAAACAAAAAGGCATATATCAATATCACATCCGGTCATCGCAATTCTTTTCTCACAGAGAGAAATTGCGATGAACGACACCCCCCAAATGCATGTACAGGCAGAAAGACAGAGACAAAGAAAAATACACAAGGTAAGAAGTGGAAGAGAGCGAAGTGAAGACACGGAGAACAAAAGAATAAAAATCAGAAGAGATATACCGAGCGGCATCGACAACGAAACGATAAGTTGCCAGCGGTCTTCGGTTGCAGCCATCAGAAAACTATCCCAAACCAAGACTCCGAAAAGAGCACTCAAAAAGGAACCAGACTCCGGGTTCGATGCAAACAGAGGGTATACAGACAACCCCACTAAAAGACCGATAAACCCCGTCAATCACTAGAAAAGCAAACGCTACCAAAGTGAACCACGGAGAAGAACACCGAGAATCCTGCCATAAGAAAGGATAGAGACGAAAACTAACCGCCGGGGGGAACCATAGACAAAGGGGGCAAAAAGTAAAGAGAAAGAAAAAGATATTGCAAGGAAGACAAAGTTTGAAATAGGGACCAATGAAAGGCCCTTATGTTAGATGTCGACCCCATGGTCGATTAAATTTCAGAGATCGGCCAGGAGATGATCAATTCCTTCATTGCTAGGCTCATAAAGACCGTATTGGGCCGTGTAGCCGCCTTCTGATCTTGATTTATTCAGGCGAAAGAGCTCTGAACGCCACTTGATGGAATACCTGGGTTCACATCAAGTTTCAAGATTTTCCGTAAATCATCTTCCATTTTTTTGGTATCAAGAGTCTGCGAAGACGGATTCGTCGCCGGCATGGCTCGTGTTTCAGTCGGAGTTTCATACATTGGATGTTGTGGGTAAAGCTTGACGAAGTTGGGTTGATTGTAAGTCGCATAAGGTGAGGAAAACTTCGCGGCCGGAACGCCTGCCATGTTCAGAGAGCTCGATGATGGAACCTCCTTCCTCAATGCCGATTGCTCAGGCCGAACTTGCTGAGGGCTACTCATTTGTGCATACGGGTAGGAATAGTGTACACCATTCCCAACCGCTGGTTGCTTTTGCTCGTATGAAAACCCATGAGAAAGGGTGGCTGGCGGGCCTGAAGTAGTTCGTAGTGGAGTCGCGAAGTGAGGCACGTTCGGACTACCATTCGGGGGCTCTTTGAAGCTCGTAGCTTGATTGGGAACGATAGGCGACGCAGACGAGGGCCGCTGGGGACGAGGGTTGAGTAGCAGACTCTTCAAAGCTTCGGTTTTAGCCCGCCGTTCATCCTCTTCAAAATTGGTCGTGAATTGGGATGGAGTGCTAGCGGACCGCAGTGCATTCATGCGATCTTTATAAGATGTTGCAAATGAAGGACCGATCTGCGAACTGCACATATCTGAGTTTTCCATCTCCAGTGGAAACATACCGCCAGCCATGCCGTTGTGTTTGCGCTGTGGGAGAGCCTTGGAATCGGTCTGAGGAGAGCGAATTCTGCTGATAGCTTCAGGACTGCGCTGTGCATTGGATGAGTTCCTAGCCTCAACAGCAGCCTTGAAGAGGAAATCCAAGGGTGTCGATTTAGGCTCCTGTTCGTTGCGATGAGGGCGCGATTTCGGTTTCGAAGGAGTAGTTTCAAAGTCGGGTTCTGGCTCGGTTTCTTGGTTGTCGCTGTCTGTTTCGATCGCCGGGGGGAGGTCTGGATCAGGCATAGATTTCGAGAAGAAACTTGGCATTGGGAGGGCAGAGGGTGCCGGCGATGCATGGAAAGTCGGGCCTGCATAATGAGGGCTGTCTCTCATTTGAGGCGTGGTGGAATTTGGATGCGAAGACGTATGTCGATGAGCATTATTAGGTGCCGGGGACGCTTTAGGTGCATCCCGTGGCTTCTTCGCAGACCGTCCATTCTTTTTCTTAGATAGATTGGCGTTGTTTGATGAATCAGTAGTTGTTCCCCCAGGGCTCAAATTTCTCGGAGGCGACGACGGCGGGGTTGTCAAGAGGGCGACTTTCTGTGTATAAGGAGTTGTGTTTTTCTTCTGGTTGCGACGGTTGTTATTACTGCGAGGCCCCTTTGGTGTGGGGGGAGTAGGAGATTGAGTCGACATGACGACAAATTGGCTTAATAAATATGCAGCCTTGGAAAGAAACTTGAAAGAAGCGATAAGAAAACAACAGCGGATTGGGGAAAAAAAAAAAAAAGCAGTGAGATAATAATAATATGAATAAGAATAGTATGAAGAAACAGTAACGAATCGATCGTATTACTGCCCAGCAGTCGGTATTGAATACTTCAACGCTAGAAAAGCAGAAGTTGATAAGACCGATTCCGAAGCGCCGTGACGTTCAAAGGATGGCAACCCGGTCAAAAACGGGTTCGAAATATTTCGTCTATTATTGGAATCAAAGAAAGCGCAAGGAGAGTAAAAATCCGAAACTCCAAAAAATGCTCATATCTAGCTAGGTAAAGGCGGAGAGAGGAAAGAGGAGACGGATGAGCATTATAGGCATTAGTGACGGTGATGGGTGGTGGTGATGATTCGAACCTTGGAAGGGCGGGAGGACAGGAAGGCTGGGGATCTTAGCGGTCGTTCACGTTTGTTGGTACCTAAGCGGGGATTATGGATGACTAACCATTGGGGCCCTACGCCACTTCACTGTTCTGACTGCTTGAGATATGCTGGATGCAAACAAAACCAAACAGTGTGTGCAATCACAAGGTAACAGTCTTCGCTACGAAGGTACCAGGCATCCTTCCAACTCATAGAGTCCTTGGTCTCTTTTGATTTCCAGCCGTCCACAGCTCATTGTCTCTGAAAGGTATGTCAACCTCATAGCTGCCCCTCGACCGCTTACTTTCCGATTTCGACGATGCCAACACTTACGTCAGTACAACAGCCCTGACCGCAACGTCCAATCTTGTTATTCACCCTAGCTACGTAATCACTACAACTGCGTGCCCCTCTGCTACACTTGTCCCAACCATCGTGGGCCTCGGCATTTTCAGCGGATCTTTGTAAAAGCAACAAGGATAGTGAAATAGACAACATGGCCGACGTGGAGATGAAGGAAGCCACTGCCGGAGCCTCGTCCAAGGCTAAGGGCTCGTCCAAGGCCGCAGAAGGCGCCAGCGAAGGCAAGAAGAGATTCGAAGTAAAAAAGGTACGGTTGCAGAATTTACAACTGTTCTTGGGTCCATTGGACTAACTCCGCAATCATTTTTAGTGGAACGCCGTTGCTCTGTGGGCATGGGATATTGTCGTCGACAACTGTGCGATCTGCCGCAATCACATCATGGATCTATGTATTACATCTTTCTTATCAGTCGTGTCATGGGCTTGAAACTAAACGATTTTGATATAGGCATTGAATGTCAGGCAAACCAGGGTTCATCTACAACCGAGGAGTGTACTGTGGCCTGGGGAATTTGCAACGTAAGTTGAGACTGAATCCACGTTCTGCTACTCAAAAAGCATTAACAAAAGCCCCTCCTTTCAGCATGCTTTCCACTTCCACTGCATATCACGATGGTTGAAGACTCGCCAGGTCTGCCCCTTGGATAACAGAGACTGGGAGTTCCAGAAGTACGGTCGGTAAACAGCAGACCCTCAGGTACAGGAAACAAATTCAAGTATGAAGTGTGTGCTGGCTATCATGGGCCTGTGCATGATCCGTTACAAGACATGGACACACATAGACTATTATGGACCCGCCCCGAGGATGCGGTCTTGAAACTGGACGAGATAAGGATTCTGGGTGGCGTTACGGTTAAAGGATATTTCAACCTTGCGATACTGGGGTTTGGCGGTGCGTGCATAATGGGGTTCCGTGAGAACAAGTGGATGTGTGACAGTAATACCATCCATAGACACTTGATTGAACCACCTAGAGAACCTGGATGATATTCTATGCAACTTTGACCCCATCTACCACAACTCCTGCACCACTAGCCCTTCCGGTCGCGGGGACAAGCCATTTCTCGGGGTTTTTATTGTACATAGGCCACGGAGGGATGACAGCCAATGCGGTTACGAGAGTACCAGCCAAGCCGATCCAGAGTGTAAGATAAATGTCTTCGTAAATGAACCCAACGACGAAAGCGACAGCCTGTAGAATAACACGACCGCGTTAGTAGCTTACTTGACATTTTGGAAGTTGAATTATACTCACTCCAGTAATAATCAATAGAACAGTACAGAGGATCTCAGCGATACGTTGACCGTGAAAGTCCTACTCGTTCCCACGTTAGAAATCTAGGCCCAAATGGATAGGTGGCTGGATGGAAAATGATCGAGGTGGAGAGAACGTGCGACTTACAATTTGGCCTTCAAAGACATCTTGAATGGGTGCGAGGATGTCATCCATGGTGAATAGATTTAGCACACAGGGAATACGCTCCTTCCTGTGATGTGGACTGATTGATGGTAATTGAAGCTTTGTACTGTACCTATGTACGGGTGTTAAGGTAGGCCTGGGGCGGAGTGGAGTATCTTGAGCGGATCTGCTTCCCACCGCCTGGCGATGGCATCTAGAAACTAAGGTACCTACAGTGCAAATTGATCACTACTAATCATAGGAGTGAGTTGCTTAATATTACTTCAGTAAATATTTACTATTGTGAATCTCATAAATGAGCTCAGCTCATTTCACATGGATCCATTATTAGTAGGTCCTGGGTACATCACCAGCCAAAACAGCCACCATCTGCAGATGCTCAGTTAGTGATAGGAAGCTCATATACAACCTCAGTCCATTTAAAGCTCCAACTACTCAGAGAGAGCTTTTTCTATAGGTCTCACGTCATACATCCAAAATGCGAGAGACTTTTGACCGCTTGCTCTACATACCATGATTTATGAGAGGAGATAAATAGGTAAACCAGGGTCTTATGTGATTGTAGTTGGGTAAGTTAAAGTATCTTTCGATACTCTAGTACTAGGTAGGTACCTGTAGGTATACTGTCTAGGTATAATCTTTAGTTTTTGATATAATTTGATTGGCTGGATAAATTTCATGATATGCCCCTCTTGAGGTAGCCCAAACGTTTATTAAATATCGCTCTCATCATCCATACTAAAAGCCTATCATTAAATGGCTTGCCATGATATTTAAAGACTTTTTATTTAGGACAAATTTATGGGGAAAATGCTTTTTCGTCCAATCACTTAATATTGCACTGTGGTACCCGCTTGAGCAGGTTCAAGCAGTTTCCATTGGCAAGAAATGTTGTTAGACGCAAACCGGGAGATAATGCGGTCTGCAATTTCCGTGAAATGGTCAGTCGCCAATGCGAGAATGGTAGGACCTGCGCCTGAAAGGCAGATACCCAGGAGGCCTGGCTGTGTGGAGGGGTTCATGGACTGAAGGATCTCGGTCAAGCCTGGAATAAGAGTCTGGCGGTAGGGCTGGTGGACTTTGTCCTGCATAGCCAAATAGATCATATCGGGGTCAGGTGGGGATTTGCCCAGGGCGGCTGGGAGTAAGGCGGCACGCTGTAGATTGAAGACCTAGAGGATGGAATCAATATCGGATGGATAGCTCATAAGTCTCCCCGGAAATGCTTACAACATCCGCTCTGGAGTACATGGTGGGCAGAACGTTTCGAGCGTTTGCAGTTGGCACCACAAAGTCCGGAATGATGGCAATGGTTTTGATTTCCTTGGCCCAGTCGAACTTCTTGTAGTGACCAATTCCCAACGGCGGCTCTGGCGGTTGTTTACCAGTATCAATACCACCTGCGGGGGCAGGCAGAACCTCACTGAGAGGGATCTCTTTCCGAGCTACGTCTTCAGGCTTAAGTTCATTAAGGTAGGTTCCGACGAAGCCTCCAAAGAGCGAAGCAGCAACGTTGTCCGGATGACGCTCTAGAAGAAAGGGATTAGTATACGAGTAGATTCACTTCCTCCCCCCAAGAGGCATCTCTGCTGTCCATATGGCCGGGCTACTCACCAATCATTAAGCAGTAATCCAGTAATCGGTCCTTGCTCAGTCCCAAGCGGCCTACTTCATTTCCGAGCATCACACCGGCCACCACCGCTGTGCCAGACGAACCAAGACCCCGACCTAGAGGAATGGGGTTTACGATATGAACCCGTGTTTCCACGGGGAAAGCTCTCTGGTCGTGGCATCTAAGTACGTACAGAGCTACACGGGTGATCAGGTTGACCTCTGGGTCAAGACTGATCTTTTCGGTACTGTTGCTCTGGTCGTCATACGTAATCGCACAGTTGAGGGGGCATTGCGACGACGACTTGGAGGAGTCGATTGTGACATGAAGCTCGAGATGAAGGGATAGAGCCAAACCGATCACATCAAACCCAGGTCCAATGTTGGCGGACGAGCAGGGCGTTCTGATAACGAAGGAGGAGGCCATTGCGGGGTAAGACGCTTTGGTGTTTCTTTTTTTCACGAGACACAAGAAAGGAATAGAGCCAATGAAGGGTGGCGGAGAAGAGAAAGGGAACTTTGAATGATAGGTATCCTACCCCTCCGTCGGTGTAACGTGGGTATAAGCAAGTTATTATTATCGATGACCGATCTGAAATCTGATTATGACTCTTTTTTCTTTTTTTCCTTTTTCCCCCCTCCCTTTGCTGCGAGCGAGTTGGCGCTTGGCAATAAAATCTCCCACTTTTTTCCCACAATCCAGGCCGACGTCGGGCACGGAGTGGAGCGTCCACGGCTTGTTTTGTCCCTAACAGACAACGGGAACAGGCAGAACCAGTGAAGATGGACCATCCAGCGGGATCTACTTTGGAGATGCCAAAATTCCTCGATCTTGTTGGTCTGTCCAGTCATGCATCGAGGCCAGATGTGCTACTACCGATGGTTCGATTCCAATCACCAAGGTCGATGCCTTCTCACCGACTCGATTATGGCTGCATGTGCCATACATGTTATACGGGCGATGGTGAAACCACATGGCGAATACCCCCCGGTCAGCCCTAACTACAATCGTAGTGGTTTTACCATCAAAATTACCAGACGGGGAGATAGAAATGCAAAAAAGAAGAAATACTCCGAAGTTTAAGATAAGAAACGAAAGCAAGATGATGGGAAAAAAGAAAACATAATAAAACCCTCATACTACCACAGAGCGCTGTTATTATTAGCGACTGGCTAAACCTCACCTGGACTGTCGCCGACGCGGCCCGCCATCAAATTTTTTGCTGCTGCTTCAACGAAAAGGTCACCGTTTTGCCCTCAGTGGTCAAGCCTGCCCTGCCCCTCTTTTCTCCTTTTAAGCTTTGTCTCCTGCTTTTTTTCTCCTGGGAAAAACCACTTCCACATCATTCTCACCTCCATAGGTGATTCCTACTCTTATTATTACTTCTGAATTGTGTCCGTGTTCTTTGTTGAGTTGGCCTGCGTGGACGGTGACTTCGCAACCGGCCTCCGTGGATCGAGAGGTTCCCGCCACCTAGATTCCGACATTATCACTTCATTACTTTCGATTCTGCAAGTGTATTCCATAACCTAATCCTGTGTGGGGGTTTATCTTCTTATATTGTTTCATCCCCTCGTGTCCATTGCCTCCCTCTGCCCTCAATTATCTGCTTTTTGAACGAGTTGAAGCATCAACGTCATCGGCAGTAGAATCCGCCGCGAAACGATCGAAAGTCTTTGGGGTAAAAAAAAAAAAAAAGACCTATCCTTGTCGGTTTTCGATTCCTCTGCAACTCTGGAGCGACCGCGCTTCTTTCAACCCTACTCAGTCAAGTTGGCGGGGCTTCGCTACTTTCAGTCCTCTTTCCTTCACCCTCTTCTGGGCCCCAAGTTCCGGGTCTTCTGCGGGGGCGACACCAGACCCCCTTAACTAGGCCTTCAGAGCGACTTGACTCTGGCGGACATACGCGCGCCGGTAACGCCAGACCCTTCCGAGGGGTCTGGCTGATGGATGGAGGAATAATACCCCCAGGGACTTGTTCACCCATTTTCGTCTTCTATTAGGAGACTAAGGGCGAAAAAGAGACAAACAAACAGAAGGAAGAGCTCTGCTTTGACAGTCAATTGACCAGTTCCATATATTTGCGAAAACATTGCTCCAGCCAAAATGTCCGAGTCTCCAAGGTCCGAAAAGGAAATTTGCCTGACCCGGTTCAGCACACCGGTTCCTGAACTGGACGACCATCGCTTTCAGATGGATTCCCCGCCCCGAATCGAAACTGCCCCGGATGTTCCCCTTAGCCCACAGAATACCGCTCAGCAGGGCTTGACCCCAGACACACCCCAACGCCCGGAGTTGCTCCAGGTCCAAGATGCTCTTCGTGATGCAGGGTCTTTCTCCCGGGACTTTGAGCAGGCAATTGTGGATGATGATCGATCAGGCCAGGATATCAACGCTATCGGACGTCGAATCTCCGTTGACCCTGCTGGAAACATTCGCCATGTTCGGACGTACAGCCGAAACCAGCAAGATATTGCGAATTTATCGAGGGCATCTTCTGTCTCGGCTAGGTCAACGTCTCCCCCCAATTCAGTGGAAGCTTTTGCCGACCCACGCCGCCGCGAGCGTGCAAACACTTTGGAAAGCCACGCGCCTCCAGATCTCGAGGCCATTCTTCAGCGGACGGTATCTGGTGGCACCCATCCTCGTCGTCCGACTTTCAGCAATGCCAGTGTCGTCAGGCCCCAGCCAGGAGATATCCAACTAGACCCGGAAGAGGCCTGTCTCCCAGTCTATGAGCAGCCCGGCAGGATTCCAGTTATTGACTATGAAGAGCTGGAGGAATTTGTGGCTTTGAACAAGAAGACGAAGCCTGCAGCAACCTGGCGCAGACACAGCTTGAGCTCGCAAAGCAAAGGCCCTCGCGTGTTTCACGACCTTCGTCCGGGGGCCAAGAATTCGATTATTGATGGAGCCAAACAGGCGTCGAGTACAGAACACTCCTCATCGGACCTTGCACGCCTGGACACCAAAAAATCGGAGAAGACTCCCGGCCATGTTCTGGATGAAAAAGAATCGCTCAATAATCTCCAGAATGAGAACGAGCCAAGCCGATTTGGCTTCTTTTCTTCTGGGTCGCAAAGTACTGTGCATGCTTCGGAATTGGGCGATCTGGTGCTCCCTGGGGACACCTTCCGGGATCTCTTCCAGCTTGGACCCGAGGGAGGTGTATGGTGGCTCGACGTCCTGAACCCTACCGAAGCAGAAGTCGACGCTCTTTCCCGAGCTTTCTCCATCCATCCATTGACAACGGAGGATATTATGACCCAGGAAGCCCGAGAGAAGGTCGAGCTCTTCAAACAATACTATTTCGTCTGTTTCAGGACCTTTTATCAGATGGATAAAACAAAAGAGGAGTTCATGGAACCTGTCAATTTTTACATGGTTGTCTTCCGCGATGGCGTCATCTCGTTTTCCTTCTCCGAGAACCCTCATGCCGCCAATGTTCGGAAGAGAATCGGAAAGCTTCGCGACTATGTGTCCCTTAGCAGCGATTGGATATGCTATGCCATGATGTGAGCAATCCCTAATCCTATCATTCGGTTAGTATAGCAATCAAATCTAATGCCATTTAGTGACGATATTGTGGATAGTTTCGGCCCCGTGATCCGGGAAATCGAAGTCGAATCCGAGGCCATCGAAGACTTGGTGTTTATCGCGCGAGTCGACGATTTCGAGTCCTTTTTGCCTCGTATTGGAGGGCTGCGTAAAAAGGTCATGAGCTTGATGCGCCTTTTGGGCGGCAAAGCGGATGTTATTCGCGGTTTTTCCAAACGTTGCAATGAGCAATACTCGGTAACCCCACGAGGAGACATCGGTCTCTACCTTGGTGACATTCAAGACCACGTTGTGACCATGATGTCCAACCTGGCCCATTTTGAAAAGATGCTCAGTCGATCTCACACTAACTATCTTGCGCAACTGAACGTGACCAACCTGGTGTTAGGAAATCACGTTAACAAGGTTCTGAGCAAGGTCACCTTGATCGCAACTATACTGGTTCCAATGAACCTGATTTGCGGTCTGTTTGGTATGAATGTCGAAGTCCCTGGTCAACATACCCCGGGATTAGGGTGGTTCTTTGGTATCCTTGGTGTCATCGCTGGCGTGGTTATGATCAGCGGTATCGCAGCACGCTATTATAAGCTCGTATAGGATGTTTTGTCGCTGCATGACTCTTCGATCACCTTATCATTTTCTGATTTATTCCATCATATATAATTTGATAGATCATAGTTTGGATATATTCTCCGAGAAATAAAAGTTTTTTCTGGAATACTTACTACATAAACAGTTATTTCAATTGGACTTGCCGCTCTTTCTAATTCTGTACGGTGTAATTTTTTTTTTTTCTATTTTAATTTTTAGTTTTGTTGTTTTGCTGTACATATACTCCGTACATGACTGAAGTGCTGCTGTCGCTGGCTGTGACTGAAAAATAGACAATGTGGGCGCAGACTAAAGCACAGTCGCATGCTGTACGCCAGGAAGAAGAATGAATCCATATAAATCTCAACAGTATCGAAATAGCTCAACCTGCCGGACATAATCAACCACCATCTAACGTTATTCTGATATTCCCTCGTTATTTTGAATTTATGAAGCGTTCTGTTTTGACTCGATCGAACGTCACTGACATTGTTAACAACTATCCTCTCATGACCTAGCAGGCATCCATCAATCACGACTCTTTTCCCAACAAACCATCATTGATGTCTTATCTCCGCAATTTCGTGCTATAATCAGAATTTCCATGCGACTCAAACCCGCGCTCATGCAGTATCGCCTTGCTGCAAACACCCGCGCAACACTCTTGCTTTTCGCCTTTCCCTTCGTCCTCCGCCTCGCCCATGCGGCGGACTTCACACCCTTGGCCGCTGAAAACCAAACCAACTTGATCCCCAGCAGCGAGGGCCTGGACGCTTCGTTCCCGCTTGGATCCTATAATGGATTGGAAATCCGAGATGGTGCAGACGAATCGGAAGGCACAGGGGTGTTGGATCTTGTACGCAGAGCATCGTCCTCTGACGACGCATCGTCTCTAGGGAACAACCAGTTTAAGCAAAGCACCGTTAAGATTGGAGATACTGAATGGTGGTATCTTCCCAAGAAAGAACTGAGCAGCGAAAAGTCCAACAACGCCAGCCCCGCGCTCCCCGCATTTCTCTCGAAGACAACGGACAATGAGAATGATTCCAGACAAGATCTAAGGAAACGAAACGGCGGCGTTTCGAGGCGTTCGACGCTCGTCTATATATCTTTGACTGCTTGCTCGAAGCCTGACCTCGATACTACAAATACGGATCTTGCGTCTGCGTTGCCGCGCCTGGAGCTTTACGTCTCATCTGAGAAACCTCAGAAACCTAGCCCGGGGGAAAATACGAACCAAGGAAAACATGTAGCTGAAGGGGGGTATATTGCAACCACTATGGAAGCTGATGGGGATGTGTATATCGGGGTGACAGTTCAGAATGCAACGGGGTACTCGGGAGGCTACGACTATCAGATTGCTGCATCGGTAGATGCCTTCTTTCATCGAATTAAACATGACGATCGTGTTCTGTTCTTCATCGATTCTGACAATAATGCAGCCCTTCTGACGACAAACAACTTGACGGAATCGTCACCAGGCTCTGATAACTACAATGAATGGATGGCCACCACGCCTCCGTATACAATGTTCGCCAACAACGTCAATGATACGTCTATCTCCGGGTTGGAACGATCGTGGTGCGCCCTGGACAAATTGGCTCAGATAGGCAAGGGGAATAAATCGCTTGAAGTGAGCATGACAAGCCGAGGCCTTTCAAATAATCCAAAGGAGCAATTCTACCTTACTGATTTGAATCAAAGCTCCACGTATTTGGGGATCCTAGCAATGGATGGCAATTCGACTGATTCAGGGAATGGAGTCGTTGGCGGAGGTGGGACAGTCTGGAAGCCGATAAGCTTTGAGACCAAATCAGGTTAGCAAGTTCTGTCACGAACTGCAAACCAGAAGAATAAATGACTAACTTGAATGCAGATGACAATTGTGCCGTTATCTTCGACTTGTCGTTCTGCACCGACGTTGCATATGCTGTGCCGTCCAACCCGTCATTCAACTTGTCGCATCTTAAGACCACATACGATGACTATGCGCAGTCCTTTTACAAGAACTTTAGCTATTCGCTGCAACAAGTGCAATGCGACGCTGACCCGAGCAACATGTTCTCCTTGGCCGTCAACTGCAGCAACTGTGAAGACGCATATAAAGATTGGCTTTGTGCTGTGACCATCCCCCGCTGCACAGATTTCTCCAACCCTGATACATTCCTCCAAACACGAAACGCCGGCCAAAAGTTCCTTAACGGAAGCACCATCCCTTCAAACGATCCACTGCGCACGCAGCCTGCGTCAAACTCCTCGCGCAACAAGATGATCGACGAAACCATCCAGCCGGGCCCATACAATGAGATCCTCCCCTGCAAGGATCTCTGCTACAACCTCGTCCAGAGCTGCCCGGCGTCGCTCGGCTTTTCCTGCCCCTCAGGCAAATGGCTCAATTCCTCCTACGGTTGGCGGGTCCCAGACGGCGATGTCACCTGTAGTTACCCCGGAGCGGCGTATTTCTTGATGAGCGCGAGTCAGAGTATCCATGGTTCTGTCTGGTTTGTTCTATATACAATAAGTATCTTTTGGGGGTTTTTCTGGTCTCTCGGTTAGGGTTGTCGTTACAAGATCTTACTTGTTAGGCTATCCTACAACAGAGTTCAGGTAGAAGAGGAGGACGGGAATTTGTACAGTTATTCTCTGCCCTGGAGATTTACCTGATGGGCATTGGTCAGGACCAATACTTCATGATACCCACGATGTTGTGTTATGATTAAGTTGAATAGCGTCTACTTGGACTGAAGAATATTCATAGTATTGGTTAATTTTTTTTATACGCGGTCTCACTTTTATACAATATTAAAGCTCGATAAGATATACAGCAAAACTCCAAGGTATCTATTTAGTCATCAATCGGAACCTAATGTACATGCGTTTAAAGATAGAAAGGAAGAGCAAGTGAGTGGAATCACTTCCTCTTCGGAGTAGGAGTCCACATATTCTTCAGATTCGAAGAAGACGATGAGCCTCGAGGCGTACTCCCCACTCGTTGAAGTAGCTTCTGTCCTGCAGGTGTCAACGTCTTCTCCTGCCCCCCCGACCCCGGTATCGCAGAACCAGGCGTACGGAGATTCAAATTGATTCGTGGACTGCCGGCGAAGCGCGGGATGACGGGAGATCGGGTCTCACGGGCAGATTTCTCCGCGCGTTTCGTACGAGCGAACCGGTCGACCATGCGGTGGTGGAGGTCTTCTCGTTTGCGATTTCCCTTTATCTCAAATGGGTTGGGGGTGGAGTCGCCGGAACCCAGAATTTGAAAATCGATATCTGATGCCCTGGATTCGGGCTCGGGTTCTGGTTCGTCTTCATCTACAAAGGCATAGCCGTTCACTCGGGGCGTTTCGCCGCCTGTATACCCGACATCTGATTCGGTTGGACGAGGACGACCCGCGATAGCATCCTGGATAGCTGATATGGACGGGGATGGCGGAGGAGCCTGCGCAGCCGCAGCTTGGAGATCCGGATCAGGCAACCGGGTATTCTGATGCAAAACACGCTTGGGTCCAGCCCGTGACGCCGTTTCTGCCTTTTGCGCAATCGTCTCATGAGTATCTTCAATAGACGAAGGGAGAAACATGAGCGAATTCTCCGGCCGGACCTTCCACGAGTCCGGTTTAGCAGGTCGAGCATCCATGTCGGTTTTAAGGACCAATTGTTGCTCCTGCTGTTCTTGCTGCGGCATTTCACCTCGCGCGGCGATCCGTTTCGCCTCTTGTCGTTGATGGGCGATTTGTTGTGCAGAAGGGACCTTGTTTCCATTCCAGAGCCAGGCGTATTTCTCCCTGTGTTTCACATTTTGCTTATCGAGAAGTTTATTAAACGACTCGTTATCTTCACTGGTATATTTAGCCTGGAACGCCTGCAGACCCAACCGCGAGACATCAGGAATCTCCTTCGGCGGTCTCGCTTCTGTCGCCGTCGTCGTCGCAGATGATGTCGAAACAACAGACATGGGCGTATCCCCTCCCCACCCAGCGGGCGTTTCATCCGGTCGTCCTCCAGAAATCCGCGGTGTCATGTTCCCCTTCTGCTTTGTTCTTGCAGCATTCCCCGGCGTCATCAACCCAGCCAGTTTTTGTTTCGAACTTGCGATCCATTCTTTATCCTTGGATTCTACCGCTTCCAGGTATTCCTGCTTTATCTGCGTCTCCAGTAGACCGGGGAAGTAATCTCTCGCGATGATCTCGGATAGAGCATTGGTGTAAATGTCTTCGTCTAGAACGGTGGCGGGGCGTTTGATTCGTTTTGGGGGAGGGGGAGGGGGCATGAGACTTTGGTCGTTTGAGCGTTTGGTTAACGCTTGGGATAACGGCGACGTCATGGTGGGCGGTCGTCTCGTTAAGGTGAAGAAAAGGTATAGGTTATCTAGTTGAAAAGGGTGAAAGACAACAGACCTAGCCAGGAAAGGCTGGATCTGGCTGGCTCATGCTGGAAATGGAAATTTGAGATGGCGAGATGATGGTTGAAGAAGAGTGGTGATAGCAGTGGAGTGGAGATCCACTGATAGGCAGAATCACTAGGCGGTGGCGTAGTTGAGATGGAGACATGGAGTGACATCTCTCTTCAACCTCATCTTTACATCTTATGTTTGTTGAACTATCAGAATTCAAATTCAGCTGTATATACACACATCTTTAGATTTATTCACACACGCTCTCGCTGATTGTACTATAAGAAACCACGTTTGCGAAATGACTCAACTAAAAAACTCATGGCAGAATATACGGCTCTCCCAATGTGCCTATATCCAGGCACCATGAATTTCGCACAAGATGGCAAAAAGGCACGAGTAGTCAGAATGAGAATAGTAAGCAACAAGCAAGTTTTTTTTCTTTTCGCCAATCCATACCACCCATTCCTTTCTATAATATGTATAAAAACAGAACCCGAAAAAGAAAGAATCCAACATAAGATCAAAGAAAATATAAAAACGAAAGAAGCGAATGCTGTTTGACCCGAAATCCTAGCCTTTTCCAGATCCTCCATGCCAGAAAAGAATAACACCCAACAGACATCCTTTTTGAAAACAGCCGCTGAGAAATGCTAGACAAATGAATGCAAGTGAACGTGAACAGTGAGTTAGACAACAATCGAAAAAAGAAAAATGACGAGCAAGGCTTGAAAAAAAGACAATGAAAAGAGAGAATCGTCAAGTCGTCGAAAAAAAGTCTATAAAGTGGGTGTGAAGAAAGAAGGTAAAAAGATAAAAAAGAACGATACAAAGAGTGGCTCTTCCAGAGGGGAAGAGTTGTACGGACCTTGATCCTAATTGGCCGGAGTCGTAGAAGGGAACAAGGAGTAAGATGCTGTCCTTGACTTCTTCCGGCCTCCATGACCCTTAGGAGCAGGGGCATCGGCCTTGGTGGCGCGAGCGGGAAGAGGGGCCTCGAAGTCAGAGGTAGATTTGGCCCGGTCGTGAAGAGATGGGGAGGCCAATGGCGCCACGTCCGCAGAATCAAAGCTGCCACTGCTGCCAGTTCGAAGCAAAACCTGCATCTCAAGACTCTTGGTCTGGCGGTGGTGGGAAAACGAGTCTGGATGGCCAGTCATGGCCAGGGACTCGGAGGAAGGCATTTGCTCTCGGCTGCTCGCCAGGCTATGCACCAGTTCGGGGACACTGGTGGTCGAGATCGAAGACCGGTGCTTGCGGACGATCGATGCAGCACGGGACAAAATCAAACTCTCCTGAGAGTTGCATTTGCTGATGGGGGAGAGGCTGCTCCGAGGAGAGACCGGTTGGTTCATTGGTTGCGGGATGACTCCCTGGGAGCAAAAGGAGAAATGTCGTTCTGATTCTACATCAGCCGCTAGATACTCGTCGTAGAACGTGTCCTGCGCTAGCTGCTTCCCCAAAGCCGACGGAAAGATAGAGGAACTGACTGGTTGGAAGTAATCACCCTCAGCATGAGCGACCAATTCCCCCTCATATCCAGATGTCGAAGGAGTGACAGCTGCATGCGCACTGGGCAGGGAGCGTGACGGACTGGGGTCGAGATCCGGAGTTGGCAGAGCCGATGTGCTGAGATGGATTGGGTGGAGTAACCGGTTCCCATTGGCCTCCTGCTGGGGTTCGCATCGAGGCTCATCGAGAGAATTGCGGGACCAGTCAAAGTTGGAGGTGGACTCGGCCGCATGCTCGTAGCAGTAGTCGATGTCTGCATCCCATGATTCATAGATGGTCTCAAAGGTGGCACTCTTGTTGGATTGTCTCCGGTTGTTTTGTTCCACCGGCTCTGCGGGGGTTTCCTCCTGGGAAAGGCGGTATTGAGGCAGGGTGGGAGATGCAAGCGCCTCAGAAAACTTCTTGGACAACTCTTCCGAAATGCAGATGGACTTTGGACCGGCGGTAGGGGGCTCGCTCATGCGGGACGACGCACGGGAGGCGGAATATTCGGGGTTGGGCTCAGGGCTATCGTGCCAATGGGTAACCTCCTCTTCCTCGGGGACATCCTCCAGATCCAATGGGAGGCTGGTCAGAGACGCCGACGCCCTTGCATTGGCCCCCATATCAGGACCCGCGATGAATGGATGATCGACGGCGGACTGAAACATCCCCTCCAGGTTGACTTGCGGCAGGGAAGTGCTCCCATTGGAATAGACGTGCTCCGGGTAGGTTGGCCGCGAGGACAGGCCGAGGATTTCATCAATGGCCCGCGGGGCAGGCTCGGATGTATCCGGCGAAGACCCCAGTTTGGGGGAGGTGGACGGCGGAGTGGTGGCACCCGCCCGGGAGAATCTCGAGCCTGGACGAGAGAAATTCTCGCAGACACGCGACTCCCGCCGGGCCCGGAGATCTGTTTGCTTGGGGCTCACGGGGGATGAGGGCGATGCGGGTGGACTGGTCGTGGCGACAGAGACCTGCTCCTCACTGGAAGTGGCCGTGCCATTGTAGGTTAGGTCCTCGGATGAAAAGTCGCGGAAGTGAATGTCTTCGGCGCGGATGCCCTTGAGACCGGTGACTGGCCTCTGCGAGGCACGGATGGCGGAGAACTCGGTGACGAGGTCATTTTCCCTGGTCCTATCTAAAGACTGGAATTGGGAAGGGCTGGTATGGGTGAGATGGTGAAAGTCAAATGGATCGGAGATGAGGCGCTTCAATTGATCATCTGCAAACCGGAGACGTACGTGGGTCCCATGTGAGCCTTTGATACTGAATCAAGGTTATAGACGGGGATAATCTATTCTACTTACTCGTGTCACTCTGGCGGGAGCGGTGACGGCCAAAAATATCCGAGACCTCGAAGCGGGGCTTTTCCCGTTCACCTTCATCGACCTCGTCCAGCGTAGCAGCGATGTTGAACTTGCTTCCCTGTCGGCGGAGAATGCGACTGCCGCGAAAGAAGAGCGATTTGGTGACGCTCTCAGACCTCTCCGTGCGGGGGCCGGACACGGAAGGAGTCCGGTCATCCTGGGCCACCGAGGGCACGGAGGAAGCATCGGTGGAGGTCATGGAGGAGGCAGGAGAAGGACGAGATGAAGTGGTAGAGGTGGTGGTATTGCTTCGGGAGCGACCCCCAAAGACCGACAACCGCTTGGGGCTGTTGGCGTGGGCAATCGACCTGGAGCGAACGTGGGCGATATGCTCTAGAGGATCATTGGAAGCTCCGGTGGTAGGACGATCTCGAAGGTCCAAGCAGGAGTCCTCTTGCAATTGGGACATGATGATGAGAAGGCCTCTTGAGCCGTGTGGAGAGGCCTTTTTTCACCGGCAGTGGAAGTGGAGAGGAAGGAGAAGAGAGAAAAGGCATTCAATGGGAAAATGGAGATTTGAAATTGAGCAGAAGACTGGCTGTTTTTGATGTTTCTTTTTTAGATCATGATAGAGAAATTCTAAAAGATGGGCAGGAGAAGATGGGGTTTCAGGATGAGATGAGGATTAGGAGAGCGGGCGAGTCATGAACTTTGGGGGTGAGCGGGGAGGGAAAGATGTTTCCGAAGTGTTTTGGATTAGAGTAAAGAATGAATGGATAGTAATTGGATTGAACAAAGGAAAGAAAGAAAAGAGAGAGAGAGAGAGAATTGGAGAGAGGAGGAGAGAGATGAGGCTGGAGAAGAGAGGAGAAGAGGGGAATCAACTACGATCGAGTCCAGACCAGAACGAGTAAAAAAGAAGGAATGTCTGGGGGAGAATCAAGGGAAAGGGAGAACACGATAATAATACCAAAATAATAATAATAATAATAACAGCACAAATATACAAGGCTGGATGGGGTGGAGCAGAGGAGATATACCCAAACGCACGTTCTCACCGTTGGAAAAGGATTACGGGTCAATGACTGGAAAAGTGCACGAGAGCGAAGATCGCAAAGATCCGCTGCACGTCGTGGAATGAATCAAAAGGAGGTAGCACAGACTTCTACTTTTATTCTCTGACCATATTCTCTCTCTCTCTCTATTATTATTCTCTCTATTCTATTCTATATTCTATTCTCTTTCTAGTCTTTTTCTATTCTTTTTCTATTCGCTTTCCATTTTCTTTCTATTCTCTTTCTATTGTCTTATTATGTTGTCTTATTCCGTTGTTTTATCCGGTAAGACAGGATTCTGTTCCTCGTCTAGCCCAAGAACTACTGTAGAAGCGATCCAACCCGGTGGGTTTGAGAGCATTAGTGGGTCTAAAAGGAATCCGAGGAACGAAATAATAAGAATTATGCTAACAGCAGAGGACAATAAGAAGAATAAGAGCCGTGATAGTCTAATAATTAAATATCATCAGGGGTAACTAACTAACTATTGCTGTAGAATTAATATTAGGACTCGCTTAGCCCGTACCAAGGGTTCGCAACGTTCGCTCCACCACCACGAAGGATGGGATCTTGCAATAATGTGGATTCTTATATTAATAGACAAGACGATATAATGTAACACAATTGTAATTGTGATCATACTATGATTGTGACGTAGATAATGTTCATGTTGATATTGTAGTTATTGTTATGTTGATCCGAGATCCACGGTTCGAGAAGCATCGCCATCCATGGGTGTGGTGATTGTGATAACCCTGTCATCCCATCTGCTCCTCCATCCAGGATCGGGATACGTCAGGCTACATACAGATACATCAAAGAGGAAAACATGTATGCCTGATCCCAATAGTAGTCCCACCATCAATAGTGTAACGTTTCTCTGGCATCTGTCATATTCTGTCATTTCTCGAAGTTGGTCTTGGTTTATTGGATGGTCTTCATAGTTTACACTTTAGTCCTGGTAGTCGGTGGGCTCTTGTTTCGTGGCACTACCGGTAGTGTATCTCGGTCTGTTTCATGGTGGAGTGTCTTTCTCCATCCTCTCTGATTGGCTTTCCTTCTCCTACTCAGGACGCCCATCCCAGTCCGACCTACATGAATCTGTACATGGATGCATCGTGAACTTCCTACTTGTCGGCTCTGTTCTGGCGGAGGGCTCCGTCCATCCCACGGGGTTGGTTATCTGTGCCATGTTGATGCCGGTCACACCGCAATAATCCTCCTATGCCAGGGACACGAGTAAGCGTCGGTACCTGCAGCATCCCACCTGCAGCACACCTTTTTTTTCTTTTCCCTTCTTTTCTATTCTTCTCTGTCTTGTGCTCTATAGTTCTTCTTTTTTTCTTTTTTCTTTTATCCACTCCGGAGTTCCTCCGTCTGATTCATCATAATCCAGCTTTTTCCTCCAAATCAGCTGATCGTCCGGTTCCCACCGACCTGGTCACGTACTGTAATATACAATACCATCCTGAAACTCCGCCAAACGATCCATGGAAAAACACGCAAAAGGCGCAAATACACTTTACGCCATGGTTTCATCGCGATGTCTTTGCAGCACTTCAGCTTCAACTTTCTTCCATCTGGAAGTTCTCCGTATCTAGAAAAGAAGTCAGGATCGTCCCTTTTCGTTGCTCTCTCGAGTATCTCTGCCCGTCTGCACACACCCTCTCTCCGCTTACAAAAAACTAGTCCCAAGTCCATCTCGTGTTCTCCATCATTCGGCTCCTGACGATCTTTGTGTCTAGACCAGGTTATTCCCTCGTCTTCAGCTATGTCCTAACTATCATAAATATCCGTAGATCGTCTTTCTCAGTCTCTCTCTCTTTCTTTTTCTTTTTCTTTTTTTTTTTTCCCTTTTCCTTTTCCGTCAGTTGTTTATCCTCGGTTCTCCATCTGACTCCATTTGACTAGAGATAAGATGATGAATGGAAATCTCCCTACGGCATCCCCCGATCTTATGGCATGATATGATGAGAACTACGACTCTATCTTATGATATGATCTTCTACTAATATAATCCCACGGCTCAAAGCACATCATCGTCCTTCATTTTGGCATCTTGGATCTAGTTATGCTTTCTATGTACCGAAATTAACCCACTTTGATAAATTCAGTTACCGTGATCAACACTTCCTGACGCCGGTAGTAATATTTTCATCTGGAAAAAGTTAAAAAAAAAAAAAAATACACGTAGTGATAGGCCTCAATTTTCCATCCCATCCAAGAAAAAAAGTAAAAAAGTAAAAAAGAAATACAACAATTATTCTTCCTCCCCATGCTCCTTCATCTCCGTATCTTCTCCTCCACTCTCATTGAACAGTCCATCATCTTCTTCCTCCCCATTTTGCTGTCCCGTTGTTGGTGCCTCTTCATCCTCATCCTCATCGTCATCTGCAATCCGTCGACTGGGTTTGTTCCGTCGTCGTTGCACCACTTCCTCCTCCTCATCCCGACCCGTATCGCGCATCTCCTCATCTCTATCTTCCTCCTCATCTTTACCCGGTGTAGCGGCATCGCCTTCATCGTCCGAGTCCACCACCATCTCACTGCTCTTGTACTTGTTGCTTTGCGCCTTGCTCTGGGCTTTGCTCTGGGACTTGCTTTGAACCTTGCCGCCCGACCGACGCTCCAGTCGTCGTCGCTTCTTTGTCGGTGCCGTTCCACCCTCACTCTCATCGGAACTCTTGACTCCCCCAACCGACTCGTTATCGCTGACGATCCCGTCGTCCTTCTTCTTGCGTTTCGAAGATGATTTCTTCTTCCTCTTTACTTTTTCGCCCGTTTCAGACTCCGTCGTTAGTTCGGCTTCCTCCCGCGCCCTCTCTTCGTCCGCCCGTTGTTCCGCCAGCCGCTGCGCTTCTTCCACCATCCGTTGTCGCTCCTCGGCAACCTTCTTCTTGCGCTCCTGCTCCACTTCTTGCGCTTTGCGCACCTCCTCTTCACGTCGCCGCATCTCAGCCTCCCGCACTTCCCGCGCTTGTTGCAGTTTGCTCGCGTTCTTCTCCTCGTATTCCTTCTGGCTCTGGAGCGCTCGTTCCAGTTGCTTGATGATCGTCTTGCCCATGTTCGCTCGCTGTTCCAGCGCTCCAGCCGGGTAGGGCGGGTTCTTCACCGTGGCAATCCGTCCAAACGTCTCCACCGCTTCCGTAACTCCCTCTGATGCCTCTTGCACATCTTGCACTGTCTTCTGGGTCTCTGGCAGCCCGTAAGCCAAAGATGCAATCTGGTTCTGCACAAACGCAACGTTGAACTCCAGATGCACTTGCCCCGGTGCAACAGAACGCGCCCGCTGCGCGTACTCCAGAGCCGTCTTCATCGCCGACAGGTTTCCTTCCTGTTTACCCTTGAGTAACCAAACCCGACCCAGACAGGCCAAGATCTGAGCGTCTCTTGCTCGGTCTTTAGACAATGCAGCTTCGTAGTGCTCGATCGATCTCGTATACTGTCGTAGTTCGGCGAAGACGTGGCCCAAGTTGAGATACACGCTGGCGTCCTTCAGGGAATCCCGAATTTTGGAAAAGATGTGTACTGCTGACCCGTGGTCTTTCCTGTCGTCGACCAGGGCGATGGCAATACCCTGTGCGGCATACGCATTGCGAGGGTCCAACTGGAGTGCCTTGTCGAAAAATTCCACCGCTCGTTCGTACATCTTTCGGCGCTTTTCCTTCTCCTGGTCGGTGTCGCGCCGCATGTCGCGTGCTGTCATCAGATGCACGTTGCCCATCCCCGTCAGCGCATACCGATCGTGTTTGTCGTGGTACTGCAGGGTGTGCTTGTAGTGTCGCTGCTCGTGGTCCTCGGCCAGGTTCGACACGCGTTTCTTAGATTTGCTGAGATACCATCCAAAGAGCGCCCGCACTTCAAGGTTCGTAGAGTCAGCTTCGTACAACTTGGCCATCTTCTTGGGGCCTTCATCTGTCGGGCTTTGGCGCAGCGCGATGTACGTCAATCTCGCATTGGCTTCCGTATAGTCGCTGTGTCGCTCCAAAAGTCCCTCGTATATCTTCTTCGCCTCATCCGGCATGTCTGAAGCTTCATAGGCCCGGCCCAGGTTGTAGCTGATGGTCGTGACCAACGCATCATTGTCATGTTCACTCTCCTTCTCCTTCTCCTGTGACCGGACGCAAGCACTCAGCGCTGTCTGGAACATATTCCGAGCGGATTCCACCTTTTCGGCCTGGTAAAAGAAGCACCCCATGTTGTTCAGCAGTTGTGGAGGGAGATGTTCTCGAAGAAGAGCATTCATCTTTTCTTCATTCTCCACATCCTCAGGTCGTTCCTCGTCGGGAATCTCGGCCAGTTGCATCTGTTCCAGTTGGGTCAGACACTGCATGCTCTTTTCTGGAGCCGCTTGCTCATAGAGTCGGGATAGATAGAGCAACACCGACTCATCAGGTGCGATCTTCTTCGTTTCATCCTTCCACAGTGCCCGTACGGATTCGAGAAGGTGAATGGCCTTCTTGGCCTCATTCGAAGTATCCTCCTTGCTACCGCTCTTCTGGGCTGCAAAGACCTCCTCCGCATGTAGCGCCGCAAGCAGAATCATACATTCCGGATTCCTTGTCTGTTGAATGATCTTCTCCAGCCGAAATTTTGCGCCATCGAAATCTTTGCTTGACACTTGCATCTGTACCGTGCCAAACTTGGCAGGGAGGTATCCCCTGTCGCCACCACCACGCGCCTGGTCAGACCGGCTGTAGTACTCAGCTGCACGAGCCAAGTTGCCCTCATAGTGCGCCTTACGGGCGAGTAGATACCACCCATCACTGGCAATGGGCATGACATCGGTATGCTCAATGGCTTTGCGAGCTAGCGTGTTGACCGTGTCGTAAGACTTCCTCAGAAGGAAATAACCACCGAATAAAGCGCAGGTCATCGGGTATTCCTTGTCCAATTTGAACGCTTTTTGTGTGTATTGGGTCATGGCCACCTTGTATAGTGAACCAAAGGCCGGGTCGGTCGTAGCATGTCGGGAGCTGTCATACAGATAATAGATAGCAAGCAAAATGTTGGCAACCTTGGAATCGGAGTTCTGTGCAGAAGAAGTGTAAGCTTCGCCACAACAGCTTGAAAGATTGAGCGTATACATACCAGAGCTAGTGCCCGCTCCCATGCAACCTTCGCCTGGTCCTTGAAGCCTAGTTGCCAGAGGCAGCATCCAATACCAATGCGGGGGTCCGGATCCGTAAGTCCCGGCATTCTCATCAGCACCTTCTGATAGCCCTCCAAGGCTTCAGCATATCTTCCCAGCGAATAATGCGCTCTGGCGCGTCCCAAGATCGCCATAATGTTGCGGCCTCCAAAGGCCTTGGAAGACTCGTCGAAGCATTTCAGTGCTTGGCGCAATGATTCCACTCTTTCGGACGTGTCAACGGTACCAGGACGCACCGGTCGTGGTGGGTGTAGAGAGGCGCGCAAAAGGGACAAAACACCTCGCGCAAGGAAAAGGGGTGGGAAAGCCGGGTTCAATCGCGATGCCTCGTTTAACGTCGACGTAGCCAGCTGTAAATAGTGATCTTTGGTCTTGGCTTCGGTGTAGAGCTCTCCTTCTGAAGCAACTCGGGGTGCCTGTCGGCTCTTCATCATCAGCATCCAGCAGATCCATCCTAGCAGCACCAGCTTCTCCTTTGTCGCGCCGTGGGCGACTGAAGCCAGGCCTTTGTTCAAAATGTCAATGGCATGATCGATCTGCTTCTGCTTCGCGTACGCGAGCGCGATGATCACCCAAAAATTCTTGGCCGCTTTTTCATTCTCCAGCAAAGTACAAAGCTCCGTAGGGTCATCGGGTAGTCCCTCAAGACTGACTTCGACTTCACTATCGAGGGTAGACGCGGGAATATCGATGGCGGAAGGAATGTCGGAGAAGCGAAGGTTGGCCGAGTGAAGGGATTCGCCATTTAGGCCATTGGCATGGCCATTCTGTGGTAAAGGCGCCATGGTGTCCTTTGATACAAGACACTATAGGACAATAGCAGTGATAGACAGGTCACCGGAGATGCGACTGTTCGGGCGGAGAGTAGGTGTAGAGTGTTTGGAAAGCTTAACTCATGATCATACCAAAGGATGAGGGGAAGAAGGGAGTCAATTAATCAAAAGCAATTAAAAAAAATGGAGAATGCCTTTGCTGACCATTCGAGCAAAGTAGGGCAAACTCCAGTGATGCAGCAGCAGGGACACGGAGAAGGCGAGAAGAGACAAAAGCCTTGAAGAAGTGTTGCTGGCGGGAGCAACGAATAGAGAGCCTGAGGCCCGACCGCCGGGTATGTGGCTGGTCATACACCGCCACAGTTCCGTTATGGATGGTGAATTGTTCGGACAGTTCAGTCTATTCTTGCTATTGAAAATGTATATATATTTTTTTAAAAAATTAATTAACAGAATCGCTTCTCAATAATAATTGTTTATTCAAAAAGCAAAATTATTGTGGACCTCATTTCTCGTTCACTCTTTGGACAGTGGCAGTCCATGGACAGAAAGAAACTCATCATCTCATGAACAGCCTAGCAATACATCCCTGCTTGCATCTCTCATGCTGTTAAAAATAATTACGGGTATAAAGTCAGTATAAATAGGATTTCAAGGGCTTATTTCCAGAACCCCAAAACTGTAAGCAATTTGCACACAAGTGCAACGCTGACCAGGACCATGAAGATCCGACCAATCTCACTCCAATGCGAGAGTCGAACGTGTGACTCAACATATCCCGCGGAAGCGGCAGTCTGTTGTGCCTCGGACACATGAGCTGAATCAATAGAGCCGGCCAATTCGGTGGGAAATCTCCCTGTTTCAAAACATTCGTCTAGGAGTTGGTCCTTCTCGGTCCATCGCGCGCGGAGCCAGGCATCGAATTCTTTTTGGTCGTCCAAGGGAATATCTGCCACGGCAAACCGTCTCCAATGCATGTTGACGGAAGTCGGTGGCCGTCCTTGGAGATAGGTTGATCGAAGAGTGAAATACTTGTCAGGATAGCTACCCTTTCTAGTAACCGTTAGTACCCACTCGATATAGAAAGCACAGGCGGGTACTTACGGAGGCCCCTCGTAGGCAACAGTGCAGTCATACACCCAATCAACGGTTCCTCTCAGTTGTTGCAGGCAGAAGAAGAGACCCGTCGACCGAGGAAGAAGTTCGTGTTTCAGTGGAGGAACCCCTTGCTTGTGTCCGTATTCGTCGCTGCGTCGCTTTGTATTGATAGACAGGTTTGTTCCTTCGGGGAAGATCAAAAGCCACATTGGGTCGAATTGCGGAGAGCCTGATTTAGAGCCCAAATGCCGAGTCTTGAGCTTCTCCAGACGATGCTGTAGTCTCGGCTTGTCCGAGAGCCATTTGCGAGCCATGAAGATGAAGCCATAGAACGTCATGCCCTGGCCCAGAATTGGAATGTACTTCAGAGATTCCTTAAGAATGATAAAGATGTGACCGTGCATCTGATTCGTATACGCAATCCACCAAAGATAAATCCAGTCTGTGTAGACCTGGTGGTTGGAGATCATCACCAGACGCTCTGGGAATTGGGTACTCAATCGTCCATCCGCCGTCAGTTGAATCTGGCCCAGCACGCTCTTGTCACCACTGACTCGAACGAAAGTCGGACAACCCCACTGTGTGAGTGCAGTGATAACCAGACCGAAACACTCTTTGGTAAATGCCATATAGGCGTAGTAATATTCTTTGCTTATGAGGTATAGCGGAGCGCCCACCAACTGAGTAGCGAGAATGATGACGCAACAACAATCGAACCATGTCGCGAGAAGAAGAGATCGCAAGACCTGCATCGGAATTCCATGTTTCAAGCGTGGTTCGGTCTTTTTGTCATGGACAAGCTTTTCGTCCTTATCAGTAACCTGATCGGAGGCAAATGCTTGCTTCCGCTCTCGAAGGTTGGCGTCTCCCATGGCGGCGACCTTCTGAGGTATGCTTTGTAGAAAGATATATAATGTTCGTCTGCTTTTGATTTTTTTGTAAAAAAAGAAAGGAGCTCTGGAAAGTGTCAGCCAGCTGTTTTTCATTCTATCACGATCACGCGAGCAGCTGATCGAAACGAGGCTCAAATACCAAAAAGCGGTGTCGTTCTTGGACGACTGCGGATGACGGCGGAGTATTTCAAATGAAGGTAGTAAGGTGGTGTGAGAATAATAGGACAAACAAAATCAGGCCATTATTAATATGTATGAGATCCAGTATATTATTGACGATGTTTAGGGGCAAGATTAGTGAACCGCGGAGGAAAACAACAATCTTATGAAAGAGCAGCCAGGCACAAGAATAGCTACCAGGACTAAGAAAATCATGGGGAAAGCACAAAATGACGTCCTCGGCTCAACAACAAATGCAACGCCCCAAGGCGGTCTGTCGATCTGCCAGATGATAGATCATTCTTCAATAACTTTTTTACCTTTGCAATTTTTTTATTTTTATTTTTGATACTGACAGCGGTTTCTATCAAGGCCTTTCTATCTTCTTTGTTATTTCTCTTAATCTATACTCTACACTCTCATCTCCATCTCGAGTTGCATCTGGATTTGACTGTTACGGTGCAACGTAATGAGCTGTGTGTGTCACGGTCAATCAGCCTAGCAGCATTGAGAATATTTCGCCAGATCAAATATGGCCAAGAATAACTGACCGTACGCATCCTGCTTAATGTGATTTAATATGCTCTTTGGCTGACATGCATGGTTACAAGTCACCTGATAGCTTTCTTGGGCTTTTACTTTTCTGAAATATACAATCCACGATGCTTCGAATGCAATACACCCGGCCCAGGCTACCTAAATGGGGGCCCTGGACACGAAAATTCTCATCATCGCCATGCCACCGTGAAATTCGAGACATTGAAACACTATCCCAACGCTTGATACCCAAATATCAAGGTGTGCGTCAACGCGTGGTGTCTTTTGACTCACCAGGGTTTGTTTGCTGATGCCTCAATCCACCTCGATTAGAATCCCATGATGGCGAGCTTCTTTCTCTCCAATGGCCCTCGCCTCCACGAAATATATTCCTAGTGAAAAAAGACTGCGAGCCCGCAGTGACAAAATCCCTTATCGAATTGGCCAAGTACGCAGAGCCCACCGTGCGTTTTAACGATCATGTCCTCATAACTTACCTCGTATAGTCATATAACGTCTACATACCCATCGATCGCTGTCGTTCTAGAGCCAAAAACAGCCGAGGAAGTACACTCATCTCTTCCTTTCCCCGTATACTCAGCTCCATTGGACAAGAAACCTTTTTCGCTGCATGACAAGGTGGACTTGACCGTTACCCTTGGTGGAGATGGAACGATCCTACGAGCATCTTCACTATTTGCGACATGTTACAACGTACCTCCTGTGCTATCATTCAGTATGGGCACCCTGGGGTTCCTTAGCGAATGGAAATTCGAAGAATACAAGCGTGCCTTTCGTGAAGTATATATGTCAGGGGCCGGAGTTGGCGATCGAACGTCCGTCCTCGAGGGACCGAAACCGACCGAGATCGATGAACAGATAGAATCAGAGATGGGACCTACAGGATGGTCTTCAGTCCGTGGCAAGTCTATGGGCTCGACTCGTGGCGCTCGAATCTTGATGCGAAACCGTCTCAAGGTAGGGCTTTTCGCAGCTGATGGAAGCCCCGTCCGAAAAGATGACAGCTCCGTGCCACTACAGGGCACATTGGGTAGCAATGGCGTGTATGTGATGAATGAAGTGCTGATACATCGTGGCAAGGAGCCGCACCTTGCCGTCGTAGAGGTTTTTGTTGGCGGCCGATTTCTCACGGAGGCCGTGGCGGACGGGATCATCATCTCGACACCGACAGGAAGCACCGCATACAGTCTAAGTAGTGGAGGAAGCATCGTCCACCCCCTGGTACCATGCATCCTATTGACGCCGATCTGCGCACGGAGCTTAAGCTTTCGACCATTGGTCCTGCCGTCCAGCACGCCGATCACGCTGCGACTAAGTGAGAAGAACCGAGGTCGGGAGCTGGAGCTAAGTATCGATGGAGTTAACATGGGTCAAGGGATGGCAGTTGGTATGGAGGCTCGGGTGTGGAATGAAGAAATGAGGCACGGGAAGAATAACTGGTATGGGGGAGTGCCAAGCGTGATGCGGAGGATCATGGGCGGTGAAGCGCATGAAGGCTGGGTGGGTGGATTGAATGGGCAGCTCAAGTTTAACCACCCTTTTGGAGAAGAGCCATAGTTGCTGCAATCGTATCGGATTCTGGGATGGGGTGGGGAGCTATATGAGGGAGAGTAATGGGTACATATTTGTATCGTTCTCCAGGTAGGCTTCTCAACCCCTCGTATCTTGAATTGGGGTAGGATTGATGTCTACAGCAGTGTTATAATAGTAATAGTGTCAAAATTTAACCAAGAAGACATAGTACAAGATCAAGAACTAGGAGTGGTCAATCAAATCAGGGGAAGGAGATGATGATCCAAGTCGGTGGGCCAACCCTTTGGGCTGTATCCGTGGATATGCGAGAGGCAAAAGCCGGCGGAACTCGAAATAGAAGAGGATTGAGTTCCTTGGTAGAGGGCGAGAAAGAGAGAGGACAGAGAATGCGACAGATGCAATGATGCCAAATGGCGATAGTGTGTATAGCCAACAGAAGGTTAATCAATATGATTCAGCTCTTAGCTGGTTTGTCGAGTCGACTTGCATTGGGCATTTATCCCAGCCATTGTCCCGCCCCCTCGTGGAGCCATTTTGGGCCCCTAATCGATTAGGACTATCTAGGAGGTCAAGGATCTTATTTTCTTACTTGAGACATGCGACGAATCTGTCTTTGATTCTACTCAGTATGATAGTTGATTATTTTATCTTACTGTACTGGATAACTCTGCTTTTGCTGACCTCCAGTAATAAAGATGATTGTCTCAGCATGAATCATGGCCCCAAAAGAAAATAAGAAAAAAAAAAAAAAAAAGAAAATAAGGCGGATATCCCCAGATTTAGTAGTGGAATATACTAGATATTCACCACTCCGTGCAGTATCAAGTAATAAAGCATATAAAAATAATCTGATAGTAATATGAAAAGAAAATAAGATCAACCAGAAGAATAAAAGAACTCCTTTCAAGCCAATTATTGATCGCAGAGCCGCTTCGAAATTATTGCCCCCCTTGGAGTTCCCGCCGTTGGTGAAACCTCCAACAGTATTCCTCTTCGGCCCCCCTCGAACTTCCCCCCTCCTCTTAGTCTTCTACCTTTCTCCCTCTCCTTTCCCCCCTTCTCTTCCTCAGTCCAATCCTACTTACCTTCTTGACGATATCTTTGTTCCTCCGTCAATCAGCTCCTCTTAATTCTAGCGGTGATCACCCCGTTTGATTCCCCTCATCGCGTCCCAATCGAGGTACTTCGAGTCGTGCGTCTCACGCTCGGAGCATCCTCGCCGGTGCGAGGGACCCTCCTTTCAGCGGTCAAAAAGACGCAGGTAAGCAACTTACAACTCCTAGAGATCATATCTCTTCCAGTACCTAGTGGGCGACTCAGTTCCTTTCATCTGCGATTCTCATAGTGTCAATTTGTCAAGTTGCCTTAAGAGAGAGAGAGGGAGGGGAGATACAGCCTGGGCTGCGGAATCGCTTTTTCCCTTTCTGGACGCGAAACATTGAGTCGCTGACGCTTTCGCATTATTATTAGTTGACTGCATACCTCTTTTTGTCTGCACCTGCACATATTGATACACGAGGTGACCCGCAGGGGCTTACATCCATCGTTCTCTTGCGACCTTCACGCCTTCGCCTTGCAATATAATGACTTCCTCTTACGGAAAGTGAGTTGTCTCTTGTCGATCTATTTCCCGATCGTACATGCTTCTATGCCGTTGATTTCCGCCCCGCATCTTTTCTTTTTCTATTTTTTTTCCTGTCAAATTCCCTCTGTGTTACTGACCTGGTCGGTAGCAACATGTATTCGCAGGACCAGTTTATGAACCCCGGGCCCGCTCCCCGCCCCCCAGCCGATCGCCCAAAGCTCAATCTGCAAGCAAGCAACCCAAACGTGGCCACATCATTCAACCAAATGTCCCTCAACTCGCCCAGTACGCCAGGGTCGGCGAATCTGTCTCTGTTTCCCAATACGAGCAGCCCTTCCCTCACGCAGACCAAGACCAACCAGTCGGGCCAAGGGGGCGTGGCTGTCATCAAGGAGGGTTATGTTCGTTCCAAAGAAGATAAATTCCTGGCCACCTGGAACCAGCGATATCTGATTTTGCGCGAGTTCCGCCTGGACTTTATGAAGAATGAGACTGGCAAGGTTGTTCTTTCTATTCCGCTCTCCACGGTTACAGGTGTCTCGCGCTCCGAGGAGGCGAGAATGGCCTTTGAGATCGTTCGCCTGGCTAACCCTAAAGATGCCACTTCCAAAACGGCCATGTTGACCCGCGACGTGCCGACTAAGAGCATCACATGCGAGGTCAAGAGTGACGATGAGATCTACGACTGGATCGATAAGATCTATGAGCGCTGCCCGGGCATGGGAGGTGTCAGCAACCCCACCAATTTCAGCCATCGTGTCCACGTTGGTTTTGACCCTCAGACAGGCGCCTTTGTCGGTTTGCCACCCGAGTGGGAGAAACTTCTCACTGCGTCCGCGATCACCAAGGAAGATTATAAGAATAACCCGCAGGCGGTCATCGAGGTTCTCGAATTCTATTCCGATATCAAGATGCGTGAGCAGAACCCGCAATATTACTCCGGATTGGCCGGTTCCTCACCAAATGGTTCGCCAGCCAAACCATACACTGGCAACTCGGTCGGCAGCTCGATCGCTCCTCCGCGCCCCCCTCCCCCCGGCCCTGCACAGCGCTTGGACAGTGGTCAATCTCCGACAAGCCGTTCGGCCACTTCATCGCCTGGGCAGTCTCAGGGCAAGCCCGACTCGGACCGTGCATATGAACAACAGCAACAGCTTGAGCGTATGAAGGAAATGGCGGATCAGGAACGTCGACGTGTGGAGGAGGAAACTCGCCGTGCTCGCCAGCGTGAAGATGAGCAGAGCAGGGCCGAGCAAGACGCCTACAATGCTTCCCTTCCCAAAACCCGTGTCCCCCTTGCCAAACAGGAGCTTGGAGGTTATGGCAGTAGTGATCCTTCGATGAATGATCGTTACAAACCAAGTCGCCCTGCACCGCAAGCTCCTGGCTCTGCTCGCCAGCAGCCCCAAGATCCGTCTCGACAGCTGACGGCCCAGCGCCCAGCACCTCCCGCGCCGAATACCTCCAACTATGGTCAGAATGGCCAGGCTCGTGCCCCCGGATCATACAGTTCCAATGATCCTCGGGCCCAGGCCTCCCAGCGCACCCAGAACAATGGCACTAAAGCCCAGGCTCAAGGCCCTCCTCCTACTAAGCTCCCGGCTCCTGTGCAGGCCGTGAAACCATTGAACATCGCAAACAAGCAGTCCGCAAACAAACCAGGCGTCTCCGATGGTGTTCGCCAAGCGGAAGCTGCCTTGACCAAGAAGGCGGAGCCCAGACAGAAGGAAGTTCGCATGTCGAATATGACTGAGAATGAGGTCATGGACAGACTTCGTTCCGTGGTTTCCAAAGACAATCCCAACGAATCTTATAGCAAGCAACGGAAGATCGGACAGGGAGCCTCTGGGTCCGTGTATGTGGCGCGCGTCAAGGAACATGCTATCTCTCCCGTGGCACACGAGCTGTACCGACAGTATGGTCCTCGGTGCCAGGTTGCCATTAAGCAGATGGATCTGCGTAGCCAACCACGCAAGGAGTTGATTGTCAATGAAATCATTGTCATGAAGGACAGCCAGCATGCGAACATTGTCAACTTCCTTGACTCATTCCTGCAAGAGCAGAGCAACGAGCTCTGGGTGGTCATGGAGTTCATGGAGGGAGGTGCCCTGACTGACGTTATTGACAACAACCCTGTTATCCAGGAAGACCAAATTGCTACCATCTGTGCCGAGGTATGTTGTATACCAAAAGATTTTAATTTCTTGCAAGGTCAAACTAACTGTTTTTCCCTATCTAGACATGCAAAGGACTCGCACATCTGCACAGCCAGAATATCATTCATCGTGACATCAAGAGTGACAACGTTCTTCTTGACCGGGCCGGCCATGTCAAGATTAGTGAGTAGTATTCCAGGTTCATACTGATTCCAGACGCAAAACATACTGACAAATTTCCAGCTGATTTCGGATTCTGTGCCAAACTTACCGAATCGAAGAACAAGCGTGCCACAATGGTCGGTACTCCCTACTGGATGGCGCCGGAGGTTGTCAAGCAGAAGGAGTATGGACCAAAGGTCGACTGCTGGTCGCTTGGAATCATGGCCATTGAGATGATTGAATCCGAGCCACCGTACTTGAACGAGGAGCCCCTGAAGGCATTGTATCTTATCGCCACCAACGGCACGCCGCGTCTCAAGAAGCCCGAGAAGCTAAGCAAGGAGCTCAAGTCTTTCCTCAGCGTCTGTCTCTGCGTCGACGTTCGCAGCCGAGCCACCGCAGACGAGCTCTTGGTCCATGACTTCCTCAAGATGGGCTGTAGCCTGGCGAGCTTGGCTGAACTACTTCGCTGGAAGAAGAACAGCGGCCAGTAAATATTTGGCATGAGTTGTTGAACTTTTTGGAATGGCACAATCACGCCTACTCCAGTTCTTCTCTTCATTCCCCGTTTTGTTCCTTTTTCAATTTACACTAGATTTTGTCTTGCGCACATATGGGTCACATTTATGCGCCTCCGGCTGATTTCTCTGAACCCCCTTACGACCTGCATTGCAATCAGATTTTTCTCGTGTGATATCCGAACCACCAAGCTTGTCTTTTCACATTGCAGAGCTGATGTGGATAATCTGGCGTTTGTTTTGGCATTATTCCCCTTTTCTATCTTTTTCTTATTATCGTGAATAATTCTCTGTTTCTCAGGCCTTTCCCGTGGCGTCCTTACGACTCGGGCAAGGATCTTGTTAATGCCCCATCCCCGTCCCATTCGACGCATACAAAAAACACATATTCATTCCCTTAATGTTGATGATAACCTATCCGCGCATTTTCTGTGGTCGTCGCGGAAAATGCAAAGGGGAAAAAAAAAGGGAAAAAAAAAGGAACAAAGGATGACTTGGATGTCCAAAAGGGCGCACTCACAATGTCTTTTTTACCTCATGTTGTTCGAAGACATCGTCTGCCTACTACATGTATGCTCTTGATCAATGAGTCCATGATGAAAAGAACAGTTGTTTATAGCGAGCAGTTAGGCGAGTGAGATGTCAATAGACAGAAGTGCCTTAGCTTTGGTCATTTTTTTGGCGTGTGCATACTCATGTGTCTTTTTTCCTAAGTTACCTACTTTCTGTCCTTATTCAATCAGGAGGGTGACTCTCTGGGCCTGGTCTCTTTACACTATGGAGTTCAAATACGGAGTAGTCTCAAAATTTGCAATATAATAACAAGTACCAAGGTTTGTATAACGTACAATCATGGGGGCCATTCTAATTCATCACTTTCGACTCCTCTTTTTCCCTCCATCAGGTTGATCAAGTAACTCCTTTTGTCCATGGTTTCCAAGTGCAGGACTTTCTGTAAATGCAAATGCATCACACTGAAGCAAATAAATAAAAACAGATATCGGAAAGAAATAGGTAAATAAAAAGGAAATAAAAAAATTATAAAGGAAGGGGTGATGATCAGAGCAACTCCTCTTGCACTACATCACCCACAAACCCACAATATTCCCCAAACAAGACGCCTTGGAGAATAGTTTCACCTTCCTCGATTGCCCAGTGCCCCGCATCCGCCAAATGTTGCTTCCAACGGATCTGTTCCTCTTCACCTAGTTGCTCCCAGGGCCGTGCCTTCTCATCCTGCAGGTTGGGGGAAGCCGTGATGGCGGTTTCGATGAGAATGTCGGCGTCAGAGCAGCGAACGATGATGGAGGGAGGAAGAGGTGTATCGGCTTCAGCGATAGCAACGACAGCGTCACGATCGCGTACGAGGTCGCGCAGTGTGGGTTGTTGCGGTGCTTCCTCCACGACTTCGGTTGTAGTTGGGATTGCCGCTGACGATAAAGAAGGTGAGATGACAGGGTCTCCGATGGAAGGTTGTGCTGTTCCAGGGAGAGGTGGCATGTTGTATGGGACGGCGATGGTGTCACGGATTGTAGGCGGTAGCCAGTCAGAGACACCCATGTATGGGGGCGTAAGACCCCTGATTTCTGTGAAGGCCTGGAGGAGGATGCAGACAGTGAGAATTGATATGAGGGCGGATAGTCCACTGATGGTGTTGTTCCAGATCTCGGATGCGCCAGGGTTCACTAGAACGTAACGCGGGGTGCGACTCGGCGGGGGGAATGGCGAGAGAGGGAAGGTATGGACGACAACGGTGTTGCCCATGCTGACGGAGGCAAGTTTGACATACTGTGGGCCTACCTCTGGGGTAACAGGATGCGACGGTGGGATGAAGGTCGAGAAGCAGATCTTGGTCATTGCGAATGGGTGGACATCTCGTAAACTGGTGTAGGGTTGGAGCTTCCTGTGACCTCCCTTAGAGTCTGATTCGAGTGTTAGGATCTCAATTGATTGATCGCTGCCTGACACAGCAATGATAGACTGCTGCTGTTGCTCTGGGTTCTCCCCAAGATTACAAACGTCGAGTCCCAGTCCAATCTTAATAGTCTTGCGTAGCTTCTTGCGACGCACAATGGTGGCCTCGGGCGACTTTTTCGGTGACGTTGATACAGGCAAATTGAATACCATGAGCTCACTTCCACCGCGGCTGGGGGCATTCTGAAGAACCAAGAGGGTAGTCGAGGAGAGGAAACGCAAAGACCTAAACTTGGGTCTCGGTGTGCCCTTCTCAGGCAACGGCGTAGAATACACGCGGGTCACCTCGGGGGCAGCATTGGATCTTGTTTCCGATGAGACATGGCAGATGAATATATCAACTCCATTTGTATATGCCACCTTGAACTTCCCATCCTCTTCCAAATGCATGATGTCCAAATCTTCAGCCTCCTCTCCGTCACCCAGTCGAATTCGCCCAATGACGTCCTTTTCGGTCGGGGTTTCAGTAACACCATTGAACAATACAATCTCTCCTGACGGTGCCATCCCCGTGGCAATTGCAGCAACCCGAGGAAACTCTGCGCCTCTCCATGGTGACAGCCTCAGGATTCGCTGGTAGGTGTCTGACCCGGAAGAAGCACCCTTGGTCCGGAACACGGATGCGCGAGATAACGGTGTCGTCTTTCCCAATGCTTCATTTTCTCCGGATGCCTCTTTCACCTCTGGACTGGATGCGGCTGATTTTCGTGGTGGAAAGTCGATTTTGAAAGACCTGAGATGTTGGTTGTTGTCGCGCTTTTGTTCAGCTAGGGAGCTGTTGATTCCCGCCAGTGTGACAATGGACTCATCGCTAGCCTGCGCTGCGGCCAAAGAGGTTACCGAGTCTTCATCGCGCGATAATTCGATGTCGACTATTTGAGATAATCCATTGCGCCTGGATGTGTTCAGCAGTGCCTGTTGATCCCCCTCACGGGGCTGAAGGTTAGCCACTAAGATTAACGCTATAATATAACATAGCAACAAGGGGACAGTATAATTCAGTGAAGAAGAATAGGCTTACAATTCTGTTTCCAACACCACTGCGACCTTCTCCACCGCCACCCGCGACAAGAAGAAAGCCGTTATTACGCGGATCGAAGTCGGCGGCGAAGAGGGGACACGAGAGGGTCAGCTTGGCTGAGGGGATTGTTGGCGCCATTGGAAGCGAACAGCCGAGGGGCAGGTTGCCCGTTCAAGATGGCGGGATGGGAAAACGGATAGCTGTTGATACTAGATGAAAGCAAGAGAGGAGAATGAAGGAAACTTGTTACAACACCTTGAGGTTGTCGAAAGGAACGGCCAACTGGCTTGTCGGCGATGACGCCGAGGTTGGCTCACAACTCTTGGCATTCATCCGCATCAACCACGCTCGACGCTCTACGCTCTACAACATGTAGACATGGGGAAGAAATGAAATATTTTTGAATGACCTTCTAAACAGTAAACCCAGCATAAATAACCCTCTATTCAACGTCTTGGCCAGTAAATTCGGGGAGTCGCTTGCGGATGTCCTCCCATGTCTCGTCGCCGTCGACCATCGACTTGATGGCCTGCAGAATCTCATCCTCGCTGGCACGGACTTGCTTGGTCGAGTCACGGTCACGCAGCGTAAAGGTGTTATCCTTGACCGACTGGAAGTCGACAGTGATACCAAAGGGTGTACCCAGCTCGTCGTTACGGGCGTAACGCTTGCCAATACTGGCCGACGAGTCGTCGACACGGTTAGAAACACCCATGCGGCGCAGCTTCAACATCAGACGCTGCGACAGCGGACGGAATGATGCGTGGGTTGAAAGAGGAACCAGGAGAACCTTAGTGGGGGCAATCAAGGGGGGGAAGGAGAGGACCTGTAAAATGTGTCAGTGAACATACACTTTTATAAAAGACCAAGGAAAGCAAAAGATACATACCCCACGGGCCTCGTCGCCGGCTCGCGACCAGTAGACGTGCTCAATCATAGCGTAGAAGATACGACCAATACCGAATGACGGCTCAATGACGTTGGGAGTGTACTCGCGGGTGTTCTCAACCCGGGTACGCTTCTCAATGTTGATGATATCCTTTTCAAGCTCGACCTTGCCGGAGCCAACGCCCTCCACGTCAATTTCAATCTTTCCATTTTGCTCGAGGTCGAGCGACAATTTCTCGCGCAGCTCCTGGGAAAGAGCATCGACGGCAGCTTCGACAGTCTTGCCATCCTTCTTGAATCGGGGACCGAACTTCTTCTTTTCGAGATCGATCTGCCACTCCTCGATCTTCAGGGGCTCAGCCCGAGGTTCACGGACGACAAGAGGGGCACCAGTCTTGTTCTTGTGCACCGTCAGGTCGTACGCACTTCGGTCAGCACAGCCAACACACTCAATCCAGCCATAGCTGGTCAGGAGTTCGGCATCCCAACAGTCGGCAGCGTAGTGGGCCATCTCGTTAGCCATGTGCTGACGGAATCGGACCTTGTTCTGGTCAACACCCAGCTTCTGCAGGAAGATTTGAATGCGAGCCAAGAAGTAGCCCAGGGTTTCATTGTCCACCAGGCCGGTCTCAACGGCTTTTCCAATGGTCATCTTCTCGACCTGGGTGCTGCCAGCGAGCTGGACGTTACGGTTGAGCAGGGTCATCTCGACATCCTTGACCTCCTCGAAACGGCTGTGCTTCTTACCACCTTCGGGGTCCACGTAGTGCTCGATCTCGGCCATGAGGAACTCACGCACACGCAGGAGACCAGCGCGAGGAGAAATCTCGTTTCGGAACGACTTGCCAATGGAAGCCGACGCAAAAGGCATGGACTGGTTGTTGAAGTCCAGCAGCTTCTGGAAGTTTAAGAATTGACCCTGGGCAGTCTCAGGACGCAGGTAGCCCGGCATGTTGCTGCTGGGTCCAATCGCAGTCTGGAACATCAGGTTGAAGGCGACAGGGGGCAAGAGGTTGCCATCAGTCGTAGGATTTCTGATATCGTACTTGGCGATGATCTCCTCCAACTCTGGTCCACCGTAGTTATCAATCTGCGCCAGCACCTCCTCGTACTCCTTGACCACGGCGTCATCCAGCTTGATCGCCTTGGCCTCCTTGCTCTTCTTCTTCTTCTTGGCCTCCTTCTCCGCGTCGACCGCGACCTTCTGGCCGCGAGCCTCCTTGTCACCCTTCAGGCGGGACTCAAGCACCTCTTCCACCAGGTGGTCCGCACGGAAGATCTCGCCAGTCTTGGGGTCCTTGCACATCCAGTCCGCGAACTTCTCGACGTGTCCACTGGTCTTCAAAATCTCATGCGGGGTGAGCATGGTGCAGTCAACCTCCAGCATATCCTCCTCCAGCACGAAGTGCTTCCTCCACAAGTCCACAATGTTGGCCACAACGGAGCAACCGGGGGGGCCATAATCGTAGAGGCCAGAAACCCCACCGTAGATCTCAAAGGAGGGGGTGTAAAAGAGTCGTCGACGGAGCATCGAGTCTAGAATCGACCGGTCAACGGCCTGGCCGGTCTTCGTGTTGACGGTGGCCATGGTGATTTTCTTCTTGGAAGCCTGAACAGCCCTGAAAGCGGCGGTGGTGTGCGAAAAGCTCCTTCTGGCGGGGTATTGAAGAAGAGAAAATAATGAAGGGCGGGGGAGGAAGAGTCGAAGGAGGGCCAATTGAGTCATCCACCACGTGAGTCCGCCTCGCGCGACAACACCACAGGGGAAATAGAAAGATAAGAAGGAAAGGGAGGGATTAAAGAGTGTGAGGATTAGAACGAAGGGTATTAAATTATAATAATATATATTATTGAAGAACTGAATTGATCATATCTTTCGCAGGAGTCGCCAGAATAACCTCTTGAAGCGGCCTACCGCCGGCGAAACAATTCTCCGCCAAAATTATTTTTTTGCAAGAATTATTATCATCGCCGATCTTGATAATCTTCACAAAACACTCAAACATCTATTCTACAACGCCAAAATGGGTGGAAACAAGTCGAGGTCTAGGCCTCCACCAGGCTCTAATGCTGAAATCAAACCAGCCAACAAGATGAGGCGTCAATCGCTGCATATCAAGCGCAAGCGCGACAAAGACTCGTCGCGGCGAGCAGTGCGGTTTGGACAGAAAAAGGAAGAATCCAAGAATCCTAAACTCAAGGCGGATCGTTTGAAACGGAATGTTCCCCTGACTCTGGACCGGAAGCGAGTGTGGGATGAGGCCGATAGCGACGCTGAGGGTGATGGGCTGGGACTGAGTGTCGATGTGGAGCGCATCAAGAGGCAGAAGCAAGAAGAGGAGGAGGAGCTCAACCGACCTTTGAAGGACGGTTCCGAAGATGAAGATGAAGAGGCAGATGACCAGGATGAGGTGGACAGCATGATCGCCAGCAGTGATGATGAAGACGAGGACGAGGACGACGAGGACAAGCAAGACAACGATCGAGGACGCAAGAAATCGGCCCTTCCATCGGCCACAGAGCGAGCCACGAGTCCCTCACAGTCAACAAAAAGTACAAACTTAAACCTGGCCCCTGAGGCGCTGGCAGCCAAATTTCCCTCGCTTTTCACAGAAAACCCTCCTACGCCCAAGATTCTCATCACCACCTCGCTCAACTCTACCCTCCACGATCAAGCCCAGGTCCTCACCAATTTCTTCCCCAACAGTGTATACATCCGTCGCACAGCTCACCGCTACGCCCACAAGTTCTCTCTCCGAGAGATTTCTTCTTTTGCCGCCAACCGGAACTACACCACTTTGGTGGTCTTGAATGAAGACCAAAAACGTCCGACGGGATTGACCATTATCCACTTGCCTACCGGCCCTACTTTTCAATTCTCTATCAGCAACTGGGTCGAGGGCAAGAGATTGCCGGGCCATGGTAATCCAACAGATCACTGGCCTGAGTTGATTCTCAACAACTTCCGCACACCACTGGGTCTCCTCACCGCGCACCTTTTCCGCTCTCTTTTCCCTCCACAGCCAGATATCGAAGGACGCCAGGTTGTCACGCTTCACAACCAGCGTGATTACATCTTTGTACGCAGACATCGGTATGTGTTCCGCGAGAAGCGAGAGACAGAGAAGAGTGTTGTCGGAGCAGATGGAAAGGAGATGAAGGGCGCTGAAGGTATCCGGGCTGGTCTTCAGGAGCTGGGCCCGAGGTTCACACTGAAACTGCGTCGGGTCGACAAGGGAATCCAGAGAGCGAGTGGACAGGAATGGGAATGGAAGGGAGGAATGGAGAAGAAGAGAACATTGTTCCAGCTCTAAAAGGCTGCTTTTGCTTTTGTCAAATGAACTACTTCTCTTCGTCATTCATATCGATCGTGTTGTGACTTTTCCTTCTGGTGCATTTTAGGGTTCGGGTGGAGTTCGATTCAAAAATACTTGGTTTTGGCTTTTCTTATCTCTCTTGTTACTGGGTCATATTGATCTGTTTTATGTCGACAAATACCTATGCTGTTGTAGATAATGTGACTACTTAGTATGATGTACAGGTCAAAGGCCATGGTTTTATGTAACTGTGACCATTCAGGCTGTAAAGCTGAATGAAAAAAGGGCTCTTAAAAAACAATATATATCCAAAGGTATCATACCCACCAAAAGGCTGGGGTTTAAGAAAGGAAGAAATGAGCACAAAATAAAGAAATGTAAAAAACGCTGGATATCAAATGGTATAGTCATCAGGTGGCATCAAACACAAGCAACAACTTTTCCCTGCCTATAAATGAGTCCAATGAGCATGTCATGAATAATGATCGTACTCTTCGACCTTTTCTAATGCTCTCTTGAGAACGCGTCTCCTGCGTTCTTCTTTCAATTCGGCACGGGATATGGGTTTTCGACCGGTCATAATTCGAACACGAGCGGTCATCCGGTTCGCTGTCAGCAGCTCTCCCTTGACCTTTTCGCAAAGATCTCGAACCTCCTCTGCAGTCCAACCGCCGGTTGAGGTGAGTTGGCGCAGGCTATAAGCTTCCACCCCTTCCAGGAAGGCGATCAACGCCATCTTGCCCAGGGTCTTCTCTTGTAGGTCGTCAGGCCACAGGCCGATAGGGATTGTTCGTTCCAGAACCCGGACATCCACAAACCCGGCCGCGTTAAGCTTGCTAGTGCGCAGGTGGCTCAGGTCTCGTGGGTATCCCGCTTCCTCGGCGGCAGATCGCATGGCAGACGCGTAGATGCTCAGGTAGGAACTTTCCGAGTTTGGGAAGGTTACGGTATCGCCGGCTGGATCGGTATCGGCAATTTCAATATATCCCCCGGGTGTGAGATGTTTGAATGCTAGTTGGTAGATGGTGTCCCAGTTCTGGAAAGCTCCCGAAAGGCCGCGCAAATGAACCAGGTCGAACGGTTCATGATACGTCCATTCGTCTCGAGCGTCGTCGAGCTGGAAGTATACGTTCGGGAGATTGATGTGGCCCAGCCCAGCGTCAAATATACCAATGTCCGAGGCGATTATAGTAGCATTGGGGTGCATCCCGCTCATCTCAATCGCCCAATTCCCGGGACCGGTTCCAATATCTAGGATTCGGCATGCATCTTTTGGTATCGGGACAGTTGTCAAGCTACCGTCGAGCAGGATTAGGTATATTTGATGAACGATATTCAAGCGGGTGTATTCGGTCTCGTCGTTGGGCATAAAGTATGTTTCATTGCAGTACTTGCGATCATTCTCGATGATGGATTCTAGATTATGAGCCTCAAAAGATCTGGTCGATTTTCTGCATCCATCAGCCACTTTTGCCCTTCCAGGGATTCCCCTTGGATTGAATAAAGATTTAAAGAGAAAGGGGAAACAAAAGCTAGATAGGGGTGCGAACATTGAGTGTCCTCCATCGGAATCAGTATCAGACTCCGGGTCTGAATTTAATTCACAAGCTTGTAGTGCTCTTGCATTTTCTTCGCTATCGTCCACCACTATGGAATGGCCGATGCCTGTGTCCGGTGACTGAAAGGCTTTCTCGTCCATGACATGACGAATTTATGGAATAACGACCGGAAGGGAGGTTGGATGCAATTGCCGACTGTAGAGACGGGTGGGTGAAGAAGAAAGAAAAAGTAAATAAGGATGGACGCCCTACTAGTATTATGGGGCGGTCTCTCAGATATGGTATAAGATTCTCGTCGAGAACAAGATTACTCAACCATCAACAATAGTTAATGTCAAGAGGGGAGGAGATTTAACAAGCGTCAGATATGAACAATATAGGGCCTTGATGCTTTAAAAGGTCCTAAATAGTTCTCACTGACACGTGTGGGAAGAAAATGCACGTCATTTCGTCTAGAAGAGGTAAAGAAAGCAAGAGGGAAGCGATGAAGAATTATTTTGATAACGAACCCGATTATTCAGGTGAGGAAATAAAATGGATCTCGCGGGATGCTTGAGCGGGACAGGGAAAGCGAAACGAAACATTTGGTGCGCAGTAGATTGGGTAGTCGGAGACGGTTTGACGTTGGCCCAAAACCCTGCTGTATCTTCATGGAGAAGAAAGAAACAAATTTAGTCCATCATAGTCCGAATCCGAATCCGTGAAGAAAGGGAGAGGTTGAAAGAGAGAGGGAAAGGAAAGAAGAGGCGCACATCCATCAAACAGACTCAAGGCTGGGCTTGGTGAGAGCGCCTCTTCTGCAGCTAACGCCGGCCCTGGGTGAGGATGATAGGGTAATAGGGTGATCAAGCTGGACGTCTCTCACTCACAGTAATAGTAATGGTCAATAGTTAGTAGATTTGCGCACTGGCACCGTGCCCCGAAGATGGGGAACCCAGCCCAAAGGGACCGTTCGATCGTCCGGGCCATTTGTCAACCGGTGGACTATCGTGGAGTTGCCAGGATGCTGGAATTGGAGTCAAGCTGCATGACTGCCAGGTGTCTGGGAAAGCACGTCCAGCGAGGCGGCGGACCTGCAGGAACCCAACACCTGGCGGTGGGAGTGATGCTTTATTTTTTTCATTATTTCTTTTTACCAGCATCATGATGACAAAGTAGCAGAAGGGGTATCCTTTTCATCCGTAGACGAGGTCAGTGTGCTCGACAAGCTGGTTTATTTCTCCCAAGTGGAGCCAAAAAAAGCGACCAAGATGGCACAGCAAGAAAACAACAGCTTTCTCGGAAGAACAGCGCTACAGACCCGTGAGACTGGGAGGGATTATGGAGACCGAAACTAGGCTTGAGAACAGTGACGCCTTGCCAGAGTCAGTAGGGAGCTACACGACGGATTTCTCCGGGCCTCGTAAGTTTGGCAGACGAGCAGCCAACCAGGGGGATAGGGACGGCACCGGTGGGGATTATGTGGTTTAGGACGGGTTGGAGCAATTTGCGATGGGACAGACGCAGTGGTGATCATGTTCTTGAGGTAAGCAGAGGTTGGGAGTCGGGACGGGGATGATATGACCTATCGACTGGACGTTGGTTTTGCAAAGTTGATCCGTTCTCTTGGGAACAGGTTTGTGGATGGTTTTTTGGTGGTGAAGATAAATAATACAGTGGCATGTCGCTTAACAAGACAGACAAAAACACCAACAGTTATAGGGGAAGAAAACCAGAAAAAAATCTCCCATCCACTCAAACAGTATGATTCACAGTAAAAAGGAAATATTAATTACGCATGGACAAGATGTTACACGGCTTCCATCGAAATAATAATCCCTTTCTTTTTTCCCCGCAACGAAAAAAAGAAATGGCGATCTCCCGCCGCGTCGAACAGAACTTTCGCATTCCGTGGATGACGACTCATGCGGAACATTCCTGATCCATCCGCTTGCTGAGCCTCACCAGGTATGACTCTTTGGATCTCACATTGATTGGATCTTGCTGATTTGTAATGATTCAACTTAAAAGACCCGACAGGATGCTCATTGCTTGACGGGGATAAATAATTAACAAAAAAGCATAAACTCCCCGCCCCAATGGCCGAACAAACCCTTCTCAAAACCCCCCGTCGGTTTCTCTTCATCGCCTCGTTAGGAAATATTCGCCCTTATCGCCAGACTCGTCACAGTGCTGGGCATATCCTTCTCGATGCATTGATACCCCTCCTTCCTCCCCGAGTCCCTCTGGTCTCCTCCAAACAACCTTCTGCCGGCCCCATCTTCTACAAAACCTGGTATAGCCCATCGTATATGAACGATTCCGGACCAAAACTCGCTCGACAGCTGAAATCATGGATGTGCAACACGCAATCAGATGGGTTGGGACTTGTGAAACGCGGGGATGTTGCTCTATCTCGTGCGGTGGACATGAGTGAGACGGACAGCGAACAGACCGAATGGCAACTACGGGGGGTAGATCCGCGGTCGTTGACGCACTTTCACCCCACACTGGTCATCTTGCATGATGAGTTGGAGGCGCCACTGGGCAAAGTCAAGGTGAGGATGGGTGGACCGGAACAGGCCAGTTTACGTGGCCATCGGGGTCTTATCAGCGTCATGGAGAGTCTACGCGGGAAGAAGATGTACCCTCCATCCCCGAGTCAGGGTGCGCATGACCGTCTCTCTGTCATGCGTATTGGAGTTGGGATTGGTCGTCCGTCGTCGCGGAATAAGGGAGATGTGGCGGATTATGTGCTGACGGAGATGACGCCGGTTGAGTTGGCGGCGGTGCGGGCTGCAGCTGGTTCTGTGGCTGATCTTCTAGCCGATGAGCTTTATCGTGACGAAAACAAGGCTTAAGGCACGGTCTCAGTGTCTTGTCTAACCCAGTCGACTGAGCTGAGGATTTGACATATGGTACTTTGTAATGTATGTGTATCTATAGAAGTAGAATCCATAGAATATACCCTCCACAAATTGTGACTGAGTAGCTACTTGTGAAAGATGAACCATAGAAAAAGATGGAGTCCAGTTGCGATATTACCAGGCAAAATACTGTATTATGATATACGATGGTGATAACTCCAGGTTTCTAGGCAAGACGAGCCATGTGCGGACATACGAGTCCAGACAAATTAAAGCATGAACAAAGCACCGCGTGATAATAATGACAATCAAGTACAACGACTTGGAAGGATAACGCTGCAAGGGCCCATGAAGCTCTCAAAATAAGCAAATAATAACAAACAGGGCCGATCAGACGGTTCCTGCTATGCTCAAATCCCGAATCTCCTGCAATACTTCCTCTACCCGGTTGTCCAGATCACCCCGAGCGTATTGATCTCTTGATTCGGCATCGAGGTACTGCTGCACTTGCGCCATTCGTGAATATGCCTCGGCACAGAAACGCAGCTGGATTTTGACTAGGGCTTCGAAACTGGGGTCCAGGTACGGCACACGCAGGTCAATGAGTTGTGGTAGTTCGGTGAACAGTTGCTCGTTTAGCTGTTCATAAGATTGCTTGGCCATCTCGGCCTCACGCTCCATCCGCGGAAGCTTGGTGGCATCCTTGTCAGGCTTCTCGACCAGCTTCTTCACCTTGGCACGCATTGAGTCATAGTCGAGTAACTTGTGGTTTCGCTTCTTAATACACTCGTTGATGTCGGGGAAGTAGGCGCAAAAGCGAGATATCGGGTCAAGAACAGTTGCTCTGCAGTTGGCGGTCAGCCATCATGTAAGACCCACAAAATCATGCTGCCTTGCATGCATACCTGTATGGTCCATCCAACGCTTTGATAGTCTCCGCATCGAGATCTTCCACAGCCTGCTTGTAGCTTCTGCTCACACCGTCACGCGTTCCGGCATCGCCGTAGAAAGCGTCTATTGTCTCCGCAATGCGCATCTGCGAGGCCGTCATCGCTGTGAGTTGATCAGCATCCGCCCTTACTTCACTGCTGTGTATGTTGACAGAATGACTAACCTCGTAACGAATCCAAGTATCCTTTTGCTTCTTTCTGTAGGCGATTCGCCGCCGCCTCCATGGTTCGGTATCGTCTATACAATCCCAATCAGTACCGCGATCCGCTTGACCCGCCCTGATCTGCAAGGCGCCCAGGAACCATACCGCTCTTCGATCTCATAATCGCGATCATTCGTTCTTTCAACGTGCCCTGTCAGGTGAAGCAGCATAAGTCAGTATTCACCATCTACCAAATCCCGTATATCCCGAGAAATGATTCCGGCCAGTTGTCGAGTCGTTTGGGAGGCTGTGACCCGGTCGCTAGAAAACAAAAAGTGGCGATCATACCCGTCTTCATCATCACCTGCGTCGTCGCACGGTTGACATTTTTCTTGAAACCTGAATGATACCCCCCGTGTCAGTTTCTCGAGTCGTATAATAAAGAAAGGGTGGCGCTGCATACCTGCCCAGGACATGATGGCGGTAGGCTGTAGGCAGAATCGTAAGGGGGAGTGCTGGTTCACAGAAATTGCGCCTAGGGCTCAAGATAAGAGTATTCCAGAATGAAAATGGAACGTGGAGATAGTAGGGACAGCTATTGCTGATGATAGAGAAATCAAGGAGAATGAAGAAGATCTGAACCGGTCAGAAACGAGATGCCCAATGCGGGATGATGATGGATGTTCCAGAGTGGCTTGGTTGTGGCTGTGGAGGATCCGATTTTACCAGCCCTGTGTACGCCCGTCGGTACGGTACGAGACGGTACTGTACGGGTAAATTCTAGGCATCAGTATCGGATTCTGCGGTATCCTTTCCGTATTAGGGTAATCGGTACGTCATGCAGCTCTACCTACTCCCCTGTACCCCTGGAAGTGTTACATCGCTAGTATCAACGTCTCCTTGGTGATGTCAACTACGATTCTTATCTCCTCTCCCAAGAGTCGAATGAAGAGAATGACTGTGGAGTCGGAAGAAGAACATTATTCGGACGGAAGAAATCAAACAAAGTAAAGAAACTGCATTATTATTTCCCTCGAAGATCCCCATCCTGATAAGAAACCACTCCAGTGACTCCAAAGACAAGAACCACGTGTTTCAAAACCAAAAGCAAAACAGCTGTAGGGGTAAAACAGCAGGACAGTATGGCATCAATATTGCAGCAAGCATTCATCCGTGACCCGCAACGTGGCGGTTGTTTGATCCTCTGGTCTTCACCCAGTCCTGAAGCACCTTGTAATTCCGGCAGGTGTGCTTCCGTTCAGTTTCTCCCAGAAGAGCGAAATGATAATGCTCACTTCCATTTAAATAAACCGGCCGCAATGTGACTGGGGTCATGTCGCCAGAGCACATGACTGACTGACGCAGTTGATCTATACAGTGGTCTGCAACCGAGTGGGTCAGTCATGGAGAAAGAAGCGGGGGGACAGTGAGGAAGCTCACCAAGATGCATCTGCATGTACTCCATGGGGAAAGAATGATCTTTATAATGGTCGGGATAAAGCATCTTTCTCAACGCATTGACGCAATGAAGTGAATGCATCACGTCAATCCCACCATAGACCCCAGGCGACTCGACATAACCCTTAACCTTGGGCAACGGTTTTAGAGGCAGGGAATACTGATCTTTATCGAACTGTGAAACCTCTGACTCGTCTAGCATGATATAGCGTCCTGCAGTGAGCGCATCCCAATTGTCATCGATCTCTTTGGACGGGGGGCCGGTATAGACAGGATCATTTGGGTTGTTGACCTGGTACAGGAAGCCATTCTCGTCTGCTCTGATGGCATTGGTGAAACGAACTTGCTCAAGAAAGATTGACGATTTGGCATCATCCATGTCAGTCGAGAAACCGGATTCGTATGTCGACTGGCTTGGACGAGGGAAAGACAGCCAAAGAATCACGCAGAACTGGAGAAAGGAAAACAGGCCTAGACCATAGGTGGAATATTTCCAGAGCCGGGCGGGATTGCGATGAGAATCGACATCTCCGGTGGATCTTTTTGTCTGTTGACCCCCGATAAGTCCTATTCCCTGCTCCTCATTGAGGTCCATCATTGTCGGTTGCCAGAGTATCCCGCACGCTCGAGTATCAATTGTAGTCGGAAAAAATCGCCATCAATTGACAGTCAACGATAAAGACAAGAGAGATTTGAAAAGATGTCGAGAGAAAACAAAAAAACAAAAAAAGCCCAGCTCAGTTCAAAAGGAAAAAAACAAAGCAATGCGTAGAGAGTGAATGGCGCATGACTAATCGCTCTAGGCCTGTTCTTTGTTCTTGATGCTAGCGACGTAGCATTAAGCTAAACAAGCCAGTCCACAAAGAACGAGGAATTCAATTTCCGACCAAAAGACCTCATAATATGTCTACACGAGATGCAAACTTTCTCTATCGACTCTTTGCATTGAAATAACAACGCTTTGGCCTGGGCGATTCTCAGTGTTTCACCTTGACATGCAGTAGCGAGCGGACGGCCTCCGTGGGTCTATCTCGACAGTCTGCCCACGTCGGATCCCAAACCGCGCTCGATATTAATTTATTTCTCGTTGAGTTTTGCTACGTCAAAACAAGAAGGTCGATTTTGACGATCACTCTGAGGTTACAGTTGGGACTTGAAAGACGCAATTTAACCATTCATAGATAAGTAGAGGCCGTCGTGCTGTGTTTTCTTTGTTCTCTAAACTTTTCCAATCATCATTGATTTTGACTTTCTCTGCTTCTTTGTGCTCTGTCATACCTCAAAATGCGTCCTTTTGCGCTGATCCTCGCCTTCATTGTTGGTGTCACCATGGCTGCACCAGCCCAAGATATCACATCTAACCAGCTCGCTCGACGTGAGGTATGTTGATCATCTTTCTATTGGATAATGTATGAACTGGGCTGACTTTATGACTACAGGACGTGAGTCATGTGCCCTACTAGGGAAGAAGATAACTATTCAGCAGGGCTGATCAATTCGGAATATACAGGCTGTGAGTGACTCCTAATGGTGGATGTGGTATGAATTAATGCTAATGTTGGATACAGGTGGCCGATGAGGTGAGTTTACTTGAGAGACTACCTGAACACGGCTGATTGATATATTCAATAGGTTCTCGATGAAGATAGTGTTGTAAGTGCCAATGGCCTTCCGAAGAAAACAGCACTGACAATCGACAGGCCGTACGTTATAATCCCAGATGACTAGTATCAGGTATGAGTTAATATGGAACTAATATTTACCAATTCAGGCTGTCGTAAGTGAACCTACTCTCAATATCTCTATATTCAAAACTAACAATGTACAGGCTGTGAGTGAAAAAGCAGGTCTTCAACCCCGAACCCTTGCTGACAACATACCAGTAACCGAACGGAACCCCGAGAATCAGAAACACCGGTTGGAGATCGACGGATCACGCCAACAAACATACAGTATTCCTCAGAGAAGATCGAACAGCGGGATGGTCTGCACTGACCAGATGACCGTCGGAGGACAGCTGGTGTCGAAGGATGCCTGATATAGAATGCTTGCATTCTTATCAAGCTTGCACTGTCATGCAAATGCAAAGATAACTCCAATTTACGATCATGTATACCAATTTCCATCAACTTCTATCGAAATACCTGTATATCCCACATCCTCACTCCAAACCCGTAAAAACGTCATCGTTCTGACTCTCCCGCTCGATGTTTGATATTCAAGACCAATATAATTACAGCCGATCATCCCGTGGATCAGAGCGGAGACTAAAGCAGACACCCATGTCAACCATAATAAAAGCAAATATAGCACACTTAAACACCTTCCTAAATCACCAATGGCCCTCTGTGCCCCTCCCAATGAAACGAAGCGATATGGCCCTCTGCTTAGAAATCCCCACCGAGTCAAACACCCATGGAATGTTTAGATAAAAAACGCCTGATGGTCTGATTTGCCACATGCGACTCGGCATGCGCTTGGAAAACTCTGGGTCGGAGAATTCTCGTATAAACCATGTTTAACGCATGTACGGCTCTTATAAATCATCTAGCTTGGCGAGGACACGGTAGGTTGCGCTCCACGTTGCGGTGTCGATGCCTCTGGATGGAAAGTTTTAATGGTGTAGACGAGACGTATGACTTCAGAGTACATGGTATCTGACATCTATTTGTCAATACTGTAGGTAGATGGATTTGGAGAAGGGGTTTAGACCTACATCAGCCTGCAAGTCTGCAGAGGTATAAAATTGACATGCCTCGCTTTGGGGTCATCGGCTTGGCCATGCTAGACTCCATAACTATGTCACCGTGGACGTAGCGAAACCAAAACAGCGATGTCTACCAAGACGTGGATCCCAGTTCTTATCGTCATGGACATGATCTGTCTTGCCACATTTGACATAGTAGTAGTTTGCGTTGTGCACGCACCGGATGGAGCCACATTTCACCAATAGTCACTGGCAGACGAAGCAGGGGACCACGAATATATCCAACCATTTAGATGTAGCCTGGCCATAATAGCCCAAAATTGGGCTGTATCTATCGTGCTAGCAAGGAATGTCGGTTTCCCATGTCCGTCGTAGTCGTAAAGATTGAGAGTCCGTCGGTGCAGCGTGGGTGAAATCTGTCGCAAGATAGGCCGGATTAATGAACTCTGGAAAGTCCACAACCTCTCTTCCTTGGAATACATGGTGATTGATATTTGTAATCGAGACAAGCCTGCCCAGAACCGCAAATTCCAGCTTCAATTTGATGCTATAAACCATCGACTTGAGGATGACCTGCATGTAATAGAAGTTCAAAAACTCCATTACCAATAAAGCAATATCCATCATTATAATAGCCAAGCTAATTACCAGTAGCTCGTATAGGATTTGTGTTCGACGACTGTTCTTTTCCGGGCTGAGTTTGAGTAATTTGACCGTCTCGTAGATGTACAGGGAGGATATAAGGAGTTCCTGCGCACAGAACCAGGTCACCTGCAGCCGCTCCATGACACCATATGCTTTATTCCAGCGGTCTCTTCGGATATACGCAGATCCATACGAGACCACCGTTGTCGAGACGCAGAGTACCACTGCACTGATGATGATCAGACGGAGAATAGCCCGGAGGACCTTTTGACTCTGCAGAACCAGATGCAATCGCGAATATAGCACCACCGACTGTCCCGGGACCATAAAATACCAACCGAACGTGGACATGGACAGTGCGAGCCAGAGAGGCCCAATGGCGAAGAAGTGCAACAGAGCGCCAATGGTTGTAGGCATGACTCCGGCGACGTTGGAGAGTAACATAGACCAGAAGTAAGTTCCCCCATAATGCTGAAAGGCCAGAAAGAGCAGAATGGTCAGTTCGACTGCATTATATAGGGCAATTGAGAGCAAGGCTCCCATGGTGACTTTGACGGTGACGCTATTTCCTTCATAGCCCTCGACGAGCCCTAATGGGGGGTCATCACGGTAGTTCAATCCCGGCATGATGCATAAAGCTTGGATATCTTTCGTAGATGATGTTGTCGAGTATCGATTTGTTCATATTATGGTCTCTTGTCTGCTTTCCATTAGGTCGGCAACGCATCCTGGCCCTCTCAGTCATGTAGAATCCCAACTGCACCTAAGACAGCGAGAGCAAACGTTGAAGTAGAATTATTCCAATCCAGAATTAACTTTTGCTTCATTTCCCCGCGAACTCTGTTGGCCGTTAACTTTCATGGCTTCATATCAATTGGTTTGGGTCGAAGTTTCTTTTGATTGGCAAACCATCCTTTGTTAAATACGAGTTCAGGCACTTCTTTGTACAAGATGTCCAGTCTTCTTGCTCAGTGTATATCCAGACACGGATAGTGTCATCAAATCCTACGCCAAATAACAAAATGGCTATCCTGGTGAATCCATGTATGTGTTGTCTCGTCCAGCATGTTTTCCTGGGGCATTGACAAAAGGACAATGCGTCTACTCCTTATTTGGATCTTCAGTTTCTCCAGGCATAACATTTTCCGGAACTTCAGGCTGAATAACACCATCGGGATCTAGGCACTCAGGTCGCGAGTACACTCCAATGAAAGTATCTTCCACACCTTCAACACTATTCCAAAACGTGCAGGCGTAGTTGAGCGATACACGCCACTTCCACCAGATCATATCCTCCGAAACTTCTGCCTGGCCAGGGATAGGATCGTCACCCCAGAACTCTCTTTCATAGCTGCAGTGTAGGACTACCGCCGACTGCTTGGAAGGACTTTTCATCCAGCACGGCAATCCACGATTCCGAAATACTTGTCGTCCGTTCGACTTTATGTCATGAAAGTCGTTTGGAGAGGAAGCCGCGTAATTCGGCGTTGCTCGTGCTTTCGAAGCCAGTATCAAAATATTGAACGGGGAATTCGGTTCTCGGGTTTCTTGTTCGGGGGGTACGGACTAAGCTGAAGATATTTGCAGCAAGGTCTTCATCTCCGAGGAGACATTCTGTCATCAGTCGATTGGGCCCTGGGTGAAATTAGAGGGGCTCTTTTAGTTCAGGAGCTGCCATACGTTGCAGGCACTTTTACTGTGCAGAAGAGTAAGACAGCTGACATGATGGGTGTGGCTGTTTGGCAGGAGTAAGTATGCTTGAAGATGTATACTAGAAACTGTTTCAAAGGCGGATATGGTGTAGATGATGAGGTATTCTTAGCTGGAAGATGACTTTTGTGCTGGCAAAAGGTCTCGGATAGGAAACTCACCGGACAGCTCGCAGCGGGGTCCAAACACAAGCCTCATAATGGCATCATGCCGGTGTTCATAACAAATAGAAAGAAAAAAGAAAGAAAAAGATGCTTATATAATATATCTGGATCACTTGCACTTGCCCTCGTACCCTTCATCTTCATGTCTTCGCTTTGCAAACACTCTTATCATTATTTGCCAGTATTTTGCAGGAATGGTTCTCTGGCAAAGATTATTAGCCTCTATCTTTACTATTTTATTTGGTGATTTGATATCAGGTGTCCTTGTTCTGAGTTGTCTTTTTGGGACCGAATTGATTCACTTGTTGCTGCGATGGTCGTCGCCCTTGGATCACTGAGCGCCGTCGTTGGCAGGATATTCCTCGGATACTCTTGGATAAAAGAGCTTTTTTTAGATGGTCTATAATAGTAATGCCCCTAGGCAGTCTTCTGACACATGCTTGCCACTACCTCTGGTGTCCTATCTGTGATTAGAAATTGGTCTATGTAGGCAGGACCTACGCGTTTACCCACGTACCCGGTAGCTTAGGTATACTATGGTAACTAAGCCTGGAACGTTACAATACAGATCCACCAGTGAATATGTACTCCTACTTAGGTACGACTTCAACCTCAAATCTGGTGCTTGACTTTCCTGTTCTTTTGTAGATCGAATCTTGGTACCACCGCGGAGCACTGCTCTAGATCAACATGCCTGACTCCGAGATTGAATTCTTCCCTCAAGAGTCCATTGAAGAGTTCTTCGGAGGCCATATCAGCTTTACTCAAGGATGTACTGGAACCTGGGCCCTTGGACAGAAACTCAATGAAAGACACGACCAATCCACCAAAGAGGAGTTCGAAGCATATGGTGCTCCCTCTGCTGCGTATGGAACATTTGAATGCTTCAATGTCGACGGCCCAGGAGAAATAGCCATCATGAAAATTTCCATGCAGTTTGTCCCCCCCTTCCTTCCAATCCACAAAACACTGCTAATTGTTCAAGGATCCCTTACGCAGGACCGACCTTTCAGTCTGCCCGGACAAGAGCACGACAGACCTCCAACCAGCTCACTAGTTATACTCGATCAGAGCTGAAGCGTGCCAAAAGCTGAGACAGCATGGATCAAGATTGACACCAACTCTTATCAATCACAAGAGAGAGAGACAGGGACAGGACTGGCCGATATCAAGTGGATTTCTTTTCTTCTTGATAACAGAGAGTGTGTCAGGTATGCCGCTCGAGGATGTCTACTGGGATCTTGATCCCCAGGAACGCGAGGCAATCCGACAGGCGTTCCGACTTACCTGGGAGTATGGATACAGTATCCCGTTTCTTTATCTTTAATATATCTGAGATACTAATATTAGTAATAATTAGGGAGTGTCTTAGAGCGGGTGTTATTTGCTTAGAATCTGGGCTTGACAATCTCGTCTGGGACTCGGAGAAGAAAGCAGTGTAAGTCAACCGTTTCAAAGTTTATGGATTTATAATAAAAACTTCTAGTTACATACTCAGATTCATCTTGCCCGGCTGAATCTACAGACCAATGGAAAGACGTTGAATGGATTGCATGGGGTTTAGCAGAGCCACATCGGGGTTATCGTTGGTCAGAGGAGGGCCCAGTTCATCCAGACACCTCGTCCTGGAGACTGATTTCAGTTTGAATATTCCTTCACGCGCAAGAAAATATTTGGATATGGTATGACAGAGACAATATATGGTTGGCATGGTTATTGCTGAAGCCCCAACGGCTTGCCCTAATTACCATTCAGCGAGTTATTATAGCTCTATCAATGTTATTGCTTATTGCTTCATCTCTAGTTCTTCGATAATATCTTACGACCCTCTTCTCCCAGAGATATTCACCTGTATCGTTTCGTTTCGCTACTGTCCCCAGAATTCCTATTTTAAGCATCTTGCAATGCTTCAAGTCATCAGTTACGATCCATACAAACGAGATAGACTGACTCATATCAAAAAATACCAATGACCTTCTTGACTTCATCCGGACAGTGTTCCTTGTGGATATGACTATCGCTTTCAAAGCAAAAATGGCTGACCCAAACCGGATTTACCGGGTCTTGGATTACATTTCATCATATAGACACCGTGCACCGAACACACCATCTTAAATCCTTTTAGATGAGCGACGTCTACCGTAACCTGCACTCCCGGATACTTGTGATGTCTCGGCTCGTAATCCCCATCATCCATAGCCACAGCCCTTGCCCCGGGAGTCGTACAACCAATAAGTACACTTGGTCAGTCGTCAAAAATGAACTTCATCCCGGTGATATAGTCTTCCCCTGAGATTCTAAGAGCCGAGATGGCAATGCTGCGCAGAGAAGGTGTTATATCCACCCACTCGCTGCGCGTGTTTGAGTAGCATGTATTGTGGTAATGCTGGAGGGCCCGGCTGCAAAAGTGCAGCGGCATTTGATGCTGCAGCGACTTATAGATGGCCAGAGTGGCATCTCTCAGCCACCGCAAAGTCTCCCACGATTTGATAGCAAAGTCATATTCAATATTACACTTGGGCTGACAGGTACAGTGGTAAAGGAGCTTCCAGTCTATGCGTTCTTTTCCCCCGTCTTCCGCGTCGGTGACTTTTGAGCGACAGGATGAAGGGACCCACGCTCACCGTTGATGGCGAATCTTGTTCGCCAGAATGCAGTGCTTGTGAAGATGGGTATCATCACTCTCGAAACATGACGCAGGCTCAGAAGGACCTGAGTCGGTAGTTGGAATGCGATGGCTTTACAAATCTCCAGAGGAAACAAACGGAAGCAATCGGTGGGGTTTTGGTGGATTGCTGCTAGTCTTTGACTGACATCATTTGACAACCTTGGAGGCGCTTTTGGAGACTGCATGAGTTGCTCGAGAGTTGGGAGGATTAAAGGATCATAGCCATCATGACCTGGTCCACGAGGTTCAACAACATCATGGTACCATGGCCCTGCAGACAGTGAAGAAATTAGGATATGAATGGGAAGAGAGACAGAGAGAGAGGGAAGGAACCTTCTGGCACTGGTAGATACTCCAAAGCGTCGTAGAGACTGGCCAAATCAAATTTCTCTGAACCGATATGATCCATGAACGAGTCCCAACATCTCGCATGGAACAGATACACGCCTGGGATGGGATGGGGAGGGTCTTTCAGGAGGATGGAATCCTCCCCCATCGTGTCCCATCGTACTGCTGGGTTGGTGGGAGGTCGAAGGTGATGATCGTGCTTGACTGAACCAACTCCAGTCAGTTTGACACCATCAGGGGCTTGGTACACCGCTTTAAATTCTGAATGACATGACCGATATGCCCTCCAGCTGCGAATAATTTCAAGACCACAAATGATACATATCGTGCCATCATTGAATACTGATTGGAAAGGCATGGTTAGTGTAACTGATATCTCGTTATGTCCAGCATGTCTACGGGTCACAACGATGTAATGACTTGAACAGATTCAACCATGGGTAGATCTATTAATATCGCTCTATATTCTAATCTCTTCAGCAATCATACTCTCTTCACAAGTTTATCCCCAATCCGCGCCAACGAAGCCTCAAACTCCTTAAACGACTTGGCTCTCCACTTCGCCCCTCTCTTCCCAGGAATCGTCCCCTTCCCCGTGAACCCAATATAGAGCACATCATGATCCGTATGTCCCTGATCGGCCGTGATGCTATCACGAGGAAAACACGCCGTGGCGAGCGAAATCGACGCCTCCCCGGTCTCAACCCCGTGGTTTGTATCCCCCCACACCCCGTAAAAGAGCTGGTTATTGCACACGACCAGCATCACGCTCAACGGCTTCATCCCCACACTTTGTGGGTTAAATGAGGGCGTTGCACCGGTATTCCCGAAGACGATGTAGCTGTGGATGTTGGCTTTGAGGTCGGAGATGCCGTGTTGTCTGACGGTGTCTTGGAAGGCTGTGTTGCTCTGGCCAGAGGGGTCGTTGGTGCATTTGCCTTCGGTGTTGTCGAAACCATCACAGCCGACGTCCATATCTCCTGTCAGATAGACGAGGCCTTTGTGGTCGCCGCAGTAGGTGATTCCTGCTATTTGGTGTCAGATTGGTTAGACCGTTATTAAGGATGGATACGTACAATTCCCATGGCCATCACGAAATCCGGTCTTGATAGGATGTGTGCAGGGTTTATTCTGTTTTGTTAGTATATCAATATGCCATGTGATATGGATGGACTCACCTTGACTTTGTTGTAGAAACTCCGGACATTAGGAGGGACAGATCGAGTGTGTATAGTAGTAATTAGCAGAATCCATATTAGTATCGTATTAAACAGACTCAACATATTGACACTGATTCGTGTTGATTAGATCAAAGCATAGTCAAATCGACATGACTCCAGTCTATACGATTCTAGGCTTCAACATCCACAGTACCATGGATATACCAGCCAGTCATCCGCAAATGGGTAAATCTAGTCTTTTTCCATCTTGTATAGGCAGAATACTACCTCAACACTATCATCTGACACTCCAATACTACCAAACCCCCAAACAGGACCAGAAGCCATCACCAGTTATTGGATACGGCCTCGTATTGACTTTGTAACTTTGTACGGACATCCGTATTGAACCGCCTGTCAGCATACCAGCCAATACGGAGGAAATCCCTGCAATACATGATGTAATAATCCACATGGTTGGCGGGGACGCTTTCATGCACAACACCCGAAATGGTCTACAGTCAGAAAGCTACTAAACTGCATGTACATGAAGAGCCACTTTTTTTTTTTCTTCTTTTTCTTTTTCCCCTCTGGTGGTATGGATTCATCATCCCGGGTACAACCGATGGAGTTGATCGTTTTTTGATAACTGACGTAACTTGGAAGTCGATCATGTTTGCCATCGTACTTTGTTCGTCTGTCTGTTCTGCCTGTCTCAGTGTGCTACCGTGAAATCAGAGATTGTATGTCGAAACAGTTATTGAAACAACTAACTATCCTAGGCTATAGCATCGCCATAATCCATAATACCGATAAAAAGAAATAGACCACCACCGGAACTAGAGGGTATCAAACCAGAAAAAAAACTAACAATGCAACCATGCAAGAAAAACGAAAAGTGCCAGTAATCCACCCAAAAATCAAACGCTGGGAGAGAAGCCATAGTAGAGTTCAATTGGAGAGAGCTCGTAATCGTCATAGTTATACAAGAGCTGGGTTGCAACAGCAAGTCAGCATCAGAAACTTGTTAAAACAGTAAAAAAAAAAAAATTGCAGATAATGAAACAGAAAGAAAAAGAGAAAAAAAAAAGAAAAGCTGGAAAGGTCATGACTCTTCGTTGCATTGGCATGGAAAACATGACGATCAAACTAAGCCCATAAGCTAAAAGAGCAGGAAAAAAAAATAAAAAATTTGGACACATTGCGCCGGTATAAAAAGCAAAGGTATCTCCTTCTATGGGGTAGTTCGAAGAAGGTTCAAAAATCCTCGCAAAGGGTGCAACACATAAAAGCCACCCTGAGTATCATAAAACACAGGAGACAAAAGGAGCAGTTATCACAGGGGACACTTTTTTTTTTTTTTTTTCGGACCAACGTTCAAAAATCAAAGCGCTGAGACCATGCCCGCCTGCCCCTTGAGCCCCCAATGGAGTAGAATGAAATATTGAGTTGTAAATGAAAATCATCATACTAGATCAAAATCCTTCCTCACCAGCCTTGCACAGCTTGATCTCCCGAAGCCATTCGGATTTGAGGACCTGCGAGGCATTGATGCGACGGCAAGGATTGGGATCAAGGATGGAATAGATCACGTTGCGACAACGAGCCTGAGACACGTTTGTAAGCTTGGACGTCCTGTGTACCGTTTTCTGATCAGCCCTTACCCTATGCAAAGTCTCGATGGGTGCGTGGCCATCTTCGTGTTTGCGACCTTCCAAATAGCGCTGGTAAAATTCATCCTCCTCCTTACGGGCCACCCTCCATAGGTGTCGTCCCGTTCGCATGGCCATGTAGATGACGCCGGTGGCCCAGAGATCGACAGCACGAGGGTCAAACTCTTTTTCGACATACTCCTCGGGAGCGATGTAAGGGGCGGAACCGCAAAGTCCCGCTGTCATGTGCGCCTCCTTTTCCCAGGCCATGCGGAAACACTCGCCGTTGCCAAAGTCTGTAATTTTAAGCGCTCCGTGGGTAGTCAGGAGGAGGTTTTCAGGTTTGAGGTCACGATGCGCAACGCCCATCTCGTGCATGTACTCCACTCCCCGCATGAGTTGCTTGAAAAAACAATCGGCTTCGGCCACTTCCAGCTTGCCAGCAGCCAGCACAAGTGTGTACAGGTCCCCGCCTGCACAGTACTCCATGACCTCACAGTAGTCGCCTTTTGCATCTTGCAACAGGTCTAGGGTGTGGATGACGTTCGGGTGGCGAAGGGAAGAAGAGATGCAGAATTCTGAAGTCAAGCGCTTCTGGTATTTCTTGGAGGTTTCCTGGGGACGGCGGCGGAATTCCTTGACCGCATACAGCTGTTCCATCTTGGAATCCCTGGGATCCACCTTGTGAGAGATCCGGACAATGCCAAAGGCCCCGCGACCAACAATCTCCTGGCATTTTCCATATTTGTCGACCAGCGAGGCGGTTGCATTGGGGCCACCCTTCTTATCGAGGGCCAGCTTATCGCGCTCGGTCTTGAACTGGTCGATCCATGTCGACATGAGAGACAACTGCTGATCATCCACGTGGTCGTCCTTCTTTCGGCTGCTGCCGCCGAGCATGTCTCGCAGGAGATCAGTCAGCTTCTCTTGCCGCCTGGCACTCTTGAGGTGATGTAAATGCATGTTTTCCGGCTCCATTTCGAAGCGCTTGTGGACAATTGACCCTTCTTTCGAGTCCTTGCCACCAGTCTTGCTCTTCTTCTCGGGCTTTTCCGGCCTCTCGTCACCTTTAATAGATGTCTGTCGAGAGGGAGCTCTCGAAGAGGGCTTGGATGACGGTCTGGACGGCCTTGCGGTACTGCCGTTAGCGGAAGGCTTTGCACCATCTGAGCTGCTATCCGAGAAGTCGCGTGAAGGTTCAGGTTGCTCCTTGGGGGTAGTTTTCCCTGTGCTGGAGAACATGCGAGAGATACGGGTGGCCATGGTAGGTCTAACAGGCTTCCCGGACGCCGGAGGCATGGGGAGAGCATCCCCACTCACGGCGGACAGATTCATGCCCGCAAGAGCACGTGTTACCTGAGGGTCTCCATCGCGAGGGTCTGACGAAATGAGGGACGTTGCGGTAGAGGAGACTGCGGAAGGTACAGGTGAGGCAGATTGCGGAGTCATGTGCGGTGATTCGGAGCGAAGCTGAGCTTTTGCGCACGGAGAACTAGAGGATCAGATTTGCCCCCGTGACGAAGAAAGAGGACAAGCGCCTACAGCACGAAGCTGAAGATGCAAAAGAAAAGTAACTTGAGATGGTCGGAAAAAGAAAGATGAAGGAGTGAGGAAAGAAAAAAAGGGGGCGCGGAGGAAAAAGGTGAGAGTGGAAAAAAATTTCTTGGTGGTGGTGGTGGCCTGAGGCGAAGGGCAAAAAAAGTGACGAAAGTGACTTCGTAGTAGGCGGAAGTGGTGGTGGTAGTGGTAGTAGCAGGAAAAAGAAAAGAGCACCGCGCAACAAGGCACGGAATGCCCAGATGGGACGGTAACTATGCTGAAAACCGCAAAATGAAAGTAGTTTGAAGTTTGAAGATTAGGGGTCAGGTGAGGTGCACGAGTACAGGAAGCAGAGGAAGAGAGTAATGCAAGAGAAGAAGAAGAATGAGAGGGAGGACAAAAAGGCGCTGCCTACGGGGCGACGAGGTTGAAATAGTACCAGTAGGCAGTAGGAGTAGGTAGGAGTAGGAGTAGGAGTCGCACTGCGGGCTGTACGTCGTGGTAGCTGCTGCTATGGGGGACAGGCCGAGGAGCAACTAATGTGGGCGCCTTTTTTTTTTTTTTTTTTTTTTTTTGATCCAAACAAATGAAGAGAAAGAAACGATCCTTTCCACAGGTTCAACAGATTGTGGGCACCAAGCGAGAGAATAAAATAAAGAAAGGAAATAATACTACATACTGTACGTTGACCTACGACGACGTCCTGTAGAGACACACACGCACACACACCCTGCGCTGCCGGTTTTGGAAGACCAAGCCCTCAAATTTTTTTTTTTTTGTTATTATTAAAAATTCATTTTGATTTTGATTTTGATTTATTTTTTCCAAGGAAAAAGTAATGAAATCAAGATGAATATTTCCTCTGCTCCATCGAGTCTACCGCTTCCTGTTCGCGGTTACACGCCCGTCAGCGGCAGTTCTAGATGCCTGCAGCGTATGGTATGTACCATGTATCGTAATTTACGCCACATGCACGAGGCTTGAGCAAGGCTGTGTTGCCTACATTGCTTTTTGCCATCTTTTTATAACTTTCGATTATATTCTAGAGTCATCTTCATATCCTTTTACTTTGATTTCTAACATTTATAATATCTAACTTCCACCTCTTGGCTGTTTTTTATCTGGTGATTTCAGATCATAAGATTCAGCGCCCATACCGGTAAGCCAGCCGTTGAAACAGCCGTGTCCAAAACGTGGCGCGGAGCTGGTTTGCCCTAAGTGCTGCTGCCTCCTATTATGGGGTAAATCATAATCATCGATTTCCAAGTAGAAATCATATCATGTAATTTATCCAAGAGGATCCTTGGAACCAATACTGGGTCTGCTTCCGTAAAGAAGTATCTTACGACAAGATCCTGACTAAGAAAACGCTCCCGGTGGGCGTTGATTATTAACACACTGGCGATGGAGGTCCGGATATCGAACTGCATAGGTCAATCCGGCGTCGGATGACGTTTCACCCGTTGGCTCAGGTTCGTTCGGTAATCATCATCTGCCTCTGTGCTCTGTACACCGTTGATATAATTCAGAATCATAATTCGTGAGGCTGTGCTTGTTCATGATTCGATGTTCCTCGGTTTGGGCTTGGGACGCTCCCTCCAGCAGATTCTGACCTACCCAGATGAGCTTAGCTAAAAGCCTCAAGCTTTGTCCCACCAATACTCCCGTACAGATGAGGGGTAAACTGATTCAGGAAATACGGAGGAGAGCCACCGAGGGGTAAACGATTCACCTCTCCACCGTTACTGGACGCTTCTCCTGTCCTGAGATCGACTGTGTCCCCCTCCCTCCCTTTGAGTTTTTTTTTTTTCCCCTATTTCCAATCCTCCAACTCATCCAGTATCCACGTTTCTGGGGACTAGCTCCTGCCGGCACCTGATTGTGGTGGACATGACACCAATCTCCCACGCGAGTCTTTCATCACCATTCTGGGGAAGCCTTTGCTCTCATTTATTGGATGCGCAGTACGTCATGATATGAGTGTGTGAATTATGAATGCACCACTGAGTACACCCCCCGATGATGTCCAGAGTTTGGTCAAAGGACAGCTGACTCGAGGTGTATAGCAATGGGGAGTCATGGACAGCTTGGAGAATCCCTCAATTCTTAGCTATTATCTGACTCATAGTCGATCATGCAGACCCCGGCATGTCTATTTCAGCTTCTGCCAATTTAACTCTCCGTCTACGTCTACGTCTGCTTCTGCCATTGCCATCTGCCATCATGCCATGAAATCGGTTATCAAAGGCTTTAGCATGTCACCAGGCCGTATTTGGAAGAAGACGGTCCAGATTATCGTCATGATATCTTCAGGCCTACAGACTGAATACTTGATGAAGATCGTTTGTCTCGTCTGCCTTCGTTTGCCTTCTCGTATCCAGTCGTTATCAGCAGCACCAAGATGTTCTAAACAAAAGCAATGATGCTGTTGATAGTAGCTTGCGGCCTATGAAAAGAACCGCTCACCACATGCCTGTTGATGAAGTATACGAAGTCTTATCTGATGATGAGACCATCATAAGATCTTCAGACGTCAGTTACCTCGGTCATGGGTCAAATTACTAGACCTACTCCTAGTCCTGCTGTCTGTAATTGCGGGGATGTCGAATACCACCAGTAGCCACAAGCAGGGCGACTAAGGTATGTTAAATTAGGATAGATGGGATTTTCCGCTTGACGTAATGGGCAGAACAACGAGGGATTTTCCAAAACCAATAAGATCGACCTTGATCCCCCGATGAAACAGTATCCATTCCGAGTTTCTGCCGTCAATCGTTGGATGTTTTTAACTGCGGGTCTGTACAATGAAGCCTTTAGTCTCTACAAAGTACAATATAATACACCTAATACATCCAGTATGTATGTATGAGATCTGCGACGAGTCCAATTCCTTTCCTGCATATTGATGGTATTATCTTTCCGCGTGGAGCCATGCCATCTGTATCCTGGAAATAAAATACATACATTACCTTACATCCGGCGACGTAAAATACACCATCGGAAAACAACCCCCATCCGATTCCTTTTCGTATTGACATTTTTACATATTTAGTTTTCAAATAAATATCATAATAAATAAGGAGAGAAAACAAATAACGATTCACAATCAGGAGCTTTGGGGAATTCCGAAAAGGACCAACTGCATGCCAACCCTTGACAAAGAAAAAAGGCTGCAAATGTTTTTTGACCGCTAGTTGCAAGGCCATATGTTCGGCCAGTTTGGTTCTGGGCTGAGAAACGTGGGGAGATAACAATTCATCGATGGGTGATCAGATGAGATCTGTATTTTTTGCGGTGAGGCCTTATATACCTGTTCTACCATGGAATTCACTTTCAATTTGCATTAATTGGATACCTATCAAGCTATTGGCTCTCGGCTGGATGGACTGAAGAGAAGAAGTGCAAGAACTACTGGATAACTCCACATCCCCATACCAATTACCCAAACAACCAAGAAATCTCGGCACCAATTCTAAAGCAAATAAGTTACAACGGTCCCGGTTCAAGCTTCGTCGTATCTTGGCTATCAGTCACTGACTGGATAGGTAAAGTAGCATAAGCCCGTGTTGATTACCGATGGCGCAGGGAATCGCCCAATCGGTCCATCAACATGACCAAGTAATCAGGGATGTTGGAGATGGATGGGATAGGGATATAACAAACCACCTCAGCTTTCGGTAGTTTGGAGGTACTACTGTACTTACTACTGTGGTTAGTTGGCTCTCACTGGTAGGCAGCCATCATTATCCTGCATCCATATTCCTTGGCATGTAACTACAGGGGGAGAGTCATCTTAGGACAGGTTGGCTGGGGGATTTGGTTGGAACAGGTTGCCCAGCATGTGAAACCATTTAAAGGTTCCATGTAAGCTGTAGAAACTATTACTTTATGTCAATAGCTGAATAGTCCAGCTGGTGATGCATCTGGGGGTGCTTATTGGGTGGCGATTTGCTTTTTCTGGATCATATTAGAGTATACTAATAACCAGGTATACTCCCAACTCAACTATAATACACTATGAATGAATGCTTTGTTGGATCTCTTTGAACTTCGAGCTAGCTTTATAAAACCCTGCTGTCCCTGTCGATCCCTAGCTGTTGAGACAGTATACCGGCTTACTTATAGCCCATCTGTAGCTGTAAGACTATCTTCTTATCTTCCTATTCAACTGATCTACATCTTTCATCCCCTCCCATGGCTATTTCTACTACAACTACAGCAAGGTTACGGCTCAACGATCTTCTAGACCATCCCTTGCAGTCAGGTTGGACAGCCTACAGAATGTGGGCATGCAGAAATCCAGGCCGTTGACAGCTCTGCAAGGGGGATACGGAGTCGAGGAATTTCCATCATGCGGACTACCGTCTAGAAGGAATCAGATGACCAGAATTCTCTGCTGGCTTTGGATTACGGATAAAACGTTCCCGCCAATGTTATCGTTCGAATTGCCATTTTTGATTAATTGACTTGGATTTTGTATGGTTGGATAATTCTTAGTACCAATATCCTCCAAGACTGATATTGGTAAGTGATTTCACTGGGCCTTGACGAGCAATGAGCATGTTAAGAATACGGTCGTTCATTCGGCCCAAAACAGCTCCTCCCGATGGCTGTTGCTGTTGCTGTTCCACCGCGTCTCGAGAACCTGCATCAAGGAACAGAAACGCAGGTGTGTCTGATAGGGATTTGCCGCAGCGTTCATGGACATTTTTCGTTGACGTGTAAGGTCGACTGCAAGGTTCCCCTTGGATCAAGATGCACGACGGAGGTATTACAGCTTGGATTATCTAGCTTGTCATTTCTCCCACATGCTGCCATGTTGGTGATCCAGACCCTGTCTCTCAATCGGATGGTGACTTGTCGGGTTCTCGGCGCCAGACCACCTCACGGGAATCCCTACGCCAATGGCGCTGGTAGATTGATAGAGATGTTATCAATAGGACTCACATCCATCAATGTGCCGTGTGCTTTAGATTTGGCCCAGTGCATGTTGAATTATCGCTTTCAGCCAGGCGCAGGAATATGCGCGCCCGTGTTGTAATGTTGAAGGGAGGTTGGGTTCAGAAGCAGGCATTAAGACAAAACCCGTGTCTGCGAGCGAATTAACCACATTTCTTAACAATGGAAACAAGTTACATACCACAAACTGTTCCAGAGACTCTTCGAACAGCTCGTTGTTCACCCCCAATCCATTAGGGTGTTCGACAGGGGACAATGGATTCTTAACCACTGCAAAGAAGTCAGTCATAACCACCAACGCCATCATCTCGAGGCCACCCACCATATTCGACAAACAGGTTGATATAGATCTGTTGCAAGGCAATTCGCATGCTTGGACTCTTCAGGTCAGTAAGCATGACAAACTTGATGTTCGTGGGCGTTTCGTAATAGTGAAGCTTGTATTGGCTGGTGTGATAGGAGACAAAGCTAAGTATCGATCGCCCATTAACTGCTGCTCCATCTAGCATATTGAATTGCTTCTCACCTGTCATCCTCACCGCCTAGTTTGCGGACCATGTTGCGGAGGGAGAAGACCGTACCGAAGATGAGCTTCGCATCGTCATCGCTGGTCCGCGCAGATTGCCCATAGACCGCAGGTGCCCCATTGCTCACAGAAGGCGTCTCGGAGGTAGGCCGCGAAGATTTGCCAGCTATCGAGGTTGGACGGGGGAGCCAACGTCTTTTGTAGATGCACTCGGCTAGAGCAAGGGAACAGGTCAGCACGATCAACGGTTCCCCGACATTAACAAAGGGCGGAGTTCACCATGACGATCAAAGATGTAGAACGAGTAAACGACCATTGTGCTCGAGACGATGGAGAAATAATACCCGACCACGAGGACAGCCCAGATATGAATAGAAATAATAGCACGGCCGTTGAACGGGGGTGACCGTTAGGGAAGAGTGTTTGTGCCCAAGAGATGGCGCTGCTCGTGGGCGGTGAGCGAATCCAGGCCGGCCGTTGGGGGAAATCCCAACTGCGGCAGCCAAAAATCGCCGACCGTGTGCTTTTCTGACCCTCACGATGTCACTTATTCTTATTGCAACGGGCTGCCTCGTCGATGGCAAGCAGCAGCTCCGATTGCCGATGATGTCTTTTCTTTCTTTCTTCTTCTTTTTCTTCTGTTCTCTTCCTCTCTTTTCTTTTTCTTCTTCCGTAGATCTAGCCATAATACTATTGTTTCCCTACTACTCTTTACCCGATTCTCTAGACTGGTGGCTTACTCCGTACTCTGTTGTGGTCCCCCACATTCGGTCATAGGCATCCGGTTTTCACATTCAGCTGAGACACACTCGTGGTTGTTTCCCTCCACTTTTGTCGCTTTATCATTGGATTTTCTTCCGTCTTCTGGACCATCAGCAACGGCTTTCTCGTTTCCACAGTTCAATGGCCCTCGATAATGCTGATACCCCCATGTCGGATGCTACTCAAGAGCTTGCTCCCCCCGACAGTGTGAACAGTGTCCATCCAGCCCGTCAGCCCCCAAGGCCTGTCCGATATGCGTAAGCCCCTCTTCGTGGAACTTTTTTTTTTCTTTTGCCTCCTGGTCAACCTTGGTTTCTCGATTTGGGGATGCTGTCGCCATAGTCTCAAGTTTCGCTGGTCGTTAACATTACGTGTTCTACATTCAGATCGACACCTTCTTTTGAGAGCCCGCAGAGGCATTACCGTCGAAATCCCATCGTCAGGCGTCCAGTAAAGGTTATTCAATACTTTTGATAACATATTGTCAACCCCACTGAACTGACTGGGGCCGAAACAGGAAACGCTCAATGCCCGCTCTGAATATACCACCAGTCAAGACGATGGCACCGCCGAGCATAGGATCAACCAATATGTTATTAAACAGGAGATCGGAAGAGGGTCCTTTGGTGCAGTGCATCTGGGTGTCGATCAGTTTGGAAATGAATATGTGAGCATATTTGCCCAATCCATAACCATGAAATGGGTTGAGTTGCTGATTGAACTGCACAACCCAGGCCGTAAAGGAATTCTCCAAATCACGACTAAGAAAACGGGCACAGTCCCATCTTCTGCGGAAACCCCGAGGTCCTAGACGCCCAGGAGTCGGGTTGAATTCCCCTCTTCATCGAAACCCCGGCGGAAATGAGGAAGAACGGGTTGGCAATGCGCTTTATCTGATCAAGGAAGAGATAGCGATCATGAAGAAGTTGAACCACCATAATCTCGTATCCCTTATCGAGGTATTAGACGATCCATCGGAGGATTCGCTGTACATGGTGATGGAGATGTGCAAAAAGGGCGTGGTCATGAAAGTTGGGCTGGAAGAGAGAGCCGATCCATACGACGATGAGCGCTGTCGCTGCTGGTTCCGGGACTTGATCTTAGGTATCGAGTATCTACATGCGCAGGGTATCGTACATCGAGATATCAAGCCGGACAACTGCCTCGTAACAAACGACGACGTCCTCAAGGTGGTCGATTTCGGCGTTTCCGAGATGTTTGAAAAGGACTCGAACATGTTCACAGCGAAATCGGCCGGATCACCAGCGTTTCTTCCCCCGGAGTTGTGTGTCGTCAAACACGGAGACGTGTCTGGAAAGGCGACCGACATATGGTCCATGGGAGTCACACTGTACTGCTTGCGGTACGGAAAGTTGCCATTTGAGAAGCAAAGTATCTTTGAACTTTATGATTCCATCAGAAACGATGATTTGGTTTGTGAAGGAGAAACCGATGAGGACTTTAAAAATATGATCTTCCGAATTCTGGAGAAAGATCCAGAGAAAAGAATCACAATGAGTGAACTACGGGTGAGTCGTTATCAACTGTTCTTAAGAATACCCGTCTCACAAATCATAGGAGCACCCTTGGGTGACGAGAAAAGGTCTCGACCCTTTATTGTCAGAGGAAGAAAACACAGCGCAGATAGTTGACCCTCCAACTGAAGAAGAAATGAACTCTGCCATCACAAGGAATATGAACCACATCATCGCTGTGGTAAGTTTTATTTTCTTCCTCTGCGCTTAGCTAGACTGACAAAATCCTTGCAGATGAAAGCCGTGAGGAACTTCAAGAGGCTGCTCGGCCCTTCTAGGCCAGGAACACCAATGCAAAGTATCCTGGGTCAAGAACACGAGTCTTATTTTGTTGAGCCTCCCATGGAAATGGAACCAGAAGAAAGCTTTGCAATCGGCAATATCCCAAACGCCAACAAGAGTCAGAGCTTGAACACATACAACAGAAAGGCCTGGGAACGCGATGATGTGATTCGAGGATTTCACCAACGACATGAAGAACGAAACCAAAGCCAACTACCACTGGAAAGTAGCGACTCAACCAGCTCTCTTTCCAACAAAGACTCGATCTTGGATAGCAGCAATAAGCCTATTGCAAATATCCCGCCCGAAAGAAAAGACTCAGGTTCAAAACGCAACGCCAAGATTCAGCAAGATTCCGACGATGTACAGTCCAACTCTACACCACAATCGCCTTCAATTCCACTGTCGCGAGCAGACTCTACCGCGACCAAGCGAAGCGTTGAAGGAACTCGTGGACATGCACGGGATCCTCTGGAGGAGGAATTCCCCTATCTCTTCATCGGCCCATCCACCTACACTGGTTCATCAGGCAACGATACAAGCGATGCTGAACCGGGCATGATTCTAGAAGAGCCCGAGAGTCTGACGAATGAAGATTTGGAAAGTGGCTTAACAATGGACCCTGCCCCCATTGTCAGCGAGTCCCCAGGAGCCGCTGAATTCGATATCTATGAGACCGCGTATCGATTAGAAGTTGAGCGTATCCGGGATCGCGCTCCTCCTCGTCAAGGTACCATGCACAAATTCTATCTGACTCGCAGGGTCGACGGAAGAGACGACATGAAGAAATTGGTCCAAGACGAAGCGCCCGCTCTAACCCTTGGCATTGGAGAGAAGAAGCCTGTCCGTTCTGATTTAGGAACCGCACTGAGCATGTTAAGGGCCCAAATGGACGAACAGCGCAAACAGGAGGCATCAACTGGTCAGTCGCAGGAACAAACGTCTTCTTCCATTCCCTCCGCCTCAACCCCGGAGCGAACCTCAACACCTGCTGATCCGCATTCGCCACCTGAGAATCCCAAGGTTAAGTTGCGATGCCTCCTTGATCGAGTCAGAAGTAGCCGGGATTCTTGATATTACACGAAGCATAGAGATACGGGATTATTGTTTTCATATCCATGAGCGTGGTTGTTCTTCGTCTTATTCTCCCATCTGTTTTCACTCTCAACGGTAATTTAGCGTCAGCACATCCTTGACCACCATGGAGTATATATGCATATTTACAGTGAATGTGGTCATTTAATAAATAGAACTTGTATGTATTGTCTGAAATAAATTGTCTACCAATTATCATACCCTGCCAGGTGATTGGATTTCATGATATTATTTGTCTAAACCACACTATACTACCAGCCTGTTAGATACATATGTAGAGTACATTAATCCAGTAAACCCAGTAAGTATACATACATGTATAATACCTGTTTGTTTCGAATCAACAGGCCAAGAAAAAAGAAAAGTGATCTTGGATGATGCTAAGATATCCTGATGACACAAGGCGATTGTCACCGAAATTGAAACGAGAACCTGAGAGATAAGTAGCAAAATATCGAGATCTGTAAGTAATCATCCAGTTCATTTGAATTAAGACGTAAATTAAGATATCGAGAAAAGAAGAGAAGATGGGGAAAAAAAGTCCAGCCCAACAAATCATGGTTTGTAAGAAGCAAAGAATCATAGTCGCTATGCAAAAGATGAATGAATATTGCTTCGATGCATCATAGGAGTAACTAGGGTCGGGTAGGGAGAGAAGAAAACAGGTAATATGTCCAGGTAGAAAACTTGATTTGTTCTTTGAGTATCGCTTTGACTTTTAGATAGTAAAGAGGCATTTCGTGTCGTTGCTTGAGAACGTGAAGCTTTGAGATTCGTGACATGGCTTTTTCTTAAAAAAAAAAAAATTTTTTTACGCATGATTGAACGCGAGTGGGAGGTATTAGACATGGGAAAGGAAACTGGACGTGGCTTCGTCGTAAGAGGATGTCGCCAAGCAATCGATCGATCCCGTTGAAATGTAAAGAGAAGGTAAAAAAAAAAAATTGAGAATGGGTATGAGGAGATCGCACATTTTAGTGATCTGCCTCGTCTCGTAGCCCAGGGATCGGTTTAATCAACGCTATCTATCATTCATCATCGATGGTGAGTGTCATTCGTCATGCGTCTCGGTAATCCTCAACAGTAACAGTAGACGTCATGTATCGGCTTGACACATGTTTCGAAGTCACCCCGGTCGCTTCTCAATCGGAGTGCTCATAGTTGCCTCTGGCATAGAAATGGGGGGCTGGTCCGGCCGCCTGGGATGGTCGGTCATAGCTCGTGGGCGATTCATTGTGAGGGGAGCCCTGTCAGGTGGAAGAGGTTCAAATCGTCGATCCCCAAGGTCTATTCGTGGAATAGGTTCTCTGGGACCTAAGTGTAGCGCCTGTGGCGAAGGCAGCGTCTGTGTTGGCCGTGGTAACTCTCTGAATATCGGTCCACTCTCACGATCAGGTATCTCTCTCGAACGGTCCTCACCACTGAGCGGTAGGGATGCTATTGCTCGTCCGGGTGGTGGCGGCACATATCGCGGATCATGCCTCGATGCTTCCGGAATCTGCACACTAGTCCGGGGAGAGAACGAAACACCCCTGGACTCGACTGCAACGGGGCTGGTAGGGGCAGATGGAATTTTCGGTTTCGCACCAGGTCTCCGGGGTGGGGGATACATTTCTCCTCGAGCCTCCGCTACTGCTTTGCGTCGTTCAGTTTCCGCCTTACTTGGTCGGCCTCGTTTTCGTGGTCGCTCGCCTCTGGAGGTAACGCTCTCCAAGCCAGGAGATAGATGGGCGGAAGCACCACTTTCACTACTGTATGAAGCCGTACTTGGCCGCGGTTGAATTGCACGTGGTGCTAGAATTGGCTTGTCTGGATAATGCGGCCGTTTCCTGCTCTCCACAGGCGGGGCTGGCGGTACAGATGGTTCATGGCGTGGCGGCGGCAATGATATAGGCACTGTCTGCATTGGCATTGGCGGTTGTGGGTGATGATGCCACATGGTCCAAAATGCCGCCTGACATGAGCTCAAGGGACGGCCTAAACAGACTTGGATTAGCAAACGCTACATTGCATCGCCTATCAATGCAAGCTAGCTTTTAAAGAGCCCGAGTGGCAATGACACGATGGGGTAAGGGAGGAGCCAACGGGTCTATACCTTGCGGGAGGGGAATTTCCGTCCAACTCGGGTTAATACGAAAATCCTTGATAATCTTGACTAGATGACCAGAAGGGATTCCCGCCTTCTTCAGGATTTCGGTAAGCAGGGTGTACTAGAGCCACGAATCCTTTCTGTCAGTCAAGTCTCCCATCGTACCGACATGGCCATTGCAGGGTCCATTATCATAAGGCATATCTAGAATCTTCGTACCTTCTCCTCCTCGGTCCATGGCCTTTCCGATTGATTCGACATATCCAGCAGACCATGGAAGCGAATATAGCCGACTCCCCCTCCTAGCAGACAGCCCGACAAACAGATCCGGGGACAGAACGGATTGATCCAATTTGGGGACTGCTATAAACGAGTGACGCGTCACGCGACTACAGGAAAGGAAGCAGAGCGAGGGAAACGGAAGAACAAAGAATGGCACACGAGTCAAAAAAAAAAAAAAAAAAAAAAGATAATAATAACGACAACCAGCAGAATAAACAGAGAAGCAAAAGAAAGTAAGAAAAAGAAAAAGAAAAGAAAAGAAGGGAAGGGAATAAAAAACTACCACAAAGCCTCCCAAACGGAATGATGCGTCTACACCAGTGTATAAACACGTGGTTGCTTAAATAGATCAGAAAGTGGGCTAGAAACGCAGCGAATGACAGCAGATGTAGGGGACGATCAGAGAAAGGAATAGAAAAGAGACAGAGGGAACAGATTCATGAATGCACATGGGACGGACAGTAAACATTTGAGGGTCGGGCCGCGTTTGATGGCGGGATCAAAGGGTTGAGATAGATCTAAACAGCGCAAGGGAAAGAAATAGAAGGGAGACCGGGGCAGATAAAACCACCGTCAGCAGCAGCAAATAATGAATTGACAGATACTTTTGAAATAACAATGCCCTTTTTTTTTTAACCCGTGCAGAAGAACTAGAGAAAGAAAGGAAATGGACAGGACAGAAGCAAGTAAAAAACGATGGACGGAAGTGGGTTGCGGGCCGACAGACCGGAGAGCAAGAGAGGAGAGATGTTGGAGAGAGACGTTGTCGGCGGGAATCGAGTGGACACACAGTTTCAAGTACACTGCAGATTGCCACCAGCGAAAAGGCAAGAAAGGAACGAAAAGGAAGGCAATAATGAGAAGGGGACGAGGAAGAAGGGGCAAAAAAGAAAGTAAATCGACTAGTAAGGCAAATAACACACAATAATCCTCACCAGGGACTTTTTCCAACCAAACGGACTTTTTTAACTCGGGACTGCACAGGACAACAGACCAGTGCAGATGCCGCAGGCATGCATCCGAAAAGGACGACTGGAAAGCAGAAGAGAATGAACAGGAAGGCTGCAGGGACTCTTTGTGCTTTCTCTCCTCAGCCAAAGAGAAAAAGCAAATAAAAGAAACAATAATAATAAAAGGGAAAAAAGGCGGGAAAAAAAAAGAAAGAAAGAAAGAAACAAGACTCCAAACGATTACAGAACCAACCGGCCTGGGTTGGATTGGACCGCGTTCTGCCCAGAAGAGAATAGTGTTTCAAAGACGATGGTTTCATATGCTTCCAAGCGTCAAAGCTTTCGCAACGGGAGCGATCCTCAAACAAACAGTACTGGAGTAGTACTTGATACTAGTAGTCGTAGTACTGTACCTTTGTCAACAGACAAGGTTCTTCCGATCCTGTTTTTCTCTCTTTTCCTCTCCTCTTTATTTCTTTCCTTTTGTGGGCGTTTTGACTCTTTGATGAGGGTCAGGGGTGGTTTGGAAAAAAAAAAATAGAAAATCAAAAAATAGAAAATAGAAAAACAAAACAAATTGGGGGAGGGGAAGGGAAAGAAAAAAAAAAGACAGGGATAAAAGGAATAATAATATGCACGAAGATGGAAATCCAGACGGGGAGTGTGCAGGGGGGGATACCAGACCAGACCCGGCTTGAAGAAACGATGCAACAACAATCTGAGACTTGCTGCTGTACTCCCTGACTATGGAGTGGTAAGCAGTAGTAAAACTGTAAAAGAGATTGAAGAAGACGTTTGGTTTAGTCCACACCCACGGCCCACGAAGGGAGGGGGGGGGGAAGCTTGCCGCTTGGCCCTGAGTATGGGATATCCGTCGATGTTTTCTGGGGCAGAGAAAAAAGGACCCTCCCGCGGGAAGCAGCGCGTTCCGGGTTGTAGTATATCATGGAAGACAGGCAACCGATGATAGGCGGATACAACGCCCAGGACGTTGGGTCAGCGGGCTAGAGCCGATATGTTGCTCAATGCTCCTACTGTGAAGCTTTTAGAGGCGAGGTTCAAGGCTAGTTAGGGTCTCCGGGTGTAAGTAGTGCGGTCGATCCATCCCAGCAGCAGTGTCTTCTCTGTCTGTGAAGTTACAGTGAGCGTACAGAGTATACTTGTGTATACACGGCACTCGACGCGCAAACCCTTTTTTTTTTTTCTCTTTTTAATAAAAAAATTATTATTATTTCTGGCCCTATTGATGATAGTGGAATTATTGCATCCCACGATGACTGGCAGAAGGACCGCAGGATGCAGTAGTACTAGCGACTGGCGACAGACTGACAATCGGCGGCGGGTGGAGTCGACAGCTCCGCAAGAGGCGCAGACGAGCGACGTGTGTGATCGCGATCGTCCTCGGGGAGGCTGGGAAAAGGCAGGATGGAAGACGATGGAAGGGAAAGCCTGCCAGGATTAATATGCAAGAGGGAATTGAACTTATCTTTTGGTCCAGTCGTGCCATTGACTACTGCCGAGCTTAGAAGCAGAGAAGCATGCACGAAAGGAGGGGCAAATGGGACAATTGTATCATATGGCGTTTTTTTGGAGGCGGAGAGATAGCAACCGTCCACAGCACCGATAATTCTCCATTGTTCAAGAAAAGAAAATGGGATAGATACAGAGATGTGCCTTGTTGCACTTGTAATAATGATCGAAAAATGGCACTAGCCAACCCGGACAAATATTATGGTTCGTCTGTATTATTATTATTTGATGGATCAAGTGTCGAGTCGGTGGTAGCATCGCGATGGGCACATGCACGAGAACCATCCGGGCATGCAGCAAGAACCAGCGCCCCGCCGATGTGAATCAACCGTCAGAAGGTAGTCTGACATGGTCTCTGCGTAGACAGCCTTCCATCGTGTCCATCATTCCAAGGTGCATATCGCCCGATGATGGATATGACGGATGCTCTGGAGAAATTGATGAACAACGGGATTGATGAGGATGAGATGGAGCAGAAGACGATGAAGAGGAAGAAGGAGAGAAGAGAAAGGAGAGAGAAGTTGCAGGTGGCGCAGGAGACAGCTTCGGTATACCGTACAGTACAGATGTACTTCTGTACAAGGCAGGCAGAGTACTTCTGCCAGAAGTCCCGGAGACTTTGTTGCAGGCGGAATTTGTATGGGCCCCACCTTTTCAGGTACCCGTCGCACTTGTACCTTTTATTACATACCAACCGAATGGCGGTAATCTGATTACACCCTGTCATCCAACTCAAACCACCAGGACTGGGCATTTCGTCCACCAGATGGGAATATTATGATTATCATCAGGATGAGCATGCAGATGCAGGTAAAAGGAGGTTTTATATCAAGCGGATTTCCCAACTGTCTCTGTTTCAGCTTTGATGATTGGCACACAGTCCAGAATTCCTCCATCATACCCTGTAAGCCCTGTCCCAGTCTGCATTAGCCTCAGTCATCGCAATTATTCTCCATCCCCTCCCGTCTCTCTCTCTCTCTCTCTCTCTCTCTCTCTCTTCTTTCTCTCTTTTCTTTCTTCCCTCTTCCCCCACTCCTTATCCTCCCCCATCCCACGACGATCCGTCCACACTATCCGAAATTTTTCCTGAACTTGTCTTCCCTTCCAATCGATCCTTTAATTTATATTATTTCCTCAAGGTCCCAACATCATCTCCTGTCATGGCCCGTTCGAGACAACACCCGTTCATGCACGGGTATCTTGACCGACCTCGCTCTAGCTGTCTATCGTGCATAATTTTTGCCCCCCTCTTTACAACTAACCACTTTCTAGTTTCTCTTAGTACTACTTTGACTGGAGGAGATTTTCCCACTCGGCTCTGAGCTGGACAATCATGGCGGAAAATTTAAAAAAAAAAAAAAAAAATTAAAAATTAAAAAATGACAGGGGCACAAAGCAAGAGAAAGAAAGAAAAGAAAAAGAAAAGAAAAAGAAATGTTACACAACCCAGAATACGATCGCCTCGTCCAATCGCTAAACGCCCCGAGACAAACTATTTTAGACGACAGTTGAGAAAAAAACAGGCATGTCAGACATATCATCACCATCTGTCGCATCTCATTTCTGCTATGGCAGCTGTGGTACAATCTGATACATCCTCGTTACTTCTTCTCTTTTCCCTGTTTATTTATATCACAATAAATAGGGAGCTGCATGGTCAGTATGTCGGCCTAGATGATTTGGGCTTTCCCATGGCCTGTGATCCCCGGCTGGTGTGGACTAGAGGCTTGGAGGAGTGGTATCCGATGCTTTCTTTGCCCGTCTTTAACCCGTGCCTGTGCCCTATGCCCATCCTAGGGCTTCCGTCTTCCCTGCTGGTGTCTTGACTTTAAACCAACTGAGGACGTGGTCCGATGAACAACCTGCTTACTTCTTTCAAATCATCACTACGATGGCTTTCTTCTTTTTGCTACCCGAGAGCTTCTCCGACTATGAACAGAAGGGGCGTCACATCCATCTCACTCTAGCTAATACTGACAATTCTTCAAGTTACAGGAGTAATAAGCTGCCAATATCTTGGTTTTCATAAGAATCCGAATACCCCGCCTAGTGAGCATGAGATCACTTACCAAGGCGTCACTTGAATCTCACCCCCCAATGAGCTGCACACCGTTAAAGGGCTGTCTGCGACACCAGGAAATTTTGCCAGAAGCAAATGAGCGTGTCGAGGAATTCACAATCCGTATAAAATACAGAATGGAAATAGCCATTGGTGATAATGATAATGGTGTTGGGGGTTCATCCCTCAAAACGATACCAACTAATGATTTCTCCGACCTCTGTCGAAAGGACCTGGAGTCAGATGTTTTCATCGAACTCTCACATTTAATGGTTATTTATTTTATACTCTGTTCTTCTTCTCTGGTTCTATAATTCCTCAACACTCTCCCTCTCCTTCACCCAGACCGGGCGGTGAAAGCGGTGGTGGGAATTGAAGGAATCCAAACAATAATGTATGTGTTATTTATTGATGGGGCAGAGACACCAGCAACAATAGAAAAAAGACCGGCGATGTGATGCAAGTGAATACCAAGAAACAATGAAATACTGGCTATTGTCTATTCATCTCTTCCCATCTGCTGCCCCCGTGCAAACAACCTAGAAGCCGATAAGCACTGCAATCCCTTGATTCCTTGACTGGCGCTGCATTTTATTTTTTTTTCTTGGCGCCCGCAGAAAACGTGGACTTTGTTCGACTTTCTTTTCTTCCATCTTCCTCAATCCACCTTCGTTTCCTTCTCTTTTCCCTTTCACCATCTCTCCTTACTTTCCCCTTTTTTGACCTTCTTTCTTTCAAAGTCTACTCTTTTCATCTTATTATCCCCGCGCATTCTTTTGTTTTCTCCAGCGTAGATTGCGCGTCTGCTCCGTCCGTGTCGTCATGTCCGCCCATGACAACGCGGACTCTCAGTCAGAATCCGTAGCAGATGATGCCGTGTCCGCCATGAGGCTGGAACACGATGATGGAGCCGCAGATGCTCCCAACGGCGGCGACCTCAAAAAGGAGGACAACACGTCCAACTCAACCCCCACGGCCTCCTTGAGTAACGGCCTGTCTTCATCCGCTGTAAGATCGCGGAGCCGGTCCCGCACCCCGATCAAAAATGAAGAAGGGGATGCGCACGACATCAAAGATGAAGAAAAAGTCGGAGGCGATATCACCGTCAAGCTAGAGCCAGGGCAGCCTCCTAAGTTGACTCGCAGCTCCTCGCAAAAGGTCGTTGCGCGGCCGCCACAGCTATTTCTGGATCTGCCTGATAGCACGGCCGAGGCCAAATCCACCTTTGAGTTGATGGAAACATGCACCTATGCTAACAAATATATGGGATACACTGAGCATGCCATGGAGTGTGATTGTGCGGAGGAATGGGGTAAGCACCGGCCTTTTTTCTTTTTCGTTTGAATTTTTTCCAAGCCCCCTTTACGTTGTTTGCGCCTACGCCGTTCCAACCTGAAAGTGAAGGGAGATATTTGAAAGATCATATTTTCTTTTTGATTCTTTATTTTCAGACACTTCATTTTGTTATCTTTGCTGTGGTTTATTCTTCTTGTTTCAAAACCCACGACATCTAACCAAATCGACCAGAACCATCGGTGTCCAGGAATGTGGCATGTGGGGAGGATTCGGATTGTATCAATCGGGCAACCAAGATTGAGTGTCTAGGAGACTGTGGATGTGGCCCTGGATGCCAAAATCAACGCTTTCAACGCAGAGAGTACGCAGATGTGGCCGTCATCAAAACGGAGAAGAAGGGGTTCGGGCTCCGTGCCGAGGCGGACTTGCGACCGCACCAGTTTATCTTCGAATACGTGGGCGAGGTAATTAACGAAGGCAATTTTCGCCGGCGCATGAGGAATTATGATGAGGAGGGGATTAAGCACTTCTATTTTATGTCCCTTAGCAAGGGCGAATTCGTCGATGCCACCAAGAAAGGCAATCTGGGTCGTTTCTGTAACCACTCGTGCAACCCCAACTGTTATGTCGACAAGTGGGTCGTGGGTGAGAAACTCCGAATGGGCATTTTTGCCGAACGGAGCATCCAGGCAGGTGAGGAGCTCGTTTTCAACTACAACGTTGATCGTTATGGAGCAGATCCCCAGCCCTGTTATTGCGGGGAGCCCAATTGTACAGGTTTCATCGGCGGGAGAACCCAGACCGAGCGTGCAACCAAGCTTTCTAATGCCACCATCGAAGCTTTGGGTATCGACGACGCTGATGGCTGGGATACTGCGATTGCGAAACGGCCGCGTAAGAAGAAGCTGGCTGAGGATGATGAGGAGTATGTGGACAGCGTGCAGCCCAAGTCTCTGGACGAGAACGGCGTCACCAAGGTCATGGCAGCCCTGATGCAGTGCAAGGAGAAGTGGATTGCCGTCAAGTTGCTGGGACGAATTCAGCGATGTGATGATGAACGTGTTTGCAACCGCGTGGTGAAGATGCACGGCTATCAGATTCTCAATTCGCAACTCTCGATGTGGAAGGAGGATTTCAACGTTGTGCTGCAGATTCTGGATATTCTAGACAGATTCCCACGTCTAACGCGAAACAAGATTGTTGATTCAAAGATCGAGTCGACCATCCAACCATTGACTAGCTGCGGTGATGAACGTGTTGAGAAGAAAGCCGCTGCACTGTTGCAAGTCTGGGCGACATTGGAAGTGGGCTATCGCATTCCTCGAATGAAAAGAGATCCAAACACGACAGCCTCCACGCCGGCTGTTAGTCAGTTCGAGCGACGGGAGACTACTCGCGATGAGCGAAAACGATCCAAATCACGCACACGCTCGAGATCGCGATCCATAGATGCACCTCGTGGGCCAGCAGCCCAGACACGAGGTGGTACTAGGGGGAAAAATCCCCACCATCACCACGGCCCCAGACCATTCCGTCGTCAGTTCAATCCGCTTCCACCTGGATGGTTTGCAGCCGAGTCCAACGGCAAGACGTATTACTATTCTGCACTCGGAGATACAACCTGGACCCGACCAACTGCGCCTGCAGCTCAGCCTCCCCCACCCCCTAAGGAGTCCAGGGACAAGGCGCTGCAGGATATCATCGACGGAATCATGAATGCCAAGGAGAACACTCCTAAAGAAAAGACTACTACGCCTGGTACACCGCAAGCTTCCATGCAGACGCCGGACAAGAAAGAGGGCGAGGAAAAGTGGCGAAACTTCAGCGAAGATAAGCAGAAGAAGCTGTACGAGAACACGGTAAGATTCAAATTTCGAATACCAACTGAGCTGAAAAGCTAATGTTCCATCCAGCTATTCCCTCACATCAAGTACGTTGTGGATAAGTTCAGACACAAGCTTCCAAAAGACGATTTGAAGCGCTATGCCAAGGATGTGAGACTCACCTTAGCCTACGATTGATCCACTCATGCTAACGAATATTTCTGGTAGGTTGCGAAGAAACTTGTGAATTCAGACTTCAAAAACAACCGAGTCGACAATCCGACGAAAATCAGCGAGAAGCAGCAGAAGAAGGTGAAGATCTACTGCAAGGATTTCTTCGACAAAGCCGTTCTAAAACACCGGGCGCATGAAAAGAAAAAGGCTGAGAAGCAGGCAAAGGGAATTGACATCAAGGCAGAGGACACACCTCATGGTCAAAGCGATGATGAGGACGCCAAGATGTCCGACGATGAAGACAAGACCACACCGATGGACGGAACACCTGGAACCACTTTGAAACGGAAGAGGGAAGATACCGGCAAGGAAAATGGAGCTCTTGGAGAACTCGCATCGCCCATTAAAAGAGCGAGATCTACAACGCCCCCTCCACCACCTCCACCCCCGATGAGTCCTGGTAATGGCCAGGAGAGTCCAGAAGGAGACGACAACGTCAAGGGTGAAAGTGACGAGACGCCCATCGATAAACAATCACTGGAGACACCTCCTCCTCCCCCTCCCCCTCCGCCACTCGAGGCCCAGCAGAGTGAGGAAAACAAGAAGCCGACTCGAATTGAAATCCAAGGCCAGCTATAGCCTTCTCCCCCCAAAAAAAGAAATGCTCTTCCATCTGCCAACTAGCGTTGAAGCTTTGGGTTTGGTGTTTACGGAGTTTCTTCTTTCTATTCTTTCTTTTTTTCTTTTCCATTATTATTATTTCCTTCTCCGCTGATCATTTGATCATTTTATATTATTTATTTATCCTCGAATACCCCCCAAGTTTGCAAATTATTGGAGATACATGTCGCATCGCATGCATGCCTTTCTTTTCCCGGAGGAAAGAAAAATGAAAGGGCCCTCATTTATCATGGACCATTGTACATTAGCTTCGCTTGAGACTGATTTCTTTTCTTCTCCCTTTCTTTTTCTTTTTTTTTTTACATAGTCAGTATTATTAGGATTTTCTGATGATGTCTTCTGGTATTCTATTGGGAGATAGGCAATGGATCCTATCAATGACCAATACCTGTTAAGTCCTGGCTACTATATAACCGGGTTTATTGTGAATTTTTTATCTTACCCTCACCTATAATGAAATACTATAATATTGAGATTGCCTTGGTTCCTTGTAGCCTGCATCTACTGATGATTGGTCACTTGACTTGTCTTCAAGATTCAGTTGTATTCAGAATGATAGATAATCATAAAAAAGAAAAGAAAATCTTTTATCCCATCATGAGACGTAAAAAAGCCTTGTAAATCAATTCCACCCAAAAAAACCCCAAACACAACCTAATAGAAACTCTCCACAATGCTATCCTTATTGGCATTGCCCATGCCCAGCCCACGGGGACCCATCTCACCCAGTCTAAACACACTCTCAACAACACTCAACTCGGTGGCTGTGGTGTCTAATCCTGTCACGGCCAACCAGTCGTTGACCACCATACCGGCTCCGACGACGGGGCTACCGCGGTTGACACTACCAGCGACGAGGGGAACCTGGAGCAGAGACGAGAGCTCGTCCTGATCGCGGATGGAGGTCTTGGGGTGAACGATACCACCTTGGTTGGAGAGGGCCATGTAGGAACCTGTCAGGACGTTGTCGGCAACGGTTTGACGGAAAACTTCGACACCGAGGACATCGGCGATGCTATCATCGTCATGTTAGTAACGAAATCAGATTACAGACCGGGGGTGGGGAAGAAAGGACATACATCTCCTCAGTTTCCCGCTCCAGATCCGGATGCACCAATGCGACGTGATCATTGCAGCAGATGACATTCCCCAGGGCAGAAAGACGCTCTTCTATCCGTTGAATCTTAACCGAGTCGGGCAGGTGATTCCGCAGGTGCTGCAATTCTTGGTCTGTTGTAGTTGTAGGGACAAGAAGGCCCTTACGGTTACTTTTTTTTTTTATATATCTGTTAGCATCATATCCCTTCTCTTCCTTTTTCCTTTTGAACGTTGTACATACCCAGCGGTCAAACGACCAACAATGCGAGTTCCGGCGATAGTAGCGTGGCATATCGGGATGACATCCTGGAGTTCTGCCTCGAATACACTGTCCAACATCATCCATCAGTTTTATCCTTTTTTTTTTTTTTTTGGTTTCCATCTGATTGCTGCCTGTCGTACCTGTAAAAGTTCTCCGACGCGCCAACGGCAACAAGAGCGTATGAGTTTGTAAGTTTAGAGAAGACACCAACTCTACATAGAAGATATCCGTTAGCTATACATTCCACATATAACAGAACCATAAAAATAACAAGTGTAAACGGCCGAAGGAAGAAGCGAAAAGCAAAGTCTTCACTTACTCGTTGGAGTTCTCGAATTGCGCACGAACAGACATGATTGGAGTTTGTTCTTCCTAAGTTACTCGTGAAATATCGAAGATAATAGTGTCGAAGTTATAATGAGAATTAAGATCTGGCACAGCTCTTTTTATACTTGAAAAAGGCTTTGTTGGACACGACCGTTGAGCGAAGTTTTGAAGCTTTGCGAGAGAGAGAGAAGGCGGGGTGACGTCGATGAAGAAAAAATGTCGTGGGGGTCGTTAAGTGGATGAGACGACAATTGTCAAGAGGGAGAAATAGGAGAGAATAAAAGCGAGACAGCAACAGTCAACAAGCTATCCTTTTTCTTCAGCTTCAGCTTCTCTGGTTTCCTTCTCTCTTATAATCTGAGAAAGATAGACTGGAATACCGGCGAAAAAAAATCCGAATCGAAGCCGCCGTTCGACAAAGGAAGAATCGCCCCGCCGGGAGCGGATCCCCGCTAGGCCCAATCAGGGCGCGAGGAGTCATTGGGTGCCTGGAAGAGTCACGAAGAGTCATCGTGATCCATCAGGAACAGCTTCACAGCCATTCTTAGCTGGCTGGCTGATTCACACCGGGGCGCTGCCTGGCGATCTGCTCTCCACTTTCTGCCTTTACTGGTTGATATGAGCCACTATGGCAAATCTGATTATTACTTCGATTCCAGCAAGACAAACAGACATAGAAAATCCCGAGTTGTATTATACATCCATGTTGAATCTGAATCTGTTGATACATATGCCACAGTGATCGAATAGTAAATGCAGTACAGGAAAAGAAAATTAACCCTCTGCCCAAGCCCAACGGTATAGCATGGCAAAGAGCTTCTTTGCAGTAAACACAGGTGGTAAACAGAACTGAAAAATCCACCAGGAAAGAGGATATCGTGACGCTCGTAAAATGCAAACAAACCTCCCAACGCCAGGAGAAAGAAAACAGTTTCGAAATGACGCTTCCAAGTTTGATCCTGCAAACAAAACCATTCACTCCAAAACCTCCGCAGAGTACAAATCCATTCTAAACAAACAAACCAAAAAAATCAAAACAGAACAAAGAGAAATAGATTAGTCGTTGTATCGTCATGGCAGGGTTTTTTTATTATCCCTCATCCCTAACCTTCCCAGCCTTCACCCCTTAGAATGGAGGACGAGTGGGCGGAGGTGGCCCGGCAGGATGAGGAGGGGGGTAATAAAGCCCTGACATGTATCCGGGAATTGGAGGCCTTTGGAAGTTTGACCCCGGCGGAGGAGGGAGTTGAGGAGGTCCACCTCCCCGCGGAACGAATGGGTCGGGCAAACCGAGTGGCTCATGGGGGCCTGCAGGAAGCAGCCGACGCTGTCTCTGTGGCGTAGGCCGCGGGAGCATGAAAGATCGAGGATCCGTAGCCCCATGGGCCACCTGACTTGGCTGGGGGAGCTGGGGAAGGAGGGTTCGGTGGGTGGGAGTCGTCCTAACCGGGGGGAGAGGAGGATGAGGAGGAGCGGTCCTAGGTAGAACAACTCCATTGTCGACATTGGCCGACGCCGCAGTGGATGCTGCTGCATCAGCCAGAGCGAAAAGCGCAGTTGGATGAGGCTCGGGAACCGGTGCAACCGCAACGGGCATCCTCGGGGTCGGTGCCGAGGTCGAGGTCGAAGGCTTTTCGTTTTGTTGGACCTCAAGGATACCAGTTGCTTGGAGCAGCAGGGAGATAATGTCCGGGGCAGCCAGACCGGCGAAGATGCCTCCCTGCCCCATTTCTTTCATCTGGGGGGAAAGATCCCCGCCCAGCTTAGCCCGCTGGGTAAAGTCCTCCCAGCCGATGCTGGCACGCTCATATGCCGCAGCGCCTGACAGGTTTCTGACACAAGTCGAGTTGAAGCCTCTGACGAATTCCTTCTTCAGTTTAGATGTGAGTATGTGATCGGTTTCGGTTTCAGATCCGTCGGTCTGGGAGACGCAGTTAGCTTGTAGTTCGCAGTTGATATGTGCAAAGGTGCCTACCTCTGTGTGTTCATCGTCCTCGGCCGCCCGGCGACCTTCTACAAAAGCCATATAGTCTCCCTGGGCTGCGAGAAGATGTTCATCTTGGATGTTTCGAGCCGATGCCTGTATCTTGGTCAGTAAATAAGCCCAGCACGGATAAGAATGTTTTCACTCACTTGGAATCGCTCCTCGATACTCGCCTTGTTGGCGGCGAAGACTCGATTTTCCTGTGCAACCTTGAGCTCATATTCATGGCGAAGAGTCTTTTTCTTTGCTGCTAGTCTCGCTTTGAGTTGCTCGTTGATCTCATCGTATTCCGGAACGTTCTTGTGGGCGTTCCTATCCCGAGCCAGTTTTCTCTCTGACTGCGTAGCTAGCACGGCCAAAGCAAGTCGCTGAGCAGCTGCCACCTTCTTAAATGCCTTGTCCAAGTCTCGCTGGCGTTCTCGGAGCTTCTGGGTAGCCGCGCTGGGAGAGGGGGAACGCTCATATTCAAAATCGCTGGAACGATCGTGGTGACGGCCACTAGTACGTCCACGAGTATTACGGCCCCCACGTCCACGTCCAGTGCCTCCGCGTTTTGCCGCTGGCGCTCGGGCTGCTCCCCTGCTGCGCCCTCCACGACCACGACCCCGGCCTCGGGTAACGCCGCCACGTCCTCCACGGCCTTTGCCGGCTGAGACAGATTCAGCAGCGTTGTCGGGGGTAAAAGCGTCATCAACTTCCTCCGTGATTTGGCGGGACTCATCACCAGCCCCGGATTCTCCAGTGGCCTCAACAGGGGAATGTGATTCGGGCTTTCCATCGGTGCCATTTTGCAATTGTTGTTCAAGTTCATCATCTGCCTCGTCTTTCTCCAGCTTTGGCTTCTTGCTTGGAGAGATACTGCTTTCGACAGCCTCGGAGACATGATCAACTTCTGTGGCGGACGATTTGCGTCTCCTTGACCCACGTGGACTGGGGGTATTTGTTGGGCGTTGAGGGAATTCAATAGAAGTTGCGTGTTCATCCGCTTGGTTCTGACTTTTGTCAGAGAACTCGTTCTTCAGTGCCTCCTTGGCAGGTTTCGATTCCGCGTTTGTATCCTGAGAATCGTCTGCTTCGGCTGGGGTAGAGTTTTCAGCAGTAGCAGAAACAGTGCCATCAGGCGATGGAGACTTGACAGCTGCGTCAGGTGCGGGTTCAGGATCACGAAAAGAATTACTGGTACTGTCAGCCATCTTTGCGTCCCGGTTTCTGGTTCTGACACCGGACACGGCACCAGTTGATGGGCTTGCTTCCAGCTGTTTGTTTTTGAGCCCTTCAACGGCAGCAGCCATATCGCTGCCAGGATTGCCTTGAGATCTCAGTCTAGCAGACTGTCTTGTAGTTCTAGGCGTTTCTTCGACTGCAGTGCCCCGTTTGACGCGCTTAACGCGAGGGGTCTCTGGAACCGGTGGAGCAGGAGGCTCTGGCTGCTGCGTGGGAGGTGGAGGGGCAGCACGTCCACGAGACGTACGTGTTTCACGACCGCTGCTCCGAGTGTTAGTAGTTTGAGCGTTGGCCTGAGCCTGAGCCTGAGCCTGAGCTTCAACTTCAGCTTTAGCACGAGCTTCCGCTTCAGCCCGAGCAGTGTTAGCCCGAGCATTGCGGGTACTGAGAGTGATGATACGTGAAGGACCGCTGCGGTTGCTCTGGCTGCTCTGGCTGCCCTGGCCACCTTGGCCACCTTGGCCGCTCTGGCTGGCGCGAGTTGTGCGATGGCTACGCGTAACGCGAGTGCGAGACGTGTCTTCAGTCGAATTATCTACGCGTCTGTCAGCAGTTGCTCAATGGGTGTCAGTTTGAGAGACTTACTAAGAGTATTCTGAGAAGCTTCCGCGGCTGCATTGCCAGAGGATGCCGAAGCAGATCCTTGATTGGCGTCGAGCTTACGCTTAACTCCCGCCATCGCTATCCTCTGTAGGTTATGATTAGTTGATGCTTGAGCAAAGCTTGAACCGGAGAAAGAATCCAGAACATAGGATGGAAGAATAGGGATGATAGAAGAGATGTGGGAGATGTAATGAAATATGAGAAATTGGAAGGAAGAAGTGAGAAATTGGAAATGAAAAGAAAGATGAGAAGATAAGACAGAGATCGAAGAATCGACAAGGCTGGTTGCAGTTTTGAGCAGTGAAACTGGGCTCAACAGCTGCAGTAGCAGAGTGTAGAAAAGACGAGGCAGACAAGACAGACAAGATTGAGAAATGTAGACAAAAGGATATGGATCTTTTTGATACATGGAATAGAATATTGTGGGTGGTAGAGAGCAGCAGGAAGATGAGAGGAAGAGAAGAAGGAAAAGAGAAAAGCAAGAGGGGAAAAAAAAAAAAAAAAAAAGGACGAAAAAGTGGAAGAATGCGATGAGTGGATTTTTCATCGTAGACCAGATGAATCATTCATATTGAGGGGCACAGGAGAAGTTCATCTTGACAGTGAATGAAGCTGGCAGGAGATGATGACAATAGGGAGACGATGGGACTAACACTGGCAGATGAATAGACCTCGACCCCATCAATAGGGACAGAATAATCCTACAAAGTGGACCAAGTAGGAATTACGAGGGATATTGATACAAGATCTTGATGGTTGTTTGAAAAGGGATGAAAAAGAGGAAGAGGGAGAAAGAGAGAGAATGGGAGAGGGAAAATACGGTGCAGATGTTTTCAGAACGTGAGAAAAGCAGGAGTTGGGAGGGAAAAGAAGGTGGGCAAAAAGAGAACAGGGAACACGTGTAGGAAGAAACAAGATAGACAGAGAGGAAGAGGAAGAGAGAAAACACGACTTACCAGGAAATTCAAGGAGCGACGAGGGAATGCAAGACGATGGCGGGTGGGCTGGGGAGCGATGGAGTTGACGTTGTAGTTGCAGTAGTAAAAGCCGCCGTAGAAGAACAGGTCGGAGGTGAAGTAAAAAGAGGTTCGGCCAAGTGGATCACGCAGTCGCCGGAAGTAGAAGTGGGCTCCAACAATAGAGAAGAGACGATGATGATAGAAAATAAGAGTCAGGATAATGAGGTTGATGGATAGATGAAATGGTAAAATAGATAATTCAATAGAATCAAGTCAATAAATGCAGACCACGCAATTGGGTTGGAATCACGATGATGGACACTGTGTTGATCTCCATGTGCGGATAGCTAGTAGGAAGATCAGATGTCAAGTATCTGATGAAGATAGAATAATAGTAGAAATAGCAGTAATAATGATAAGACGAAGAATCCGTATACGAAGAAATAATAATAATAACCAGACCAACGATGTTGAGGGAAGAAGTACAGTAAATAAAATAACCAACCGTCGGAAACAAGTAGAAGTTTTTTTTTTCTGACTGGGTCCCTTGGGTTGGTTTAGGGTGGCGCACGGGTTGTGCTTAGTATGTCTGTTGTTTGGGTTGACACCATCCACCGCAGCAGATGTAAATAATCACATCAACAATGAGAATTATACCCAGATGGAAATGACGCTGATGAAATGTGATGGTGATGGTGATAAGGAGAATATGGATGTGGTGAGGAGATTACTAGTTGGCGATGGGGTGGGAAATGCAAGGGTGATCTGTTTGGAGGCGCTAAACCACCATCCCAATCTTGCTTTTTTCCCACCTGTCATGGATTTATTGTGTTCAATGATGCTGGGACAATTATAGATGCTTATTTTTATATTATCCTATCCTCCGTCTTCTGTATGTCGGTGGCATAAGCATGATCATGTGGTGATGTCGGTCAATCACGATACCTACCTATCCAACACCGACCGCTACTTGAAATCAGAAAAGCTACGCTCCTGGTCTAATTGGCTCTTGCAGATCCTCTCGTCTACTGTTGATGACATTGCTATCTGAATAGTAAATGGTATGTATTCATAATTATAAACATCAGTTCGTCTCGTCCATCCCTCTCAAGCTCCTATATACATAGCAAGGCTCAAAAAGGGGGAAATAATCAAACGCTATTTTCGTGGCTTTAAAGAATGACACAAAGAAATAGTAGAGTATAAAAAAGGAGAAGTAAAACAAAATAATGCCAAAGGAACAAAGGAAATATGGATCTAACTTTCATGAGGCGACTCATTCAAATCATACCTTTTCTCATATTGCGAAATCGACCTCCGCACATCAGCTGCCAGGATAAACCCTGGCATATTCCCTGATGGCTCTGCTATCCTCCCTGGTTTCGGTAGCCCCTGGTCTCCCGGTTGGTCTTGGTCTTGGTCCATTCTTTCAAACAACGGTGATCGACTTCGCGGCCCGTTGACGCGGAGCGAATTGGTGGATCTCACCCGGCTCAACGTCTTCATCGTAATGGTTTGACCAGCCACCGGGGATGCCTTGACGATTGTACCAACTGTCGGTGTCGGTGGTGGCGAGGGACTGTCAGAGCGAAATAGGGGATGGATGTTGCTTTCTTTGGTGATCTTCACTTTCGGTGGAGGTGGCTTCGTCGGAAGCTCCAGGTTGATTGATGACGCCGTTGGTGATGAGGGTCCCGGTGATGGCGAAAGTACCACGCTGTCTAGGGATCTCTTGATTTCGGAGTGACTCCGTTGGATCTTATGCGATCCATTGCGATCAACCGCAGGGCTAGCGTCGCGGTCCTCAAGACCATCCAGTTTGTCTGAAGCGGACAGCCCTGCAGAACTCTGGTCGAGTGAGCTGCGTTTAGAGTCTTGTTGAAAGAGCGTTCTCCCAGAATACCGATTCGATACGCTGGACGCCGAATGCTGGATAGGAGTCAACCCGTCCGAGCTAATCTTAGGGTCGGCTGACAAGGAAGGGCGCTGTGAGTCAAATGTAGGCGATGGGGATTTGCGTATCATCTCAGTTCGCATGCTTGAAATGTCGGGCAGCATCTCGAGGTCCGATGAATCTGAGCGTGATCGTCCATTGCACAAGTACATCAAGATGAGGCCGCCAAATAGGCCTTTGGTAAAAGAAGAAACAGCCCAAATGACGCAGCGGGCAATGAGCAATGACCGAGCTCTCCCCAACTCTGTATGACTTGATGCTATTGCTCCTGCTGTTATCCCAATCGCAACGAAGAGGTATGCGATGATGGGACAGTATGCTTTGACCTTCCACCTGCCCCGCTGTTGTATACCAGTCTTGACATCATTGGCCAAAAGTAGGAGCAAAGCTGTCAAGCTGATGCAATCCAGACAGCTGAGAACAACAGGGGCAATCTCAATCGAAGAATTAGGGGATAATGCAGACTTGGAAGATGCGTAGCAAAGGCCATTGAGAACTGTCACGGCGAAGGTCGAGGCAAGGGAAACACCCCCGAAGGAGTATGCCAGTACGGCCACGTGCATCTCGAGTAGATACAGAGAGGACGGTTCTCAACCAAATGCTGGGCAGGCGCCAAATGATAATAATATCGATGGTAGCACGAGGGTCGGTATGTGGGATACAATCAACAAATAGCAAATAAGACAAGGAAAATCATAGGAGACACATAAAAATCATCAGATAGACATTACTTAGATCCAGATATAGCAAAATCAGAGACGGCTGATATGCTTGGGAGGGAGGAAGAGGCGGATAAAGAGAGGATGGAAGAGAGGAATTGAGATGAGGACTGACAGCAAAGACAGCTAGGAGGGGGAGAGCCGGGGTAGATATCGGGAACCTGCATGCCAGCAGAGCGGGAGCAGCCTAAGGCTATCGCAGGGGAAGCGGGGAACAAGTTCCGCGTCGATATCTTTTCTATCAGTTCTGATCTGGAATGATTTGAGATGGAGATGGTACAGTAGTTCGAGGGGGGAAGTGTGTCTAGCGTCTGGTCAGGGGGTCCATCAGGTAGATCAAAAAGGACTAAGATAGACTGCATCCCGGGGACGACGGCCGCTGTCAGATCGAACTCAATTGCTTTGGTATCAATTGGAGATTTATCCTGAAGATGGCTGATACTCCAAAGACTTGTTTGTTGCCCATCCCAATTAATCTGTGGTCTCTAGTATCACCATTGTTGCGACACTGTTCATCCATCGCATAGGGCTCCATCTTCTAGAAGAATTCCACGATCTATTTATCAAACCGTCGTCATTCAGCCAGATGGAGCAGTGGCTTACGATAGAGCCATATCCATGCTGCAAGCGTACTCCGTAGACGCATCTGGCTTGCGTGCCTGGCAGACCCATTCCATTACGCGATGATCTTCAAGCTTCCAAAACTTCTTGGGACATCATATTTTCGAAACCAATGCTGTTCGCGCATGGAACAGATCGAGAAACCAATTTGTCAGGGCCACTCGGTGGTTCATGGTCCAGGGATGTGGCGGTTTGAAGCGGCCGGGTCGATCTCCAGGTTCCCGGGACGGTATGCTAAATGGCTGATCGTGGCGATTCTGGGATTAGGAGATTTGGATAGATCCAGATAGATGGATGGATGGAAGTCGAATGTGACAGATCTCAAAAGGGATTCCCGGGTCAGTAAGCTGAAGAAAACGGCCGTGTTTCGACCTACCATCGTATGATCATCAAACAAGGTTCAATCAATCTTGCTTTTTCCGTATTCTCGGACTATTGATATTAGTTTCCATGTTGAGAGATGGCGGAGAATAATCATCAGAGAAAGCCAAAGACGGGAGATGGTTTGACTTGTGATGCTGTTGTGTTGTGGTGGTGGTCCGTTTAGAGCAAAAGCCGTAGTGTGATACATCCATGCGATCTGTCGAGCAGTACTTTTCACCATACCCAGAGGCAAACGCAGGATCAGAACTGGAAACGGAGCACGGGAAAATGTAAATAGTCTGTTTATTTTATCTGGATGGCTTCAGGCTATTCTAATTTGGATGTCTTGCCATATCTTCCGGCCATACAGACTCTTATGATCACGATCGCTCGCAGTAGTGACCCGATAGTCTGTAGTAGGCGTGTTCTGGTGCACACCGTACTCGGTTGAATGATGAGCTGGCAACTCAATCTTTGATGGTTTGTTATGTATACATTTGTTGGATTATCGATTGATGATGATGATGATGTTACAGGGGTATAGCATTGTTTCTGTAAGGTGTAGTAGTTAGCCCCGCCATATATATAGTTTCAGCGACACATACGGAAGAGCATTCAATACGCCATACAGAGCCCAGGCTACGGGATAACTCGGACAACCAAGATCAAACCAATTAATTGATATCTCCAAGACCAATTGATCGTAGAATAAGAACACGGAGGATTTACGTCCATGTAAACAAACACTGTGGCTTAGCTTAGCGAGGGGTGTGGCTGAGAGGCAAAGAGGCTGACGGACACCGCCTCCAGCAATCCAGCTTGTTCTCCTCCTCTTCCATCATCATCATTATCATCATCTTCTTCTCTTCTTCCTTGATTCCATCCTCCTTCCAGATCGTCCCCAGTGCTGTTTCTCTGGATCGGTCCTCTTTCTTCTTCTTCGATCTTTTTTAAATCATCTCTGATATCTACCAACTGCCTCTGTTATTCACCGTCTTCTTCCCCCCCCACCTTTTTCTAGCCATACCCTCCTCTCTTTTGGTGGCGCAAGATGCAGCTCACTTTCAAAGTATGCCAGCTTTACCTTCTCCACATGGCACATTCATTCAGCCTCTGACTTGAATTTTTTTTCTCTTTTAGGATTTGAAGCAGCAGAAGTTCCAAATTGAGGCGGAACCTTCGGAGACTGTACGTTATTTTCCCGTTGTCCCGGCGTGAGCTTGTCGGCGTCAAGTCGGTGCGGGGCTGATTGAAATTTGCCTTTAGGTCGGACAAGTAAAGCAGAAGATCTCCGAGTCGAAAGGATGGGAAGTTCCTCAGTTGAAGCTCATCTATTCTGGTTAGTTTGCATCTTTTCAGCCGTTCCAGCGACGTGGATTGTCTTTTTTTTTCAGGGTCCCCAGACTGCAGAGGCTGACCATCATTTCCCATTTTAGGAAAGATTCTGCAAGATGATAAGACAATCGAGACATACAACATCGAGGAGAAGGGATTCATAGTCTGCATGGTTTCCAAGGTATGATTCCTTTGACAATTTATTTCGGCGCGTTGTCCGACTGACCCCCGCCTGCAGCCTAAGGCTTCTTCCTCCGCAGCCACTCCTTCGCAAGCCCCCTCCACGCCTTCGAGAGCGCCTGTCTCGACGCCCGCCGCTCCCTCGGCCCCGGCTCCTTCTACCGCTCCTGCACCAGCAGTTCCTGCTACCCCCTCCCCTGCTGCCGCTGGAACTGCCCAGCCCTCCTCGGATGCCGCCTTCAATGACCCTTCGACACTGTTGGCTGGTGCCCAGAGTGAACCAGTCATTGCGCAGATGGAGAGCATGGGTTTCCCCAGAGATGATATCAACCGTGCCATGAGAGCCGCCTTCTTCAACCCCGACCGTGCGATTGAATACCTTTTGACTGTGAGTCGTACCCATGATATCTGACTTATGCGTCTTTGAGCTGACAACTTCTTTCTATAAAGGGAATTCCCGACAATATCCAACAAGAGCAGCAGCAGCAAGCTGCCGCTGCCGCCGCTCCTGCAGCACCTACCGGCGGTGCTCCCGCGACAACAGGTGGAGAGGAACCGGTTAACCTGTTTGAGGCTGCTGCCCAGGCTGGTGGGCCGGAAGGTGGACGTGGAGCCCGTGCTGGTGGCGCTGGAGCTGGGGAAGGATTGCCCAACCTCGACTTCCTGCGGAATAACCCCCACTTCCAGCAGCTTCGCCAGCTTGTTCAGCAACAGCCGCAGATGCTCGAGCCCATTCTCCAGCAGGTCGCCGCGGGTAACCCTCAAATTGCTCAGCTCATTGGACAAAATGAGGAACAATTTCTTCAGCTTTTGAGCGAGGAGGACGATGGCGCACTTCCTCCCGGTACCCAGGCAATCAGTGTCACAGAGGAGGAGAGAGATGCGATCGAGCGTGTATGCGAAGCCTTCTTCCCTTTGTCCTATAATATTGAAAGCTGACCCCTGCTAGCTTTGCCGCCTTGGTTTCTCACGAGACTTGGTCATCCAGGCATACTTCGCTTGCGACAAGAACGAAGAGCTTGCAGCCAATTATCTATTTGAGAATCCCGACGATCCCGAAGACGGGATATGATTAACACGGCATCTTCCTCCCATAACGAATTCTTGAATGCATGTCTCCGAATGATTCTCCAGGGCCAGTTTGTTGATTTGGCGTCTACGAATTCCGCCTCATGTAATTGACTGGCGCTTCCTGTTTTCTTTTAACGCCCTCGATTGACTACGTCTTACTTGTCTTGTCGCATTGAACCTTAATTTTCGCAGTTGTCACTGCTTGGCTATGTAGCCGAGCGTCCTGACGTGATGAATCTCCTATCCACTTGATATGACATTCAAGTCATAGACGTAGCTAATGGGCAAAATGGAACATTTTATTCAGTCTTAGCTTTCATATTCTCAATGGGTTAGCCATGTAGCCAGTATTTTACTGCGTTCAATAGCGTGTCAAAGAGTAGGGTTAGGGTATATTATCCACAGCTATGTGGCTGTGTATGTACATGCATGCACACATACTCTATGTTTTAATCAAAAGAAATACATGTGTATGCAGACTGAAGACAATAGGTACAAAGAAGATGCAAAACTGAAGTAAGAAATAGCAGCAGAAAGGTTGTATCTGTAATGTCCACTAAACTTCCAAACAGAAGGTAAAAATAGAAAAAAAGGAGGACAAAGTCAAATAAGGTGTATATAAAGCACAACTAATTGCACCCGGTCCGTTTGACAGACCAGACGGTGAGTCCTCGTCGGCCAATCACTCTAGTCAGAGTCGGGATGATGCCGTCATCACCGAAATCCAAATCATCAAGATTGAGATGGTTCCTATAAGTCCACAGCTCGTGAAGTTGGATATTGGGGATTTGCTCTTCTGACTGGCTCGATGCAGTGTACTTGTCGAGGAAGGTAGCGGACTTGGGAGCGACCACGAAGATGGAATCTTTGTTTTCCGTCTCTGGAACTGATTCTGGATTCTCCGGGTCTTGGTTGTTAGATGGACAGGTGGGTACTGCGTTTTCGAGTTCCTGGATCAGATCTGCCCCAGGGATACCCATAAAATCCCGAGTTTTGATGTCTAAGGATAGGCTGGCGTTGTCTCCTAGTAGCCATAGCGGTGGGGAGTATGTCTTCCACCAAAACACAGTCGCGGGGGTCTTGGTGTTTGGCTCCAATGTTCTGTCGAGTGCCCGCACATTGGTCGAAATAATAGAAGGTATCGCAAGTTGGGTGGGAACCACGCCACCTTGATGGTAAACCCCCATGAGAAATCCGAGAGCGGCATTAAAGATCACCCAAATTGCTAATAGCACGCGCGACATAGGCATTTTGAAGCAGCTGAGAAGGAGAGGAACGCATGGGATCAAGAAGCGAGGTTCTTGGTGAGGGAAGATGGAAAGGATAGCAGTCGCCGATATGGCAGAGGCGGCACGCATATTTCGCAGCCACGGTGGGATGATCGGTCGACTGAAGAGCGACCAGATCATCATGACATAGGCAGGCCCGAGAAGCTGGAAGAGGTTGGCTATGAAGTGCTGGTAGTGAGGATGGAGTCCATGGAGAGCCAAGTTGGAGGAATTGGAGTTGTAGAAGAGGTTATTAAGTGGGGTGATTACAGGAGCGCGAAGGGCATTCCGAATGGAGATCGAAGGTCTGTAGAAGGCCGTGTCGACGAGGATAGCGACGCTAGTGAAGAATAGGCCAAAGCCAATAAAGGAAACGAGGGCAATCGGCCTGCAGTTCAAGTTAGCAACAACACATACGATGGGACTTGAGGACGAGGCTTACTTGCGCCGAAAATGAGGCAACAATTGCAGGCCAGGAATGATAAGAAAGGCTGGAAAAGTGATCCGGTTGAAGACGCCGGCGACGGCAATAAAAGACAAGACCGCGCAGGAGAAAAAAGACGAGCGACGCTGCACACCAACATTAGCAAGGTATGTTCTTTTCTTTTTTTCTGCTAGCACACGGTTGCGCAAACCTTGTTCTCAACAATGCGACGGATCAACACCAGACCCCAAGCAACCAACAGCGTCTCGAGGGAGTTGGAGAAGGTGTGCGTCTGATAAGTCCAGGTGACGTACGAGGATGCGACCAGCACCACAGTTGCTCGGCGCTGGCGCGGGGAGGGCACCAACTCATAGATGGCCCAGTCCTCCAGTACGAAGCTCAACAGAAACATGACCCCTCGGAGGAAATAAAAAATCACATCTGGAGGAGGATGTCCCGTCCCGAGCTCGGTATAGAACCATTTCAACAGGCTCATGGGCACATCGTAGACGGGCCATAGTGGAAAGGCGCTGCGAATCGGATTGTCGACGGTGAATTCCCAGGGTAGCTTGGATGGAAATGAGAATATGCGCCCTGCACATTGATCAGTCTGTCAGATGTCTATACGATACAAGTTATCTGTTTATCATCGTCTGGTGGGGATGCAGTTTCGCAATTGCTTCTCCGACAGCTCCGGCTGTAGAGACAAGATAACGATCGCATTGTCAGGCGATCACGAATATGCGACACACAAACATACCTGCAACGACCTCCGGGCCCTGGAAATTCTCATCAGGATGAAGATAGCTTGGAGAGAGGGCAAAATAAACACGGATCAGCAGGAGGAGTAAGTAGGTTCGTCTCCACATGACTCAGGTGGTTAAACTGGAAATCAACACGGCACATGAGATTCAAAGACAGATATGTACATGCTGCATCGGGCAGATCAAGATTGGCTATGATGATTCTAGAGAAGGAAAACGAGGCGAGAGAAAGAAAGAGGGTGAAAGAAAGGAGTGGAAGGGTTGCTGCGAGAGGAGTGCGCCAGAGAAGATAATAATATTATGATGCGACCGTAGCTTTGTTGAACAACAGGGTTGAGAGGAGGAGAGACGCGTCGGGTGGGATGATATCACTGCTACTAGACTATTGCTTGTAGTCGTTCGAATTGGATGGATTTGATTGAGTCCAGCCTGTGGGTCAACAAGGGGATTAAATTAGACAGCGTAGACATCTAGCAGCAGGCGATTTTGAAGATTATTATTCGAATGTTCTTTTTGTGCGGAGATTTGAAGTTGTTGAGGCCTGAGGATGCATTATCCTTACCATACTGTATGGTATAGAACTCAGGTACTGAAATATCATGACAACAAGAACAAAGAATAAGTATAAGAAAGAAAATAATACAAAGAAATAATATACATTATGAATAATTCAAATGAGGAATCGATTATCTTTATGGTATATATATATATATATCTTTATCCTGGTCAAGGTAAGACTCATACTCGTTTCAACTCTCAATACTCTCCATCAATGCAGCTGTATCACTCCATACACCACCATATATCCCCTTCATGATGAGATCAAAGACAAATTTGTCATAAAGAACCATGGAAGATTCCACAAGAACAAAGAGTTCTTATCCCTTCAAGTCTTCATTTAGGCTCCTCTAGGCAGTAGAGCTGAAACCAGAGAGTAGCACCAGGCAAAAGCTGCACTCGGCGTTCCCCAGAAACACGAGCCGCATCATTTATTCCCCTCTGCGGCCTCAGCCAAACCCATCCATAATTCACTTCCCTGCCTGCGCTTGCTTTGTTGCCTCCAACAACAACTCCAGCAACCCACTCTTGTCGCTGTTTTTTCTCCCCCTTTCTTTCTTTCACCATCTTCCACTTTCATCAAGCTCTGATACTTAAGGTGTGATTCCCTGACATTTCTCTCTCATCTCAATTTCCCACTGACCTAAATCTCGACAGAAATCGGTAAGGCTCGCCCCCACCTAAAAGCCCCTCTGCTGTCGGTTCACTGCCTCAACTAGAGTCATACCTGAGCTTACAGCAAGTTGGCGCTTTCTTTAATAACCTCATTTACTCCTTTTTAACATCTTTCAGATCACACAAAAGTTCATACTTTCTTCAAAAATGTCTGCTCCTACCATTACTCTGACTAGCTCCGACGGCGTCGATATCACCATTGGTAGGCTCCTATTGTTTACGATTTCCCAGTGCGTGGGATGGAATACTAACCTTTCTTCTCATTTAGAGCGTGATGTCGCTGAGCGTTCCATCCTGATCAAGAACATGCTTGAGGATCTTGGTGACTCTGGCGAGGCCATTCCCGTTCCCAATGTCAGTTAGATTCCTGAATACCCTCCAAGTATATAACCTTATCAATGATGGTTGCTGACTTGTATCATTCGTAGGTCAACGAGGCTGTTCTGAAGAAGGTCCTGGAGTGGTGCAGCCACCACAAGAGCGACCCCCCAAGCGCCGGCGATGACGACGACTCCCGCCGAAAGACCACAGACATTGACGAGTGGGACCAGAAGTTCATGCAGGTTGACCAGGAGATGCTGTTCGAAATTATTCTGGTACGTTCTCTACTAATATATACTCTTGAGTTATACGCTAATTTGTACGACAGGCCGCAAACTACCTGGATATCAAGGCTCTCTTGGACGTTGGCTGCAAGACCGTTGCCAACATGATCAAGGGCAAGTCCCCAGAGGAAATCCGCAAGACTTTCAACATTCAAAACGACTTCACACCCGAGGAGGAGGACCAGATTCGCCGTGAGAACGAATGGGCTGAGGAGTAAGTTTGAAGGATCTTCCAATCGGTGGTTTCAGTGCTGACTCAATATTTTCTAGCCGCTAAACCCTTCATCACCCGTCAATGTCATCGTCGCCTACTTCAACCGACATTTTCGATTTGACAACAAGATTTTCTTTTCTTCGGTCCGCGGGTCGTTCATTATACGGCGTTAGGCTTTTATGTATCTAAGCGGATTTCCTTTCGTTTTTCTGGCTCTTTTCACTATCAGTTAAAGGTCTGGAACCGAGTGGCTCAATTGGACCAACGTGGAGGTGTTTGCTTTTTTACATCATGCAATGTTAATCAAACGAATTTGCTGTCTTTACTGCACATGGTTTTATTTGGATACCTGTATGCTCTCCAATGTAGTCTATTCCTGGTGACATCAGATCGAGGATATTCTTAGGCAGCATGTCTGAGACCGAGATCTGAGTCTAATAATGTACCCCTCTTCATTGTTGTCTAAATTCTAGATTCGCAATGTATCTCCCATGAGATCATAGGGAAATCAAGTAGTCGATTATAAAAAAGCAAGACTGAACATTGCCACCACAGAATAGGCTGCAATCCCCTTGTTCTCCATTCTCCATGATACGCCTGATAAGTAGGTATTAAACTCGTTCATCGTGCTGGCTATATCCATCATGATATCTTTTTTTGAATTTTATTTGTTCGGCTCGTGTACATAAACTGTCACAGAACAACCCCCCGTCACCCCCGCGCTTCGTGTTGACAAGAAAACAACCCACTGTTCCAACCCCCCATCATGTAATCCGTAAAATCTTCGCCCAGAGAAAAGTTGATAAAAAATAGATGAATCTAAAAACTCAAAATTCCGCATGATTGTCGACAAAGGCTAGACGAGTCTCTTACGTATTCCAGACGAGAAGGCGTAAATTGACATAAAAATTTGAACAGTAGGTGATGAGCGGGAAAGACTCAGAGCGACAATAGGGACCGGACGCAGATCATAGCCATCGCGAGCACACCATTGTCGGGCATCATAATCGAACGAAAAAAATTTTTGTTGGAGCGGGCATCTCGGTCGGAAAGGAGAGAGAAAGGGGGGAAAGCAATGTCTCGAATCTAGATACCGAGACGGGTCTTGCGCCAGTGCCTTCTCTTGGCGTTGTATCTGAATTATCGAAGTCATTCGTTAGCCATGTGTCCCTCTTGATAACTGGCTGTTTGCATTTCTTCTTTCTTCTTGGTTCCATCGACAATAGCAATCACGAGTAGTTTTCCCGGTTGGACAACGGATAACACAAGCGTATCTCTTTTTGAAGGCGACGATCGAGGGACCGAGAAAAGGAAGAGCGGTGGTATTTACCTGATGGTGTTACCGGTCCTCAGACGAATCCACTGGGGGATGGGACGGTTCTGCTTCTGAGCTTTGGCAAGCTTCTGCTTGGTGCGGAAACTCTTGTGGCTCTATTGAGGGGGAAAATGCGTTAGCAAACAGTCATTTCATATCATTTTGACGGCACGAAGAAAAATGAACATGTAAAGATTCATTTTTCCACGGGGAGAAAAGGACGGCATGTCAAATTAATTCAACATGGGGATTTGACATTCAAAAAAGGGGGCTGCTAACCGGCATCTTGAATTCTTGTCGCGACGGCGAGCTGGGGTATGGACTGGCGATAGTGAGGTTGTCGACCGTCTAAAGAGTGGTGATTTTTGTGCGAGCAGGGCTTAGTGGTTCGCTTCGGGAGGGTCATGTGATGTTGGCCTGAGGCAGGAATGGGGAATGCCGCCGCATCTGCCAAGGCATGCATTTTACCCCGACTTGGATACGTACGACGATCTACTATTTTGTTTACCGAGTGTTTGAGAGAAGCTTTGTTGTAGTTTAAATGATGGATTTGGTATTTGTTAATTCTCGAGGCAAGGAGATTTATGCGTCATCCAACAACGAGCTGTGTATCTGTTGAGCCTGATGTGCGGGAGTATGAAAGTAGTGTGTTTCCTATCAGGAAGACAGATCACCTGTGATGAATAGTCCTACGTAGCAGAACTTCAGTCTATTGTTTCATACTGCGATGTCACATCTAGATATTAGATGTTTCTTTTCTTGGTCCCTCAATGGAAGATCTCTTCGGGCGTGGGTCCTCCCGAGTAAGCTTTATGCAAGTAGGTATCTATCTTTACCAGCTTCGAGGGCACGTTATACAGTGCACGGGGCAGCAACCATCCGACGATAGACCAGCATCGGTGAGCCAGCCTGTAAAACGAGAACGAAAATGAAGGCGCTTGATAATAATGACTGCAATATTAATATACCAAAACATCCCGTGGTAACTGGTAAGACGGCGTGTCGGTCAGAGCAAGTTGCGGGCATGCATGAGATAGGGCTTCCTTCGATTCCTTCGATGGTTCTTACGAGGGATACGTAGAATCATTTCTGAGTCACCTAGATCGATGTATGACTGAATCTGAATCTGAAACAAGGTAGCATCCGCAAAGCCTCGTGTACGCTTGCTACCTAGCGAGTATGGAGTCCATCTAGATGGTGAAAACCCATGGAAATAGAACAATGTCGACAGCATGAATCATTTAGCGAGAGAACATCATATGGAATCGGTGTCGGCGGAGCCGATCTCCGACCCCGACTAAGCATAAACCAATGAAGGTATTGTAACGGCAGTGGATAACGTGACAGTCTGTATTTTTCTGGTTTCCATCAGATTATCAAGATCAGTTGTTGCAATTATTCAGGTGGATTTCCAGAAGATTCTCGACCTAACTTATGAATGGCATTTATTACAAAATATATAGAAAAAAAGCACATTGGGATTATTCAGGCAATGTACTTCGTAGCGGTACTCTGTAATCTGTACTGGGGAGAAATATCCCGATAGAAATCAAAGCGGATCCCATCGGTATACGACAAATACGATATCTGTATCCACTGGGTTTGAACTAACTACTAGAAGTATGACGATAAAAGGGTTGAGAATGGAGGATGGATTCTATGTCAAACTGCATATGCATCTTGACTGTTGAACTGATATACAGCACAGCTATATATGTTATGCTTCAGGGCTAGATCATCGCTATTCATCTATACCACCGTCATCAACAGTTATGGCTTGTAAGCTGCCTGCATAGCTAAATAAGACTTGGTAGATTATCTAAACCAACCTATATTCTCACGGGAACTGTAGATGACTCAATATGGACTATGAAGGCCTTACCCTAAACATCGTCGGTCTCGTATTCGCTCCCGGTTTGATGGGTAGATGATCTATACTCGATACAGTCCCCGATTCCTACAGTACCACAAAGCACTGAAGTCCATAGTCCAGTAGTACTCCGTATCCTGCATGCATATATTTATAAGTACATCGGTTCACATATACAAATCAGTGCAGGTCAACTCGCACCGTGAGGTTGTCCTACCTCGAAAAGGGGTGGATTGTAACTGTGGCTCACAAGTATCAATATCTTCTTTGTCGGACTCCACCTGGCACTGGCTTGGTAATTTAACTGCCCGACTGGGTGCAATCCACAATGAGATAGCCGGGGCCCATTTAGGATCCATATTCTGATTGTTGCTTAGCCTCGAACGAGTTCAGATCCTGCCAGGGCAGACGCTGATTCGCTGCTGTTAGTATTGTTGTTTCCAGTGCTGCATAAAACAAAAAGTCGGAACGGCGGGATTCCGACAGTCAAGCATGAACGCGGTTTAGCGCTGGTATCTGCGTTACGCCACCAGAAAGATAATACCAGATAATTTCATCGTCTTCCTGATTGTGTTCCACTTCATACTTAAACATGTCGCTGCCTCCCGCATCGGGCCTGAATCTTTTTCTGGTCGTCTGTCTCCCGAGTCGGTCAAGTCCTGGTTGACCTTTCGAAATTCTGACCTCTTTCTTTCCCTTGCGGGTTCTGATACTCTTCTTTCCTTTATCTACTCTGTCCTTGCTGCTCCACCCACGATTGCTTCTGTATGGAGTAAAAGGTCTACCAGCTACCCAAGCGATATCATCGTCCGTGACCTTCTCATCCAGAAGGTGGGATACCATCAATCCCCATGCACAACATGCAACAACCGGAGGATGGTGTGACCTCCATGGAGAAGACTGCCGATGCAACACAGGCAGAGCAGCCCTCATCGCAATCGTCCAATGCCGACAATGAAAAGCTGCGCGGCAAGCACTCCGTCTCGGGCTCGACCGATGTGGGCAAGGATCAAGGGCCGAATCCTCTAGCTGGAGCTGCTCCGGCCGAGGCCGATGACCTAGATGCCCTCTTTGCCCATCTCCCCGAGCAAGAGAAGGAGATCTTGAAGAAACAGCTCGACGGTCCGGTTGCCAACGTCGGCTTCCTCACTCTCTTTCGATATGCCTCCAGAAACGACATGCTGGTTATCTTTGTCAGCGCTATTTGTGCCATTGCTGCAGGTGCCGCGATGCCTTTGTTCACAGTAAGTGCCTTTTGATCCCTTCTATGTCGGGACAGTCATGATTAATTCTTGCTTTCAGCTTCTTTTTGGTTCTCTTGCCTCGTCCATGTCGACTGTCATGTACGATCCAAATGCCAATTTTGATTCGTACTACCATACGTTGACACACAATGTCTTGTACTTCATCTATCTCGGTATCGGAGAGTTTGTCACCGTCTACATCAGCACTGTTGGGTTTATCTATGCGGGAGAACACATTACGCAAAAGATTCGCGAGCATTATCTCGAGGCCATTCTGAAGCAAAACATGGCTTATTTCGATAAACTGGGTGCTGGTGAAGTGACCACCCGCATTACCGCTGACACCAATCTCATCCAAGACGGTATCTCTGAGAAAGTCGGACTGACCTTGACGGCGATTGCCACCTTCGTGACGGCGTTTATCATCGCCTACATCAAATTTGCGAAACTAGCAGCCATCTGTACCTCTACCATTTTTGCCCTGGTTCTTGTCATGGGAGGCGGATCTAAATTCATCGTCAAGTACAGCAAGCAGTCTTTGACTAGTTACGGCGCAGGCGGAACAGTCGCAGAGGAAGTCATCAGCTCTATCCGAAATGCCACCGCGTTCGGCACTCAGGAAAAACTTGCCAAACAATACGAAAGTCACTTGGCTGAGGCAGAGAAATGGGGAATCAAGGTGCAAGTTATTCTCGGAATCATGATTGGCGCTATGTTTGGCATCATGTTCATGAACTACGGCCTTGGTTTCTGGATGGGCTCCCGCTATCGTGTCGCTGGTGAGGTCGATGTGGGCCAAGTTTTGACTATTCTCATGTCCATTCTGATCGGCTCATTCAGTCTGGGTAATGTCGGCCCCAACAGCCAGGCTTTCACGAATGCCATCGCAGCAGCTGGTAAGATTTACAGCACAATCGATCGCCCATCGCCATTGGACCCATTTTCAGACGAAGGCAAGACGCTTGATCACTTTGAAGGCAACATCGAATTCCGTAATATCAAGCACATCTACCCTTCGCGACCAGAGGTGACGGTGATGAAGGACGTTTCTCTCACGATGCCTGCAGGAAAGACAACCGCGTTGGTCGGCCCCTCTGGATCTGGAAAGAGTACTGTCGTTGGATTGGTGGAACGCTTCTATCTTCCAGTTGGGGGCACGGTTTCCCTCGATGGCCATGACATCCAGACTCTCAACCTTCGTTGGTTGCGCCAGCAAATCTCCCTTGTCAGCCAGGAACCTATTCTTTTCGGAACCACCATCTATGCGAACATTCGTTACGGTCTCATAGGTACAAAGTATGAGAATGAATCAGAGGAAAAGATCAGGGAACTTGTCGAAAACGCCGCACGAATGGCTAATGCTCATGACTTCGTTACAGCGCTACCTGAAGGGTATGAAACCAACGTTGGTCAACGCGGTTTCTTGCTTTCTGGTGGTCAGAAACAGCGTATCGCCATTGCTCGTGCGATAGTCAGCGACCCTAAGATTCTTCTTCTTGATGAAGCTACATCTGCCCTGGACACCAAATCGGAAGGGGTTGTGCAGGCTGCGCTCGATAGAGCTGCTGAGGGTCGTACCACTATTGTGATTGCTCATCGTTTGTCTACGATCAAATCAGCTCACAATATTGTGGTTATGGTCAATGGTCAGATTGAGGAACAAGGAACACATGACGAATTGGTCAGCCGGAAAGGGGCTTATCTCAACCTCGTCGAAGCGCAGCGTATCAATGAAGCGAAAGACGCAGAAGCTTTGGAAATCGACTCCGATATGGATGAGGATGACTACGCCAAGGAAGAGGTTGCCCGTATCAAGACTGCTGGCAGTGGTTCGGTTTCGTTGAATGCAGATGGTGAAAAGGACGAAAAACTGGTGGCGCGAACTACCACTAAGAAATCCATCTCGAGTGTCGTTCTATCCAAGAGAAGCCCCGAAACCGAAGAGAAATACTCCCTATGGGCATTGATCAAATTCATCGCCTCATTCAACCGCCCCGAGCGCTTTATCATGCTAATCGGGTTTGTTTTCTCTTTTCTCGCCGGTGGAGGCCAGCCCACTCAAGCTGTGCTATACGCCAAGGCAATCAGCGCGATCTCAATGCCCCTCAGCATGAGTTCCGAGATAACGCACCAGGCGAACCTTTACTCCCTTCTTTTCTTTATTGTTGGAATTGTTCAGTTTATCAATCTTTCTATCAACGGTACCATGTTTGCCTTCAGCTCCGAGAGATTGATCCGCCGGGCGAGAAGCGAAGCCTTCAGATCAATGCTTCGTCAGGACATAACGTTCTTCGACCGAGAAGAAAATAGCACTGGTGCACTGACGTCTTTCCTTTCGACGGAGACCAAGCATTTGTCTGGAATCAGTGGAGTGACGCTGGGAACCATCATTATGACCAGTACAACTTTGTTTGCAGCCATGATCATTTCCCTGGCAATTGGATGGAAACTGGCACTCGTCTGTATCTCTGTCGTTCCTGTTCTTCTCGGGTGCGGATTCTATCGATTTTATATGCTTGCTCGGTTCCAGCAACGGTCCAAGGCTGCCTATGAAGGATCCGCTAGCTATGCTTGTGAGGCTACGTCTGCCATTCGCACTGTTGCTTCACTCACCCGGGAAGGAGATGTGTGGAGTGTTTACCACGACCAGCTCACAGCGCAAGGAAGAGTAAGTTTGATCTCGGTGTCAAAGTCTTCTCTTCTCTATGCTGCCTCCCAGGCGCTTATTTTCTTCTGTGTGGCTCTCGGTTTCTGGTATGGTGGTACCCTCCTTGGTCACCATGAATATTCGGTTTTCCGTTTCTTCGTCTGCTTTTCCGAAATTCTCTTTGGTGCTCAGTCTGCCGGAACCGTCTTTTCGTTCTCACCCGACATGGGCAAGGCCAAGAATGCTGCTGCAGAATTTAGAAAGCTTTTCGACCGGAAGCCAACCATTGATATTTGGTCTGACGATGGCGAGAAGATTGAGACCATGGATGGTATGATCGAATTCAAGGATGTACATTTCCGGTACCCGACTCGGGCCGAGCAGCCTGTTCTCCGGGGATTGGACTTGACTGTTAAGCCTGGACAATATGTTGCCCTTGTCGGACCTAGTGGTTGCGGCAAGAGTACCACTATTGCCCTGCTTGAGCGTTTCTACGATGCACTCTCGGGTGGTGTCTTTGTTGATGGCAAAGATATCTCACAACTGAATGTCAACTCCTACCGCAGCTTCCTGTCACTTGTCAGTCAAGAACCAACATTATATCAGGGTACAATCAGGGAGAACATCTTGCTCGCGGTTCAGGGAGAAGAGACCACAGAGGAGGCACTTGTTCAGGCGTGCAAGGACGCCAATATCTACGACTTTATCATGTCGCTTCCGTGAGTTCCCACGTTTCCTAATTCAATTCCGTTTGTCTTGAACAGTTTCGCTAACCTAAACGATAGTGAGGGATTCAACACTGTTGTCGGTAGCAAAGGAGGTATGCTGTCTGGTGGCCAAAAGCAGCGAGTGGCCATCGCACGAGCTCTCCTCCGGAACCCTAAGGTCCTCCTCCTGGACGAAGCCACCTCTGCCCTTGATTCAGAGTCCGAAAAGGTCGTGCAAGCAGCGCTGGATGCCGCTGCCCGAGGTCGTACAACGATTGCCGTCGCACACCGTCTGAGTACCATCCAGAAGGCCGATGTCATCTATGTATTCGACCAAGGCAAGATTGTGGAGAGTGGAACGCACCAGGAATTGATCCGCAGCAAGGGCCGTTACTACGAACTGGTGAACATGCAAAGTCTCGGAAAGGCTTAATTTTGCCTTTCTTGCTTATTATATATATACCCTAATGTCTTTTTTCTTTCGTCCTACCCTCCCCCTTCACCTACACTACCTTTTTGTGAACATACCCCTCTCTCATAATGTCATAATGACTGTGTTCCGTTGTACAGATTATAACTGACTTCCCCCCTCTTCCTCTTCTTCGCTTTTCAAAAGTCACCAGTTAGATTCCCCCGCGGGCTATTGTATTGGGAGTTGTTGGACTTTTCTATTGTCTTTAGATGAAACAATCTCGCGATATTTATAGCTGGATAGTGGATGAATAATGAAATTAATGGATAATGTCCATTCAGTTAACATTAAATTCGATTGTGTCTTGTTCGAGCATTGATCATATATCATACATCATAAAAATACATCACCTGAGTTAAATCCTCCATTCAATCTTTATCACCTATCCCATACTCCCTCTGTACATCAATCTGTCGCACGCCGCGCGCATCAGCAATAAGACCCATCAATCCCTGCCCGACATCTTTAATCTCATTGTATTCATGAAGAAGACGAATATGCCGCTTCACGGTCGTAGAAGGATCATTCCTATAACATATATCATTAAGAATGTTTCCACTAAATCAGACTCAAAGGCATACTGTAGCCTAGTCTTGGTCTCTGCAATTTGAGTCTCGATCTGCTCTACCTGAGATTGAAGGTCTGCGATGGAAGCCCTGAGGGCATTCTATTATCCATCCTTGTTATTTTTGCGAAACCCATCGTTGTGGCCGTGTGATTGGAAATACCTGTTTCTTCTCCCGTTGCATGATCTGGTCGGGAGCGAGTGGAGTTGGTGATTGTTGCCCGTATCCGGTTGTGAGATCGCCAGGCGACGGCATCTTTGACGCGGAACGGGGTCAAAAAAGGGGTTTTAGCGGATGGATCCAAGGGGATTGAGATGGAATTTAATATAGGATGAGAAGTTGATGCTTTTGATGCGCTCTCTTGAGTCTTAGAGTGTTAGAGAGAGAATATCCGGACAGGCCAATGAGAGGTAGAGCATTCAGTACCGTAAGCTGACACAACGCGCAGGACCAAGTAGATATGTAGCGCTACCATAGGGCTGGCAGTTTCACCTTGACAGCGTTGGAAATGAATGTCTTGATCAGCTTGGTTTCGTCTTCTTCCCTTTTTCTGGGCTTTTTTTTTTTTTTTTTTTTCTTTTAAAACAATATCTTGTACTAAGAGAAACCTCTTCCTTCTCCCTCTTATTCACCCAAAGCATGAACTGATCGTCATCTGAATTAATATCTCCGGCCCAATCCGGAGTCCGCTTTTCTTTGTCCGCCACGGACCTCTCTTTCTAAGCATCTCTCCTTCATCTCCTCTTCCTTCAACCTCCATCGGCATCCCTCCCCGCAATCATGAGCCGACTTCATCTACTCCAAGGGGGAGTGCTAGCAGCTCTCCTTCTTGCCTCTCCTGCTCTAGCTCATGGTGGCCATGAGGCCGTCCCTGACGGTGCTGCCGTCTCCGGAGATCCTATTGTACGCAATGCGATTTCTCCTTTCCCTTCTCTTTACGAGGCCGCGATCAAAAAAGACACCTGGACTAATTTTTTATTGTTTTGTAATTCAGGACTCGACATTATGGATACACATGATTCTTATGGGACTTGCCTTTGGCATTATCTTTCCGTTGGGAATGGTTCTCGGGGTATGATATACTTGGGCATCTGTCTTTGCGTTGTTGTCTGGAATATCCATCTAATCAATCATCTTCGTTATTACTAGATCGTGCGCTCGCGCTGGCATGTTCCTCTCCAGGTTGTCGGAACGATTATCGCTGTCCTGGCTTACTTTCTCGGTCACGCCCACAAGGGTCGACAGTTTTCCAAGAACGTCCACGCGTCCTTCGCAAACTCCTTGATGCTCATGTTGGTGGTGCAGGTAGTGCTGGGTGTTTATCTCAAGTTGCATCTGTCCAAGGGAATTCATGGGCGTATTCGTCGGTTCTTTGTCGTCGCCCACGGCGTCGTCGGTAAGGTGATGCCTGTTGTGAGCTGGGCGCAGATGCTGTTTGGAGGTATTACGGCCATGGGTTACTGTCGCGATGACCATCTTGGACAGTGTCTAGCTCACTTCATCATGGGAAGTGCCTTTATCGCCTACGGCATCATGCTCACCATTCTCCTTCTCGTCGGTCAGTACTGGATGCGTCGCAGCGGCCGCAGCCAGGAATTTTTCGATTCCCTCATCATCGCCGCGTGGGGTTGTGTCAACACCTTCACGGAACATCGCTGGGGACAGCCTTGGGCCCACAATGATCTGCAGCACACGACAATGGGTATTATCTGGTGGTGCGCCGGTCTCTTGGGTATCTGGATGAGCAGAAAACGCAACGGCCAGCCTAAGCGGAATCTGATCCCCGCTATTGTCATTCTGTTTACTGGTTATGCCATGTCTGCCCATCCCCAGACACTGATGATCAGCACCATGATCCACAGCATCTTTGGATATACATTAATGGCTGCCGGTTTCACGAGAATCATCGAAATTTCCTTTGTCTTGAAGGATCGCGCCACTGTCAGTATGGACGGTTCTGACCCGAACAGCTTCCAGTATCTGCCACCTTTTGTACGTTCCAATCACCTTTCCCTCAATCACGTTCGTCTCACTAACCATTTCTTAGCTCCTCTACGCCTCTGGCTTTCTCTTCATGGGTGCTACGGAGGAACAGATGCAGCTTCTCCACGACGCTGGAATCACGCACGTATCCTACGTTCTGATTCTGTACAGTATCGCTTTTATCCTTTTCCTCTGTAAGTTATCACAAACCCCACTTTATGGTTTGCAATGTATGCTAACCACCTTCAGTTGTCAACGTGCTCCTCCACATCTACGCTGTTCACGCCTGGCCCGAATCTGCCAAGGTGCAGCCAAACTCCCACTCGAGCAACAACGATGCCGGCGAAAGCGGCCAGGGTCCATCTCGCTTCATGAACGGACACGCGCGGTCTGCGTCTGAGAATCGTCAAATCCACGACGCTGAGGCGTTCGAGCTTCAGGGGCTCATTTCAGACGAGGAAGAAGAGGGCCCATCTTCAGGTCAGAATGGCCATTCCAAAGGCCCTCGCAGGACTGAAGATGAAGAGAGCTCTCTTGTTGGGAAGGAGACAACGCACGACTAATTTGGAAGATGCTCCGGGTCCCAGGACATAAAATAAAACGAATAAAAAAAAAGAATTCAATCAAATTGCGAAATCCACGAACAGCATTTTCAAAATGGGATACAACACGACTATCAATCACAGCAATATTCAAATGAATTCCAATTCGATGTCCCCAGCTCTCCTTCCGACTACTTTTCGGGTTCCGATATTTATCTTCTGCCAACATTGAAGGTATCTATCTATCTGTCTGGTGCTTTGTTTTGTTTCATCTGTCTTTATAATTCCTTCTTCCTTTTCCTTTCTATTGGGGTGGCGTTTGGCTAGGATGGGAAAGATACTGTTATCCCTGTTTTACTTCATTTTTATTGATTCTTATCGTGTTAGATTCTTCGTCGTATATACTTGACATCATACATACATACATACTATCATTTTATCACAATCTACTTATGGATGCGGGTTGTATTAAATTCATGTCAATGCCATTCATAAGCCAGCAATAGGCCAATGAACAAAACCAACATGTTAAAAAAGAGTTCATGTTCATGTTGAATGTTATCCATCTATCGTACAGTCATCATAATGCTTTTTTTAACCTTCAGCAGACTTTGTCGGGTTCTGTTCCTAGGTTGTTGGAAGACACGCCAAAGAAACAGCTGATAAAAAGACCCTAGTTCCCAAAATCCCAACCTAGCCAGCTCAAGTATTCTAAAGTGCCATATCATGAATTAGCTGTTTACCTGTGAGGGACTTGCACCGGCTCGTCCACATCAAGATCAATTGCATTGGCCACAGGAGCGGTGGCAGAGGGAGCGGCCGTCTCCGGTGGGAAGAAGGGATGCAATGGGTAGATGGGAGCCGCGGATTTTTCGCCATCGAACAAAAGCATGTTCTGCAACGGCTGCTCTCTGGAGCTCAAGACATTGATAACATCCTGCGCAAGACTACCACCGACAAAAGCGGCCACCGGGCTTAGTTCACAACCAAGGTTCTGGAGGAAGGTGCGCAAGAACTCCGAGGTGAGCGTGCTGATGTCGAGTTTCAGCTCTTGGTGGCGGTCGTGGGCGAGCTTTGTGAAAACTTCCAAGTTTTGGTGAGAGAAAGTTGGCAAAGCGCCGGCGGATATTTTCTGAAATTCCCAGAGCGCGCGCAGACAAGTCAGAAGTGGCGTGACCTGCCTTCGTCGTCGAGGCAGACGGGTGAAGTCCTCGGGGAGAGGGGAGGTATTGGCGAGGATGAGAGGAGAGTACACCTCGCGCTTGGTGACCATCTCAATCATCTTGTCGTTCTCCTTCTTGGTCGTGATATCAACAATGCTGCGCGTTTGTGTTTCTTGCTTGACAGAGGAGACATTTGACTTCGAACGCTCAATCACAAAGTCATGTGAGATCAGGTCTGCAAAGACGTATCCGTAGAAACCATGGAGCCCCGCGGCATAGAACGGACGGTTTGCGATTCGACACGCGGCATTGATGGTCGTATACGTCGCAAAATCGAGCTCTGTGGCAATTGTGATATCAAATGCTGAGAAGAAATCTGGCTGTTTTGCGCGAACGTCGTCGGTATCAATTCGCAGCTGCACCCTGGGGTTCATGGCACGGATTTGAGGCGCCACCGCTTGCGCGCGCTGGTCTACTGTCAGTATGTCATTATCCAACAGGGTCTCTTGAGCTCAACATACGTTCTGGCCCACATGTTCCTCCGATACAAAGAATTGCGCACCGAGATCTTCTTCCGTGACGGCTTGGTGATCGATGATGGTGAGCGTACCAATTCCCGCCAAAACAAGGTTCTTCGCTACCTCGTTTGCGAGTGCTTTCATCGAGATTAAGAGGATATTCGCAGATCGAATTCTAAATCCACGCGCATCTTGTCAGCCACATAGCACACTTCAACAATGTCGAATTGAAGGAAACGCCTACTTCTCCTGGGCTTTAACACCCCAAAGCCGGATTTGGCGGTCGTAGAGAGCAATTTCATCTGTTGGTTTCAGAATTTCAGTGTTAGATATAAGATCCCTTCATAGCCATGTATTATAATGTCCTTACCTGCGCTGATGGATTGCGCTGCGGCCTCTTGCGACTCCATGGTGCTCATATTCGCAATCTTGTCACACGAAGCGGAACAGAACTTTGATCTGTCTGATAAAGACTCCTTGGCTATAGATCGTAATGGCGTGATTCAAATTGCGCAGCTCTGATAGATGTCGAAGATAGCAGAGGAACTCTTCTATGTCAAGGACTGAGCCAAGGGAGCTACAGAGAAATCGGAGGGTGGGGAAAAGAGAAGAACGCAGGTCAACCAGCTCCCTGGGGCGTTACCCACATGCATGTACCCGCAATGACTCTGGTGAATCGTTTGCAAGAAGCGTCAAACAGAATGCAGCGTGAAGGTGGGGTGAATGAAGATGGAATTGCAGCTGGGCGAGAGTATAGCACTAGACGGAGCTACCCCAACATCACGTGCCCAGCACCGATAACCGCGAGCTTCACTTATCGAAGTCGAATTCCATCGCCATCGTCGTCATCGGCATCTCCTTTTCGTTTGCTCCTCCTCCTCTTGTCCTTCTCACTTACTGGTATATTATCGGCCAAGTTTTATTTCACCGCTTCTCCCCTTTTCCTTTCCCCTCTTATCTGTCTGAATATAAATCCTGGCCTGTTTCCCATACATTCGTCCCGGTATAGTTTCTCCCCGCCTCCCGATCTATCTGACTTATCAATAATGGGCTTTCTCTAACTGGGTCTCTTTACAGGATGGTACGTTCAACTCTCGAGCCTTTTCTTCCGCATCTAGCCAATAATAAACCCTCTTACCGAAAAGCGTAATATGCTGGCCACGTCGATTTTTTGCCCGTATTAACTATTTTGCATCCAACTATAGTCGGGGAATTACGACTACCCTCCTGCCTCTCGTTCCGGTGAACGACCACAACGGCCCAACGTGGATCGCGTACAACACCTTCGGGATCTGTTAAACTCGGAAAGGATTCACAATACTAGTGCTGAAACCGCTCGTGCTCTGGAAACTCTGAATCAAGAGATAGAAGAGTACCGCTCCGATCGTGTTCGAGACCGGTCCAGTTTCGAGGAAGCGCGAGCAGCGGTAGACCGACAGATTCAACAACTGCAATCAGACCTTAACGGCAGAGAGGAACGTATTCGCAGTATTCTCTTGGGTCATGACCCGTCACAGCCGCCGCCTCCAGCTTTGAACTCTACAGCTATGAATCAAGAACCAGGTTCCTCCGATCTTTCACGCTCAGTCGGCCGACCGTCCAGACGCCGTGTACTTAGGGGAGGAGAAAGGCCAAGCAGAGAAGGAAGAACAAGGGAACCGGCCCTCAATTCCCTACTCGATGAACCAGTTCCTCGTCTTGAAATGTCGTCCGCCATGTCGCCAGAACTGGGAGACGACCACCGGGCAAACCGATGGAGAACCAAGCGCAGAAAGCTCGAGACTGATGATAATAGAGAAGGACTTAGGGGATTGGGATACGGTCAATACGGCCAGGTTGTGCCTGGAACGCTCAAGATGGAAATAGCCAGTTGCGATGGAGGCACATATGAGCCTGAGGGAGATAGTTCTTGGCCAGATAACGTCTTGCGCAATGATTCGTCCGTCTATTGTACAAAGTCCGACCGATGCAATTTGATCCTAAAGCACCGCGGGGAGACCCCATTCTGTTTAAAAAAGCTCGTGATCAAGGCTCCGAAGTCTGGATATGATGCTCCGTACGTTTCAATGTCCCTTGTCATCTGTCTATATTACTAACTATATCCAAAGGATACAAGAAGGAATGGTCTTTGTTTCAATGTCATCCGACGAGCTGCTAGCCCGTACAGCTCAGTACCAAATCCAGTACTCTAACGCCCGGCGCCGTCGTCGAAATCGACGGAATGGAATGCAACCCTCCGAGGAATATCTCAATGGGTTTCGGTATCCCCTGCAATCATTGGAGAGGACTGTTCTCGGTGGCTCAGACTCCCACTCGGACTCGGATAACGACTTCATTACCCTTGCAGGGCCGATGCCTGACTTTCGTCTCACAATTGACTATGATGAGAACTCCGATCACGGTAATTTTTACGAGCAAGAAAACGAGGAAGATGCTCCTTCCATTGCAGAGATTGAGGGTCTGCAAATAGAACAAATGGAGGATGACATTCTCTGCTCGGAAAGTGACGAAAGTGAAAGCGATTACGATCCTAACGAAATGAGCATCTTCAACCGCCGACGTCGCGATTTACTGAGGTACATGAGGACTTCGCGTCGACAATATGCGATGGAGCAACGAGAGCTTCAGAGACGGCGTCAAGTCCCGAATTCGATTGAACCTGTTGCATCTCCCGCTAGTCCTGCTGCTCCGCAGTATTCAGTCATCAATTCCCGGGGCCACGAAGTCTTGAGACCACACGCACGATTCTTCATCGAGCGAGCCAAGAGTATGGTCAGCATCAAATTCGATCCACCTCCGTGAGTCACCATATCATTAGCCAGCCTGCCTGCCCAGCTTTCTAACCAATAAACCACAGCTCCGGGCGATTCATTCTGATAAAGTTATGGAGCCCTCATAGCGGAGGCAATATTGATATCCAGAGCATCATCGCACATGGATACGCCGGTCCAAGATACTTCCCTGCCGGCAATTTCAGATAGATCACTCTGAAGTATAAGCTAATAGGCATTATGGCTAGAAACGCGCAAACTAAACGATGGAAGTCATTTGATACATCTACCGGATAGATACTTCATGATTTCGACGAACACCCCTTATACCTCATTATTATGCTCTTTTCGTCTATATTTGTTTGTTTGTCAAGCCGATATGTGTGGAGTCATGGGTCTGAGTGTTTGTATGGGGCGTTTTTAAGCAGGGTCTATGGTTATTATGGGAGTCTTACATGCATGGATAGATCGTTTGTTTCTTTCGCCCTCTTATTCCCTTTCGGATGCCTTTCGACTTTTAGCTGTACTTATTGTTTACCGTCTCAATGATAATTGATATACTTAGTACAATGGACAAATTGAGTGGCCAATAAAAAGTACTAAATTCAAAAAACTATTTCACTCGAATACATAGAATCATCAACACTGTTTCATGAAAGTAAAATTAAACAGACTCCAATCCAGCTAAGACTCAGTCATCAATCAGACCCCGAGACAACAACGCCCTTTTGTTTCCCTTTGCAGAAAGAAGATAGGACGCCGTACATCAAAGATCGATCAAAAACGAACGACAGAAATCAATCGGCGGCAAGAAAAGACCTGGGGGTTTCAAAAGGGTCTCCCACTCACATGCAACAGGTTTTGGCATAGAGAATTAAGGAAATTAAACAAACGATTAAAGGGACGGGTAACGAGTGGCAGTCAGTCCAAATATTGGAAATGATCATCACGGCTGATAAACAGGAGAAAGCAACAAAGAGTGTGTTCTCGCTAAATGAAAGTAAACATTTTGGGCATTAGGAATGCAAATTAACGAATGGCGAAAATTTGGAAGCGATGCACCTGTGAACTGAAGCAATGCTAGTCAGAAGCTGTAAAATAACCCACAAAACAGGGTGTTGACCAGAAAAGTATGTACAACGACGGTCACGATTTTTCAGCAGGAAGAAAGAAGAAGGCAAAAACGACAAGCGGGGTCAACCACGCATTAAATGTGTATAACTGTCAACCTAGCCAAACCTCAAAAAAAGCAGGTCGACGGTTGGTCAAATCGATGCTCGTTTCTCGTCGCTCATATTGCGAAGATCGTCAAACGCCGAACCTTCCCTAGTGAATTGGCGTAAATAATCACCAACCAAAACAATGCACCTGAAAAGACAAAGGAAAAACAAAAAAAAAAAAAAAGGAATCCAACTCCAGGCATGGCAAAAAAGAAGCGAAATTTTGTTTCCAAAAGATAAAAGCAAACGGATATAGTACGGGTATGCAAAGTGAGCTAAATGACGACAACATCTCCTTCAGCGTCTGCTGGGTCAGAAGCCATCATGTCACCATATTTACCCACGGACATCAACATGGAATCATCGTCAAGGTCAATTGCGCTATCGTCATTGGTTGGGGCGTGAAAGCTCGCTATGTTTTCCGTGATACTATTTGGCTTCTCTGTTTCAAGAGTGTTGCTATTCGGCTCTGCCTCCATGTGTGAACGCTCCAGTGATTCCCGGCCTTGTGAAATTTCGTCTGCCGCTGTAGGACTTGTGGTTGATCTGGCTCTCGAATCGCCTGCCTGCTGTCCATCAGAAGTCATAAACGACTCTCGCCTATCCGGAACTGAATAGCTAGGCTGTCTGGTGGGGAAGTGGCTGAGAGTTGGTTGCTGTGGTCCGTAGACTGCGGTCTGCAATGTGGTGGGAGTGGAACGCATGAATCCACCCTTTTGAGCTTGCCATACCATCATTTCATGGAAGAACACTTTGGTCATCCACCATGCACTAAAGCTTTGCGCTCCACCTAATGTCAATCGATGAAGAATGCAGTCCCACAGGGCATCGACCTTTTCAACGATGCACTGGGCCCGATGGTTGGTAAAGATGGCTGGCAAGTTAAGAATAAATGATATCCATTTATCGGGGAAGTTGTAGTCAACTTCGCCACCAGAAGACTGTACAGGAATTTTATGTGCTTGCATATCTTCTTCCATATCGGGCTTTGTGAAAAAGGGATGGGATGCCGAAGGGTTGGCGTCAGTGATAGGGGTAAGTAGTGCCCGAACGTCATGCTTCAAAATCTGTTCTACTGCCTTCTCTGCGCAACTTGGAATGTTTGCTTTGCAAATCATCTCCTTCGGGTCGACTAGGGTTTTAAAGTCAAACCACATTTGGTTCCTGTTGTCAGGATGGCATAGCCATGCAGCAGCCGCGTTGGCAGATTGGTTGACATCAAGCATATGTCGGAGAAGATTGCAAAAGATGTGTGCTGGCATTAACCGCGCCAAAGAGACGTGCGAAGGCAGGGCTTTGAAAGTCTCGGCAATATGAGCGGTAAGTCGTTGTGATATCGAGCTGAACGCGTCCAGGACGAGCTTTGGTACGACCTGCGTTGTAAGTGGTGCTACAAATGCAATCATTTTCTGGTACATCATCCAGTCGCATTCTTTTATCCAAGCGGCGAGATTGGGATGAGTCAAGAGCTTTTGTACGGGGACCGTTAATGTCCCATGAAAAGCTGAGAAATATCGCAAGAGATTCCTCTCCTTGCAGTATCGAAAACTATCAATGACAGAGATGCAGTGGGTTCGATAAAGTGCTGCAAGAGCAGCGGCCGACTTCAGGTCGGTGTTGGCAGGGAGGTATCCACGGATATCTGGGAGCTGTAGAGATTCGTTGTCGACTGACGAGCCGTCTGTTGATGGGAACTGAAGAATATGGTGAATAGCCTTTCCAGCATGGGTCGCGACATTTTCGTGAGTGGCGGCCGTATTAAATCTGGGTGATGATTGACAGCCACAGCCTTGGCTCGCTATGTTGCTGGAAATCTTGGGCGCATAGGAGATGCTTGGTGTAGGAAAGACTGCCGTATCTGCCTGAGGTTGTTGCGTTACGACACTGACACTATACCAACAGTCAGCTTCAGCCCGTGCCTTCTTTTGCAGTAGGTCTTGTTCAGCATACCTCCTTGGCATCACATCATCTGGTTTGTGCTGAGGAACGCCAATTGGACCACCCAAATTCGGTGAAATTGAAGGGTTCAACGGCGGTGGCTTCTGTTGCTTTTCCTCGATCACGGTCAAGTCGACATAGTGGTACTTGGACTCCCCACGAACACCAAGTCGTCGTGTCTGCACGTTGGGAAAGATGATGCGAACAAGCTTTCCGAATGAGGCCGGGTTCAAGACAGAGACACGCTCAGTTCCACATTTCTCTGCATAGCAGCAGTAGACGCGATCTCGCCGGACAGACCCGCTGCTTTTCCTGCAATTCTCTCTCAACCTGTAGCAGATATATCAGCAACCATCGTCATCTTATTCGGGGAGTGTTCAGTTTTACCAGATCATGGCAAAGACTTGTTTGACCTTCTCAGCCTTACCGCCAGCACCTTCATGCTTCAGAACCTCTGCTGCCATCTGCTTCAAGGTGTAACCTTCGTACTGACGCAGCAGCTTTCGCAATTCATTGTCGTTGGCGAGAGATGAGCTAGAACCCTTTTTCTTCCGACCGCCAGCTTCGGAATTTTCGTTGTCTTCCAACACGTGTTCCGGTACATGGTTTTCGATTCCGCTGTCATACATGGCTTGGTACTGAGGGATCGGGACATTAGGCAATCCATGGGATAGTTCTGGAATTGAGTGGTGAGATAAAGAATTGCTGTGCATAGCATGGTTGGGGAAATCCTCGGCTCTGGGCATGACAGGTTGATGAGCGTCTTGCAATGTCGGGTCAAGGGCAGCTCCATTCACGGGGTGCGTGAGCTGTTGGCCAAATCGCATGATAATATCTTCCGGGTTGTTGGCGAAGACATTGTGGCCAGCAGTAGCTTGGGTGGGCAAGAACTGAGAGAAGCCGTCGGGAAGATGCTGATCCTGGGTCTGCTGGGTCGTGCTGGAATGAATACTAGCCGTCGAGCCTCTAGACCGTGGTCGACGACCATTTCGCGATACTACAGTTTCGGAGCGCGACCTCATGGGATCTGCCGTCCCGGGACGACTATGTGGCGCGATTTGCGTTGTCTGGGATACACTCGACACCTGCGAGGCAGCTCGGGCTGTTTTGTGGATGTTCCAATTAGCAAAGCCGCGAACGGGTGGAGGCAAGACGGGCACGAGGGGAGCAACAGCGGGCGCAGTGAGGGTTGCAGCTTCTTACCCATATCAGGAGGCATGATTCGAGTCTTGTATGCAGCACCGTAAGAGGCGTAGATTTTCCTAGTGCTGGGGGTGGAGGGGGTGGGTGGACGGTAACCACGGGCGATAGCGTCTGTTTTGATCCTGCTTTCAGAGCCACATCGACCGGTGGGCGTCACACCGCAGGAAAGGACAAGGCGACAAGAAAAAAAGCCGAGACTACTAAACACCGTGAGATACAGACAATCACCATCCAGAGTCGTCGTCAGACACCAATCGGCCGGGTCTAGAGAGGGCACATCACGGCCGCGTTGGGTGTGAGTCGAGGTATTGAGGCTGGGAGAGAGAATAAACAGAAATGGCCGTTCCTCAGACAACGTTGTTTGTGGGCGTCACGTGTGCTTATGTCAGTGCATTCCGTCAAGGCCAGGATTTGAATTCGAGATTCACAGCGCCAAAAACATTTAAAGTCGTCTCGGAATGAGAATATGATTATCGTGCCAGTAAACAGCTCGAGATTGGATGATTCAAGGCAATGACACTTGGCGAATAGAATTTCGACCAGCAGCTGTGGTGGTCCTCGATACTGCATCGACCGGTGCGTGCAAAAAAAAACAACAGAGCCTGTACAAGCCCAGCGCCCCTTGCGGCGATCAGAAAATGTGGTTATAAGAAGTTTTATAATTTGATGAGATGCCGTTGATTTTCTGTCTTTGTTGGAAATTCTCCAGGTCTCATCGACAGCTTCATAGTATTAAGTGGCCTGCAGCTGCATCTGCAAGGAACTGATCAATAACAATGCATGTGTTATGGGACCTTCATTTACACCTTGCAGCCTTAATTATCCTCTTCGTTTCAGGATCGAGAGATTGACAAGAGCCGTATAGATCTATCAGGCATCTTTTATAATGATTTTGAAGGATGGAATATAATATAAATCCTTGAGTTTATTGCTGGTCATTGGAGTTGTTGAACGTCGTCTATGATGCATATTAGATCTATCATATTCAATACATCTCCACCACTTTAATTGTAAGATATAGTCAGATGATGCCTAGATGGGTCTTTATATAAATATAGCGCCATGGTTTCCATCTTAGGGCTCTCTTCCTGGGTCTTTCGAGTCATGTTCGATTACATCGACTATTGACGATGGTGCTCAAATATAGATGCACATGAACAAGTTATATATCCACACTCACGCAAATAAACCGGTTTATTCTTTTTGATATTAATGTGAATCCGATTATCCTGCAAATTTATTTTATATACCCTTAAAATTCTGAGATATATATTCCTTAGTTGATGCCATGCAGTGTATCTAGCGCAATGCCTCCATCAAACCAAACATATCGATCTAGTTGGAGCGATATACCCAGAATCTACAGTAGCAATCTATATTTCGGACCATTAGAAATCAGTGCTGTTCTAGTCACTATATTCCAATATAAAGCCCATACACCTCGGAAAATGAAAAACCGTACAAAGAAACTAATTACTTCATAGCATCTCTAAACAAAGGAGAAAAAAGTACAGAAGTGACCAAGTATAGGTTGACAGCTCCCGTCTAGTTGACGGGTAGAAAATCCCAGTCCTTACACAAACATTCGACCGGATTGTGGGCCAGACATGGGCCAAGCCGTGTTATAATGTTCTCGGCGTGGAATCAACGTGGTTCGCATGACAAAAAGAAAAAGGAGAACCAGTTTAGACAAGATCTCTCTTGACAAACTCGGCGAGCAGAGTCTTGCCCAGCGCAGCCGGGCTTCTCTCAACAACAACACCAGCATCCTCAAGGGCGGTGATCTTAGAGTTGGCATCACCCTTACCACCGCTAACGATGGCACCGGCGTGACCCATGCGGCGACCCGGGGGAGCACTGATACCAGCGATGAAGCCGACAGCGGGCTTGTTGAACTTGTTGTTGGCCTTGAAGAACTCGGCGGCATCCTCCTCGGCGCTACCACCAATCTCACCAATCATGATGATACCATCGGTGGCCTCGTCCTCGAGGAAGATGCGCAGGCAGTCGATGAAGTTGGTTCCCGAGAAGGGGTCACCACCAATTCCAACGACGAGAGACTGACCAAGACCAGCCTGGGTGGTCTGGTTGACAGCCTCGTATGTCAGAGTACCGGATCGAGAGACGATACCGATGCGACCACGCTTGTGGATGAATCCGGGCATGATACCGATCTTGCATTGGCCCTATATCACACAGAAAGCATGTATCAATACCGGAGCACTTGCGAGCTATATCATTTCATAGGCGAGTGCAGACTTACGGGAGCAATGATACCGGGGCAGTTAGGACCGACAAGACGGGTCTTGTTCTGGGTCTTCAACATGTCGGTGATACGGACCATGTCTGAATACGTTTTTGGTCAGCTTTCCTATATACGATTTAAGTGCACAGGGAGCGCCTTACCGTGCTGGGGAATACCCTCAGTAATACTGCGAGTCGAAGTAAATCAAAGTTAATAAACTGCTTCTCAATGCCACCACATAAATGGAAGACCAACCAGACAGCCAGAGGAACCTCGGCGGCGATGGCCTCCTCAATACCAGCAGCAGCCAATGGGGGGCTATTTGATCATTAGTCTCGTTATATCAATATCTCAAGTTCAACATTTGGGTCCATACGGAACGAAGATAGCGGAAGCAGTAGCTCCGGTCTCCTTCACGGCATCGCTCACGTTCGCGAAGACAGGTCTGTCAAGGTGCATCGATCCGGCCTTCTTGGGGTTGGTACCACCAACAACTTTTGTGCCTGAGGATTGTAAGCTGTCCATTCATCTGCATGCATATAAACCGGCCCGGTTCCGGTCGATGGATCAAAATATACCATAGGCGATAGCCTGCTCAGCGTGGAAGCTGTAGGATACAAACGCAACGTCAGCATCTTGCTCAGAAATCACAAGCTAGGAGTCCGACCACCACATACGTTCCCTGCTTTCCAGTGAACCCCTGGAAGATAACCTTGGTGTCACCGTTAATGCGGAGGTTGTTGACAGTCTCAGCGTAGGCGTTGGCATATCCTCGACGCTGCATACGGGCAGCATTCTGGAGAGCCGAGACGGTTCCACGGCGGAAGGCCTGCATGACGGGCGATTTAAAGGGAGAAAGAAGAGAGGAGATTAAAAGTACAAAGAAAGGTGCTGGATGAGCAGAAGGGAGAGGAGAGGAGGATCGGTTTGAATAATATGGAAAACGCGCCGGCAAGGTTAGAAGTTCGGGACAAAGCTTTAAGCGTTTCCGAATTGTCGCGGCGTCGGGTGGCAGCCTCGGTGACCGCCCGTCTTTTTTTCAGTCGGGCTGTCGTTGGTGGCAGTTGGCGATCAGTCATAATTTCTCATGACGAGATATCTCCAGAACAAACCCCTCACCACCACACGGCGGTCCCACCACGACGGTCATAACAATATTCTTGCTCTGTTTGGTTCATCGCTTCTCATCTTGCTTCACATATTGTCTGTCTTTTTCTCTGCCCGCGATCGCGCGGTGAATTATTCTTCACGATGGCGACCATGACCATGACCATGCCGCCACAACCCAAGCCCAAGAAGGGCGCAAAATTGCTTCCGGAGAATGAGAGGTATATGATGGCCTGTTCTGACATCGCAAATGCCCTCATTCAGGACTGGGAGAATCAGAAGGACCCGACGAAACCCAAGAGAGATATCAACCTCAATAAACTGCGGGGTCAAATGTCAAAAAAGCACTCGTTGAGCAGCCAACCGCCACTGACAGCTATCATCGCCGCTGTTCCTGAGCACTACAAGAAGTATATTCTGCCCAAGTTGATTGCAAAGCCTATCCGTATGTTTTTAACAATTTCCCCCGCACTATGGTTGCCCTCTAATCTGGCGCAGGAACATCTTCTGGTATTGCTGTCGTCGCTGTTATGTGTAAACCCCACCGTTGCCCTCATATCGCCTATACTGGAAACATTTGCGTCTACTGCCCTGGTGGTCCCGACTCCGACTTTGAGTATTCAACCCAATCTTACACGGGATACGAGCCGACTTCAATGCGCGCGATTCGAGCTCGTTATGACCCGTTCGAACAGGCCAGAGGACGAGTGGACCAGATCAAGTCTCTCGGTCACAGTGTGGACAAGGTGGAATACATTATCATGGGTGGAACTTTTATGTCGCTCCCGGAGGACTACCGTGAATCGTTCATTTCACAACTGCACAATGCGTTGAGTGGATATCAGACGGACAATGTCGACGAGGCCGTTCAAGCCGGTGAAATGAGTAATGTGAAGTGTGTTGGTATTACAATCGAGACGAGACCTGACTACTGCTTGGATACTCATCTTAGCAGCATGCTCCGGTATGGATGTACTCGACTTGAGGTTGGTGTTCAGAGTTTGTACGAGGATGTCGCCAGAGACACGAATCGAGGCCATACTGTTGCTGCAGTGGCAGAGACATTCAAACTCTCCAAGGATGCCGGTTTCAAGGTTGTCAGCCACATGATGCCTGACCTGCCTAATGTCGGCATGGAGCGTGATTTGTACCAATTCCAGGAATATTTCGAGAACCCTAACTTCCGAACGGATGGATTGAAGATCTACCCTACCCTGGTCATCCGAGGCACAGGTCTCTACGAGCTCTGGAGAACGGGTCGCTACAAGAACTACACCCCGAATGCGTTGATCGACATTGTCGCTCGTATCCTTGCCCTGGTACCCCCATGGACCCGTATCTATCGCGTCCAACGTGATATTCCAATGCCCCTAGTCACCTCCGGTGTCGAGAATGGTAATCTCCGCGAGCTGGCTCTGGCGAGAATGAAGGACTTTGGCACCTCGTGCCGGGACGTACGTACCCGTGAAGTCGGTATCAACGAAGTCAAGAACAAAATCCGACCATCCCAGGTCGAGCTCGTCCGCCGTGACTACACCGCCAACGGTGGCTGGGAGACATTCCTCGCCTACGAGGACCCTAAGCAGGACATCCTCATTGGTCTGCTCCGTCTGCGCAAATGTAGCGCGACACACACTTTCCGCCCCGAATTTACCGGCCAGCAGACAAGTATTGTGCGAGAGCTGCATGTGTATGGTTCCGCGGTGCCCCTGCATGGACGTGACGCTCGCAAGTTTCAGCACCGTGGCTTTGGAACTCTGCTAATGGAGGAAGCCGAGCGCATCGCCCGGGAGGAACACGGAAGCCGGAAGATCAGTGTCATTTCCGGTGTTGGTGTTCGCAGCTACTATGCGCGCCTTGGCTATTTCTTGGACGGTCCTTACATGTCCAAGATGCTGGACCCTGTCGAGGATGAGGAATATTGATTTATAATTCAAGACTCGGACGGTGCCCATGGTCACTGTCCTACAAAATAAAAAGGTTCCGGGTGAATTGGGTTTGATTGTCGGTATTTGGTGTTTGAAAAAAAACGTTTCCTACGGGTGGTCATGTCTGCATTTATGGAGGCGTTCATAGCGTTTTGAACAAAATGGTTGAAATCAAGTATATAAATTTACGTTGAATTCTCACTCGAGATATGAATTAAAAGTTATTTTTCATCTGCTATGTTCTGGTTTAAACCATTTTAACCAATGGCCAAATCTATCATACTTAAGATGGACGAGTAGAACCAATCTAGAGTATATAAAATCAATAACACGGTATATACATACATAACTCCAATGCGATCTTTGCACTCTAAGAGCAGACGAGAGTATCTTGAAAGAGGAAAACCCCCCAAATAAAAATAGAAAAACACAGGGGAGAGAACAAAGCACAAGCACGTATAACAAAGAGCCCCAGCAAGACCAGCAAAAAGAGCATTGAAGAAACAATGATTGCCATCATCCACCTAACCGGTTTTGCCATCCCTGCACTTATGGCAACAGAAAAAGTGTACAGTATGTACTCGGTAATGTCCGACTTTTCTCTCTCTCCCGCCCCGTGGTCGATATATCGACGATGGATGTCCCAGGTCATATGACGTTTCTGACATAAAAAGGAAAATGAATTGAATGATGATGATCGCGATCGATGAACTTCGTCATTTGAATAGATAGGTAGAATAGATTCGTTTAGTTGAGTGATATGGCCCCTCCCCTGTTGCTTCTCATGTGAAGATAGGCCTGGAAGGCGCAGAAAACGAAGAAACCCTGTACATCAAGCGAGTCGTTAGTAACCAATGTCGAGCGTTGCAGGGGTGATATGAGAGTGAAACATACGGCGTATACGACCACAGCTGTGAAGACTGAGGCAGCAACTGCAGGGCCATCTTCTGGCTCACCTTCCGAGCCTGTAAATCCGTGGTGGTTGCTCTGGTGGAAGAATACATGTATTAGTATGATTCATCACTCCTTATACCGGTTGGGTAGGCAATAAGTAGGAAGGGTGCAGGCAGCGGACGAACCTGGAATAGCGATCCGAGGACAGAGAGAATGACAATGGCAAAGAGGGAGATGACAACGCTAGATCGTGGAAGGTATATGTTAGCCCAGAACATATGAAAAAGAGACCAAGGGTAGATCTAATCCAGTACCATGACCATGCGTTCATCGCAGACACGACGGGCTTCATTTTGATGGCGGTGCGACAAGTAACGATTTGACGTTGGGGTCGGTGTCGGGGGCGATGAGATACGCTAAGGATATTTGGAACGAATAAAACGTCGGTCGGTACAGTAAAAAGAGTGATAGCTGTGAACTTCGGTATAGACTGGATTGCTGAGATACGTGGGGTTGAAGATGATGTCGAGCTCCTTGGTGTTTCAAGAAGTCCAACGACGGATCGCAGCGGGTGGAGAGCTGGATGTAAGCGCCTAAACCACTTTCGGCGAAACTTGGTCTTTTCATCACTGTCCTTGCTATCACCACGATGGATTAAATCATATTATATTTTACGATCAATGCTGCTTTCTTGTCTATGTGTAATAGCATACTGGGTCATTGGAAAATAATAATTTAAACTGGAATTTTTGTTTGTATGTGGAAAAGTAATTTAGGACTACCTGACATATATACATCCACGATGGCATAGTGAAAAGCCAAAACAGTGCTATAGACCTATCAGTGGTCCTTATTCCATTGAATACATTCATCAAATGTCACACCAGAGCCACCAAAGATATCCAGAGCACTACCAATAGTCAAGTCCACCTTTCCTTGACTGCTTGCATGCACCTTCTCAAGGTCCTGGAGGCTCCGTGCACCACCGGCATACGTCACGGGTATTGTGCACCATTCAGTCAATTTGGACACCAGCTCCTCATCGATACCCTGCTGAAGACCTTCAACATCCGCGGCATGAATGAGGAACTCCGAGCAGTAGGGTTCCAGCAACGAGATGGATTCTTCTAATAATCAGCATCGCTTTAGTAGATGAGAAAGATAGGACTTGCCTTGGTTGATCTCCATCTCCGTAATGGTTTGCCAGCGATCCATGGCCACAAACCATGTGTTGTCCTTCTTTCGGCAACTGAGGTCCAAGACCAGCTTCGACTTGTCGCCTCCGAGGGAAGAAAGAACCGATTCCAGTCTTTCCAAGGAGAATTTACCCCCTGGGAAGAGGAATGATGTGATAATAACCTATTTCAATGTCAGCGTATGATCCAAATTATCTGAATAGTAAAACAAGAACAGTGATAGAACCATAGAACTGTCGGCTATTGAAAAAAAAATGGATCTGCCTACCTTCTCCGCGCCATGATCAATCCAGTATTGGGCGTTTTTATCGGTGATACCTCCGGCAACTTGCAGACCCCCTGGCCATGTACTCAGAGAATCCTTTGCTGCATCGTCATTTCCGGGCCCCAGCTTCACGACGTGGCCGCCGCGAAGATCATGCTTTCGATACTGTTCCGCATAGTGACTGGCGGGCAGCTTGGATACATAGTTCGTCTTCAGGTCGGAATCGACCTTGCTCAATGTTCCTCCAACAATCTGTTTCACCTGACCTGAGTGCAGGTCGATACAGGGCCGAAATTTAGTCATCTTTGCTTTTTCAATTCCTCGTTTGAATCGATGTCTGTGATAATGGGGCCCTCTATCTCTATTTGTGGACGAGGGGTCGGGATATCTTATCGCACGTGACTAACCGGCGATCCCCAAAAAAACTTCATTGCGACACTCCCCGATGCAAGTTACTTTCCCCAGAGGTCTACGACCAACGGAGTCAGACGTGACCATTGGAAATGATTGGGAAACGCAAGAGAGACACGGCTGTCGTGTCGCGGTCCACCAAGGCTACCAAGGCGGATGCGCAAGAAGATACAGCTCCTACAACTACGGATACGGACAACTCCCAAGATCTTTTTCGCAAGTTTTTCGAAGCCCAATTCCAACCATTGGAAGTGCCCGGTGGTCAAGCCGGTAAAGAAACAGAGTCCGAGGAGGAAGAAGAGAGTGAAGAGGAAGAATCTGAAGCCGGGTCTGATTGGGAAGGCCTTTCCGGAGAAGAAGATGAGGGCAACGAAGTTGAGGTAGTCGAACACCAGAGCTCGGCCACCAAGAAAGATGACTTGTGGGATAAGAGGGCCCGGAAGGCTTTTATGGTATGTGGACAGATGGTACATGCGCCGTGGATGACACTGCTAATTGCATGGATTCGACAGAGGGCAAAGCTGCCATCCTTTGATTTAGAAACCACCAACGTGAAGGCCACGCCTGCTAAGAACGGAAAGGAAGACAAGGACGATGGTACCGATGCAGAAAACCTCAAAAAGGATCTTGCTTTGCAGCGACTGCTTAAAGAATCTCACCTCTTGGAGTCGGCCGAGGAACTGGACCCAACCGGCAAAAACCGACACAAGGCTCTTGACCTGAGAATGCAGAGTCTTGGGGCCAATGCTTCGCTTTATAAACAAAAAATGCCTTCATTACACAGAAGAGGCATCAAAGCCAAGGCCGAGAAGAAGGAGGATAGACGGCGACAAGATGCGAAAGAGAACGGTATCATTCTGGAGAAACCTACAAACAAATCCAAACCGAGTGCCGGACGGAGAGAGCGAAGTGTTGGGGGTCCCTCTATTGGCAAGTTCTCAGGTGGTACATTGAACTTGAGCAAACGGGACTTGTCCGCGATGACAACACCTCGCCGGTCAACAAAAGGAAAGGGCAAGGGAAAAAGCCGCCGTTGAGATGGGCGATACCAGCCTGATACGAGGAGGCATAATGCTATTCGTCCTCCCAAGTTGCTTGTGGTTCTGCTGGTAACAGGATGCATCAACGCCACAGCCTCGTGGACAACCATTATCTCATCATGGAGCATACGGAAAGCTTCCAAGGCTTTCTTCTTCCTTCTCTTTTCCTTTTCTCTTCTCAATTCTTCGCCGATACTCGGCCACCAATATGACGCAAAGCCTAGCCATCGCATTTTGGAACCGGTTCCTTGCTTGCATGATGACCTAGGAAACCCCGTAATCGCGTTATTGACGGCTGCCATGGAATTTTCTCACCGGCATTGCGGCGTCATTGCTCTCACTCTGGAACTTCTAGCTTGCATATCGAAACTCTATTGACCATTTCTTGGGGGTCGCTGTGTTGTTGAAGCACGTTCCATCCTACTAGGTTGGGCACTGTTCCAGATAAGGCGAAATCTCCGACCCCGGCGCAGGTTTGAAAGGTGAAATCTCAAAACTGCGACAACACGTTCCCCCTGCATGGTGTCACTTGATACGGGGCCAAAAAAAAGGGATCTACCATGGAATTTCTTAGTTCCGTCGAAGAAGAATAATAATCCGTTATTCCGGTGAATTATCACAGTGAACAAAGTACTAGCATGAATACCCATATCCACCACAAGACACAGTACCGGGTCTTGAGGCTTAGCCTAAGAGTGACTAACAGAGAAAAATGCAACCATACTCATGCAGAGCATTGCAATTCCATGCGAACAGGCGGTTTAGTTGCAGTAGTCTACGAGTCCAAGATGAATTAGGATAATGTTTCATCCCTCAATCCCCCCCAAAGGATTGATTGACACTTTTTGACACTTCCACGAGATGCATTCCACGTATCCATCGGAATTTGGCTTCCAGAACCATCTTTTCTGCAGTGTTCTTGATCGTCGTCCATGGAAAGCTCAAAGGTTCAAAGGTGGTCTAGTCAGTAGTTCTAGTTAGTAGTCAGATAGTCGGTCTGGTCAGACTCACTGGTACTAATTGGCAAGGTTACATAGTATCATCCGATGAACCAACAGTGGATAACGTTCCCACCGAAAAGGTCATGTATCTGCATGAGATACGGGATATCTGATGTTTTGAAGAGAATAATCTCGATGCAGGTACTATACTTAGACCATAAACCCACAGATATTACTGAATATATAGCCCGTAGCTTGTATCAAGATGGAATTCTTCAATTGTGACGGGGTGGCGAGTACATCGAGTCAATGACTGACCCAGTCTCCCCTATCCACATCCGTTCGATGTGTTGCAAATAGGGCTATATCAGATCCAATATCACGAAAAAGTGGGTACCCAGAGAAAAAAAGAACGAAAAAAAAAAAAAAAAAAGAAAGTTTGGTGCTATGTTTCGAATCCTGCAAGGAATCCTTCCAGGCAATTGACACAAAGAGGTTAGATACACGAGCAATTCCTATCCTATGCTAGTCTAACCCAGCCAACCTGAATCTGGCTCAGAACCATGGAGGCTGGCTGAAGCTGAAGTGGAAGCAGTGGATCTCGTTATCGTACGGAGTAGTTTGCAGCAATAGCAGCATGCAGCTATTCATAGTCCCAACTCAGTTGAAGATACAAAGTGGTACTACTACTGCTACTCCTACTCCTGTTCCTACTTCTGCACCATGATGAGACTGAACCTTGGATGCAGGTTACAACGCTAGGATGATCTAGGTTGACCTATCCTTGAGATAGAATACGTAATCCCCAATTGCTAGTTCAGAACTACTAACTATTAGGACATCAACAAACAAACAACTGATAAAGTGTAACCTCGTAAATAACCAATTGATGCCGGAGATGGATTTCTGACCGCTATTCTGGAAGAAAATATGCTCTGGCGATAGGGTTCACCCTGAGTGATTGACATGGCTGGATTTTAGGAACTCGGATCAGGGTTTACCTATGTCGGTAGTAGTAGACTGACCATTTTCCAGAACAAAGCACGGAATATTTTGCTTTGCTTAGTTGTCATTATGTATTATTATTATTATTATTATTATTATCATTACTACTATTATGTGTGTCATTATGTATTATTATTATTATTATTATTATTATCATTACTACTATTATGTGTGAATAAACATGACTCGCGTGAAAAAGTTTATGCTCTGGGTCGAGGGCATTAGTAGTATGTCCAGGTGAGGCCATACTCGATTGGGATACAGACGGAGGATTATCAGATTACGGGATAGTCTCAGTCCAGATCAACATCGGAGACAGTTGAAAAAACAAACAAACAAACAACAAAATCAATCCACGAATTGCACCAAATGTGATGATCAATTCAAGTCTGTTTGGTTATTTTTTTCCCTCTTCTTCTTCCCCCGCACGTTCTCGGGGAAAGGGAGATTACTGGCCGTGAGGGTTGACCATGTTGATGGGAGATCTCTTGTTTCAGAGAAGGCGAGTTAGAAGCTACTGTCGCACGAGTTGTAATTATACTAATTGAGGATATTAGAGTGCTTAGTGAGGTACGGATAGGAGGGTGTGCAAAGGAAGCGGAATCTCGGAGAAAGAGGAGGATACTAAAAACATAGCCTGATATCGCGAGATTCTGGAACCCTTGGGGCTTTTTCTAGATGGTTTCAGGATGGATGATCAAACACGACAGACCGTGCACATGGCAGCCTGAGGCCTTAGTCTATTCAGGTGGTACTTTTTTTCGTAATAATAATAACGGTTAGATGACTTCCCCAGTTGGGAATAATAATAATAAAAATAATAAAAAAAAAAATGAGAGTATCTAGTACCTGATACAGTGGGCCCTTGATATCTCCAATTCGGCAATAACAATTCACTGGACCATTTATCCACTGTGGATACGATTCGAAGCCCAAGGCCTAGAGTCAGTTGACCACCGACACTCCTGGCTGGGGGATTTGTATTTCCTGTATTTTCGGTGAGAGACCTGGCAGATTCCGGTTAGTATTATTATCAGTTTATTATTTTATTATTTGTGTTTAACTGACATTCAATCGAGTAATCCGTCATGCAATATGCATGTTGGTCGAATTGTCATTGTACGGTAGCTATCAAGACTACTGCAGTGACCCGGTTCGGCCGAAGTGTACCCGTAACCTCCACAAAGGGGAAAATCTGGGCTCTGTGCGCTGCCTGCCACGTAGGAGTACTTTTGAATATCGATAGCTTCATACAATAACTTCATACAGACTACAGAGAATGTAGATATCCATGGTCAATTGATGTGCTCGAGTTAAAGTTTACCGTTTTCCATCGGCCGTTGACTTGCAGATCGTGAGTCTGTATCCGTACGAGTAAATTACGTCTTTCGGCCTTCTGGCTAGGTACCCTACAGACAGAGTGGATTAGATTCTGTTATATCCTTCCGTATTCTTCCTATTCTTCCTAACCATTGTTCAATCATGTCTATTATTTCTGCCCTCTACTGTGCTCACATGCAGATTCCAGAATCTAGAATCCAGAATTTTCTCAGGGCAGAAGTGTCGCCTCAACCATGGAATGTGGCCATTGCTGATCATCATTTGGATAAGGCTACCCAACACCGAAAATTAGCCTTATATCATCGATGGCTGATAAAAAAAAAAATGCACCTCAGAATTGAGAATCTGCAGTATACTCTGTAGTCTGTACTAGCCACTAAGTAAACCAAAGTTGGGTAGGCTGAGGTCTGTTTACTCAGAGATGATGTTATCCCAGTGTGGTAGAGTGGTAGAGTGGCTCAGTACGGACGGGGTATTGCATGACTCCTTGTGCCTTGCCGAGCCGTATATTATTGCAGTCAGGGCACACAGTTCTGATGGGTCATATTGATTTCATCAGCAAGGAATTTATCTGCTGATGGAATCTTACATACTACAGAGTATCTAAATAAGGTGTCCAAGGCTTCCTACTAGTTAGTCTGCTGAGTATGATATCTACAATAACTTTAACTATATAAATATCTCATAGTAATCAAAACATGCATGTCGTAGACAGCACTTTATCAGTATATCCACTGCTATTGTACGGGTTGACCACACCTTATTTGTGGATAGATACTGCATATACGACTACTACTTAGGTACTAAATGTACACACATACTCCGTACGGAGTACGGAGTACTTCGTACCTGGATGCTGGATGCTGAATGCTGGTTGACATCCAGCCACCACAATGGTCGGGTCACCATCTGCTCCTCCATCTCCAAAGGTTACATCCGATCCATGGACAGCTGGACGGCCAGGGGTGGGGCGCTGCTCTCGCCGATCCCGTTGGCTGCCAGTAAGCGCCCACCCTGGATTCTGAAACACAGGGCGGATGCTTCACGATTGTTTCCCGCGCCAGTTTTAACTGCAAAAAACAGGGCTTGGCAGGTCCCCACCAGGGCCAACGGGTAGTCGGGTATGTATGGATGTGCCTGTCGATTGCTTTTCTGTGTGAATTGTCCTCCACTGGACCACTTGGATAGAGCTGGCTGGTAAAAAGAAAAAAAAGGTCCTTACTTACAGGTCACACGTGGTGCTGTTAATCTTGCAGTCTTTGGTCCCTCTTCTAAGATGAGATTGGATGGATGTAAGATTTGTACGTGATGGAAGGAAGATGAGGTAACCGCCCGACTAGAATGACCTCAGAGTCATCATATGGCATGGCGGATGGCCAGAGTCTAATTAGGCGATCATTCTTCACTTGCCCCAATATTCAACAATAAGCTGATCTAACCAGTAACCTGAATTCTGTCTGATTGATAGACCTATTCTCGGTATTCTTCATCTCGGTCTAATTGATGAGTTATGCTAAGATTTTTATTTTTATTTTTTAATTTTTTTCTCCTCGTCTTTGCCTACCCCTTTTACACTATGAACCCTTATCCTATTCTGGTTGCATTTCCGAAATCTTACCCTCCATCTTTCACCCCCATATCTACCGTAATCTGTATACTGTACCCTCAAGCCAGGACTTGATCTGAACAATTGACTAAAGCCCAGCCTACGGAGTCAGTCAACAGCTAACCTGGCCGCTCAGCGAGGCAAGTTTCTATGTTAAGTAAAGTCTGGCCTCGACTGGAATCTTTGGGACTAGTCCCGATTCCCCACTTCCTTCAAGTCCTGCTGTATGGGATTGTATGGATACTAGTATTTACACAGTCCCACTCTGTGTTTGGGTGGCAGTGTCACCCCCAACGGGCCCTGTTTACCGTACTGGTATGTACTGTACGGTCAACTGACGGCGTCCGCCCTAGGCTCGGTCCCTGGCGCCTGTTCTCCGCTTTCCCATTATTCCCACTATTATTATGTATTTTCCCTTCGCTTTCCCTTCTTCCCCCCCAGCCGCTGCTTTTCCTCGACTAACTAAACCAAAATACACCAACTGAGAGCGACTCGATCCGTGGTCTCGGTCGGCGCTCCCTGAATTATTTTATTATTTTATTATTTTATTATTTATTATTATTATTATTATTTATTATTATTATTATTATTTTATTTTTTCTTCTCTTATATTATCATTATATTATTATATTATATTGTTCTACCCCTCGACACACCACTTTGTTATTGATTGACGTTGTGCTGCTGCCGACGCCCTCCTAAACGCCCTGTAAAAAAAGACCTCATCTTCCCGCCTTCTCTTCCCTCCCACCTTTTTTCTCTTTCTTCTCTTCTCTTCTCTCCCTCCCCTCACTCCCTCCTCCCCCCAGTCGCAATTCTGCTGCATCACAGGCACCCTGTTTTCCTCCTTCGTTTCTATTCTTTCTTTTCGCCGTGCGAGGGAATTACCAATCCATTTCCTTACCAAAAAAGATTATTTCCCTAAAGAGAGAAATCTTGGAATCGGGCTGGCCCAGTTCAACCTCTTTATTGCCTTCTTTATTCTCCTTTTCTCCGTCGACGACATCATCGCCTGGGTTGGAGAGGCTGGTTCCTCTTGTTGCTGCTTGGATAGCATCGCGGTTCTATGATCTCTCGTTGACCTTCGACACCCAGCGCTTCGTATATTATCTTTGCCCAAACTCTGTTTATCTTTGAATCTGTCTTTATTTTCCTTTGGTTATCGCCCTCTTCTAGTCAAGAGTCTTGCGATTCATTTTGCCTGTGGCTTATCTTCTAACTGGTTCTCTAACCGTGCGTCTCACCCTTTCTCCCTTTCATCATGTTGCAAAAATAGCCAGCACAGACGGGTCTCTCCTTTGCGTCCCGATCTATAATTATGATGGCTCCCTTTGTTTCCACTCGAGCTATCAAGCCAGTCTTTCCCCCCGCGCTGAACTGACCACTTCTTCAACAGGTCTTTACACTTACAAGCAAACATGTATCCTCATCCTCACGGTGCTCCCATGGCACCCCCGCAAAAACCAGAGACCTTTATGCTTTCGACCGAAGCACAACAGAGCCTTCCCCATGATGCGCAAGTCGCATTACAACAGGTTGATAACTGTACGCTTGCTTTGTTCCTATTGAACTTTAATCCTTCTGGCTAATCCCCGCCTAGTGAAGTATTTCCTCCTCTCCGCGCCGGTTGACTGGCAACCCGACCAACTCATCCGCCGCTTCCTACTCCCTACTGGCGACTACATCTCCTGTGTGCTCTGGTTAGTTCAACAAAGGAACATACGACGCATATGGACCCCTTGACTGATTCCTAACAGGAGCAACCTTTTCCACATCTCTGGTACCGATATCGTGCGATGCTTGGCTTTCAGATTTCAGGCCTTTGGCCGCCCCGTCAAAAACTCGAAGAAGTTCGAGGAGGGTATTTTCTCTGACCTGCGAAACCTCAAGGCCGGTACCGACGCGACTCTCGAAGAGCCCAAGAGCCCCTTTCTCGATTTCCTCTACAAGAACAACTGTATCCGGACGCAGAAGAAGCAAAAGGTTTTCTATTGGTACAGTGTACCACACGATCGGCTGTTTCTCGATGCGCTGGAACGTGACTTGAAGAGGGAGAAAATGGGCCAGGAGGCGACTACCGTTGGCGTCAGCGAGCCTGCCCTCTCCTTTGAATTTGACTCGTCCCAGTCGCTCTATGAGCAACTCACAAAGGCTCAACAAGCAAATTCATCTTCGTTTGCTGCACACGCAAGTACGACATATGGCCAATCCGCCTCCCCAGTGGTTCGGACCGTTGACGCTATGCCTCCTCCCCAGATGGCTCCCCAGATGGCTCCCCAAATGGCTCCCCCGACGATGCCTCTTCTCACGGACGAATCTGGCAATCCGGCGATGTACAATCCGATTCCTATGACGAACCCATTGACGCAGAACTTCGTTAAGCGCGAGCAAGATTATGCGCCCATGCATTACGACCGTAATGGGATACCCATCGCTCGCATCCACCAGCGCCACGCCTCCATGCCAACTTTTGTCGAATACTCGCCCGCCCCATCTTTCGTTTCGTCCCACTTTGAAGACTACAGCAACCGTGGTCTGTCTTTTGAACCGGTTACACCCCCTCAGAACAGCGTTCCACTTGGTGCTGAACCGGCCTACATTGCCAACGAAGACACTGGTCTCTACACTGCAATCCCTGAAATAACGCCTGCATCTTCATTCAACCCTATGATGCAACTGCCGCCGTCAAATCTTGCAAGTGCTCACTTCCCACCTCCCCCTCGAACTTTCCCCTCCAGCGTATACTCGGTTATCGAGGGATCGCCCACATACAAGCAGCGTCGACGCCGGTCGTCCATTACGCCGGGCGTGACCAACGCTATTGCCGCTGCCCAGGCGAATGCCCATGCTCAGTCATCGGGCCCGCCGCCTCAGCCGATCGCGTACGCTGCGCACAAGCCCAGTGATCTCAGACGCTCTGTCTCTAGCTCAGTAGCCCCAGTTGTCGAAGGAGATGAATCGCAGCAGGACTCGCGCCGTATGCCAACTGGCACCCCTGCTACAGTTCTCCCCCAGAAGGATTTGCTACAGGAACTTTCTCGCCATGCTACTCCACTATCGACGCTTGACGATCCCTCTGAGCAAAACCCTCTCCCCCTTGCAAACGCGCAGGACGATCTTGCAGGTCTTCCCAGTGCCGACAACTTCGAAGCTGCCGTCCACAAGAGTGCAACGAACAGACCAGACCGATTTGGCTCTGCCCCTGGTCCTGTCCGTCGTGCCCGAAGCGCTACTATGATGGAGCATGGTCCTTACGCCCAGAAGTCGCATTCGTGCCCAATCCCCTCGTGTGGGCGACTTTTCAAGCGTTTGGAGCATTTGAAGCGGTAAGTTTCAATCTATTTTTAAACAATTTTCATTTGTGCACACTCTATCTGAGATGATCTGCATCATGTTACCCCTTGATAATTTCTGTAACCGCCGGCTGATAGTTAGCGTCTAGGCATGTGCGAACCCACACTCAAGAGCGGCCTTATCCTTGCCCTTACTGCAGCAAAGCCTTTTCACGATCCGACAACCTCGCACAGTAAGTTCTCTACGACGATTTGTTAAGACGTAATAGCTAATGGCATCCGCCCAGACACCGTCGGATCCATGAGGCTCAGCAAGATGGCCAGTCGCATCTGAATGCTCACGATGAGGACTTGGAGAACGAGGAGAACGATTATGGCTCTCCTGAGGGCTCATCGCCCTCGGATTCCATTCCCAGCAGTATGGTCAACATGCCCGGCATGACCTCGATGCCGATGCCCACACATATGACCATGCCGACCGCGATGCCTACCATGGTTCCTCCTCACATGTTCACCCCTCAACTGCTCCAGCAGCAAATGTAAGATGGGTAATCCTTTGGGGGATACTATCGGTATCCCATCCGCTGCAACATATTCGGCCCGCGGATTGCCAGTTACTTGTGCCATCCTCTCAAAGAGGGCACGCTCTAACACAACACCGACCTTCTAATAGGGCACTGAGTTAATCAGAGCTCGCAACCCACTTGGGGTAATTTTCGCAACTTGGCTCATGACAGGCTTTGATGAGCATCGTCTTGAAATATATCGTCTGGTGTAAGAAGACACGCATACTGGGGTAAATACAGGCGTTTTCCTCTTGATTTTGGTTTTTTGTTTATTTTGCATTTTCCTGCATTACCAATGGTGCTGTGCTTCCATGCCTACACCATGCCACCCCTCGTCGCATGCTGTGTTTATTGTGGCATTTGTTTTGTTTATATCCACTACGATTTCTTTGTTATTTAATTTTCCATTCTCTGTTTTGTCTTCACGTGTCACGCTTGATAATGGGATTTCTGTATCATTGTCTGTGGAATCTGGAAGGTTGGAAAGGCAGAGCAGGCTGGAACAAAAGTGGCGTACAGCTTGAGGGGTATTTGGAGGCATATCATTTCAGCCTTCTCGTGTGTTTCTCAAGTTTCAGGAAGCTTTTGAGAGCCAGAGGGTTTGATTCTGCTATTTTAGCAACTTAGTTTATAGACATATTTTTTTTAGGGATGGAATTTATCATGCAATCAAGACTTGAAGATACGATCAAAATGACAGCGGATTTCAATAATAGACCTCCGTGTAGATATAGCCGTTGCAGTCCAGACTGGGTCACGTGTTCGACCTGCTGACGACCTCAAGGGACCATCTCACACTCTTGCCAACAACAGCATTATTTCGAGGTCATTGTGAATACACTTTCTGTTCCTTTGATCTGTGTGTTTCTTCCAGTGCTTTAAGATTTCCCAGTTGCTGTTATATGTTGGATTCACCCTCACATACACCGCCCCCTGCTGCATCATCCTCTCTTGGCTCAGGGCCTACAGCTCTCGATTGCCTTTTGCACAGTAAACTTCTCATTATCTTCTTCAAAATCCAATACGAAATACCTAAATAATAAGTCAATCATCTCATCCTTTGGACTATTCTGTGTACCCTGATCTCCGGACACCAATATCCCGATTACATCGTACAACCGCAACCTTGCCAGTGGCATTTGTATCCCATTCTGTTTCCTTGTATCGTCTTAAGTGGACTTACAGAGATACCTGTGCGTTTTATTTTATCTCGTTTCAAGACTGTCGTGTGATCTTAATCGAACCGGGAGAACCTTGCCTTGGTTAGTTGGGGGCGTATTCCACCCATGATGGAAAACGCATATGAGCGTGTTGCTAATGAGAGTTCCCCTCTTGTGGAAGAACAAGACCATGATGAAGCGTTTGGTTTATCTGAGGGCCGGGGTGTGAGGGAGGGTGTGGATGATATCGTGGAAACGAAAAGCAGCTTGTATCTGTTTTTGTTGACGATGAGTATCGGTGGGTGAGTTATTGCTTTTCTATATCTCCCTGTGATGTGGATTGCCAGGCATGGTTTATTGATGGTTTGAGATGATAGTCTTCAGGTTGTATGGTCTGTTGAATTGTCGAATGGATCGGTGAGTTTATTATCTATTCTACAGTGTTGGAATGCAAGCTGACTATCTCATCTAGCCCTTTCTCATGTCTTTGGGCTTAAGCAAGGCCCTGCTTGCATTTGTCTGGATTGCAGGCCCTCTAACGGGTGTTCTTGTTCAGCCGTATATTGGCATTCGCAGCGATAACTGTCGCATACCATGGGGAAAGCGAAAGCCCTTTATGATCTCTGGAGGTGCAGCAACGGTGGTGGTTCTGCTTGCTCTCGCATGGGTGCAGGAGATAGTGGGGGGCTTTCTTGGGATATTTGGTGCTCACCCAGAGTCGGTGGGGACCAGAACGACGATTATAATCATAGCGACTATCTTGATGTATTGTCTGGATTTTGCTATCAATACTGGTTTGTCTCTCAGCTGTCAACTTCGCTATCGAGAGAATTATTGGCTAATATCCGGATGTCTGTTACAGTGCAAGCAGGGATTCGTTGTTTCATCGTCGACAATGCCCCTGCCCATCAACAGGAATCAGCCAATGCATGGGCGAGCCGATTGACCGGACTGGGCAATATCCTGGGATACATATTTGGGTACATTGATCTGCCAAAATATTTCCCTTTCCTGGGACGAACGCAGTTTCAGATCCTTTGTGCGATCGCGTCGCTTTCGTTGGGAGTCACGCTCGTCATCAGCTGTACATACATTAAAGAACGAGACCCACGGCTGGAGGGCCCACCTGCTTCGAAGAATCCAGGCCTTATTGATTTCTTCAGACAGGTATTCCAGTCGATTCGCAATCTCCCGCCTCAGATTGCAAAAGTCTGCGAGGTCCAAGTCGTCGCGTGGATAGGCTGGTTTCCTTTCTTGTTCTATGCTACGACATACATTGGGCAGCTTTATGTCAACCCGCTTTTTGCACAGCACCCGCAGCTCCCTGAAGATGATATCAACAAGGCATGGGTGGAAGCTACTAGGATTGCGACCTTTGCACTTCTCGTCGAGGCTGTTATTTCGTTCATTGCTAATGTTACGATGCCCGCTCTGATCGTGCCTACGTACAAACGGCCTGTTCCTGATACTGTGCGCTCGGCCAGGGCCAGTATTGCTGAAGAAAATCCAAGCCCAGGGGTCCAACGGAGGACATCGGGTGCTCCGTTTAGGGATTCAGGACCGGCGCAGGCTGGGTCCAAACCCGTTGAATCTACCGAAGGTCCAGCATGGCTGGCGAAATTGCAGATACCGGGATTTACGCTTCGCCGGGCCTGGCTTTTGTCGCATGTACTCTTTGCGATTTGTATGTTCAGCACCTTTTTCACAAGTAGCTTCCAGGCCGGGACGGTGTTGGTTGGCTTCGTTGGCATCTCATGGGCTGTGACGCTATGGGCGCCCTTTGCCTTAATCTCCAACGAGGTAGCTCGAATCGATGCGGAACATAGAATCCGGCAACGTCAAATCGAAGTAGAAGCAACGGCAGTCCCTAGTGAAGTAGGTTCAACGATGACCGACACGGACGCGGTTCACTCCGACCCACACCGCGAAGATCTCGAGACAGGCACAGGGACGGGGCTTCTCCACAACAAAGCGACGGACGAGGGGGAGGGTGAGAATGAGAATCAGGCACAAGCAGGCATCATCTTGGGACTGCACAATGTGGCCATTTCTGCGCCGCAGTTCCTGTCCACCCTGATATGTAGTGTGATCTTCAAGGTGTTTCAAAAGCCTCGCGGGGAGCCTTATGACGATAGCGTCGGCTGGGTGTTGCGATTCGGAGGTTGCGCCGCGCTGGTTGCGGCATGGTTGACCAGCAGATTGGCAGAGGGGAGGTAAAATGGAGTACAGAGAGGGTAATTTTTTATTTATTTTCAGACGGAGTTCTCCGTACTTTGTAGTAGTTTTCAATATGATAGTACTTTTTTTCTTTTTCGATTCCACTGCATTCTATTTCTGTTCGATACTAGTCATTCTGTTGCATCGAATCTGACAAGCTTCGTTGTCTTGGCCTGGCGGGACCCAAAGGCGGGCGCTGGCGAATACCTGTCCCCAAAAAGTCGCCGGCTATTTCGACCATCCCTCCTTCCATCGCATCTCCTCTGGCCCCTTGAGAATCGTCTGCTTGCTCTTTTGGTCTGTCTTTGGGCATATTATTATGTGCGCCTCGTTCTGGCGTCAGAGATTTGCAGTTGGGGTTAACCGTCCGGTGTCATCCGCTGCCTTGGTCGTCTTGTCGTAACAATGGCTGGCCAATTCGTGGGTGATGCCCTTCATCAGATACTCCGTATGTTATCTCCCTGGTCTCAGCATCTGATGATATCCCCTTCTACCATTTCAGCAGAAAATAAAAGATGGATAGGCGAAATATGAACTTGAAAGCTGACTGTTTGCTTGTATAGGGAGAGCTACGGACTCCGATTCAGATCCCGAAGAAGGTACGCACACACACTGACCTCTACTATGATGCTGGCCCTCCGTTTGTATACGATCTCGTGGAATGTGATAATAATGCTTTGGCTGCAGATGCTCCCGATTCCGGTACCAAGGAGTTTTTCAGCTCCTGGGCGCTCTTTATTATGATTATGTTGTTGATGTTTGCGTTGTTTACGAGTTATATCCTGCAACAGAAGAAGATCCAGGCGGTTCATGAGACTGTGTTGTCTATCTTTGCGGGTATGTTTTTTCTCTGTATTGGCTTTTGGCTTTTGTGGTGGTCGCTCATGGTGTGTTAGGCATGTTCGTTGGGTTGATAATACGCCTGAGTCCCGAATCGCCCATCCAAGACAGCGTTACGTTCGATTACCAGTTCTTCTTCAACCTCCTACTTCCTCCGATTATTCTAGCCTCAGGCTACGAGCTACACCAGGCGAATTTCTTCCGGAATATAGGCACTATCCTCACCTTTGCGTTTGCGGGCACTTTTATTTCCGCCATTGTGCTGGGATTGGTACTATACATCTGGACCCGCGTTCCGCTGGATGGCTTGAACATGTCCTTTGTCGAGGCTATCTCGACTGGCGCCACACTTTCCGCCACCGACCCGGTGACGATTCTCGCCATTTTCAACCTCTACAAGGTCGAGCCGAAGCTATACACTGTTATCTTTGGCGAGTCGATTCTGAACGATGCCATTGCGATTGTTTTGTTCGAGACGGCGCAGAAGTATGCGGATAGCGAAGCCGGCTCGCTCACGATTCTTAACCTGTTTGAGGCTATTGGGCTTTTCTTGTTGGTTTTCTTTGGTAGTATGTTGGTGGGTATGGTTGTCGGCATTATGACTGCCCTGGGACTGAAATACACGCTTGTTCGTCGCATGCCCAAGATCGAGAGTTGCCTGATCGTTCTCATCGCCTATGCCAGTTACTTTTTTTCCAACGGCGTTTATCTTTCTGGTAAGTGGTGGTGAAACTATCTGGGGTGTAACCGAAAACTGACTGGTAATAGGCATCGTCTCCCTCTTGTTCTGCGGTATCACTTTGAAGCACTATGCTTACTACAACATGTCGCGTCGGACTCAGTTGACCACCAAATACCTTTTCCAGGTGATGGCACAATTGTCGGAGAACTTTATCTTTATCTACCTTGGACTTGACCTGTTTGTCGAGGCCAACCTGCAGTTCAAGCCTCTGTTTATCCTGGTTGCTGTTTTCGGCATCTGTCTTTCCCGATATCTTGCCGTCTTCCCGTTGTCCAAGGCGATTAACTGGTTTATCCGGTATAGAGCTCGTCGCCGTGGTATGGATGTTGCGGATGAGTTGCCGTTTGCCTACCAAGCCATGCTCTTTTGGGCCGGATTGCGTGGAGCTGTCGGTGTTGCACTGGCTGCGGGTCTCAAGGGTGTTAACGCGCCAGCACTACGGGCTACAGTTCTTGTTGTGGTGGTGCTAACGGTCATTATATTCGGAGGCACAACAGCTCGGATGCTGGAGATTCTCGGTATTAGAACGGGCGTGGTTGAAGAGCTTGACTCTGATGATGAGTTTGATATCGAAGTTACCCACGGAGGTACTTATTATAAACGCTCCGATACAGCGTTGGGATACACGCCTCGTCGGGCGGATTCCTCCATTCCCCTGGATGGAGTGCCTCGGGCAAATGTCGAGCGGAATGATAGTTATTCCAGCGGCAATAATCGCCGTCCTAGTCCCCCACCGCAGTCTAGTCGAGGACACTCGCGGATGTACTCGAACGCTTTCGGTTCAAAGGATGTGCAGACACAACGCGATCGGTCGTCGACGGCCACGCTTCTAAACGGTGGTGCCCCGAGTCATAGCGGCAGTAGTATAGCCAGTGAGGATGAGTTTGGGTTGAAGACCCATGGCAAAGGCCGGGCCACCGAGACAGATCCTGTCGATGATTTCGATCTTGGTTTCGACGAAGCTCCGTCGGATGATGACCTTCCTCCCGCGGCCCCGGCGGCGCCTGCGTCTTCGCGACTGCGACGGTCACCATCCCAACCACAAACAGCACCCACCTCGTCCAGTGTGTCACCCTCTAGAAGGGAACCTGGACTGAGTGCAAGAGATGCCCTCCGAGATCTCTTCTCAGGCGGGCCATCCGGAGATCATGGCGCGTGGTTCCGACAGTTAGATGAGGACTATATCAAGCCCAGGCTTCTTCTAGATCAATCGAATCATAAAGGACCGGGGGCTGTCTAGAGCCACGGGGGTTTTTGTATACTTAATGGACTTGCTTTCTGTTTGCATTCAGTATTTCTTTCTTTTCTTTCTCATACCATGTTCGGTTTTATGGGGTTGAGTGATAACCCCAAGGAGCTATGTTCTGTATCTCATCATGAATTCATTCCATAGGGTCTGGAACCCTGGAAATGGCATGTGTACTGGTGCTGGGCTCATTTTCGCTCGATTAGAAAGTACTTTGTAAGATTCGACTGTATCTAGGTCACTAGGAAGTATCGATTGTTGCAGTCTAGAGTAACCCCGCATGCACGAGGCACGAGGACTCCTCTTTCACCACGTCAATCTTACCTCTTCCACCTCTTCCCCTCAAGCCCAGATCCAATATATCAGACTAACGTCCACCACGGGATCTTATCAGCCCATGAGAGATGCAGATTGGACGTCTCGTATCACGATCCCTGTGTCTGACAAGACATGATAAGATACCGCCATCCTCGGCTACAGTGTCCATCCCCCGTCGACTCGACAGGACCTACCATCATTTCGCCACAGACAGACAGGCAGAGATACCAGTCGGAATAGCCATAGGAATGATTCCGAGATTATGCACAATTCCACCATGAAGTTTATCCGGAAATTGCAACCCCTTAGCCCCCCTAGCATGCTTATCTATGCAAGGTATGCTAGATATCTTGGATGGCGCATGGGCACAGTTACACAGATGACGCTCCTTCCATTGCCTTTTACGGAGAACTTTAAACATTTAACATATAAGCTGACGATTCCAGGTGGGGTGGGTGACATCTGATGGTTCTTCAGTAACAAAATCAACCACACGTGCATACAATCAACATGGCGGAGAAGAAAGAAAAAGGTGTTGGTGATTACAAGGCAGCTCCGGGGGTTGTCGAAGAGGGGACGATTGAGCCTGGTGATTCGCAGCTTTTGGGTAAATTGATGCTTGATGATTTTTTCTGCACGATGAAGATGAGATGCTGATTTTATAGCGACATTGGGATACAAGCAAGAGCTTCGACGACATTATTCGACAACTCAGGTGTTTGCCGTTGCGTTTAGTATCATGGGTCTATTACCATCGATTGCCTCTACATTGTCGTTTTCGATGCCTGCAGGGCCCGTGGGAATGGTTTGGGTATTTGACACTATGGTTCTTCATGTCTTGAGGATTGGCTGACGATAGACAGGGTATTGAATACCGATTGGATCTTGATATGCTGGTTGAGTAGTGGTGCTGACTGCATTGATAGGATGGCTAGCTGCCAGCACTTTTATTTTCATTGTCGGTCTGGCTATGGTATGTACCATGCTGCATATGTTACTCGCTATTAATGACCTGGGCTGATTTGTTCGTTGCGCACAGGCTGATTTGGCATCTGCAATGCCTACATCAGGCGGTTTGTATTTTTGGACTCATTACTTCAGTGGAGAGAAATGGAAGAACCCTTTGAGTTTTGTCGTCGGGTACAGCAATACTATAGGTCTGGTCGGTGGTGTATGCTCGATTGATTGTGAGCACTTTCTCTATTTTCTGGTTGGGGCATTGCTGACTGCAACGAGATGGATTCGCTACTATGCTACTCTCACTTATCTTCATCGCACGGGATGGTAACTGGTCGGCCTCTCGAGGAGTTTTATACGGTACATATGCGGCCTGTGTCATTACTCACGGTCTCATTGCCACATTCTTTGCGCGCATCATGCCTAAGATCCAATCAGCCTGTATCGTGAGCAATGTCGGTCTCGTCCTAGCGACTGTCATCGCCCTACCGATTGGCAAGGCGATGAACAACCCCCCGGTCAACCCAGGAGCTTATGTCTTCGGACACCTGGATAACCTGACCACCTGGCCAACCGGCTGGGCATTTATGTTGGCCTGGCTGTCGCCTATCTGGACGATTGGCGCATTCGACTCTTGCGTGCACATGAGCGAGGAGGCAACACATGCCGCCCGTGCTGTCCCGCTTGGAATTATCTGGTCAACGGGGATGTGTGGGGTTTTAGGGTTTGTTTCTCTTATAATCATTGCAGCGGTGGTGGATACGGATATATCAGCTGTGCTTGATTCGAAGTTCGGTCAGCCGATGGCCCAGGTAGGTATCCAGACATATAATGAAGTATGAGGGCTAACCATATCAGATTTACTATGATTCCCTTGGAAAAAACGGTGCCCTTGGTTTCATGGCAGTAGTGGCAATTGTGCAATTCTTCATGGGTTTGAGCCTGGTTAGCTTGAATGTAACCTCTTTAACTTAAGAAATTCGACTAACATCCCGCAGGTAATCGCCGCCTCTCGACAAAGTTGGGCCTTTTCCCGAGATGGGGGACTCCCATTTTCCTCATTCTTCCGACATGTCAGTAAACGCATTCTATTCCAACCAGTACGCATGATCTGGGGTGTAGTCGTCATCGCCATTGTCTTGGGTCTACTCTGCTTGATCGACGAAGCAGCCTCCAACGCCCTCTTCTCTCTCGCAGTAGCAGGTAACAATCTCGCATGGATGATGCCGATCCTCTCGCGACTCGTCTGGGGTAAAGAGCGGTTCCAGCCTGGTGAGTTTTACACGGGGCGGCTTAGCAAACCCATCGCGATCACTGCTGTTGTGTATTTGAATTATGTGATTGTTTTGAGTATGTTCCCGACTACGGGGCCGAGTCCTACTCGTGAGTTCTCCCCTATCTCCGCTGTGAATTCAGTTTACTGATATCATCTAGCGCAAAATATGAACTATACGGTGGTTATCAACGGTGCACTCTGGCTAGGGGCATTGTTGTACTACGTTCTCTATGCACGAAAATTCTACAACGGCCCCAAGACCACGACGGGAGAGTCTACGTCATCAAGTCCATCTGAGACCTATCTACATGGTGGTAAAGATGTACCAGGTAAAGAGGTATGAAATAGAGTATGAGTAGTTTTAGTCTTGTCAATCCAGGTACGCAACGCAATGAAGTAATTTATTCATATTTTGCTATTCCTCGTTAATTCATGGTTGTAGATAGGTAGATAGATGGATGGTTCGTTTTGTTGGGAATTGAGTTCTACTGAGGAACCTCTAGGACGTATCGACCGGCAATTTTTCCTTGTTCTTTGTGTGCAGTCAGCGTGCATGTTTCAAATACAGACAAAGGAGGGGCAAGAGAGGGAAAACGAACCCATTAATTCGAAAATACGAGGAAGATCCTTCAACGGGGCCGTCTTAAACGGGGCATTGATGAGTCCCCTCGCAAAGAAGTCAACCGCCTCCACTCCATCCTGTCGATTTCCGACGTAACTTCCTTTGATGGTAATCATGCGGACTACCGTGTTGAAAACGGGTGATTTCAGGTATGCATCGGCCGGTAGACCAATGGCGACAATGGTCCCCCGCGAACGAACATATCCCGTAGCCTGTTGGAAGGGCTTTTCGGACGCAGCGAGAAGAAGGACAGCATGGGCACCCAGGCCTTCTGGGGATGCGGCCTTGACGTCCTCGACTAGGTCTTTGGATGTGTGAAAGTCGATGTATGCCTCTGCGCCGAGCTGCTCACACATGGCTTTCTTTTCTTCTCCCCCGTCAATGGCAATAACGCGCAGCCCCATGGCCTTTGCGTATTGCTGTGCGAGAGAGCCCAAGCCACCTCCTGCGCCGACAATGGCGACGGTTTGGCCCGGCCGGGCTTGAGACTCCTTCAAGCCTTTGTAGACTGTTATGCCGGCACAAAGGATTGGAGCGACAGCATTCATGGCGACGTTCTTGGGGAGAATGGAGACGTGAGCTGCCTTGGCGATGCAGTATTGCTGGAAGGTACCGTCGACAGTGTACCCAGAGAGCAAAGCATCGGGGCAGAGGGATTCATCCGATTGTTTACAGAATTCGCAAGCCAGACATGACCCATTCAACCACTTGACACCAGCATGGTCGCCAATTTCGATGGAGTTGACAAGATCACCCTTGGCCACGACCACACCGGCGCCTTCATGGCCACCCACCAGAGGCAATTTCAGCGCGAGAGGCCAGTCACCTCTCATGGCGTGCAGGTCTGTGTGGCAGACACCCGTGTATTTGATTTTGACTAGGACCTCGTCAGGGCCTGGTTTGGGGACTGGAATCTGCTTGTAGACGACTGGGCCGCCTTTCTGTTCGATCACTTGGGCCCATTGGGTATCAGGGAGAGACATGATGTCTAGAGAGAATGAAGAGAATGCTATTGAGATTAAGAATGATGTGGAAAGGATGACTATCTGGGGATACCAGCACTGGAAATTAAGTCTTTCTTATAGACTGTCATCCCCCGGCAATTCGGGATTTGGAAAGAGATGAAGTCGAAGATGACTCCGGAGCGCCGGGGGGGGGATACGATAGAGTGACGTCGATCGACCAGACCAGGGTTTCGTTGAATCCATTATCCATACGGCCGGCGATATACATAGCTGTGATCGACCAGAACAGAGGCTATTTTCTCACAACTGCAGGGGTCGACGGTCAATCGCCAGGATTACAACCACATATGTTGATGAGCTGGACTGTACTTGGTCAATTGAAGTCTTACGGAGACATTGATAGGGAGATAATGGCCTTGAATTGGGGTGAGATTGGGTTGGGGTCAATAGTTGGATTGAATATTGAATCGACCAGCATTCAATGACATGGTGCTGGGGTTGGGAGTGGGGGATGACGGTGAGAATGGAGTCGAGAACGTCATGAAGCTCGGCGATGAACCCCGCGATTATGCTTTATCTCTGTTTCAGATAGAAAAGGAGGAGAAGATGATGGAAAAGGGGAGAGAAAGGGAAGAGAGAAGAGAGGAGAGAAGGAGAGGATGGTTGATTTAAATACAAGGTTGGATTTTAGATTGGGATACCTTGGGGGAATCTTGGTGGAGGAGCTGTCAAGTGAAGATCGAAGAAGAGTAATCATGAAGTACGATTTTTGATATTGCTATAATGATGTTTTTTCTTTAAATATTATTTAAGATTATGTCAAGATGTATCTCATTATTATTTGATGCTATTCACTCTTGTATAGCGTCAGTCAGCACTAAGACAGTCAAGATGATCAAATATCGTAGAATTTTATATAGGTATTAGACGATATCTTTATTGAATACAATTTATCTACAATATCTAAATATCTACAGTAGCTAAATATCTATAATCAATACCATCTGATACTTTTTTAACCATGAGTTGTCTATGTAGGATCCCTACTTTTGTGCAGGTAACCGACTGCAGACAGGAAAGATACATGACAGCTACAAACAGATTTATTCCTCTATATGAATATAATATTAGTCTATAATCAGTTTATATTGAGATAATATAAGTATAATGTTGTGTTATATCATATCATACTTATTAGTTATATTATATCATCATATCATGGTATGTGTGCACGTACTAGAAAATGTAACTATTCACGTCAAAATAGGAAATAACATCAAAATATCGACTGCATAATTAAATAGTCGAAATAAGCGGTTGAGAACAGCTGAGAATTTCCATCCTCATCGAAACGAGTTCATGGTTCATACGCGTCGCCGACGGCAATCAGTCCAGACGAATTCCATCCAATCCATCCATCCAAAGCCATCCATCAAATCCCATCTTTAACGCTTCTCGCTTTCTCTCCTCCGCCACGTCGCTTCTTCCTCTTCCATCCTCCATCCCCATCACCTTTTTATCCTTTCCATCTCCATCGCCATCGCCTCTCCATCCTCCCAATCTGTTATTTTCTCCTCCGTCTTGCCCTGTCGCATCCTCCTCGCCTCCATCCCCTTGGGGGGCTCTGCTGACCCGCAATCCGGCGTTGGTTCACGAGGAGCACAAAGAGGCTTAATCCCTCACGGTGAGCCAATCTTGCTTTTTTCCCTCTTTCGACTTCTTCCATCCTCGTTTTCCATCTGATATTTAATCCCCCTTCTGTCTCCATTGCCATCTTTCCTCCCTCCGCATCCAGCCCCATTATTTCCTCCTGCACCCATCCCGGATAGCTAACGCTGATCAACGCGTGATCGCTCTCTCCTAGATTCTAATCTCCTATGGATAACCCTTAGTCTATCGTGACCGACCCGTCGATTTAACCCACGCCACGATCCCCATCGCCGTCCATCCAATCCTTGCCGCTGGGGTCTTTTGCGTTCTTCGTCCAAAACTCGCGGCCGCGATCCCGGCACACACGCGGCCATCATGACGGGTCCTCCGCCCTACAATTCCCAGTCTCCTCCCCAGCAGCCTCATTATCCTGTCTACTCGCCTCCAAATAAGAATCCTCCCTATTACGCCGGCAACGACCAGTATCCGCAGCATCCTCCGCAGACACCTCCCGCCTTTCCTGCTCACGCCTCCCTCTCCAGGAGCCCTCGCTACAACCATGCGCCTTCTCCGTTGCCTGGCACATTACCTCCGTTGAATGGCAGTGGTGCTCCTCCACCTCACGCGGATTCCTCGTCTCAGTTCCAGGCACATCCATCGACCGCGGGAACTCCCCAGTTTCCTCTTCCACGCCCATACTCGGCATCTGTCATGCCTGGCAACGGCGCATCTCCCTACGGCCACTCCACCCCGTCTCATGCTCATCCCTCGAGTCGGCCGGAAAGCCATTCCCAGTCCCCACCCAAGAAAGAGCCAGCATCTTTTCCCATCGGGGGCAATGGTTATCCATCCATAATGCGAGAGTCCAGACCGGCATCCCCTCCGAAGGAAACCGTATGTTTTCTACCAACCGTATCGCAGACATCATTCACGTTCATGATTTTACTAACGTTTTGACCACTTTCAGAAGCCTGCCAGGGCTGCAGATCCCATGTCGTTTGCCAGCATCCTCTCCGGACCCGCAGAAGAAGAGCGTTCTCATAAGAGACCCGCCTCTCCTCCCCCAGCTCCGTCAGGTGCACCGCATCCGCCAGCTTCTCTTCCCATCCAAGCCCAGAAACCCAGAGAGCCGGAACATGCTCCGACCCCTTCGCTGCCAAGACTGGAAAAAAAACCGGCCGTGGACAGGCGTCGTCGAAACGTGGAGAAGGAAGCCATCGCAGATGAATTGCCCGCTACTCCTTCGGCCAACGGCGTTTCAGGTTCCATCAAGGGCCCTGCTCAAGGTCGTGCTACCAGCTTTCGAAAGACCCTCTCCGAGCAAGATCTGGAAGCCGTTAATAAAATTATGAACGACATCGACAATGCAGAAAAGAGTGATGTGGAGGGCCCAGGATTTGAGGCCGAAATGGATCGTTATCTCTCCAAGGGTAAGAAACGAGTCATTAATTCGGAAAAGGCAGAGGGTTTGAGACGCAAGGTATGTCGTGGACACACGGACAACGGGATGATATTCTAACCAAAGTCTTAGCGTCGCCGACATGAGTTCCTGATCAAGCTTGGTAAAACGTTCGAAAAGCAGGCTACAGATGGCATGAGCCGGTTTAGATCCGCTAACGAAGGGTCCGTCGTCGCCGAAGTACAAGCGAAGGAAGTCCAGGATGAGAAAGAGCGGAAGAAGGACATGCAGCGCAAGCGCCGGAGGGAAAACACAGTGCGCCAGGAAATGCAGAAAAAGCTCGAAGCGGAACGGAAAGCGAACAAAGCCCAGGATTCTGCCGAAAAGGCCAAGTTCTTGCGCGAAGCCGAACGCGCTCAGAGAAAGATCAAAACAACCAAGAGAGCCCTCGAGGGTGGAAGCGCGCCCGAAGAGATTGGCGAGGTCACTCCTTTGGCCCCGAACCTCGAAGGAGGTACGACAAGCTCCTTTCACATTGGCCGAAGCTCTCCATCGAGACGCAAGTCCGGCCGGGGTGGTACTTCTGCACGGCCAAAGAAATCAAAGGAGCAAAAACAGGCCGAGAAAGATGCAGCCGAGGCTGCTTATGCAGCTATGGAAAATGATGACCCTCTACCTCTTGCACCCAAGGAAGATCCCCGAAAGGAGTCCCTCAAGAAGGATGTCAAAGGTGGCCGTTCCAAGGAGCCCACCCCCGTCCCCGTGTCTGCATTCGAAACCAAGGGTTATAATCAAATTTACGAACAGATCTGGCGGGATATTGCGCGTAAAGACATCCCCAAGGTTTACCGCATCAAGACCGTCTCTCTCAGTACTCGCCAGGAGAATTTGCGCAAGACTGCTCAATTGGCCAGTAAGCAGTCTCGTAAATGGCAGGAGCGCACCAACAAGAGCATGAAGGACACCCAAGCTCGCGCGAAGCGAACAATGCGTGAGATGATGTCTTTCTGGAAACGCAACGAACGTGAAGAGCGTGATTTGCGCCGTCTGGCTGAGAAGCAGGAGATCGAGTCGGCCAAAAAGGCTGAGGCGGAGCGCGAGGCTAACCGCCAGAAGCGGAAGCTCAACTTCCTTATCTCCCAGACTGAATTGTACTCTCACTTCATCGGCCGGAAAATCGGTGGTGCTGGTGGAGATGAGTCCGGGGACACTGCAGTGGAGGGATCGAATGAGACTGTTCAATCAGGCAAAGGTGACCACACAGTGGATCTGCCTCCCAGCGTTGCCAATCCAAATGCCAAAGTCACCAACTTCGAGGACCTCGATTTCGATGCGGAAGATGAAACGGCTCTGCGGCAAGCTGCGATGGCAAATGCCCAGAATGCTGTTCAGCAAGCTCAGGACCGAGCACGTGCCTTCAACGAACAGGATCAAATGTCTGCATTCGATGAGGGTGAAATGAACTTCCAGAACCCTACTAGTTTGGGTGACATTCAGATTTCTCAGCCCAATATGCTCACAGCCAAGCTGAAGGAGTACCAGCTGAAGGGTCTGAACTGGCTTGTCAACTTGTACGAACAGGGTATCAACGGTATCCTTGCCGACGAGATGGGTCTAGGTAAGACTATCCAGTCCATCTCCGTCATGGCTTATCTGGCCGAATTCCATAACATCTGGGGTCCATTCTTGGTCATCGCCCCCGCATCTACTTTGCATAACTGGCAGCAGGAAATCACCAAGTTCGTGCCCAACATCAAGGTTCTTCCATACTGGGGATCTGCCAAGGATCGAAAGATTCTTCGAAAGTTCTGGGACCGCAAGCACATAACCTACACTAAGGAGTCAGAATTCCACGTGTTGGTGACTTCATACCAACTGGTAGTCCTGGACGCGCAGTACTTCCAAAAGGTTAAATGGCAATACATGATTCTGGATGAAGCTCAGGCCATCAAGTCTTCGCAAAGTTCACGGTGGAAGAACTTGCTAGGATTCCACTGTCGAAATCGTCTTCTGCTGACTGGTACGCCCATTCAAAACAACATGCAAGAACTCTGGGCTCTTCTTCACTTTATCATGCCTACCTTGTTCGATTCGCATGATGAATTCAGCGAATGGTTCTCGAAGGATATCGAATCCCACGCTCAGACTAATACTAAACTCAACGAGGACCAACTTCGGCGTCTGCACATGATTCTAAAACCTTTCATGCTTCGTCGTGTGAAGAAGCATGTTCAACAAGAACTTGGAGACAAGGTTGAGAAGGACATCTTCTGTGATCTGACCTACCGCCAACGGGCTTTATACGCCAATCTTAGGAATCGTGTTAGCATCATTGATCTCATCGAGAAAGCCGCCGTGGGCGATGAAACCGACAGCACCACCCTGATGAACCTGGTTATGCAGTTCCGAAAGGTTTGTAACCACCCGGATCTGTTTGAACGGGCGGACACAAAATCCCCATTCTCCGCCGCCCACTTTGCCGAAACCGCCTCGTTCGTTCGCGAAGGCCAGAATGTTGAGGTTGCCTACTCGACTCGCAATCTGATCGAATACGAACTACCGCGCCTTCTGTGCAGTCCCGGTGGCCGCGTCGATATGCCTGGGCCTGATAACTCCCGGGTTGGTTTCCGTAACAAGTACCTCGGTCATATGATGAATATCTGGACGCCGGAGAATATTAAGCGAAGCGTCGCGGATGATGCGGCCTTTTCGTTCTTACGGTTTACTGATACTTCCATTGGGGAGGCGTACGAGGCATCGCAGCTCGGTGTCTTCGAACGGGCGGCTCGTCGTCGCAACAAGCCGAATCGACTGTCCCGGCTCAATGCTATCTACGAGAGTGCGGAGAATGATGGTGACTCTACGATTGTGAATTCGGTACTCCCTCATTCTATGTTGAACATTGTACAGCGCAACGACCGTCGGGCTGTCCATGATATTGCCGTGGAAGGTTACATGCGAGAGCTCATGAATGTTTCGAGCTCAACTTTCGAGCGTGAAGGTCTCAATGTCATCGAGCCTTGCGTCAAGCCAGGAGCGTCGGCGCCTCCAATCACGGTGTCTTCTTCCAGTCAGTGGGCCTTGAAGGAGACTAAGGATAGCTTGTTCAATATACCTGTTCAGCACGCTCTATTTGACACTCCGTCAAAACGGATGGAAGAGCAGATTCTTGAACAGCAGCTGGATCCGGCTCCTTACTCCTTGACCCCGATGCTTCCAGAACCGCTTTCCATCAAGGGACGCTACACACACATCGAAGTGCCATCGATGCGGCGGTTCGTCACGGACTCGGGTAAATTGGCCAAGTTGGACGAACTTTTGCGAGAGCTCAAGGCCGGTGGCCATCGTGTGCTGCTTTACTTCCAGATGACGCGCATGATTGATTTGATGGAAGAATACTTGACCTACCGCAACTACAAGTACTGCCGTCTGGACGGAAGTACCAAGCTGGAGGATCGTCGTGACACAGTGGCAGACTTCCAGAGTCGGCCTGAGATCTTTGTGTTCCTGCTGTCTACCCGTGCGGGTGGCCTGGGTATTAACCTGACGGCTGCTGACACGGTTATCTTCTACGATTCCGATTGGAACCCGACTATCGATTCTCAGGCCATGGATCGAGCCCACCGTCTTGGACAGACAAGACAGGTTACCGTCTACCGTCTCATTACACGTGGAACCATCGAGGAGCGTATCCGCAAGCGAGCTTTGCAGAAGGAAGAGGTGCAGCGGGTTGTCATCTCTGGTGGCGCAGCTGGTGGTGTCGACTTCAACACACGTAACCGTGAAAGCCGGACTAAAGACATTGCCTTGTGGCTCGCAGACGACGAGCAGGCCGAGCTTATCGAGCAGAAAGAGAAAGAAGCGCTGGACCGAGGCGAGGCGTTCGGTGCTAGTAAAGGTGGAAAGAAGGCGGTACAGAAGCGGAAGAAGGACCTTACACTGGATGACATGTATCATGAAGGTATGTATCTTTTTGCCCACTCCACGGTGAGCATAGCTGATTCTTGTTCTTTTTTCCAACAGGCGAAGGCAACTTTGATGATGCCAGTGCAAAGCAGTCGGGAGCCGCAACGCCCGTATCGACGGCAGATAACATTGCTACTCCAACCTCAGCCGCAGGGACACCCACTACGAAACGTGGGCGTGGAAAGGCCGCTGCCAAAGGCACGTCCAAGAGAGCCAAAACGACCAAGGAACGACTGCGACTGATCGATGGTGATGGGGGATTGAGCTGATCCCCGACTGTTTGAGCTTTATTACTTCGCATGACTGGACGGATGAAGGCGTTAAGTTTGTTAACCATATGTGATATTTCTTTTTCTTTCTTTTTTTTTTTTATCTTCTTTCCTCGGCAGCTACGAGACTGCCGTGTATTACCACTCTACATTCCTGTCTACGAAAGCTCGAGTTGAGCTTAATGCAGTGATGGATTTGCAGATGAGACGCTGAGAGGTGCAAAACAAAAAAGGCCAAAGAGGGTTGGGAGTTGGCGATGAGATAGATCTGTTCTTTTTCTTTTTCTTTCTTTTTTGTTTCTCTGTCTGAGTGACGCTTTTCTGGGCTTCTTTTTTCTTTTTCCTTTGTCATATCTCTTCTTTTCTTTTCTCTTTCCTTTTCTCTACGGAGCCACAGTCTCCGGGACTATGAGATATGGATGGGAGGGATGCTTTGATTTAATTTTGTTCTTCTTGACTGATCTCGAGGACCGACCACCGCTGGTCTTTTGTATGACTACATAATTGTCTATTCTACCTACTGCTGCTATTTATTCAACATGACTTCATTCTTTCATCCACCTGATCCATGACAATCCCTCGCATCCAACTCCGCATCATAATTACCCTGCCCGGCGACACAAGCTGTAATTTTACCGCCGGAAACCTCGGTCCGCCCGTCGCACGCGGGGTTTGCTCGGTAACTTCGTACCACTCGATACCAGGTCACCTGACCGGATGGGCCTCCCGTGCGCTGCCTCCAGCCAATCAGCGCCATGCCGATCGTCAGCCGAGCAGAAAGACTCGCCGAGTCTCCTTACCTAATCGGGTTAGTCACAGGAATCGCCCATCGTTTTCGGTCTTAGAAGAGATTCTCTCTTTAGTCCGCACGCCCCCTCCGCTCCAGATCGCTTTATGAATCTGCCCTCGCCCCCGTTTTTCTAATCTCACTTCATTTTCTTTCTGTTCATCCTCTTCCAATTGCTCCATCTCAGTCTCTTCCACACGTCTGCCACCCATGGAGTCTCTCCTCCAGCAGTCTCGGGCTATGTGCCCGTTTCTCAAGCGCACTTCTCCCGCCGCATTGCGCACTCTTTCTACGGCCACCCGCCCCAGCACCAGCCCAGGCGGCGGCACCATGTCTAACCTTCAGGTCCTCGCTCGTCGTTGCCCTGTCATGAGCAAGGCTTTGGCTGTGCAGAGCTCTCGTCTGGCCGGCACCAAGCGATTCACCTCCTCTGCGGCTGGAGTGACGGGATTGAACAACAAGTATTTCCGCGCCCACCAGACCAACCGAGCCCTGCATACCACCGCGGGTAATGGTGCCAGTTTGAGTGAGGAGTCGTACAAGAAGAACGAGAGAGGTATGCATGATTTCATATTACTCAGAAGCAGGAAGCTGGAAACTGGACTAACTGTATGATTTACAGTTCACCCTAGTCTGGTCAACACTCCCGCTGCTCCCGCTGCGGATGTAACCTCGACTCTCACCGGCCCACGCCCCCACGCTCCTTCTACCACTCGATTCAACTACAATGATTTCTACAATGCCGAATTGGAGAAGAAGCACAAGGACAAGTCCTACCGCTACTTCAACAACATCAACCGTCTCGCCAAGGAGTTCCCTCGCGCTCACACTACCTCCAGTGAGGAGCGGGTGACGGTGTGGTGCTCCAATGACTATCTTGGAATGGGCCGCAACCCTGAGGTGCTGAATTCGATGCATCAAACTCTAGATAACTATGGAGCCGGTGCAGGAGGTACCCGTAACATTTCCGGTCATAACAAACATGCGGTAGCGTTGGAGGATACTCTGGCCAAGCTGCATGGCAAGGAAGCGGCTCTGGTGTTCAGCTCCTGCTTCGTGGCCAACGATGCCACTCTCGCTACCCTTGGCAGTAAAATGCCCGACTGTGTCATCTTGTCGGATAGTCTCAACCATGCGTCCATGATCCAGGGTATTCGTCACTCGGGTACCAAGAAGATGGTTTTCAAGCACAACGATCTTGTGGATCTCGAAGCCAAACTGGCATCTCTGCCCTTGCATGTCCCTAAGATCATCGCCTTTGAGTCTGTTTACAGTATGTGTGGCTCTATTGCTCCGATCGAGAAGATTCAAGACCTCGCGGACAAGTACGGCGCCATTACCTTCCTTGATGAAGTGCACGCTGTGGGCATGTATGGTCCTCACGGTGCCGGTGTTGCGGAACACCTCGACTACGACGCCTATGCTTCTCTGGACACAGCCAACCCTCGCAGCACCAAGGGAACTGTGATGGACCGTGTTGACATTATCACTGGTACTCTGGGCAAGGCCTATGGTTGCGTTGGCGGTTACATTGCTGGTTCTGCTGCCATGGTCGACACCATCCGTTCTCTCGCCCCTGGATTCATTTTTACTACTTCGCTGCCTCCAGCCACCATGGCTGGTGCTGACACCGCCATCAAGTATCAAGCCCAGCACCAGGGAGATCGTGTTTTGCAGCAGCTGCACACTCGCATGGTCAAGGACTCCTTCAAGGAGTTGGATATTCCCGTGATCCCGAACCCGTCTCACATCGTCCCTCTCTTGGTTGGTGATGCGGAGGTGGCCAGACAGGCCTCGGACATGCTGCTGGAAGAGCACGGCATCTATGTGCAGGCCATCAACTACCCCACCGTCCCTCGAGGTGAAGAGCGTTTGCGTATCACCCCAACTCCTGGCCATGTCAAGGAACACCAGGACCACTTGGTTCAGGCCGTTCAGGACGTCTGGCAGAAATTGAACATCAAGCGTGCCAGCGACTGGGAGGCCCTTGGTGGGTTCGTTGGCGTGGGCGTCGAAGGCGCTGAGGCTGATAACATGCCCATGTGGGAGGATGGGCAGCTGGGTCTGCGCAGCAACGAAACTCTCCAGGCGGCTGTCGATCGTGCGTTCCAGAATGAGAAGCCTGCTGTTGCGTCTCAGCCTCGCATGCAGACTGCTACTCCCATCCAGCCGGCTGTGACCATGGCGTCGACTCCGGTGGGAGTTGCTGCTTAATTTGGCGGATATATATACACATAGATTTCATATTTAGTATGGAATTACCAACTACTGCTTGCAGTGAATAATGGAATTTGACGAACCGGTCTGTCGTTACCGCGTTTGGGTTCTCAACCTATCATTTTTGTTCCTCCACATCTATCCTTAAGTCATGCCTGTGGCATCGCCATTCGCAATTGTAGCATATGTATACAATAACCACTTCTATACAATATATCTGTCATTGTACATGCATGATTTGCATAATCCGCTACAGAGATATCCATGATACAAAACTCATAAGGAACCAACGCCAAAAAAGGAAGACACTTTTTTATAAACAAGTGGAAAAGAATCAAGATCACCTCTTGCCTCCACGGCTAACCTTGGGGAATTCAACAGGAACCTTCAATCTAGCGACACGGCGGGCAGCAGCCTCGGCCTTTCCACCCTTGATGTCCCACTTGGCAAACTCGGACTCGCGGGGCTTGTCGACGCGGCAGCCCAATTCACGGAAGTACTGGGTGATGCTGGGGTTATCGAGACGCAGGTCATCACGCAGATCGGAGGGGTCAGTAGCCAGTTCATTAGCTGCGTTACCACCCTGCGAGCTGGCGCCGCCGTCCTTTGCAGGGCGGGGAGGGATGTGCAGGGATAAGGCGCAGATGGTGGTGTGGAGGAAGGTGATGTCGTTTTTGCCGAGGTTGGAGCCCTGGGGAGCGAACTTGCGACGGATGGCGTCGATGACGGGGTCTGGGAGGGATTCGGAGGATTCGCCAGTGGAGGAGAGGGCGCGGCGGAGTTCTTCGCGGGGAGGGAGACGCTTGGTGCGATCGCGGCCCGCCTTGAGGGAACGGGTGAATTCCAAGAGGAGGAGGATGAAGCGCAGGATTTGAATGTGAGTTGTGTTGCCGGATCGGACGACGCCTTCGACACGGCGGGAGACGTAGCGAGAGGTCGAGGCCACGGCGCGGCCGGAGGACACGGCGTCCTGCCATTCCTTGATACCTGGGAGTTGCTGGAGGGTGGAGAAGCCGTTGGGGACGAGGACGTCGATCGGGTACACGTCGGCGGGTTGGCTGGCTTCGAGGTTGGCTCGGGGAATGGGCTTGTTGGCTTGGACCTGGGCCTGGACAGCGGCGGCCTTGGAGGCGATATCTGTAGGGCCGTCGGTGGGCATAGACGAGAGGATGGCCGACTCAGCGGCGTTGGCTGCGCCAGCGGGAGCGTTGGACAGCTGAGCGTTTTCTGCCATGGATTGGGCTGCTTTGCGGGATTGTTTCGTTCCAAAGGTGTTGGTGAGGGCTGTTCGTTGCGAGCGCATTGTTTGCTGTACAAATCAGTACCCTCATATACACTAGCTGTGTCTGTCTCTGAGTATTAACATACCATCTCCTCATCCTCGCTACTCTCATCCTCTTCAGCAGGTTGCATTCTTCTCACAGCACCTCTAAGCGTCACCTTGCGCGCCTCGACAAACTGCCAGGTCTTCTTTTCCGGGTCCACCACGGCAATATAGTGCTTCAATTGCGAGTCGGCATCATCGTTAGCCTCACGGCCCAAGAAGTCCAGCTTGGGGTGCTCGGACGACTGCAGCAGGAGCTCAGAGGAGACAATCCCACGGTTTCTGGTGGAGGCTGCTGAGGAAGACTGGCTTTCGCGGTTCTTGAGGAAGGGGTTCAGGTGGAGGTTTTGGGGTGCGTTGAGACCGGGGGTTGTCACTGTTTTCTGTCAGTTCCGTTCATATCCATATCCCAAAGAAAAAAAAAATCCGAAAAAAGCGTACTGATCACTGGAGCCAGCTCGCTATGGTCGTCGACGACGCTGGAGGCCAGAGGCGGCAGGTCCTGCAATTCCAGCGCAGGCTTTTTACTCGGACGTTCATGACGGTCTGAGGCGCGCTTGCGCTTCTTGTCAATTTTATCTGAAGGCATTGTATAGAAGAGTGGCAGCTGGCTGCTAATGGTGGACGAATTCTACCGTATCTGCAGTACGCATGAGGGTATAGAAAAAAATCTTGGACCGGAGATTCGGACTTTCGCGAAGGCGGAGAGGAATATGTCAAGGCGAAAAAAAAGGCGGTATACACCACGCACAAAGAAATTCACGATAATTATCGCCCAAGATACGCAATTAACTACGATAGTGACATACGAACGATTCATTTACGATATAGAAAATTTGACTCGAGGAATCATTTGGATTTTAAGTAACTGCTCGAACGACACCTCTCCACGGTTTTGAGTCCCAGCTTCAACAAGAGCTGATAGATAGAACAACAAAAGGAAATTGACCAGTCCCCATGCAAAGCTCAAAGGATCTGATAACAGAACCCCTCCAACCCCACTAAATAGATTCGCCCCCCGAGTAAAAAGGAATGTGAGGAAATCCAACACATCCCACGCTGTCTGGCGTAAAATCGAAATCGTAAAAATCGAGACCGCGGAGTAGGAGGTAAAAAATAGATGTAGTTTTTGTTGAACGACGGACTCCGATATCGAAAAAAGAGTAAAAAGGTAGGTGTTTTCCACAGGACCAGACAGGTACTCATTGGAGTGGCTGGACCACGAAACGATCATAAATCATCATCGTAGCGTCGTCGGTATTTTGATCATATTCAGCGTTCAACTTGAGCGTTCACACGAGAAGCTGAGATGGAGTGGGCGAGTAGATTACTTGCTGTTAGGGCTGTTAGCTTCCATTCCCAAGCTGTCGCATGCTGCAGTGCAAGTCTCACCTTCTGGCTCTCATCTTGCGCCTCTTACGCTTGAGACGACGAACGCGCTTCTTTCTCCACTTGGCTCTCATCTTCGTAGATGGTCTAAAGGTTTGCAAGTCAGTCACAGTCCATGATGATCAAAGGCATTGCGAGCCAAAAGCCCCAAAGCTAGGGTGGGAAATCCAGTACTCACAGTTCTGCGAGGATGAAAGAAGATGGTTGCAAGAAAGACGGATTGGCGCGGCGGAGAACCTCTTTGTGTGCGCCGTGGCTGAGTCATCACAGACTGCCGCTAAGGGTTCGCTTGGTCTTCTTGCATCGTGATTGGCTCGCCAGCGCACTTGTCTTTACCGAGACCAATATTAGTCAGCAAATATGACATCAACCGGTGAAAGTGTGGATTGTTTCGATGATGCAGATGAAGATGAAGACGAAGATGGAATTGCTTCGAATCGCTCGAATGCTGGTGTTTGATCGCTTTGCACTGTGCTACAAGCTGTATCAGTGTCTCTACATACTGGAAATAGCCCTACATCCTCCAATTTCACCACAATTCTAGACAATTGAATGCTTCTATCCAAAATGATCATGACGTAAAATACCCATATTTCTGTATACACACGGTTACTGTACGGGGTATCCATCCAATTCCACAGGTATCTCAGTGTGAAAAGAAAATTAAACAAAAATGCTGCCCAAGCCCTAACCCTATTATCCAAAGAATTGATGCACCATGAAGCGCCGTCGAGGTAGTGAGTAAAAATGCTGATATAGAGAAGATGAAATGTCGAGACAGGTTAGTACTGGTATCGGTATGATGGCGCCATGTCGCCCATGGACTCTTCAGCATTGTCGCCTACTTCAGCATAACTACCGCTCGCTTCAAGGCGATCGCGTTTCCGATTCTCCATGGAGATTGCTACAAAATAGGCAATGCAGCACGCGGCCGAAAAGCACAGAAAGGAAACACTGATTATATACCCAGGTCGGTAGAGCGGTGCATCTTTTTCAAGGAAGGCATACGTCGAAATAACACCACCAACTATCCGTGTCAGCAAGACTCGTTCAAGGCGAAAGAAACGGCAACTCACTATTTCCGAATCCAATCTGCCATGCCGTTCCCACACTTCGTCGACGATGGCCACCCAGGTTCATGGAAAACCAACAGACAATGACGGGCATTGTGCTGTAGCAACCGCTGGTGACCAGGAACAGGGCCGCATACTGAGCATGCCGTGTGCTGGTCCCGTGAAGGTTCAGCAAGATGCCATACCCAGCCATGGCGACCATCATCGGGAGAAGAGTGAAGGCAAACCGATGGCGCAGTTTGTCAGATAAGTACGCTATTGTCATGGAAAAGCAGAAGGCGACTGCCCATGGTGGGATCGAGTACAGCTGCGTTTTAATCGCTGGCGCATAATCAGCATGGTTCAGATTTAGCAGAGCAAGAGACATACTCCCATAGCCGTAATGCTTTATGATTGTGGGTGCAAAATAGGCATATCCTACAACCGGTCAGGATTTGTACAAGCCTGTCGAATCCGTCAAACTCACCGTATGCTGTGACGACCTGGCCAAAGTACATCAAACCACCGATGAAGATTTTGTCTGCAGGCAGTCAGTATCCAATTCGACTTTATTGGATCCAGATACTTACAGTCCTTGAAGACGCTCAGCACTTCTTTCAAGCCTATTTTCGTATTAGTTGCAGCACTTCCTGAATCCTTTGCCAATTTCACCCTGATAAACTCCCGTTCTTCATCATTGAGCCATTTGGCATCTTCAGGGAAGCCTGGAATGATGAAAAACCACACAATGGAGACAACGCAAGTCAGCAGGCCTTCGATGATAAACACCCATCGCCAGCCACCGTAGCCTCTGATGCCTTCCATTTTTGAAATCCCACTAGCCAACAAACCACCAAAAGCACCAGCCAGAGTGGTAGAACTGAAGAAGAAGCTGAATCGTTTCTGAGCTTCTGTGCGTTTGTACCACATTCCCATTAAATAGAAACCTATCCGGTTGTTAGTATAAGGTGTTTATAGAGAGGAGTGAAACGTACATCCAGGAAACAATCCCGTTTCAAACATTCCTAATCATTGTCAGTTCATGCATATATATAGACTCCTAGACGCAACCGCAACATACCCAAAAACCATCGAGTTGTCATCAATCCACCCCAATTCGACACCAGACCTTGACAGATCATGACGAGACCAAACCCAAATCCGCATATCGACACTAATCCAATCATGCCCATTAGATCTCATTGTATAGGTATAGAATATATAAATATATAAAAAACCAGCGCATACACCACACGTTAGGTTTCAACTTCTTGAGAAGTATATTGGATGGAATTTCGAATATAACGTAAGGAACAAAGAATATAGTCAAAGCGGTGTTGTACTTGGTTCCATGATCGATATTCAAGTCTTGTTTGAGTCCGAGAATTGCGGCATTACTGATGTTGATTCTGCGCAGAACAGAGACCGGTTATTATTCGAAAGTCTTTGCAATCGATGCCCCGAGGAAGTGATCCATACCGATCCAAAAAAGCAAGCAGGTATAATAAACATAAACAGGGTACGATATGCCAGTCGATCTTGGCCATCAATTTGCGCTCGGTGGTTGTCGTGAGGGGAGGGAGACTGTCTGTCGATTGGGAATGAACCTGGCCTTCACCCTTATCGGGTATATCGTTCTCTAGAAATCCATAGACGTCAGCGAGATTAAATGAAGAGCAAGGCAATAGAAGTTCCAGGATGATTTGAGGTGGATTGTAGAATGAGTAATGATAGAGTGTACCTGCAACCCCCATAACGCGATTATATATATACATATATAATAGTAGCGGAAAGAAGAGACTAACCCGAGAACAGCGATCGAGGCAAAAGAAGACTTTAACAATTCCGATAAAAGATTTTGATCTCAACCAACTGTCTCGGTGTAACCTAAAAAGAGGGAGGGGAGAAAGGAATGTGAGAAGAAACTCTGTCAAAGACGACAGACCAGGATGGAGGTCGAAGAGAAGAAAAAAGAGAGAGAAAGGAGAGAAAGGAGAGAAAGAAGAGAAAGAAGAGAAAGAAGAGAAAGAAGAAAAGGACGCAGCCTTGCAAGATGCCTGCTTTTGGCACTACCTAGAATACTGGCAAGCAACACGGGTCTTCATCCTTCATTTTCATGATACATGCACAAACATGGAATCCAAAAAATCCATGACAAAACAGGACGAAGAAAAGCAAAAAGTCAAGCACTATTGAAGATATCAATAGCGCCGTGCAGCCCCTCGCAGAACAAACCCTCTATCCAAAACAATCGATCAGACTGAAAGAAGCTCCTACTAGTGCTTAGCAGCAGCTCCACCGGTCATATGGCCCTTGCTGAGGAGTGCAATCGAAGTCTACTTCCATGATTCCGGGTCAGCTGCTAAAGAAGTGCACTGAATTTGACTCGGGATAAAATGTCCTGATATATAATTAGTTCGCCAACACTTCATTAAATACATACATACTTGAAATGCAGCAAAACCCAGAAACGCATTTCCAGATGCTGTTTTGGTCCCCACCAGATTTAAGCAATAAGCATAAAGTGAAGGGATCCACGGTCGATCCGGTAAGATCAATACAGGCTAGTATTGGCCTGTACGGTACTGTCATTTTGCCACTGCACCCTCATTATCACCACAATATTATATAGCATCACATAGGTTGCAGAGATGATAGAAATATTGTGGCCAGAGATATGCAGAGTATGATCTGAATTATGCAACCCTTCATTTCATGCAAACAGAGGTTCTTCACAACCACAGTACCCACTGCACTAGTAGTATCATACAGATTCATTCAGCAATAGTGTTGCATCAAGCTTAGATATGACCTCAAATTACTACATACACCCTATTCCTTCTCACCAGACTCAGATGGCTTCTCCTCCTCCACGGCCTTCCCCCAGGCTGCCTCAAATGTCGAATCCTCTCCTGTCTTGGGCTCTACCTCCGAAATCACCGACTGGCCGAGGTCAGCCACACTCTCTTCGACTTGCTCGGTATTTTGATCGTGGCTGGGACTAGACTCTTCAACAACTGCGTCTTCCTTTTCCACTACTACCGAGTCAAGAGACGGGGTATCCGAGCCAGCCACCTCGCCAGGTGACAGTCCACTTCGCGGAGCCGACGATTCTGGTAGCTCGAAATCAAAGTTGGAGCTATATACCACGGCCGCAAAGGCCTCCAACTCTCGAACACCCTGGTCCATGCCAGTGAGATATTCATTCGGTGGGTTTGTACCATTGCCAATGACATGAGCCTGTCGTGCCATCACGGCCAAAACATTCGCCAACTTAGTCTTGGGCTCTGACACCCCCGCCACGGGCAGGACGGTCGCGATCGAGGAAAACGACTGGGGAACGGTCTCCGGGGTAGGCGACGACTTGAAAGCATCGGATGCACACTTCTTCTCGACCAGAATAGCAAAGCCTTCATTGTTCAAAAGTGTTACGACATGCGTAAAGGATGGTGAGTCAATCAGATCAGCCGTCTCATCCAGGAGATGGCGCAACGTCAAAGTTGTTTGGTCAGACGCGGCTTCTGTCACTCCAAGAACTCCAGATTCCTGCAGCACACTTTCCTCTTCACCCCGAGGAGGCAGCAGATAAGACAGCCATTTTCGGGATCTACTACAGTCAGCAAACCTGTCTAGCAGCCTATCAAGAGTGACAAACCTCCGCTCTTCCTCAGTACTGCCCTCTACCTTCTTCCGAATCTGCAGAGTCAATTCCGAGAGCTTGCCCAGTGTAATATCTTCTCTCGGATTAAGAGGACCAAACACTTCCTCCACAGCAGCCTGCACCTCGCTCATCAACCCCTTCCATCCCCGGTGGAGCAACCACCAGCTGAAAGCGAGATACCGTCGGTTGGTCTCAAAGTCATTTCCCAATGTTTGTGTAAGATCATCATCATCGTGGTCCTCTAGACGAATCGTAGTCGCGTTCGCGGGAGGTGTAGCCAAGGAGATCACGCTGGAAAGGTAGTTTCGGCGACCGAGAAGGTTGAGTTGAACGCGGGTGAAGATGGTCAACAGAGATAGTGTATATATGAGTGTAAAAGACCTGGTAATAGCTGCAAGTTGTCTGTTAGTATTCACCTCGATGCGCAGGAAAGGAAAGAACATACAGGCAATCTTGACTTCGTTCCAGAGCTGGGTCTTATTCCGCTTCGGCTTTGGCTGCCCATCAGCCTCGCTAGGAGACCCTCCCAGCTGACTGGCATGAAGAAACCCTTCACTCTGAAAGCTGTTTAAGCTCCGTCGGTCTTCCTCCGCCACACTGGGAGATACCGAACTCAAGTCCGAGCCTGTAGCTTCCCCAGCATTCAACCGGGCCAACCTCTCCGCTCGTTTCTTCTGCAGCTCTTTCGTCAGGTCCTCAACAGGCAAAGCCTCCAAAATATCCTCCGCGGCAGTTGGCAACAGCGCCAAAACAGTATAAGAGCAATCGGTCTGGTTTTGTTCGAATCGTCGCCGTAAACTAAATGATCATATGATAACACCCCGTCAATATCCGAGCTTTATCACAGAAGACACGCGACCAACTAGTACTCGAGGAACAACGACTCACTTTTCTTTGGCGATTCTATCACTGCTCATACGCTCTCGCGCCTCGGAAATTTTGGACAGCACATACTGTCCCGCCAGGTAGCCAGCCCCGACAACTCCAGCGCCGATAGCGAGACCTCTGCGATTGCGCCGGAGCCAGCGCCTGGTAGCACCGATCATGGTGAGGAGAAGAAGAGGTGAGAATGGGAAATCAAAGCCAATAACAGATTATTTCAATTGATTCAGAACATCGTACACCGTAAGAACATGGGATATATTATAAGAGAAAGAGCTAGGTAGCAAGAAAGAGTCGTGAGAGCCGTCCAGCAGATGGTCGGGGATCGAATGTCTAGCGGCCGGCCTCGGCTAAACGACAGGGACAGACTGGACAGGAACTTGTGAATATCATTCTGGTAATTATGAACAATACTACTAGGTATAGGTGGTTACAAGTTATTATTATTTCTATAATATCATCAGTTGATATCATTTAATATCCATTTCTAATCCATCCCTATCGCTCACCTAATCCTGCTCCATAATCATCCTTTATCTCCTCGGTGGAGGGGCAAAGTGCCTTTAAATACGGAGTACCGTTACATACCAATAGTGGCCGCAGTCCAACCCCGGAAAATCATGCCTCCTCCAGAACTACTATCGTGAACTGCCCGGTTTTCCAACTCTTGGATCCAACCCACCTTGCCTTTTTCTTTTTTCTTTTTTTCAAACTTCTGAATCTCTAGTGACTGTTTCTTTTCCGTTGTACGGCCCAGCTGGCTGTTCGTCCTGTGCCTTGAAAGCTGGGTCGTCTCCGGGAAATCACCGTTCGCCACTGAGCAAGTACTAAACCACGCCATCTCCTCTCCTATATCATCATCATCATCATGGAACCCCGCAAAACCCCTCCAGAGTACTTTCTGGAGATTTTCGCGGACACCACAAACGTTCGAGATGTTCTGAAAGGTATGCTTCTATTATATCACTCTCCTCTTTTCTCTGATTGTATACATATATAATAAGTTGTATATTACCTTACATTACATCCGCTCTTAATCCCTACTGCTCACATTTACTCATACGCCTTTCAGGCGTCCTCAACCTCATCTTCTTCCACCGCTACTTCCCCTCCATCCGTCCTACGACTTTTGACGTCCTCGATTTTACCCTCCCCGCCATCAACGACGAAGATCTAGAAACCCTCATCGAATCGCGCGTCACCTCCCTCATCCGCCAACACCTCTCTTCCGCCGCCAGCGCCCATGAAGGCGGCGGCGGGGGCGGAGGTGTACGTGGTCGGATCGCCGTCGAGTTCTACGAAAAGAGACGCAGAAAGTCCGGAATGTGGTTTGGTGGTCTGGCGGGGAAGGGCGAGGAGGAAGTCTGTTGGGAGATTTGGACTTTGGATGTCACTATCGCTACTCCTAGGACGGAGTCGGGTATGTTTCTCCTTTATTATCGGATATTGTATCCACCCATCTATGATTGACATGTGAATACTGACCATAACAGAACGAGCCAAAGTTCGCAAAGCAATGGAGAATATGCTCCAGAAAGCCGCTCTGAAGATTCTCGCCGTCGTTAACAGAGACAAAGACCATATTCCTCCCATAACCACCAGCGATTCCAACCCGTTCCCCTATCGCATCGTGCTCAATCCGCGTACAGACAGCTGGCAGAATCGCATCGGGCTATATTGATAGGCTCGCGCGGGTTGGACTCTCTCATATCATCATATCATATCATATTTTTACACTGGGCTACGATACCCCGTTGTTTCAACATCAACCGTTAAACTGACTCATACTCATATTTAATATCTGCGTTTTGGGAGTTGTGGTGTTCCATTGGTGGTTGTATGATCTTTTGTTCCTTCTTCTTTGGGTGATTCTTGCTTGCCCGGTGTATATTACTTGCTCTTTTCCAAGTTTATGTCTTTTTTCCTCCGAGCCCTTAGAAGAAATCAAAGAAAATGAGCAAACAGTGCTCCAATTGGCCAAGAGGCACCATATCATCATATATGACTATATCCACACACGTGGAACATGGAATTATCCACCCGATTAAACGAGCATGAGTGATTCTACTGATCCAGTCGAGGACGAAACAAACTGACAAGAACATAAAAAAAAATTTGAAAAGCAAAAAATTATAACCTCAATCACATCTTCCAACTCGGCCCCTTAACTTCATCCACCGCTTGCTTTTCCTTCGCTTCACTTTCAACGAAAACACTCGCTTCGTTATGGGTCATTGTATGCCGGAAACAGAGAATCGATTTTTGGGTTTCATGGCTCAACGGGGCACGCCATGGACCGTGAACTTAGTTCACTGCTTTGGTCCCGATTCTCTATTGTCAATCTACTGCGACTTGGTAGCGGCATCGGCCTGAGCGCGGAGGTTGGCCGATGTGGATCCGTTGGCGAAGAAGCGGCCAAGGACAGGCTGGAGGAAAGAGTGGAAGACAACTTGGGCACCACTGTACAATCGCATTAGACTGGGCTATCAACGTACGGCAAGGTTGATATGATACGTACCTGGTCTGGGGGAGGGCCATCCAGAGGATGAGGACGAACTTGAAGATGTAGTAGAAGGCTGTAACGCAAGATTAGCAAGATCACTAGAGTACAGCAAACCATGTCATCAAAACTTACGGAACCAGTAGGCGGCGCTGATGGCACTCTCAACAACGGTCAACAGAGCGTAAACAACCCAGTACTGCGATTCACATGTCAAATTAGTTCATGAACGCTGATAGAAAGATGTCACGTGGGAAGAAAGCCGCCGAGGCGATTCTTCACGTATAAACATCCCTTTGCAAGGGAGGAACAAAACATACGGTCAACCACTATAAACAATCACCAAAGTTAGCCACGTTGATCAAGTAGAAAGACGGAAGAGCGGACAAAACACTAACCTGAGTGTCATCCTCGGTGGTGGATGTGAACAAGGCATTGAGAGAGTAGTAACCAGGGATAAGGAAACCAGCGAAGTTAACGAGGAATTCACCGGCGATGTTGAAGAAGACCAGGAAGAAGTAGATGCCGACCAGGCCCAAGATGGCGTAGACCTTGGGGACCGAGGTCTGACGCTCAATGTTGTTGAGGACAGGGTACTTGGAGAGCTGAAGCGAAGCAATTGACGGTCAGCGTTTTTTTTTCTTTTTCTTTTCTTTTCTTCCTCATACTCGGATTATAGAGCATGTTCGAGGTGGCAGAAAGGGGGCAAATGGTTAAAAACCAGGCGGCCAGATTTCGCCATGGGAAAAAAAACACCGCACACACAAACGCGACTTACCTCCTTGTCGAGCTGAGCAATGGCGTGCTGGGCACGGTCCTGGAAAGTAGCCATTTTATTTTAAATATCGTTTAGATATATCGAAGATTGCTGAATTAACGGATAGACCGGATGAGATGAGCGGGCTAGGGGAGTGGTGAGTAAGACGGAGAGCTGATGGGGGAAGAGAGAGAGAGAGAAAGGAAGCGGTTGATATCGACGTGAGATTGGAAAGGACGAGCTGGCGGTTAAGGAAGGCCGGATGACGGTGTGGTGTGTCACGTGACTATCATGACGTCGAGCATCACCGAGCGCAATCATGCCTCCAGGGCAGATGACGTGCTGGCAGTATGGATACTTGATATAGTCACTTTTTAAACTCTTGTATCACACATATTTATCGCCATTTTATCTATCAGGATCAAGGTGAATCCCCAGTCTCACCAGGCTGGCCTCTAGCTTGCCCGTATTGTCATGTCATGTACTAGTACGCACTACTGGATGGAAAATCAGCCTCGACCTCGGAGGCTGCGACAGCCAGGGGCAAAAGGCAAACTGAAGGGCTGCAGTGGCTGGATCTGACAATCGCAGGCGAACCACCGATGTACATGTCCCAACGCAAGTCTGCAGCCAATGATGCCTCCGAGATAATACTCTGATCCCACTGGTTTCAGCCCATGGGAGGCCAAGCGCCCGCAACTGGGCAGATTGCTGCGATCTTCCGAATCTCCGGTGGTTATAGGCCAATTCGGGTGTTCCAGGGTGCATGGAGTGGGGGAAGATGCAGTAGTTGGAGGGGGGTTCGTGGGTATATGTACATAACTGGTGCATGATTATTGTTCCACCGGTGAAGCCAGAAATTATATAGGAGGTAGTGTTACTCTGTATATGGACAGCAATTGAGAAAGGATATACAGGGCAGTGAAGTAGTATTTATCATCAAGTTCATGCGCTAAAAAGACAGGTAAACCAGAGGCAGAGTGGGATGACTCAAATAAACACCGAACATGTATCACACTGGGCTATGATCCAGCAAATATCAGGTCTATTTTTATAACCTCCACAAAGGCATTGTGAGCGCACACGGTTCTTTTTTTAAAAGCATTTTGCAGGATTACTGTTGATTCTTTCTTCATACTCGTAGTGCTCAACATAATGCATCATATTCGATTACCAGCTCTAGGGCCATCTGATTACCGTAGACTGCAAGGCCACGCTGGATTAACATAAGACAACAGGAGAAAGGAAGAAACATCCAATTACAACCAATCTGATCGTTCATCGTCGAGAACAGAAAGGACAAATCCCCCAGAAGCAAGCCCGGTAGGTATTAATTCTCGGGTCTAGCATGGAGAGAGAACAGAACGTAAGATAGTAACAAGACAAGAGATAAATGGGGGATTTTGGTGATCTCAAAAAGAAAAATCGCCGGTGGCGGAAGCAGAAAGGACAAAAGTAGAGAGAAGAAGAAAAAAAAAAAGGTTGTAAAAGAAACAAAATGAGAAAGGAATATGATTCGCTCATCTTCAAGTGAACAGAGAGCATTGCGCCATCAACCATCGTCCATTGCCATCCGCCAAATCACAAAACGCCTTTCGGGAGATCAGGTTACACACACAAGGTAAAGAAAAAGAAGAAAACGAACAAGCACACGGAAGTAATGCAACTAGAATGACAGGTCAAATATCATATATCCGATAGCTAAGAGATCAAGGGGCATCATTCGTCTTCGCCGACTCCGTTGGCTCCAGCGCTATCCCGGTTACCATTGTTGAAAGTAAGCTTCAACTTGGGCTGTCCAGGTGTCCCAGCGGCGTTAGGCGTCCCAGCGCCAGAGAGAGCAGCGGCAGCCAGACCATCGCCTGATGCGTCGTCGAAGTTGGCGAATTGCGGATATTCCTCGGTGAGTCTCCTCAACTCAGAAACACATTTTGCCTATGTACTGGTCAATAATCTCTCGGATAATGTAGTAGCAGTGATGAACTTACCTCAATGTCATTCGCATCCTGGAACAAGATACTGCCATCTTCGTTGTAGGTTCTGGCATTCTGACAGAGCAAATGGATGTCATTCCGGAAATCCCTCAGATTCTGGTACTCATCACGGTTGATCTTCTTTCTGATCATCTCCATGGCAATCGGGTGTTGGATGATCATGTAATAGTCTGGATATTGCGACTTGGGAGGCGGCTTCATGAATGGATCAATAATGGCGCGAGTCACGGGTCCATCTTCACTATCAGAGGAGTCGGCTGGCAATTCCTGTTCCATATCCATCAAAGCCTGGTAGGTAGTATTGACAATGCTTTGAAGAGCGGCCCGATCTGTGCTACTCAACGTCTCCACGGGCTTGGCCTGTCTACCTCTCTTGCGCTTGGGCTGCGGTGTTTCTTCCACAAGTTCCTCAGCCTTTCGCTTGGGAGCAGGGCCTCTACGACGCTTCTTCGGCTGAGGAGTCTCAGAGTTCTCCCGCGATGGTTCTGGCGAGGAATCATCACCCTTCCTGCCACCCCGCTTCTCCTTATTGACACGACGACGTTCCACCCTAGCCTCTTTTCTGGCGATGGCCTCTTCAATGGTGTCATCATCGGCATCAACTGCCATAAGCCACTGCTCTTCAGTAAGACCGTCGTCATACCGGGTAGTTTTGCGTTCACGGGCACCGCGCCCACCCAGATCGACTTCGACTTCTTCCGCAACAGGGTTTTCCTCAGCCATATAAATGTCTGGAAGCTCACTTTCAGACATCAGACGGGGCAGTGCTTGGCCAGTACCGTATCCAGAGGTCTCTGCTCGCTGTTTGTCAATGGCCTGGAAAGTAGCCAATTCGACATCGGATCGTGCCATTATATCGTTCAAGTCGTCATCATCCATCTCGTCCTGATCACCGACTTGGTCTGCGGCTTCGGCAGTTTCAAGCAGTGTTCGCAGCAACGCATCTCGTTCTTCATTGGTGGACTTGTTGTCGAACTTTCCTGCTTGAATAACCTTGCCATCCATGTCGAGCTTGAACTGGGCACGTTCGAGAATCTTCTCCTCGACGGAGTTAGAACTGATCAGACGTAGGATACGGACTTCGTTCTTTTGGCCAATACGATGGGCACGATCTTGAGCCTGCAAATCCTGGTGAGGATTCCAATCCGAATCGAAAATAATGACCGTGTCAGCAGACTGAAGGTTAAGACCAAGACCACCAGCACGTGTTGAAAGCAAGAAACAGAAATATTCAGACTCGGGGTTATTAAACTGTTTCAGCAAATCAGATCGGTCGTCAGATTTAGTGGAACCATCAAGACGAAGATACTTCAAACTGCGCAAGCGAAGAAAGTCTTCCATGATGTTCATGATTTGGGTCATTTGGAAGAACATCAGGACACGGTGACCAGTAGCTCGGAATTTGGGCAGAATTCGGTCAAGAAGCTCAAACTTTCCTGCGGTTCGCCAAATGAGGTCGTTGGTACCCCGGCCAGGGTTCATTTGATCCTCCACAGGTTCGAAAACGAAGGGATGATTGCAGAGCTTCCTCAACTGCATCAACATGTTGCTAAGACCGCGCATACCGGTCTTACCTCCCTTACCGTCGCTGACCACCATCTTGTTGTGGGTAACAAGCTGCTTGTACAACTTGGACTGCAATGCAGAGAAGCGACACTTGATGACACGTTCTTGCTTGTCTGGCAAGTCCTTCTCGACATCCTTCTTGAGACGCCTGAGCAGGAAGGGCCGAAGAACCTTGTGAAGACGACGAATAACAAGTAGCTGTTCTTCTTCGGACATCTCCATACGGTCCTGGCCTCCAGTGTTGGCGAAAGGCGTGTTGAACCACTCATCAAACGATTTGACCGACTTAAAGATGTTTGGTAAGACGAAGTTCAGCAGCGCCCACAACTCGGGAAGGTTGTTCTGCAGAGGAGTACCGGTCAAAATCAAACGGTAGCGGCAGTTATAGTACTGTGAAAGTGTGCTGCTCAGCTTAGACTGGGAGTTCTTCATGCGGTGACCTTCATCGACTATCATGTGGGTCCATTTGACCTTGCTCAAAATTGGGCGATCTTTGATGATATACTCGTAGGTGGTCAGCAGAACCTGGAAATTTCCCCAGCGAATTTGCTGTTGTTGCTGCTTGCGCGCATTAGGAGGACCCTTGTAGACAACCCTGCTCACAGCCGGTGCCCATTTTTCAAACTCCAAGTTCCAGTTTGTGAGGGTACTGAGTGGGACGATCACCAAAAATGGACCGTTGTTCTTCTTCTTTTCGATGATGTAGGTGATCAAACTGATGGTCTGAATGGTCTTTCCGAGACCCATCTCGTCTGCCAAAATACCGTTGAGGTTGTTGTTGTAAAGTGAAATCATCCACTGCAGACCCTTGATCTGGTATTCCTTCAGAGTTCCACCGACAAGAATGCTAGGCTGTTCGGTGATGTCTTCCTTGATACGATGAGCCACAGCATAGTAATCGATCTTCTTTCTGCCACGGTTTTCCCCATCGTCATCACTTCCCACATCCTCGATATCTTCTTCCTCTTCCTCTTCCTCATAGAACTGATCATCTTCACCATATCGTTCGGCCAGACCACGCTGTTGCTCTCTGACCGAATCAGCAAGCTGCTTAAGGAAGTTATCAGTCTGTCTGAGCAGATGAGAAATACGGGAGTCCTTGGCCTGTCCCAAGAGCTTGAGGTAGGTCTCCTCATCGTTAGCTTTCAAGGCCTGGAGACGTTGCTTAGCAGTCCTCTCCACACGCTTCTGCTCTTCGCGCTCCATGTGCTGGTGATGCTGGAGCATCATACGACCCAGCTTCTGCATGCGAGTCCGTTGCTGAGTAGCAGCGTTCTGGAGCTCAACACCATGGTTAAGAATAGCCTGCAATTGATCATATTGCTTCTTCTTTTCCCTGGTCTCACGAGCATCACGTTGTTGCTTCTCTAGCTTCTCGGTAATTCTAGCTTCTCGCAAAGACTGCTTCTTCATGCGGCGATGACTCGAACGGTTTGCAGTCATTCCCAAGTTATCAAAGTGAAACATTTCATTTTGAATCTGTTTGCGGAAGAGTCTTTGCTTAGGGAGAAGATTCAGCATCTTGTATTCAATTAATGCCTTGAGCTTCAATGAATCATCACCCGTAGGTGTATCACTTCGGCTTGTATCCCAAACACCGAGATTAGTAGGAAGCTCGGCTAGTTCTGCTTTTCGTGCATTGATCCGATTGTACACGACCATTTCCCTATCTTCGCGGACCTGGTCCAAGTCAATACCAGTCGGAACCAAAGCCGGAATCCGCGGGCGATTGGCCCGAGAGGCGTGATCCGTATAGCTAATGCTTTTAGAGAGAGAGTCGTAGGGGGATTGGAAGTTTTCGTAAAAATCTTTAGGCTGCGAGGCAGTTTCAGTGGCATCACTAGGCTGCTCGCCTTTGTTTTGTGTTGCACCTTCAATGGTGCTCTCTGCGGCCGCAACATTGTCCGCAGGAGTAGGAGTTTGCGATTTCTTCGACGCAAATAGTTGTCCCTGGACACGAGGGGGGATCGGAAGGTTCTTGGACAGCATCTTGAAAGCCAGGATTTGATTCCTGAGCGTTGCTAGCTGCTCCGCAGAGAAGCTACCGCTAGTGACAGGTGCGCCCTTTTGAGTTGCATTCTGCCCTGGAGTTTGTGATTGTGTGCCCGCAGGTGTGGAAGCCGCATCCTGTGCAGCGCTGGCAGCTGAAGACACCGAGCCATTTCGACCATGGACACCGTTGGCGGCAGGATCCGGAGTCGCACCGTTCAGCTGCTGCTGCTGCTGCTGTTGCTGTTGCTGTTGGCGCTGTTGCTGTGCCTGAAGCTGTTGCTGCTGCGCATATTGCCGTTGCTTTTGGTAGACTTGCTGTCGTTGAATGGCGGAAAGAAGATTGTGCGCCTTCAGGTACTCGGGGTCATCCTGGCGAACGCCCTGCTCTTGCATCTGTTTATATTTCTGCAAGCTGTTAGATCAATTCAAAAGTGGCAAAAGTTCAATTGGGCATAAAAATAAATAAACCATCAGAAGTGAGGTGGTTGAAGCAAGCTGGTGAATGCGGAGGGAGAAAAAAAAAATTAGCGCGATGGGAAAAAAGTCATACCTGAAGAACTTCTTGGACATGCTGCTGCGTCAAATTGGGCGGCAGACTCATGTTGCCAGCCATATTGGGTGCTGACTGGAGAGAAGCCATGCTCTAGCGCGTCGTTGCTTTGTTCATAAGCGTGGTAGACACGTTGGAGACCTGGTTTGCGACAGAATCCGCGATGGGGCTATTAGGGAAATACAGGAAACCAAGGCTGTTGGTGGTAAATCGTAAGTCGCGCCTGCGGGGCGAGACAGCGCGCTTATTTACTGAGGTGGAGGGATGGAAGGCTGCTATTGTCGATGGATGCGACAGGTAGCGGCCAGTAACTGATCCTTGGCGAAAGGTTTCGTGATGTTTAGACCGGGTTTCCGGGGAGAGGTGTGGGTGTGAGATACAGGGCGGTAGACGACAAAACAGGAGCAGACAGAAAGGGGAGGTCCAACGCGAAGACGAAGGGTTTGTAAGGGCCCCAAATGAAAGGATTCGCGTGGAAAAGGCGCGTGGAAAGTCTGGATGGATGAAATGGAGATGGAGGGGACGGACTTTCGCGACTCGCCGTGGTGGTCGGTCGGGGAAAACTGGCTGTGCTCTCAGCCTGTGCCTGTAACGAGGAGAGGCGGGCGGCGAGCGACGTTGGAAGAAGATTTCGTGCCGGACACGTGACTGTTGCTGACTCAGCGAGTGGCCGGAGTGGCCGCGTTCAGGCTTGGCAGTTGATGCCGGAAATGTAAGGCAGTGATACATATGGGAGACTAGGGTATCCAGATACTTATTGTAATGGGCAATATTGGTGATTATGGTGCTAGTATATTCAGCTTTCCTCTTGATATTGATCAGTGAGTCTAAAACTTTCCCTAGCGGTCAATACGAATGTGGTCATGACAAGTCACACAGATCTATTGCGCAGTCTTATTTTGCTTATTGCCACGAACACAGATGATGTACGGTGTAGGTACCTTAGTCTAGTCAGGTATCCAATCGAGCCCTTCCTATAATACAACCTTGACCTTGACCAAGATAACAATGGCGCAATAGTGGCATGGGTAAGAAGGACCGACCCTGAGTATTAAAGCTCTAATCCACTACATCTGTTTTACAGTGCCCAACGGAAAGAATAAAGCATGAAGCAAGTTGATTATGAAGGATTAAAACACGATTCCCGGTAATCTACCCGAACTCCAAACCCCAAGCGCTATACAGAATGGTAATCTCGATGAACTTCACGAATCCCCTACAGTGAGAAGAGCCCTCTTCATCGGCGGCGGCGGTGGCGGCTTCTTTGCGCGCGAAGGAGGCGGCGGCGGCGGACCCTTCTTGAATCCTCCAACACCGTTAAGATGGGTAGAGCTGGTCCTCCTGGACATCACACTGCCATTAGACGGAGCTGGAGAGACTGAGCGTCCTCGGTACGAATTATCAGGGCTGTTGCCGCTCCGTGGACTGATGTCGTCAGGAGAGTTGACATAGTAGTCGGTACTAGGCACTCGAGTGCTGATAGGCAGAACCTGGGAGCTGTCCCTGCGAGGCATGTAGTTTTCGCTGTTTGTTCTCGATGGCAGTTGGTAGGAAGGTTGCTCTTGTCGCAACTGCGAAGGTCCTTCAAATGTTGGTGTCCGGTTGAAAACTGGACGTGGGAAACCCGTTTCGACCGGTTGGCTCGACCGGATGATAGGCCGAGGTTCTGTTTCAGTCTGGGGTTCCTCATGAAGTGGTTCGTAGCGTTCGTAATACGAGTGTGCAGTGTTGGAGCGGGCACGTCCAGAGCGACGACCATTCGGCGTCTGCGTAGTAGCTTGACTAGAGAGGGTTAGCACAGCGAAAATCATCTCCAAGTCAAGATTACTTACCCGCCAGGCCACTCATTCTTGAGCTGGAGGAGTACCTCCCGGCACCTTTCGTGATAGCTCAGCTGGGCCTCCAGGAACGCAGTCAAGTCCACAACATTCTCTGCCTCTGAATCCTTGATATCTTGCATGCGCCGGAAGACATCTTCATTGGCCTCTTCATACTTGACCTTCTGGGTCCGAAGCTCTTCCTCCACACGAAAATCCTCTCTCTTCGCCTTCTCCATCTTGGAGAGCGAAGTGTCGTAGGCAAGTCGCCGGCTATCGAGCTTCTTGCGGGAGGCCTATAGGAAATATGTCAGACCATCTGTACCCGATAAATGCTGGAACCATTATATTTACCTGGTAGTCTTTCATTTGAGTCAAGGATCTCTCCAGTGACTCAAGCCAGCTTGAGTTCGCCTGTGAAATGTAGCTTTCCTGGACACGTGCAAGTCGCTCCTCGGCTCTTCCAAACACTGATTGCGAAAAGAAAAGATATCAGCGACCTGCAGCTCGTTCAAGGAGCAATAGCCGATGGTGGTGACTTACTGGTCATGCACCGTCCGTACTCCGAATTCACATCAAAGTCCTCTCCGTGGCTGACCATACTACCTCCCAAATGGGCAATAGGTAATGTTTTCTCCTTATCATCGCCTTCGTTGCGTTTGGAAACAGATTTGACGTAGGCTGTCATGGATTTGTGAATGCGATCGACGCCTGGGGGAAGAAAATCGAGCGTCAGTATCATGAGATAGACTTCTCAATTAGGGAAAATAAAAATATTCTGTACTCACCATCATGTCTCACATTCATCTCAGTCTCCATGGCTTTGAAGTCGTCGGAAAGACTGGTCTTGACCTCTCCACCCATTCGCTCTCCAGCCCATTGCTTGAAGCGACCGAATTTCTTGTTGACATGCATTATGAATGCTGGTGGTTATGGACGGGTCGAAATGCTGCAAACGGTTTGAAAAGGATAGCGTGTCCTTGGGGGCAATGATAACAATGCAGGTCTGAAAGAGTGGCTACCCTGCGATTCCGGTATATCCACAAAGGATTGAGTATGTATGGAAAGCAGATCGTCGAACAAAAAGAAGGGTTGAGAAATGGAGAAAATAAGAGAATAAAAACAGAGAGGAATGGGTTAATTAATGAGAATATCCGTGGTGGTGAGCTGAGGAATGACAGACGGCGACAATAATGTCAGAAACCGATTCCCAGGAAACGCAACGTAAAATGCGCAGGGCGTCAAGGATGCAAAGTATGGGGGGATATAAATGGATTATGGATCAGACTTGGAGGGCGCCACTGGCGGACGACACAGCAATTTCCCTTGCTCTCCTTTGTCTGGTTTGGCAGGAACCACAATCGTCGCTTCTCTGAATGCGTCTATCCTTGGGTTTTGATCTTTCTGGAGGGAGAGGACAGGCTTGCTTTTTCTGTTTGATAAGAGGGATCGACTATCGAAGGTGGGGAGGGAGAAGGTCACTGTGATGTCGAGCGAGCAATGAGGGATGGATCATGGATGATATTCATGCGCACGTACGCCCACCATTATTATTGTAATTAATTAACCACCGGAGGAGGTGTACCTGAAACGTAGCTTCAGTGGATGAATCCCTTTTTTTTGCCCATCCTATTCGATCACCGCCCACAGACCTGCTCCAGCTGTGTCAGAATCAGCCAGAAACAATTACACTCAGATGGATTCGACTGCTGATGGGCCAGACCTTACACTGCAGACAGTGTGACACGCGTTGTGTGGGCCGCCGGTGGGGATCTGAGATACAAATATTACTGTAACACTGGAACAGGTCCCTTTGCCACAGTCTAATCATAGGATGCTATTTACAGAACAGAGACATTCGATGGATCTGGAGTCTGAAACAAACACTATTTCCCTCATCTCATCTGTACTGTGCTCTCTCTTCTCCTCATCTGATATGAGATGGGCTTACAGAGTACGTACTCTACTTCATATAAGCAAGTTGACCTAAGAATTAAGATCATGTATTCTGTCTGTACCTGTATGGCGTATGCGGTTTGCAGATCATGTCAGCACTTCTTCTGAAATACAGTTGCGACAAGACTGCAAACGACCACTTTCGAGTATCTCCGCTTGCACTCTGCTGGAGTTTCCAATTATTATTCTTGATAATAACCATCAATAATCGAGTAAAATACTGTAACCGTAGCCATGTAATTCCCGATGATCAAAGACGATCGGCCCCAGAAACATTGACCACCCAGTGCCATATCGTCACTGCTCATGTGCCTGTCTGCCGGCCTGCCAGATCACGAAACGAGATGACGTTTGAAGATTGTCCTTTTTCTTAAAAGGACGATCTGACACCTCCATGGCTTTCCGTATCCCCGTCCCTTGTTTCTCCCCCCTTTTGATCCATGAACGGTGAACCATCCATGAACCGCACCCTGATTATGTACCACTGCCCCGCCTTCTTTCCAACGGGGGGAATTAACTCGATCCACTAACCCAGGCGCTTCACGGGGGAGGTTATGTATACAATACAAAGCACTTCAAGGAGAGAGGGCTGTGTCTAGAGGCCTTCCCACGGTTGCAAGGTGATCAGCGCTTCGTCGAAATCGATCATTTCGGATTGCGTTATGGATTGCTTTGCTTTTTCCACCAAAGGCCCCGTGGGAATGTCGTTCCGGGGTGCGCTGAGGGAATGGTCCATTAACGGTAAAAACAGATTGTCCAGATATCCTCTGTCTTCTCCTGAAACATGCTCTTGCTCTTGCTCATCCTCCGCGGTTATTAGGATGTCAAACTCGTTCCACGGCATGGAACCACCGGCGTTTGTATATATATCACCCAATCCGCCAGATGAACCAGGATTATCCAAATCTACACCATCCGCCACAGCCGTCATCGAAAAGATGCTTCCATTATTTCCATCCTGTCCGCTGTTCTGATCCAAAGACTGTTGAGAATTTTTGTTCAACACCTCCTGGGCGTATTGACCAGGCGTTACGCCCATCACCCGTTTAAACACACGATGGAAATGACTCGGTGTCAGACAAGCCTCGTCCGCAAGTTTCTGAAGTCTCGGCTTCGATCCGGCCCTTATATCTGACAGGATTGTCTCGCACGCATTTTCTATCAATTGGGTTTGGGGGTTAACCGCCCGGATTGTCTCTGGTTTGCACCGCTTGCAGGATCGGAATCCTGCAGCCTCGGCCTGCGACGGGGTATCGTAGAATTTGACATTTGCCCGTCGTGCGAGACGAGCTGGACAAGACGGTCGACAGTATATCCTGGTCGTTAAAACGGCGTAGACAAAGGTATTTGCTGTTGCGTCGCGATTGACGACTGCTTGCCACCGCGCACTAGCAGGCAACGAGGGGTTGTTAGGAGAGAGGCGTGAAATTCTTTGAGGTGGGGTCTTTTGAACCATTTTGATGCGATAGACGTCTATCGCAGTAGTTGAAAAAGAAGAATAATCTGTAGAATCAACTCAGGCAGTGAAAAAAAAAAAAAAATCTGGCCTTCGATCTCGAAGACTAGGTACCTCAGTTACCTTCGCCAGGATTGCTGGTGGCGCCGCTGATTGGCCACATTGAGAGCAACGTTTCAGGGTCTCAAGTTCAACAATTTTCAACAATAATTTTGTCTAGGAGAGCAATAATGAAAATAATAACAGGTAAAGTATGGGATATTGCTGTAAGGCGGCCTACATGTCTTTGTTAGCTTCGTTCTTTGTTCAGACTGCGGAGTATTTTCACCCCACAATCTAATATCTCCAATATATATCTACGAGGTCAGGCTTTCATCATTAGATCCTTATCAATTCCAGGTATTCAGCATATATAATTTGCAACAGCCAGCAAGTGCGGTCCTGCTAATCCAGTAGAATATAGGAATGTAGAAATGAATACCTAGCGACCAGGGCAAAAACGCCTGTCGCGAGCCGCATGCTATATACTCAGGTACGACAACTACAGAAAGACATTGAACCAAAAACCAATTGAATTTCCGCATGAATACCCGTAGGCATCTACTTTTCTTTTGCTAGAGATATGTCATGTAATGCACCCAGTTGAACCCTGAAATTTGTATCCTTTTTTGTCATCAATGAAAAAGTATGGTGGCCACAACCTCGATTGGCTACGGACATGGGGAGGTAATCCGCAGTCGCTAAGTACATATGTCTCATAGCAAAGACCCTTTTCAACCCGTCACAAAGAAAAAAACTCCACCCAATAACACGTTTAATCCTTGGTCTTCTGGGTACCACGGAGCAGACCAGTTCTCCGGGCAGCAATAAGACCGGCTTTTTGACCCTGGACGGCGTAGCGGGAGATGGTTGAGGCCTTACCAATGTGCTGGTGGTTACCACCACCGTGAGGCTGTAGAAGAACATGTCAGAAATCCCGTCTTTTGCAAATTTGGAGGAATCAGGGGTCAATCTTACGTGGTCCACGGGGTTCATGGCAACACCACGGGTCTTGGGCCACGAGTTGCGCTTGACAGCGAACTTGTGCTTGGCACGAGAAGCCTTGAGCAAAGGCTTGTCGGTACGTCCACCACCGGCGACGATACCAACCATACCACGAGAGGTGTTCTTGACGAGCTTCTTGGCACCACTGGGCAACTTGATTCTGGTCTTGCCATCCTCGGGGTTCTGGCCGATGACGGTAACGTAGTTACCAGAGGTACGACCAAGAGCACCACGGTCACCAGACTTCTCCTCAACGTTGGTAACGACGGTACCCTCAGGGACGGAGGAGAGGGGGAGAACGTTTCCGATGGTCAGAGTAGCGTTCTTTCCGGCGTAGATGAACTGGCCAGTGTACATGCCCTCGTTGGCGATGAAGGTCTCGGTGACCTGCTTGAACTTGTAGGGGTGACGGAACTGGACCTTGGCGAGGGGAGCACCACGGCCGGGATCGTGGATGATCTCCTTCACGACACCTCTGGTGTATCCATGACGCTCAGCGAAGTCGAGCGTACGGAACTGGGCAGGGGCCTTGTTGAGACGGGTGTGAGCCGCTGAAAGCGAGATTCTGTATCAGCAATTGTGATCCTGGAGATTTTTTTCTTGCATATTTCCTCGCGGTCGCACTCACTGAAAATGGATCCACGACCCTTCCTCTGGTTACGGATCACGCGACCCATGGCGACTCTCTATACTGGTGGTTAGTATTCAAAAAGCAAGTCCGCCTGGTGACCGGTGGTGGGAGTTTATCAAGTTGCTCGTACCTCAAATCGAAAATGGGCTTGTCGGGTTGGTGTTGTAGAATTCGTCGAAGCAGAACTGTGTGGGCTTTAGGGCGACATCGCTAATCTAACCGAGTTGGCGCTAGCGCCTTTTGGGCGGGCGGCGGCGGCTCTGGTTGGCCGGCGGATTCCAACGTGCCCTCATCTTCGGACTCACCTCAAGGGCATCGGGTATCTACTGTTTGGTTGCTTGATGATTCAGGTCGATCGCATAGAGGGTTGATTTAAATAGTTGTCATGATGCTGGCACCTCGGGGGTTCTTTTGCTTCTCTGTTCTCCTGAGTTCCCTCCTCTAATGCGGGTTTAGCAATCGAATTTGTCATCATGTCGTCTATGGCACACGGTGATGCGACTGGCGTTGGAATGGAAAGAAATTATTTATACGGCCTGAGAAGTTTAGTCAGGCAAGATATTGATAATTTCCCCTTTACTGTGCTTAGATACAACCACTAAATACATGATAAGGTTGCGACGAGTCGTTGAGCCCGGGGTTTGGACCCTCTAGGGCAAAGTCCTGCATGGTTTCTCTGTGCAATGTTAGAACCATCAAATGTTTTTCAGCCTCGTCAAAACTACACTGCGCAAACAGTGGCAGAACATTGGAATTATATTCTTCTGGAATATGGATGTACAAGCATTCGCATTGAGTTGGAGCAGTGGGCCAAGGCTGATTCCCAGAGACACGCTTTCAATGGTCGGGATGTCCTCAACCATTGATTCTACTATGTCTTAATGACCTCAGTCTACTGAGTTATTGAAGCAAATGCCGGTCTCGACTGGAAATGCGCAGTGTTCTTTTCCCTGGAGGATCATACGAATCTCTCAAATTTCTGGACAAACCCTGCAATATCATGCTGGATCTCTGCATATAAATTAGCGGTTGTCTGTTCTCGATTGATGTGTGGGCTGGTTTACTCTTATTTCTCTGTAGCAAATCCTCAATGCATGATCTATTACATTAATTATTATTTCTTCCTCCCCCTTGCCTCCATGATCTTTTGGCAACTGTGATTAATTAGCCAACCTGTATGTTGATCATGCCCTGATATGATATGGGCTACCATTCTCTGTAGATGATGCCAAACGGACCACGCGCGTAAAAGCCGCGCTTCCAGTAGCGGCAGTTGAACTTCTTTGCGGCGCGCGGAGTCGGACCTCATTCACCTTAACTTGCTTCAAACACCACCACCACCACCAGCCTTGACCATATCCAGGATGTCAGTCTCCGACTCAGATCTTTCGTCGCTATCATCGGCGCCACCGACAGATGATGAGTCTATGGCTGTTGATGAGCCTGTGGGGATCGCAAAGTACTTCAAGAAGCAGGAGTCTGAATCTCCGCCGCCGAAGCGGGCTCCCTCACCCCCTCACGATTATATTCTAGCAGACAACCCGGATATCGCAGTAAGTTCTGGAGAAAATGGATTTTTACACGCCGCCGAGGATACCCATCACGCGAATCGTCCTTTACATATCGCGCTTGCTGACTTGTCGCAACTTGGAAGTTCATTGTAATGTTCCGCGCGCGTTTCCACGAAGTATTCCCGCGATCAACACCACACTACGGACCACAAGATATCGAGAGAGGTGCTACAGAAACTCCACCGGGGGATCATATTGAGAAACTATTGTGTGCGTTGCTCGGCCTGGTATTGAACCGGAAGAAGGATGTTGAGTATGAGCGCCACCCTTTCCCCGGATTCTGCACGTCGCGGAGAAAACACGACAAGAACTTTTTTGATTTCCACCCGACCATTTATGCCTGGACAAATAACTGATGCGGGGCCTTGAATTTACAGACGGAATCATTATCAACGCCCTCTGGAAGAAGCGATTCATACTCATGCGTCTCAATGGCCCAAGGTCTGGGAGGGCAAGAACCCCCTTCACGGGGGTCGGACTTTTGCGACCATGTCGCCGGAGGAACGCGTATGTGGATAATATCTGAGAACTTGCAGTTCGCAACGCTGACACTTTTCTAGCTGCAACTGCTGAAATCCCTAATTCTATGGTCCCTTTCTTCCTCCGAAGCCGTCCAAGCCAAGATCAAAGAGTCCTATAAGCAAGCACGCCATGAAGATGATTTGAACCAGCCACTTTCAGTCCAACCCTGGGGACGCGATGGACTTAAGCGCCGATACTGGCTCATTGAAGGGCAGGATGATACACATTTCAGACTATACCGGGAGAGCAACCCGGCATTGAAGAATGTCACATGGTGGAGCGTGGCAGGCGATATTCCCGAGCTGAAGGCGGTTGCTGATAAGCTCGATGAAGAAAAGAGCACGAACTCCAAAAAGCTAAGCGAGAGAATCAACAATTCAATTCCTCGTTTCGAGGGTGCAGAGGAGGTAAGTTACAGGCTACTCGATTGTTTGATTACCTTACTTACGAGATGGAAAGAAACGCAAGCGCCGCGACTACCGGATTGCCCGAAAGGCTCAATTTTCTCGACCAGAGCCTGGCTTCTCTCTCTACGAAGGTCGCACCCGTGGGAAGAAGCTCAAGTACACGTACTCTGACGACGAGGACTTATTCTCCGACGACATGCCCACAACCCGTCGATCTACCCGAAACGCATCCGGGGTTTCAACTCCTGGTGAGCCAGCGGGCCCCAAATACACGGCAAGCGGAAGACAAATTCGCTCACGTGCTGGAGGCTTATATGGCGAAGCCTTACTCCTTGGCCAGCGGGGAGAGGATGAATCTGAAGAGGAGACAGGCAGACCTCAGAGGAACAGAACCACTCGTGCGAATGGACACACCGACTACGATATGCTTGATGAAGATGGCGACTCGGAAGGCGCCGACTCTAACGAGTGGCAGGGCGGAGAAGAGGAAGAAGAGAATGACTTCGAGGGTGACGATGAAGAGGGTGCCAGCGGGGATGAATCAGTACTGAATGATGGAAACCAGAGCCTCGTGGTGCAACTGAGGTATGGCAAGGGAAAATTGCCAAGTAGCCCGAATGTCCCTGGCGAAGGACCAACAGGGCAGAACTTCGAGGCCAAAGATGAGACAAATGAGCATAAGAGTCAACAAGAACAACCTGCCTCCACTCAAACGCAAGAGTCGGTGGCCAATGGACCCCAAGACACAGCTCAGGAGAGCTCAGTCTCAGATCCCAAAGCGCTCCCTACCCCCACAGAGGAGCCGAAGCAGAGTCTACAGCAAAATGGACCAAATGGATTGACTCATGGAGATGCTGCTAGTGCCAATGCTGGAATACCTACCAACCAGCCTGCCGCACTCAACGGCACAAATGAGGCAGGTTAGCAGCCCGGATTATATAATTTCAAGTCGCAGAATAAAATGGAAGACCCTGCATATCTCTGGCCTTGACAGAGTCTGGGTATAATGATCCCATTCTTCATTTTCGTTTTTATTACCATTGCTTTAACGGATACGGGGCAAAACACGGAGTCTTGCTTATCAGGCGTTATTTTACATGAGGGATGTTTCAAGTCAGCGTTGAGAGTAAATTGTCAGGTCTATTATGGCCCAGAGTGATTTCGCGATTTCTAAAATCATTCTTAGAGGAGGGATTCCAGAGGATATTCTGAAGACGTGATGAAAACTAGTTTAGTCCCGTATTTGTATGGAAACTTTGTATTCGATGAAAAAGAGGTTGATCTCACAATGCAAATGTAAAGAGATACCCAAGTATCTTTCTTTTTTCTATGTGTGACAAGGCACGTCAAACCAAGTCATGTTTTCAAATGAAGATTTTGATTTTGCATATATACTAATAGGGAAAAAAGGAAACTTGTCGATGGTATTAACGCCATGGCCCTAACTCCTGCGAATGCAAGCCCAGCTGCGAAAAAATCCATAAGGAACAATTCGGTAATTCGATTCAAAATTTCAACAAGGCCTTTAATCAGCCCCGGCGTAAGAGAACTGTGCCTTGTAGAACTGTAAAAACTCCGAGACCGTCAGCACCAGTTAAATCAGTTTCACTCAGCCCTTCTTATCAATCAAGGCTGTATTGAATTCAAGAAATGGATCCATAACAATGGAGACAATGCACTTACGTCTTCCACCTGACTAGCAAGTTTACGGTCCTTGTTGAGGGAAGGAAGCTTCCAGTTGTTCACTTCGTACCACCATCTGCGCAGTCTGCTTCCCAGAGTCTTGCCGCTGAGGGATGCACCGCGGTTCCAGTAACGCCAGCCGGAGAGAGCAAGAGTCCAAAGGGTACCCTGGACCAGAGGGAGAAGGACCTACAGTAGAAAATCAATCAAGTTAGCAAATTCCATATCGTCCTCCTTGTTTCAACAAAATAAACCCTCCGGAATCCTCGTACCTGATCTCTGATTGTGATCCATGCAATTCTTCCCTTGGTGTCTGCATCCTTCAAGCTGGCCAGGTAGCTCTGCTCAAATCGCAGATCCGGCATAGGAGGAAACTGGTGTCGTCGGGCAACAGATCGAATCACCCGGCCAGGATCGACAATGTCTGAAGGAATACTGTCTGCTTCAGAGGGCGTGGATTCCACGGCTGGTTTCTTTTCCGAAGCAGCGGTGGTCGGGTTGACATCGTGAGCTGGGGATGGGTCCTGCTTGACGGAGGCGGTTTGAATGGTCTCAGCGACCTCGATCGTTGGGTCGGACATTTTGCAACGGGAATAGCTGCGGGCGTGAATCAACGAGCAGGTGATGGATGTGATCTGGCTGTCTGTCGTTGTTGATCAACCGTCCTGTCCCCTGACGCAACAGAAAGCGGCGCGCCATTAAATAATCCTCTCCGGACGGCAACCGGCGAATCACAGTCGATCCAGCGCCGGCCTTCCTCAACCCCTCCACCTCGACGCTCCCCCACTGTCCCTCTTTGCTTTGCCTTCCTCTTCTTTCCCTTCCTCTTTCTCTCAACCATCCATCTCTCTCCAATTCATCCTCTTTTCTCTTCACACGCTCAGAAACCAAAGACAAAATGGCTTCTTACCCCCTTCTTTGCTTGGAGAACCCTCTCCTCGGTGCGTGACTTGTGCAGTTAAACATCCCTGATATGGGTTTCATGTACTAACTTTTCTTGCGGGAATTAGACATCCAGGCTGTCGGGTACGTCAACTAAACAAGAAAGATACTACTTGATTCAAGTAAAATTGAACACTGGTTAATGTTTATAATTTTACAGTGACGCTGCTCTCTTGCAGAAGTATGGCCTGAAGGACAACGATGCCATCCTTGCTGAGGAGAAGCACATGGGTATCTACGATGAACTGCTCTCGAAGCCCGATGTTAAGTTGATTGCTGGTGGTGCTGCTCAGAACACTGCCCGTGGTGCTCAGGTGTGACCCCTCAACTGTTTGATGTTGCACAGGAATGCAAATGCTGACCCCGCTCCATTAGTACATGCTTCCCGACAACTCGGTCGTTTACATTGGCTGTGTCGGTAAGGACAAGCACGCCGACACCCTCAAGGAGGCCTGTGTTAAGGCTGGTGTCCACACCGAGTACCGTGTCGACGATGTCCAGCCCACTGGCAAGTGTGGTGTTATCATCACTGGCCACAACCGCAGCATGTGCACCCACCTCGCTGCTGCTAACGAGTACAAGGTTGATCACTTGAAGCAGCCTCACATCTGGTCTGTCGTCGAGAAGGCCGAGTACTTCTACGTCGGTGGTTTCCACCTTACTGTCTCTGTTCCTGCCATCCTGGCTCTTGCTGAGGAGGCCGCCGCTAAGAACAAGGTATGCATTGGAAGCTGTTTTGTTTCTAGGCATTATTAACCATCATCAAATAGCCCTTCTTGCTTTCTATCTCCGCCCCTTTCATCGCTCAATTCTTCAAGGACCAGCTTGACCAGGTCCTCCCTTACACCGACTACACTTTCTGCAACGAGACTGAGGCCCGTGCCTACTCTGAGAGCCACGGCTGGAATACCGATGACGTTGTTGAAATCGCCAAGAAGCTGGCTCTGTTGCCCAAGAAGAACACCAACCGCCCAAGAATCGCTGTCGTCACCCAGGGCACTCTCCCCACCGTGACCGCTTCTGCTAAGCCTAACGGTGAGGTCGAAGTTAAGGAGGTTCCCGTCCATGAAATCGCCAAGGAAAGCATCAATGACACCAACGGTGCTGGGTAAGTAAACTATTCTTGCAGATGATTCTTGTCCCAAGAAATTGCTTTTCTAACTATGACGTTCTTTAGTGATGCTTTCGCCGGTGGTTTCTGTGCTGGTGTTGTCCAGAAGAAGTCTCTGGAGGAGAGCGTTGACATGGGCCAGTGGCTCGCACGCCTCAGCATCCAGGAGTTGGGAGCTTCGTAAGCGTCTCCCTATCTGAAATTTCAGTAAAATGTGTGGCTAACATGATTCTCGCAAATAGCTACCCCTTCCCCAAGCAGACCTACTCCTCGTAAATTTCTGACAAACCTCCCTCGAAAAGCCCCATGAGCATGACCATGGGGTAATCGCATGTTACAGCAAAAAATTTCATTAGATTATTCAACCTTCTATACCCCATTTCTGTCCTTGGCTTAACGTTCAAGGCCCTTTTCCATCATGTTCAAAAAGTCCGCTCCCATCTGCATAATACAGGAGTCGCGGAAGTTATGACGTTCTCAACAACGATGTAATGATTCAACACTTATTATAACTATTCAAGATCAAATTACATATACATCATTAGTACAATTATATATTTTCAAGGGCATTTATGGCATCATGGCATCAATTACTAGTTCGTATTCGATATGCGTAGCGACGTCGAAGTAGGAAAAGTAAGATAAAAGAATTTGACCCAGAGCGTGAGATAAATGAAAGTAGGACAAAAAAAGACAATACAATCACTGAATCGTGTGTCATGAACCAAAATAACGCATCATTTGAGCATCGAAAAAAACATAATATCATCTCTTGTCCCTAAGTTTTCATCTCTTTCCTCCCCGTTATAACGAAACAGGCGTGAAATGTTGAAATTTACTTAGAAACCGACCTCCTCCTGCCTCCATCCTATCCTGAAAAGGACCCCCTTTTTCTGTATTCATTAGACACTTGGTACGCATTCGTTAACGGTATAACCACCAGTCCAGGGGCTAACCCATGCACGGGTTATGCATTGAAAGGCACCTCCCCCAAGTCACATATGCCTAGTCATCTTGCAGAACTGGCTCTCTTAATCAATATGTGATGGGTGGGTGAAAATTGGAGCTTTCTTCGAAACCTGTGCATGGATTGGGCTTCTGGACACGCAGATCGAGTATTGATCAACCTTTGCGTTTTCCCACCCATACCATGGAAAGAAACGGACAAGACATGTCGGTCGATCCGAGTTATGTACCGCACCGTGTTTCTGCTTGTTTTTCCCAAGATTTTTTGGAGATGTGCTTGTACACATTCTCTCTTGCAAATGCACGACGAGTGTGAGAGATCAACCTCCTTGCCCGCAGGGTGGTGTTTGGCCGATAGCGCCGAGTTGCGTAGCAGATTTGCGACCATTGCCGAATCCGGAACTGGGGTAGCCAGCTCCAGAGGAGAAGTTACCGGCTAGAAAAGCGTCGTTGTTCCAGGATCCGTTGACTAGTCCACTCGACATTGGCTGGTTGGGGACCCCAAAAGGAGAAGTCGCGCTATTGAGCAGGTCTCGTTCCCAAGTTGCCCCGGAAAGATGGGGGTGTGCAGGAGAATTGGGTGAGGGCATCCAGGTCGACGGCATAGAGCTGCCGCCATGAAGAGAGCTATGCAATGGAGCCTGCGCCATGAGGTTGTGTCGGAGCATGAGGTCATTCACGGTCGTTTCTTGGGAGGAATGAGGAACTGGGCTGCTGATACTCCCAGGCATCATTGAGCCTGGTTGCTGACCAAGGCCCGGGGGAGTCCTGGGGGATGATGAATTGCCCCCAAATTGAGATGAAAAGGCAGTGTTCCAGATACTAGGAATAGCAGGAAGGGAGGGCCGCGGCGTATAGGACTGGGATGGTGTCCGGGCTAATGGTGGGGCTTTTGCGACTGGGGGACCGAGTCCGGGAGGGGCGAGCCCGGGAGGAGCGATGGGGGTGCTCCGTGGAGGGATGTTTTCTTCTCGGAAGGCATGATTCGCACTGGGGTCAAAGAACGCGGCCTGGGGAGTTGGCATTTGACTGCTGCTCTTCAAGAAAGCCAGATTGTCCGGCACTGCTGGGGCATTTTCATAAGTATCAGATTCAACCAGTCGCTCAACACCCTCAACAATGCGATTCATATTCGCAGACATAGAAGCCGAGGCTGACTGCGAGCCGCCAAACAAACTTCTGTTATCTGCAACATGACTGGGGTCCCGTGCCGCTTGTTGGATATCTTCTCGTTCAATGCTTGTAACAGGCAGTGTATGCTGGTGGCCCTGAGGACTAGCAAAGAACTGGGATGGTAGTCCTTCTTCCTTGTAGATGAAAGTCTTTTTATCTTCATCGTCGACCAGAGCTATCGGGATTCTCTGTTTCGCGTCAAATTAGCCATAATATTCAGGGAGAAGGGATGAGTCGATCAAAAACATACGTTGCTCACAACGAGATCAAGTCCGTCAATAACGAATTCGCGGATACGATAAAGCATTTCAAAATTGGGATGACTCCTCTCCACGCCGAAGTCATGAATTCGAGGCTTCTTTTGGCCACTCGCATCCAAGTATCGACGAGCCGTAGCCTCTTTGTCGAGTGGTGCGAAACCAAGAGTCTCCTCATCCTCTTCTAGTAGATAATCTACCTCTGGAAGATGCACCACGTCGAAAGTGGATGCGAGAAGAGTCAAAGTGTTGGCGTAAATCTTCCAAAATTCGGTTATTTGAACGGAGAGCGGCGTATCCTTTTCTTCCTTGTAAGCCACCAGCAAATTACTGACTGTGAGAAGCCAAGAGCTGTAATTTCGGAGGGCAGGCAAGATGCGACGGGCAACGACAGTAACTTTGTCGGGACTGATGGTTGCGTCTTTGCTATTGGAATCTTCAATCACAAATCGTTCCACTTCGGCCAAGAGAATTTGAAGTAACGTGAAGAAAGTTTTCACATTGATCCGCTGGAAAAAGAGACAAGCATTGGATACTGATTCCTCTAGGGATTATATCAGTGACTGTCTTGGCTGTAACAAGTTCAAAGAAACTTACCGTTTGAGCGCGTTCTCGCAAAGTCTTCCGCGGCAACGTTTATCAGACAGAACTTTTGCAAAGTTCCCTCCAAGGACCGTTCCTTCAAGTCGACAGCAAGCTGACTCAAGACCTCATTTTCAAGTTCATCGTGCTCGGGAAAATCGGTCCCTTTGTAGCATTGCGCATGAAGGTAAACGAACCAAGGAGCCAGAGCTCTTCCAGGAATACCGGCATCCTCAGGGCGGATCAGTTCCCGTTTGGCCCACGCGTTCATGATTTTCCTAAATTCGATTTCCAAGTTACCCTTGGCGGATGGGTGGGGCTCTTGGGCGGCCAATGCCCTGTATAGGTGGTACGTAGCCCGTAGGTGATTTCCATCGGCGAGGGCAATGACAGCCAATTGATTGTGCGATGCGCCAGAAGCTGGGTAGATCACTGCGGCCAGATCGTAGTACCCGATGGCGGGGCCCCAATTGCGGTCTTTGCTGACGAGTTCTGTTTCGCGGTAGCGGGAAAGATCTCCTAGACGGATAAGAGTTGAATGGCATGATTGAAGTATGAGATTTCGAAGACCATCGGGGGTCTTGACTGTGGACGGTGCCGATGGGTTATCAAAGTTGAATTTCCGGGCGACCTTTTCAAGTTCCTGAATTCCTCCGAAATGCGACGACAGGTGCTGGATATACCCTCGATAAAACCGCTGACTGGATTTAATGAATTCGAGATAATGTTTCTCGAGCTTCCGTTTCTCTACCGGCTTCTTCTTCTTTCCATTCTCCTCGCGAAACTAAGTGTGGGCGCATTGATTAGAAGATATGGCCGATCCTGGATGAATCGTGCAACACTCACGCGGGAAAGCAACTTGCGAAACCGGGTATTGATTTTTAAATGCGAATCCCATAGGCGGGCCTCCACATCGATGGAGCGTGCGGTTTCGAAGTCCTGGAGAATGGCATTCTGGCAAGCTGTACGGAACCTAAAGAGCAGAGAACAACAAGTGAGGGGTTAGTCCGGATGGGGTCCAATGCGCGCAAGGTTATATTTAATGTTCGACGGAACATGGGAGCAATGGAGATGAACTGACTCTGAGAGATAATGGGAGATTTCGGCAAAGGTAGGCTCCTTTTCAGCAAGGCATTTCGAAAGCTGCTTTTCGCCCTCGAGCGCAATCCTGCACAATGCTGTTCAACACACACAATTCAATCGAAAAAGGAATAAAGTAGATACTGACTGCCACGTATCCTGGAACGCGGACGCCATGCTCGGAGTCGTCAAGACCACACCCGTGTCACCCCACCGTTGACCTCGCCCGTCAGATGGCTATGGCTGGCTGGAAGTCTGCGGGCGACAGAAGCAGTGAACAATCCATCAGTTAGTTGTGAATCGATCGATGAAGGGGGTGAGGACCCAGGGTAGAGATAAAGACAACAATTTCAACAGTGGATGTGATGGGGAGAATGAAACAGAGATCAATGAAGATGGGCTGAGAGGCTCAGTGACGGACAACGAGGGGAGATACCGCCGCTCGTGGTAGAGAAAATCCCATCATCACCGGAACTTTTGACGCCCGTCCGAAAAAAGATGCTGGAGATGATGGCGGTGTGGCTTGGGCGGTGCTGATTGGCTGGAGAGGTGTGGCTCGTGGCGGAACAGGAACAGCTGGTAATGGTATTACCGTATGGTATGTAAGGGTCTGTATTGGTACATCCAACTGGCATCAGAACAATTCTATCAAATTGTTGTTTATATCTTCTTTTCTACACGAACAGACAATTTCTATAACAATCCTCACTATTAATAGAGGGAAACACCCTCATTCTGACCCACATCATTCATACCCAAGCGGATACTGAACAACAATTCAACTCCGCTCTTCAACAAACTACTGTACAATCCGCATATCGACCAAGTTCAACCACATATCCTGACCTATCACATCAATCCTGCGGGAAAGAGTCAGAAAAGAAAAGAAAAATCCCCCTCTTAGTCAAAAAGAGGCAAGCCAAGCAAAAAGAAAATGTCCAAACGTTCTCGGACAGTCTCGAGATCTCCATCTCCTTCTCAAGACCACCACTGCTCGCCCGAAGAATCGTGGTCAAGATCCTCCTCGCCAGCATCTTCCACCGGACGCTCTAAACTCTTACACCTGCAGGACTCGGTCAACGCTTCGGCTGAAGTGATGCGTTGTTCATTGCCGCCTCATAAGGAGACGATTTCGTTTACCTCGTATGAAGACTACGAGGTTCATTATCGGCAGGCTCATGTTAATCGTTGCTCTGAGTGTGGAAAGAACTTTCCCACGGATCGTTTTTTGAATTTGCATATCGAGGAGAATCATGATCCTTTGATTGCTGCTCTGAGAGAGCGCGGGGAGAAGACTGTATGACCTCATACCTTTTTTTTCCCCTTGATTCTTGTAATAGCTAACGTGCTCATCAGTATGGCTGCTTTATTGAAAACTGCGAGCGCAAATGCTCCACGCCCCAGAAACGCAGAATGCACTTGATAGACAAGCATATGTTTCCCAGGGTAAGTGATGTCAATATCAATCTTAAGATTCGTGGCCATTTCCACCGCGACCCCGCTGAGTTCTCGATCAACGTCTAACTATCTATTCCAGACATATAATTTCTTCATCGTCAACGATGGCATCGACAAGCAAACATCCTTGCTGCGACCGATGAATACTGGTAGACGCCGCATATCAGCGACCACCGCCACGTCTCCAAAGGCAGGCCGATTGAGGAATCGACAACTATCTCAGTCCAGCGTCCAAGCCGTCCCGTATTCGGCATCTGACCAAAAAGACAATACTGGTTCTTCCGAAATGGAGATTTCCGAGCTTGAAAAGTCCATGTCCGCGTTGCGGTTTGTGCCTGCGAGTGTGACAAAGAGTCAAGGGAGAGTTAGGAATATATCGTAATCCAGGAAATGAAGAGGGGTCTTTTATGAATAACGAAACAATAAGAATACAATAATGCGAGCAATGACTTGAGTTCATATTATTCCCTATATCAAATAGCATGAATAGCAAGGTATCAACTGGGTTTTGGCTTTGTTGAATGGTCAAAGGATATGCGAAATCAACTATAGCAGAAAAGCAATTCAGAAACATCGAATTCAGGAAGGGATGAAAGACAATAAAACAACCATACCGAACCCCTCCATCCGCAAATAGATCAGAATAACGCGTGATCGAAGTTACTGATCAACAGGTAAAGCTTGCAATCAGACTTTTATATACAAACCAGAGTAAGAAATTCATTCACACGGACGTGGGTATACAACAACAAAAACATATATCATCCAGGTGGCCCGTAGCATCACGAGCTTTCCCTTGGACGCAACCATCTCGAACTGCCTCAAGTCTTAGATGCATTCATGGATAGGCCGAAATAAGCGCATGAACGCAAGGCGAGTTGTGGTGCTGCGCTAGCGTGTTACAATAACTGTGCCTCGAGTAGGTCAGCATAAGCATCTAAGCTCGACCCAACAAGATCCACAATTGCCCAGCTAGTGTTTCCTTTGAATGTCCTTGCCCATACACGCACAATGGCAACACTCAGCTGTCTGGCCTTGTAATGATTGGTCAGGAAATCAACGTCAGGCGCTCCTGGCGGATCAACTGCCATTTCGGTTTCATCCATCATGCTCTTAATCCACAAAAGCAGCTTTCTTTCGTGTTCTGACAGTCTTTGGTCGGCTTGCGTGGCTGGTATAGAAAGCAGCCATCGACTTAACAGAAAAGCACATTCCAAGCTACAGAGAGAGTGCTGAATACTCCAGAAAAATGAATGAGTTCTCGCAACAAAATCGATTCCGAGGCGTACCGGAATCGACAATGCGTGCGCAGAATGTAGCAGCGCCATGATGAGACGTGGACTTCGTGCTATGGGTGGAGACTCACCCAGAGCCCTTGCAATTTGCATCGGGTCTTGGCTGATGAGACGACGGCAAGGTCCGAGATCAACATGCAACCTGATATAAGCTAGACCAAGAAGAGCAGTGGATGTAAAAGCAATCGGACCTGCTGGGTTCTGCGGGTCAATGCTGGATTCAGGGGTGCGTTTCCACAGCGCTTTCCAGGAACTCAGGGAATTGTCTAAAACATTCAAATCCTCCTGTCTCAGACTGGTGCCGTACATGTTCGGCGCAGAAAGGCAAAGCTGACGGGCAAAGAAGATCTGTTGGATGATAGCGTGGATCAAGATATAATTCCCGAGAGGTGAAATCGGCGCAGACGAGTATGGCATGTTTGATTTCAGAAACAGTTTCGCAAAGGCTTCCTGAAAGGAGACATCTGATCCATGCCGGGCGCGATAAGCTCGTCGCCATTGGGCCGCATTGGTAGCTTTCCAGACATCGTGGGAACACGGCATGTTCAACTTGAGTTCTGCGTTCAGAATCAAAGGAGGAATGTTGTACATGATAGAATGGAGGTTGAAGAAACAGTAAACGATCATCTTTGTCCGCCTGTTTCCTTCTCTTCGTATCCATTCTTCCCAGGTAATATTATCGGGATTGGGGACCGGCTCAGAGAGGCCATGCTCTCGAACGAGCCTTGCCAGAGTGCTTTGAAGCGAAAGAATTTCTCGTAGCAGCTCAGGATGTCTTTCCCAAGAGGCAAAAACTGTGAGTAGCAAGAAAGTTCGAATGACTTCCATGTGAGCATCTGAGTCATCAGGCGTATAATTCACCGGCTCAACCGGGTGTCCCATATATTGATGCTGGAACGGGCTGGTCGCATTGTTGGACATAATTGATGATCCACGAGAATTGTGAAATCCTCCAGAACTTGGGGATACGAAGTTCCACGAGGGACATGCAACTTGTTTACTATCCCTTCTTCGGAGTCGCTCCAACAAGACTGCCTTTGCTGCATGGAAAAGCTCAATTCCACGATTGTTTTCAAATCTATAATGTGAGCCTGCAGCTGCTAACGCGAGAGTAAGTTCCGGTGAGCATTTTGAAACGGAAAGCGTCGGGACATGTATAAAAGGCAAGTGTTCGTTCAATCCGTTGATGTATCCGGCAAAGAAACGAGATAGCGTATGTCTGGAGGGTGGAATAAAGCCCTTTGGAAGGACATACGAGAATTCCTCGAGTTTGGAGACAAACACCTGACGATCAGTGTTTGTTATATCCCATGCCGGCCGCTGGCTTTCATCGGATAGTCCAATTCTATCTTCTATATCATGGGGCTCTGGCTGTAAAGACGGTAGGCGAGACCCAAAGTTCGAAAAGGACGGTGCATCATCCGCTGTAGTACGTTGATCACTTATCATCTCCGTGCCAAGTCTCGGTGCAGCAGTTTCGCGGATAGCAGGTTTTGAATCCATGGGGAAGCTAGTCGGCAGCATGGGCTCTTCGACCGATGAGAATACCCCAGAATCCCAGTCAGAGGAAAGACCAACACTCTCCAGGAAAACAGTAAAATCCTGAACCGGGTCCCCTAGGTCTGTGAGATCAAGAAAGGACGGTTCCACACCATAATTGTCGGTGATGGCCCTTTCCGGAACATGGGAGGGTGCTGGGGGAGCGCTGACGTTTTGTGGAGGCTTCCGGATAGGTTCAAGGTTCTCATGCTGGCCTTCGAGGGCGACATGGCTTGCAGCATGAGATAAGAGGTTCAGGTCATAACCCCACGAAGGATTAAAATGCGTTGTTTCCACTATCGGAGCGGGCTGCACCTGCACCTCGGGCGGAGGGGGCGGGACTGCGTGTGGTTGAATCTGCACGGCGTCGGCTAGCTCTAGCATTCGAGACTCATTGTGGGCAGGTTGCAGGGCTGGCGGCGTTTGGGGAACATCATGGTGATTGGTGCCGTTATTGTTATTTTGATTGTTGTTATTATGGCCGGTATTACTATGGCCTCGATGTTCGCGGTTTGCCGCACTCTCGGCAGGGTGGACTAGACGCTCATGTCGTACGAGCAAGTCGCTACAGAATTTTCCCCTATATTAGCCAGGGCCGGTTTCATTGCAACGTGGGAAACAACTTACCTTCTTGCAAACGACTTGGAGCATATATCACATGAAAATGGTTTTTCTTTCGTGTCTGCAATATAACGTTAGTGATGGTTTTTTTCCCAACAGAAGCCAACATCTCCTGAGGGGATTCAGGGTTACTCAACGGGTGCGGAGATGGCGTTGAAGATGCTCCAAACGAGCAAAGGATCTGCTGCAGTACTCGCAAGACAGAGACTTCCGGTGAGACGCAACGCTTTTCTTCCTCACCTTTCCTGGGGCTGTTCTCTCGTCCTCCATGGCGAATTGCCTTGGAATTGGAGCATGTTCTCAGACGCGCAAGAGGAGGAGCGGGGAAGAAAAACTGTGGGGTTGGCATGAGGGGGCTTGGAGGACAAGTCACGTGATGGCTCTTCGGGAACTGCACCCAAATCAGCGGCATTTTACACTGAATGAACATGATATTTTGTGTATTTTACTTGTTATCAGGAATTTGGTGTCATTTTCGGTGTTTTATCATCGTCAATGACAAGCGGGTTTAATGTATGTAGATGCTACATGCGTTTCGTGTACAAGACTCTGCATGCTGTGTCTACAGTATGGTGTACTGCTGATGATTGTAAAGAGTATTCCATTCCGTAGACCCGGACAGTACCAACTATCAGCATCCATGGAAGCTCATGTCTGGTATTTTACTCCGTGTATGGGAATCAAGAGAGCCACTGTTACCCAACAGTCCATCTTAAGTAGGTACAAAAACCCCTTGTATAGTCAGTCACTGTGACGCGGCACCAATAGCGTTCAAATTAAAGGTCTCAGGTTCCGTGCGGTACCTTGGTAAATTGATTTAACCAGACCAACAGGAAATTTGGTTATCTCCAAAAATCCAAATTTAGACTCGGGGATGATATAAATGCTTTCTGGCTGTTGCATATGCCAATGGTTTGATTCGTTGGTAAATCAGTTGTTCAGGTTTCAACAGTGGAGAGTTGAGGAGGTGTGGTTAAATGCCACGCGGGAAACCGCCAAATGCCACCACGCCGTGTTTCCTCCTTGTTCATGTATTCTGCTCGTATCCCCCCACCTGCTGGTGCGGAGATGCTACTTTGGGGGCATCATGAATGCAGTGTAATCTCCTCATCGATTCTTCTCTACTCCAAAAATATAGATAAACAAATAGTGCATAGACATGTGTAGCGGGTTATTAATGATCTCTGTCTTATATTTGAGGGGGAATCTCTGCATCCTGACAGCCAGAATCATCTATCCACATGGCACGGGTATCTACAGCATATAAATTGGAGGAATACCCACGACATGTGGTACTCAATTTTAGAAGGACCAGGAATTCTTTGTGCTCCGTACTCCATATGGGGTTTTGGAAGTATCTAAGCCATCTGGCTGATTCCTGCTGATATTTCAGAGCATGATCTTCCGGTGATATCTTTGAAGATAAGCATCTTGTTAGAAAGTGACATTTGGCTTAACGTCATTTGGCAATCTTGGCTTATTCTGTATAACGACTCAGTTTCAGGGGGTTTCCATTCGTTGTAATGGCTTTATGTCTGGCTTTGACCGCTTATTCTTTCAGTGGGATGTCTCTGAAGTGGTATGGTTTCTTCTTGTTTACTATACCCTGGACACTCCGTCTATCTACTAAACTAATGTTCTACTGAAGACACAGCCTCCATGTATCTACACTAAGCAATCTACTAGGTTAGTTATCCTCTAAGCTGTCAAACCAATATTCAGCCACATGATCTACCGTGGCAATGCAATATGCTATCTTCATGAAAATCGCTAGTATGAAGTAGTACGGTGTACTAGTAGCATGAAGCCTCTCCTGACAGCCTATATATACCACTGCCTAGCAAGGAGTACAGACTACCGGACAGCACGTACTCTGTAGAACACATCATACTCCTATTTTCTCAGCTCAAGAAGACGATCAAACAATGACCTCAAAGATCTCAGCCAAGCGACGTGATCGATGGAGCCCATGTAGAATCTCAAACAAACTTGTTCCAGTTTTCCAGAAAAGCCGGGCCAGCGAGAAGGGTAAAACCAAATGTCAATCGCCCTCTTCCCCCACTGCCTGTGACGGCACCAACACCCAACAGGGCCAAACGCCATCGATACGAGGGGCTTTTGTGTTTCAGATTTGGCCCCCCTGACAAATCATTGGCGGCGTGTTTTAGAATGCAGTCCCGCTATGCCCCTTTTGGCCTAGCGTCGCTCCTGGACGTGTCCCCGACCGATCGGGCCTCCACCAGGTCAGAACATGGTTTGGTTTGTGGTTTTGTCGCAGCACAGTAGCAGCATTATTATTATTATTCGGCTTCGTCCTCTTCTGCCCTCTTCCTCCTCTTCTTCTTCTTCCTCCACCACCACCATCCTTCTGGTCTCCCTCCCCTTCCCCCGCCTACCAAGCGGGCATCGCCTGTTCAACTCGCCATACATCAACTTGTGACCTCCTACTCCAACGGTGGGAAGTGTTTCAGATTCCGATAGCATTCCCGTCATCAAGGGCTGAGTAAGAAAACGGCTACGGCAAAGCACACCAAAGGCATCCGAATTGTCCTATCTCAGCCTTAACGGTTATCATCAATTTTTTGGTGGCATTATTGCATTGAAGGCTCAATTTGTGAGAATCCCTTCAGTGCCCGTTTTCCCGGCCGTGTTTTCCCACCCCTCTTCTGCGGGCTCCTGTTTGTTTCACATTCACCGGTCGAGAACCATGGAACTAATTGGTACTTTTTTTTAGATAGGATCGCTCTATACCATGCAATAGCCCTTCGCCCGAGCTTTTCCTTCGAGACCTCTCGTTCCTTTCAATACAAAAACAATATAATCTGCCAACAAAAATCATCTAATATTTAACGGGCTGACCGCCGCCAACCTCCGTGGCCGAGTGCGTCTGTGACTATCCGGAACGATTTCGTCATAAAAGTCCTCGGCATTTTTTCAAAGAAACTGTACTTCCGAGTTGTGCCCCGTTCACAATGTTGGCATCCAAGACATATTCGGCACCATTAAGCTTGCCGACACCTCAAGCCTCAGCACCGTCCTACCATACTGGATCATCACACAAGTCGACCGGTGCGACAAAACTGCAGGATGGAGTGTTGTTTACTAGCCCAACAGAATCAGAATTTCCCGAACAGGGTGGGCTTGAGGCCATCCGGTGAGTCGCTTAGACTAAATGGGTTCATGAAGATGTAGTCGTACTGACCGTATAATAGGGCTTGGGATGAGAAGCAAGTTATCGCGTGGCTTCATAGCATAAACTGTGGCCAATATGAATCATTATTCAAAGGTACTTTCAGACAGAACAGAGCACGATTCCCATCTTTACTACACACTATGAGAAGCGAGTAGCATGATGGAACTGACTGTGTTCAGCGAACAATTTCAACGGTGACAACCTCATGGAATGTGATCAAAAAATCCTCCAGGAGATGGGCATCAAAAAGATCGGCGATCGAGTGCGGATCTTTGTTGCTATCAAGCAACTTAGGAACAAGTCAGTTGCCAATCGCAAGCAAAAGAATATGGTGAGTGGTTCCTTTTTGAATTGATCTAGAGCATTTTCTCATTGTTCCAGAAACAACTTGCCGCACTTGAAGCCCCGATCTACAATACTCTCTCAAACACTCGACAACCAACTCTCAACAACCACACGTCTCGATTGGCGGAATATGACTCTCATGGAACTGGGAAATCATCGCGCCCAGGTTCGCCATTACCATCCCATCGATATGTCGCCAGTCCTCTGGAACGAAAGGAACAGGGACAGGGCTATTTCGGTCACACGCCTTCTACCGGCTCCAACTCTGGACGAAACCCTGGAACTCCCAGCGACGCAGGCCAGGGTAGACACCTAAGACAGAATCCTAGTCTTGATGGCTTGACGATGGGCCCGCTGCCCAACTCATCGGTGATAAGAATTATTTACACCGGGGGACAGACTAAGGTGTTGAACATTAGGCACTGCAAAACACCGGATGAAATCATTCTTTGTGCTTTGAGGAAGCTTCAGCTCCCTGAGCATCAATACCGCAACTACTGCTTCTATGTTTTGGATGGTCTCGACCCAGAACCTTCCAATTCTAGAAGGCTCACTGATGCCGAGCTCATGGAGATATGTGGAGGCACCAACAGGTCCGAACGTGGCCGCTTAATTTTACGGAAGATCCATGCTGGAGAGCCAGAGACCGATGAACTTCGCCGTGCTTCTCAGCTTGCACAAGACGAAAGCCAGACGGCCCACTTCAATGCCCTGAGCGGCTCAAACCCTCGCAATCAAATAAAGATTCAACAACTCACTGGCGAATCCTGGCATAATATCAAACAGCCAATGTCGCCTGTATCTCGACACCCTCCGAGCCAGGGCCAGAACCCGAACCCTAGTGAGCAGGATCCCCAGCTATCAAATTTGGATCGCCATCCCGTGGCCAAGCTGCGCTCGTTCTTTGGGGCCAGACCACCAAGTGAAATGATCATTCACGAAATCCAATCTTACTTCCCTAGCCATCACCGGGAGGATATTGAGAAAACCATGCGGATGTCTGTCCGAAGATCTCAGCGCCTAAGCCGAGCAACGAGTCGTTTGAGTGTCGTCAGTAACGCAAGTTTTGCATCTAGCTTACGGGACGCGAGCTTGCGGGATGCACCTCCGATTCCTCCACTTCCGCCAATCCCTCCAATGCCGAGCCTTGCTGATAGCTGGTTTGCCTCTGAAGCTGGTTCACAAACTGCCCAGGCTGCGCAGACCGCGCGTCCTGCTCGGCCTCTTTCAGTTACTAAATTCAACTTGCCTCAAGCTTCGTATAGAGATTCAGTCGCGTCGAGCTCTCTACAGCCTCTTCAGGAAGAGTCGCCTGTTGAGCCAAATCGCAAGTCTTACGTTTCGTTTGACAGTGGATCTGATGAGCCCAGTACCTCACGCCAGAGCATATTTGACGAGAGCGCTAGTGTTGCTGCAACAGATGGTGGCTCGATGAATGAAAGATTAAGTGTCCTTGTTGCCGAGGACGATGAAGAAGAGGATGAGGATCTTAACGATTTCTTAGCTGGAAACAACTTTGCACCGAAGAACTGGATGAAGGGTTCTCTGATTGGTGAAGGATCCTTCGGAAGCGTTTTCCTTGCCCTTCATGCAATTACTGGAGAACTCATGGCTGTCAAACAAGTCGAGATACCTTCAGCTACCAAGGGTACTGAATTCGATAAACGCAAAAACAGCATGGTCACTGCGCTCAAGCATGAAATTGAGCTTTTGCAAGGCCTTCATCATCCCAACATTGTGCAGTACCTGGGCACTACTGCAGATGATCAGTACTTGAACATTTTCTTGGAGTATGTGCCAGGAGGTTCTATTGCTACGATGCTCAAGCAATACAACACCTTCCAAGAGCCGCTGATCAAGAACTTTGTCCGTCAAATCTTGACTGGTCTTTCCTACCTTCATAACCGTGACATCATCCATCGGGATATCAAGGGTGCCAACGTTCTTGTGGACAACAAGGGTGGAATCAAGATCTCCGATTTCGGTATCTCCAAACGTGTAGAGGCCTCCACACTTCTCGGTGCTCGAGCCAGTGGCACTGGCGTTGGCCATCTGCACCGACCGTCGATGCAAGGTAGTGTCTATTGGATGGCACCTGAGGTCGTTCGACAAACAGCTCATACCAAAAAGGCTGATATCTGGAGTTTGGGTTGTCTTGTCGTGGAAATGTTTATCGGTGCCCACCCATTCCCCGACTGCAGTCAGCTGCAAGCCATTTTCGCCATTGGCCACAACCAGGCGAGACCTCCTGCCCCAGAGCATGCAAGCAAAGATGCCAAGGCCTTTTTGGACATGACTTTCCAACCCGATTTTGAACAGAGGCCGGATGCAGATGAGTTGCTCAAGTGCCAGTTCTTAGCCACGCCTTTGGCCTGAAGCAGGTCTTCAGATCATACTTGCAAGTTCTTTGGCTAGCAACGCAGTCACGATTTATATCCATTTCTTTCCTTTGTTCCTCGTGCCCGAGCTTCGCGACGTCTCTACACGCAACACCAAAATAATTTCGATATCTTGTTGTTCGAATTTACATACTTGAATACCCCATGAGCCTTCGCTGTCTTGTTTGAGAGTCCATCTGTCTCCGGTTCCTCATACTGTAGAGGATACTATGTCGGTGGTCTAATGGCTGATTCTTTTGATTAATTTTCTCGAGATGTCCAACCATTCGCATTTTGCATTTACATCTGCATTTTCAGGGTTAATTGGTTTACTCATAAACTTGGTTTTATTCTAATCCATCATATCTTTTGGCAATTGATGATTTTTATCATGTTGAGCTGGTCCTATCTGCGCTCTCATTCTTGATGGATTGTACTATTATGCTTTGAAAACAGTGAAGAGGAATTAGTCCTGTCTAGTTTGATATTATCTACATCCTGGAATATTATGATTTACGCTGCCCTGCAGTTGGACATACAAGACATATTTTTTTCTTCTTGATGAAGTGGTATTTTGGAAACTTTGCTTAAACAAAAAAAGGTTTGGTAGGTAAGATACTAAAACAGGAATACTTCACACAGGCCCCAACATAGGGATCGAATAAATGCAGTTTCTATGTTACATATTTATTGTGAATAGGAAATAGAGAAGAAGAAAGCGAGCGAACCCACAACAATAGAAGGACAGTCTGGGATATCACTGATGATACCAGACTTGCTTCAACTCTGGGACAGGCATTTAGACTCCCAAAATACATGCGCCAAAATCAGATCAATCAAGTCTTCTTAGTTGACGACCTTGCCATAGAAGGGAATTCCCATGGCACTGAGGAGAAGCCGGGCATCCTTGTCAGTTTTGGCACTGGTGTGGAGGGTAATGTGGCAACCGGGGATCATCTTGGGTGGGTACCTAAAGATCAAACCATGTTAGACTCGAATGCTTTACATAACAATTTCGGTAGATGTGTGAGAAAAGACGCGACTTACATATCGTAGTTGACCTCAATTTCAGGGAACAGAGCCACATTCTCCGATTCCAGACCGAAGGTGATGTTTCCGCTGCTGTCACCGCTGCTACCCTTGACACCCTCCCAGTCCTTGATTCTGGGCATGACAACGTCGATCAGCTTTCCGAGGAAATGCTGCATGTCCTCACCGCGGAGCTCTGCCTTGACCGCGACTGTGTCTCTCCCGGGAGCGATGCTCCAGGTGGCAACGCTAGACTTCGACTTGAATGTTTCTACGCGCACATTCGAGATGGCCTGCACCGCCATACCCGCTACGTGCAGCCATGACGAGTTTTCCTGAGCGGCTTGCTTGACATAGCTGTGGATGGTGATCCGCTCAACCTTAGGGATGTTGTTGAAGGTAATCGGCTTGCGGAGCAATCGCAAAACATCACCTCCACGAGGTCCACGCAGTGTTCGGTTCTTGTGGTAAGGAGAGCTTTCATCCCATCCACGGAGACGAGGAGCTTTAGGTGGTGGCTTGAAGCCCGGGGGATTGTGAACGTAGCAAAGGGTGAGGATATCCGGGGCGACAGTTGATTGGTATGTCTGCTCCGTTCTGGGGAGCGAAAACGGACCTGGGACGAAAAGTCGCGAAGAAGGATCCGACGGCGGAGGGGGCTGGTGGGGGTGTAGAGGACCGCGGTCGTATTTGGGAGAACGGAATTGATAACTGGATTGCGGAAGGTCAGATGTGTTTTACAGTGGATTGTGTATGCTAGAAACCAAAAACAAGAACGAGCATCAAAGCAGTCACTTACCGACTCCTTGGAAGCTGAGTTTTCCTCAGTCTGGCTTTCGAAACCGGATCAAACGATTTCACGACGTTTTCTGGTACTGAACCAGACAAGGAACTTGCAGACTCTAGTTCGTTGATGTCCGACGGAGACCTGGACGATGCCTGGTCGGAGGCATTGCGTCGCCAGCAGATGCTCTGGGGGCGTGCTGAGGGCGCAAGTACCCGGGGCAATGACCTTGCCAGGTATCTGGATGGCTCTGTAGCAGTCATTGAGGTGGGATTGGGGGGTGTCGGTGCTGTAGACTGGTCGAGACTGAAGCCGATGGCCTTCCAGAAATTATTTCCGGATCTCAGTTCGGGACAACATCACGTGTTATATTAGTGCCTTATCAGTCAGGCAGGAGTAAGGTGTCGACATCCACCGCAATGTCACATGCGATCTGCTTCTCTTCCCCGCCAAAAACCTAAGATAGGCGGCCATGATTAACTAGATTATTGCTGACGATCCTGTGTATCAGTCTTCTGACAGTCTGACCGACTTATTATTTCTGAATCATCATCATTAGCTTTCATTTGATCAGTCTGAATTCTTTATAACCCCCCCCCATTTTGTCGTTTCTGGATGATCATGATGGCCTTGTCCCAGAACATGTGATGTCACTACAATTCTAGCATCCTCTAAACTGTCTTGATTGGCAGTCTATGGCTTCTTGCGCCTCGTCAGAAGAGCCAAACACCACCTGATATGCGTGGTGACTCCACTAGAGCTGTTCTTCGTGTGCTCCATGGGAATTCTGGGACCTTGCCTAATCTTCCGGTGACTCGGGGTTTGTACGCGAATCAATACACCCACATGCATCTACAATTCTCCTACCTTAAAACATAAATTTAACTCCCTCATTTTTTTCTTATCTGGCTGGGAACCTTTACTACCCACTCAAAGAACTTTGCTTGTGGGTCTCAAGCTGTGAAAGATGAGCGGAATTCACCGTTTCCTCACTAGGCGTGAGCGGCATAGCAGATATAGCAAGCATATTAAAGAAGAGGTACAGTCTTTCATTCACCCCTCCATCGACTTTGCCTGATCCTAATGTGCTTCTCGATAAAGACCTCAAATATCCTCAGTCGCCCTCTTTTTCGTGGGGTTTTCTCTTCTGATGATCCCCAGGAGACTGATAATGATGATCACAAAAAGGTAAAGAGATTTTGTGGTCGCTTGTGAGGCTTGAGCTTACAGAAAATCAGATCAAACTACTCGAGCGTCGCGTTGAACAACTTGGGATTTCGGGCCTTACCCCGGAACATATCAGCTATGCTCTGCGGTCTCCCCACGCACATGGAGATCTAGATAGAGCATTTGATCTGCTTCTTCTTCTCCAAGACTCAATTGAAGGTATAATCAGGGGATATACCCCGAAGACCAAACTTCTTGGAGCAGAAAATCGCTCAGGAGTGACCTGCTATCTCGATGCTTTGCTTTTTGCGATGTTTGCTCGACTTGACTGCTTCGAGGCCATTTTATACAAATCCTTCAGCGATGAGCCTCGTCGCAAACTTGCAGTCCTGCTCAGGCTTTGGGTTAACATGCTACGATCAGGAAAGCTCATCACGGCTGACCTGGTATGTATTGTCTCATGCCTATCTGTTAACAACTGCTGACTGTATTCTTTCAACAGACAACACATTTACAAGACGCACTTGCTCAATGTGGCTGGGAGGATGCAGCCCAACTTCGTCAGCAAGATGCCTCAGAGGCATTCACATTCATTACAGGAACACTGGAGCTGCCTCTTCTGACTCTGAAGATGGACATTTATCACACGGGGAAGGAAGATGAGGCTAGTGATCACAAGTTTGTCAACGAGAGGTTGTTGGAAGTCGCTATACCTGAGCCAGTCGAAGGGAAGACTATAACCCTGGAGGATTGCTTGGAGTCGTATTTCAATAACAGGATCGAAGTGAAAAGGCATCTCGAGCGTCGCAATACTGTGGGCTCCATGAAATCATTCGACTCCACGTCCAAAGGGTTTACAGCGCACGTCGAGGCAATTGAGCTCAGCCCAACTACTACTTCGCCAACGCCGTCCTCGCCGCGATTTGGAGAAATTAATACCCTGTCATCATTTACTGAGTTCAGCGAATCGGCTTCACCCTCCACGGAGGTACCCCGGCGAAACAGCATTGTTCAAGAACGGTTTATCCCTGACTCGAAACACGATACAAATGGAGACGGTGGACTTACTCCTACTCCGCAATCACGGAAAGGTTCTTACCGGAAAGAGGTTATGATGCCCGCATGGCAGTTCTTCAGTTTGATACGTATGCTCTAGCAACTCTCTTCTAATATTTGATTGTGGGTACTGATATGCTTTTTCAGCATGGTACACAGATAATTCGCCCACCAATGACGCTCAAGTTGCAGCACACTTTTCTTCGAGAAGACCTATTCTTGGGATGTGTTTGAAACGATACTCTGTTTTGCCCAACGGAAAAGCAGTCAGGCTCAGTACATACGTTGATATTCCGACGGAAATTGGATTGCCTCACTTTATCCAAGATGACAGCATGGACGCGGATGGGCCAATATACGGAAATTTCAAACTGTCCCTACAAGCGCTGGTCTGCCATCGAGGAAATTCTGTAGAATCGGGTCATTATATCGCGATTGTTAGGGGTACAAGCGCCGGTGCCTCTCCGGATGGTTCCAACAGCAATGATCAGGACACTTCTGATTCCTCAAGATACTGGATGCGCTTCGATGACTTGGCAGCGGAGCGTGTCACTTTGGTTGATATCGAGCAGGCCCTAAAGCATGAGTCGCCATATCTCTTGTTTTATCAGATATTGCCTGTTCACGAGGATGCTGCGGAAGCCAATTTACAAAACAAACCTCCTTCTTCTGACCTGTCGGAGGATCTTGAGGACTTGGATGCAGCAGGAATTACGCGAAAGCTACTCGGGCTCTCGGTAGGCAGTTCTGATGATCGCAATGAGGAGAGCGTGTCTGGTCGGCCGAGTTTTGAAATCACTGGCCCGGATAATGAAGAGCTCGAAACGCCTGGGCGGAATGAGAGAAAGCAAAGTGTGGCATTCTCCGAGTCTGTTGATCCCCCAGGAAGCACTGGAAGCCTTCAAGTCGTCTCGTCGAGCTCACCCAAACTTGTCGCCAAGGACGATGATGGAAAGGGTGCTCTTTTTAACTCAAGTCGCGGATCCAGGGCAAACAGAAGCAACCCTGGGAGTCGTACTGGGAGCCGTGCAGGCAGCCAAACAAGCGAGAGCAGGATCAGCGCAACCTTTTCGCGATTCACGGGAAGACGCAGCAGAGACAAACCCTCAAGTGATGGCCATTACACAGAAAACGAAGGGGAAGGCGACGACCTTGCCGCAGACAACGAGTTGAGATCTCAGAGCGGAGAAAGATCCATGCCAGCCAGCGACGAGGGCAAAGAAAAATCTTCCAGAGGACGGACCAAAGACCGTGACAAGGGCAAAGGAAAGTCGAAGGAAAAGTCCCGCGAGAAGACGGCAAAAAGATTGGAGCGGGAGTGTGTTGTTATGTGACGATCATGACCGGAGGGCTATGGATACCTTTACCAGCCTGATGATTTGGACAGTTGCTACTTGCTTTCACGGATAGATACAGATGATACCCAGCCATGGTTCACAGTCCATGGCTTCTATTTTAAGGAGTTCTTTGCTCATTTCTCATTTCTCATATCAACAGCATGGGATTGGTTTCATGTCGATAGACCACATGGGGGAAGACAGGAAGAACCGCGGAACAGGTTCTAATCATGTATCTAACAAATACTCGGTGCATTAGTGAAAACTCTATGGAGAAGCTGATGGCCAATATGAATATTTTGCTCTAAAACTACGAAGCATTCATGAAGACTAGTAATTCGGCACTGGCCAACCTACGCCCCATCCACATATACATAGTTGCTGCGTAGATCCGCAAGACAGATCAGATTTCCCCTCTCCCAAAAACGTGAGCCCCCCCTCCCCTTTCAATCACCCATGATACAGATAGTTAACTACCTTGAAAACCAGATTCCCCTGCCTTTTCCCACGCCCATACCATCCCATCATCTTGCGAGACTATACAAAACACACTCACTCCCTTGCACATCCCTCCCCCTCCCCTCCCCCTCCCCTCCCCTCCCCATGACCAAAGAAATCCGACGATCCCACCACCCGGTTGGGGTCCGCATTCAAGCCCTCGCCCTGATGACCCACGGCGTCGATATCAGACTCGTGGAGCAAGTGACCGGGATGCCTCGACAGACGATCCAATTCTGGGTTCGAAAGGCTCGAGAACGCGGATATAACCCGTATGTGGATTCGCGGATTCGGATTGAATATGTGGAAGATGGGAAGCGTTCGGGGCGGCCCAGGACATCTAGATCTACGGGATTGTCGGTTTTGGAGTTGGTTGAGCAGAATCGTGCTCAGGGAGGGGTTTGATGATGGTATGTTTTGTCTGATGTTGGGGGTTGGATATGGCTGATGGTGGACAGTGGTGTATAGGAAGCAATCTTGGACAGGGCATTAAATATGCGCAGAGAAAGGATCGACTTGATGAATCCACAAGTCTGAGCAGAGATAATGCGAGGCAGGTCAACCCCCCTCTTGTTCCTACCGGCAGGAGATATATACGACGGAAGGCGTTTTAGGAGTTGCTTTTATGGGCGGAAAATAGATTGACATGCGCTTTTCACTAGCGCTGTATCTGTATAGGAGATTACCACTTTCTATCTATCAATGGGGTTTCAATAGTAGATCTTCTCGAGCTGGGATTCCCAAATACACGACAGGGCAGAAGAGTCTGGAGGTCGCTAAGGGCAAAGATATATTAATACCTTATTGGGTTCCCGTGATAAGACCCAATAAGCCCGCAGTAGTTACGCCTTGATATAGCCAAAGAAAGCAATCTAGGTAAATACTAGTAGAATTGATCTGAATTCCCAAAAGAAACCCTGATAACCACTGTCGCTAATTATGATAAATATCAGAAAAAAAAAAAAAGGGAAAAACAAAAAGAAAGTACAAGTTCCGACACGGGGAATCGAACCCCGGGCTGTCGTGTGAGAGACGACGATGTTAACCACTACACCACATCGGATAGTTGTTGAAAATAACAGCCTTATTTAAATTTATGAACCGGCTAGATTACATAGCTACAATTGAAGGAAAGCTACTCCGTACACCACATTGGAACAGGCAGGATATGCATATTTGAAAGGCAAGACGTTGGCTCTAATAAAATACACAGATAGCATCTCCAAAAATGATCAATATAGCCATCCTTTATTTGCAGAAATTGCCTCTTCACGTACAGCGTAGATGCTGTTCATAGCCTCAGGCACCACTATCTGCCAAGGCATCAACACTCCGCCCCGGAGTGACGATGAGCTCTCCACCACCAGCACAGCACCTCCGAGCTATCTCCACGCCCAACAGCCCGACTGCTTTGGCCGGCCCTTCTCTCCCTTTCAGTCGCGATATGATATAGCGCTGCTCTCTACAATTGGCGCACCATGGCGCTGGACGGATCCAGCGGTTATGCTGCTCCCAGCAATCTAGCTGAGCCCGCCGACTCGTCTCTCCCCATGTTCGATGTCCAACGTGTTCAGCTTCAGTTTTCGATAGCGGCCGACTTCGTCGCTGCGCAAGTGGCTAACAATGTGCTTATCCTGGCTCTATCGACCGGTCGAATCCTCCGGATAGACCTGGATACCCCCGAAGACATCGACGGTAGGATGGTTCCTATAGCTGTCTAGGTCCCCGCACCAAGGCCTTCTGTACGTCGCGGAATGCTAAATCATATCCTCGTGCGCAGATATCGACCTTCCCAAGAAATCCTCCGAGACAGGACTGATTCGTCGGATGTTCCTCGACCCTTCTGCGTCCCATTTGATCATCACTACGACTCTGGGTGAAAACTACTACCTTCATACGCAATCGAGACAACCGAAACCGCTGTCGCGCTTAAAGGGAGTTTCAATTGAAAGCGTTGCCTGGAATCCATCGCTTCCCACGGCTTCAACTAGAGAGATTCTGCTGGGTACCACGGATGGCAGTGTCTACGAGGTTTACATTGAACCGTCAACCGAATTCTATCGGCGCGAAGAGAGATATGTCACTGCAGTTTACAAAGTTCCTGACGGATCACCTGTCACGGGCATTTGGACGGAGCAAATACCCGCGAAAACCGATCAGAGACGAATGCTTGTCGCAACCCATGGGAAACTGATCCACTTCATAGGACGGGCAGGGAGAAATGGAAGAGAAGGCGGAGGCTCTATATATGCGGATCTTTTCCAAAGAGAAACTCCATTCATCCATGAAGTCAAGGCCCCTTCGACTTCCGCGCCATCTGCCCTGGCTATTTCGCCCACTGCGGCTGAGGATACAGACAGTCATTCAGGGAAGGAGTTTGCGTGGTTGAGTTCGCACGGCGTATATCACGGTCCGCTTCCATATGACGGGGTGAAGATGGATCAACCCTTTGGAGATTCGAAAATGCTTCCGCGCTCGTTATTCCCAGCAACCGAGTCCGCACGGGGAGGCAGGAAAATGATACAAGATCCCATCACTGCTATGACGCTGTCCCCATGGCACATACTGACACTTGTTGAGGGAAGGGTGGTCGCTGTCAACCGTCTTAATGATGAAATCGTCTATGACCAGGCGGTTCTAGAACCGGGACAAAGCACACTGGGTCTTTTGACGGACTCTGTACAGAACACGTTCTGGCTATTCACAGGCAAGGAGATCTACGAGATTGTTGCTCATGACGAAGACCGGGATGTGTGGAAGGTTCTTCTCCAGAGGCAACAATTTGACGAAGCTCTGAAGTATGCCCGTGGAAGTACCCAAAAAGATGCCGTCTCCACTGCTTCTGGTGACTTTTTAGCCAGCAAAGGTCGATACCTGGACGCAGCTAAAGTATGGGGCAAGAGCAGCAAGGGTTTTGAGGAGGTTTGCTTGACGCTAATCAACCGTGGTGAGCATGATGCTCTGCGTCATTACCTACTCTCCCAGCTGTCGACATATAGAAAGTCATCTGCGATGCAGAGGATCATGGTGGCGAGCTGGCTCGTCGAGGTTTTCATGTCCAAGCTGAACTTTCTCGATGACAAGATAGCCACCCGAGCGGGAGTAGCTGAGGGCACAAGTACTGAAGAAGTCAAGGATCAACTGCGCACTCTTCGAACCGAATTCGAGGAGTTTGTTACAAAATACAAATCGGATTTGGACAAGAAGACGGTATACGACATCATCACTAGCCATGGCCGAGAAGAGGAGCTGCTTTACTTTGCTACAGCGACCAACGATCTCAACTATGTTTTGTCATACTGGACTCAGCGCGAGAAATGGTCAGAGGCGCTCAATGTCTTGTCAAAGCAAAGCGATCCGGATGTGTTTTACAAATATAGCAGTGTCCTCATGACCCACACTGCGACTGGGTTGGTCGATATATTGATGCGCCAGACGAATCTCGACCCTGAGAAGCTTATTCCGGCGTTGCTGAACTACAACAAAGCCGTGAATGCACCACTCGGTCAGAACCAGGCTGTGCGATACCTCAACTTCATAATCGTCAACCATCCCAGGCCATCGGCAGCCGTGCACAACACCTTAATATCGATCCATGCGTCAAGCTCCTCATCCTCCGAGGCTGGTCTTCTCACCTACCTCCAATCGCAACCGTCTTCCCCACCTCCATACGACGCCGACTTTGCCCTCCGTCTGTGCATCCAGAACCAGCGCGTCCAATCCTGCATCCACATCTACAGTGCGATGGGACAGTATCTCCAAGCCGTCGAGCTGGCTCTAAAGCATAAAGATATCGAACTAGCCGCGATTGTCGCCGACCGACCCGACGGCAACGACAAGCTCCGCAAAAAGCTCTGGCTCCTCGTCGCCGAGAAAAAGATCCAACAACCAGGCACCGGCATCAAGGATGCCATTGAATTCCTCCGTCGCTGCGAACTCCTCCGCATCGAAGACCTCATCCCCTTCTTCCCGGATTTTGTCGTCATCGACGACTTTAAAGATGAAATCTGCACCGCCCTAGAGGATTACTCCCGACATATCGACGCCCTCCGACAAGAAATGGACAACTCGGCACAAACAGCCCGCCAGATCCGCTCCGAGATCGCAGAGCTAGATACGCGGTATGCGATTGTCGAGCCGGGCGAAAAGTGCTGGATCTGCTCGCTGCCTGTTCTCAGTCGTCAGTTCTTCGTCTTCCCCTGCCAACACGCCTTCCACAGTGATTGTCTGGGTAAAGAGGTTCTTGAGGGAGCAGGCGGGAAGAAGAAATACATTCGCGATTTACAAGCGCAGTTGAGTAGAGGCGATATAACATCCTCCAAACGAGAGGAGATCGTCAAGGAATTGGATGGGTTGGTTGCTGAGGCTTGGTACGTATCCTCCTTACAGTCTATGTATTTCTCTCATGCTAATATTATGTTTCAGTATCCTCTGCGGTGACCACGCAATCAAACAAATCGAGAAACCATTCATCACGAACGCAAGTGAGGTGGACGATTGGGCTTTGTAATGAGCCTTCCCTACACTACTCCGTCCGAACACTTTTTATTTTCTTGCTTACGTATTGTGTCGTTTTTATCTGGCCAAATCGGCCAGTGCATCCTTTTTATGAGCGTTGTGTTGTAGGGTTTGATATGAATGGTTTTGAAACAGCCTTTATGATTTCCTTTTTTTGCGGTTTCTCTTCTAGTATAGGAATCTTACGTATTTATATTATTCCCTAGGGCTTGGTTTGATACAATGTATACCAGATAACTAAATACAGCCTCATTCAATAGTAAATATAGATACAGCATCTAACAGCGATGCAGTGTACGCGATATGTATTAGGTATATATAAAAACAGAAACGAACCACCCTTAATAGACAATAGAGATAGGAAGGTAGGTAGGTAGTAGGTAAGTTACAAAAGTCGCAATAGGTCTAGATCTTGCGCAACAGCCGGACTATACGGGGCGCAGTCCTCCAGGAACCGCAGCATTTCGTCATTCCAACGTTCCCAGCCTGCGGGGAGGGTATCTCTGAGTCGGGGATTGGGGGAGTGGGAAATACAATAGAAGAGAAGGATTTGGCCGAAGAATCTGGACGAGAAGGTATTAGTTTTGGGATATCTTGACGGAAGCAGAAGGGGAGAGAAGAGGGACGTACTGTGAACAAAAGGCAAACTTGATGGGAATGCAGCTTTTCATTTTTCGGAAGATGCCACCGACGACAGGCCAGCCCATGGCGTTTTGGAGGCCACTTTTGACCTGGTCTAGGTCGTCGTCGGAGAGGGAAGCTGGGATACGGAGGGCTTTGTAGAGGTATGGACGGCCGATGTGGAATTTGGCGATTAGGAAGCGGCCACGGAGCATGGCTTCAGTGACTGCGGTTGCGGGGGACAGGGGACGATGAGGGTCGATGGGGAGAGGGGAGAGGGGTGCTGGGGAGGGATTGACGTCTGTTGCCGGGGTGGCTGGGAGGGGTTCAGTGAATTGGAGGGCTGCAGGGAGGTTGATGCGCCATTGTTCTAGCTGGTGGTGTAGCTCGGCATTGATAGCAGGGAGGGGGAACGTTCCCGAGTCGGCTGTCGACATGGTTAGAGGGTGATGGGACAGGGATTGATGCATGGCTTGCATGACTTACAGTAAAAGTACAAAGAGTGACGGATGCGGGTTAGGATGATACGATGCGCGACCTGCGCGAGGAAATGGTACTGGAAGAACGAATCATCGATCTCGTCGGATGAGGATATTCTGGCCGAGACAAAGGCTGTCGTCTCGAAGCCAATGAATTTTGGAATGGGGACGTATTCCTCAAGACGAGCAAGTCCGCTCGGAGGCAGGTGTAGTTCTTGCACGAGAATGGTTTCGTTCATTAGACAGTTCCAGTACACACGGGATTTCATATCGCCCTCCCATTCGTCGAAATTTACATTGTGGCTAGAATGTTAGTGAGGTCAGATGGACATCATAGGTGGTTACTTACTTGGTGAGCATCGAAAGACAACAGGTAGCAGCGCGATGGATCATTGCCCACGAGTCCATTGGCCGGAGGATCTGGCTGTAGTATACGCTGCTCCAGTTAGATTCAGTCGTTTGGATAGATGAGGCTACTTACGAGGACAGCATGTAAAACTGGCAGCTTTGGAGATCATTGCCGCACATTAAGAAACCAATACGCCGACGGGCTTCATTAAAGAAACGTAGACCTGATGGCTCCTCGTGAACCACACTCATCCAATCTGGGGGTTCAAATCGACCGCTTCGAGTACCTGGTAAAGGATAGTTCCCCTCTCGATGGGTCTGAACAGCCAGACAGCCCAAGGCCATGACATTTAGAGCTATACAGCTCTCCACGGTATATCCGAACCCATTCTCAATTGCCGCACCGAGGGTGAGCGAAAAGTAAAAGTTCTTGTCCATGATAGGCGTGAATGGGTTGAAAGTGGTGAAAAATGCATCTGAAAGACCCTTGATCATCGCCAGGGGAAGTGCCTCTAGCCATCCATCCCCAGACTGTGGAGGAAATGGACAGATATACATAGGCAGAGGGGGGCGTTTCATTTCGAGATCAATAACGTAGTTCTTCCCCAGTCTCTCGTGGGCTTCAAGTAGCCTTTCCGGAAGGACCTCTCGCGCTCCAGGCCAGAGAATTACACCATGCTGGCTGAATGAGATGGATATGTGTCCATTTGCGTTGGTAGTTTCTTGATGCTCATCGAATTCAAAATCGTCAGGCTCTCCCATTTCAGGTGTGAAGTCTTGGGGCGGATTATTCAAGGATGCTCGCTTGTTGTTATCATAATTGTTGCTGCTATAGGTTGGGGGGTTAGTCTCTCTGGATTCATCAAGAGCACGCAGCAATTGCTCATTATTTATTTGCACATCATTGGCGATTGTAGATGGAAGACTCTCTAATTTTGTCTCGAGTCGATGAAGAGTGCTCATAATCAGGCTGAGAGACTGGTCTCGTCTATATGGACCCGTCAGCCACCGGATATGAATTCCACCAAGACCTTACTTACTTGGAAGATTTGCGCTCATTGTAGACACACTCCAAGCCCTGGGACTTGCAAAGCCCACATTTAGGACGCGACTCGTCACATCTTGTCTTTTTGAGACGACAAGTTTCACATGCCTATATTGTTAGCGCCATATTGGACAAAATCGAAGAACGAGACATACCACGGTGGCAATGAAATTGCGCGGCTTCTTGGAAGAGCCAGCCGACTGCTGCTGCTCGTCGCTAGGGGAGAGAAGGTCGTGGATGGGCAACAGCCCATTGTGATGGCCGTTATCGATAGGCTCTGGTGGCTGCAACGGAAGCGCTGAGCCACCATGGGATAATGACTCCTCGAAAGGACGCTTGCTCATATTGCATGGCTGGCAGGGTGAAGGATGACTTTTTGCAAGCCAGAGTGGTCAGTCACGCCATTCTCTTGCTCTCGCGATGGCTGTCGTGATGCGAAGATGGGGATGCAATGAGTTGCTGGACTCTTTTTTGCTGCTTCTTTCGGGTGGGGCTGAATTGTGGGCGGCCAATCAGGGGTGATGATCTGTATATCATGTGGCATCAGATAGGAGAGTAAGAATGAAGAATTGAAGAATTGAATTCATAGAATATAGAAAGACTAGATAAAAAAGATATTGTTATTAAATTCAGATAATATTATACTGTAGTTGTAATATTGTGGTTGTAGTTGTAACTATTCTACAGTCAGCTATATATTCCCAACGTTGGAAATGACTCAACACCAGATACCCAGATACAGATACTCCTGTTCGATTATGTAGAACCATCTTAGAATCAATTAATATAACAGTGTCAATTGAGATAGTAGTTAACCCATATTGCACTGACTAGATTATTCATAAAGCATGTAGAAAGATGGAGTAGGACCCCCTAACATCGAACTGAGAAGATGGAATCCAAGAGAATAAAGATCGGGATATCTAGCATGTCTCAAGTATCACCTGTAGAACTGAGATACACCGTTAACTCAATCTAGTAATCTGTATAACAGTACATCAAGAAACTAGGAATGAAAACCTGAAGGCCCAAGTTCGAGACTGCATATGCAAGGCATAATAGACCAAACCTGCTGAAACGAGGGCAGATGAAGAGATTTTCCATCGTACATTGCATTGATGGAGCAGATCAAGATCCAAGATTAATTCATGAGGTTACGAAAAGCAGATGTCTTGGGATTGACAGTGGGTTATGCAAGGGAGGCTATACCGAGATGCACTGCTACTCCAGATCTTTTTACCTTGCAGCCTTGATGTGCTATCAGAATCATAACATTTAGTAATTCATAATCATATTCATATTCATAATCATAAAAAGTATTCATAACATAAGATGATAAAGTAAACAGAATTCTAGAATCATTCTTCGCCACATACCAGTCATCTGTTGACGCCATCAAGGCCCATCCCGTTCCAACACTCGTATTCCCAAATATCAAAAGAAGAATAACAGCGTCTCGCCATTCATGTCTGGACGGATGCGGGGTTTGACGAATGATTGATGGAGAAGGTGTGTCAGATCTGAAACGGCTGATATTTATGATGTCGATGATTGAGTTGGTACGTCAACTGAAGTCATGAATGTGGCTGGCAATCTTTCTCCCAGAGAATGTTATTGCTATGTTGATATGATATGACACTCTGACATGCATAACAGAAGACATCTGATTAATCCTCCTTATGTACCTCCTTGCGGAGAGATACATATGCCGTGTCGTCTGTATGTTGGATGTGTCTCTGGATGTACTCCATGTACGACTCTGTATGCTGATCAACGGCCACGCATGCGGAGAAAGAAGCCACATTTCTTTTTTGGTGCGCGATTTTCTGGCCTCTTTCTATTGCCAGCCTGCATAACTAACGGAGTAATTGATAGTCGGATGGGATTAGTTGTTTGTACCACATCTCATGGACTAGTCGGATATTCCAAAATCTGGGGAAGATGAGAAATACTCGAGCAGATCATCCGTCTAATCAGTCTGAACTGAGGGGAAATGTCAATTCAGTTCGTTAGTTTGATGTGCCATTACATAGTATACAGCACACGACCATCAGATGACCGTTGCTTTTTTCTCCGTCGATAGTATCATTCTTCCAAAATTATGATGAAGATCGTGCGGGGTAGACTCGACTCTACACATACTCTACAGAGTACAGACAGAGTGTCAAGGTGGTTGGGGTATGTGGATTTGGAGGCGCTGATATCATCATGAATTCATCTCAGATAGATGATATGGATGAGATGATATGAGATGATACGGAGGATACCTATCGTGGACGAATACAAATCGTATCAACTGATAGCGTGATAAGGTATCTACGTTTCTCTATCTAGTCGAGCCAGCTAAACACGGTTAACCAAACTCTCATTAACTACCTGATAACATGAACCAGACTTCAGTCAGTCAGCAGTCAGTCGGTAACTAGTGGAATGACTTGTTGATTAATGATATCTGATGTTGATGGTGTGTTCATATGGTGATGGTGGTGTGTGGCCAAACACCAGTCGGGGAGCTTCTCGCGTGATGCCGGCCAGGGAGTTGAAACCACGTATCCAAACCATGCATGAGGCCGCCACGCAAGCTGCAAGGTCACTTCCCAACAGAGGCGGTCAAGGGCCAGATCTTCACCGCTTCTACTACATACACACTCCATACAGGCAAAGTCACAGTAGCATGAGGCAGATTTGTAGGCAGTGTACTGAGGCAGTCTACGGACTGTACTGTAGACGCAGGCAGACCAGCCACAGCGGAAAATTCCCAGATATCTCCACTGAATCCGAGACGTAACCCCGCAAATTCACTGGATCAGATCATCGCTGATTGCTCCTGATTGTCCTGGATTTACTCTATCTGCTATCACGACAATCTGCCTGTTACAAAGCCAACCCGCGCGCCAATTTAACCCAGTCTCCAACGTCGATCAGCAGATTGAGTGATTCTGCAGAGTGATTCTGTGTAAATACGGTAAATAACGTATCGTAAGATCATAAGATCCAATCCCAAAATTGCAGCTGCTCCATCGCAACCGCTGGATCACTGGAGGCTAAACTTCAGACCTCGACAAATCCCCAGGCTTTGCCCTCCCCTCGATTCCTCGGATTGTTCTCTGATTGGCCATTACGCCATCCTCCTCGATGCTGACTGGTCATGGCGCCCTGCAGCCTGGGGGATAGCGCCGAGGATGCCTGGTGCTGATTGGCCTCCCTGTGCAGTAGCGCCAGGTGCAAGTGTCCAAAAATGGATATGCTGTTGCCACTCGTTGCTGCGCCATTGAGCCAAAGACAGGGTGGAAAATGGAAGCGTGCTGCATCATCCTCGGACTCGGTGGATACTCCTTCAGGATGAAAGCAGCAGAGATCGCCAGGACTCCTTTAGTGACTCCGTAGAGAGGCGACAATCAGTCCGAGACTCCAATCATGATATGCAGCTTAGTATTCTTTGTCTAAAAATTATCCTGGACCTGCAGGATTCCCTGTCTGATTAAGATTTTGAGGTTATTTAGAGGATTTATACAAGTAAACATAGTAATCTTAGTAGTACCTTAAGAGTACTCTGTAGTATGTAGTAGTACCTTGTTGTCTATTATGTAGTAGAACTCTCAGGAAACTGTAAACATGCAGATACTTTACTAAGGTACTTTGACTCAACGGAAGTCCCAAGGGCCGAAACAACGCATTATTGAGTAAGCGTCTACGTAGGTAACTGATTCCAGATCTCATGGAATGTCTGAAACCCAGCCAAATCATTGACACCAGACTCAGCAACAACATAACCTAACAACAGCAATTCTTCTTGTCTACTGATGATTCATTCAGGGGACCTGGTGGACCCCCCTTTTTCCGGAAACGGCCTGTCCAGAGGCTGTCCTCGACCTGCAGCCCAAAAGGCCCGTGTGGGTTTGTTGGTTGCCGGAGATCCCACGTATTGTTACCACGAGGAAACAAACTTTGGGCCGTTTTCCACCGTCTGCTGGCGGCTTTGTCGTTGCTGGTGGTACACGCTGTATCGGTATGGTAACGGAGCCACCTGTCATTGGCTGCCCGGCTCCGCCCTGTCGCTGGTTCGCTGTTTTTCTCGCCAGCGCTGGCCGGTTCCACCCTGGCCTTCCGGCTTCCCTATGCTTCGCCCCCCCTCCAAATGGTTCCACCCCCTCCTAGTCATACATGATTATTACTTACCATCCATACCCGTCCCCATCCTAGTTAGACCTCCTTATCCCATCATCATCATCCTCATCTTCCTCTCCCATCTTTCCATCTTCTATCTTTCCCCCATCTTCACCTTTCCTCTTCCTCTTCCTCTTCCTCCTTCCATCTCGCTTTCTTCTCTCCTCCTTCTTCGTCCACGCTTCTCGCTTCCGCCTTGCTCCTTCTTCGCTACTTTCGATTTCGCCTCCCAATTCAATCGTCCCGTCGTTTGCCGTCCAGCTTTATTTCGACGCTTCCATTTAATCGAACTTTTCATCGCCCTTCTTATCGGTCGTGGCCTGATCAGTGCTCTTGATAAAGCCTTAATTAGTTCAGATCTTGTCTACCCTTGTCTGTTCTTCACAGAGTGCACTCTCTGCTTGGATCCTCTTCCCTATCCGGCCTTCCGAATACAGCCGTGACTCATCGTCCTCGACCACACCTCAACTACTCTGGTCCCCCAACGACTCTTACCTCTTCGTCAATACTGTCAAGGTCGTCCTACACTTCAATTGCCTATAACGTGTTGAAGGATATCAAATTCGCTTGGTTCTGCCTCGCTGTCAACCGTTGCAAGTGCGGATCTGGATCGGGCCCTGGTATTTGGTTCTTCTGCCTCTTTCTATAAGAGATTGGAGACTCTGTACCAGTCCTCCAGACAACTTCGCACTCGTATATATTCCTCTTGCTCAACAGGAATTCTCTCGTCAAATCTATTGAGGACCCTATGACTCATTGATCTCGAGCCTTGATTCCATTTCGATTCCTGAGTCACCCGACTACCTGCCAGGTGTTCGAAGGCCGTCTCCTTCCGAGACTTTACTTGTATACACTCGCATCAGTTTACGATCTTACGCAGCGCTTTCTATCTCAACTCTTTTGATTTCTTTTCTGTCCTCTCTTCGGACATTCAACTTCAGCCTTACTCACTTCGACACTCTTTTCGTCGCTTTTCTTACATTCGGCCATCGCCTCCCTATTCTTGAAACGATATACAAATGAACCAATAACGTTCTCTACAATCTCTTTGTCTCGTCTACCCCCGTTGGGTATCTTCACTTGCGCCTCGCGCCGTCTCGTCACTTCGATTCTTTTTTCTTTTGTTTCCATATCCTCACTTCTGGTATTTATATGAAAATTTGAAACAACGATCCGGTGTTTGTTGTGCTTTCAACTATTATTCTTATCTTTCGACTCGCCTTTTTTTTTTTTTTTTTTTTTTTTTTTTTTTTTTTTTGATTTCTTCGGTGGTTCTAGGTCTTGTTAGGATTGCAGACCTGTTACTTTCTTCTTTTTTAATCATTACATAACTATAGCCTGGTTGCTGTTCTGTTTGGTTTTTGCATCATTTTGTCAGAGGTCTTTGAGCGTTTAGATATTTCTCCATTCATCAGGCGAGCGTTACCTCAACAACCCCCGCCACCACATCTCATTCTCTCGGACAGCTTTGTCGCTTTTGGGAATACGGTTTTACATCATCAGCCATGGAGTGCTTCAAGAACAAATTCGTCGATGGCCAGCTCTTGGGTGGCCGGTTCCGGACCATCGCTCCTTTGAATCACGGTTCGTTCGGCATGGTATTCCTCGCCAGGGATACCAAGACCAACCAAGATGTCGCCATCAAGTGCCTCACCAAGGTATCTTCTGGTGACCCCTCCGAACCCTTCCCTATGGATGACCGATTCGAGGAGCTTGACTGCCACCGAGACATGGCACATCACCGAAACATCGTCAACCTTGTCCACTCTTTCGAGACCGAAGCACACATGTACTTGGTCTTGGAATACTGTGCCAATGGCGATCTCTACGAAGCCATCCGACTGAACCGTGGTCCCTTGGAGACGGAACATGTGCGTGACTTCATGCTGCAGCTTATTAGTGCAGTTGAATTCATTCACTCTATCGGCATGTACCACCGCGATATCAAACCAGAGAACATTTTCTTGACGCTGGACGGATCAATGAAACTTGGTGATTTTGGTTTGGCTACTCGCGATGCCTGGTGCTACGAAGCCTGTGTTGGCAGTGACCGCTACATGGCTCCGGAACAATACGATCCGGCTGCTACCGGTTACTCTGCTGCCAAGGCTGACGTCTGGGCTATTGGCATCTGCATGCTCAATGTTCTGTTTGCCCGCAACCCCTTCGTGACCCCGACAGAATCCGACCTCCTCTTCGCGGATTACGTTCGCGACAGACAGTCTCTTTTCGACATCTTCCCCAACATGTCCCTGGATACTTTTGAGATCCTGAGACATGCTTTGGCTCTCGACCCCGAAAAGCGTTCCCTGTCTGCCGTGCGTGACGGTATCATGAGAGCCGTCTCCTTCACTACGGACGATGAGGCTTTGGACGAATTCTGCACGGACGACCGCGAAGTCGTTGCTGCAAGCGCCAACCGCGAACCTCTCAGAACTCCTTCCATCCAGAGCCCGCACATCAACCAAGGCGACTCTTTCCCCTGGGCCAAAGCATTGCAGACAAGTCCTCCCCAGGCCATTCGACAATTGTCCGCTATCCCCGATACCGAAAGTTATACCGAGGATCTCTTTCCTCCTTCCGAGACGGCTGGTACCTCTTGGTTTTCGGTTCATCAGGGAACTCCCTCCATGGCATCTGTGTTGGACTCTGCTCTAGGAGAGTCTTATATGGGTTCGCCCTTCACCAAGCGGGACGTCCGATACCCTCCTCCTTCCGACCCTGTTCCAATCACTGGCTCTTTGCCCAGTCACGCAACCAAGCCCCTGCCCTCTCTTTCGATGGTGTTTGGTAGAAACAAGAACGACCAAATCTCCAAGAGCTGGAGTGATCTCTGGGACGAGGAAGAGGAGTCGGAGTCGGAGAACGAGGACGTAGCATTCCAGCAACGACGCGAGCAGAACTCTCGTAGCTGGAGCCACGAGTCTCAGAGCGCCGGTGTGCCTAGCCCGATCGGTCTCCGCGACCCTCAATCCTCTTCTCTTCTCAACGCACGTTCTCTGAACCGGACCAAGCCGGTCACCGCGCCAGTTGAGGTACCTGCAAAGTCACTCGACACTGAGAGTCGCACTGTTACCCCTCACACTGCCCCGACTTACCCCCACACGCCGCCCAAGAAATCGCACGTCGACAAGTGGGCGGCGTTGGGTGACAAGCGGAGGAACTTCAAGCCTCGAGAAATTCCTTTCAGCGAGAAGAAGTCTCCGAACAGTGTGCCTTGGAGGAGAGACTGGGGTCTTGGATCGTCTGGATTCGACTATGGATCTTGGGCCAAGAAAGAATCACCAACCCAAGATCGCCGTCGTCGTCCGTTTTTGGAGAAGGGTTGGCGTCGCGAGGGCTCGGATCCGAAGCCCGCCAAATTCCCTAGCAGTTATGACGGCAGTGTCGACGAGGATCTAGATCTCGTAGGTGGCTGGCACGATCTCCACCTGTAATATCAACGCCATTTTGTCTGTTTCTCTCCCCCCTTTTCAGGTCGTTCTCATTTTGTGTTGTTCCGTCGGTCAGTTGGGAAAAAAAAAAAAGAATTCTTTTCTTGCGACGTTTCCGAAAATTTGCACAAAAAGCCCCGGCACTGCTTTTCCTCCGTGTTATAGATTCTCTGTTTGCTGCACCCATGCACTCGATATTTGATCTTTTTTCGTTTTCCATTCCTGTACAATAGCCTCGAGAATGGGGACGGCAAGCGGAGACGAAGAGTTGTTCAAGTCACTCATCAGTTTTGACATCTCGAGGGAGTGGTCCTGGGGAGTTTTGATATTTTGTTCGATTTGGGGATTGTGTGTTTTGTTATGATAACATCACGGACAACCATGGGATATAGCCCTGGAGCGAGGGCGGAGGACAGATGGAATGTGACAGGCTGGAGGGATGATAACAGGCTATACTTACCGTTGTCAACCTCCCTGGATGTCAGTCATTATTCGATCTCAGAAAGAAAACAAGGTGGAAAAAAGTGGCTATTATCTTTCCCACTCTCCAAAAGCACTGAAAATGGAGTCTATTCTTGTAACTAGTGATTTGAATCTGAGATAGGAAGAGGACAATAATCAAAATCAAAGAAATAGTCCCAAACATGAGTTGCACTGTAGAGTTGTGTAGAGCTGTATAGAGGTAGAAGAGGAGTATTTTTGAATGTGCGTGGGACAATATATGGATTTGTGTGTGGTGTAGCTACTGTGGAGCTGCCAATGACAGCGAGCGGTGAGGACAGGCGGTCACGGGCGGCGCTTCGGCCTTTCTTTGCCTTCAGCGATAAGCCGGATGTCCAGCCACGCTGATCGATGTACTTGTCCTCTGCAACGGCTTTGCGCAGTGGACGATCGATTCGGTTGCTGCATATTATTGTTTCCGGTTGACTGTATGTCTCGAAGACATTTGCGTTTGTTTGTAAACCCTCATTGTTCCTTGATAATTAAACGTCTTCGTTCGCCGCCAGCCAGCCCGTCACTCGGAAGAGATCGCGTGCTGTCGCGACGGTGAGAAGAAGCGGTCGAAACGAAATTGGATTCTGACCGTCTTTCTTTTGCCCCTCTCTTTCTTTCTTTTTTTATCGCTTCTTTCTGCCCTGTCTTTTTTCCCTTCTACTTCTCTAGTTGCGTATTTAAACCCTACCCCCCTAGACGCCCGGGGAAAAAAAGAGCGAAGAAGCCTACACGATGATCGACTTTGCCAAGTGAACTGAGATTCTACCTACATACCTCAAACCTACAATTGGCCGTCCCATACGGAGAATTGCCAGTCGATCAGATAGTTGCCCTCGAGGTGAACGAGGAGCCGAGCCATACGCTACCGCCCCAGCCCATTCAAGCTAGTTAGTTACGGGGTATAATCCGACCGAGTCGCGGAGGGAGGAAAATCCGACTCTTGTCGCATGATGTTGACGGCAGACTGGGTACGTGCATGTCGGGTACACTGGGTAATTCTCGTTTTCACATTACTAGGTGACACGGCCGGGGAGACGGACGATGGTCGACCGGCGTGTCAGGCGCGAGGGTGGAGAGAGGTAGAGGCGGAGTATATTCGGTATCCTATATGCGCGGAGACTCGATGGGGAGGAGGAGAGAAGGCGATAAGACAGGATGGAGAGCCAACGCCTACCGAGGAGGAGGTTACTGTGACTGTCTCTATGTCTATGGAGTCGGCTACGTCTTCGAGCACCGCTGTCGATAGGTCTGATGAGAAACCCGATCACGAACTCGACACCGATTCCCCGCTTGACAATGCGAATTTCCTCTCGTTTGAGGATTGGAAGAAACAGAATCTCGCCAAGGCAGGGCAGTCGGCGGAGAATGTGGGTGGACATCGGAGGGCGGATGCAGCGCACCAAGAAAACAGAAGGAGACCGACGGGGATAAACAATGCGTTGGATGCTCTGGGAGATGACACGGAGATTGAACTTGATTTTGGTGGATTTGGGGCTGACACGCCCGAGGCTGCGAAGCCTACGTCCTGGGGATCGAGGGTTTACGCGGATAATAATGTGGATGATGCACATCAGAGGGATGGGGAGGGTGGTACTGCTGACTCTGCTGTGCAGGGAGTACCACTAGCTGGTGCATCGCGCAGGAGAGATGCTGGTACGACTTGCAAAGAGCGATTCAACTATGCCTCGTTTGACTGTGCTGCTACGGTGTTGAAGACGAACAGCGAAGGGAAAGGGTCGTCGTCGGTTCTGATTGAGAATAAAGACAGCTACATGCTCAACGAGTGTCGGGCTAAGAACAAGTTTCTCATTTTGGAACTGTGCGACGACATCCTGGTTGACACCGTTGTCCTCGCCAACTACGAGTTCTTCAGCTCGATTTTTCACACGTTTCGAGTCAGCGTGTCGGATCGATACCCGGCCAAGCTTGACCAGTGGAAAGAGTTGGGAGTCTACGAGGCGAGAAATACCCGTGAGGTTCAAGCCTTTGCGGTTGAGAACCCGCTCATCTGGGCGAGGTATTTGAAGATTGAGTTCCTCACGCACTACGGGAATGAGTTCTTCTGCCCTCTCAGTTTGATCCGAGTACACGGGACCACCATGATGGAGGAATACAAGCATGATGGCGAGGTTGGTCGAGTGGAGGATGAAATTGCTACCGAGGATTTGGAGCCTGCTACTGTGGCTGTTGATTCAGTAACGAATCGTGATTTAGATACACCTGGCCCCGTCGAGGTAGCAACTCCGCCTGCTGATGAACCGAAAACGAAGTCAGAGGCTCAGCCGGCGACTTGTCTGGCTCATGGCCCTGATATTGAGGCGCTTCTGTTGAAGGGTCCATTTGGAGCCATGGATACATGTAGCCTTTATATTGGACCAGCTGAAGCTGCTGGGTTTGAAGAGTTCTCTGACCCGGCCTCAACTAATTCAGCAACGAACGATGTTACTGCCTCCAGCGCAGATCATTCGGTGCCTGTATCTCCTGGCTCAGAGGTGCATGTAAGGGAGACGGCTGGTGTTCAGAAACCGAGTTCTGGACCGGCTGGGGTTAGCAGTTCGACATTTTCATCCACGTCGGTTCCAGAAACCGGACAGCAAAATGAAACCGCAGAGACAGAAATTAAATCTACTATCGTCGCAAAGGAAGAGAACAATCCTGCCCCGGAATTGATCAGGCCTTCTGCCACGCAACCGCCCTCTTCGAATCCAACCACGCAAGAGTCGTTTTTCAAATCGGTCAACAAGCGGTTGCAGATGTTGGAGTCGAATTCGACTCTATCGCTGCTTTATATTGAAGAGCAGTCGCGTATTTTGCGTGACGCATTTAGCAAGGTCGAAAAGCGGCAGCTGGCGAAGACTTCTACATTTTTGGAGAACTTGAATGTGACTGTTCTGAATGAACTGAAGCAGTTCCGGGAGCAGTACGATCAAGTCTGGAGGGCAGTGGCCTTTGAGTTTGAGCACCAGCGCATGCAATATCACCATGAGGTTTTCTCGCTGAGTGCGCAGTTGGGTGTTCTAGCAGATGAGCTGGTCTTCCAGAAGCGGGTGGCCGTGATCCAAAGTATTATGGTTCTGTTCTGCTTTGGCCTCATTCTCTTCTCTCGCGGCGCGGTGAGCAGTTACATGGAATTCCCCCGTGTCCAAAACATGGTCTCGCGATCGTACAGTTTCCGATCGTCGTCTCCGGGTTTTGGCTCTCCATCTGTGAGCCCAAGTTCTACCCGACCTACGTCCTCATACAGAGGGGGCAATGGCCACCGGAGGAATCTATCCGACGATTCTCAGGGCGACGCACCCCCTAGTCCAACAGTGGAATATTCCCCGCCAACACCCGTGTCAGATACCTCGATTCAACCAGAGCAGACAGGGAACCATGAAACATCTGATAGTCTGCAAATCCCGAGTCCGGAGCCGTCACATGTCCGATCTCGCAGCAGTCCGCCTGTTTTGAATGGCTGCGATGGAGATGTTGACGCAGATGGTAGTTCGCAATCCGGGCTGTCCAATAATTCTGACCTGCACTTGTCGATCCCTACATGAGCGTACAGATGGATATCCGTTTGCAATCTCATGGAAGGGAAAAGGCGACAGGCGACACTTGTCTGCCTCACATGGCGACTGTTGTGACGATCACCCAGCCAGGAATGCAACGTCCTGCCATTCTTTGCGTACTGGCCTCGCACAAAGCCAGACACCCTTGAAATCCGTCTGACTGGAACTGGAAGAGTTTTCCGGATTGATTATAAGACACCACACACATCACGACAAGGATGTTGACGGGGCAACATTCGTATACCCTGCAAAGAGATGTCTGACTGACTGGCTTTGCTTGAAAGCCACAGTGACATTCTCTATTACGCCAACAATTTGCGGTGGATTTTATTACACACTCCCTTTGTTGGATTGTCTTTCTACTGAGCGAGCATGGGAGCAGCGACTGTGATTATTATGATGACTTGATGCCTGTACCTATATTTACTCGGCGATGTTGTTGATTTTTTTTCGTCCTTGTAGCGCATACCTGTTTCTGTCTACTGTCAATAATAGTCCTGTACATGTACCCCTTTGTACTGAGAAAATAATTAATGAGCCATAAAATAATACCAGCGATGAATATACATATGATGTCACGACTCCCTGGATCTAGTAATAATGTTCTCCTTTGCTGAGAAATGGGCAGAAGCAGCCTGTGTTGCCATGACAACAATCGATGCTGTTTTTTTCTTCCCGTCCACTTTTTCGCTTCCACCAAAACTGCCTCGTTCTTATCCGATAAATCCAGCTGCACATCTGCAATCCTTTGGAAACAGAAACAATTTCTTCTGGCAATTCATCCTCTCTACATATCACTCTTCTATCCAAAACAACAAATCAAAAACACAAATACAGTCATAATGGACGCAACACAGACTCAGCCTCTGGCCGACCGATCGACCAACACCCACCTCAACAACGAGAAGCTCAACGACCTCAAGAATGCCCCAGCCAACATGAACTCGATGGAATACCATCGCCAGGTCCTGCAGGGCAAGATTGACAGCGGAGACAAGTGAGTTATTCATCCTAGTATTGCTATAATGAGTCCGAGACTAATGACGGACAGAGCCCAAGCATCTTATGTTTCTCCTTCAGATGAGCTGATGAGCCCATGCACGAAGAAATTGAGTGACCTCAAGGGAAAGCGATTCAAGAAGTATGTCCTTTATCTAATTCCATTCCCTTGTTGAAATCTATTTGATGATTTGGTATTAATATGTTTGTTTCTACAGCGTCGGAAAGCCTCAGTCTCTGTTTGCAAAACTGGGCAAGAAGAACTTTGAAGCCTCGAGTGCGGAACAAGCCAACTCTCACGCAGATGGACAATAAGAAACAAACATCTGGAATGGGATATAGATTTATGCGATAGGACTTATACTCTTGACTGATGTCTGGATATTTCCGATCCTGCGCTGGTCGCTGTGTGAGGATTTTTTTCTCGTCGACAGGCAGGAAGAGTGTCTGATTCCATCCATCGCATATCCCTCTTTCCTGTGGGCAGCGCCCTTCGCAACGTTTATTGTCTATTGTCTTTAACTGATGATGAGGTTTTGGCTTTTTTCTTCTCTTTCGCTTTCTTTTATTTTCTTCTACTATCTCGGTTTCTGGATTCTTATGGACCTTTTCTGCTTTGCATGCGATGGTAATGAAATGGGGTTAATGGGTTTATAGAGGAACTGGGAAATGAATTGTTTTGTTTTATCGGTCTGGTTGGGATGTTATTTTGCTTGGGAAATTGAACTTGAATCATGAAAATGATGGAAAACCTGATATGCCCTTTTTTCTTTCTTTCTTTTTGTATTCTTGATTCTTTTGGCTTCATGATGTGTTGTATATTGGATACTTAATCGGTAACCCCGTTGCCTTGGTGCGAATTCCATGACTTTTTCTCACCACTTTTTATCAATTGTTATCTTCATTCTGATAAATCTACTCTATTTATTTAACTTACTTTGAAACCAAAATTAATAATTAATCATCCTCGTTGATGCTGGAAATACATTCCCAGTCCTTCAGCCGAGCGCAACCTCGGCTTCTTCTCCACACCAGCTTCGCTTCTTTCTCCGCAATCCAGCGTCTCATACGATCTTGACGACTATTTATCCTCCACCATCCCTCCTCTTTCTCATCTCTTATCATCCCACAGGTTGGTTTTGATAATTATCCTCCCAAAATATCATTGACCATACCATCATGTCCGCATCTGCAAGAATCCCCCCCATCGCTCAGCCGTTCGTCAGCGACCGGGCCAAGCGAACACTCGACCTGGTATGACACCTCCCCTCTCCCTTCTCCCCCCTCATTACAAAGGCCTCGACTAACATCCAATCCAATTTCTAGGTCGAAGAATTCGTCGAAAAAGAATGTGTCCCCGCCGAAGGCCTCTTCCAGGCCCAACTAGGCGAAGGCGAGAAACGATGGAAGACCACCCCCGCCGTGATTGAGGAGCTGAAAGTCAAGGCCCAGCGTCTGGGTCTGTGGAATATGTTCCTGCCCAAGAACCACTTCAAGCAGGGTGCTGGATTCAGTAATCTGGAATATGGGTTGATGGCGGAGTATTTGGGCAAGAGTAAGCTTGCTTCTGAGGTTGGTTTTCACTACTCCCATGGTGACGATGTGACGGTGAGGATGCTGATGATGATGGATAGGCTACGAATAACGCCGCCCCCGATACGGGTAACATGGAGGTTTTGGCCAAGTATGGCAATGAAGCGCAGAAGCAGCAATGGCTTGTGCCGTTGTTGGAGGGAAAGATCCGTTCGGCTTTCCTTATGACGGAGCCCGATGTGGCGTCGAGTGATGCTACGAATATTCAGTTGAATATCCGTCGGGAAGGAGATGAATATATCCTTAATGGCTCTGTATGTTTCATCCACCCTTTTCTATATGTATCAAACTAACAGGACTAGAAATGGTGGTCTTCTGGTGCTGGTGACCCCCGCTGTCAGATCTATCTCGTCATGGGCAAGTCGGATCCCTCCAACCGTGATACCTACAAGCAACAATCCGTCATTCTCGTTCCCGCCAACACCCCCGGCGTCACTGTCCACCGCATGCTGTCAGTGTACGGATACGATGACGCCCCCCACGGCCACGGCCACATCACCTTCACTAACGTCCACGTCCCCGTCTCCGCCATGGTCCTAGGCGAAGGCCGCGGTTTCGAAATCATCCAGGGTCGTCTGGGTCCCGGCCGAATCCACCACGCCATGCGCACCATCGGTGCCGCCGAGAAGGCAATCGAGTGGCTCATCGCCCGTGTCAACGACGAGCGGAAGCAGACCTTCGGCCGCAGTCTGTCCTCGCACGGTGTCATCCTCGAATGGATCGCCAAATCGCGCATCGAAATCGACGCGGCCCGTCTCATCGTCCTGAACGCCGCTATCAAGATCGACCAGGGCGACGCCAAGTCCGCTCTGAAGGAAATCGCCCAGGCCAAGGTCCTTGTGCCCCAGACTGCTCTTACCATCATCGACCGCGCTGTCCAGGCTTATGGTGCCGCCGGTGTCTGCCAGGATACGCCCCTGGCTAACCTGTGGGCTATGATCCGAACTCTCCGTATCGCTGATGGTCCTGATGAGGTCCACCTCCAGCAACTCGGACGGAGAGAGAACAAGGCCCGCAAGGACCCTGTTACCGCAAAGTTGAACTGGCAGCGTGATCAGACTGACCGCTTGCTTACGGCTAGTGGGTTCAAGGCTAAGAGCCATTTGTGATTTCATAACGAAGATGGGATATATTTTATATAGTTAAGAGATATCAATCATAACCAAACATACATTGGGAATTGGAAATGTTCACTAGATACACAACAAGTGCAACAAACCTGTACAACACGGCTACTTGGTATACAACTGACATTCAAAATTCAACGTATGCACTTGATTCAAATCATTAACACCATATCTATGAATGAGATCCCCAACATGAAACCATGACATCAATGAAAATATAACCCATACTTTTATGAGTACCAACGGAACTCGAAACTTCATACCCAAAACCTCATGAGTCCTTCATAACCTGCCCCCTCGGAAAGAAAGGGCAGCTCTACACTCGCCAGCGAGTCATGAGCGAGCGAGCGAGAGAGATCAAAGAAAAAAAAATAAAAAAGAATTATCTAGTAATCGTCGTCCTCGCCTGCCCTACGCTCCTTCTTGGCCTTCTTCTTGTTGGCCTTGAAATGCTTCTTGGTGTTGGGTCGCACTTCGGAAACGTCCACGCCTCGATCCAACGCGACCATTAGTCTTTCCTTGCGTCCGGTCAGGTTTGTCCGGATCTGTTGTCCTTGTTCCGTGTACTGGGAGTTGAAGGGCATCGTCATGCGGCCGGCAGACATTTTGGATCCAGGTCCGAAGAAGCCGGTGTCCAGATTCCGAGATCGGGCACCCAATTCCGCAGGGCGCTGCTTGACAGGGGGCAGCGATCCAAGGGCGGGATCGAGATCGGCATTTTCGGGGTCTTCTTGGGCAGCTTTGGCGAGAATCTCTTGTCGTCGCGTTGGAAGATGGGCGACATCGTAGAGTTCTTCGTTGAACACCAAGGGATCGATGGGGTCCTGGCCCTCAGGTGTAGGTGGTGGGTGGCAGAAAAGTAGTTTACCATTGACATAGTCCTTCAAGACATATCTGGCTGCTCTGGACTCATCAGGCTGTCCTTGACCGGTAGTAGCGAAACCACGAGCTCTGGCATAGGCTCGCAAGAGTTCATAGGCAGTTGGAACACCAGTACCGCCCTCTTCGATGGGCCGGGTGTTGATCTTCACACCGTAAACATTTTCCACAAAGTTTCTTGGGATACGCTGAGCAACCAGTCCGGCAGGGCCGATGAATTCACGCTGTTGGTCGATGGGCAGCACACCGTTGACAACGAGTTCAGCCTTGGTCGAGGCAAAGTTAGGGAACACCAAACCGGGGCAATCGCAAAGCATGATCTTAGGAGACAGGTTGAGCGTTTGGAAATGCTTGGTCTTTCCTGGTGTTGCGGACACGGAGACCTTCTTGGCTCCAAGAAGGGCGTTGATTGTGCTAGACTTTCCGACGTTGGGGTAACCAACGAGACCGATGACGGTCCTTTGCTTGGGCTTTTGGTCTGGGTTATCGCTCTGAGGAAGAGTTTCAGGCGTGTTGGCGAGGAAGAGCTCTTCCAGCTCGTCCGTATCGAGAATCTCTGTTCTCCGAGATTTGCTGGCACCGGCAAGATCATCGCCTCTATCTTCACCTTGATCCTCTTCAGTCGCCGGCTGTTTGCCCTTCGCATCCTGGATACCCATTGTCTTGGTTGCATCAGCCAGTCTTTCCTCGCTGTCACTACCAGCCTGGTCTGCCTCCAACTGGCGCGCCTCATTTCGGTCCTTGGCCAAGTGAGCCGAAAAGAACCGGTAATCGATGCCTTGTCGCTCGAAGTAGTCCGCCCACGACTCTCTTTGCTTCTCAGTCAACATATCGGCCTTGTTGACAAGCAACAAATTGGCCTTCTTGGGATCGATTTCCTTGACGTAGATGTCGAGATCCTCACAGCGGAACAGCAACGGGTTTCGGGCATCGACAATTTGTACAACGAGGTCAGAACGTTCAATGACACGCCAAAGCTGTCTCCACACTTCCAAGTTTCGTTCAAAGGGGGTCATCAGAAGGTCATTGGTTTCCTGAAGCTCAGCCAGACCTCTCCGCCATTCCAAGAGACTCTGTCGTTCCATCACGTCCAACTCCGCCGGTGTCGTTGTCTTATCCCACTTGGGTCTTCTCGGAACGGTCAAACGGGCCTTGTTCTTCTGTTGCTTCTTGACAGCCGATCTCTCCTCGGAGGCTGATAGGAGGTAGGGGTTCTTCTGGTCCGCATGGATGATCTTGACGTTGTTGATCTTCTCGGCCGTGAAGTCGGTGCCTGCAAGCTCTGCGGTGCTCAGGAATTCATCGAGGGCGGCCTGTTCCGTAATACTGCGCATCTTCACCCACGAAGCCTCCTTAGCACCATTGGTGACGTACATCTCACCATTCATGTCTTTACGGGCCACGGAATTATTGTGCGAGACTTTCTTCTGGTTTGACGCTTTGCCTTTGCCAAACCGGTCCTTCATGAGGCTGTTACCCAGCCCCACGGAGTTTTTGGATTTTGCGAGAACCATGTTGGCGGTGACTGTATATCTTCGCTTTCAGTCTTTGTTCCGCCTGTAGACGAGTGATGATGTGAAGAAAGAAGAAGGGTCGAAAACACACGATCGGAGGCGAGGGAAGAATTATTATTAATTTTGATCGAAAAAAAACCCCGCGCGGATAAGATAAGAGGATGAGTCAGCAATGCTGTCACAACTTGTTTTCTCTTCGAATAATATGCATATAATTCTGAAATCGAATATGAGGCCCTTTCTATGATTTGATCAAAAATAAAAGCAATACCTTGTAGAAAATTCGTAGAAACAAGCAGAATCGATCGACCTTGTGGGCAAACAATGGCGATAAGATCACGTGATGTCATATCATCCCACTTTTTTTTCTCTTCGAAAAATGACCAGAAAAAGAAAATTCATTGCAGACTGAAAGTCGACTTTCCGGACAGCTGGGAATTTACTGCAGGTTAAACAAATTTCCTGTATTACTATCGACAAAATGCCTCCGAAACAGTGGATGTACGTTTAAGGCCAGAGAATTCGCATCAATATCTTATGTCTCGATAACTAACCCGCTGCGCACACAGTGACAAGAAAAATGCGACTACATACCAGCTATTCCACCGATCTCAGCATGACCCGCTGATTAACGATCCTGAGGCCGAAGATCGTGTCCTACACGCAGTCTATGGCCCCCCTATCCCCAGTTCTGAGGCTTCGAAGCGATCCAAGAACCTTTCCGACCTCAGCAATGAATTTGGAAACAAGGCCGTCCGAAAAAACGAGGGTGAAGCCGCCAACTATGGCGTCTACTACGATGACACCAAATATGACTACATGCAGCACTTGCGTGAACTGGGAACCGGAGGTGGAGATGCGCACTTTGTGGAAGCAAACGCAAAGGGCAAGGCGAAGGGCAAAGGAATGAAGCTGGAGGATGCCCTGAGACAAGCGACCCTGGACGACTCGAGAAGCGAATTTGGCGACAGCATGTACGGATCCCAATATGGCGATATGCGCTCGACAACTACTTCGTATAGCCGGAAACCGACGTACCAAGATCAACAAAACGTACCCGATGCAATTGCAGGATTCCAGCCCAACATGGACCCCCGTCTCCGTGAAGCTCTTGAGGCTCTCGAAGACGAGGAGTTTGTTGATGAAGATGGGGGCGAAGATGTTTTTGGCGAGTTGACCAAAAATGCGGAGGAGATGGACAGCGGCGACTGGGAGGATACATTATTCGACCAAGAAGACGAGGATGATGATGGATGGGAGTCGGATGCAACAGAGAAGGCACCTGTGCAGACAGATACCACAGATGCAAAGGCAAATGGAAAGGGCGCCCCGGATTTGGCACCTGGTGAACTTCCTGGCCATGACGAACCTGCCCCAGACTTGCACCCAGAGGACCAGGGTTGGATGCGTGAGTTTGCCAAGTTCAAGAAGGACGGAAAAGCCCAGGCACAGCCGGCTGCCACCCCAAGTATCGCCCCATCGGAGCAGCGCAGCACTCTTGCATCCACTGTCTTCACGGAAGGTGGCACAGCAATCCGAAGAAAGAAGCGCAAGGGTGCAATGACCAACCCCTCCGCGTACTCCATGAGCTCTTCGGCTTTGGCCAGAACTGATGGTCATCGACTTCTCGACGACCGTTTTGACAAGGTGGAGGCACTATACGCCCTCGATGAAGAAGACGAAGAGTACGACGACAACATGTCCATGGTTAGTGGCATGACTGGTATGACCGGCATGACGGACATGTCGACTGCTTCATCCCAGGCACCCAGTCTTGTTGACGCCAACGGAACCGCGGTGCAACCGCGCCACAACTTCAACAACATCATGGATGACTTCCTCTCCGGATGGGATGACAACACCAGCGCTCAGGCGAAGCGAAAGGGTGCCAAGGCTAAGCGTGGCAAGAACGGTAACGAGGCAATTGGAATTAGAATGCTGGATGAGGTCCGGCAGGGTCTGGGTGCTCCGAGGCTGTCTTCCAAAAGAGTCCCTGGCAAGGTATAGATTCAACGAACTGCAATGACATGATATCAATTACTGGCAGGAAAATGGGGCTAGGCGTCTGGGTTCTTTTCTTTTCTTATGCTATGTGTTTGTCTTTCGGTATGAGCATAAAAGTATATTTCTTTTATCTATGTGGAGTTTTGACATAGCCATCAATGATAGAACATGGTATATACTTTCTATACAATTTTAACAAGTAGACTGCGATGCGGACGTAGCATCGATTCTATATAGATTCCTGTATACAATTATCGTCACTTATTACATGGGGGTATTACAAAATTCGGTCTATTTAAACAAAATGCAAATGTTGTTACAGCGCACCACCGACCTTTTCCACAATCCACATGGCCAACCGCACATTCCAGCCTACTCGTCTTTCGGTCCGTCTCAGATCCTCTCTTGAGATGGCTTTTGCGTCCTTTTGAAGCAATTCAGTCTCAGCACCCAGCTTCTTTTTCAACGTTTCATCATTGGTAACAACCAACGCACCAGCCTCTAGGTCAAGACTGTAGCTACGCTTGGTGTAGTTGCTGCTTCCGACGAATGTCAAGCTAGGATGCTCCTCCTTTGGCAAAGTGATCCATAAGCCCTTCGCATGATAAGTCCACCCTTCCGGTTCCCCAACGGTTCCACGTCGCCATTCTTTGAGCTGAATTGAGTCGGTTCTTTGTGCTTGCGCTACCCGATCAAGAAACCGGGCGGAGAGGTGTGTATAAGCAGCAGGGAGCATGCCTGAGATGCCAGCAGAGCCGAAAAACCCATTAGCCCAAGGCGAAGCGGTAAGTACTGTGCCCCGGGTGGTGGATGAGGTATGAGAAGCAGATGTGCTTTCGATTAAGAGAGAAGACAGGACAGGGTGCATGTTGAAATAACCGGCCGTGAAGAGCCAGCGAGCACCGGAAAACGCAGATGAGCCTGAAAGTAGGCGAAGGATAGTAGTGACGGCCGGATATTCGGTGGACGTATCTGGTTTCAATAATGGCGTGAATTGTGCAATGGGGTATACATATGTTTGACTTGAAGATGTGGATTCAATAGCGGGTTTGTTATCGGCTGGCTGGACCAGTGGGTTCAATACTGTGGACGAATGGGCGATAAAGTTCTCAGGATTCTCCAGAGGTGAAGGCGCACCATTAGATGTCGGCCAGTCCATGAGATATCCTGACGCGTTGTGTGGATCGGGTAGGATCTGGAAGCTAAGACTGCAAACCGCGTGATGGATGCTGGCATAGTAATCGGCAAGTTCTTGGGATTTGAAAACATGATACCTATCCACACGATTTGTGAAGTAATCACTGGATAGATTTGCCCTGCAAAGAAAAAATAATCAGCCTATGACTCTATATTCAATCAAGCAATCCGTACCCAGAAAGTATGATCTCATCATCAACACCATAGAGCTTCATATGTTGAAGACCCCAGCCCTCGTTGATTCTTCGGGGAATCCATTTCTTCCTCAACCCAGTGAGATTGGGTGTATGAAACATCCGAATTTCCACACGATCCGATCCATGCTCCGTGATCAACGACGATAGAAGGGAAGCGCAGGATGGGTCGGGGGTTTCTCGAGTCCCTCTCAAAGCGTCTGTAAGGATGGATACTTTGAGTTCGGGGTTCTCCCGAAGAGCCTGATCCAGAGTCTGAACGAGTTCATATTCCGATTTGCCTATGTACAACGTAGAAAGGTAGACGCGTCGTCGAGCCTTGCGGATTTTATCCTATACACCCTTATTTAGTCCAAACATGCCTTACTCCAGCTGAGCTCATCTCTCACCTTCAATGTGGTGTAGAATGAGGCGGGTGAATCCAGAATCGTAATCTTTGACGCAGGAATCTCAAACCGGGGAGCAATTCGATCCAGCTCCACGGTGATTCCGCCCAATGGCGAAGCTGTCGAGGCTGCAGCCGTACTCGAAGGACTGGTATAGGCGGAGAATTTGCGATCATAGAGCTTCCTCCGAGCAATAGGCCTGCTCCCGGCACACCGAAGCGTCTGGCCACCAATGCGTTTAAACATCATGGCAGTCTCTGAGTCTGTCTAGAACGACAGATCGCCCTTCAATTGAGCCGAAAAATCCCCAATTAATTGCTCGACGAACCTCAGCTCTCGTTGAGAAATCATCGCCCGCCGGTTGGCCGCGGGTGGTGCAAACACCGCAAACACAAATTGCGCTAGTCCGCATTGAGCGGCTCTGCACTTCATTGCCCGCTTCGAGATGGACGGACGACGTTCAGCATTTCCAGGCTGACGACAAGCTCACCACTTGCCTATCGCCCAAGATGTCGACCATTCTTCGGACGCTGCGGAACCTGCGCAGAATCGGACTCAAGGTTGGTTTTTGCAGGAACTCTGGTGCATATGCGCGAACTTGTCTGCTAACAACCCTTTATAGGATTATGGCCACCAGTTGCACGTACGTATTCAGAAGGAGGGAAAGATGAATTGGACCAATTGATTCCTATGGATACTGACTATGCGTTCCTGTTTCTGGAATACAGTACATCGGTAAGGCTTCTCTGATATTGCTTGGTTTTGGCCATTGACTGACCCCGTTGTGCTTGCAGGTGATACCAAAGCTGGTACCTTGATTGGCACCGATCGATACGGCAACAAGTACTTCGAGAACATGGAGGAGGAGCTTCCCCGTAAGCTAATATGATTCTGGATACTGAGACCTAGCCGGAAGAAACTAATGGCTGGTTTAGTCCGAACACGATGGATCGACTACAAGGAAGACCAATACGACCCTTCGCAGATTGAGCCTGGCTGGTGAGATATGCATGTTGCCCTTAGGTATTGAATTTTTCGGTTAATTATGTTGTCTTGTTTAGGCACGCCTGGATCTCCTACTTGGTGGATGCTCCTCCCACCGCAGACAAGATCATGCAGACCGGTGTTCGCACCTGGGAGTTGCCCGAGCACAGGCCCACCATGACCCTCACCCGTGGTGCCTTCAAGACCTACTCGACGTGAGTTTTCAACTTCCCTACTCTCCTGTTCATCGTTTACCCCGACCAAAGGTTCCGGGTGAGTGCTTATTCTAATGCTGATGCCATCTTCCAATAAAGCGTCAAGCCCAAGTACTCTGCTTGGAACCCCGTCGCAGCTCCGCGGTAAATCAGGTATTGCTTAGCAAGAAAATCTACCTTTTTTGTTCCAGAGCTTTGGCTTTTGTTTCCTCGGACTCTCCACAATCGGTTTAATTGTGGATGTGTAAATAAAGATGTGTTATTGGTAGTTTGATTTTATAAGGTTGTTCACAGTAAACCCATTCAATGCTTTATTCTTTACATATTTCTTTCTGTCTATTAGTGTCTTGTTTGTGTACAAGCAATCTAGTTACTATTAAAATTTGGCTATATCAACAAGGTATCACATCAGGTCCAGAGATACAAAAGCAGACCTTACAGCAGCTAGATACAAGAAAATGACCAATAAAATTGCCCATATTAGAGAACATATACACCGGAGCCAATATTAGACCAATGGCGAATTGGGCGTCGATCTTCGAGCTCGATGCACCACCATAGAACCTCTTTCAACTTTCCGATCTGCCCTCCAGCCTCATATGCTCTGGAGAGTGCATACCAAGCCTCGGAGTTGTCCCAAGAGCTGCCACGCTTTGTTAAGGTGGATAAAAGACCGAATGCACGATCACGAGCAGCGAGTCGGTTGAGGTACTTGGGTTCTTCTTCTTTGAATACAGGTGGTGTGCCTGTAGCTCGCTTTGTCTCATCGACACCCGACTTCTCCGCATGGTTTTCTTGGTTTTGTTTTGAGTTCGTGTTCTTTTTCTGTGGAGTTGATAGCAAAGACAGCGTGGAAATGTCGAAATCAACTTCACAAGGTGGAGAGTCCGCTGTAAATTTCTGATCCCATATATCCAGGAGTAAGCTAGCCAACCCAATTGTGGCTTTCGGATGATCAGGATAATGAATTAATGCTCGCTCGAAACGCTCCATTGCTTCTCGAGGGCGTGATTGAGCCTTTGACAATTGTGCCTGTTCAGCATAGTAGTCTGCCCAGAGCTCTTCAGAGCTCTTTGCAGTGCCCCAGCTCCGTTCGCTGAACAACTTGGCAGACGAATCCTGAGCTGCAACAAGAGCCTCAATGCGTGTAACCTGCTTGAAAGCTTCCTCGCACGCTTCATTTGCGTCCTCAAATAGTGACGCACGTCGATAAAGTCCCGCAACGAGAAGCCAGACTTTGATAAGGATGCCGAGAGCATGCTTCTGGGCCTGTGCAATCGGAAATTTGACGACCGCGTTTGTGGGCGAGTCAAACCTGTATGATATAGGAAGCCGAACGTCTTGTTCAGGTGGCTGCTTCTCATGGCCAACTGGAGGCGGTACTTTGTTGTATTTGACGTTGTGAGCCATAGGCCGCAGCGGTTGCTTGCCGTCCTGTGCTTGTTGGGACTCAGCACCCGACACTGCAAGGCCAACCATATCCTGAGCCGTTGTTTCGTCTTTGCTTGTTTGATCTAGCGTTTTCGTGCCATTCGCGTCGGTGGTTGATGGAACAGGGGGAATACACCCATCGCCTTGGGCCGTAACAGCATCAGATTTCCTGAGGGTACTGCTACGCTTTCGCAGTCTCTGCCGCGTCGACTCCGATCTTGCCACGGGATGTGAACCTTCATTGGCGAGCTTTTTATCTTCGTCTGTGACCTGGATAGCAGGCGCAGCATCTGAAATAAAGGGGTGGCCCGCTTGGTTTACAGAATCGGCCTGATTTCCATCGATAGCAGATTCCACCTTTCGCTCTGGAGCACGAGGGCCTCGATTTCGCCCGAATATACTGCCGCGGAAGCTTCTCACTGTGCCAGCAGAACTTTGTGGTGGGACAAGGTGTTCTGTCTTGGTATTCTTTTCATTCACATTCCCACTTTCGAGCTCCAAGTTTTGAAAAAGGGTAGCAAAAAGGCTGAGCAGTTGGTCGCTGTGGTTAACAGCGGCCTCCGGGCCCTCCAAGACCTCAACAAAGGCGAGTTGTGTCATGCGCGTCTCAATTATACGCTCTTTCTCACGGCCTCGCAATTGATCAATTAATGCGTGTTTCAGACCGTTGGCAGTAGATTGCTCATGGTCTTGCGGCTGTCTGTGAGAACCCTTGTCACCGTGGTTGAGCGAAGCAACAGCACTGGGGAATTGTTCGAATGCAGCTTCGCAAGAACGTTCAGCAATGCCGAAGTCCTGTTTTGCGCTCAGTAGAAGGGCGAGTAAATGCCATAGAGCGACAAGATCTCTTTCTTTCACAAGATTGGCTTGCGTAGGGGTAGGATGGCTATTCGATGTCAGCGCTGACTTGACATAGTCAATTGCACCATCCAGGTCCCGATCCTCAGCTAGAAGGAGAGAAAGCGTGTACAAGGACGAATAATTGTACTCGTCCCCAAGCTCCGGTGCAAGACTTTTCTCCAAATATTCGATAGCTTCAGCCCGTATGTCATCCCGTTCTTCGTTCACGGGTGTCCAGTAGGCCCAGTTGGCAAGTCCGACACCGATGGCCCTGTATGCTAGAGCAGTGACGGATGGAGACACAGTATCAGAGTATGACGAGCTTGCATCCTCCTGCGATACCATAGCCTTGTCATTTTCCTGGTCGTTTGCATCGACCTGCGTATGCTTGCCTAAGAACCTCTTGATGAGTACTGTCAAGTCTCTTGCTTTTTCAGCCCCCTTTTCTGGGCCAAAGCAGCACAGCATGGTGACACCTTCAGAGAGAGTTTGCAGCAGCCGTCCATCGTTCTCTAATTCCCCTGACTCGGCTCCCTTCTCCGCCCTTGCTTTTGCGCCCGTGACAATTTCAATATAGGCATCGAGGGCTTTGAGAGCGAGATCAAAATCTGCCAATGCCGAATGGACATGGAAAAGACGCCTAAGAATCAAGTGAGAGTGGTATGTCTTTGTTGCGGCCTTGTAAAGAATCTGAAGATAAAACTTATTAGCGCAACACAAGGAGTCACGGCACTATCCCCGAGCACTCACATCAAGCACGTTTCGGCCCACTGCGTTTTGACCACCTTCGCCGAGGTCCTCGTCACGCCATTGCGGCCCGCAGAGGACTTCCCAGTTCTGGATTACTTGTTCAACCCAATCTTCAATATCTGAGTTGAGGGACTCTGCTTTTGGGAACTTCACTTCACGTAGAAGGCTGCTCTCACAGACTGATTCCACACGGCGTAGTTCACTGGCCAGCTGTGGGCGCTCTGAACCACCAGTCGGAGAGACATACGTCAACCCATACTGCAAAATAGTTGTCAAGAGGTCATAGTATCCTTTCCAGATAGCGGACTTAGAAGCAGGTTCTGCAATATTATCACTTTGCGCTCCGTTTGGGGAAACCCATCCTTTCACGTTCGGATGTGCAGACCACAACCTGAAGAATTTCAATGCATTCTCCACACGCTCATCGTCACCGTGCATGCAAGCTTCGTCGCCGGATAGCAGAGCGCCCTGTGCCAATAACTTTTCAGACCAGTGTGAAAGCTGGGGGTTGTTCAGCGACGCTTGGCTGTGACTGCTCAGCCATGGCATAAGCGACTTGAACGTTTGCAAGGCGTCGTCCAATCCAGAGGCCATGGATTGTGCAGTACCTACTCCGTAATTAATACACATCCAGAGCTCAAGCCTAGGGACCACATACCCTTTATATAACAGCCCTTCACCAGGCAAACCTCAGTCCACGGGGACAACTCTTGGCCATCGTCCGAGAGGTTGCTCACTGTCGCCCCAAAGTCTTTAGGTAGCCGGGCTACTGCCAGCCCCGGCTCATTAAGTGTCCAATGAACCCATCCCAGACAGACTTGTGCTTGAAATACCTCTTGCGGGGACCCGTCTGCTTTCTCAATCGTGGACAGGAGCGAGGGTATCAGTTCTGATAGGTTGGATGTGGAAGGAGACGACGGTTGAACGTTTGAGCGTTTGCGAACATGGGCGGCGACTTGGGACTCTACATTTACGGTGTCGAGGAAGCCTATGATGAAATGTCTTGATTAGCTTCGGTGTCTAGCAGTCAGCGAGCAAAGAGGGGCCGGAGAATACATGTCTTCTGAGACGCATGCTTGGTCACCTTTCGGATCAGTTCAGGAATTTCATCCCACTTGTCCTGGCAGCGTGCATTATCCAAGGCAGCTATATAGCGATGCCCCTTATCGAGGTCTCTACCCTACGGCAAGTGTCAATGAATGCTGACGCTCATGCTGGGGGGTCTGGGGGACACGTAGCCGTGCTCCTGGTAACGAAAAGAAGGGGGAGTTAAGACTCACAGCCATTGTTTGGGGGATGGTCAGGAACGTTGCAAATCTACAAATTGGGGGGCCGTAGGGAAACCGTCCATAACTAATGCCCACCCCGAGGCTCAAGCGCAGTAATTAATGAAGCTGACGGTCAGCATTACTCCTGCCCAAGAACCGGTTGGTGATCACTTCTTGTCCAGGGGAGACAGTGAGACCCGCTCAGGTTCCAATTCCGCCTGGTGTAACTTATCGGTACCGTACCGTACCGAGGCTTCACGTGGTCCAAGCTTTTCTGCCAGGAAAAAAAGTTCCATCGTTTCTAAATTTTTGGTGATAGGCACCAGAGCGAGCGTTGCGAAAAGACTTTTCTTCTAGTTAATTGGTGTTTGCAAAGATGACATCAACAACTTTGCGTGCGGTCACGCATCGATTGACCACCACGCCTGTCCAGCAATTGCCTCAAATTGCTTCGTTTCTTGCGACATCATTGAGCGACTGCGGGGAGCTTCTGTCTGCGCCTCTGAATCAGAAGTCGGGCAAATCTGAGTCGGATAATGCAGTCCAAGTCCATAAGCTCAAGACTCGTCTCTCGAGCCTGCTGCAGGACAGGACTTTTGAGGGACGATGGACCGCCGTGGTTCTCGTGAAGGCAACTGTCGAAGCTGGTCAATGGGAGGTTCTGCGTGGTTGCGAACCTTTGGTTCGTAACTTGATTAGCATTCTGGCTGTGAGTAACTATTCCAAATTATATGGGAAGTTTGCGCATGTTCGAATCAGTCACTGACCACGTAATGCCTGTAGAAACCTGATCCTGCTTCCACGAAGAAAATGTGTATTATCACCTTAACTCGCATTTTCCACCTCACCTACCAGTATCCGACACTTGTGAGAGAGATAACGACCCCATCTATGCCAGGATTTATCACCTCTGCCTTGAACTTGGTCTCGGTCAAACCATCTTCTGAGCCAACAAGGAAACTGAAGCCGAATACGCCGTTCTTGGGAACCGTGCTCCATGCGTTCGTGGAGCTGATCGCTAGGCATCCTACGATCTTCCGCCCATTCTCTGCGCAATTGCACAGTTTGCTCCAGGCTATCATTGCCTCGAAGAAATCCGCATCCATTCCTGAGCCCGTGGTGGATCTGGCCGAGCAGGTATTTATCGCTCTTCACAATTGCGCCCCGAAGAATACTTCTGGAGAAGAATGGAGGAACGCAAGCCGCTTGGTACTTTCTTCTATTCATAGAACGTCGGACTACGTCTTCAGAGCGGTCGTAGAGCAGTGGGAATCCGTCGATGTAAACCTACGACATGCTACGACACCGCAGAACTACAGCCAGGAAGTGGGTGATGATGGGCCAGACCCCTTGGGCCTTGCTGGCTGGCATGGAATTCACTCTGGTGTGGATAGATTGATCACACTTTTGCGACTGCTGTCTGGCTTCCTGTCCAACCCAACAGCTTCTACCGTCACCATTCCCGTCGGTCACATTCTAGATTTGACTTCACGACTAACCTCGGTCATCGCACCCTCTGACGGGGGAAATGCTCAGAACAACTTACAGATTGGCCGGGAGGAGAGAGATAGCTTATGGGCCGAATTACCTCGTATCCACACGGCTTGCATGGAACTCCTTTTGGATTTGATCAACGCCCTCGAAACAAGCATGATTCCAGTTGCGCAGACGATCTTGGAGCAAACACTTTGGGTCTTCCGCGCGGAGAAATTCAGCAAGGACATCCGCAGTTCCACATATGATGTGATACGCGCTTTGTTCTCATTGATTGGACCATCCATGACGAAACAAAATGTATCCTCATTGACAGACGTGTTCCGCTCTTGTTGCAGTGATATCTTGCCACCAGCTGGAGATCAAGCTCCCGCAGAAGCATCATCCGATTCCAAGGGAAAGTCAAAGGGGAACCAGGCCACCGTAAATGCGGACTCGTTCTTGAACACTGGATCCAAACAAAATCGTCAAATAAAGCAATCTGCCTCTTTCCCCGGCCTCAAGCGGGCTGCATCTGAGCTCTTGCCTGCTACGCTCACTCTTTTACCCATCGAATATCTCTCGCCATCAGTTCGCGCAGAAATTGACCGGACAATCATCCTGACCGCTGACAAGAATGCAATGTTTGCCAGCGTTCTTAACCCTGTTCCGGCGATGAAGGGCCGTGGAGTTGGTTCTAGCATCATGCCATTCTTGGCCCGAAGCTATGCAAGCGAGATGGAAGTGGAGGGTCTCATCAGACCTAGAATGCCGGTATTGATGAATGTCCCCAACATGAATGGATACGTCAATATGGAAGAGGAAGAGGAAGAGGAAGAAGAGGAAGAGGTGGCCCAGCCTACTCACCACAGTACCTCTGGAAGCACCGGTTTCCTGAAGCCCTCTGCCCCTGTTGTTCTCAACAACCCAGTGAGAGAGACTGATTCTGTCAAAGAGCAAACTCAGACTCTTCCTCTCAACAAGCGAACCTATGCAGAGGAAACCAACACAAACGTTTCTACCATATCGCCGATCACAAAAAAAGACGACGTTCAGACCAAGAAGGCACGTTTCGAGAAAGATACCCCTATTGCTCCTAGTCAACCTTCCCTCGAAAGGGCATCTCCGGCTTCCTTTACAGGCACGGCAGCCATTCCTGTTGAGCAATCTTCAGCTGCAGTTAGCCCTGCCCCTGTTCCTTTCCAGGCTGCATCTCAACCAACCCCATCAGCTTCACACGCGGTTGCAGAGGAAGAAGAGGAAAGTGGCGATGAGATGCCTACGCTGAATATGGATTCGGATACTGATGATTCGGACGAGGAAGATGTCACGATGGACGATTGATATATATAGTCTATTTCTAAATTACCCAAAAGTCTAGAAAATGTACTAATCTAAACGCTTTCGCTATGCCCTCTAAAGAACCCAAAAACGTGCCCGGCAAATACCGTAATTCCAATCCATATGTATATAGTCGCAAAATCACAAAAGTCGCACTCCACGCTGCCACCAGGAGCCATCACCTCCACTCCATGAACGGAACCAAGGCTCTTTCCAGCACCACCATCCCTCGCCCTCAGCCCCGAGCCCTAACCCACGAAGAGGGCTTACTGGTATGGGCTCTGTGAGCCAAAGGCCGCCTCGTGCGAAGTCGTCCGCTACGAAAGGGCACGACACGAACAACCAACAGAACACAAATGCGGCATTGACGCTTCGTCGTAGCCACAGTGGAGTATTATTGGGAGGGAGCATTGGCGTTATGAAAGTGGTCTGGATTGTAACCCCCACAGCTTGTAGAAAGAAAAAGAGAAATGGGCCAGACAGTGGCCTGGTGTCTACCACTTGAGTATAGCTCCCGCACCCATGGATTAAACCACTAAGGCAAAAGGCGGTAAACACTACTATAGTGCGTTTCACGACAGGATTTCTTGCCAGCTTGGATGGTAAGAAAGACACCAGCCAGTGACCCGTTGATGTAAACCCGAAGCGGAAAACCTGATGCCACCAGCGGCTCCAGCAGCCAGTTAGGCCTTCGTCGAGGATAGTTGTAAGAAAGGGTCCAAATGGATAAGCGTAAAGCCAGGGGGCATCAAGAGGGACCGATGTGAGTGCACGGGATGCATTGGGGAAAGCAAGAGACAGCCCCAGAAATATGATGGGATTGAATGCGGTTGCATAGGCCAAAGCAGCGTAGACACCAACACCTGTGAGGGCCAGACGGTACAAGCGAACGAGGATGGAAGACGCAGCAAAGTAGCTGAAGGGGAACGGCGGTGGAGGGGAGGGAGATACTACAAGCCAGAAGTATGGGTCTCGCATCATGAGAATTTTCACGAGATCGAGAAATAGATACGACTTGAGCAAGGTGGCGAATGCTTTCCGCAATTGTGTTCTGGCATCTGGAAACGCAGAATGGCCCTCTTTACATGATGAGCCCTCAGAGCCTAGCTGGGCCTTGACGGATGGAGGCAGAGGCCCGATGGTAGAAATGCGCCAGTTCCATTCGGGCCCTCTCATGTTGCATATCAATCCCATTACCCAATTGAGGCGATGCGACAAGGACTCGGGATAGCCTTGCCATGTGAGGGCTTCCTCTTGAGTTGGAGGCTCATTGTCCCGCTTGACGCCCACTTTGGATAGAGATGACTCGTCATTATGGTTCAAAGTCCTCGAATTCCCTTCTCCATTCAACTGCTTCTTCCCCGTGCCTTCTGGTGTGCTGATCGACCTCCTTTCAATCCGTTTGAAGTTTTTCTCGGCATCATGGAATATCAATATTGTTGCACTCCATATAGTCCACCACACTGTCATTAATCCGATCATGTATCCATTGGCACCTAGGAGCACCCGCCGATTTTTGAAGATGTCGGTGCTTATGCTCAAAACAAGAGCAAAGATGGCTGGGCGAACATATCGTGAACCCGCACGACAAGGGACGAGCAAGCCCACCAATGGAAGGCTGATAAAAATAAGCAAGTGCCAGAGAAAGAAGGGTTTTATAACACCTTGCTCTACCAAATCTTCCAATCGACGCTGGTTGTTTTGGATAGCCTCACGGTAGGAGCCTGGAATCGGATCAGCCATGACGCTGCTTTGGAACCGGCACCACTGCGTCAACGATACCCCTCCAAGCCAAAAATTTCTTTCTCATCAAAATATGATCAATCAAAACGGAAATGTCGTTTGTTTTGAAAAAAGCACGCGTCAGGCGCCAGATCAACACTTTCTCCACTGATGAAAAGACCCAGTCATGACCTCGAGAAAACCCCCGTGAGACTGGAGAGGCCGGTGATATATACGAGAGATAAAGTAGCGTTTCCTCCCCTTATAAAGCCCCGTGCCAGTCCAAGGCAAGGGATGTGAGGTTCAAATATGGCATTGTGCAGTCGCACAGTGCTAATGCCTGGTGACGTATTATTCCGAAACAGGAAATGTGGATCACGTGGATCCGCGTCTTAGCGTGTTAGTCCTGAATATTCACTAGTCCTAACCGGGGATAGCGCCTTATGTCCCCCACGAACGCCAGTCGCCCTCCATCTTGCGAAAGGACTCGCAAGTCGGTTATCTTTCTTTCATCTTTGTCTCAGCAGTTTTCCAGTCACTCATTTAACACCCTACTTCCTGGAGAGATGGTAGGAACCGGAGGAAAGCGCAAGGTCGATCAGGTTGACCTTACGACTAATGACGGAGAGCAACCTCCCTCAAAAAATGGCCGTGTACCTTCATTCAATGGCCAGCCAAGCTTTGGTAACGGACAGCGTTTTGGCGAGAGCACAGACTTTGTTCCACTGAGTCAAGCCTCTGGGGCTGATGAAGAAGATGCCCAAGCTGCCGATTTGGTACAGGGAAGTCAAGATATTGACGATTCTTCTTACAGCAACTATTTGGGCTACGGTATGTCATGTCTCTCTTGTAGTGAGTGGCATCCAAATGCTAAAGTATTAGGTGATTTACACACGAAAATCGTGGGTGTTCGTTTCTACTCTGGTGTCGCCACTTTGGGAGAGCATGTCATTTTGAACCGACAGCCTGAAAACCAATACGACAGAAATGCGATTCGAGTCGATAATGTTATGGGCAATCAGATTGGCCACATCCCTCGGCTGGTTGCAGCAAAACTGGCTAGTTACATGGTGAGGGTGTTTCCATGATAACTTTATGGCCCTGCTTGTTCCGCTGACTTTGGGGTGTAGGATAATAGATCTTTGCTCGTCGAGGGCATTCTGACAGGCGTTATCGGAGCTTATGATTGCCCAATTGTTCTAAAGCTGTTTGGCCCGAGTGATTTTCACAAAAGACAGGAGTTGAAAATGAAAATGGAAATGGACAGGCTCCCCGTTAACGAGCTGAAACGTTGGGAGCGCGAGGAAATTAAACAGAAGAAACAGCGCGAGAAAGAACAGAAAGATGCAGCCAAAAAGTCCCGCGCCCTTGCACTAGGCCAAGCAAGGCAGTGGGATGTTGGGCCCAACCCTAATTTTGCCAACCTTTACACCGGAGAAGGTTCGAATGAGAGTGAGAGTCTGGATGAAATCATCGGCCAAAGCAGCACTTTCAACCCTCGAGACATTGGCCAAGTGACGGAAAATTTTGGCCTTAATGAAGCAGACTTGGAAAATATGCCCATGGTTGACAGTCCTGCCGCACTTTCCACTCAGCTCCTTCCATATCAGCGCCAGGGACTTGCGTGGATGATCAATAAAGAGTCTCCGGAGCTTCCTGGGCCTGGATCTGAATCGGTGGTCCAACTTTGGAAGAGAAAAGGAACTATGTTCACGAACATTGCTACGAACTTTTCTACGCCCAAACAGCCAGTTCTTGCAAGTGGAGGTATACTTGCTGATGACATGGGACTCGGCAAAACTATCCAAGTCATTTCTCTGATTATTGTCAACTCCCAACCTAAAACCCCAGAATCCACCAAGACCACTTTGATAATTGCTCCAGTTGGTGTGATGAGCAACTGGAAAAACCAGATTGAAGATCATACCAACAGTGAGAATGCTCCACGGGTGCTTATTTATCACGGCACAGGGAAGAAAGAAGCCGCCAATCTTAGCCAATATGATGTTGTGATAACGAGTTACGGTGCTCTCGCTGTGGAGTATAACCCAAGCAACAAAAAGGCCCCTAAAAAGGGATTATTCTCAGTGCACTGGCGTCGCGTTGTTCTGGATGAAGGCCATACCATCCGTAATCCACGATCCAAGGGCGCATTGGCAGCTTGCAACTTACAAGCAGACTCCCGCTGGGCATTGACAGGAACTCCGATTATCAACTCCCTCAAGGACCTGTATTCGCAAATCCGCTTCTTGAGGTTCACGGGTGGCCTTGAAGACATGGCGGTTTTCAACAGTGTTTTGATTCGCCCCCTCGCATCTGACAATCTTGAAGCTCGACTGCTTCTGGAAGCTCTGATGGCTACTATTTGCCTGCGACGTAGAAAGGATATGAACTTTATCAACTTACGTCTGCCGCCAATCACTTCTCGCGTTCTCCGCGTCAAATTCCACCCCCACGAACAAGAGAAATACGACATGTTCCAGTATGTATTTCCGGGCTATTAGCGATATTCCTATACTAACTAAGTCTCCAGATCGGAAGCGAAAGGGGTTCTTTTGGATTACAAGTCGAATGAAAAGGGCGGTACCTCTTACTCTCACCTTTTAGAAGTACTTCTCCGCCTCCGACAAGTGTGTAATCACTGGGCGCTTTGCAAACACCGGATTGATAAACTGGCTGGCCTATTGGAAACACAGAAAGTTGTTCCTTTAACACCAGAAAACATCAAGGCCCTCCAGGACACGTTGCAAATCAGAATTGAAAGCCAGGAAGTCTGCCCCGTCTGCTTGGACAATTTGGAGCAACCTGTCATCACGGCCTGTGGCCATTCCTTTGACCGGGGCTGTATTGAACAGGTCATTGACCGACAGCATAAATGCCCCCTTTGTCGTGCTGAGATTGGCGATACATCGACCCTGGTCTCTCCTGCAGTTGAGCTCGGTGAGAGTGCTGATAAAGTCGAGGCGGACCCGGAAAATCCCAGCAGCAAAATCGAGGCTCTCATCAAGATTCTGACTGCCCAAGGACAGGCCGCTGACACCAAAACCGTGGTTTTCAGTCAATGGACCTCATTTCTTGATCTTGTGGAACCACACCTCCAGCGCCACGGAATTGGGTTTGCTCGCATTGACGGCAGAATGCCCTCGATCAAGCGCGACAATTCGACACATGCATTTTCCAATGACCCCAACTGCAAAGTCCTTCTGGCGAGTTTGAGCGTCTGCAGCGTAGGACTGAATCTTGTTGCGGCCAACCAGGCTATCCTTTCGGACAGCTGGTGGGCACCGGCGATCGAGGACCAGGCCGTTGACCGTGTTTACCGGCTGGGCCAGAAACGGGAGACAACTGTGTGGCGTCTTGTTATGGAGGGTAGTATTGAAGACCGTGTTCTGGATGTTCAAGACACCAAGCGCAAACTGATGATGGCAGCATTCCGCGAGACCAACACGAAGAAGAAAGTCGAGGATAGAGCTACTAGAGTTGCTGACCTTGAGCAACTCTTGACTTGATTGCACTTTATTATTTTCTTGTACTGTATATTTTCTTTCATACCCCTAGATGGTTCGTTTTTACTTCGATGTTACATATTTTATTTCCGGGAATATGGGATTGTTGACCTTGATGGATTTATTCAGACTTGATTCGGACTGATATTTCGGGGTGTAATCTAGATCCAACGGTCAGTGATGACTGGTTTTTTTCTATTATCCATTTTCGTCAGTTGACGTGGAATCATAAACTTCAATCCATCAATCCAAGCTTTGATGATCTGCATTGCTCGTCCTAGTTCCCTCTTTGGACCGTTGTGGAACCGGCGGAACAGGATCGACGCGACGATCCATGTAAATCGTAAAATGTGGTCAGTCCATGACATGGAAGCATGGAATTAACTCTATTAAGCGAATAAAGTGAATTCTAATGATGAGCAATGATGAATAATACTAACGAATTGCACCTTCTTGTTCAGTCAACGCCTTCCTTCACTGCATCCTGTCTATTATTTATCTCGCCACCTCTTCGGCTGCAACTTCCACTTCTCCATCCACCTCCACCATGACTATCTATCAGGATTCCATCACTGCATATACTTACAATCGAAAACGAAATGTTACATCCAGATAGGACAACGGTCCTTCCGTCTCGTCGAGTAGTTTTAGACCACGAATCGGGGCTTCGAACCCCCAACGACCTTCGATACGAGAGGAATTCTCTCGCCCATGCGGGCAATATCATGGCAACAGAATATAGAGAGAGCGAATGTCCGCTTTAATATAGAGAGAGCGAATGTCAGAAAGCAGACATTCGCTCGTCTCTACACGTTAAATTTCGACCAGTGCAGGGGGGCATTGCTAAAGGCTCCAGTGGAGACATTGAGGGCATGCGACATGGTCGCATCGATACGGCTTGTTCGCCCTTGGGTGAACCAGAGCGAGGTTGACAAACATAACTACATAAGCCTCGGACAAACCTACATCACTAAATGGGCACGAAGAGCCTTAGACGGGCTCGAGTTAGAGCCCGAAGATGAAACAATGTATCAGCAATTATATAACTGGTACCACCTTGCCGGAATGAGGTGACTAGACAGATACAGATACCAGGAGCTTTAATCAATGCTTGTTTGTCTTTGGTGGCTTTGTCTGTTTATTCCATGGATGGACAAACCCTGGTAGACAGAAAACGTTGGCGAGTCAATTCCTGATCGGATGAGTGGAAAAAGCTGTCAATAATCCGTTAAGATGATAGTTTTATGGGGATGCTATAAAATCTTCCATATGTTAAATAATGATCAAGTCTAGACAATGACATCGCTATTCACATAGCACAGCTACAGTAATGAATAAACAGAACAGACCAACATTATGACAGCTTCATTATTCAGCCGAGTATTGATTGTTCAGTGTTAGACAAATTAGAAGTAGGACGCAATGTGGATCCTGCATGGCATGATTGATGATCCCTCCTTTCATTTATGTGAGACGAAGTCTAGATTTTGGTCGTTCAGGGTGATGCTATTATTATTTATTCAGACAACGACAATAAGAAAAATGCATTTATTCGAAGTAAAAGAGTGGTATCTTGATTAATAAAAGTAGTAATCAATTCGATATACATGAATAAATGGTATGGATTATCATATACAGGGGTCATCTCCGATCGTGTAAATATGAACATTAGTGAAAAAAGATCACAAGTAATAATGAATGTCAAGGCCAAGGCCAAAGGCAAAGAATGGTTAATACAAGCAATGAATGGATGAAGGATTGTTTAAACCGAGTTCTTGTCTTCAAACGGCGAATCGGTTATAGCATGGGTCATCGATCCCGACTTGGAGCTGCCGGGCGAGGTGTATGTCACGGCGCCATCTTTAAGGTCAACCGCGTTAACGGGCGTTTCTACCCGGGTGTGATTGCTTTGGATGTCGTGGAAACTGCCGACAGCATGGGTTGGGGTTCGCGACTCGGACCAGGTCTCCATCTCGACGGTTCGCATCACTTCAAACCGGTCCAGGCCCGCTTCTACATCCTTGTGATGCAGTTGTGCCTCGGATGCTTCCTCCGTGTTGGTGTTGGTGTTGGTGTTCTTGGATGGACCAGGCGAGCTCCAGAAAATAAAGGCGCTCCTCCGTTTGGACGAGCTTGCGTATTGACGGGTCGATTGAAGGAGTTGAGGGAGGAAAGATGAGATTAGGGGCCTCAGTGCCGGTGCAGATGCACAGATCTAAGAAATTCTTGATTAGTCCTTGTTCCAGTAAAAAAAAAAAAAATAAAATAAAAATAAAAAACTTGATAATATTCACATACCAAGCCAAGGTTGATCTCCACAGTAGCGGCAAGCAGAACTGGCCATCCCATCCATGTTTCATCGTAGGATGAAATCATACTCTTATAAACATATGCGGTTCGAATGGATCCTGCAATGTTGACGACGATACCGAGTCCAAAGATAGAGATCACAGCGATTCGTTGCCGGGCGGGCAATTTCAAGTTCCAAATGATAGGCATGGGAAGGACAGTGGAGAGTAAGTCGGTAAAGATGTTAACAACACTGGCAGAGAATACAGCGGCGCCATCGTCGATACAAGTATGGGGATAAGGCGTTTCCAATTCCCAATATGCGCGGATGGGGCTAGCACTTGTTAGCAACTTAGACTGAGAAAGGAAAACAGAAAAAAAAACTCACTTGCACTGGAAGATGCTGATGAACAAGAATAAAAGACAGCAGATTGTGACAAACACCATGGCTGCGATCAAAACAATACTGTATGATCGATACACTCCTTTACTCCCAGCCCCGATCAAACGCTTGCAGAACCATAAGAGGGAGAGTTTTGTAATGGAGGAGCACAGCGAAAAGAGGATTTGAAACAAGAGGTTCAATTTCTTCGCAGTCGAAAGCCAGGGCAATGGGACATCCCAAAGATGCCGAGTCCAGCCATATTGTTCGGTTGCAATGCATATTACCACGCACATGGCAATTGCAAGACCCTGCAAGCAATGTTAGCAGACGCTTAGTGAGAAAGTGATTTGAACATACAAGAGCAATGACAATCAAAATATCATCTATGCCGGGGCTACATGTTATTCTCAAACGTGTATAGAGTCGAAGGCATGTCACCAGAAAGGCTAACACGATAAAGACGATGCTGACGACCAGTGCACCATCACCGCGAGTGACGGGGTCAACATAGTTTGGCGTTGGCCATGTAAACAAGACAATGGCTGGAGGAAACCTCATGGTGGCGATTTATGTCGAAGGAAAGGCAGAAGGAGTGGAAGGCAGTTCGGAGTTAATAAAGGAGCGAATTGTTTATTATCGTAAAATCGTTTAGTTGACGAATAGAACCGCCTGAAACCACGGTCGAATGTTGTTCACAATTGCAGAGTCCATGTTAAGAACACCCCATGTAACAGATGGCAATGGCCGAAACGTAGAGGGAGAGTGTACGAGTCGACGAGATCGCGAACCCAGCCCAATAAATATTAAATCTGCGGGGGAAGAGAGATGGTGGGCAGCACTGGGCAAGATGTTAATTAATACGACTCAGACCATCAGTCCCAACGATAGTATGGTTCCTGGTGCCCGTCCCCGTCGCTCTGGGCCAGGGCTTTTTTGTGAATATTAAACTTTCCATGCCTTTCATCATCCATGTCTGTCCACTTCAAGATCCACGAGTCCAAAGCAATAGACAGGAAAAGAATCCTCCAATAGCGACGAGCTATGGTCACGTTCATGGGGGGACGCGGTGGGGTGAAGCTTGACGCGAGCGCAAAAATGGTAACAGCACCGAGCACGCTCGGAGGGAGATTGCCGAAGAAGGTAAAGCCAGAGTGTAGATCCAGCGACCCATCGTTTATCTTTGGATCCACCATCCCGATCTGCCCTGAGAAGGGGGAACTCGACAGGGCCAGGAGAACCCACCAGTAAAACCACCATCGAAGCAGACCCATCAATTCTAGGATCCTTGATTCTTTCACAGCGTGGAAACTCAAATTATTGCCTGGATGATTATTTGACAGTTGACAAGTGGGTGTCGTCTGCCGGGTTTAATCGTAGATTTGTGCGTTGCGTGTATTCGGCATGTCGAGGGGAAGTTCCTCCCCGAGCCCCCCTGAGGCGAAGAACGAGGATTGGAGAACCTCCGAATCTCAACCGAGGTACCCAAAGGATAGAGGCCAATTAGAGTTACATTCTCACGATCTTGTGTGTGCGAGGCACATAGACAGCCTCACTGGGTGTTGCCAGCTGAAAGAGCCCACCGAGGTCATGCCATGGCGGAGAGGGCGTCAATGCCATCCAGATCCAGCCGAGTCCAAATGAGTGGAAATAAACGACCGATTGGATTAGGCAATAGTTTGAAATTCATCTCTGACCGAGTCGTGGGATTGAGTCATGGCCATGAAAGCAGAGTGGGCTGTGGATGGTGGTGGAGGACTCGTGGTGCGGGGTGTTCGTTTTCCGAAAACGGACGTCACCTGACCGGCTAGCAGGCCACAAAGAACGAAGAAAGAATCAAAATTGCCTCGAGATGAAAGGAATAAGATTTGCTTCTCAAATTATGGACCGTTAGACTACGGGATGCTGCCGGATAGGAGAAAGAGAAATGAGACACTGTCTGCTATGGTTGTATGTCAGTGCTGGTCACTAGACGTCTATCCTGGAGCTACCGGACGATCAACGCTGCAGCCACATGGGAGAAAATGGACTATTTGCTCGGTAACGTCGAGATGCTGTTTCTGGTACGGAGTAGAGTTTTATTGAATGAATTAAAGGAAAAATCATGAACCATGAAGCTATCTGAAAATCAGAAAAGGTTGTGGCAAACTCAACCCAACCGGTTTCATCTATGCTTCAGAGTGAGGACACGGATTGTCTTTGGCTAGCGTCTAGTTGCGTCTCATCCTGCAGACAGAAGGATGCCATTATTAATTCTCAGAATGAGGTTCGGCAGTTGATCAGCTGTCGTTACCCTGCCCGATAATGAGGACTGTCAAAGCATAAAAGCAGCAATAATCAGACCGTTGAATCTGGCTAAGGTTAGGGTTGGCTTCCTCTCGCCCGGCTAATTTTTCGTTACTTTTTGTCTACACTGAGAAGTCAATATAATACACTTTCTTCTTCTTTTTATTCCTGTTGGATTATAAACTATCAAGCCAAGCATAGACCAATAATTGTAACCCAACAGAAAAGGCTGGAAATTGGGCACGAGTGGAACCCTCAGCTAAAGACTTAGTATACTCGGTAGTTCCATCACGAATAAACATTATTCATGCCAATAACCAGCCTTATAATTACCATGAGAAAATAATATCATTTCCACTCAAATGCTGATCTGCAGGATTTGAGCAAATAATCAAGCTATAGCTTCTTGGAATCGTGATGGACATTGCTATTGTGGACTAGACATGCAGTCCATCATCATCGTGCAGCCTCATGTCTTATTCGCGTCCATAATGACAACTCATGGTTCATGATTCATGATTTATTTGATTTACTTTCATTATCCAATTGGATTAATGGATCTCAGAAAGTTTCTTCTCCTGGGTCTAAAAATACCATCTCAGATCACTAGTTTATGCTGCAGATTTTTCATGGCATACTCCAGCGAATAACAAGCTTAGGTGCTTGTTTGTCCATGCTGAGTGTATGCAGTGAAAACTAGGTATTGTGATTTGCTTGCATAGGAATATCAGCTGATCTATTCCCTATGCGTGATGTGCAGATCTGGTTCCTCGACATACTTACAGCTGTCTATAGATATCTCCTGACTAGTAAATATTCTCCTGCCATAAGAAGACAAAGGCATTATTACAGCTATCGTTTTGATTGATGATTATGAAGGAATCACTATTTATCCATTCGAGTCATGGCCTGCATAACTGAGACCTATATGAAGGATTGTGGTGTTGAGTCTATACAACCTTAGTCATTGTATATCATGGAACTATTGAATCCTTGGGGTTTTAGCTCAATGCATTGGGAGATCACGATGATCATGTAATTTGATATTCCGGGGTATAGGGGATTAGGAGTATGGCAATATGGAATAATATGTGCTAATCTCCGCATTACTCCGTCATTAATAAAGGGGCATTAATCATGTCGCAGTTATATTAAAGTAAAGTGCGCAGGCTATGCATAACAAAAGTATCTGGTATTATTTCATGTTTGAATGGCTTTTTAGATACGCCGGAATATTCTGCAAAAACTGCAAGTATCAATGCAACAAGGTACTCCATCTCCATATGCTCGAGCCATAACTTTCCATACTGTTGGATTCCAGTTTCCTGGATGTATTGTGGGTAGTATCCATTGGATCTAGACTGGTAGACCGATATGACGTAAATTTGCAGGGGAGTATTGCATATGGTTCAGGGATGAATTATTGCCATTAGTTTGTGATAGATTGCTTTCTACACACCTTAATAACATCGTTTATATGATCTTCCGATGAAATAATTCAGCAACATAATAATAGCCGGACGAGAACCTCGGGGATTTTTAATAATGCAGGATTTAGTACTACTGCACGTGTCCAACACATAACATCGGAGTTTTTATGCTGATCCCAATCTATATCTGATCTTGACAGATCTCAGCATTATTATTTAAGAATCATCGTGCCCTTGTCCATGGTTATTTTTATTACCTGCATCTTCCGAGGCAGTGTTCACTTTGTGTACGGTATACGCGTGCAGACAGTGGCTCAGGGCTAGCCCGGGCGATTTGGATTGTTATCCCGTCACTGCATACTCCGTCGTGCTTAGTGTATACGAGCACTGCTGCAGTTGACTTTTACTAGATTCTACATCTACCATCTAGCATTAACTGTTATATATATTACTATCTATCAATTCTTTATTCTTCCCTCTATTCTCCATCTCTCCTTTCATCTGCATCTGTCTTCATGCTGTATCTGATTGAGTTGAATGTGTCACCGCATGTGGAATCCTTCAGAGGCGCAGCCATACACAAGTCCTGATTGGCCAGCCAAGAGGGCTGGATTGGCCACTGGCAAGTAACGGCCGGGGCCAAATGGGGCCAAGTGGGGCGGATGTTCCCGTCTGACAGAAGCCTGCGAGGCGCTGATTGGCTGTTCCTGGCATTGAAACACAGGCTAGACCACTCTAGAAAGTTTATTCTCTGCAAAACGGTGTTTTTTGCCAGCAGAATGTGGATTTGCGATCCTCTGATTGGCTTCGTGTGTGTATACACCTAAACTTAGGTTGTAGTAAGCGTAGCATTCGCAGCAGTCGCAGTACTAACTGGAAGAGGGCGAAGATAGGCAGTGGACTGCGCACTGGATGAAGAGCTTTTTTCGTGATGTTCATATAGCCCGCCAGGCCTATATTATCCCCCATCGACAGTTCCATTCTCAATTACCTCCTGTTTCAGTGACCCCGGTTCCCCTTCTTTGATTCCGTACTTAAAATCCCCCCTCCTCTTCGATCGGCCGTCATGGATGGACATTCAGGGCCTGTACCTGATACAATCATGGCCAACTCTGATGCCGTTCCTCCCGTCCAGACGGATGTTCGCAGCCATGCCATCCATCATGACCAGCCTACTGTCTACCCTGAGAACGGAAAAGAACCTCCCCGAAAGCGAGTGACGCCCCGGCCGTCTTTTTTCGAAAATTTGGCCAGCTCGCGTGAGACTCAGTTTACGTTGAAGAGGAACAACTCTGGCGATATAGACCGATACTTTGTATGTTGACTGCGATTGAGCTCTGGTGGATGGCTATGATAACTGACTTGGATTCAAGCATGGTCCCCGTGATCTTGACAAGCATTCGAAATGGCCCATCTTCCTGCGTATGCATGGCAGTGTCTTGCCCAAGATGCTGCTACCTCTGGTGTTTGTCGCTCTCTGGTCGACTTTGATTACCTGCATTTCGAAATTCGTTCACAACCGTGAGTTTGAGTTTGAGAATGATAATTATTTATTGCTTGGGCTATGGCTAACTGATTCTTGCAGTCGGTATCGACAATATACTTCTCACAGTTACCGGTTTCGTTGTCGGTTTGGCTCTGTCGTTTCGAAGCTCGACAGCCTACGAGCGGTATACCATGGCACCCTGGCGTTAGTGAAGTGACAGCACTGATTGAATGCAGATGGGCAGATGGAAGAAAATACTGGTCGCTATTGAGCCAGACCTCTCGAAACCTCGCGCGCACAATCTGGGTCGACACTGCAGAACGAGAAGGCGAACAAGGAAAGGAAGACTTGCTCGGTAAACTGTACGTTCCCTCACAACAACTACTACCTAGAAAATATCTAACAGGGATAGAACTGCGATGAACCTCATCCTAGCATTCGCCGTCTCCCTCAAACACAAACTGCGATTCGAGCCAGACGTGGCCTACGAGGACCTTGCCGGTCTGATCGGATACCTTGATACATTCGCCAAGGAAGCACACGATAGAGAACGTCTCCAGCCTCCCAGGAAGAGTATGTGGAAATCAGCTGGCGAATACCTCGGCATCTCATTCGCCGAGTCGAACCCTAGGAAATTGATTAAGCGGTCCAAGAAGCCGTTGGGCCATTTGCCACTTGAAATTCTCAATCATATGGCGGCTTATATCGACAGTTGTATTGCGAACAATACTCTCTCCGTTAGTCTTCATCAAGGACAAGCTAGTGAGTAAGCCACTACCGGAAAGAAATAACCAACATGCTGATATCAAATAGTCTCCGCACTGGCTACACTTAACGAAGTGTTGACAGGAACTGAACGGGTCTTGGATACTCCCCTGCCTGTTGCTTACACTATTGCGATTTCTCAAATCGCCTGGATCTACGTCATGGTACTTCCCTTCCAGCTCTACAACACTCTGCAATGGGTGACTATCCCAGGATCAATCGGTAAGCTCATCAACATTTTCGTAACTACCCACCAATCTAATTATGTCCCTACAGTCGCCGCATACATCATCCTCGGTCTGGCAACCATCGGCTCCGAAATCGAAAACCCCTTCGGACACGACGTCAACGATCTTCCCCTCGACACATACTGCCGACAACTCGCCCTAGAACTCGACATCATCACCGCCGTCCCAGCACCCAAGGCCAGCGATTTCAGCCAGCGCGAAGATAACCTCGTCCTCTACCCCCTCAGTCTATCCGGCTACCCCGACTGGAAGGACCGCAGCGTCGAGGACATCCGCGCCGCCCTTAAAGCGAAAGTGGTGGCCAACATTACCCCGTCTGCATCTGCAGCTCCGTCCAAAGCATCGACTGTGATCGAGGAAGTGGGCGTCACGACGGGCAAAAATTCTGTCTAGACGATGACTGGAAGTAATTTCGACAAGATAAAATAGAACCAACAAGCGCATAATTTGGGTTGGATTAGCGTTGACAATGAGCGTTAGTACTTATAAGCGTGAGATTTTTCTTTGGCGTTTTCTGTTTGATGGAAAAAGAGGAGGCTATACTGTAATTATCAGGGTGGAGTGGAAAGCGTTTGATATTTTGTTGTCTATACAGAAGCACATCTGGAATGAGTTGTCTGTTAGATATTAAAACTGGTGATTTGACTGCTCAATATAGAGCTAGATGTATTCTGAATAAGACATAATTGACTTATAAATATCTGTGTAGATGCCGTATATCCACCCAATTTATGCCTTGCTATTCACAAGATATGCACTGTCATATCCAAGCTTAGGCTGATTCTCCGGGTGTGTCATCGTGCATTTTGCAGGAATGTCCCTTAGGACATACTCTGCAGAGCACTATATATCTCTATAGCCTCGAAGACCGGATATCCTAATCCTAACTGCCTGCACACTCCCAGCAGCATAGACAGTATCTCATAACCAATTTCAAGATATACCCTCACCCCTGCCTCACGGCACAAACAAATCTTCCCCATTCCCCCTAACCAGCGCCCCCAAATAATTCCCCTTCGCGCAGACCCTCCAAGCCACACTGCCCGATTTACTCGACCCCCCAATCCACGAACTCAGCGCCGCAACCACCGCCGCAGCGTCCGGGCGGGGCACTCGTATCCACACCATCTTGTTATCTTTATTCGGGGCTGATACGTCAGAGGAGATTTTCAATATGTCGATGGAGATGGTTGTTCCAGTTAGACCGAGGAATTGGGAGAGGGCGGTGGTTAGGTGGGTTCGGGCTGTGAGGGGGTCGAGGGGGTGGGATTGGATTGCGGTTGAGGTATCAGGTTGGTGGATTCTAGTTCGTTAGTTAGTATGCGTAGCCTTGAATGTAGGATAAGATAGGAAAGGAGTGGGATGATGCGCACAGTTGAAGTTTGAGATATGTCCATGGTGGATTGCGCGAAGTGAAGTGGATGACTTTTGGTGTTGATTTGGACGCGTTATTCCCGTCGGAGGCTTTTCGCTTTGAGGATGTGGATGGGGGTTTTGTTTGAGGGGCACTTTTAGCGGGATTATTCTTTTCTGTAGACATTTTTGGCGATTATTATTTATTATTATTTCTGGTTGAGGAAATGCGATGCGATGCGATGCGATGCGATGCGTTTGAAGGTGGAAAAGAAAAAAAGACCAAAATTTCAGTGATGTCACAGATTTGTTTCAAAATTACGCTTCACTGAAACAACATGGAGCATCTTCATCTTCATCATCAATTATTAGACATTATTATGGATGCTCCGTTTTTATTTATTTTTATCTATCGACGACGGCACCCTCTAATCTCCGACGAGCTTTCTTGAGAAATCCCTCCTCCCCTTCTGTTCCAATATCCAAATCTTCAATCGACAATGTCTTATCCCGACCCTTTGCACCCCGAATAACCCCCACATTAGACTTGGGGACATTGAATAGCTAAAATTGTGAGAAAGGGACTTAAAATACATAGAATGTAGACGCACCTCAGCAAAAACACGCGAAACAGCCAAATTCGCCTCTCCGTCCTTCGGGGCAGCAGCAACACAAACGTCAACTTTCTCTCCCCCTACTGCGGTGATGCCTTCGCGGTGGCTGGAAGCGTTGGGTTTTACGTGGCATGATATTTGGAGGTTGTATCTTGTGGGAATTGATTGTTTGCCTCGGGCTTTGGTCACATTTTGGATGAGGCGGAGGAGGGGAGGGGATGACATTGTAGTTGTGAATGAGGGTTATTCAGGAATATGCAGAGGATAGTAACAGTTTTAGATAGTATATATTGTTAGTCATTTCTTAGTCATGTACAGCAGAGGTCGAGATATAACATCTATAACTTGGAAGACGAATTAAAAAACTGATCGGTCCCTTTCAGCAAGTTGAATGCCTCGACTGCCATCTCGAGAACAATCTCCCCCGCAGACTGATTGGCTTTGTTTACCATCGCTGCTGCATAACCCATGGGTCTGGACGTATTAGCGGCTGTCTTGCTGGCAATTGAATTGAAAGTCTCACCTCAAGGCCGATTGATCCTCAATCTCTTCAGTCAGTTTCCCTTCTCTGGCCAGTTTGTCCAATTCATGCTCCAAAACAACGATTCCCTTCTTTTGGAGCTCGGCAATCTCTACTTTGCGATCCTGCTCCTAAGAACGCACGTACGGCGTCCCGAGAGCTCGGAGTGGACGTCCAGTCCAGATGGTACTTTTGATTGTTGAGTCGAAGCCAGCATTGATAACCCTGATATTCGTTAGTACTAGCCTTTGAAAAGACTATAAGACTAACTCTTGTTTCGCAGACTCAGGAACTGCAGATTCTCTCGCCGCGACAAACCGAGTTCCAACCCAGACAGCGTTGGCTCCCAGCATCAAAGCTGAAGCAATGCTACGTCCGTCGAAAATACCACCAGCTGCGATGAGCTGGACTGGCTGCTTGGTGAAGGGGGATTTATACGTTTTACAGACATCGGCACAGGCGGGAATAAGGATACTGGTTGGGATCTCTCCTGTATGTCCACCGGCTTCGGCACCTTGAGCAACGATGAGGTCTGCACCGATCTGGCATGCTTTGTGGACGTGCTATGGGATGTTAGGCGGGATGATATAGATGGTAAGTGTGTTGATATACCTTTGGATGGCCAACCATGTTCATATAAAGAATCCCAGCAGCATGAAGCTTATCCACCACTTGCTTCGGAGGCACTCCAACCGCAGAAACAAACACACTCACTCCCCCCTCGATGATGATATCAATTAATTCACTCAATTGCCCCCTGGTATAGTCCACGTTAGTCTTGCGCGCCGAACCACCCACTTGAGGAAGCAAGAGGTCAACACCAAACGGCGTGGAGGGACCGCGGAGGTTGGCCTTGACGTCGGCAATCATCTCCCTCAGCATTTGTGGGGTATATCCAATGCCACAGCGGCCACCATTTCGGGACCAGAAGTGCGTCCCATACCAGCCAGCAGGATGGGATGTTTGATGTTGAGGAGATTGGTGACGGGGGTGGCGAGGAGGGACATTTGAAGAGATTCGACTTTGGATTATGAGGATAGAGATATTTGATAGAATATCACTCTTGTATTATTTATGCTGATGCTATTCTTATGTTGATCCTTCTCGTGCGGGGATCAGGGCTGGATCTGATCTGCATCGTGAAGCAACCGAGATACCTCGGAGTTGTTTTGGCATTTAAGATTCTAGAAATTGACTATCTCAATTCACATGAAGATCATTTCGATAAATTCATTCAATTTATATTAATGCTATTGTACTTATTTCTACTCTTATTGTCAGTTCAATTGAGCGTCATTATAGGCTTTAGAATAACAATACTTGCAATCTGAATCAATTCCAACAAAATGGGGACGAAGAGAATTGATTATATATTCAGAGTAAATAAATATGACTTCAAATATAACAGAAGATATCGAACTGAGACAGATGAGCTTTGTTGTAAGCTCATACTGGCTGAAGTTCAGTATCAAGCAGACAATCGATATCGATATAGAAGCACTACTCTTTCAGACCAACAAAGCCAACAGTCAAAACATCTTTCCTTTACTCTCTCTTCGTTCTCTCTTTTTAAACAACACATTGATACCTTTCACTCTTGTTTATTTTTGATTTTTGATTTTAAAATATATCATTTACTTCCTGTCCTCATCTCTACTAGTCTACTATTTACATCCTCTGTCAGTGTAAGTTGTGCATTCCTGCAGCTTCAATTCATGCTTCTAACTATCTCCAGCATCGATTTACACCTCTTTTCCCTGTTCCAAGCAGAAGATCCAGACGCACAAGTGAATTACAATGGCTTCAACACAAACACCACAGAAGAGAGACAGACAGCCTGTCTTTACCAACAGCTTCATTCCCTACAATCCCCCTCAACCCTTTCCAACACCAACAACTCCAGCGAGGACGGCCACGGAGGTGAGTCTAAAATAAATCAATCCGAGAGACTGCATTGAAGCCAAAGGCCTAGCTAGTTTCTACAAAAGCAACGACTAATTCCTCAGACTACCCCGTCTGCTCCCCTACCAGATTTCATCACAAACCTCAAACCTGATCTCAAACCACGCTCAACCCCCCTAGAGGACGCTTCTGTTTTTGGGTCAGCCGAAAAGAAGAGGACACCTTCCACCCAGATCCCCACGTTTAGCGAACAATCCTTCTGGAGTCTCGAAAACCTCCCCGATATTCTCTACGTCTTACGACCCGGAACCGATCACGCCAAGTCCAGAGCGCGAATTCGGCAGATTGACATATCCTCTGACAAGACAATCAATCACTTCCCCGTTCTGCCTCTTCACATCTTTCCTCAGGTCCAAGGCTGGCTCATTGAGACTTGGATGCGCCTCGATCGTCGTATAACGCCTGAAGACATTATTGACCGTATGAACCCTCAAGCTGGAATCACATCAGACGATATCGAAATGCGTCGACAGAAGTTTAGAGAATCTTTTAATATTGCGTGTTGGGGATCGCAGAAATCGACCTATGACATAACTCGCAAGTTGAAAGAAGCCGGAATAGACCCGGCTCTTAACACGACTAGAGGCTTGACTCCTGGTCTTATTGATCCGTCCAAAGGCGAGGCTGGTGGTCGGATACCTCTACCAGCTGATGCATATGATGGTCCTGTTTCATCTGAATTCAAAACTCCCACAAAGAAGAAACCATCGCTTGGTACATCGTCGCATTTTAACCAGAACCCGACTCCCAGTTCGACTGGGAAGAGAAAGACTGAGACTACCAATCCGTAAGTTGTATATTCTCAGTCCTGAACCAGGCTAATCAATCGTGAATAAAGTCCCGCAAATGCCAGTCCCCGGAAGAGAAGCCGCTCGACCAGATACACCGCGATTCCCAAGCCCGAGCCATATGGCAATACCGAAGAATACGAGCTCGCCTACCACGGTGGGCCTTCGGCCTTCAAAGTCGAAAACGAAGAACCAGGTGGCTCCACAATGACTCTCGAGGAGTACCTCCAGATGAGTGGAATGTCATACGAAGATTGGCTTCTTCGCGACAAAGAGGGCCAGATGACAAAACAGCCTGGCCTCCAGGTACCAGAAACCTGGACATTGACCCCTTCGAAGGGTGATGTGATAGATCCCTGGGCCATACTTTGGTCCCAGAGGTGAGCGGTCGCTTTTATCTAGCATTCGAGCATGCTCGCCCCATATTTTACCTGGTTGGGAGGGACATGTTCGATGTTAGATGATGGATGTATGATAGCTTCCGTGTTATTTTGATTCTTCATTTTCTTTCTTGTATGAGTATTTGGATCCGATTTGGCAATTGCTTCTTTTTACGTCTTTTGTATCAGTGATAACACATTCTGACTGGATTTTCAATATCTTTCTGGCTAAAGACTTTGGATTCAGTCACAGTCTACAGGAAATGCAAATTTACGACATAGCAAAGTGTCTATAAGATTTCGAGTACTTCGTCTAGTGGTTCTGCCACGCAACTATCCCAAGACAAGGCCGTCGAGACAGTCAGAACATCGGAATGAGACGAACTGTACAGCCTTTCGAATAGTCTTTTGCCATTGACGCCAGAGTCCAAGGAATTCTATTCGGAATGGCTATACAATGAAGCCCCCCGCATATATAATGATTCCTTTCTCTGCCACGTGACAGAAATTCAAACAACAGGCAGTGCGCCACCACATAATTATTCTCTCCTTCTTAATGACTCACAAAAAGAATACTAGAAGAAAAAGGTATTAATACCAGCCTCCTTGATGACAACAATAGCCTCTTTCCGCTCTTCTGTTCGACCGCCGGAAAGTTAGGGCTACCCCTCACCACCAAGTCAGTCGACCGCAACCCAGATAGGAAGTTGGAGAATTTCATTTTCGTCATTTATGCGCTCCAGTCTTCTATATATCTCCAAAGTGTCATTCCTGGGAGGCTGGGAGGCAGGGAGGCATTTTTTGAGTGGCTGCTCACCAAGCCACTCAAAAAAGTGGAGGTGGGCGAGAAGTGAATATAAGAAGCGGCATTCCGGATGTTGGACGCAACGATATCGTGAACTGCATTTTTCTCTCCAAGAGATAATATAACCATGATGAGAGCTATCATACGATCTAATGCGTTGCTAAATTATATTACTCGAGAATATAGCTCCACGTCTCTATTGTACTCTCAATATGGCGAAGAAATCTGGACGGAGAGGGAGGGGAAGCAACACAAAGCCCTCCGCGTCCAAGTGAATCGCATCTCTATCAGCCTCGTTCATATTGTTGTCCAGTGAAGGCATCAAAAGAGCATCCGTTACGCTGAGCAGATTTTCCAGCCACCCCAGTAATTGAGACTATAGAGGAGAATCGTCAGTAGACGGAAGATGGGCTCTTGCTTTGCGGTGGGCTTTTTCTCTCTTCTTGTCTTTGCGAGATCCTTCATGCCCAGACTTGCTTCTCTACAGCTACTTCTTGCAACATCTTCGGATACAGTCTATCGGTTGTCTCGTTTATCGAACGTACTCTTCTTCGTCTTGTTCTACAGTTCTGCTCTACAGAACCATCTTTCATCTTTCAAGATGAAGAGCAGCCCGCAATCCACCAAGTCTCCCAAGTCCCCAAAGTCTCCGCGCAAGGGTGAGCTCTCCTCTGACTATTAAATACCAAGTTGCTAACCAAGTCCGCAGCTGTCCCTCGCCAGCATAGCGATGGGGCAATGGACCCCCGAAACTTCACTTCTGATCATCCTGACCAGAAGGACTGGTCCTGGGAAAATCTCCCGGACATCCTCTATCAGCTGAAGCCCGATAAAGATCAGCCAAAACTGCCTACCCCGAGGGTCAAGTCGTACACGATCGACGGAAGGCCTCTGAGGGATCTCCCCGTTCTTCCTGATCGTATCTCTTCTGTTGTTGAGGAGTTTCGAGTGGAAGCATGGCAGAGACTGGATCGCCGGGTTCACCTAGGCGATATCGTAGCTCGGATGCACAAGGACTTTGAAATAAATTGTACGGATCACTCTAAATGGCATATTATTTCAGTGAAAGCTAATTCAAATCACAGGTAACGCTCTCCAACAGCGCAGCGTGCGCTTTAGACAGGAGTTTGGCCTTCTCACCTGGGGAACGGGGAACAAGAGAAGCAATGATCTCGAGAACATACTCATGCCAAAGCTACACGCTGCCGGAGTAGATCTCTTGGCCAACACTACTCGTGGCTATACCCCCGGGCTCATAAACCCGGTCCTGGGGGAAGCTGGTGGTCGGATTCCAGTGCCTGAGCACTGGGTGAATCGAGAGGGTGCCAAGCGCAAGAAGTCTATGTATAAGTCGCCAAAGTCATGCAAGAAGGCCACGATGAAAGCCGTGGAAGAGCATGTTGACGTTACGCCCTCTGATGACGGAACGGTCGAGAATCCAGAAAGTCCCGAAAGTCCAGAAATCACAGAAGAGCCACAGACGCCAGAAACGCCAGAGCAGGAGCCGGTTGTCTTCGTTCATGAAAATTTCTCTGTAAAGGAACTGCCAGAGAATGTTTGCATGCAGGACCTGGACCTTTCCCTGGGCATCACAAAGCCCATCCTGCGCAATCCTACAGCTAGGATAACGAAAACTGCCGCGGCAGCAAGGGCCCTGAGAAGACGAGCCAAACACATTGTTTCCTCACAGAGTATTATGGAGCTGTGCAAAAAGTTCTCAGACACATGTGAGATCATCAAGATTCGTCCGGAACTTCCTCTTATCCAATTGCCCACCCAGGACATATATCCCCAAAATAAGCCCTTTGAACTGGATTGCAGCTTCTCTTGTGGGAACCGAAAAGAGATCTTTGACAATGCTCTGAATCAATATTATGGTGGCATGTGCAGCCTCGTGGAAATGCCCTTGCTCGAGCCAACGACCATTCTGGCGGACGTGGAAATGGAAGTGGAATATTCTTCTGCGCAGTCCTTTTCTGGTATTTCTTTACGCGAGTGAAACGATTATTTCAAAGCTTGTGTATACCGGTTTCTATCTTGTCAAATGAAGTGTTTTTGTGGTTTGTTTTTTTCCGTCTCGTCCTTCCGGTTCTCTTTGTCCTCGTCGAGCTCGTTCTTTTTCCTCTATCTCTTTCTGCAGTTCTCTCTTCTCTTTTTCTATCTCACCTCGAATACCCTGGCATGTTCAATCTTCTTCAATATTTCATGTTTCTTTTGATAGCTCCTCGAGCTCAACCGTCTGCTAACATTCTTGTACTGATCCGGGTGGATGAATGTTCTATCGTCTGTTAGTTTTGCTTTGTCCAGTGGTTTGTTAACTTCTTTCTGTGTTGTTTCTTTGTCAATACATTGTCTGAAGCCTTCTCCAGTTGGTTTTGAAGAAATGCCCTCCACATAAAGTCGGATACTAGGATGTGATGCCATAGCGTGATACCATTTGCTTATTATTGAATCAAGATGAGTTCATTCGAAGTTATATTCTCCGAAGTTAGAAGTAAGAAGAGTATGGGTTTCATAGTTAGGCTTGCAATAGCCTGTGACTTCTATGTATATTCCTTTGTTTTATTAATATAAAGACTAAACAAAATTCCTGTAAAAATCATTCTTTGTCTTCGAGTTCTTTTATATCACCCCAAAGAGACAGACTCGATGCTCTTTGTCAAACTTCTTGATTGAATATTAACTAATTCTTTCTTGGATTCTTCTTGGTGTTTCATGCATAATTTAGATGGCAAACATCCATTGCCGTGGCCTACGAAGGTCCCTTGTTCTAGATATAGAAATAGTAGGAAATGAAGATACATACAGATATAAAAACCCTCTTGTATAATTAGATCTCTAATCATCTTCATATATATCTCTTGCTATCACTATATTTATATCAACCAGCTTATACTACGTATACTCGTGCAGTCAGTTCAAGATGCAGGCATCTCAGAGCACTTCCGGTATGTCACACTCTCCCCTCTCCAAGAACCTCCAACTAACCTGACCAGCTTTGCCAGGAGCAATCAGTCAATTCTGTCCACGTGAGTCACTTTCCCCCATCCATCTATCTCAAAACCAAACTAACACTGCCAGACTCAATCCTCCCCGACCGTTTTCATACCTGCATCCATCCATACCACTCCCCATACTCGGAGAACAACCTCCCAGCTTTGCTATTCAGACTAGATGCCCCAGAGCCCGAAGACCTGCCACCCGTCCAGATTCTAATGGAAGACGACCAGCCCATGCGAGATATCGAAGGAAACCCAATCCGCGACTTCGACTTCCTCCCCCGCTTCATCTCCACCAGACCAGCCCCCTGGCTCCTCGAATACTGGATGCGAACTGACGCCCGCCTCACCTACCGCGACATCAAAGCCCGCATGGTCGGTCCCACAAAAGATAAACCAGCAGACAACCTTCTCAACATGCGTCGCGAGCGCGAAGCAAGAGCCCCCCTCGCCCTCTCCTGCTGGAACACCCGTCGCGGAAACCTAACCAGGGTCGAAGTCGAGCGTGTCGAGCGCTGGTCGGAAGATCAGCTCACCTATAACACCACCATGATCGTTGAGTACTCCGGGCCAACGGCTGATAGTCAATCCGTCCCTGCGTCTCTTCGCTCAAGAACTCTTACACCTGGACCGCCTACGTATTACCGTCTCGATGAGTTTCTGGAAAACGGCGAGGCGCATGTCCCCAGTGAGCGACTGCGTGCTACACTGGCTTTGTATCATCAGCTGTCTGAGCGTGCTCAGCAGCTGGGTCTGAGATCATGGCAGCTTCTTCCCCAGGCTGATCTGCCTCCGTCGTGGAGGGAGGTTCAAACACTGAAGAAGTTTACCTATGCGACTGAGAATTAAGGTATGCGTGCACGTGCATCTGGTCCCGCACTCGAACCCTGTACCTGACAATTCTCCATAGGAGCGCAACAACGCAGCGTGCAATTCCGCCAGGATTTTGGCCTCCTCGCTTGGGAAACTGAGAACAAGAGAAGAAGTAAACTATGCCCTGGTGGCAGTGTGATGACGGGCACAGTCTAGACAGAAGAGTTGCGAGAAAGCCTTTTTTGGAATCTAGTAAATTTTGTTTGTGAGTGACGTCTGGGACGTGGACTTGGTTACAGAGCATACAGGCCACGATTTATCGTGGTAGAAGAATAGGAGACGGTGATCTATTTTGGGTTTACCTGTTTATCTGTTGCTCTCTGCTCTTGTAAATGTTGGGAGAAGGGCGGTTTATAAGATCTGTCAATCTGTTTTCATTTTGTATACTGTTCGAAATATATATGGACGATTGGACTTCTACAATTGATTTCAGTTTTAAATGCTTCATGAGTAGCAAAATCTGACCAACTTCAATGATACAAGTTTCATTTATACCTCATTATATACGTAGGCAGTGTTAATAAGTAGCCTGATTTTAGAAAAGCAAAATGCTATCCAAACTAGAAAACCCACTTGCCACTCCTCCCTCATTGACATCCTTGGCCTTGGTTCTCATCAACCATCCACCCTGCTCATTGTGCAAGATGTTTCCTCCTGCTTGATCCCAAAGGATGGTTCCATATATTCCCAGCTCTCCAATGACATGACCTCCCAGAACCTCTCCGTCACTTCTGAGAGCCACGTTTTTGGCATTGGGAGGGGGTGTGATCAGTTCCATCAGGATCCAGCGCTTCCAGTCACCCTCGGGGATTGATCGCAAAAAGTCGGGGATAGCAGATTTATAGATGTTATTACCTCCGCCCTCACGTTGCGGTTTCAGGACGTAGTTCACGGCTGTCTCCGGGTTGAGGGCAAGCTCTCTTCCGCGGCCACCGGCTGACAGGTCAAACTGCGGTGCAAAGGTCTCGCGCAGTCTTGCAAGGGTGTTTGCATCGGTACCAGCCATGAAGGAAGAGAGATGGTCAGTTCCTGTAGTCTCTGCCAGAACCTGCTGTACAATCTTACAGCCAGCCAACTGATTCAAGACAGTAGGACACTTGATCGCTGCAGAGCGTTCCAGATGAGCCCTGGCCTCCCAATCGCGCTCAGATTTGTAGTCAGTTGGGGCATAGAAACACCGGTAGTACACTGTTGTCGCCTCGAACTGTGTGGAAAGAGAATGAGGCGGCGTGTACACCAAGGGACGCGAAGGATTGGAACTCGGGATTGAGGTGTGGTTCAAGATTTCGGAGCTGAGCAGACGGAAGACGGGTATCTTGTGGGTTTTGGTAACCTGCTTGAAGAGAGCCAGCTGATCGAATATGTTTCTCTCATTTTCCTGGATCACAAACAGGATACACGAGGGAAGAGCCGGCGATGATTTCGATCCTCCATACGCATTGTGTGCAGCAGCTAGTCCTGCAGCCAGTGTCTCAACGGATGTGTTTTCTGGGGGCGTCTGTCCCGAAGTGAGCATAGGGTGTGGCGGATAGCTGATCGGATGACCTGGGGGAGAAGTAAGAAGTTCGGAGTGCAACGATGCCACGAGGGACGATAAACCGCCAAACGATGATGCGATGGTGTTAAACTCCACTTGTTTCAAAGACGGGTCTTTCGAATTTGACGAGATATTTGGCATATAGTCAGATCTGTAGAGACCCAGAGATAGTGTTTGAGCATAGCCTTCTTTCTTCACTGCAAGATGGACCTTCCATAGATTCGAGACGAAGTCGTCAACGTCAATGAGACTACATCCATCAATATTTAGCTAGGGTTTAAGTAATGCAGTGAAAGCAAACGAAAATCCAATTAAACTAAAACAATAGAAGATGCATTCTTACTCTTCCATTACTTTCTCAATCCATTCTTCATTGCATGTTATAGCTGCATAAAGTTGATTGTACACAGTTTGCAACGCCTTTGCCTCTTCGAAACAGGACTTTGGAAAAAGACTGGGGAACAAAGTCACTGGAGCATTTGTCGCCAAAACTCCATGCGGATTGGACTCCTGCGAGATCAATGCAGGCGAAGGTCGAACAACAAGGCCATTCTGCGATGCCCAATCTTTAATCGTTGTCACCAAATATTCCTGCTGTGCGGGGTTCAGATGGGGTGGATAACTAGAGTAGATGGAGTCGTCCATGGTCAATAATGGGACGAAGCAGTGGTATATTAAAAATCGCAGATACAGTCTCGCTGGAACTGAATTTTCAACAGAGAGAAAAGATCCCTCAGAGCAAGACAAAGCAATTAATCAGCACGAGGAGCAAAAATGAGGGGCCGCAACCCGCCGGACTATGATGCGATAGTGTGGAAACCCGGAGATAAACACCCCACCGCCTCTGACACCGTCTTTAGATACGGCAGAAAAACAACTCGACTTGCAATGATCAGGAGATTTCGTCGCGTATCGCGCGCCAATTTGCATCACGTCGAGGTCGCAGTCGACTGTAGGCGGCTGGTGACTAGGGAGACTCACAGTTTGAATATGTCTTCAGGCTTGACTCTGACCAAATGTCACTGTTTCCCACCTCACTTTTGAGTTCTTCCACATGTAAAGGATGTCAATTTACCTCGAAAGTTTATGGTGATAGCGTCGAATATCAGTAGCCGCTGATTGCAGTGCTCCATGAGGATCTGGTGAGTTCACGTTCAGTAAGAGCTTTGATAGCTGCAATATACTAATGTCCCTTTTCCTTATCAGACGAGATGACCTCGGAAGACGAAGACCCTCTCGATTGGACGATCGATGAGGTCGTAGAGTTTCTTTGCCATAACCCACTCACGCCATGGTCGCAGTCAGCCGCCCAAGCTCCTCGGCCAGATCCTGTTACGTTCGAAACAGCCATCCGGGCCAATCTCCTAACAGGCGAGGTGCTGTTGCACGATGTCGATAAAGAAACATTGCGAGAGGACTTGGGGTTGAAAGCCCTTGGCCATCGTAGCTCGATGTTAATGGCAATTCGGTATCTTCGACAAAATTCGCCAAAGTACCAGATGTCCCTGGGCAAAGCGGGGCTCAATGACAACCTTAGCAGTATCTATGCCTCGAGTTATTTTGCCCCCACAACTCCAGGGCAGGGACCTGCTCCAGAACTTTCATCGCCGGTCTATCCCAGGCCTGTGTCTGAAGCCGCAACACCTCAAAATTTGCTAAACTCTAGGCTGATTACTCCCTCCGTATCCGGGGTACATAATTCCAAGAGACCTATTCGTGCCGATCCTCCCTCTTTCAACCCTGTCCAGAAAGAGAAAGACAATGTCTCTTCTCAGGTACCGAATACCATGGAAACATCTGCTGCCTATGACAATATTGAGCGACACCAAAGTGTACCGCCTGGGTCTCCTAGAATACGTTCAGAGTCTCACGCAGAATTCTCCGAGATTTCTGGGCGCGTTCGCTCCCTAGAGCATCATATCATTGATCAATCTGGCAGAAAGCGGAGAAAACTCGATCTTCGCTCTGTCGCCGAGGCTTCGGGTGAAAAATCGATCCTTGCACTTACCACCAGCGCATCACAGGCAAAACATTGGTACATGGGGCCAGAGAGGATTGCTCCGTCTCAATTATTCTACGGCCCTAATTCGGAGGAAGATGACCACTCGTTTGTAATGCTTGGTTCTGAATTTCCATCCGCTCAACGCGCTTATGTGAAGAGCTGCATGCAGTACTTTTACCAGCAGAAACCCATAAAGCTGCGTGATGGCCACGGTGATAAGTGGGCTGTCATACCTTACAAAGCTTCAGAGGTGAACCCAAGCAAGTCAAGGCTTTTCTCCTTGTATACGCTAAGAAACGGTAAAGTCACCGTAAGCAAAGAGAACTTAGAGAACTGGCCGCAGCTCCATCAGTCTCAGGCTGCTTACACGGCTACCTCGTCGAGAACCTCAAAAGCCTCTGATCCCTTTGCGTATCTCATCGAAAAGTACCCTGTCCTAGAAGATAACGAAAACACTTATCCTCTCTATGGTGACTCTGGTTCCGAAGGGGAGTACGATGAGGATACTTGGCAAGAAATCGACGATGAACAGCAGGATCCCGCGCAGAACAAACCAATAAACTTGACCTCTGGGGAAATCGATTCTGTCATCGCGCAATGCGTCACTGATTACAAAAATAAATGGCACCAAGATAAAAAGCCCAAGGAGGAGCAAAAAGCGCGGCTGCTCTGGTTGAGAGCTAGAAGAGGAAAGCTTACCAACCAGCAAATAAAGGGATCCTTGCGCGAAGCCAGTCGCTTAGAGGAGCGACTGAAAAAGATCAAGAAAGCTATTCTTGAGAGCGAAGTTTTAACAAGGGCAGGGTTACAAGCTCTATGCGTAGGCATGGAGCAGACCGTGCACGACATCGAGAAGCAAAAGTGGCGCGTAAAAATTCTGGAACAGCCGGTTTGCCCACCAAAAGTTGCCGCTGGCCCCAAGCCTAAGCCCATATCAAAGCCTCGGAATGGAGACGAAGAGTCACTTCATTCAGAATCTGATTATGAGTCTGAAGATCCTTTGGCTGACTTCATTGACAACTCTGATGACATGACCGGGCCAGCTTCGCCTGAACAGCACATCGCAACTCAATCAGAAACACCATCATCAACTGATAGCGACGAGGATGCTGTCATTAGCCCCTCTGGGTTGCGACGAAAATCCAGGGCCCAGAAACGTGCTCCGCTTAGAACCGACTCCCCCTCTCCCAGGGTTTCTGTGAACGAGAAGGAGCCGGAATATGTCGATCTAACAATAGACTCTGCGGATGAGTTCAGAATTGAAACGCCTCCTCTCAATCCCGTGCAGTCAAGGGTGTCACAGTCCGTTGACACTCCTTACAAATCCGAACGAGACTCCATATCCCCTGGACCTAATCTCACTCCCGATGATTCTGTGGAAACTAGAAACCAGAATAACCAGACCCCTAAAGATACAAAGGGCTCAAAACTGAAATATAAACCAAAGCAAAGGAATCTGCCGGAATTCAAAGATTTCGACAAAATATCGTCAATCAGCTGGGAGGAGCTTGAAGAGCGCATGGATCGTCGTAGGCTTTTGGCAAAGTTGATCTACAGTCTCTCAGATGAAGAACGAAAGGCCATGGCTAAGGAAGTCCCTGCCTATGATGTCTCTGAATTGAAGGGACTTGTAGAGGCGGCCCTCAGAGCGTTGTTCGAGGGCAAACAAGAAATTGACGGCGTCAGTCAAGATGAAAATGATATCATCATGAGAACAGCGACCTTTTATATCTCATGGATAAACTGTGCATATAATGGCGGAGAAGGGATAAGGAGATTCATGGTTATTAAAGCCGAGAATGATCTCGCCAATTTTCCAAGATTTTTTGATGAGATTCGCGCGCATCTTACGGCATATCGCAGCTGGGACCGAGAAAGGCGTGCTGCAGCTGCAGCTGAGAACCCAGATAACTCAAACGCAGAAGACACAGATTTGGCGCCTGATGATACCCCCCATAAAAAGCGAAAAAAGGAGGTCCAAGAGAGCCAGGATGCTAAGAGGATTCAGCAAAGTGCACAAGCACGAGTTGCACTTCAAAATACACAGAGAAAGAATTTGGAGAAGAAAATGGAAAGCATGGGATTTGATAATGACGACCCTGATCTCCAAGCTGTCAGCTTTGAAGAGCCAGTCATTTACTTGGATCGCCATATTGGCAGACGAGTCAAACCCCATCAGCTGAATGGAATTCAGTTCATGTGGCGAGAATTGATTCAAGACGAGAAACGGCAAGGATGTTTGCTCGCTCATACCATGGGTCTTGGAAAGACGATGCAAGTCATCTCGTTGCTCGGCACGATATCAGCTGCAGCGAACTCAGACGATCACTTGATTCGGAAACAAGTGCCCAAACGCTTAAGGCGATCACAGACCCTGGTCCTCTGTCCATCTTCATTGATCGAGAACTGGTATGAAGAGTTTCTAATGTGGACTCCAGAATCAAATAACATTGGACCATTGAGAAAGATTACAGGGCTTCACAAACTCCATGAAAGATTGAAGGAGGCGTCGAATTGGAACGAAGAAGGCGGTATTCTTATCATGAGCTATGATATCTTTCGAGCATTGATTCTGAACAAGGCGACTAAAACCAGAGGAAAAGCCCTAGACGAGGATGATCACAAACGCGTGAAGGAATGGCTTCTGGATGGACCAAACATTGTCGTCGCCGACGAGGCTCACAAGATGAAGAACCTGCGCACAGGAATATCTCAGGCTGCTTCCCAGTTTCGAACTAAAAGCAGGATTGCGTTGACCGGCTCGCCCTTGGCAAATAATCTAGAGGACTATTTTACTATGGTCAACTGGATTGCTGAGGATTATCTCGGGGACTTTGTTCAATTCAAAGCGAACTATGTTGAGCCAATCGAAGAAGGGCTGTACGCGGACAGTAGCCATTCAGAGAGGAGAAGGTCTCTTATCAAGCTCCAAGTTCTTAAAGAGATACTAGAACCCAAGATCAACCGTGCCGATATTTCTGTCCTTACTGGAAGCCTTCCGCCAAAGGTTGAATTTGTCATCACGGTCCCTTTAACCGAGTTGCAGGAACGAGCATATAATTCCTATGTTGAAACCGTGTTGTTCCAGGGCAAGAGTGACATTGGCAATGCGAGATTATGGTCTTGGCTCGCCATCCTTGCGCTATGCTGTAACCATCCGGCATCTTTCAAAGATAAGCTATTGAGTCGAGCGACTGAGGCTGCACGAACGGGAAGGAAATCTAATGAACCCGATGACATGCCCGGGGATGAATCAATCGCCCAAGCAGGCCTTCCGGACTCAGACAAATTAGTCTATCAGCAGCAGCAGATTTTTGACACTGTCTCGGACATCCAAGCGATTGATTTATCATACCGTTCCGAAATTCTGGACAAGATTGTTGAGGAATCTGTCAAGGCAGGTGACAAAGTCCTCATATTCTCTCATAGCTTGCCAACGCTCAATTACGTCGAGAGCATGTTGAAGAGATCCAAGCGCAAGTATTGTCGTTTGGACGGAACCACGCCAATCTTTACTCGACAATCCGCAACAAAGAACTTCAACTCTGGCTCAGTGGATCAAGTGTATTTGATTTCCACACGGGCCGGGGGGCTTGGCCTGAACATCCCAGGTGCAAACCGTGTTGTCATCTTCGACTTTGGTTTCAACCCAGTTTGGGAAGAGCAGGCGGTTGGTCGTGCGTATCGCTTAGGTCAACAGAAACCAGTCTTTGTTTATCGGTTCATCGCCGGTGGCACATTCGAAGAAGTGATGTATAATAAGGCGGTTTTCAAGACGCAGCTTGCCTTCCGTGTGGTGGACAAGAAGAATCCCGTCCGCTGGGCTTCGAGAAACGCTGGAATGTATCTCTTCCCAGTAAAGTCTATCAAACAGGAAGATGTTTTCGAATACCTTGGAAAGGATCCTCATGTTTTGGATAAGATCATCGCAAACGATCTAGCTGGCAAAAAGATCATTCGAAAAATCGGTCTCACCGAAACCTTCCAAAAGGAAGACAACGACAAGTTGACCGATGAAGAGAAAAGGGGCGTTCAAGTCGAATTAGATGACGAGCGTCTGAAGCGCACCGATCCTGAGGCTTATCAAAAGCGGGTTATGGAAAGACTGGCTGCGGCGAATCCAGGTCAGGTGCCTGCAGCATCACAATTTGGACATAACCGCCCGGCGCCTCCTTTCCCATATCACCCTCATCAGGCGTATATGATGGGCCGGCCGTCTGCGGCCAATGCACCTCCATTGGGACCTCCAGGGCCTAATTCCAACGTCTTTTCATCTCGAAATCAAACACCCCATGCTGCTGTGAGCAATGATCAGAATTCTCGCCATGCGCAAAGCGAGCCACGCCAGCAAGCCCCTCAAAAGCCTTTGCCCCGGAATCCTTCGTTACAAACAGATGGGCCAGCGCAGGAAAACAGTCCCATTGACAATGCTCAGCAAAAAGACAAAAACACCGATAAAGAGCGTCGCTCGGAATCTAGGCAGAGAGGCGATGTCGAGAAAACATCTTGCAAACCCCAGTGAGCCATACTCCATTTGATGATTGGTGATTACTATTCAACTTGTCTATCTTCTCATTGAAGTTTCCCCTGTCCATAATCGCTCTTCGCTTCGATGTCCTTTTTTAACTTTATTTTTCTTTCTGTGTACAATTTTTTTTCCACCTGCTCATCTCGCTGGTCGGTGTTAGAGTATTCCACTTCAACTTGACCATTTTCTTTCTTTCTTTCTTGTTCATTTTCAATTCGACTCCAAATATTACGGCATCCACTTTTTGATGAATTGACGGTAATTACAATGGCATTGGGAGGCGCAGATTACATCACCATGAGCATGTCTTTTTCTTACAACCGGTATCCACGGAGTCTCGATAGCATAATGGCATAACGGCATACAATGAATCAATCCGCTGTACTCTCCTTGCTGTGATAAATGTAAGGCGATAAGACAATCCCGATACTAGTGCTCTGCGTAGATGTATATTGGGAGCTCTTATCCGTTATCGCCGCGTCGCCAAGACTGATAGAGCTCCCCCTGTAAATTCAATGGAGAAAGCGTTAGCGAGCAGTGGAACCTCGACCACCGTTCAATGGATGCAATTCTTTTCTAGTAATGGAAGCCATTACCATTGGGTCATGTGTCCATCTTATTATGTATTTCCTTCACACCATCGTTAGTGATCGTTTCGTTTCTTTTTCTGCTCTGGTTGTGTTCGGTGCAAGAGAGATTCGCTCGTCGCCGACCGTCGATCAGCTGCCGCCCTCCGATTGGCCCAAATCGCCGACAGCCGCGGGGCAGCTCCAATCCGCGCAGCTCCAGCTCCAAATCGCCGCGTCCGTCGTTGGATAAGGACGAGACAGAGAGGCGATCAGCTATATAAGGCCAGGTCACCGCCGGTTCTGTCTTCAATCTTCTGTCTGGGTTTGACATCTTCCTGTTTCTGTGTCTGTATCACATTCTCTGGTCTATCTAATCCATCGAAAGTCCTGTTCTTTCGATCAAAGCCAGAGAGCTCTTATCTTTTACTTATCGCCTTCTCCACACCGGCTCTCTTGCTGAGCATCCCAGGTAATTATCTCCCCCCACGGCCACTTCAACGGCAAAAATCGTCTTTGAACCCCTTTTTAATCCGATTTCAATAGACACAATGGCAGCTCTCTTCCGTTCCAGCCTCCGGCTGCGCTCTGCCGCACGCCTTCCTGCTGCCCGCACCATCACCACCACTCCGCACATGAGAGCTTCTGAGAAGCCTTACTTCCCCGATGAGCCTACAGCTCCCAAGCTGGCTACCGCTATCCCGGGTCCTAACAACAAGGCCGCTACCGCTGAGCTGGACAAGGTCTTTGATGTTCGCAGCATTAATATGCTTACCGATTTCTCCAAATCCATCGGAAACTAGTATGTCAAGAGTTATATAACATGGGGTTTAAAGTGGCGGCTAACATTCGTACAGCATCTCTGATCTCGATGGAAACACCCTTCTCGATGTGTAAGTCATAGATTACCTTTCATCCGAGCTCTAGTTATTGGTTCTAACACATCTTCTATTAGTTACGCTCAGATTGCTTCTATCCCTGTTGGATACAACAACCCCCACCTCAAGCAGGTTGCATCCTCCCCCCAGATGATCACCTCGTTGATCAACAGACCGGCCCTGGGTAACTTTCCCTCGGCTGACTGGGCCGACATTCTGAACACTGGTGTCCTCAAGGTTGCTCCCAAGGGCTTGAACCAGGTCTTCACTGCCATGGCTGGCTCCGACGCCAACGAGACCGCCTACAAGGCTGCTTTCATGTACCACCGTCAGCAGGAGCGTGGAGGCGCAGATGTTGAGTTCTCCGAGGAGGAGCTGCTCAGTACCATGAAGAACCAGTCTCCTGGCTCTCCTCAGCTGTCCATCCTGTCCTTCAAGTCCGCTTTCCACGGCCGTCTCTTTGGCAGTCTGTCCACCACCCGCAGCAAGGCCATCCACAAGCTTGATATCCCCGCCTTCGACTGGCCCCAGGCCACCTTCCCCTCCTTGAAGTATCCTCTTGAGGAGCACGCTCAGGAGAACGCCCTGGAGGAGCAGCGCTGTTTGCAGGAGGTTGAGCAACTCATCAAGGAATTCCACAACCCCGTTGCCGCCGTCATGGTCGAGCCTATCCAGTCCGAGGGTGGTGACAACCACGCCTCGCCCGCCTTCTTCCAGGGTCTCCGTGACATCACCAAGCGTAACAACGTCCTCTTCATCGTCGACGAGGTGCAGACTGGTGTCGGTGCTACCGGAAAGTTCTGGGCCCACGACCACTGGAACCTCGACACCCCACCCGACATGGTCACCTTCTCCAAGAAGGCCCAGACTGCCGGTTACTACTATGGTAACCCCGCTCTGCGCCCTAACAAGCCCTACCGCCAGTTCAACACCTGGATGGGTGACCCGTCTCGCGCTCTGATCTTCCGTGGTATCATCGAGGAGATTGAGCGCCTCAACTTGGTTGAGAACACCGCCTCTACCGGTGCCTACCTCTACTCTGGCCTTGAGCGTCTGGCAGAGCGCTACCCCGAGCACTTCCAGAACTTGCGTGGTAAGGGCCAGGGTACTTTCATCGCTTGGGACACCCCCAAGCGGGATGAGTTCGTCGGTAAGGCCAAGAGTGTTGGTGTCAACATTGGTGGCAGTGGACAGAGTGCTGTCCGCCTGAGGCCTATGCTGGTCTTCCAGAAGCACCACGGTATGTTTCATTATTCTCTTCCTTCTGGGTAAATGAGATAGAGTTGCTAACGCTTTTATAGCCGACATCCTTCTCGAGAGCATTGAGAAGATCATCAACAAGCTGTAAAGCTTTCTTCTTTATCTATGTTATGAAAAGGTTCACCTTGAGGGTGATTTCGGGCGTTTATCTTTGATTTTTAGCGAACTTTGTTATATTTTTTCTATTATTTATCATGATTCATAAATCTGCCTCGGTGGCATGTTTTGATATGAGTTTTGTCCTCAAGTCATTAATATCAATATGATGGTATTCAGAAGTTGACATTCAATTTCTTTCTTGTAAAAGTATTTACCTGTTTGGGTATCAATTCATCGACCATGGTGGAAATGATCACTTATCCAAAGCAAAGGGCAGTGCACCAATGTAGAAATGTAGTTGTTGCATCGATATCAGCGACCGAAAACATATGAGTAAAAAGTGGCAAAATATAGCATAATAACTCCACTGAGAGGCACCCCCAAGTACCCAAATAAAACATTGTATCAATATAGTACGACCCAACCTTTAACTCCGGTTTTGTGCATCTGAATAGTATCATCCCCACGCCCTTCTCTCGATTCGGTATGAAAAACGGCGAGTTTACTGTGTATTTCAATCGCTCGAAGGTGGCATATCTTTCAATCCATAGGCGAATTCAAGTGTCTTCTTCTCCGATGCTTCCATCCCTCCTGTGTACCAAGTAAGCACTGTAATTCGAGGACAAGGAAATAAGGGGCCAGATTATGACGTACGGGATATATTTCACACCGGAAGCCTCGAGACTGTTGACGATATCATCGGGGAGCTGTGAATGTAGCAAGAGATTATTAGCCTTTTCCGTACTGGGGGCCCAAGGCAGAAAGGGTTCTATCATCATCATCACTCACCGATCCAGTCACCTTGACAGCATATGTGCCCGGGACATAGCTATCCAGACGTTGCCAGCGAGCTACCCAGCTTGTATTCGGATCGCGAAGAGTAACCATCCCTTCAAAAACCTGCGATGTGCACTCTTGGATGGCGTCGTTGTTGCCGCGGAGGCCAAGCACGTGGTCGCAGTTGGGACAGCCTTCACGCATGAATTTCTGGAATGGAAAACAAACGTCAGATTGAAAAATTCAATCACAGTTCGTGGCTCGTGCCATTGTTATTGGTTGGACTCACGTTGTGAAGCTGGACGAGCGAGCAGACCATGCAGGCGCGAAGAGTGCGCTGCTGGCTGGGAGCGACGTAAAACGACATGTCTGGTAGCTGGGAGGAGGATAAAGAATCTGGAGCTGAATGAGCTGTCCCCAGGTGTATTGCCCCTTTTATAGTGCGAGTTTTGGGGGGAAGAAAGTCGCGGATAGCTTGTTGGAAGCGCTGAGGTTTGGCCGTCGAGGGTTCTCGAACGACTGAAAGAATGCCAAGGCCGGCGTTGGGATCGGAGAAAAAGAGGGAAGTTTGGATATCCGCAGGCAGTAAGTGGTACAGGCTGAGAAAAGGAACAGTCAGGAACCACTACTCCCTCACCTCGCCTCGGCGCAGAGTCTCACTTTTTCCCACTTCGTTTGTCTACACTTTCTTTGTCGGTCGTATTCTTTTGATTTTCTTTTTCTCTCGACCAGGGGCTTATTGACGATCGACTGATCGTCCCGTTGTTGCTGTCTCGTGCCCGCCTACGAAATCATTTCCCCTCCATCATCTTTTTTTCGATCCGCCCCATGGCTTCGCAAGACGTCGAGGCCGCCACTGCGCTGAAGGTGCAAGGGAACAAGGCCTTTTCCCAGCATGAATGGCCTGTTGCTATAGATTTTTACACCCAGGCAATAGAAAAGTATGACCAGGAACCCTCGTTCTTCAGCAACCGAGCTCAGGTATGGCATCGCTTCCTTCATCCAGGAACGTTCGTTAATCGCACGGCTACTATAGGCGCATATTAAACTCGAGGCATATGGCTTTGCGATTGCCGATGCCACCAAGGCCCTTGAGCTTGACCCCTCCTACACCAAGGTCAGTCGTTATAAGTGGGGTTCTTCCCCCTCACCCACCCATGTTAAACAGTCGAGTCGAGTCTATCGCAGCGAAGAGCTTTCCTAATTGATAATTTAGGCATACTGGAGACGAGCCCTCGCGAACACTGCTATTCTCAATTACCGCGATGCTCTGAAGGATTTTAAAGTCGTTGTGAAGAGGGAGCCTAACAACCGCGATGCGAAATTGAAGCTGGCCGACTGTGAGAAGCTCGTGCGCCGCATGCAATTCGAAAAGGCCATTGAGGTTGGGGACCCACCGTCCGCTTTCGAGGAGTTGGATATCGATTCGATGATCGTCGATGACAAGTACGATGGCGTTCGCTTGGGCAACGAGATGACGCAAGAGTTCATCGACAACATGATTCAACGATTCAAGGATGGAAAACAGATACACCGCAAGTATGCTTTCCAGATTATCAAGGCTGTCAAGGATCTTGTCTATGCGGAGCCGACGATGGTCGAGATTGGTGTGGAACAGGGCAACAAATTGACGGTCTGTGGTGATACGCATGGTGAGCTATTGCTACCCGGTTTTTATCAGTTGGGCTTTTCTTACCATTGCAGGCCAATTCTACGATCTTCTGGAAATCTTCCGACAGAACGGAGCACCCTCGGACACACATGCTTACCTCTTCAATGGTGACTTTGTCGACCGTGGCTCGTGGTCTACCGAGATTGCCCTACTCCTCTACGCTTACAAGTGGCTGCGACCAAATGGACTGTTCCTGAACCGTGGTAACCACGAGACAGATGATATGAACAAGGTCTATGGTTTCGAGGGAGAGTGCAGAGCTAAGTACAATGAGAAGGTTTTCAAGGTCTTCTCTGAGTCGTTCTCTGCCTTGCCACTGGCTACATTGATTGGCGAGAAGTACCTTGTTCTCCATGGCGGTCTTTTCTCCGATGATAAGACATCGTTGAACGACATCCGGAAACTGGACCGTCACAACCAACGCCAGCCTGGACAGCAGGGTCTGATGATGGAGATGCTCTGGACTGACCCGCAGACTGAGCCTGGTCGCGGACCTAGCAAGAGAGGTGTTGGTCTTCAATTCGGACCTGATGTGACCAAACGTTTCTGTGAGAACAACGGACTGGAGGCCATCATCCGTTCGCACGAAGTTCGTATGGGAGGCTACGAGGTTGAGCACGACGGACGTTGTATCACCGTCTTCTCCGCTCCCAAGTACTGCGATAGCACTGAAAACAAGGGTGCTTACATCAATGTTGGCCCTGAGCTCAAGCTTGAATACCATGTCTTCGAGGCTGTGCCTCACCCTGACATCAAGCCTATGGTAAGTTAGACCTCATTCGATTAGGATTTCGATATGACTTGATATGAGAGACTAACAAAAATTCTCCTTAATCAGGCTTACGCCCAGAATTCGATTATGTCAATGATGTGATGATTTAGAATGAGATTCGACGACGATCTCCTTTGATCAACAAAGACGACAGAGAAAAGAAAGAAAAGACAAAAAAAGACGATCGGTGGCCTTTGATGTAGCGATCATATGTTCAAGGATTAGGATGCTTGTCATCTACGGCTTGATGTCTTTATACGATTTTTGGATACGAGTTGCTGTCCGTATCTACGATTGACTATTTGCATAGCGAAGAATTTATATGGGATTCTGAAGATTTTGCTACCATGTGCGACCTGTAGACAATCAGATTGGACCGTAGATCATCAATTGTGCAAAATAGAAACCATCACAGCATGGCAGCAATGCATGGCAGCCGGTTTGACGGTCTATGAATCGTTGCTGATTCGATCCGACCGTTGCCAACCCCGCGATGGAGATGATTTAATCTCCGTAACCAGATATCAAAGCCCGTTCTTTCTCCAACAACTACAATTAATCCAGACACTTTGTCTATTTTTCTTTCACCCTTCGCATAAACTGTAATAATAATTACCGCGAAAATGGAGTTCGATCCCAAGACTCGTGAGAATCTGCCTTAAACCTGATCCATCACAATGGAGGGGTTGTCAAGCTAACCCCGCCATCTGCAGCTCAATACCTCACCTCCGACAAGTCGAGCTTTGGTTACGTCTCTGCACATGAGCGGTGGCCAGTCATCCTCGTGAGTATCACCATAAATGGATAGCTTAACACATGGATTGATTCGCAGACTGACTTGTTTTCTCGATAGACTGGTGCAATTGACGACCTTCACCGAACAGTGGGCAATGTGACCGACGAGGAGAAAGCCAGAGAGGGCAAAGGCATCATCGGAGACCTGGCAAAGTTGAAATATGAACTGCAGCATAACAGACAACTGACGTGAGTTTTTTATATGGAAAAAAGAAAAAAGAGGGAAGCAAATTGACATGATCTGTCTTATAATTCAGACCACTCCCCGACGATGGCGAACCGAGCATTGCGGAATACAACCAGGAGTTGGAGCAAAGAGGAAACCCCTCATGGTTGGATGTACCATGGCTTTTCGCGGAGTGCTACCTCTGTGAGTTCTTCTGGTTTTATCCTGAGATAGATGGTAAGCTGATTGGGAACAGACAGACGCTTGAGTACCCTCTTCGCCCTCTCCAAGCACTGGAAGGGCTACGATGTCTTCTCCCGTCAAAAGATGTCCACCTTCAAGTCGTCCCGTCCGGCAGTTCTCGAATTGGCTGCACGATACAAGGAACTCTCCCTGGAGGCAGAGAAGGGTAAAGGCGTGGATGGTAGAACAGTGGAACAGGCCGAGCAAGCGGATCGAATTATCTTCTCTGAAATGTGTGAGATCTGCTTATGGGGAAACGCAACCGATCTGTCACTTTTGACGTCGCTCACCTATGAGGACATCCAAAAGCTGCAAGGCGCAAAGGCACGCAAAGCAGCAGAGGACAACATTCTCATCAACGATCTCGACTCCGCTTTCGATGTCCTGCAAAAGGCACAGAAGGAAAAGAAGGATGAGGAGCGACGGGTCGACATTGTTCTTGATAACTCTGGATTCGAGCTCTTCGTTGATCTCATCCTGGCTGGTTACCTCCTGTCCGCAGGTCTAGCGACGACGGTTGTTCTTCACCCCAAGCTGATCCCTTGGTTCGTGTCGGATGTCACTCCCCCGGATTTCACAGATTTGCTTAACGCCCTGGCCGATGCTCAGTCATTCTACACAGCACCCGATGAGACAGGAAGGAAACACGAGCCTTTATCCGAAAAGGAACAGAACGAGGTGCAATTCCTCTTCGACCACTGGAGCCAGCTCCACCAAGATGGAAAGCTCATCATCCGCCCACACCCATTCTGGACAACCGCAGGAGGCTACTGGCGCCTGCCCCATGTGGCACCCGAGCTGTTTGACGACTTGAAGCAGAGCGAACTAGTTCTGCTCAAGGGAGATCTCAACTACCGCAAGCTGACCAACGATGTGAGTTAACCTATAGCCCCTATGCCCCCATTGCTTAAGAATACCTATCTAACATCTCATTTCTTTCCCAGGCCGCTTGGGACCCAACCACTCCTTTCACAACCGCAATTGGCCCCCTTGGCCCCAAGTCCGGTGTCCGTATCCTCGCTTTCCGCACTTGCAAGGCAGACACGGTTGTTGGTCTGAAGCCTGGTGAAGACGAAAAACTCCGAGAGACGCCCGGTGGTGGAGGCTCCGAGCAACGCAAATGGGCGTGGAGTGGCAAGTGGGCTGTTGTTTCATTCTGTGATGGAAAGGCATAGATGCTGGTTACCTAACAGATGCTAGTTGTGCATACACAAGATACTACTTACCATGAGAATATAGACTGCCATTAACCTTGGATATCCGAGCTACCCAACAAGCTACTGTTGGTGTATGAACTTAATAAGAGACAAGCATTCCAGATTTCAATTCAATTCCATGGCTATAGACTGGAGGCCTTTGACATTAACAATCACAGATATACAATAGAGCACAAAGGAGCTGATAGAAGCATGACCGAACGAATAAGATAGTTGGATCAGGGTATAGTATCCAGAAAGACAAAGGAGATGACGAAAGTCGAGAAAGGAGAAAGCGAAAATTAAAAGAATAAAAACCCTGCTCAACTTGAACACCATAAGAAAATAAACCAGCACTTCATACGCCAAACATCGCGGTACCAACTCTTTCCCAAAAGACTAGATATTAAACATTCGCTGTTCTCAGGTATTGAACGCTTTGATATTTTCTTTGCCTTCTTCTTTGCCTTTGCGGCTCTCTCCCTTCCGTTTAAGTCGTGCTTGTGCAGCAAGCATCCGGTCCACCGGTATGGCATCAAGTGGAACGCTAGCCCGACTATGCCTTTTCCCAGATCGATCGGACATGTGGGTATTGGGCAGACCCGATAAGGCATCAAGACTGAATTTTGTCGGGGAGCGACGCGCGGACTGACGCTGTGTGCGGATCTGCTGACTATCGTTGATCTGTGTCAGATGGCGGGCAAGAGAGTTCATGGTGGTGTGGGAGGTCAAATACGGGCGATGGCTGTCCCGATCGTATTTTTGCTTTGAGGCGAAAGCCCGAGTGGGGGGTTCGGCCGACGTGAGATCTGGGGGCGATGAAGGCGGCACCTCGGAATTGTCTATCGTATGAGAGCGGTAACCATACCCCTTCTTGGGAGATTCTTCCATGTAAATTAGTTGTTCATCGTCATCATCCATGCCCATTGCCTTAGCAGCACGTTTTAAGTCCAAAACGTCTCCTGTAACGGTTCGTGAATGGCGAGCATGTCGATCTTTTGAGCGAGGACTTGGGCTGGGAGGTTCATCAATGTCATCGGTCTCATCGTCTTCGCCTTTTTGTGGACTGGATTGCCCAAAATCCTGTATCTGAATCCCGGCGTGGCCTTTGCGGGGACTGTATGAGTATCGACCGTGACCTAGACTTTCTGGCATACGCTCAATAGTGGTCAACTTCAATTTCAAGAAGTCGATTTGCTCCTGCATGCGACGGCGCTCTTCAACGAAAGACCCCCTGAGAACGTCTTCTGAGTGACGATGCTGCTGAGAAGCCGTCTTCAAGCGTTCCCGGTACTCTTGAATTCGGGTTTCCAATTTGGCCTCTCTTTGCTTCAGCTTTGCCTCTTTTTCCTTGCGCCGGCCCTCGTATTTGGTCATCTCCTGCTTGACTCGCGCCAGCGTCTGCTTGAGTGTCATGTTCTCCTTTTCAAGCTCCGAAGCTTTCTTTTCAGAGCTTTGAGCTAAATCCTGAAGCTTGCTGATGTCGGGATCGGATTTTTGCCCTTTCATCTCCTCGATTTTAGCATTTGCTTGGTCCAGTGCCTGCTGGGTTTTGCGGAGTTCTTCCCCGCTTGATCCGGGTTGCGCTGGAGCTTCATCCACTTCGTTTCCAATAACACCGTTTTGTTCCAAAAGTTTTCGTAATGAATTGACTCGGTGCTTATACTGCAGAGCTAACGCCGTCTGCTTGGCAAGATCCTGAACCAGTTTCTCCTTGTCCGCATTTGTATTCTCTGTCACCATCGTGGACGCAAGTTGAGAGACATGGCGTTCCATCCCAGAGACTTTTGCTTCTTCCGCCTGCAACTTTTCAGCTAGACGTAGTGCCTCTGCATCCTTCTTTTTGGCATATGCTTTTGCAACGGAGCGATACTGGATGAGCTTTTTGATCTCCCAGTTGGTCTTTGTTCTGTAGTTATCAAACTCGGCTTTCCAGTATTTCCCAGACTGAGAACGCGGTTCATCCAGATTCATGGTCTCATCATTTGCGTCCTCTTCCACTTCTAGTGACATCATCTTGGGTACAATATCTGATGAGGAACCTGCCTCGCTACTGGATAATCGAGTGGGCTCTAAATCCTTGGGCTTGTCGCGAGAATCCAGCAAGGCCTGCGTTAGCTTGCTTCGTGGCTTATTTTTCGTGTCGGATGAGCCTGTTGACCACTGGCTGCTTGTGTTGATCGGTTGGTTGGTCGGGGTTTTTGAGGGAGATTTGGTGGGCGACTGTCCGTCAGCTTTTCGTTCATTATCAACAACTCCATCACCAAAGGAAACGGTCTTTCGTCGGTTCGAGGTAGTTCCTGGCGTTACGAGAATACTTTTGGTAGGGGATCCCATCGCGTTCGCGGCCATATCTATGTCTGCCTTCTTAGCAGTGATCCCATTCCCTGCGTTCTCTGCAGAAGGAATTTGTAATGAGTCGCTTTTTCTCCTTTGTTGATTGGTCGCGTGCGGCTTCGGTCGTGTATCCCTCTGTCCGTTCTTCTCCTCCTCCTCCTCAGCTCCAGGCGTGCCAAACAGCGCACTCCTGAAGGCGCGAATGGCAAATACGGGAGCTGGTGTCTCTGGTGGCTCAAGAACCTTTGAGTTGTCTATGGAGACCGATAAATACAAAACAACAAGTCAGCGAAAACACAGCACAGGGGTGGGTTGGCAAAATGCTCTCCACCCAATTATCGCCCTGCTGGGGGGAAACACACCTGCTGCGGAATGCGCGAGCTGCTCGTCCTGCCCGGTGATCCACCCCAACATCGCGTCGATGGGGACAACTTGATCAAATTACTAAATCTGACGACAGACGCATCGCACGCGCGACAGCCATTGGTTTCGGGGAACAGAAAACAAGTCCTGGGAGCCGGGATGCTATTGACGTGGAGCGCTGTGCTTTGTTTACGCATCTCCAGCGGCGGCGCTAAGCGGGCCAAGGCGGTCAGGCGCCGCAACGGAAAAACAACAGCCCCGCGGGTGCCAATTGGCCGCCGTGGATTGACGAGACCGCTCTTTTGTCTCGCGGCCTCGCTGTCTCATCTCCTCCTTCTCTTCTCTCCCAATTTCCCTTCCCCTTAACACCCAACATTTATTTTTTACTCTATAGATTTCGTTCAAGATGTTCCTTTCTGAGATGTAGAGGGCTGCAGCTTCGGCTGCATCTTTGTCGCTCTTTCTCGTGGCAAAGGCCAAAACTCGATCTGGGTACAGACTTTCATTCCACACCGCCCAACGCCCCGCTATGCCTCACAAGCAGAAGAAGAATCACAATCATGCCCTCAAGAACGGCTCCCCCCGGGCGGAGAAAAAGCAATTAGATCCCGAATCCACTCTTTTTGCTTCTCCAGTCCTAGCTCCGACGAACTATCAGGAGATCCATAAGAACGAAGTTGAAGCTCTACAGTCAATATATGGCGATGACTTTGAAGAAGTACAGCACAGGCGGTCCGCCTGGCAGGTATGTGCATAGATCCAGATAATGCCCGTGCGTCAACGGTGCACCAGCGGTGCTGATAAATGTCCGTGCAGCAATCCTCCGATGTCTCGTTCAAGCTTCATTTGCGAGCTTCGTCTAACCCGGAAGTTCGTCTCGAATTACTGGTCGAACTGCCGGCCACCTACCCCAAAACCTATCCGAACCTATCCTTGGAAAATCTAGAAGACCTACGTCATGGAGCACAATCGAGAATCCAAGATATTATTCAAAGCAAGCCTAAAACGTTACTCGGTACCGAGATGATTTACGAGCTAGCAGTATCCATCCAAGACGTTTTGGAGGATGTAGCTCAGGCACGCGCTCAAGATCAGGATCTCCCTAGTTTGGAGGAAGAGCGAATGGTACAAGAAGCAGCAGCCGTCCAACGAGCCGAGTTAGAAAGACAGGAAGAGCTCCGGCAACAGGAAGCTGCAACAGCAGAAGAGGAACGGGCATTGCAACAGCTGTTAGAAGATAGGGAACGAACAAAGGCACGGCTTTCGAGACGAAAGAGTCGAACATCTGGAATGGATTCCTATGGTACCAACGATATCGCTAGCAATATCCCGGGCGCAATTTTCTTTGAACAGCAACTTGTCGTGAACAATACAGACGAGCAACCGTTGGTCTTCCGAGCTGTTTACGGGAAAACATTACTTCGAAGCGCCTACCACAAGGAGACATTTACTGTGAGACCCGTTGTTTCTGAGAGTCGTTCTTATGCCCCTCTTCTTGTATTGAAAGAGCTCTTTCTGGACGAGGAGGGCCCAGAGACTTTGGCATTTCGGGAGCAAATGCGTACCAGTGAAGACAAGCTGGAGGCATTGAAACGGCTACGTCATCCAAATCTTGTGGATTTTGTTGGGTTCAAAATACATCGACCAATCAGTCCGTACGAATCTAATGAGAACACATGGAAGGTCCATGCCCTTGTTGAGCATGCCAACAAGGGTTCGTTGTCCGAATTCCTGGATATCGTGGGAGCCGTTCCCGTTGAAACACTCCGTAGCTGGATGATCCAGCTTCTCGAGGCTCTTGAGTTTTATCACCGCAGTGGCTTCGTCCATGGTAATATCCACACTGGGCGCATACTGCTATTTAGAAACCTCTCCGGAGCAACCATCGTGAAGCTGCAGGCTAGCATTGAGGAAGCTCTGCCTGACCCTGCAGGCGGAAAACGGTCACTAACGACCCCCAAGTCACCATTTTGGCTGCCTCCAGAGTTGACTCAGGAAGGTTCGCCGCCGACAATGAAAACTGATGTCTGGGATCTGGGCATAGCTTTTCTCCAAATGGGGTTTGGAAAAGACGTTTTGACTCGATATACTTCAGCTAATTCCTTGATGGGAACTCTGGGGCTGTCTCCTGCTTTACAAGATTTGCTGCATGAATTCTTTAGGCCAGACCCCAAGAAACGACCAACGGCTTTCCAACTTCAACCCTCGGAGTTTTTCCGTGTTGACACACCTTTGATTGCGCGCACCAGTGCTTCGAGCTCAATGTCGCTGCCGAGACGTCCGCGTCTTGACTCTCTCGGAGGCTTCCCCGCCTTTTCGCGATACAATCAAGACTTTGACGAAGCTGGCCGCTTGGGCAAAGGTGGCTTTGGCCAAGTTGTGAAAGCAAGGAATAAGCTTGATGGCCGCTTCTATGCCGTTAAAAAGATATCACAAAAGTCAGCTGCTGCATTGAAGGACACATTGTCAGAAATCATGCTACTCTCGCGCCTCAATCATCCGTACGTAGTACGTTACTATACTGCCTGGCTGGAGGAGGACTATAACCACGTAGATGAAGATGCTATTTCGTCTACGGGACGGTCCGGGGATTCCGAACGGTCTACAGAAGGCGACCTATTTGCCAGCAGAGATCCAAACAGTTTTGGCTACAGTACGAGCGGCCTTGATTTCATCAGCTCTAGTGGCTATCCGAAGATTCAGTTTGGTTCGGACAGTGACGAAGAACACGATGGATCGGTGTCCAATCGAGTCAGGGAGGAAACGTCTGAAACGTATGGGTCTGAAAGTGATTCAGAGACGGAACTTAGTCGAGTAAGGTCTAACTCGCAAGGGAGACCTGTTTACACCACGCTTTATATACAGATGGAGTATTGTGAAAAGCACGTATGTTTGCCTCGATAGCCCTGCCACTTAATCCTGATATAATACCCTTCCATACTGACTTTCCACCAGACTCTTCGTGATTTGATAAAGAATGGCCTGTACGATGATGTTGATAGCATCTGGCGGCTGTTTCGCCAGGTACTTGACGGACTGAGCCATATTCACAGTCATGGTATCATACACCGCGATCTGAAACCGGACAACATCTTCATTGACATGGCCAACAACCCGCGCATCGGAGATTTTGGCCTTGCAACCAGTGGTCAGTTTATGACCGCTGTACGCTCGTCTACAGCCGCCGATTTCGAGGGAAACTTTACTCGCAGTTTAGGAACAACTTACTACGTTGCACCCGAAATGAAGTCTGGTTTTACGGGTCATTATAATGAGAAGGTTGATGTAAGTATCCTCCTTGCTTCATATCATCACAAGTGCAAAATTTCCTCACACAGATAGATGTATTCTTTGGGCATTATCTTCTTCGAGATGTGTCATCCATTGCCAACGGGTATGGAACGTGACCAGACACTGAGGGAAATGAGGGAGAAGGACCACGTTCTTCCTTCCACGTTCCAGCATTCAGAGAAGGTAATCCAAGGCAAAATTATTGAATCACTGCTCAGTCACAATCCAAGTGAACGTCCATCGGCAGGAGAACTTCTTCACAGTGGGAACATCCCTCTCCAGGTTGAAGAAGAGACTTTCAGACGAGCCATTGTGCACTTGCTCTCAGATCCAAACTCTCCAGACTACAAAAAGATTTTCTCGGCGATATTCTCTCAATCGCCTAAGAAGTTCGAGGACATTGCCTGGGACATGGACTCCCGCGGAGCACCAGCGGCCAATGAGTTGCTGATCCGGGGCCTGGTCAAAGAAAGACTAACTTCGATATTCCGCAAACACGGAGCTGTGGAGACTGCAAGACAGATGCTTTTCCCCCGGTCTCAACACTATAACAATGGTGCTGTGAGGCTCCTGGATCCATCTGGCAATCTACTTCAATTGCCCTTTGACCTGACTCTACCGAACGCGCGTGCAATCCCTCGCCAAGATCCCTCTCTGGAGAAAACATTCGCTTTTGGAACTGTTTATAGAGATATGCCCCACGGTGGCGAGCCTAGGACGCATAAAGAGGTCGATTTTGATATTGTGTCCCACGACGCTCTGGATCTGGCATTGAAAGAAGCGGAAGTAATCAAGGTACTTGACGAAATCATCGAAGAATTTCCGCCCCTGAGGTCGACATCAATGTGCTTCTTGATAAATCATTCGGATTTGCTCCAGCTCATCATGGAGTTCTGCCGCATCACACCCTCTCAAATTCCATTGGTGAAAGAGGTCGTCAGCAAGTTAAATGTTGGCAAGTGGACAATGCAAAAGATCAGGAGCGAACTTCGATCTCCCGCAATCGGTGTCGCCTCTACCTCGCTGGATGATCTCGCAAGGTTCGACTTCAGAGGTAAGCGTATTAACCCTTCTATCATAACACCATTAGCTCATAAGTATTAGACTCTCCGAAGCAAACACAAAAAAGGCTACGGGCAATCATGGAGGGCACCGAATTTGCTGAACGATTGACACCGATATTTGGACGCTTGAACCTACTCGTCGCCTACTTGCAACGATTCAGCGTAAAGCGAAAGATCTACTTCAATCCTCTCAGCAGTCTGAACGACAAATTCTTCAAGGGCAGTGTCCTTTTCCAGTGCGTGTTCGATAATAAGAGGCGGGATGTTTTCGCTGCAGGAGGACGGTATGACCGCCTCGTGCAAGAATTTTGTCCAAAAGCCTTGGCGAGCCGTTCCCAGACACATGCCGTGGGCTTCAATCTGAGTTGGGATAGGCTCAGTTCAGCGATGCTTGAATACCTGAAAGGCTCGACCAAGATTTCTACCAAGCATCCTGAGACGGAGACTGGGGCCTTTTGGAAGACTCGCCGGGTAAGTGAAAGTTTTCTTTCCTAATTTCTGCCAGTCACTAATCTGTGTAGTGTGATGTACTCGTTGCCAGTTTTGATTCCACTGTTTTGCGCACGACGGGCGTCAAGATAACCCAGGACTTGTGGGCAAATGACGTCAGTGCAGAGCTGGCTGTAGATGCCACCTCACTTGAAGAACTTTTGACCAAATATAAGGACCATAACCATAGCTGGATTGTCATTGCAAAGCAGGACAGCAAGGAGCGGGGGTTTAAAGTCAAGAGTCTCGTGCCAAAGGAAGAATTTGACATCAGGAGCTCGGAGCTTATAGGTTGGCTTCGGCATGAGATTCGAGCGCGCAATCAACGCGAGGGGACTCTTGACCAGACAAAACAGCCCAGGTTGCCCAATCAGCCTGATCCAATCAGTTTACATAGTGAACGGGCCAACGATGTGCGAATCCTGGTACCCCAGCACAGGAGCAAGAAGAGTAATAGAAGGAACATTGTTGAGTCTGGTAAGTTTGAGTTCTAAGTTCCTTGATGTAAATTTTACGTCTTGCTGATTGCGAACAGCTCTTTTCCGTTCCCGCGAAGTCGTTGAGCAGGCGCTACAGGGCCCTATTGTGGCCATTGATACCCGAGATGAGGTGCTCGAGACCATTCGAGACACTCGTCTATCGGACCCCGATAGTTGGCGCACTGTGATTCAACATGCGCCCCTGACTGAGCGAAAATACCTCAGTCAGGTTCATGAGCTTCTCTGCGATCTTGCTAATGAGAGTTCTGCAGTTGCTGATAGCACGGGTAGCTTCAACAATGTCTTTATATATAGTTACCGCACAGGATCGTGTCTAAATTATGATCTTGGGCGCACGGCAGACAGGTAAGGTGGGTAGGAAGGGGTATAAAAGAGAAAAAGGCAAAAAAAACCCATGTGTCATGCCTCATGCGTCTTCATGTTGTTATTGCATTTTCTGTTGTTGATATTTTTTCGATCTCCTCTCACTGCTTTATAGCGGATTATACCCGTCATGCATTACAAGCACTTGATGGTATCATATAACGAGCATATACGATGAATGTTTTGAGGTATCTTTGCTATTGTACATATGGAACCATGCATATAAACCAAACCAAACCAAGAAATCAATCGCTCTCATCATCACTTCCGTAGGCTACTAAAGGCCCCCCAGTATTCTGAGCCTTCTGGGTGGTCACATTTCCGCCTGCTAATCCCTGCAGTGCTGCAACGGTGGAACTGGAAAAGATGCCACTGCTCGCGGGTGCTTGTGGCTGAGGCGCCGCAGCAGCAGGAGGTGCCGACTCAAGCATAAGTGGTTGATTCGTAGCTTCCAATTGCCCTAGTTTCTCTGCGTCTTCCAACTCCCTTGTCCTGGTATACCACACTTCGTCTGGGGCTTCGTATCCCTGCAGTCCAAAGGTACCCTCGATCTTCTTCCTCTTCCGTGCCTCGGGATCTCTGCCTTCGATCTCCGCCACAAAGTCGGCGGGCAGTGCCCTCCGCACAGCTTCTGCAGCTTGTTCTTCCAATCTTCGAGCCTCGCGCTTCTGTGCCAACGGGTTCGGGTCGACGGTGGCCCAGCGGACATTGAGAATCTCACTGTGGTCTAAGCTCTGGTGTGCCATTGCCTCCTTGGCGAATTGGGCGTTTGCCTCGTTGGTGTAGGTTACGAAGGCAACACCACGAGAGGTGAGCACTCTGATGCGATCAACTTGACCCCATTCAGCAAAGTGTCGGGATACGACTTCCTCGATATCATCTGTGACGTGAATCCGACCGACGTATAATGTTCGGTTTTGGCGCATGAATGAACCAACACCGCCCATGTCGTCACGATAGTCGCTGAATTTATCCCTTCCGAAACAGTCGACGTTGGGGTTGAACAAGTCGTGCAGGGTAGGCAGTCTGTGGAGGTATTCACATTCGTGTCCCTTAGGGCAAATGCCACGGGCGAAGAATAAGCAAAAGTAGGAACCGACGATTTTATCAGCACGGGTATATCCGCTATCCTTGACGATATTGCACCGCGAGACCGCAGCCTGCTTCGACAGGTATTTATCCTCGCGGTCACCGCCAGACCATTTGTTGTACCAGATGTTGAAGATCGTACCGGTCTGCGGAGGAGGCTCTGATTTGATTGTGGCCGGGTCGACCTGGGGACGGGCTGGTCTGCGTTTTCGTCGGATGATCTTCTTTGTCTTCTTCTGCGCACCGTCTGCATCATCGGCGACGGCGACGGCGGTCTCTGAAGGTTGAGTGAGAGCATTCTCCTCGTTGCCAGCTTCTGCCTCTGCTGGCGAAGGGCTGGGCACTGTCGCCTCGTGGGCATCGGCAACCTCTGTGTCTGCCATGGCTGGAGATGTCGTCTTTCGGTGTTTTAGCTGGTTGGATAGGATGTTTCTTGGAGACGAAAGAAAGAATGCGATTCTCGTTGGAAGTCGAACGGAGTCGCGGCGCTTACATAAGGCGTGGCCTTGGCATTGTGTCTGCAGCGACGATTTTGATATTCACCAGAAGCCCGCATCTCAAAGGCTTCAGTTTCGTATCAGCCGTTTTTTTATTGTCTTTTTTCCTCCTTGGCTGTCTGGGCGGTTTGTTGGGAAGCTGTCCTTTTTACAGAAGACTCTGCTTGCATCTATCGAGATCGTACATACTATAGTTCCTCCAGAGTCTGTGGGACTCCAACCGTCAAGATGGTGAACATCACGGAAAAGATCAAGGAGTACGTCCTATCAATTTTTGTTTCTTGAAATGCATTTGGCTTATTTTGTTCCTAATTCAACAGGATTGAGGATGAGATGCGAAGGACGCAGAGTAAGTTTTTTTTTCTCTCCTGATAAAAGAACCCCGCAGCTAACACCGATAATAGAGAACAAGGCAACAGGTAGGATCAACGATATTTGTACCCTACTATTTTGATCAGTCTTCTCATTTATTCTACTTAGAATATCACCTTGGTCTTCTGAAAGGGTGAGTACTAAATTATGTTTACGTTGTTGAAAGTACAAGTCCAGTCCGCTAATTACCCCGCCAGAAAACTCGCAAGATTAAGAGCCCAGCTTCTGGAGCCTACAGGAGGCGGCGGTGGTCCCGGTGTAGGATTCGATGTCAGCAAGAGTGGTGATGCCCGAGTGGCTCTTGTTGGTTTCCCGTCCGTTGGTAAATCGACATTCTTGTCCAAGATCACCAAGACCAAGAGTGAGGCTGCAGCATACTCTTTCACCACTCTTACTGCCATTCCAGGTGTGTTGGAATATGGAGGTGCAGAGATCCAAATTCTCGATCTTCCTGGTATTATTGAAGGTGCCTCTGAGGGTAAGGGACGAGGGCGACAGGTTATTTCTGCTGCTAAGGTTTGTTACTGGACTAATCATTTGGAGAAACAAACATTGTCTGACTGGATTTTTGCTAGACGAGTGACTTGATTCTCATGGTTCTTGACGCTACAAAGAAGGCTGAGCAAAAGGCACTCCTGGAGGCTGAATTGGATGCTGTTGGCATTCGATTGAACCGTGAACCTCCGTAAGAATGCCATTAAACATGTTTGAGTACGTCTACTGACATCAGACAGCAATATCTACTTAAAACCCAAGAAGGCTGGTGGCGCAAAGATTACATTCCAGACACCACCCAAGAACCTTGACGAGAAGATGATTTACAGTGTGCTCAAAGACTACAAGATTCTGAACTGCGAGGTTCTGATTCGAGATGAGAATGGTACGTATTTTTATCGTAAACACGCATACAGTAGGACTGACAGAAACCAGCAACGATTGATGATTTCATTGATGTTATCATGAAGGATCACCGGAAATATATCACATGGTAAGATTGGTTGCGTACATGCATTCTATCTTGTCGCTAACTAGATATTTCAGTCTCTACGTTTACAACAAGATCGACGGTGTCAGCTTGGATTTCCTGAACGAACTGGCCCATGAGCCATATACCGCTGTGATGAGTTGTGAACTAGATCTTGGTGTTCAGGATGTGGTAGACCGTATTTGGACAGAACTCCGATTGATTCGAGTATACACCAAACGGTAAGAATATCTTTTATCTCCCAATCTTTATGATCAGATCTAACTCCATATAGGAAAGGAGAAGAACCCGACTTCTCAGAGGCAATGATTGTGCGAAGCAACTCATCGATTGAGGATATTTGTGATAGCGTCCACCGAACACTGAAGGAGACGTTCAAATACGCCTTGGTATGGGGTGTGAGTGCCCGGCATATTGCCCAGCGCGTTGGACTTTCGCATATCGTTGCAGATGAAGACGTGGTTTCGATAGTTGCCAAATAAGTATCCTAGAAACACAACGATAGTCTACCTGAGGAATGAAAATGAGCAATGTCATCTGTTTCAAGAATCATTTAATGCCTCGCAATGCCACAATCCATGCATGAAAGGCTGGCTGTGCTGCAGCGCTAAAGTAGTCTGCATTTCCTTCTTATCTCTACAACTCATAACCAGAGTGAGGAATAAAAAAGTAACCATATTTTTTTTAAAAAAATAAAATAAAAATAAATCCTAGATTATTTGTCTCATTTGACAAGTTCCTATCCAACAATTACCCCTCAAGTCGACATGACTCAAGCAGATCCCTAGTGCTTTCAAGGATTATGAACCACTCGACGATCCACTACGCGCTTCAATATCTAATAATAATACATTCCACACAATGCAGTTGTTAAATCCCGTCTCAAGAACCGTTTCCGATCCCTGGAGATGCATGAGGGGCTTAGCTGATGGTGGGAGTGAACGTCCTGCGGCAGGTGAAAATAGTGGTACTTTTGTCCATATGCGGATACTTAAGATGGGATAGGTGCTCTATTAGATCGATATTTTATTATAGAATAATCTATCCAGAATACATTAACCACTTACCAAAATGAACACTCAACACCAAGCAAAGACCCAAGCATCAAAAAAGCTGCACAATGATGCCTCAATCAAGCTACTCCAGACCCTATCTCTCAGTCTCATCCTCCTCATCCTCGGGAAAGAAATGACCTTTTTCACCATCTCATTTTTCTTCTCATTCTGGTGCAAACACAATCTCAATTCAAATATCCTAGATATCAGCAAAGAGCAATCTGCTATCGAAAAACAATTACAATCTGCAGTTCAGCGCAAACAGGAAGAGCAGAAACGACACGATGTCCAGACCATCTCGGATAATATTATTTGTTTCGTCGTCGAGGAGCAGGCTAGGGCTGATGCTTTCCGGCGAATGGTCGAACAGAGGCAAACGAAGGATATCGCTGGGATTGTGACGCGCATCTGTGATCATATGGCGGATCTTCAGAAGAGACAAGAAGTCGAAGAAGTACAGACGAAAGATGACGATGACAACAACCAAGTAGAGGAGGAAGAAGAGGAAGAGGAAGAAGAGGAAGAGGAAGAAGAGGAAGAGGAAGGCACAGACCCTTCAGACAGCGAAGAAGACGAAATCCAACATCAACACCAATATCAATATCAACCCCTCCCCCTCCCCTTCCCTCTATCCAACTACACCCCCCTCAGCTTCACCTTCACCTGCATCGGCACCACGAAGAAAGGAACCCGCTGCGCCCAAAGCTATCTCTCCCGAGCAAGCCTCCAGAACGCCTCCCTCCGTCTCCAGAAAATGCAATCCCCAAATCCAGGCAATAGCTTCACGCTAGACGCCCTGCATGAATTGGCCGATTGGATGCTTTGTCCGCGTTGGCATCGGGATAAACTGCCGCAGGGGATGGCACTGGCCCGGGAGTGGTATCGATTGTTGAGGCCTGCAAGGGAGAGACTCGCTCAGTGTGAGGATCAGGGTGCAGAGAGGATGTTGAAAGAGAGGAGGGTTGTTGCGTCGTCGGCTGCGTATGCTGCTTGGTCGACGCCGTCGAGTGTTTCGTCTTCGAGGTCGGCTGTTTTTAGTAGTCCTGGAATGAGTATGCGTGGTTATTCCCCTGTCTCTGATTATGATTATTCTCCAAGCAGGTCGAGAAGGTCGCGTAGGTAGCATGTTTGACTTTTGTTGAGATGGTTTCATGACGTCTAATGATACTTTGATGTTGATACCCAGTTTTAGTCAATGAAACGAATGAGCTTAGAATTTATGACTACGCGAGAAGGTTTCTTTGAGAAAACGTATATTCTTTTGACAAAATATAGACAAGATACTTATAGACAACTTATTGTGATATCCAAACCAAAAACCTTAACCCAAACGCCATTACATACAGAAGAAAACCAATTTCTAGGTTTATGCGTTGCCAGCTGCGGCGGCGGCGGCAGCAGCAGCAACGTTCTGCATGCCAATGGTGGGCTGCACACCAACACGCTCCTTAGCCAAAAGGTCGACCAGGAGAGGGCTGGGGCGGCTGTCACGCTGGGGGTGGAAGGCGTGCTGGTTGGCCTTGTACTTGCGGACGCTGTCAAGGTAGATGTCGAAGAGGTAAGAGGAGTCAAGCGGGCCTCCCTTAGCCTCAGGGTGGAACTGGGTGCTGAAGATGGGGCGAGACTTGTGGATCATACCCTCGTTGCTCTGGTCGTTCAGGTTGACGAAGTAAGGCTTCCAGTCGGAGGGCAGAGTCGAGACATCAACAGCATATCCGTGGTTCTGACTGGTGATGTGGCAGCGGCCAGTGGTGGTGTCCAGAGCAGGAATGTTGTGGGCACGGTTTCCGTACTTGAGCTTGACGGTACGGGCACCAGCAGCAAGGGCCAAAAGCTGGTGACCCAAGCAGATACCGAAGATAGGGATCTGAGAAGACTCCATCAGACGGTTGAGGTGGTAGGTGGTGTCCTGGCAGTGAGTCGGGTCACCGGGGCCGTTGGAGATGAAGACACCGTCAAAGTGGTGAGCGACCTTGTGGATGGGGTAGTCGAAGGGGAACACGGTGACACTGGCACCACGGCTGACCAGACTACGCAGGATGTTCTCCTTGACACCGCAGTCCAAGACGGCAACGTGGCACTGAGGGTCGGCAGCGCTCACGTGGAAGGGCTGCTTGGTGCTGACCTGACGGACAAGGTGGATCTGCTCAGGGTCGGTGAAGGCCTCATCCTGATCGGCGTCATACTCCTCACCAACAGTGATACGGGCCAAAGACGAACCCTGCTCACGCAGGTAGGTGACAATGGCACGGGTGTCAACTCCGGAGATGGCGGGCACACCCTCACGAGAGCACCACTCGCCAAGAGACTCGACGGCGGTCCAGTGGCTGTACTGTTCAGCCACGTCGGCCACAACGACACCAGCTGCCTGGAGGTTGGGGGACTCGAAGTACTTGAGAAGGCCGTGCTTGTCCTTCTCGTTGGAGGGCACACCGTAGTTGCCAATGAGGGGCTGGGTGAAGACCAAGATCTGACCCCGGTAAGAGGGGTCGGTCAAGGACTCGGGGTATCCGACCAGAGAGGTAGTGAAGACGGCTTCACCAGAGATGTTGGAGCGAGCTCCGAAGGACTTTCCGTGGAAAATAGGACCATCTCGGATCGTGAAAGTAGCGCGTTCCGGGGTGGAGCGGCGCACAGTGGCCATGAAGCGGGATTGCTTGGCAGCGTTCATGGCAGGGAAAGCGGTAGCCCTGGCGGGCATCGCCTTGAAGATGTGGGCGAACATGTTTTTAACGTAGATTGTTTAGATGTGAAGATTGGTAAAAAGGTGCGGTGTGGTGATATGTGAATCAGAGGCTTCCGGAAGCTTTCCAGAGGTGATCTAAGGTTATGAGGTTAGTTTAACGCCATGATTGACAGCCAAAACTATGAGTATTGAACATACCCGAGATGTAGTCCTGTAGAAAGAATCAATTAGCCTCCAGTTCAATCAAATTGACTTGCGATAGACGTGACAGCGTCATGACATTCGCGTGACCATGGAACATACCTGAGAAGTGAAGAGAGAAAACAAACGCATAAGCGCGACTGTGCTGCTACGAGTCACAGAATATATGGGATAAAAAGAAGAGGGTTTAGTTAGACATGGGTCAATTGACCGAGAGCTGTTGAGTTGCTTGGAGTTGGAGGTGAATCTGGGGTGAGTCAAAGAAGAAGAGAAGAAAAAGAGGGAAAAAAGACTAAAAGAGGGAAGAAAAAAGGAAGACCGGAAAAAAGTGCGATTTCGGCCCGGTCGGTGAGCACGTGCCCACGACTCACCGACTTTAGGGGCGGAGCCAATCAGAAGATGCGGATTTACGGCGCCGCTATCGGAAGTAAAAATCGTGGTTGACAGATCAGTTTGACAATCGCCAATCGATATGATAGCGAGCGATATTATTGGGCATTATTGGATACGAACAGTCAATATCATCGCCTCCTGCATCTTGCCAGCTACATAGTAGTATCCAGCACAATAATGCAGGGGTTGAGCATCCTGGACCACGGCGGGCTTGTTGTAACCCGCCTCCACTTCCCAGTCGATCTTCCAGCTATGAGCTCACCGCGTCTCCAGCCTCCCTCACTATTGGATTCTATGAATAATGATAATTCATTTGGGAAAATGCTGGAAACTGGGCAAGAAAATAGTATGTGGAGTTGGACTCCATCGTTGTATCTAGAAGAACTGGGAAGTGATGGTTGCAGATTCCAGGAAGAATCATGTCTTGCTTTATCTGCTTGCGTCTGTCGGAATATTTCATACGCCTGAAAGGCTTCATTTCGGCGATCTATCCAAATGCCCGACTGAAATATCCCGGGCCACAGCATGGGAATATCTCTTTCTCATTGCCTGTCTGGGTTACACCATCTAGAGCAACATCGGTAGATTTATCCTCTCCCCCATGGCTTCGGCGATTTTGTCTGGGCGTATATGAAGGAAGAATGTAGACAGTAGTCTTATGGAGATGGAGGTTCTCATCAACAGAATTCGATCAATACTGTAGCACTCACCACTCATCAAGTCCTCATGGTTGCCTCTCGATATCTTCTCCAGGCTCTAGTGGCCTTGGCCCTTCCAGCGGCTACCATCGGCCGGGCGTTCTTCCCGTTTCAACAGATGCAAATGCACCATCAACAGTCTCAAATCCCACTGGAAGATCCAGGGTGTGATGGTTCTGGTCTCGTCGATCCAGATGGCCGCTGCAATGGCAATGGGATCATCGACAACCCTACAGACCCAAAGGATAGAGAAGGATTCCGCTTCGAGAACCCCTCGACCAACTGCAAATATGTCTCCCAGATGCACATCTGGGACTCGTTCAAGGATCTGGAGAAGGATATGAACAAGTTATTCACGCTGATCCATAAGAATGTCAGCTTCACAGTTGTTGGCCATCATCCCATCGCTGGGCACTACCATGACTTGATGCATTTCTATGTCAACGCCCTTCGTCGAGTCAGCGTATTGTTTTATGACCATGCGGAAAAGTTTGAAATCCATCCCCAGGCTATCCACGGAGGGTGTAATGAGCGGTGGTCTGTTCAGGAAGTCCAGTTTAAAGGAATCATGAACTCAGGTAAGAGTACCTCGGTAATTCGATGGAACAAGCTGACAAGGGGATTACCTCTCTAGGCGATCCATTTGACATTGTCAACGTCTGGGTTACCCGATGGTACGAAGGGCAGATGGTAGAGATTCGAACGTATATCGATGCAGCACGAATCATGGAAGCACTGCACAAGAATGAAATCTGGTGGAACGGAACTACTTTCCGAGACAATCTGCAGTATATGCCCGGTCCTGCTGGTATGCCGGATCTGAAGCAATTGGAGGATCTGATGGGTTATCCAGATGGCCGCAAGTATGAAGACTGAGGGACTTGTTCACCGTAGGGATTGGAATTAGCAGTGGATGGTAGGCAATTGGGAATTTGACGCTGTGGGAGGACCAACTGCTGTTATCTCGGATACAAAAGTCAGGGGCAATGAACTGAATAAACCGTAAACCCAATATTGCACCGAGGATAAAATCTCCCAATAATAAAAGAAGAAGGGCGAAGGACAGATGGAAGTTGATCAAAGTCAAAGTCGATCCGGTCTTTCCCCGCACATTCAATTTATTTCACATGGGGAACTTCTCGCCAACTTTCTTCTCCTTCTCCAACTTTCATCCACCATTGAAAGAACAGCCCAGATTGGAATGAAGCTATTCTCCAATTTGAATATGCTACTTTTCTAGAACACTACCATGAGTGAATCAGCAATAAGAAAACGCTCCCGGGTCGCGTGCACCTCCTGTCAATCCCGCAAGCGTAAATGCTCCGGCGATCAACCATGCACCAACTGCGCTCAATTCGGCTGCCACTGCCACTACGATTTTCAGTCGCGCAAGAAGAAAGACGTCAAACCTGGTTCATGTTCTATAGTAGCTCAATCTCCTAGTATGGCGACTGCCAGTGATTTATTCTCCAGCAACGCCACTGTCGATGAACCATGGCCCAAGAAAGAGACAACACCAACTGACGTGAGCCCCGTGCATCTCAGCTCTCTCGATGCCAATTCAGGGGCAGCATTTGTGAGACGACTAGGTCTCAAAATTGATTCTGCAAATGCCCCGCGATTACATCTTTTCGCCTGGAATGTTGGGGCTCGTATTCCCCCGCCTTCATCTCCGTTGTCCCCCGCATCGTTAACACCTGCGGCAGCACCCGTGGTGGACATCATCTCCCAGAACGAATTGAGATCTCTAGCTGCCGTGTTTTTCGAAAAGGTCGACCCGGGGTATGGCTTTATTGACCGTGACCATTTCCTCCGTCAAGTCAGTCGGAGGTGGCTACCTTCGTCTTCTGAATGTGCCCTCCCTGAAGGGCCTTACGATTCGGTTCTTTGCGGTCTTGCGTCATTCGGTTTCCTCTTCTCGCGAAGACAGGCCACAACAAAGGAACTGCAGCTGGTTGAGTCGGCACGCATCATCCTCGAACAAAACCTCATGTCCGAAACATGCTCGGTCGACCTTATTACCGGCTGGGTGCTGCGCGTCGCGTACCTGCGTATGACCGCCTCGCCGCATGCAACGTGGATGGCTAGCTGCTCCCTCATGCATCTCATCGAAGCAGCCGGCCTGCATCTCGAACTCCCATCCGACAATGCCCTCATCCGATCCACTGAGAACAACTGCGATCCCGAGATCCGTCGACGATTATTCGGCATGGCCCGACATCTCAACGTCTGGGTTTCCTTTGAACTAGGCCGGTCCCGTGTCGTCCTTCATGGGGCCACCTCTCTCCCTCCCACTCCTAGACCGAACGGATACATGACGGAGATCTTCAATCTCCTCCCAGTATCAGAAAGCCTAGACCCGAACAGGACGCAGGATGCCCAAGGTCTAGAAACCGCTCTGTCAGACGTGATCGACGCCGTCTATATCCAGCCACCTTTAATTCTAGCGCAGTGCAATCTCATGCTCACCATTTATCGTCGTCTGCGCGCCCTGAACTCCACCGTTTCAGGTAAATTACTCGATCGTGCCCTTGCTCTGATCGGAAAGGCTCTCCGCGCCACGCACGAGATGATCGCCACAAACAGCCCCTGGCATCAGATCGCCAATGTGCCGTTTCAAATAATCTGTACTCTGTTGTCCATTGATAATCGTGCATCATTGGTGCTGCTGGGCGATGCGATGCAGGCACTAGGCGAGGTCACCGCTGCATACGATACCGATGTAATGAGAGAAGCCTATAGCACGGCCTACCTGCTTATTTTACTACATCAAAGACGCAAGGAGCAAGACACACAGGTACTTGGGGACGTACTGCGCGTGAACTCCGCTGCGTCCGTACCGCATGCTGACCCTGGCGCATCAACTACAACACAATCCGATGCTCTCCCGGACTCTGCCGAGTTTTCTTGGTTGGGAGAGCTGATGATTGACATGCCTAGTCTTCAAAATTTCGATATCGAACAGTTCCTAATGACGGATGTTCCGTGGCCGTTTCCAGAGACTGGGATTTGAAAAGTTCTCTTGTCTATATATGATTTACGAAAGTGCAATTTACATTAAGGACGCCTCATGATAACCTGGTTATATCTTAAAGAAAAAAGCAATGTCGACAGTGTATATGCTTTGTGTCGATTATTTATCCTTGCCTTGCTTGTCTTTCTTCTGGGCACCTGTCCCAGAAGACCGCGCCACCAAGCCGAGTTTCCACAACACCCACAGCGATCCAAGCACAATGACAGCCACAGTGCCCAGCTCGATCACTCTCCCATGGAAGAGGCCACCGTCGTTCAATGGAAGAACAGGCACATCCAACTCCTCCACCAGTCTGGATTGAGATGCAGCATCTCCACTTGGCGCAGGGTGTAATTGATAGAACATGGTGCGAGGGCCAAAAAGACCCACCCATCCAAGATTCACTCTATCAAAGGGATTGATACTCATCTTGGTTCCTTCTTCAGCCGTACAGGCCCAGAAGACGACCGGCCATGGTACTTCGGCTGTACGGTACCCAGACTCGGAGGGCGGCAGGTATCGTAAATGAAGGGGAACCGTGACGTTCCAGTTATCTGTGCCTTGATCAGACTCGGAAGGACTGGCCACTTCGAGTAGCCAGTTGGAGCCCCATTGGGGCACGACCCAATCTGGTGCCTCAAGATCTGTCTCCCCTGATACTGCACGGAGAGCGACAAGGTTGTGCGATTGTAAGAACAGCTGGTCTGATGTAGAAAGCTGATACTTGTCGCCGAAGATAGAAGAAGGAAGAGTGAGATAGGTGTGAAGCGCGCAGGTCGCATCCTCCGGTGCGGGTGGAGGCTTCAGCGACGACCTTGGCATGGATATGGTCATAGTCGGGTGTAACCCAGCCGGAGAGGGGAAAGAAACAGTATAAACCGCATCATCAGGAAGAGGGTGGTGTCGTGACGGAAATGAAAATAGAGTGGGACCTGTACACCCACATCAGCATCAGCATGGTCAAACAGAACAATATATACCCAATTGAGACGTACTCAGCTTCTCATCACTCCCTACAACCCCCAACAGTCCACCCATTTTGATCTCCTCCAGATCATGCGACCTCTCAGCCCCCAAGAGACCAACCTCCACTTTATCTGCACCTGCATCATCCTTTCCAATCTTCTCTGTCCATCCCTTCTCGGGTACTTTCGACCAAAGCCCAGATACCGTCAAAGCATGGGAGATACTATCGTAGTTGATATCAATCGAGTCGGCAGACAATATCGAAGCACCCTGATTCTGACACCCTTCATCCGATCGACCACAAATCGTCTGCTGAATAAACTTCACAAGAGTATCCGGCGAAGGAAGAAGCGAATGGAACTGAAAAGAGGCGGTGGAAGCGAATCGCGTCGAGAGGATAGGGGGAGTCGTAAACGAAACCTACATCCCATCAGAACAACAGCCCATCCACAATGCAAGCATAAAATAAACGCAAAAGAAATCAGACCAACGAACCTCAGGACTAGAACAATCCACTTCCTCCCCAAAAACCTTCTTTAACAACGGACACAAAGCTTCCCTATAGATAAACACTCAGCAATTAGTCCACGCTTACACATCCCAGCCAGATAATAGCTTACGTCGGTTGATGAGGAGTACCCGGTGTAAAGAACACATGTAGACCGGGCGAGACGCGACTCGAGAAAGGGGCGATGGTGTCATAAGGTCGTTCCGTGGCCCATCGGATATGGAGCTGGTGGCATTCTTTCAAGACCTGCGAGAGCTGGGCAAAGTTAGTATATATTTACATATATAGCATTAATCAATTTATTCATCCAGCTCTAGACGATAAAAAGGTGAAAATCGGGTTTTGAAATAGCTCTTACCTCTGATGGAAGCTCCTCAAAGCTGAAAGTGGCCCGTTCCTCACGGACGGCATCTAGGTTGGTGACAGAGAGGGCGTCGGGGGTTAAGGCGGCTTGATCCTGCTCAAAGGGAGCTTCGGAGCGCTGGACAAAAGTGATTCTTCGGCGCATATTGATAGGATTATGGTTTGATTGCTTTCAGTCAGGACTGGTGATGGAGATGGGGGAGTTGATGAGCTCGACGTTTCTCCGCATCGTTGACCGCACCGCGGGTTACCGAATTAGGTTAGTTTGACTGATAAGGTCACAAGCTGATAAGAGTCATTTGACGGAATCATTATGATTATGACGACGATGAGGATATTCAGATTCAAATATATTTATACTACCTACGAGTATATAGTATTCCGTAGACAACAGTTTTCCTTTCCATTGCATCCAATCATTTAGACTGTAATGTAGGATGAATGATCAAACCCCACCAACACACGCTCACCATCAAACGCCAGAAAATGCTAAGACATTAAACCATCATTAAAAAAACAGCAGGATATCATGAACGCAAGTCAAAGAAAATTTCATGGTAAGACATCCCGGAGCACCTCCTTCTGGGAGGCACTCAAGTTGTTAGGGAATCTAACGTTGATCCGAACGAGGAGGTCGCCTCGTTCGCTCGGCTTCTTGGATATCGTCATGCCCAGACCAGGGAATCGCTCCTCGTGGCCGGGCTGCGTGGGGCCCGGTTTGGATACTCGGATAGACTTGCCGTCGATCGTTCGGACGATGCGATCCCATCCGGTGAGAGCTTCTCTGAGGCTGATCTCGACGGTTGTGATGAGGTTGTCTCCTTGGCGTTTGAAGTTGGGGTGGTCTTTCTATTGGGCACAGTTAGCAACTTGATCAATGATACACCCGGTAATTTGTTAGAAACTTACCTCAGTGACGATCAAATGAACATCTTGTCTTCCTCCTTCTTCTTGATCTCCAACTCCTCTGTACTTAATCTTGGAGCCGGTCCGCAGTCCCGGCTTAATGTTTGCTTCTAATGTAACTTCTTGCACGGTGCGTTTACCGCTGGCATCGAATGCCTTGCTCTTCGTTGTAACCTTCTTGCTCGTTCCACGGAAGAGTTCCTCTAGCGTCAACGGCAACTCCTTCTCCATGACCGTAGGCTCAGGCGTGGGTGCACGACGGGCCTGCTGGAAACCAGGACCTCCGCGGCTTGATCTAAAGCCACGACCACCGCCGCCGCCGAGGCCACCGCCCAACATCGAGAAGAGATCATCATCATCCATTCCCATTCCGCCGCCGCCCTTGGCGAAGTTTCGGAAAATATCATCGGCGGAACTGAAGCGGAAGCCTGAGCCACCACCTCCGCCAGGGCCAGTGGAGAAGTGGAACGTCCGGGCACCACCACCTCCGCCGCCACCAGGCATTCCTCCAAACGAGAATCCGCCAGGCATTCCACCTTCGAAGGGAGATGGTCCAGCACCGCCGCCGCCGCCTCCAGGAGGCGAGGGAGCAGGACCCCCGCGCATCATGTAGTCGAGACCGAATTGATCATAAACCTTGCGTTTTTCAGGGTCCGAGAGCACTTCATAGGCCTGTGAAACTTCTATGGGAGAAGTCAGCAAATGCATACAACAGAAATTAAAGTAATAACGAAAAAGAAAGTATGACACATACCCTTGAATCTCTCTGCCGCGGTGGGGTCATCCTTATTCTTGTCGGGATGATACTTCAATGCGGCTTTTCGGTAGGCCTTCTTGATTTCGTCTTGCGGGGCATCTGGCCTGACGCTCAAAGAATCGTACAATTTTGTTTCGACGGGCATTGTGGAAAGGTGTGTAGGTTAAGGTATGAGTGTATGGAAATGTTGTCTGACAACCAGTACCAGAACAACTCTCTTTCAAAGAGTCCAATCAAGGAAATATCGCAATGAAGTCAATCGTTTAAGTTAACCCGGCCGGGGTCCGTAGCTGAGGTGGAGAGAAAGAGGTCAAATCCGAAATCTCGAATGACGTAGAAGATTCGAGGACAAGAGAAGCGGGTAGATAAAAAAAAAGGTGAAGAGATGGGATTCAATTGAGAAAGGGTCGAGAGGTGCTGAAATAAGAATGCAGAAGATAAAAAAAAATTTGACCTAGTCAAAAAACCTGCGTGTCAGAAATACCGGCGAACGAAGTTGGTGGCAGACGATGATCCCATGCCTGAGGTGACGACAAGCAAAAGCCGGCTAGCTGAGCCCAGAGGTGACGTGTGACGTTGTGTTGGAGCCCACGGCGAATGGAAAGTTCGAGAAGGTTCTATGAGTGTTTTCTCTGCGGTAGACGGGCGATGAGGAAAGAGCAATTATATATAGGCTGATCTGAGGAGCAAGGCAAGAATGCAGGGGTAGTGAGGCTTTTATTTTGCGACTTGGCTGGTATTTTGGCAACGAACGTCGCTGTCAGAGAGTGGAAGCATCACCAGTTCATTCGGCGACTTGCCTAATGCGGGGTAGTCCCGCCCCACCGCTGCCTACGGGTCACATGACAGCGTTGTTCAGATTACTTAAGGGCTTGCATTCAGTTATGAACACGATCGAGATCTTTCTAGATTTTTACACATAGGCTTGTTACTATGTAATTATGACGATTTCCCATCGACAACAATCCAGTCCTTGATTAGTGCAGTTCCATTGGTCACACTCTTGATCTGGTCATCGGTACACTGTGACCCCAGGGAGAGGATATAGCAGGTCGGCGCAGGGCTGTCGGGCACTTCATTCTTAAACTGCCACGTCGAGGACGGCCCTTCAGTCGAATAGGTGCTGTTCTTCACGGTAGACACCTTACCCGTCGCGATGTCCCTATTAAACAAGGCACGGTGGAAGATCTCATACGCCGTCTCGGGCTGGTACGCAGGCACCTCATGGCCCGCTTCGTAAACGCGAGTGAACGAGAAGTTTCCGTACTGGCGCACTTGACCTCCAACGTAGGACGCGTTGGTTTGCAGCGGAGTATAGCCAGCAGAGCGGAATTTCTCTGACTCTGCGTATTTCACCTTCAGACTGACCTCCTCGCCTCCATTCCAGGGACAGGCGTAGTCCCGATCACCGTAGACCAGGGCCACCTTGATCCCGGAATCGAGAATGTATCCGATATCTTCCAGGTACCCACGCACGTCGGACCTTGGATAGTCACCCGTTTCTGAGAATACGCTATTTGCAGCCAAGGAGGCCTCGGTGAAGTTGACCGGAACTCCCAGTGCCGCCTGGACCCAGTGCTGGTTCAGGAAACCGGAAAAGAACGGTGGCGGGAAAGGGTCCGGGTTAAAGTGAGCGATATCGTAGTAACCTCGCCCGGAGAATTCTGGGTACGGGCCTTCCACATACTGGTTGCAAAAGTCACTCGCAACCTCGCAGACTTTGTTGACTGTTGCATTGTTGCCGTACATATGAGGATCGCCTTCCGCTGCCAGGGCGCGGCAGTTCTTGATCTGGTCCTTACAACCACCCGGTCGACTCCAGCTCTTCATCGCAGCCTCAAAGATAGTCTCGTTGATAGCTTCAATCCCATACGTATTGTTATACGCAATCTGGGGATAAGACGGCGCCTGAACCAAGAGATCCACGCAGCCATTGATAATCCCCAAAGTGTCGAGATGAATATAGTTCACATCCCCATCCTTGCCAAGAGACCCATTGACAATCTTCTCATTCTGCTCCTGAAAGAAAGCAGTAAAAGACGGTCCATACCGTCCGCCATAAGACTCAGTCCAGATACTCACCCGGTCATCATGAGGCTTATACTCGGGAAACTCAGAGAACCAAGTCTGCGCAAAATGCCATAACGATCTCGCCGAGTTCTGCGTACTATTCGCCGTCGCCCTGGTATCCTGACTCGACGCCGTACCCACATAGAACGTATTATTTTGCTCCGGCACAGCACCACCGTCGAATCCAGCCACGCTCCAGTTCCCCGTTAACTGGTCATATGTGACATTCGTCAGGACGTCGTAGCTGAATCCGACCTGGTTCGGCTGGTCAATATACAGCATGTTGACGTAGTTGTTCCACGACCACGGGTTCAGTTCCGTGGTGTTCGAATCGCCGTTTACTCGACACGGGCCGGATTCCTGTAACGCCCCGATCATCGAGGAACTGCCCGGTCCGCCGTTCATCCATATCGACAACGGTGCATTGCGGGGGTCGTTTCGGGACTCGAAAAACCAGAAGAAGGTATTAATGGGATATGGCTGGTCGACGTCGACATCGTTCAGTGTACCGGGCGGCAGATGCACATAGCCCGAATACGACTTGACGCCTGGTGTCGTTTCACAGATTTCTGGCTGAGAAAGGCCAAGTCAGTATATCAATTATGTATATATATATATATATATACGTAAATTGTCAAAGAAAGAAAGACATACATCTTTGTAGGAAATTTTTACACCTTTATGATGCTTCGAATCAACCACCTTTAACCCTTCAGGCGTGGGAGGGAAATACTGTCCAGCAACAGTCCCCGCAAGACCAGCTGCAGTGACCAGAATCGGCGCAAGGGAAGACACCATCATCAATCGTGACCAGTCCAGCAGTAGGACAGAGAGAGTGTGTGGGAGTGAGTCAGGATTTCAGGGTTTCAGGAGGGGTTAGGCTGCTATTTAAATATGGGCGGAGTTAGCCTCGACAGAAGTTGGAGAAGCAGTCGATCGACATGGCCCATGCAACGAACTGCGGAGAGACAAAGAGGCGTTGATAAGGGCCCTTGATTTGTTGGCCGATCACCTCATTTTAGCCTGGCAGGACTCAACAAAGGGACCTTGGAGACTTTGTCCGAAAGCAGTAGTCAATTGAAGATGGTTTAATAAATGCACGATTTGGTGCACTGCTGCAATGATATCAGATGCGGTGGCACAAGCATAGAAGAATAATTGCCTCGGATGTACAGATTGCGGAGCCCATCGGACAGCCGCTGTAACGTCGATCATCTTCTAGCGGTGATCACATCACTCTAAAAAATATGCTTGTACAATGAAATTTAATTGAATTGATGACATTAAGCTCAACCTGTGAGTACCTTATACTTTTCCTATCTAAAAATGCCAAAGGCAGAGCCACGACCGCTAAGAAACCAACTCCCGCTTGGATCCCATAAGCAATGCAAGCCCAGCCACCTGTATACCCCAGTACTCCATAAACAGAAAACATACAAAGAAAGACGAAACAGTAGAAATAAAACAGCCAACACAGCAGAAACAGGAACCTGATCAGCTCATATGAACATGGAACAGGTATCTCTGCCGGATCTGAGCAACATCATACGCGATATACTCGTTATACTGCAAGCACGCTGCGTTGTAGCTCAGGAATCCAGATGACACATCGGGCATCTTCACACCTTGCAGATTTTCGTGAAGACAGCCAGCATCCTTCCAGCCTCCGGGTCTAGTCCGACCTTGGCCGAGTGTTGCAATCTTGCCTTGCTTCAGGGCATTTTCACAGGCCTTATAGTCAGCATCATACAACTCCAGCATGGGATCTCCAAGTTCGGCGTCACAAAGAAGAAGTAATCCCATGTTGGCACTGTTGTAGGCATTGCAGTAGTTTGCAGATTTGCTCGACGCATCGGCCAAGTACACACCCTTTCCGAACATATATCCATTAACAGGTGCTTCAGGTGGCGCAATACGAAGACCTTGGCTCAGAATACCACCAAAGTTGGTACTGCGAGATCCGTGCCACAGCAGCCGACGGTCGCTGTTCTTGATATTTGCGTACTTCGATTGCTCGAATCGTTCATTTTCGCCCTGGCGCTCAATTCTGAATATATTGATGACCTATACGAGTCAGTGCACGATATTCGGATATGCCAAAGTGGAACTCACGCTGTAGCGAATCCTATGCGTCGAACCACGCGTCTGAGACAGGTACTGCTCAAGCTCTTTGAATTCGGCAGACTTGTGATCCACTGCTTATAATTAGCTTTCTCCAGGGTGTCATATGAAACAATGAAAACTTACATGGTGTCATTTCGTTCATTCCAAGTCCCTGGAATTGACGGTCCAGCATGTGGATTTCATCGGCATCCTTGGAATCATTCATGATTTCATTGGCCACGTCCATGTCCGTCAGAGCTTCAAGAAGATCGACTTCCTTCTTGATCTGGGCCTCACTGCTAAGAACTGGGGGACGATTGCGGCCAAATACGTGAGGAATTGTGGTGAAATAACGGTTGCTAAGTTCCTCTGCAGCAGCGTTAAAAGTGGTTCCCCATCTCGAAGATGCCAGAGTTGGCGAAGAAACAAGTTCGGACAGATCCTTTAGAACCCTGAAGCCATCCTCAAGAGTCCTTTTGCTCAGCTTTCCAAGAGGCAGCTTCTGAGCATCGTAGGACATAGAAGCCATGGTGGAGAGGAAATGATCCTGGTTGAAAATGAAGGTCATGAGCGTTTGGGTTGCTTCGGGCAAAAGACTTTCGACCTGTTTCTTTTCCTTCTTGGCCACTTGCTTCGTGTCCGCATCTTCATCTTCGTCGTCGTCCTCGTAGTTGCGCTCGATGAATGTGTATTTTCCATTCTTTGGGGTATCGGTCCGGTTTTCCCACTTGAGGCCTGACTTGTCCTTGAACTTCTTCTCAAAGTCTGCCATTGCTTTCTTCAGAGTGCCATCACCCAGATGCGCCCACTGACCAGTCTCTCCGACTCGGCCCCAGCGAGTCCAAGTGTAGTATTCAGTCGCATTCCTACCGGCCAGCAGCTGGATACGATAGAACTTGTTGGCGTTGTTAGACGCGACGGTTTGGTTCAACGTGGCATCCCAGATCAGGCCCGAATCATCAATATGCACCGCAGGGTCTATCATGGTGCATGTTAGCTTCGCATAAAGGTAGTCGGATATATCTCCATGATTTACCTGAAAAATGGGCTTCACAGAAGCAGTAAGATTCATCGACAGGAACCTTCAATGACTTGGAGCTAGCCTTCTGCGCACTCTTTGGCTTCTTTTCGGAAGTATTCCCACTGCCACTTGGCTGCGGCGAGGCACGCTTTTTCGTCTCAACCTTGTCAGCAGCACCATTCTGCTTGTTATCCTGTCGGGTAGCACGCTTCTTCTTCTCGGGCTTGTCCGCAATACCATTGACAGCATCCTGCTTCGGGGCAGCTTGAGCCGATACAAAAAGATAACTCTTCTCCGGCAACGGTTTCTTCGCCTTATCCGACTCAAGAAGCCAATCAATCGAGACAATTTGGCAGCTGCTGCAGCTAGACGCTTGTTGATCTGGAAACCGCATAAGCCAATTGCTCCACTGTATATCAAATATCAATCTAGCAATCGCAACTCACACTTGATGCTTTGCTTCTCAACTTCCTTCTGGGTAGTTATCAGATGGGTGCAGTCTTCCGCAACGGTAGCACTAAACGTCGCGCCATGGCTTTCTACCATTGATTTCAATTGCGCTGAACAATTGAGGAAAACCGGGTCAGTTTCAATGAGGTATATGGAGGACACTAGGGGAGTTCTTACCTTGCTTGTAGCCGGGGAAAGTCCCGCTCACCGCGACGATGAGCTTCTTGAAAGATCTGGGAGCCATTGCGCAGAAAATCAAATGCAATTGTAGCAGTAATCAATTAGAAAATAGGGGAATCAGATGAGATATAAGAAAAGGCAAGCGAATACGAGCGATAAACAAAAGCAGAGACGCTGGGCCTGAACGCCGATACTAGTAAATGCGCGGAATAAAGTCGAAACAATTCCAAAGCAAAAAACGATGCAATTGAAGACGAAGATGATAGAAGAAGAAAAAAAAAAAGCACGATGCAGAAGGGAAGCCCCCCTCCTTTTAAGCTGAACTCATGAGGGAACGATGAAAGCATGAAACCACGAGTAACACTGGGTCTGGGGGGGCCGATGGGCGTTGATTGCCTGATTCTGCAGGCCGCAACGGCAGCTGCTGCCTGGGTTGGGATAGGCAGAAAGAAGCTGCGGTGGGGCGATTCAGGCACCAGCACACGTGATTTGGCCCTGGATTATCTTCACCGTTCCATCTCAAAGTCAGGGGCACTGTTGAGAGAGGACTCTGTGACGTACTGACGTTCCCGAGAGGCATTGTCTCGGGATTTGAGACTTGTTTTTTTTTTTTTTTTCTTTCTTGATCCGGTGCTGATCAATTGACCTGTTTCACAGACAATGTGCCCAAGTCAGACTGTGGTACACGTCAATGTGGGCAACGAGAAAGAAATCAAGGGAAACCGACTCACTTGATCCTACAGAGTATTCAGATACTTTGTCCTGAGTGTCTCTACTATAGATAATGCGAAGTTGGAATGTGGGATCTCAAGTCTTGAATTTTACACCATAACCTAAACAACAGAGGGGAATATTGAAACCAAAAAAACACAACACTTCATGTCCGACAAGGACAAAGATCCAACGCCAATTATCCCAGCCATACGCTAAGCAGAAACACAGATCAGGGGGTATGCCCCATGTACACACAAAAGCAACAAAACCATATATCATGCAGATCAATGAATGGGGAGGAAAACGTCAGGTGAGGAATCAACATCAAGGTATACAGCTGGATGTATCCAGTAAAGGTAAGAATCGTTGCAAGAAATTAATGATGCATATATACGGGAAGAACAGAAAAGGGGGGTGTGCAGAAGAAGAATTGAGAAGATGATCAAACAGTTTGGCCTGCCAAAGGAACCTTGATCTTATGTTCGGCTGGCTTGGCTTCACTGGGAACATCTCCTGTTTTTGTAGTTGAAGATACCTCTTTCTTGGTGTTGTCCTCGAATTCGGATTGGTGAGCACTGGGCATGGTGTAGAACTCGTCTCCGTCCACATTGTGGGCGATGAGCTTGGGAGGCAGGGACTCTTCGGAAGAGATGCTTGCAGCATCGGTCTTAATGCTGAGATTGAGAGGAAGTTCCGAGAACCCGTCCAAAGCTGCGCGGCCGCTGCTCGATGCTATAGATCGGGTGTCTCCAATAACAGGCGAAGAAGGAGTGATGGGAGAAACGGGAGCCGAAGTGTGAGTGCGCTGAGGGTGTCGAGGCGGAAGAGCTGGGGGGCTTGAACGCTTGGGGATGTTGACCACGCGTGCACGAGTGAACTTGGGTGATTGGCGGCCCTCCACGGAAACAGGAGAGATATTGGCGAAACTCTCGCGTTTGGAGACGGTAGCGCTGCTGACTTCGTGAACTTCAAGGTCCACATCGTCGACAGAGTCCTTGTCGCTTTCATAATCGGCATCGACATCATCTTGGGCGTGGACGTGGTCCTGGTCATGATCGTGGCCATGGCCGTAAAGCGAAATTGAATCCCAGCGGTTGTCATCGCCATCCCACAGGCTGGGAGTGGGGTCGGTACGGCCCACCGAGATCTTGTTGCTCCTGGAGGATGCACGGCTGATGGAAGTCGGGGCTGTTGCTCCGTCGGTTTGGGTACCTCGGTCCACACTGGCATAGCTCTGTCCACTGGCACGCCAGCTGGTCCGAGGCGAACTCTCAAGACTGAGTCGCGGGAAGTTGGCAAAAATCGGGCTTCCAGAGCTGGGTCTGAATTGGAACGACTCGTGGGCTGGGGTGTTATTTGTACCTGCCTCCCGAATCATAAGACCCTGAGCTTCCAAGGCTTTGACTCCATATGGATCTGGGTCTTCGGGGTCTGGGATGCCAAAGAGACCAGTAACCGGGTGCAGCTCCATATCACCAGGTGTCGCACCGGGGGAAGGAATCAAACTCTGATCTGCATCTTTGTCACCTTGAGCGGCCTTGATGGTTTGAATGAGACCTTTGATGGATGCTGGAGGATTCCGCGCTTTCCCGGCGAGGATGTCGCCAACGGGGATGCGCTCGCCATAGAACCGTTCGTTCTCATCGGTACGCTCGATGATGATAGTTCCATCCACTTGGACACCCGCATACAACCCCCTGCTTTTCATGTAGGTCCAGATGGGAGCCTGTCGCTTGTGAATCTCCGACTCCAACACTCCTCCTACCCCGACCGGACCAGCGGATGCACTGACTTCACCACCCAGGGTGCAGCGCACTTTCTTGAACGCTTCCAAAGCTTCATAAGTATTGATGACAACGACACAGTCGTAAATATCGACACCGGCCAGGAAACCCACGCCGGCGGTATGGAGCATAATGCCCGAAGGGGGACTCCATTCGCCCGTCTCAGGTATGCGCGCCATGAGGACACCACTACCACCCGAACCACTCAGCCACAGACCAGTGCGCATTGTGGTGAAGATGGCGATGCCCTTTGCGCGCTGGATCACTTTGCTGGGGATCTTTTGAATAACCCGTTGCTTGCCTTTGGGGCGATCGATTTTGCCGTTGGACCCCTTGACGGGTTCATCATCATTTGCGTAAAAGCCATCGTTGCAGAAACTGCGCAATATCCGAGCAGCTTTTTCGTTTTCCTTTTCTAGTTCCATGGGCCAAAAGGCTTCAGCGCCAAGACGATATGACAGACGGTTGACCGGAGCTCCGAGCTTGTCAAAAGCAGACCAAGCCTTGTCGAATCCCTTCTTGGAATAGCCTTTGGTCTTTTCCCATGATTGCGAAGGCATTGTGACGGTGGCCGTCCCGTTGCCAGGTCTAGAAAAAGACGGTCAAGACAGAGAGAGAAGACAGGACCTAGTCCTGTAGTGGAAAGATGGGGAAGATGGCGGATCTATAACGAAAGTTGCAGAGCCAGGAACGATTGGGAGGATGCGACGAGAACGGCCAACATATGTTGCAGTGAAACTTTTTCCCAATGCGACGAGGAATGCCAGGCCGAGAGAGTGAAGAAGACGGAACTGAGGAATGCTGTACGATGGAACAACGCAAGAATGCTACCAGAAGCTCAAAGTTAGAAAGAGGAACAAGGGCTTTTTGACGAAATACATAGAAATGATATATAAAAAAGAAAACCGGAACCAGCCCGGATAAAGAATCGAGGGGAGTGGCAATTCAAATAGAGAAAACACGAGAAAGAGAGGGGCGAGACCATGGATCGGGGGAGGAGCAGTAACTTACATGGTGGAGAGGAACGGTTAACCCGGAGCGGTTCTAGACTCTTGGTAGGAGAGGATGACGAAAATGACGAAGAGGAGAGGGAAAAATCCAGAAGAGACTGAGATCAGGCTGAAGAGTTCAGGATGAAACTGGATGGGAGAGGAAGGAGAGAGATGAAACGGAAGATCTGGGAAAAGAAAGAAAGGCGTGGATGCAAAGGGAGGAGAGGGACACATTTATTGAAGGCAAAAGAAGGGAGAGAGCGTGACGGGACGAATCCGAATCCCGGGCAATGAATTAGGTGCATCGCAGGAGAGAAAGAGGAGAATAAAGAGGAACCAAATAGTCAGACGGATTGATTTGTTCGTTCTTTTCAGGACGGCTGGAAACGCATGGAGTTGGTTCGTGGCTGGAGATGCAGACGAAGCAAAAGTGACGACATCATCAGATCGATCGTCCTACCATACTACTCCATCCTTTGTTCTTCTATGCTTTTTCTTTCTTGTTCTTCCATTTCTTCTATTCCTTTCTCATTCTCTTCTATTATACTCATCTCATCTCTTTATTTTCTCTCTTTTCCTCTCTACAATAACATTGTACTCTAATCTGTAACAGCCCTCATCAAAGGAACCAAAAATCCACCCGCCCAAAATCAAATACAGCCAGAAATTAATTAAACCAAGTCAAGTAACCGAGAAAAAAAAAAAATAAAATAAAAAAGATGATAGAGAATACAGAACACTCCAAAAAGAAACAGATAAAAAAAAGAAAACCAACCAACAGATTTAACGACTCTCTCCCTGCCGTAGAGAATATGACAGCTCCAACGCGGATATGCAAGATGGATGCATCGCCTTTCTTCCCCCCCTTCACTAACTACTGCACCAGCCATTTCCTGTTTCTCTCTCCCTCATCCCTATTTTGATTTTTTTTTTTTTTTTTTTTTTTTTTCGAATTTCGCATCTCTGTTTCATGTTCATACATCTCACAAACTTCCATTCTCCATTTTTCTTTCCTGATAGATCCGATGCAGTAGTCGCGTCGATAGTGTCGGTAAATCTCTCCTCGAACTGGACTGATAGTCCTACAATGTGTCCTGTATACAGGAATCTATCTATTCATCTATGTACATATCAATGAATCGAATCGATTTCGTGGTTCGTGCTTCACCACGGACTGCTTTGGCGTCGGAGAGTTGTAACTGTCGATGTTGCTGTCAATGTAGGTACCCATTGCAGTTTACCTCTACATCCATCCACAATATCTGCCTACATACTGCTGTATGCACCATGCCCATCCTCATAAGAACTATGGGTCACCGTTCCCACCCCCTTGTATGGGCTGTGCTGAGTGGATACAGCATCATCTGGCAGATATTTCTGGGATGGTTACCAGTTCCTGGAAGATGCACGATCGATGGATCAAGCTTCGAGTCCAATCCATGCCAGCCTCTGTTGTATTGTCGTTCTTCAGCTCGGCTCATTCATCCCTGGATCCATTCTTATCGTTGATGACGGTGAGTCAGTCGTATGTAGATTCTTCTATGAATACTTGAAACAGCTGACGACTAGACTCCTTATTGCCATTGCCTTTGGATGCCTCTTTTTGGATACCTTAAGACTCTTAGGTTGCAGTAGTTAGCTAGTCTGTATGTCTATCGTCTAGAGCAGGTGACTTTCTCACCATGTACTGTCCTCTCCACTGCAGTAGTGATCCCAACTAGCCAGGATACGAAGCATCGTACATACATGAAGTCAAGGGAGCAACCTTGACCACTGCATGCATAGGAGAATATACACGGTAACCAGATCGTCAATCGAAGCATTTCCCATCTGACCTGTTTGATTTTCAACATCGCCCATCCCTACAAGTTCGCTTCTCAGCTTCACATCCCCAACTAGTATCTACTATCTAGTCATGCACGCCATCCTTCCATTCCCTTGGATCTCTCATATTCCACTACTGTAGGTACGGCTCGTATCCCATCTCTCAGATAGTTCTTTTCCTTCCATCGTAAGGTTTGGGTTTTGTTCTTGTCTTTCCACGAGAACCGCTGGGAGCGCCCATCCCGTGTCTTCGGTTCGCAGATATCCTGGCACCTGTCACTTTTTTGACTCCGACTACTCCATATCTCGCTAGACTATGCGCAACTATGCACAGAGTACTCCGTAGTTCGTCTAGATAGTATGGATTTCTTGATCCTTGGTTTCGTGCCGTCCCGTGTGTTCCCGCCGGGTACTAGTTCCAATGATGCTTCATTTGCTATACACCTCATGTCGAACAATAATTTATAAGTGCCAGTTAGAAGAAAAAAAAGTAAACATACATTAGTCAATAATGCTATCTCACAGAGCTCCAAGTTCCTTGAGCTTGGAGATCAGGCCGTCCACATCCTCGACCTTGCCGCCACCTTGTCGCGCTGGGGGTTCTGTGACCAGTTAGATGGATCGTCAAGATAGTCAAAAGATGGTCGGGTATACTCACCAGTCACCTTGAGCGTCTTCAACCGTTTCTGGTCCTCCACGCCATAGTCGGCCAATGTCTTCTTCTCCAATGGCTTCTTCTTCGCCTTCATAATGTTCGGCAAGCTCGCGTACCGCGGCTCGTTCAATCGCAGATCCGTCGTGATCACCATGGGCAGCTGGGTCCGGAGCGTCTCAACTCCTCCATCCACCTCATGGGTGATCTCCACCGTGCCCTTGTCATCCTTGATATCCACCTTACTGGCCTGCGTCGCCTGTGGCCACCCCAAAAGTCCCGCAAGCATCTGACCCGTCTGGCCCTGGTCGCCATCAATCGCCTGCTTTCCAAGCAACACCAGGTTGATGTTCTCCTTCTGCACAACACCCTTGAGCATCTTGGCCATGGTCAGCGGTTCCAGGCCGCCGTCGTTGGAGTCCGGCACGTCGACGTGGAAGGCCCGGTCCGCGCCCATCGCCATGGCCGTACGGAGGGTGTCGCCACATTTAGCACCGCCCGCGGAGAGCGCCAGGATGTTTTCCACCTTTAAAGGACCTTTGCGCTCGCGGAGACGCACCGCCTCCTCCACGGAGAGCTCATCGAAGGGGTTCAGCGAGTGCTTGACGCCAGCCGTCTCGACGCCCGTCTGGGCCTTGTTGATTCTTGGTTTGATCTTGACGGCACCCACAATCCATTAGTCAAAAACCATTGCCTTCTATCCAGCGAAAGAGCCATGGTTATGAGCTCATTATATAGAGGTCGCCCTTGCGTAGACAGGGTGGGTGGGTGAACTCCTCGCCGACTACGGAGCACAGAGCACGAGGACAAAACTCACCGCATAGTCGATCACCCTCTTAACGGGGACCAAGATCCGCAATCCGCTGGCCATGATGATGGTAGGATTATGAAAATAGCAAAAACTCTCACTGACAATAAATCAATGGAGTTACGAACGGGTGGTGGTGGTGAGAGTCACGGTAATTCAAATGAGGAGAGAGAGAAGGTGATCTGATCCCGGCGGAGAAGAAGCAGAGCTGCTGCTGGACGACAGAAAGTCCGTCGCCGATGCGGCCCGAGAAGAGCCAACCCCTTGTGGGCAGCAGATTCCCCCGCCTCCAACCGAGGTTACGTGAGGGAGCATGTAGCCTACTCTGCAAGGCGAGGAATAAATGTTGGATATTCCAGAGTATTGAGTGGGATTGGATTGGAATTGCTGGCAGATGAGAGATAGATGCTGGAACAGGTCGGGCTTTACATGGTTGCTTGGAATCACCACAATCACAAGCAAATCCAACAGCTTCACAAGATGCTCAAACTCGGATAACATCATTTTGCGGGTATTTAAATCCTTGGATCCTTGGTATCAATAGATAGATATTTCAAGTAGCAAGAAACCTCGTATAAACTGCAAGATGATCAGTTGTATAGTATATATTCACCAACACAAAGCATCATCCATACAACCGAAGCTTCCACAAGCTGTCCAGCAGCTCAATCTCTGTAATAATATCATACCCTGCCAAGACGAGCTGAAATGAATGGGAAGAACAGTACTATCTACTTCCACTTCCACTTCCACTTCAGAAAACGAATACGGCACCGGTGAGAAGCCGGAGAAATGTCCGGGCTCGGTCTCACAGTTCGTGTCGACAGTAATGCTTCAGGTGGTCTTCTTAAATTGAATAAAAATGTAGCAGTTCAATATGGTAGGGCCTCGGTAGAGTGCTTGTATCAAGTCAAACCCAGAAGATTATGTACAAGGATGTAAACCGTGAATTATCTTTAGATCCAGCAGAAATATATTCTATATATATCACCATGTTTCCTGCTTGTATCGCCCAATCTTCTCTATCCCCATCAAATATTCTTCTGCTTGTTGTCGGTTGAACTGTAGTCCTTCCACTCCTCCTCCATGCTCAAATGCTTCAATCAGTGCCTCCCGAACAGCCTGGGGCATCCTCCCAGATGAGCCGCATATGTATACCGAGCCACGTTGGCTATGCAGGAGCTGGAAGAACAAGGGAAAGTTTTGTCTAATGACGTCTTGTACATACACCTTTTGTCGCTGGTCGCGGGAAAAGGCAGTAAACACCTGCAGCTTGATAAGTTCACTCAGTCTTTGCCACTCGTCCTCGAAGAAATAGTCTGCAGTCCGATTGCGGCCACCATATATAAGGATGGTGGGCCCGATTGGTGGTTCGACTCCGGGATTCTTTTCCCGATATGCTTTAACCAGAGCCGCTTTCTCCCAGATCATAGATCGCAAGGGCGCAATTCCGGTTCCTGGACCGATAAGAACCGTCGGTCCTACTAGTTGATTCACGGACGAGTTAAGCCCTCCTCGCTGTAGCTGCACTTTCAGGGTACTTCCCGGTTGAAGAGTCGAAAGGTATCGTGTGCATACACCCTCTCTGATCTTCTTAATCACTGTTTGGTACTTGACAATGGCGATGAGCAGTTCGAATTTAGCTCCGCCATCAGCTGACCGTTTCAACTCTCCTCCACTAGCAATGCTGAATTGCCTTCCTCGAAAAATAGGAAAGACAGAGGTCGCATGTTGCCACGGAATCTTGACCGAATCGAACTCGTGTAGCACCTCCATGATGCTACGTCTCGGTCGTGTAGTATAGTCCCAGAACTCATCCAAATATATTGGGTTGGTAAATTCAAGTAAACGTTCCTTATGCATTTCATCATTCGTGTAATGCGCAATTGCCGAAAAGAATGACCGTCGGGGAATTGCCCTGAGATCCAGGTAGTCTGTAAGAAGCGCACGTAAAGTGCACTGTGGGTAAGAATTAAGATCAGAGATGGGTGGAGCAGGCATGTCGTCTATTGCCCGTTGGCTTTCGCCAGGAACTAGAGATACAAGTTGATCTGCCTGTTCCTCCCAGCCCATCCTCTCAATCAACGTTTGAACATCGTCGGCGAAGTTCTTCGGGGTGATGGAAATCATATCCCCAGGAGCATAAGAGATAGGATTGGGGACTGCTAAGGATATATGCCTCACATCCTGCCAGTGTCCTTCTGGCGTGACTCGTCTATTCTGAACGAGCTTTGCTGTCAAGCTGTCTGGAAGCGGGCGCAGATCATGGTCCAAACGATGAAGTCCCGGATATTCGTCAGTTGCTGTTTGATTCTCTAAATTCTCAGATGCAATCGACTGGGTGGACGTGTCCTGGTCTTTTCTCTGTAGAACCCATTTGGGCGGCAGTTGGACATCTTCCGGTATCGGATTTTGTTCTGGAGGAAGCGGATATTTGTCGAGCAAGTGCTTGCGGAAATCTGTCAACCATGGAACAGAGGTGCCTTCGAGTCTAATATGAATTAATATAAACGAACAGATCTTTGCAGAGAAAAGGTAACGAACCCTTCGGGGTGTTGTTGATCAGCTTCCCCGCATGGATATACCTCATTTGCGCCCAATTGGAGTAACCTCTTATGTAGCTTGCGCGAAGCCCAATTGAACCTGGCAAAGTCAGATCGAACGAATCAATATAAAAGAGCCAAAAACTCACTTTGGATACGAGCTATCTCCCAATCCAAAAGACGCAAAATTAGCACCGCTCAGATACGTGGGCGGGAGTCTTTTCAAAAGCAATGATCTCCAGAACGTCCTGGCATTGGCAGGAAAATCTCCCTGTCCAGTCGTGGAGAGGACAAATATAACGAGTGTATGAGATGCCAGAACATCCTGTACCAATAATCAATTTAATTACAGTGAAAAAAACCTCAGATCGAACCCATAACTCACCGGCTTGAAGCTATTCAATTCAGCAACATGAGTCACAAAATGCAACCGCTCAACCAGGGCGCCTAACTCCTCGGCCACCTCCTGCGAATTGCCGGTTTCTGAGCCATAGAGAACGAGAGCAGACCGTTTCTGAGGCGTCTGTGCCTGACTCTCACTCATCCTGCTGCTGCAATGCAGTTGTTGCGTGACCGGGGAGAATGTCGTGATATCGACTGCCCCTCCCCCTCTATTTCTGACTCCAAAATATTCGCCGGCGGTACGGGATGACGTCATCTTAAAAGGCCGAGATCGCATCTAGACTACGATATCAAATATGCAAGTGGCTGGAATAGTATCATACTGCTATTATATCGGCGATGTTTTAGATGGAAGATAGATACCAGAAGATGACTGCTTGAATCGCAGTCCAAGCAGTGATGTAGATTGTAGAACAAGCAGGCTATGCTAGCAATGGCTCATATATCTGCACAAATTTTATACAAGTAGAACACAATAGTAAGGGGTATCTCAAGCAAATGCTTTTTAAAAGGTCTCCTCATCACCACCACCGCCTCCGCCATCTCCAAATCCATCGTCACCGTATTCATCATCACCACCGTCAAAGTATTGCTCAGCGTTGTAGTCACCACCCATATCATCATCATCCTCGGAGAAATCGTCATCCATAATTTCCTCTTCTTGTTCCTCATCCTGATCAAGGATCTCCTCCTCATTTTCTTCTCTCTCTGCATCCTCTTCGTCTTGTCCTCCCTTCTGACGCTTGGCATCATCTTCCTCATCCTCATCATCTTCAAAGCCTCGCTTCGCCCCAATTCGTGTCGCCTGGGGAGCATAACCATCCATAGCTGCATCGGGGTTAAAGCTGGGTTGAAGAGTCTTCCATAGCTCGCGCGGGAATAGTTTCATGACTGAAAATGTACCCCGTCAGTCAAATACAGTCCCCTCCGACGCATTATACTGAATTCCATGCAAACTCACCATATTCCCGACCCTGGATCTTAGGAATTGTCCTTCTCTTCTTCTGATACTTGCCCGAGTACGTAGGCATGCCGTTGAAAGGATCGAAATGCGCACGGGCAGCGCTTCCCTTCTTCGCGGCAGAAGAGGCGGCATTTAGGACAGAGTAGTACGGGCCCTCATGGTATCTTTCCCGAAGATCTCGATAGTAGTCGACCTGTATTTGTTCTTGGGGTTTTAACAGTCTCGCGTGAGGGACGGTGTGTTTCTACGTAGAATCGTTAGTTCGCTGCGCCAGGATTGACGATGTCAATAGTCAATGGCAGTCTTTCGACAATCCATCGCAATCGTCGAAAAAAAGAGTCTCATATAACCTACAGGAAAGAGGGGTGTAGGCGCTGTGTCTGGTTCCCCGCCTGCATCCCCATCCCAGGTGAACTCTGCACCGGGAAGCTTCTTGCCCTTCTTTCCTCCGAATCGTGACATGACCAGCCAAGAAAAAGGGGAGAATTTATGAAAACAAGTTATTTAAGATAAAGAAGATTCTCCTTTTTTGCAATGAATCTTCAGACGACTGAAAACCCCCGCAGAGCAAAAGTCCCAGTGGCTCTGGCAACTTCTTGATGACACCAGAGAAAAAAGTTCCGGCGGAGGTCCGCTTCACCGCCCTGGCCGAGGTGCCGAAAGTAGAAGTACTAGGGCTGATCATAGCTAACCCTACCAGCCCTATTCTTATGAGGAATGAAGTAGAGAATGATAGATCATGAGTACTATGATGGAGCAATGACGTTATAAAATTAAATATTGAATTGAGTAGTAACACAAGAGAAAGAAAAGCCTTTCAATCCACTCGATACAATTTGCAAAGCAGCGGCAGCTCATAGTCCTACAGCCTCGACCATATTTCCTGTCTCCACGACTGCCCCCCAAGGCCCTTCATCGACTCGCTGTTTGAGTGATCGTAGGATGTCATCAAAACCCTCTACTTGGCCACCCATTTCTCTTAGGCGGTTGTGCAGGGCAACTAGAACGTCATACTTTGCAGTAGCAACCTTCCAGACGATATTTTGCGAATCTCCTGCGCCACCACCAACGAATTCAGCATATGTGCGTGGTGGTTTGAAAAGATAAGGCAACAATGAGGTCAAAGCCGGGGGTGTGAGCGCAGCCCAAACGCCTGACGAAGGAAGCAATCCTTGTGCAGCTGGAGACAGTGTTCCCAGTCCCTCTTCGGATGGAAGTTGGTATCTGGTAGTTTCGGCGACAGGTGAAATTACTTCATCTGTTAAATCATGCCAGTTTGCTGTGATGATGGCCTTCATAAATGAAATGGATGCAAGGGAGACATCCTTCATGACTAGGACATCAGCTGCAGCGACAATGTCCGTCCACAAGTTCGCATGATCATTCATATACATAAAGTAGAGAATCCGAGCTGCCGCTGCTTCTTTATGCCAGTCTGTTGGGGTGTGACCGGAGGGATTCAACTCCATAGAGTCGGCTTCCTCGTGTTTGAGGGGGCCATGGAAAAGTTTGGCCAATGTATCGAATACTTCCTTGCTCGGGGGCTTGGTAGGAAGAGTCAGCACAGGGTTCAGTCCTTGCTTACTAGCTTCGACGAGGAGCACTCGAGGCAGAGAAGAGAGAACGTTAAGTTGGCCGCTTGGTACTGGCCCATGTGCCCACCGAGAAGATGAGATATCCAGAGATCCAGCAACACGTGACAATATTTCATCCAAGAGATCCTGTGAATTTTGCATAAAATGGTTCGGGTATAGTTCGGCATACTGTGCCACGTAAGCCATGATTGGACCTGATAGGTAATTGAGATCCACAGGGTCGAGTTTCGATTCATCCAAGTAGTAATCCAATACCGTGGAATGCAGTTTGTGTGAGATGAGAAAATCCAATGCAGGGGAGGAGGACGTGGATGTTGATTGCACATGGCCTCTAGCTAGCAGACCAGGGGCATCGATCTCGAGGAGGTCGTGGAAAAAGTTCAATAGGGTCATATGCATCAGAACGTCGCTTTTATCGACCATCTGGCAAGCTGCGAAGTGTAGCAGGCTGCTGCTTTGGTACTTAGCTTCAATTTCTGGAATCTGCAAGCTTGATATCATTTCCCAGTGTAGTCTGCCTGTTTTCACCAGAAAGCCCATCAGCCTGCCCTGAGCCACGGTCTTCTCGCGTTTTGGCAGGCTCCCCGGGCCATCGTCAGTAAGGCTGCACAAGGAAAAGAGCCGCCCATAAACGTCCCTATCTGTAAAGATCCTCCTCCATACAAGACCTTGTCCACCGCCAATATCCTCATTTTCTGAAAGGTCAATCTCAAGGAGGGCCCAAAGAGTGTCCAAAGCCGCCTGAGAAACCGCAGTCTCAGATGTCGAAAGCCAGAGCTCTACAAGAGAAACAATAAGCTCCGGTTCTCCCGCAACAATAGCTGCATCGCTGGGAAGCTTCCCGGCTTTGCTTAGCAACGAGAGAGCTAGCAGGTTGATGGGTGGCGATGGCGCCTTGAACCCCGCGATTAAGTCAATAGGCGGATCGACGGATCGTAGGTCAGTGTAGGTAAGATTTGCTGTTGCTTTGATTCCCAGAGTAGTGATAGGAGTGGGATCTTCTTGAAGCACGGGGAGAAGCTGTGATATTTGCGTCAGAAGCGTTGCTGGCACAACGCGATCCGTAGTCTCTGTAAGCTCGATCTTCAGCTTGTCAAGGAGGGTGATATCCAGAGGCGTTGAAGGGTTCTGGTGGACTTGCTCAAGGTGAGACTTCACCGCATCATATGAGGCTGGAATAGTCATCTTGACGGACTTATGTCTCCAGAAACGCCCAGGTGGTTGAAAAGCTGAAGATGATGCCCGTTGAGCTCGTCGTCAACAGCGGGGAAGATAGAAGGCCTCAGGCAGAAATAGTGCAAACAGGGCAAACACTCACTGAAGCTCCGCCTCTCCTCCATCGGGGTTCGTCACAGGATGACACAAACAGCTCGCAATTAGACTTATCTACTTGCTCTCAGCTCGGTATCTTCAATATACGGTATCCGAAATGGCAGATCAGCTGGGCTCTCTCGTCTCCCAAAAGTCGTCTGATTCCGGACTCCATATTCAACTCCACCCGCTGGTTCTCCTCACTATCTCCGATCACATCACCCGCCATGCGGCACGATCTCAGCAAGGTCCAATAATCGGAGCTCTCCTGGGTGAACAGAACGGCCGTGCGATAACTCTTGAACATGCATTTGAATGTCTTGTTGAGCAAGGCTCGAATGGTGAAGCACATATACCGCAGAATTGGTTTTTAGAGCGAGTGCAACAATGTAAGAGAGGAATACGTTCAAGCGAAGCATTTTCCAAATCCGACTTGATTGCTGACAACAAGCCGTGATACAGTCAAGGATGTACACAAAGTACCTGCCCTCGATCTTGTTGGATGGTGGTCAACTGCCCCGCCATCCGGTCCAAACGCCTCTCATCTTCCGGTCCAGCGTCAAATCCTCCAGAACCACAATGAATCCGCAGTATTTCTCGCGTTTCACCCATCACAACTCCAGAAAGAATCACCCAATGGAGCCAAGCTTCCTTTGACCGTTTATGAGAGCGTTTATGAAGGGGAAAATGCCGGTGAAGGCGACAAGACCATGCAGGTGGATGGCGAAGAACAGTCACTGAACATCCGGTTTCGGGAGCTGCCATTCTCCGTTGAGACTGGTGAGGCAGAGATGATTGGAATGGACACGATTGCTAGAACTGGGAGAAACGCCGCTGCCATCGAGACACCGAGTGGGGGCGCACCGCAGCAAACATCGAAGAATAAGAAAGACCGCGGTAGCAAAGAAGAATCGTCCGCAGACTCAGACTTGCTTGCTCCTGAAGAAGAAGAACGTAAGTTGAAATCTTCTCAAAGGTTTATCTCACAGTTGATAACGATGATGTGCAGTGATCGCCAACCTGAACACGCGATTGAACGCAATCCGAACCCTTGAATCCCGGATTTCCTTAATCAAGTCATATCTCTCTAGTATATCCTCATCATCCAAAGATGAGGCTGGCCAGGGCGACTCTACAGAGCCTGCTACGCCAGCCCTATCCCACCCGACTCTCCGCAATATTAATTCCCTTATTACCCATCTCTCCCTCCTCAACCCCGAAGAACAAAGTGACTTTTCGGCCGAAATGCTGGCGCAACACAATGATGTGTTGCTAGTCTCTCTGCTTGGGCAACTAGGTCAAAGCATCAAGGGTATGCGCGAATTGGGAAAAAAGTCCGCTATTGTACAGAACGTGAGACAGAGCGCGGCATCACGCGGCAAGCAGCTCGCGATGCAGAGTCGATTCGATAGCGAGTACTTCACAGGCCGTGATGCAGCGGCTAATGGGGGGATGTACACTTGATCATGCTGGTGTTGAAGATGATAGCTTATTTACTCATTGATTTGCAACGGCGCTGGGCGTTGTCATTTTATCTAGTTAGCAATGACGATAAATGAAGACAAAGAAGATACGAAGCTGGCTTGACACTTTACTTCAATGATCCATAATCAACAAAGATCAAATGCTACTATTTACAACCAAAGCCACAGTCTGAACATAGAATACCCTCCCCCGTCCATCCAACAAATCATTCATTCCTACTCAAGCGAAGCCAGATACCGACAACCAACTCATTAGCATATAATCAACACAACACAATCCACTCATGCAAGATCCCCATAACGCACCGCAAATTAAACTCCCTCCAAGTATCCGGATCCTCCTCATCAAGATCATCATCCCCATTCGACTCCCACGCAAAAGGCTCTCGCTGCATAGCCCTTTAATCTCGCCGTCGACGCCGCCGCTCATGACGCTCTCGACGCTCTCGAAGTCGTTTCCGGTGGATGTAGTAGGCGAATGTGCTGGCGTTTTGGGTGTGGGCTGCTGCTGCGACGGCTGCTGCCATTGCGCTGATGGTGATGGTGATGTCTTTTGTGTCTTCGTCCATTTTAGGATTAGGATGGTTTTTCTTTTCTTTTCTTTTTTTTTTTTTGGTTTTTGGGTAGAGATTACAATTTAATTTTCATTTTTTAATTGACTTTTGGTAGGAGTAGGGGGCTAGGTTAATAGCCCTATTTTACTGCTTTACTGCTTTACTGCTTTACTGCTTTACTGCTTTACTGCTTTACTGCGTTACTGAGGTACAGGTCTTTGTTAAATGAAACCTTTAGATGTGAACGAAATGGAATGGTAAAAACACATCATTACCGGATTGGGATCTGTCCACCATATGGTTCTCCACATATGTACATTTCTAAATCTAATCATAAAAAAAAAAAAAAAAAAAAAAAATAGCAAGCAAAAAAAGTCATAGACAAAATCTATAAACAGCATCAAAAAATGGTGTATTTATTGTAAAGAAGATTCATGAAAAAGAAAATGCCAAAATGTCGGGTATTATAAGATGCAATGCAGCAAAAAACAAAATCAAAATGATGCGACTTCGTGGTAACATCAACAGTCAGAATTCAACGTGGCCATCCGTATCCGCATTGCTTGTCATACATGGTAACATCAGTGTCCGAATCAAATCTTCTTATCTCCGAACATGGTGATCATCGTCATAGAGCGGTGGTGGCTGATACGATTCGGGCATGGGAATGGGCACCTGCTCCTGCAGCGAATGCGTTGGATAGACAACACCGGTTTCTTGCGCGTGGGGTTGGTCCAAATCGTGATGATGCATGTCATCACCGTGGTCAGATGGCACCAGGTAGGGGTTGTTCAAGTCATCGTAGGGTGAGTATGGTCGTGGCGAATGCGATGTAGGCTCTAACATGGAATGGCCGCTAAGTCGATTGTTGGGGGAGTAGAAACGTCCATTATGCTCATCCTCTTCGTAAGGCGACGGTGTCAACCAGACATCACCTCCATGCGGCCCATATCCAGTCGGTTGTGGGTGAGATAGGAGAACCTCTCCCTCTTCATCAGGCGAAGAACCGTAGCGGTCTGGTCTACCACCAGTCATCATAGCACCACCTGCGCCTTGATAGGAAGTACTGCCATTTTCTCCTGGCGTATCTGCATTGCCAAGGCCGATCGCTTCGGGGACATGGTAGCTGGGATCCATCGTCCGCCTCTTTCGACCCACGAAAAGCCAGCGGAAGCCGCGACCGATGGCCTTTAACAGATCCAATGGGTTGAGGGCATCGATGAACGCTTTCTCACCGAAACGTCCGCCGTGGTAGGTCATCTTTCCATTGCCGTAGAAGTCGGTCACTTCGGCTGTCGCAACACGTCCGACAGAGTAAGGCTTCCACGAAAATGCCCATATGTGCAGGATGGCAAAAAGGGCCATCTCAATAGAAATGAGGAGGTTTGGTAGCCCAACCTTGAAATCCAATGCTGCAATCTTTTTGGTGGCTTTTATAACGCCGGCAGAGTAAAGAAGCGTAATCACAATCTAGCGGGTATTAGCTTTTCAAGAGTAGCAGTGTATAGTGCCTGCACTTACCGATTGCCAGAAAGACAGGAAAATTACTAGCTTGATGGCGAGAATTTTCAAGAAGGGACGGTACTCAGAGATGTCGTCGCGAACTTGGACATAGAACTGAATCAAACAGTACATTGCAATGGAGACTGCAACACACTCAACAGCCACAACCTATTGATTGAAAAAATATCAGCAAGTAGTCCAATTACCTCGGGGTATATGCTCGTACCCAGATATGCGCAAAAGCAGGACTGTTCGACTCCTCGCAGTACACATTGAAATGCTCCGTGATGACGGCGACAATGGTCATGAGCACACGAAAAAGACAGTATTGAAACACACCGGTCCAAATAATCTAGGCACCAATGCGTCAGCTCCAATTAGCTCCCGAAACCAATTCGACTTGCTGTTGCTCCTTACATTAAACCACGTCAGTCCACTGCGCGGGGTCCGCCATATCCCATGCTTCCCGCCGCAACATTTTTGCATCCAGTTCATGGGCCAGACCCAATCCTTTGGTTTGATCCCGCGGAAATAATCCTTCTGGCTATGTAGATCGGGCGCAATGTAGTGACAGAGCAGTGAGAAGAAGGCGGAAATCGCAAACGCTTCGTAGCAATCGCCGAGCACCGAGAAATAAACCTCCTTTTTGTAGATGAAGATGCTGAGCCATGCGACGATCGAGTAGATGGGGACCATAAACAGAATACGAATAATACTGCAATAGAAAGAAAAATCGTGAGCGACTCCATCAAAAATAAGAAAACAGTCAAGCAGTGGAAAGAGAAAACTCACTGTCGCTGTTCAATTGGTTTGCTGTAGTGAGTGGCATGTCTCATAATCAAATAGGCCGAGACAGCGATAGCGATGAGGGCAAAAGCACCACCGATGATGAGAGAAAGCTTATGGAAAGTGAGGCCTCCATCCCAGAGAGCCTCCTCGGAGACTGTAACCAAACGCTCGAGAGTCAGTTATCCAGTTATTCAATTATCGCAGCGCAGCCACGACTTTGAGAGCCGCAAAACGGGACTCTCTGCAGAGGGAAGAAGATGCGCACTGGTCTCATTTTCTAAAGTTGCATTGCATGATGGCCAGCCCATTCTGGCAGCCGTGAGATACCGATGAAATGACCTCTCAAGATGGATGAAGCGGTGAAAGAAAGAGAGAGGAGAAAGAAAGGCTGATCGACGGCGGAAGCGATGGAGATGGAGCTGGTTTATTATTATCTTATCCGGCAGTCGGTCGAGCTCCGAGAGAAAGAGTACGAGCAACCATGGGAAAAGAGGCGAAAAGAAATGCAGAAAAAGAAATGAAGAATCCACAGATAACGCTGGTTTCTTTTTATGTTTTGTCTTGCCCAAATTGAGGTTCTGGCGTTGGAACTTGACAAGTCGCCGAGATGAAGATTTACGGCCTGAAGATCGACAGCGACTAGGCAGAAAGCCAAGCGAATAGTATCCTTAATACAGTGGAAGAAATAAGATGAAAGCATGGAAATATAAGACGATGGAAGAATTATTATCAGCAGAGAAGAGCTGAAGCATGTCCGATGGGATCAGATGGGGCAATGCTTTTGATTCTTCTGATGGAATTAATCGATTGTTCGACTGCTGCGCCTCAAAGCCTCCAAGCAGACAAGCTCATTTAAGCCTTTTTGGTTTGTGAGATATTTATATCGCCGAGTAAAAAAAGAATCCAGACATTCCACGCATTCCACGCATTCAAAGCCACTGTAAATCCGCACTGCTGCCCTCATTTGGATCGTGGCTTTTCTGCGACATCGTCAGATCCACAATCAGGCATCCTTTTTGCTCTTCCGCTCTTCCGACCAGACAGAAATAATACCATCACCAAAGCTCTATTACCAGAATCATCAAGATCTATCACTGCTGTATAGTACAGAGATTTTGTTTTATTTGGAACATTTTTTGTTGGTAGTATACATCTCAGTCGCATCGTATCCAGTGTAGTTGGCAATTCATCAATTGCAATGATGCTGAAAAGAACCCCAGTTTCCTCTCCTTAAACCCCTGTCTTGAATGTTTTCCTAATATCGTCCTCTCCTATCACCCCTCCATGAACCTCCGAAGCCACCCCCTCGTCCTCGTCCTCGTCCCCCGCGGCCCCGTCCAGCAAATTCTGGCCCGTGATCCACAAAGAAATCGTCATCTTCGAACGAAATCCGCCGGGTCTCATCACCCCCGCGACGAGGATATGAGCCTTTGCGTAGGATATCATCGAAACGGTCCAAACGGCGATCCGCTACTTCCCGAGGAACAGGAAGATAGTAGAGCTTTGGCTTGGCGGTGGTCGACATGAACAGCTCGTCCAGGGGCTTGAAGCCTTGTCCTGGTCGAGGACGAGGTTCTGATGGGGGTGGACCACTTGGGCGTCTATCTTCTTTATCTGCGCGAGGACCAGTTGGGGGTGCGGGGAAAGAAGCATTGGTATGACTCGGTTCCTGGGATCGTGATCCTGTGGCCTTCGTGTCGATTTCCTCCAGAACGGCTTCGACGCCATCCTCTGTTCGGTCGTACTTGACCTCCCACCGGGGTGCAGGACCACCACGTCCCCGCGATCCCTCCTCTCTGCTGATCCATTCCTGCACTTTGTTCTCAGGGATGAAGTCGACAAACAGGGTTTTGCGGTTTCGTTCGTTGGGCCAAACAGTGCCATGAAGCACGGAGCGAACTCGTGACGCTGCTGAGATACTGGTGAAACTGACAAAGCAATGAGTCTTGATAGGGTCCAAGTAGAAATCCAGAATCACGTCCGGATCAGGCGATGCTCCGGAACCTGACGCAAGACTGACAATGTGGTTTCGTAGCGCCTGGGGCTGCAGAGGACGCATCAAACCATCGACGTAGAGAGCTGCTGTAGCAACATGAAGAGCAGGTTCAACCTCTGCATCCTCCATTTCTGTGTCCACGGGGGGCGAAGCTGCTCGTGGTTGGTCTCGCTCAGCGGCAAAGAGACCTTTGAATCGCGCATCTTGTTTCGGCGGAGCACCTCTCTTGGCCCGAGGTTCTTCAGAAACGGATGCATGCTTTGCCTCCTGGTTTGTAGTGGTTTCTTGTTGGACCGGACCATTCGGGCGTTCTTCAGACAGGGCAGCCGCATCGTTCTTGGCATTCTTACCCTCGGAGGCGGCCTCGGAGACTCGATCCTCGGGCAATGATACCTTTGGACTCCCATTCTCCGCTCTAGCCTTCTTGTTCGCAAGCGCTTCTGGGGTAGGAATAGGACTCTGACTGCGACGCTTCCGTTTCCGCGTGTCCTCGAGGATTTCTTCTGCGGGAAGGGGTGTGGACAACCCAGTATTCACTTCTGAAGCATTAGGAGCGGACGGCACACTCTTTTCGGCAGGCGTAGGCTCCTTCTCCATGGCATCTCCGGGAGCCTGCTCGACCGGTTCAGCAGGAGTTTCCGATTCAGGATTGGGCTGAACAACAGGAGCCTCGGTGGGCTCATGATCCATTGCATCACCTGACTGGGCCTGTTCAGGAGCTTCTTGGGGTGCCTCCTTGCTGGGCTCCTCCGGTTGAGCTTGTTGCGACTGTTCTTCAGGCTTTTCGACAGCCTGGGGGTCTTCCGCAGGTTTGGGCTCATCCCGTGTCTCTTCTGCGGCCGCATCTGGTGCTACCTTCTCCTCTGGTTTCGATTCTTCGTTTCCTTTCTCCTCAGTTTGGGGCTCTTCGGGTTGGGGCTCCTCGGGCTGAGACTCTTGCGGTTGAGATGGCACTTCCGCGGGCGGCTGTTGTGCATCTTGTTCAGGCTCTGGTTTATCCTCTTTTTTCTCCTCCTTCTCATTCCCCTCGTCTAATTTTTCCTGTGGAGCACTGGGTGTTTCTTCCGCCGAGCCACCGGTTTCCCCCTTGGCGTCATCCTCGAGGAGTCGATCAATGAAGTTCTGCTTCACTCGGAGACCAGTCTGCGGAATCCCGCGCCGTTTCAATTCGGCCTTGAGATCTGTCACCTTCCATGTCGAAAAGTCGGTCATGGTGATGGAATTTGAGCAATCCGGAAATCAAAATTCACATGTATAATTTAATATAACCTTAGCACGCAGGGATGTCGACCGGAGCAGTCGTGGCCATTCTTGTCCTCGAGAGCGATGGATGCGACTGCGATGCCTTGCGCCCGTCGTCGTTTTGGGGATGATGTCGTGGGCTAGCCGCTTGTGGCTAGCGTGTCCCAGGCCTACTGTATATGGTATAGTGTGTTCCGACGGACGGACTACCTTAGTCAGCCCCCATTTGGGTTAGTAATGCCGAATACGGCTAGCGTGAGTATATACTTGGATAGAATCAAAAGAAAATAAAAGATAGAAACATAGAAATAGATTCAAAAGGAACATCATGATGCTTGAATAATCTTCTCGGCCATTTCCGGTAGTGTATCCGCAGTCACATCCATCTCCCCAAAAACCTCCGGACAAGATTCCTTTTCCCAAGCGGTACAATACGCTCCTCGAAAACTACCAAATCAGCACAAGAAATAAACAAAAGCAAGAGAGAAAGGAAACACCAGAAAAGAAACAAAAGATAACTTACCCACTTGCCTTTGCAGCAGAAACATCCCACATATGCGCTGCTCCAAACCATAACACATCCTTTTCGGTATCAAACTTCTCCAAAACCGTCTGATAGGCCTCTAACGCCGGCTTCGCCAATTTCTTATTATCGCATGATGCGAAATTCTCCAATGGCATCTCAATTCCATGCCGAAGAAAGTATCCCCTCACACGACTCACATCACCAGTAGTGAGACACCACACGGTGAATCCCGCATCGCGGAGCTTCTCAACCGTCTCCTTCAACCCCTCCCGTGGCTCGAGTTGATGATAGCTTTGGATCATGAACGCCCTGTCTTCATCCGTAGCGAAGGATCGTGGGTCCTTGACCCCACTGAACCAGAGTGTGCGGTAGAAAATGGCGTCGAAGATGGTGAGGAAGGGCTGATAGCGATTGGACATGGAGAGGTAGGCGTATTCTCGTTCAGCGGCTTCCATCCAGGCATACCCGAATACATGGGGGTTGATGCTTTGAGAGCGCAGTCTGGATCCCATGCGCGCTTCAATGGCTGCAAAGAAAGCGTCAAAGGTGAAACAGGTTCCCACGACGTCGAAGACGATGTGCTTGTTAGAGGACATGGTGGTAGCGGCGGTTAGGATAGAAATACTCTGAGAGGTGACACTGAGTAACTGGTCTTGAGAATCAAATATGAATAGCTTCAAGAGGAGGGGAGCTGTTCATATGAGAGAAATTTTTTCCTGGCGACAGCTCTTATCAGACTAGTTGATAACATGTCGAACCCCGCATCCCCCGCTCGCCCCTGATAGAACTGTCAACACTCAAACATTCCGATATGTAGTAATCCTAGATAAGTCAATCGACAGTGATCTCAATTACTCCAAAAGTACTCAGTTTCTCGTCCGATATACAGTTGCCGTGTCTGGTGATAACAGAGTTACATCGTTCGTGATAAGCTCACTTTCTGTTGTGGGGAATCTTATCTTTGACCTTGATATATGTATATAATTCAAGTGGATAGATTCGTCAGCTATAGCGTTGGTTTGTCCTTTATGGAAAATAATACCGTTTGGACACTATCAGGTTGATTCCTGGCAACTGGTTGCGTCGAGTTTGGGGATATAGATGTTTACTTTGGTAGGATTACAGAGTAGAGATTGTTGTTCAGATATTCATGATTACAAGATATCTCACAGAAACAAAATACATCATATTATCTAGACTAACTCCATAGCAAATTCAGCTTCTGCCATCCCTTCTTAGGGCTCTCTGGTGGATCTGGATGTTGTTTCGCAATATCAATGAACCTTCGCACGGGTATCTCAGAGAGAGGGATAATGTTGGTCTTCTTGGCAAACTTGTATCCGAAATATAGAGCAAAGATAATACCGATGTCGAGATAGCAGCTGATAAAAGTTTCTGTATCCCAACTATACAAACGGTTATTAGCGCAGGTAGCTTTGTAGACTGGATAGAGCACTTACTGTCCGTGAAGAAAGACCCTGTACCCACTGGTCAGCAAGATAATCGTAAACGAAATGAGACTCATCCATGCCGCAAAAGGTTGGAATGGCCCCTTCCATGGGAGCTCGTCTCTTGAGATTCCCTGCTTTTTCATCGCGTAGTACATTCGAAGATAGACGATGGAGATAATAATCCATCCCACCATAGTAGAGGCTGAAATCAGATCTTGCAGCCATGTAAACACCGTCGATGCTGATGTGTTCAAAGTCATGTAGCCTAGTGCGATGAAGATTCCCATAATGGTGATGGCGATATAAGGAATTCCCCATCGGCTGGTTCTTGTAAGGAATTTTGGTGCATGGCCTTCATGAGCGATAGCGAACATTACCCGTGATCCACTCAACATGGCTACAGAGTTTCATTGTCAGCTTTGAAATAAAGTGCAGTATATAACTAGGACTGAGATTGCACACTTACTCGAGTTCCCAGAGCTCCACGCACTGGTAAGAACTACAAAGTTGATGATGGATGGAACGGCGCTAATTTTGGCATTTTTGGCTGCAATGACAAATGGCGACTCGGAGGCAGTACCAGTCGAGCTCAGCAAAGCAGGATCACTGGATGGCACGAGAAGTGTAACCATAAAGATGGAAATGACTATGATTAAGTCAGAAAGGGTGATACGGTGGAGCAGGATAGTTGGTGAGATATAAGTACCATAAAAAAGTACAACTCTCCAGAATATTCTCTTTGCTGCCTTGGGAATATTCCTTCGTGGAGCTTTCGTTTCCGAGGCGGCGATGGAAATATTCTCTATACCGGAGTACGCATATGCCGCATTGGAAAAGACATACCAGAACCCCATGAAGCGGCCCAAAGATCCTGGATAGTTCAGGTATTGCACAAACGGCCCTGGGTCATGCCAAAACTTGAAGCCATATCGAACGTGGTCCGGGCCTCCACCGCAAGTAATTATCAATGCCTATGCAGGACGTTAGCCCGTTCCCTTGTGAGCTTTGAGGTACATACCATGATATTCATCCCAACGACAAGCATGATCTTCAAAGTCGCAAAGAAAAATTCCAGCTCTCCATATATGCGAACGAAGAAGATGTTGCTTGCGAATAATATGACACCGAACACGGAGATCCAGATAGCGTTGTTGAGAGAGATCCAAAATTCAACAATCACAGCAGCGGCTACTATCTCAGCCGGCACGGAAACAAGACAAGAATAAACGTAATTCCAGCCATAGGCAAAGGATAGAGCTGGGTCCACAAAGTATTCCGCATGTCGGATGGCACCTCCGCTCAGAGGAACCAAAGCACTGCAACATGAGATATTAGCATTCAGCGTGTCAAGATATGGAAGCACCAAAAGGCTTTACCTTAGTTCTGCAATTGAAATAATAACCCCGGATACTAGAACCCCCATTATGGTATACCCTATGCTAAAGAATTATCAGTTTAGGAAATGGAATCGGAGTTCATAAAACTGACAATGCTCCTGCAGGTCCACCATGCGCAAGTGCACTTCCAGATGACAGGAATAGACCCTTTCGTTTGTTAGTATGGTTACCATAGGTGGAGAAATCGGGTTGAAACATACGGTTCCAATTGTACCCGCTAAACTGATCATCTGAATGTGTCGCTGGTGAAGACCTCGACTGACAGAGATCAGCATCACTAGAATCATCATTCTCGACAGAAGGCTCATACCGGAGGTCTTTAACTTCACCGAACTCAACTGGGACGACATCTTTCTTGCCAATCTCGACATCTGCATCTTCTGAGGGATTGGATGCAACAGCGGCCTTTTTCACTTCTTTTTCGGACAATTGATGTATATTGAGGCCTGTAGATGTCGAAGCCATCTTTCTGTAGGGTTTCAGACCGATTAAATTGTGCAGAATGTTTGGAGAAAGTTATTCTGGGTATTTGAACACTGTCTCTCCGCACAGACATACGCTTTTCTGTCCCACAGAAACGGATAAATTCTTCATCTATCGTTGGACGACGTCTTCGAAACTGCCCTTAGATAACAGGTCTGAAATAGTAATGCATGGTGTAGCGATTGTGGGATGGATCTGCGTGGGAAACCGAGCGCATAATCTGATAAATTGCCAAAATATCACTGGTACAGAATTTGGCGCGCTTGCCGATACTAAGGGTCCTCAAAAATTAATACCTTATTGTGGAGCTTAAAAAAAGAAAAAAAAGAAGTGAAAAATTAAAACTCGACCTGTTGCCCCCGCAATTAGCACGTAGCACTGTCTTAAAGCAAGTTACAAATGAGGCGTGCCAGCCATCATCAAAGATCTTACCGTCTGTCGAGCTTCCAGTCTGGAGCAAGCCTGTCTGCCCATGTCTTCCCGCTCGCAGCCAATATGCTTGAAGAAGATAAGAAGGTACAGGCTTCTGCCGAATTCTTAGTTCCATTCTTCCTTGATCGATTTTGGTGTGATTCGATAAGAGCTCCGGCTGGCGATTGCGATACGACGACATTGTGCTTCCCGACAATGGAAATGTTCCGAGGTCGAGCTATCAATGATAGCCGATGAGCGATATCATTATTATCGTGGGAATTCGCGTCGAATTGTCGCTGGGATACGTGCAAGTTAGTCTCAATTCCATGGACCTCTTCTGCTGGACTTACCTAGGATGGAGATAAGCAAGGATGTTGATAGGAAATTCCGCATGAGTAGATGAGGGGATATTGGAGCTAAAGAGAAGTTGGAGCACCACCTCGAGTGAATGTAACTGAAACGACGCCACATCAGGGATGATGTTAGCTGAGGCTCAGTTTGGCGATGAGCTGAAGTGGTCTGTACTGTTGTCCGCGCAGGGAGATAAGATCGCGTGGACTCTTGGGTTCCCCACATGGATGGGTATTTATCCAGGCGACTTATCAATCAGCTGGAGAACGCCTTCATCTTTATAAGTTCATCTTTATCCCAAGCGAAATACACGAAACACAACTTTTTCTATCGTCGAAAACCCCATCTTTGCCCCCTCAAGCTTGCACGCCATGGGCTCCGCCGGTCCCCTTCCTGCATTCTTCCCCGTGGACAACTCCACGTCACCGTGCTGGCGCACGGAGCTGCATCAACTCGATAAGCTTCGAACAACCCCTGAGCTCCCTGAACAGAGCGACATTGTCATTATTGGTGCTGGATATTCTGGCGTCAGCATCGCGTATCATCTCTTGAAGCTGCAGGTGCATCAGGAAAAACCGCCCTCCATTACTATTCTGGAAGCGCGACAAATATGCTCTGGTGCAACAGGTCGCAATGGTGAGTGCCATGACGCGTATGTATTCAAATCAATTCTAATTCCATGTTTGTACAGGTGGCCATCTCCGACCTGATGTATATGGTCATATTCCGAAATATATTGAGAGATATGGAGTCGAAGCTGGGGCAGAACTGGCCAATTTCGAGATTTCCCATGTGAAAGCATTCAAGGATTTGCTTGCGGAAGAAGAAATCGATTGTGACTTTACTGTCACGAGAAATATGAATGTCTATCTCAATGATGCGGCTGCAGAAAAGGCAAAGAAGACGTACGAAGCTCTTGCAACCCAGAAACTGTCTTTCGTCGATGACCTTTACTTTACACCGGAGAAAAATGCAGAAGGGGTAAGATAATTCGGTTCATAAAGATAAATTTTGAGCTAACTCTGGCTGTCAATTGGATAGATTTCCGGTGTCAAAGGTGCGAAGGCGTGTCTGTCCTACACGGCAGGTACCTTGTGGCCATACAAATTCATCATGGGGCTGCTCTCGAAGATCATCAAATCCGACACCGTTAACGTCCAAGCAAACACTCCCGTCACTGAGGTGACAGCAGATCCCAATGGATCTAGCCATATTGTTAATACACCACGAGGATCGATCCGGGCATCTAAAGTCGTCCATGCTACGAATGCGTACACACTCGGACTGTTGCCCGAATATTCAGCAAATATCATTCCTTGTCGTGGAATCTGCTGCCATATTGCGGTTCCTGAAGGCAAAAACACCCCATATCTGCCTTACTCCTATTGTTTGGGAACAGAGAATGGGGACGGTGGAAGTTATCTGATTTCGCGCCCAGATGGAAGTATTGTTGTTGGTGGAGCCCAGTATACATTCAAAAGTGCAAAGGATCAGTGGTTCAATGTAGTCGACGACAGCACACTGATTGAACCCACCAAGAACTACTACAATGATTATATGCAGCGAACATTTAAAGGCTGGGAGGATACTGGAGCCTATGTGAAGGAGATTTGGACGGGAAGTAAGTGTCTGAAACCGAGCAGCTTTCTGTTAAAGAAACTAACAACCGTTATCTTGACAGTCATGGGATATTCGTACGACTCCAACCCCCATGTTAGTGACATTCCAGGAAAACCTGGGCAATATATCTGCGCCGGATTCAATGGTCACGGCATGCCTGTTATCTTACTTGCGGCCAAAGCTCTGGCCGAAATGATCTCCACAGGAAAGAGCTTCGAGGAGGTCCAGATGCCTCGTCTGTTCAAATCAACGACTGCGAGACTCGAAAAGGCTCAGAAGGGGCCAGAGGGAGGTGATATCCTGGCTTAATTCATGCAAGATGCAGTCTATAACTATTGTCTTCGTGCTCCGATCCGATCCGGAGAGCCGGTGTTTGATCCTCACTCAACCTCAAGTATAATCGCATTTCACTCACATACATTTAATTTAACACTCATTTCCTTCTAACACTACAATGATTATAAAATAAATAAAATAAAAAAGGAGCAGAAACACCGTCCAATGACTCATGGATGACTCAAAATAGGCGGTCAGCAAACACTAGCAGAAATCTCCTCACCGCCCTCCGTCTCCAACCGCAATTCCGCCATTCCGATTGGTTGTTTGTGGAGAATGGCGGGGGATTTTTGGCTGCCCTGATTTTGACTCTTAAAGGGCCCCTCAGCTCGTCCTCTTCTCCTTTTTTTTCTCCAGATTATATCTTTTCTCCTCGTTTCCCAAGCTTTTATCTCCCAAATTGGCTCATCATGGCCACTGAATCCAGCAGTCCCTCGACTGCGCCACTCCGTCAGTATCCCCCCGTTCCCCTCCCTCTTCATGAGTTGAACAGCTACTAAATCCCGTAGAGAGAGTCGACACTCAACCTGAGAACCCGTACTCGAAACTCATTACCGACCAGTCGATTGCTGTCATCCCGTCATTCACCCTCGAATCCGGGGTGACCCTGTACAATGTCCCCGTCGCGTACACCACGCGGGGTCAGTTGTCCCCCACCGGTGACAACGCCCTGGTGATCTGCCATGCGCTGAGTGGTAGTGCCGATGTGGCCGATTGGTGGGGTCCCTTGCTTGGTGGTCCTGGTCAGGCATTTGATGTCTCTCGGTTCTACGTGATCTGCTTGAACAGTCTGGGTAGTCCATACGGAAGTGGCAGTGCCGTGACGTACAAGGATGGGAACCCGGAGAGCGGTCTGTACGGACCTGAATTCCCCCTGACGACCGTCCGGGATGATGTCAAGTATGTTGGATTATATCTCATTATGGAAGTCCTCCAATATTCTAACCAAAAATAGGATTCACAAGCTTGTCCTAGACGATTTAGGTGTCAAGCAGATTGCGGCTGTCGTGGGAGGGTCCATGGGCGGTATGCTCACTCTCGAATACGCCTACTTTGGCAAAGACTACGTCCGGGCCATTGTGCCGATTGCCACCTCGGCACGCCACTCCGCATGGTGTATCAGTTGGGGAGAGGCTCAGAGACAGAGCATTTACAGTGACCCGAAGTACGAAGACGGTTACTATTTGTTCGATGACGCTCCCACCACCGGTCTGGGAGCGGCTCGCATGTCGGCTCTCCTCACTTACCGTAGCCGCAACTCTTTTGAGTCCCGGTTCGGCAGGAACGTCCCTGATCCCTCCAAGCGGCAAAATATCAATGGCGAGGCGAAGCTGCCAACACCCCCGAATGAACACTGGGCAGTCCACAACGATGGCCACAAGCCTGGAAGGTCTTCGCGCACACCCAGTGGGTCTGCTGGACAGAACTCGCCCATTCCTCAACCGTCGGAAATTGAATTCATGGACCCGCAGTTCTCGGGAACGAAGACGTTCAGTGCAACAACCAACCCGAGCAACCGCAGGCGGCCCCCTACCTACTTCTCAGCCCAGTCTTATCTTCGCTACCAGGGAGAGAAGTTTGTCAAGCGATTCGATGCTAACTGTTATATTGCCATGACACGAAAGTTGGACACGCACGATGTCTCGCGACACCGTGCCGATGCGTCGTTGGAGGACCCTGTTAAAGAAGCGCTATCCCTCATCAAGCAGCCGGCGCTTGTGTTGGGAATTGAAAGCGATGGTCTCTTTACATTTGAGGAGCAGCAGGAGATTGCAGCAGGCATTTCGGATTCGAGACTCGAGCGAATTGAGAGTCCTGAAGGCCACGACGCTTTCTTGCTCCAATTCGAACAGGTCAACCGCTACATTCTCGAGTTCTTCCGCGAGGTCCTGCCGGACATCATGGAAAAGCCCAGCGCCGATGGTGCTGCATTTGTTGATGGCGTGAACAAACTTACCAAGAGCAGCACATTCGGCGAAGCGGAGGTGGATGATATCACGGCGTGGTAAATTGCTCGACAACAAGCACAACCAATTTGGCGCAGTAATTGCAGCCTTATAAATTCCGATGCTCTGCAAATGACAGGGCATGGGATCCGGGCCTCCTCTCGGTGAAGAGACACGCGTCCGGACTCCCAAACTCGGGGAAGTAGAGGTGCGGTCTTTGTTTATATTTCGCAACCAGTCAGAGAGATGAGCATCCAACTGCCTCTTTCGCACCTTCAGGTAAGACTGTAAAAGAAGCATCCAACTGCTCTCCATCAGTAACCCTCGGCCTTTTGTCTGAACGAAAGTTCCTGAGGTGGTGGGCCAACCTTTAATAGGAACACTTATGGTAAACTCTTAGATAAAATACATTCATTCAATTCATCAACTATTTTCAATTTATCAGTTATTTGTTATTTGTGGGTGTTCTCTTTGTTTGATGTTATCCAAACCAGGATCATGACTCATAAGACGCTATATGGCCTTAATGAATGATGCGGTATGAGTCATCGTGAGGCATCACTAGTCATCCTTCAATGGAACACAGCAACACAATCCTCTATAATCTGGATCTTGGTAACATTATTATCATCTATATCAAGTATAAATTCTATATAAATAGAGCTATCCAGTATGTCAAAATGTCGGCGTCAATCACCACCATCACGCCCAATCCAAAATGCTTCAAACCCGTCTCTTCCCTTCTCCCAACCACCAACCTCTCTCCATCCCCCTCTCCATCCTCGATGCCACCGTCGCCCGCTTCACTCCCACAGGTGCAATCTGGGTCTTCGACGCTTTCACCTCCAATGAAACCGTCTTTCTCGAATATCTCCAAACATCCTTCACCACCACCCTAAACTCCTTCCCTCACTGGGCCGGCCAACTCCAATGGACCCAATTCCACCCAGAAGGAGACCACACACAGCGCTCCCACAGGCCAATGGTCGCATATAACACCGAGTCAGACCCAGGCGTGGAATGGAACATCGTCAAACACGCTCGACCTCTCGAATCTCTAGCACCTACAGCGACCCAGCGCGCCTCGACCGGTATCTGGGTGGGAGATGCCTTTGCACAGAACATTCTCCTCTCCCAAACCCAACTAGCATTGCATAATCTGCACGATTGGAAGGGTCTCCCTAGCATGACAGTTCAAATCAACCTCTTCAATGACGGGGGATTCGCGGTGGGGATGCAAATTGCGCATTGTCTCGCCGATGCGCAGGCGTTGATGGTATTCGTGCACCAATGGGCTGCGACCTGTCGGACACTACATGGACAGCAAGACTCGATCTCGCTAATGGGTGAGCCTGTGTTTCAGCCCTCCATGCTGGATAGTCAAGCAGATGGGGATATCGATGCCAAAGAACCGAATCCCGTCCTCACCAAGACAGCCAGGGACTTGCCTCTTCATCGATTCGACTGGTGGAAGATGTCAGATCCGGGATATCCCCCATTTCTGATTCCCACGACGGAGAACTCGAAACCATCGCCGGAGTGTCTGGCTAAGAATGCCGTACTTTCGCCATCTCAATCACCTCCCTGGAAGACCTGGGACTTGACACGGCCCATCAGCTACGCCAAGGTACATTTCACAGACGAGGAATTAGGTCGAATTCGTGATATTGCCCGTGCAGGCTGCAATGGATCTACTATTTCCCGTCTGGATGCATTACTCGCACATACCTGGGCGGCTATCAGTAGAGCCCGTGGGCTTATCGATTCTTCCGAGGAAGTGTTTTTAAATGTCACGCTGAGTGCTCGACCCCGTGTTTCTCCTCCCCTCCCGGACTCGTTTATCGGCTCGCCGATTTTCCTCACGCATATCAGAAACCAAGGCTCGGTAGCTTGTACAGCGAGTGTGGGAGAAACGGCGTCTCAGCTCCGTGAGACAATTCGTCTTTTTACGCCAGAGAAGGTAGGTGCGATCCTGCATGATGCGGCGCATGAAGTGGCACCGCAACGACTGTGGCAAGGGTTTTTGGGAACGCGGCATACACTGGTGACGTCGTGGCTCAGGCTGGGGATGTATGAGGTTGATTTTGAGGGAAGGGGTCAAACGCCGCGATATGCACACGCGGTCATGCCGAAAATGGATGGGTGTGTCCAGGTTATGGACTCTGGGACTGACGATGGGGGCGTTGACTTGGCGTTGTATTTGGATGTTGAAGCAATGGGGAAATTATTGGAGGATGGTCGATTGCGGGTCCTTTCGTGAGATGTGGATAATCCCCGAAATTATTATCATGGTATTATTCTTCTATTAGCTTTTGTTAAGCGCCATGGTCGTGTCTACATTGATACAGATGCATGCATAACAAGTTTCCGCTTTCCCGCCATTTCAAGAGTAACTAGACCTCAAAAGCATGATCCCAAAATACCAACACCTTGTTCATAAATCTCATAATAATTCCAGTGCACATAGACCTTCCGGTAAAGATGAACTAGACAGCTTCTGTGATTCGATCGAATACTGATGTATCTTTTTTACGGGCGGTGGTCTTTCGCTTCCCTAGGGCGAAGACGGATAGTTTGTGAAGGAGGGACTTCCCCTTTGGTGGCGGTGAATTGGTAGTAGTTTCCTTTTTTCCATGACCAGCGAGGTTCTCACGTTTAGCATTGTCCGGTAGGTTGGAGGAGCTCTCTGTGTTGGCCCCAATGATGCCCGTCATCTTCTCCGTGACGGCACGCTGCAGATCTGCGCGACGCTGTGCTTCTTCTTCAGCAGACATGACATGAACCAGACCGTTGCTGTCTATGACGACAGCTCCATGGCCTTTTTCTTGGTGGTATGAGACGCCGAGTTCGATTGCTGTTGCGGGTCTTGTATCTTGTTTCACATGGTTTGGGTCAGAAAAGTCAAGCTCACTAAAAGCCGTTGAGTTTCGTAGAGTGACGTCTGGTGTTACATCTTGAAGATTCTCGAAACATTGCTTGCGTGTTAACCGGGAGGTTTGAGGTCGGGAAAGGCTTGGAACTCTACAAGGTTTGGAGGTCGTATCAGGGTTCAGAAACACCTCCACTGCTTCTGAGTCCTCGCCTTCAAATGACTTGCAGAGTGACCGTTCGGAAAGGAAAGCCAGGGTGTGAGGGTCTTGATCATGAGATACGTCCGTGCCGGAAGATTGGAACACTAGACTCTTTATGGACTGGATGCTCGTACGGACAGATTGACTCTTGGGCTCGGATGCTGTTTCGTAAAACTGCGAGATTTCCACTCCTTGACCACTAGACCTTCGACCTTCAAGGTCTATGCCAGAATCATGCTTTCCTCTCCGAGTAGCAGTATCCGATCCGATATTTGGCGACAGATAGTTGGATGGAGACTGAGATTTCTTCATTGTCTCAGCCTCAGCCTCAGCCTCAGCTTGCGTGTGTCCTTTGTCCGCTTTCACTGACTCTGGTCGAGAATAGCAGGGTGTTTCCACTAGCTCGATGCCCCGGAAGAGTACTGCACAGGAATCTCGAAGCTCCTCATTAAGATCCGAGGAAATATTTTGGCGGTCAATAAGAGGAGACGGAGGGCGAAAGAGCACAGGTGTATCAGCAAAGTCGTAATAACGGGATCTGTCTTCCACGAAAGCGTTCCCCGTAGGCTTCTGCGAGCCGAAAAAAGGAAACAACCGTTTCCTCGTGCTTTTCTTCTTCCTCGATACCAAGAGGTCCATGATGACGACAGTGGCGAATGGAACCAACACTGGCGTTCTGGGTAGACGAGAATAAATAGGTATGAAAGGAGGAACACATAAGATACTCGATAAGGAAGGGACTGTCCACCAGCAAACGTTGACTATGAATGTGGGCTATGGAGGAACGACATGGGCAGTAGTTCACAGAACGAGAAGATATGACAAATATTCTCCCACCCAACGCCACACACAGCCAAACTTTTCCTGTTTTTTAATGACTATGGCTCTGCGGGGGGATTTGCGCAAATCAAAAGGGATCAAGAACGCAGAGACAGGATTGGCGATCCGGAGAGGCAAAGAAGAAGAAAAAGAGACGGATGAAATCAAAAGGAACGACTCGAGAGGCGAAGACGATGCATTGGACAACGGTCAGCAGGTTCGAGACTGCGAGCCATCAGGAGGATTTAACCGAGGCCATCAACAGAGACGATCTAGCTCGAGTCTAGAGCACTGTTGACTAAGGCTGGGGGTTATTTTTATCAAAAAAGAAGGCAATCTAAATGAAACCCGATCAGGAAAGAGAGGACAAAGCAGAGAACAAAAAGACGACGAAGAGCGAAGAAGAAAAGAAGTCGCGATGTTTTTTTGGTGGAGAGAAATTGGAGGACCCCGATTAAGACTAGTCGCGCTAGTGATGCGCTAGTTTAACCTTCCAGATAAAATTGGACGTGTATCTATTCTGATTGGCTGTATCTGAGACCCTGTTTCTCTTGTAGGCCGCTAATTATACTAGCGCCTGCGCTAAGCGAGACTATCATTTGGCTTAAGACAGTCGATCGTCTCTATATTTCGATTCTGGTTGCATAGATTAAGGGATGAGATGCAACTAACAGATGAAGATGCTGCGACCATGGTTATTGTCATCAGTGCATGTTCAATCCGGTTTAAGCATGTACAGACACTCTACTGTATGTACATTCCCCGCATCATGTCGGATGTAGTTCTGCAAGGCTTCGGTGGGGTTTATTGATCTACAAAAGCATCCAAAACTACGGTGTACCACTCATGATACTCATAACCATGTCATTTTAACTGTCATCACACATGAATCATAACCTACAGTCCCAGCCAGAATCGCGTCTTCTCCACTTCAAACGAAGACTGCAGTTCTCCCTCGCCTGTTCCTGTAATAACGACATCATAGGCCCCCTTCTCCGACGCCCACGCCTCTCGCTGCTCATCCCACCAGCTTGTCGCAAGTTTCTTTTCTACCTCAATCTCTACTTTCTTGGTTTCGCCAGGGCTGAGTGTTACCTTGGCGAATCCCTTTAGCTCACGAACCGGTCGGTTGACCCCCGTTGGAGGCGGCACCACCCAGAGTTGGACGGTTTCCGCTCCAGCGACCTTGCCTGTATTGGTAACGCTGACGGTCGCAGTGATGGGCTCGCCATCACCTAGCTTGGGCTTCTCAGGGGTGGTTTGTAGCGTCAGGTCGGAGCGTGTAAAGGTCGTGTACGACAGGCCGTGGCCAAAGGGGAACAGAGGCGCCAGATTGACCTTTTCGTAGTATCGATATCCTACATAGACGTCCTCACCGTACAACACCCGGCCCCGTTCAGAGCGGAAGTTGAGGTACGATGGGTTATCCTGTAAACGCACGGGGAAGCTGACGGGCAGCTTGCCAGAGGGGTTGACATCACCGTACAGGACGTCCGCGATACCGTTACCGAGCTCATTACCGCCGAACCAGGCCTGAAGCAAGGCCTTGGCTTGGTTGGCCCACGGCATCGTGACAGGTGTGCCGCTCTGGATCACTACGGCCGAGTTGGGATTCGCCTGGAGGACACGCGAGATCATTTCATCACTGCCGGGTGGAAGATCCATGTGTTCACGGTCATAGCCCTCTGTCTCCCACTCACTCGTCAGACCGGCAAAGATAACCACCTGGTCTGCCTTGGATGCAAGTTCGACTGCATTCGAAATAAGCTCCTCCTGATCAACCCGTCGGCTAGCTCCGAAACGGAATCCTCCCGGTCCAAAGGCCACGACACCGCGGGTATCGAGATCAGAAGTCGGGGCGGTGCCAAACTCGACGACGATCTTGTATGTCTGCCCCGCCTTGAGCTCCTTGCTTCCGATCTCTTCCACAGTGGCGCTGCCAAAGAACTCAGAACCCTGTCGCTGGTTCTTGGTGTTGTCGACAACTACCTCGCCGTCGATCAACAACTTCCCTGTCCCGACAACAGTAACACCAAAATCATACAGGCCATCCTCCTCCGGAGTGAAGTAGCCTTCCATGTCAACGTAAAATGTCATGGATTTGATCTCCGGGTTGGTATAGTCCATAAGGAATCCAATGGATGGCACCAGATGCAGCTCATCAACAGCCTCCCGCTTGGGTTCCGATGCAGGCTCGTTGTATACCCGGAACATAAAACCCGGCTTGCCGTCAGCCGTCTTCATATGCGGTCCAAGCAATGGCAGCTGTTTGTGTGAGTAGACACCTTGGGAAAAGGTGACTTCTCCCTTACTCTGAGCTGACACGCCTTCATATGGTGTCACAACGTAGTAAGGGAGTAAAGACGCAGAACCCCCTCCGCAGTATGCGGCGTTTTTGGCATTGGGACCGATGACCAATACCGACTTTTCTTTGTTTAGGGGCAAGATGTTATCCTGATTCTTCATGAGAACTGCAGATTCAGCTGCAGCCCGGCGGAGTAGAGCCTGGTCCTCCGGCCGGTTGAGGATTTTCTCGGGCGCCCCCTGGGGGACGCCCAATGGATCAAGGTAGTTGACCAAATTCAACAGGTTGCGTACACGCTCGTCCAGCACAAATTCAGCAACCTTGTTTGACGACACGGCATGGCCTAGGGCCGATCCACGCCACCGCGTCTTTCCTGGCATCTCCATGTCTAGTCCGGCATTGATGGCATCAGATGTACTGTACGTCCCAAACCTAAACAGAAAGTCAGTTTGAGTTCAAAGTTGCCAAAATTCCAAATCACATACCAATCACTCATAACCAAACCGTCCCATCCCCACTCCTTGCGAAGGATATCGGTGATAATGCGCTTGTTCTCACTGACATGGGTGCCATTGACCTTGTTGTAAGCTGTCATTATGCAAGCACTCTGACAAATTCTCATGGCCACCTGGAAAGGCAGCAAATATATTTCTCGCAATGCGCGCTCCGTCACAATGCTATCGACCGCCAACCGCTCATGTTCTTGGTCATTGCAAACAAAGTGCTTAAGGGTAGCCGCGACGCCCTTCTCTTGAAGACCCTTGCAGTAGTGACCGGCCAAGGTTCCCGATAGTAAGCCATCTTCAGAGAAAGACTCAAATCCACGGCCACCTAACGGAGATCGTTGAATGTTAATGGTAGGACCAAGCACGATGTGAGCGCCTTTGGCGATAGACTCGTCACCCATCAACCGTCCCACCTGGGTCAACAGCTCTGTATCCCAAGTGGCACCCAGAGCAGTAGCGCAAGGGAAACAAGCGGCAGGGATTCCATTGAAAAATCGTGTTCCACGCACTCCGTTCGGACCATCCGACATACGCAGAGAAGGGATATTGAGACGGTCTACGGCCGCGGTATGCCAAAAGTCAACCCCTAATGGCGATTAGCTTTGCTAGTGCAGATAGGGGACTATTAGGTTATTACATACCAGCTGTGAGATCTACCTTCTCCCCTACGGTGAGCTCTGAGATGGTTTTTTCCACGTCTAATCGAACCATATTGACGATCTATAGTACGTCGGTATGTGGATCCAATCCGATGGACCAGCGGGGGAATGGAGGGGCACAATTAATATCGATAAGGATATGTGTGTGGGGAATCACAGGAGCTGGGATTTAGGAAGTTGAAGAGCCGAGAAAGATGGAGGGGAACTGCGGTGTTGAAATAGTCCCTACAAGCATGAGGGAGAAGGGGTCACAGCTAATAGGAATCACGCGAGGTTGATGCGAGGTGGAGGGTGTAGATCATCTGTTGGGATACCGAAGTTCACCCAGCAGCGAAGAAGTGCCATGATGATTATTATTGATCATCAGTTTCCTTGATGGACGAGTCGAGGTCCTCGTTTGGAAACTTAGAGAGAAACTGAAAGCGACACGGAGAGACGCCCGAAGATTAACCGACAAGGAAAAGCGGGGACCGACGGAGCGTCGGACCGTGATGCGTATGGATGTGTGTTTATCGAGGGAGAGTCTTGATATTAGAAAATAGTAATGGTTTATTAAGTGTCAATCTACATAGAAAACAGGTGTATCGGTTCAGATATATGCTTGCTTCATCATCATCAAGAAAAAGAATACAAATGCACTCAAAAACAGCGCCCAGAGTGAAATCAATCAACACCGTCCAACATGCAAGTAGTAAAGAAAAGTAAGATAGAAGAGAATTTAGCAAAAAAA